AATTTTACAAATTGCAATAATTGTTCTCTTTCTTTACAAAATTTAAAACATCTTTTAATATTTAATAAATATTTTTAGTTTTTACTATTTAAAACATCAAATGAATTTCCAGAAGTATTTTTTTTATTTTCTAATAACTCCATTCTTAAGATAAAATGTGAGTATAAGAAAATTAACATTACTATAACATAAAATGTGTTTGGTTAATTATTAAATAATAATAAAATTCATTTTAAAATTGAGATATTAGTATTTGTACAATCTAATTTGTGCATATGTGATAAAGAATCAGAATGCTTAGAACAATCATTTAAGCTAATCATGTATTTATAATAAGGACTTTAATTTAAAGAATTAGTTAACTGTTGTTAATTTTTATGATTAGAAAAGTTAGAGCCAGTTTATTAAAATGAGAGTTTATTATCACTTTATTCAAATAGCGAACAAATATTATTTTATTATAAAATTGTTACATCAACTAAGTATTCAATTTAAAATTAAACTTTTTAGTTACCAATAAGCTATATGGAGGGTTTATTTTAAAGGCAAATCAATTTCATGATATTTTAAATATACTTCCAGCAAATAATATTAACTTTCTAGGACTGTTAAATGCCAAATAGTTGAATTTAAAAATGATCATCAATATTCAAATTTACATATCTGGATTAAATAATTAATACTATTTTTTCACAAAATTCATCTTTTATTAAATTTATTTTGAGAAATTCGATATTTTCAGCACCCAAAGCAGAAATGAAAGTTATCAAAGTGATGAATATAAATCCTTTATCTGAATTTATTTATAAATTAGATACATTTCCTTGAATTTGAAAGTCAAAATCTTTATAAAACAGCTAGAATTTTTAAATGACTTCCTAAAATAAAAAATTTTATATTTTGATAGGTCTTAACTTTTAAATAAAAGCTTATAAAATTATTTATGTTTAAGCAATTTATCTCTGAATACAATTTATAAGATTTTGGTTAGTATATTTAATTGAACTTAGTTTATTCATGATGCAGTTTACCATTTCTAAAAACAAGTCTTTTTTAAAAAAAATTGAATCTTCTAATTTCTTAATTTTCTAAAAAAAGCTAATGTCTTCTAAGCAAAGGACTAAAAATGGCTCATTCATGAAAACTCTATGAACATTTACTTTGAAAAATGTTTTTTATTATTTATCTTGATTCATCAATGATACTTTTAAAGATTCTATTATTTCATTTTCTTAAATTTGATTGGACATCTTGTTTTAATATTATCTTTTATGAGTCATATTAAAATTGGAGTTTTTCATTGATTTGAACTTATTCCAGTTATTCATTTTATTATGAACAAATTAGCTATAAATATTAGCATGCTTTTCAAGCAAAAAATCTTTAAGAGTTTTAAGTTTTAGCTATTTTTTTTCATAATTATATTATTTATTACCCAAATCTAATTCTTCTATTTAAAGTGAACTCAAGAATTCAATATATTTTTCTTAACTACTCTAGATTCCAAATTATTATGCTCTTTTATTACAATCTTTATTTATTTATTAAGTTTTTAATATTATCTAAAAAGCTTTTGATTTATCAATACTTTAAAATAAATAAACTTAATAAAAATGAATGATAAATGTAAAAATAAACTAAATTTATTAAGTAAACTATTTTTTTTTTAAATAACCTAAAATTATCTAGTAAATTAATTTATTTTATTTTTGATAAATACTTATGTGAAGCAAGTGTGGATTTAAAATAAAAATAAATATAATAAAAAAAGAAAGGAAATAAATACCATAGACTGACATTTTGTGAGTTCTATAGTCAAATTACTACAAAATGAATAAATTAGGTATAATTTTTTCAAAACTTTTTTCCCACTCTTGAAAGTTTTTTAAAGCAAGATATAATTTTCTATCATTGATATTGTGAGAATACTTGTAAGCAAGCAGAATAAAAATATATATTGAGTAGTTTACACTATAGAAATGAGAGATTTGTTAGAAGTAAATGATTATTCCATAACTGACTACCATAGTTATAGTTTCAGCTGTAAAGTTGTATACTTCTACTATCCAAATAATAGTTTGAGCCTATTAATTTATTTATTTCTTAGTTAAATATTCAAATAAATGAAAACTGTTTTTTCTTTTAATAAAAATATGAAATAAAATAAATGATATAGTTATTTGAATATTTGAAGAAAGACAGACTTACAATCCCATTTATATAATAAATCTCAAAACTCTAGTGTGGATCATTTCTATGTCTTTCACAAATACTAAAGGTAGAATATATTTATCCTATCATAATTAAATACTGAGAGTATTTCATTGGCACGAATTTAATGAAGGCCATTAGCATTAAGGGACCAATTATTTAACAATATTAGAAGAAATTCCTCACAGATAAAAAAATAATTTACACGGAACTGGTAACTATTATCAGAGCACATACCAAATAAATTAAATTTAATCTCTGTTTATTTCATTGTGATTATGTTTTATTTTAAAATAGTAATTTTAAAATTAATGAAAAATAAAATAAATAATGAGAATAAAATACTTTAGAAGAGCATTCCTTATGAAAACTTTATTCCAATAAAGTATCTTTAAATTTAGCAGACCATTTCCCTAAAATATCTTCTTTGTAGTATTTCATAATTAAATTTTTTAAATTTCTTACAAAATTAATTTTCTCTTAATTAGTATATGATCAATTTCTTTTTACTTTTTTTTGTTTGCTTTATGAAAATTCTGATATTATTATTATTAATCTATCCATTGGTAAAAAAACTCACAAATAACTAACTCTCTTGCTTTCACAATGGTTTCAAAAAATTTTATTATTTATACAAATTTATTGAATTTATATAATTTAGCAAAAAATTTAAAGCATTTCAAACTGATATTCATCAAAAAAACCATCTATTAAAATTGTATTATTTTACTCAAATTAATATAATCAATATAATAAAATTAGCATAGAAATTTTCAAAATGATACTCATATAATTATATTCCTCTTTTTCAATTATATTATTACTATTGTTATTTTTATTTATTTTTTTTATTGATAGTTTTTAGAGCTATTTAATAGTTTGTCTTTCTTTTTCTCTTTTAATTTCATATTCATCATATAATTCGTTTGATGATTATTTAGATACTTTCATCCATCATTCGATTTTAAGGTTTCTCTTCATATTCTTTATGACCAAGATAATAAGCCTATTTTTTATAGTTAAATAGTTTAAAATGTTTTAAAAAAATGAATAAATATATTAATTAAATTAATTATTTTTCTGTATTACATTTTGACTTAAACTAATTTATTTTTGCTTTTAATCAATCATCTAAGTTTGTATTCATTCATCTTCATAAATATTATCTTAAAATTAAAAAATTAAACTTGCCTAAAATTTGAGTGTTATTAATTTAAGATTTCAAATATAGTACAGTGGTATTTATGCCTTTTAAGTTAAGATTGATATAGATAAATCATTACCTATACTCAAAATATTATGCTATTAAAAGCACTGATAATCAATATTTAATCCTTATATTTATAATTTCCTGGAATTTTGTAAAGTCTTTTATTAACTCATTTATATATTCAAAATATTTCTCTATATTCTCTTAAACTTAGATAAGGTAAATAGATAGCATTATCTATGTTTTCATTTCTTTATCGTGGATCTATTCTTTGTATACTTTTGATGAAAAAAATTTTTTTTAAATGATCCTTAAAAATTCTGCCTAGACTACAATTTTCCTATTATATATTAGGATTTAGATAGATTGTTCTTAAATTTTTGAATAAAATTATTTTGGTACTTTTTATTTTTTATTGATAATAAATATAAAATATTAGGCTATTTTTTAGCATTTAATTCCCTAGAGAGCTTCTAAATTTCAAAATTAAAAATCATTTTTATTAAATAAAATGTCATTTAATCTAAGATATAGATAGCATCTGTTAATTGAATAAGTTTATAAAATAAATTTGATGGTAGAATTATTGGTTTGTTTATTAAAATATAATTTTACTTTAAATTTCAATTTTCCTGTTTTTTTTTAGCTAATAATTACGTCAATAATCTGGTTTTTATTAATCTAATTTTATATTTTTAATGAACCACTTATTTATTTACTCTCTCACTTTCTTTGTTAAAATAATTGTGAACAAATTAATAATTTTGTATTACTTTACAAAATTTTTTTTTTAAATACATTTGTAATTTATTCAGTATTATCAGGTTTACTTTATAGCAGTTTAAAAATAAATATGATATACTTATTAAAAATATAAATAAAATCGAACACTTAGATTTTTAATATTTTTTATAACAATTATATATTTTAAATAACTTTTTATTTATTCATAATTTTAACCAAAAATTTTAAAAGATGTATTTATCATCATACTTTTATCAACTATATTTCTATTAAAAATACGTCCTTTTCAAATGAGTAATTTTATTAAATATTACTTATTATTAAATTACATCATCTAATTATAATATTTATTATTTTCCATTATTAATTTATACGCACTAATTCGCATTTAGAAAATATTACTCACCTGGAAGGATAAAATAATCAAAAAAATCAGAGTATACTTTATTATTAAATTACATTTTTGATACCTTTAATAAATAAATAACTACAAAAATATGCTTTTGGCAGGTTTATTATAATTAGTGAAGTTGTGTCAAAATAAAATATTTAATACTTTCTTTTCTTATAAAAAATGATGGTTAAGACAATATCATATCTTTGAAGATTATGAATACCATTTATAATTAATTATTAAATGTTTTTTTTTGAAAGAAATTTAAAATTATTCCATTTATTTTACCTTAAAATTTGGAGAAGACGAAATCTTTTAAATGCTTAAATAAATTAATGTTGAGAATAGCTTTAAGTTAAAGTTAATATACTTCTCTATAAATTAAATTTTAAGTTGAAAAAAATTAGATAATTTAGATTCTCAAAAAAAACAAACAAACAAATGAAGACCTATCAAATAATTTTCTTGCTTTTATCCACTATATCCCTAAGTGTTTCATCTTTCTAGTATGATGTAGAAGTGGCTGAGAAATTAAGTGCTTATTCTTTAGCTTCGTATTGCTCCCATTCTAATCTAAAAAACTGGTCTTGTGGTAAAACTTGTGAGAGAGTTGAGCCATTAAAAGATGTCAAAACATTTGAAAATGAAAAAGAGATCTTTTACATGATTGGTTACAGCCAAAAGGATGATGCGATTGTTATTGCTACTAGAGGAACTATTCCTTGGAGTATCAAAAACTGGTTAACAGATCTTTCAGCTTCAAAAATAGACTACTAAAATTGCAAAAAGTGCTAAGTTCACCTAGGTTTTTATTAAGCCTTTTAATCTATTGTTGATTCTCTTAAGATTGAATTTATCAAAATGAGAAAATAATACCAAAATAGTAAAATATATATTACAGGTCATAGCTTGGGAGGCGCTCTTGCTACTTTATTGATTCCTGAAATTTACAAACTGAATAATAACATGCCTATTGATGTCTTTATCACCTAAGGTAGTCCTCGCGTAGGTAAACAATAAATAAATCAACTTTTCCTTTTTATGAATTTTAATTAAATTTTTGCTCAGAAAACATCATCACTTTCTTTGAGCTTATAGTTTGAATATCTATTTTAGATAGATTGTAAATTAATTAAAAAGTTATTTGATCTACATCATTAATATTTTTAGATGTTACAATTTCTTTTGTTAAAAAGCTTAATAATTATAAAATAATTCATTATAAAAAAATATTTTCATTCAAGTAAAACATTAAATTCAATTTTATTACGACTTAAGAGTTTCAAAATTAAAAATAATGAGTAAATAAATTTATAAAATAATAATTTTATGAAAAGGTAATTAATAATTTAGTAGTTGGTTTGAATAAAACAATAATTTCTCAAAAATCAGTGCAAGAATTACTTTAAATAAAGATCCTGTAGTTTAACTTCCAGCTTATTCTTTTCCTTTTTCTTTTAAGCATATTGGAAATGAAGTATTCTATAAAGATGTTAGCAATAAATTTGAATTTATTTAATGCTTGAAACCTGAAGATTAAAGCTGCTCCTTTGGTGTATATTTCGCTACAAATATTGCTGACCATTAATCTTACTTTGGGTTTGGTTGGGGTACAGAATTGCTCTTTTGTCGCTGACTGATTGACTAATAAAATTGAGGTATAAGATCATATAATTTTAAAAATGAATATTCTCATAAAACTATCAATAAAATTGTTTATTATATAAAAAATATGTTTGTTAAGAATGTAAATTCAAATATTAACATGTTTTATAAAATTAAAAATCTAAATTATATTTATTTTTTGACATTATTTATTTTAAACAATATTTCAAAAAAAAATAGAAAATTAATTTTAACTTTAAACACAGTCTTTAATATAATTATGTAACAAATTAATTGCAATTACATTCCTCTTTCTTATTAAAATTTAAAATAATTTTTAATTTTTTTTAATCTTTTTTTATTTTTTTAACTATTTGAAATACATCCATCAAATGAAAATTCCTTGAAGAGTTTTTTATTATCTATCTGCTCCATTTTTAAAGACAAAATGTAAGTATAGAAAGTGAATATTACTGCATATAAATATTATGGAATATTATTAGATTACAATAAAATTCATTTTAAACTTAAAATATCACTATTTGTACATTCTAATTTGGACAGAGGTGATATAGTCTCATAGTGTTTAGTATATTCATTTAAGTTAATCATATATTTATAATTAGGACTTGAATATATAGAATTAGTTAAATGCAGTTAATTTCTAGGATTAGAAATGTTAGAACCCATTTTTTAAAGCAATAATTTATTATTATTTTATTCAATCAGTGGAGATTTTTTATTTTATTTTAAAATTGTTACATCAGCAAAGTATTCAATTTGAAATTAAACTTTTTAGTTGTCAACAATGTTTATGGAAGGTTTATCTTAAAGGCAGATCAATTTCATGATATTTTAAATATACTCCCAGCACATAATATTAACTTTCGAGGGTTGTTAAATGCCAAATAGAAAAATTGAAAAATGATCATCAATATTCAAATTTACATATCTGGATTAAATAATTAATACTACTTTTTCACAAAATTCATCTTTTATTAAATTGATTTTGAAAAATTCGATATTTTCAGCACCCAAGGCAGATATGAAAGATATCAGAGTGATGAAGATAAATCCTTTATCTGAATTTATTTATAAATTAGACGTATCTCCTTGAATTTAAAAGTCCAAATCTTTATAAACTAGTTTGATTTTTTAAATGATTTCCTAAAATAAAAAGTTTTAAATTTTGATTGGCCTTAACTTTTAAATAAAAGCTTATAAAATAATTTATGTTTATGCAATTTATCTTTGAATGCAATCTATAAAATCTATATTAGTGCATTTAGCTGAAGTTAGTTTATTCATGATACAGTTTACCATTTCAAAAACTAAGTCTTTTTTTTAAAACATTGTATCTTCTAATTTTTTCATTTTCCAAAAAAAGCTAATGTCTTCTAAGCAAAGAACTAAAAATGGCTCATTCATGAAAACTCTATGAATATTTACTTTGAAAAAAGTTTTTTACTATTTGTCTTCATTTATAAAGGAAACTTTTAAAGAGTCTATTATTTCTTTTTCTTAAATTTGATTGGGCATTTAACTTTAATTTAACTCTTGATGGATCATATTAAAATTTGAGCTTTTCATGGATTTGAATTTTTTCTACTTATTCATTTTATTATGAACAAATTAGCTATAAATATGAGCATGTTTTTCAAGCAAAAAGTCTTTGAGAGTTTTAAATTGTAGCTACTTTTTTTCCTAACTATCTTATTTATTGCACAAATCTAACTCTTCTATTTAAAGTGAATTCAAGAATTCAATATATTTTTCTTAACTCTTCTATATTCCAAATTATTAAGCTCTTTTATTGCAATCTATATTTATTTATTTATTAATTTTTTAAAATAAACTAAAAAACTTTTGATTTATTTTATTTTACAATAAATTTAGTTTTAATTTGATTAACTTAATTTAAATAAATGTAAATTAAATTATTGAGTAAATTAAGCTTCTTTTGATGATTATAAATTCGAAATAAATGTTTAAATCTAAATATATATTAATATTGTAAAAAAGTAAAAAAAGAAAGGAAAAAAATACCATAGACAGACATCTAGTGAGTTCTATAGTCAAACTACTACAAAATAAATAAATTGGGTATAATTTTTTCAAAACTTTTTTCCCACTCTTGGAAATTTTTTAAAGCAAGATATAATTTTCTATCATTGATATTGTGAGAATACTTATAAGCACACAGAATAAATACACAGAATGAGTAGTTTACACTATAGATATAAGAGATTTGTTAGAAGTAAGTGATAATTCCTAAATTGATTATCATAGCTATAGTTTCAGCTGTAAAATTTTATACTTCTACTATCCAAAGAACAGCTTGAGTCTATATATTTATTTATTAATTAATTAATTTCTTAGTAAAATGAATGAAATATTTTATATCTTTTAACAAAAAATGAAATAAAATCAATGATATAGTAAATGATTATTTAAAGAATGATATACAATTCCGTTTATATAATATATCTCGAAACTCTTGTGCGGTTCTTTAGTATTTCTTGAACAAATACTAAAGGTAGAATAAATTTATCCAATCATAATTAAATACTGAGAGTATTTCATTGGTATGAATTTTATGAGGACCATTAACACTAAGGGAGCAAAGATCTAAGAATATAACATTATAGTTCTCTCAGAGAAAAAAATAATCTACAATGAACTGAAAACTATTATCTGGACACATATCAAATAAGCTATCTTGAATCTCTATTTTATGTTGATTATGTTTGTTTAGTTTTAAAATAATAATTATAAAATTAATGAAAAATATATCAATCAAAAAAAAATGACAATAAAATACTTTAGAAAAGCATTCCTTATGAAAACTTTATTCCAATAAAGTATCTTTAAATTTAGCAGTCCATCTCCCTAAAATATCTTCTTTATAATATTTCATTATTATGTCTTTCAATTACAAAACAAACAAACTTTCTTTCTTTAAATTAATTAATTTATGATCAATTTCTTCTTACTTTTTTTTGTTTAATTACAATTTTGATACTATTATTAATTTTTTCATTTGTAAAACAAATGCATCCACAAAGAACTAACTAACTAACTAACTAACTCACTTACTTTTCATTAAGCTTTCAAAAAGCTTTATTATTTATATAAATTTATTGAATACATACATGTTCTATACCTATTTAATTTAGTTTATTTTTTAATGTAAACTAAAAAAGAATTTTCAGGTATTTAAGAATGGTATTTATAAAAAACTTTTTTTATTTATTTACACTTTTATTTAAAAAGTGAAATTAAATTTTAGCCACTAGTGAGTGTTTTTACAGAATAAAATTTCATGTGTATTTACCATATTTTATTTTTATAATACTACAAAATTATTCAAATTTTATTAAAATAGCAAAAGTAGTATAAAAATATTGAGAAATTATAATGTTTGTGAATTAATTAATTAATTATTGAGGAATTACAGTGTTTCAATAAATAGATTTTATAAAGAAAGAAATAATAAAAATTTCATATTTAATTTTTAGGAGAGATAAAATTTAATTGAGTACTTGATAATATATCATCAATATTTTTTCGTTGATTTGATAGTGAATTAATATTTTAAAAATTATAAACAAAATTAGCTATAGGTTTGCCATTTTTAGTAGTAGAATCTATTTCTTTACAACAAAATTTTACACTCAGTTGTGAAGATTAGAGTGAATCAAGCCTAATTTAATCTTCAGTTATTTAGTCATTTTATAATTCTTTTATTGGCTCAATTAATTTAATGCTACTTTACTTTGATGAGAGTCGGTTAAAATGTTTACTCATATTTTAGATATTAATAGACTTTGTTACATTAAATAAGCTCGTGCAAGTTGGTTTTTTAAATAATTAAGGGGACAATACATATTTATCTGGATTAAGTTAAGATTCTCTTAACAAATTCACATCTGCTAAATATTCAATCTATATTTTAATTTAGTTATCATCAACAATAGTAATCTCCGGTTTATCTCTCAAGCAGATAGACTTCATTAAATTCTGTAAATAGCCAAAACAAATGGAATTTATTTTAGAATATAATTTTAAATCAAATAAATAAAAGCTTTTTTCTTATTCATTTATCTATTTAGAGTTTTTAGTGTTTATATTTAGCATTATTTTTTCTGATAGCTTATCTTTAAATTAGTTGATTTCGATTGAAAATATGTTTTCTACTCCAACACTAGAAACTAAAGCGAATAATGATTTAAAAATATATTTTTTATCTGAAAAAATTAGCAAATCTGAATAATCGCCAAGGATATTTATATTAAAATCATCATAAATTAATTTGATCTTCTCAATAACTTCACTAAAATAAAATGACTCCACATTTAAAGGCTTAATTTTTTGTTGAAAAGACTGCAAAATAAGTTTGAATTGCATGATTTAACGTTAAAGATTTCTTATTGATGATTATTTTGCAGTTTATAAACATTACATTTTATCTTCTAAACATTATACTAACTCCTGTACTAAATCAACTTAATTTAGTTGCTTTTCTTTTAGATGCTAAATTTTTTAAAATAGACTTATATCTTCCATACAAATTATTAAAAATGGCTCATTCAGATTTAAAGCAAATATCTTTACTTTGAAACATATTTTTTTTTAGGTTTCTTAATTTAACATAGATACACTTAAGTTTTCTATAAAATCTTAACTTCTATCATATTCTTTCTAAGATTTTATTTAACTGTTTTATGATGGAATGTTTTTTATTTTCATTTATTAGTATTTTTTTTAGGTGTTTGTACTGCTCTCTATATAAATTCTATATATTTCTTCATGTCTTCTAAGAAGATAATCTTTAAGCGTATTGATTCCTTAGCTATTAAAAAATGAGTCAAAAGGCTTTGTTATAGTTAAAAATTCTTCTATTTTTAATTAACTTAAAAACTCTATATACTTTTCTTAGCTTTAATTTATCTAATACTTTTTAGCTCGCTCATTGCAATCTTAATTTATTAATATAAAATTTAAAAATTTTAAGTTCATAGTTAATATTTATTTGGTAATATATAATATTTTAAATTAGAAAATTATTATTTCAAAATAAAAATTATCAACTCTTACTTCTCATAAATTAACTAAATAAATTTTTTTTTAGTTATTTATTATTTTATTTTATCCTCAAAAAACTGTATTAATGTGTTAATATTTAGATTGATTAAAAATGAAAAATGACAGTGTATTTATGGATTTTTAAGTTATAGATAAAGTGTAAGATTTTAATCAGATAAAATTTGTATTTTTGTTTAGAAGTTAATTAATTTAATATGTGGCAAAAAAGATTTACTATTGAAAATATAGATAGATAGATAGATAGATAGATAGATAGATAGATAGATAGATAGATAGATAGATAGATAGATAGATAGATAGATAGATAGATAGATTGGGTATTAATAAATTACTTCATTAAATTTTCTATTTAAAGTGTAAATTTCATTTTTAATTAATTTAATTTAAATACCATAGACCTTCATTCGGTGAGTTCTGTAATCAAATGACTGTAAAATAAATAAATTAGGTATTATCTTTTCGGAGAGACGCTCCCACTCTTAGAAGTTCTTAAGAGCAAGGTACAATTTTCTATCGTTGATATTGTGAGAATATTTATAAAAGCATATTATTGTTATTGCTAAAAAGTAATTGATGCTGTAATTATAAGGTATTTATTGGTAATATGTGATTATGCCAAAATTTATTAACATTGAGAGAGATTCAGCTAAAAAATTCTGGCATTCAACTATCCAATACATAACCTAAGCCTATTTATTAATTAATTCAATTTAGATGTTTACATATTACCAAAAAATTAAAAATAATCAAGTAAAAACAATATTTTATTGGTTAGCTTTTAAAATTAACTCTTTATTTATTTATGGAATCAGCTAAATAATACTTTTTATGTATGATGAGTAAATAAATGATTGAAAGTAATCAATAAAATAAAAAGCAAAAATGTAAATTACAATTCCATTAAGAAAATAAATTTCGCGATGTCTATTTGTGTTGATTTAATTTACACTGCAAATAGAGTAAGTAGTATATATTTAAGTAAGAAGTATAATATACTGAGAGTATTTCCTTGGTGTATATCTGATAAATACCATAAATATAGCTGCTGCTATTACTTAAATCAAATAATAAAGATCATATCCATTTACAAATATCATTAATGACGAATTCTACACTACAATTTAAATAGCTATTAAATAAACCAGCTTAAATCTCTATATTTTTTTAGTAAAATTCTCTATAAAATAAGTTAAAAAAATATTTTTTTCGTATAAATTAGCATAAATTGATTATATTAATTGCATTAATTTAAAACAATTTATTTACCTTGGAATACAAATCCACATGAAATTTATTTTCGAAATCACTATCTTTGAATTTAGCAGTGAATTTACTTAAAACATCGTCTTTGTAATATTTCATAGAATTTTTTAGTTCTGAATTATTTATTTATTTATTTTTACTTCTTTTTTGTTACAATAAATTATTATTAATTAGTGAATGAATCTATTTATTTCTTTATATTTTTTTAATGAATGAAAGATGAAATTTTTGCTTATTTATATGTTACTGAGAAATCCAAATAAATTTGAAATTTATTCAGCTATTTTATTATACTTTTAATATCAAAAAATTATTCTATATGATAACTAACATATAATATTTATGAGTATTTTCATTCAATATTTATTCCAAAAATTAATTGGGTAAAAACATTTGATCAACTTATTAACTTTTTATTTAATTTCAAATACATTATTTTTATAATGACTGTTTTGATAATATAAAAAGTAAAATTTAAAATCTATATACTATAGATACTCACTAATTATGCGGCGAATATATAATGGTCCGTATTTTGGAAGTAAAAGACAAAATAATATTATCAAAATTTAAATAAAATCTGGAAAAAAATATGAAATTTTGCAGTAAGTATTTCGTTGAATTCTTTTTTAAATTTGATAAAAATTAATTAGGTTTTTTGTAATATTTAATTTTTTAGCTTAATTTATTTTTTTAATGGAATAAATATTTTTATTAGTTTAGATTACACATAAAAATTACCTTTTATTCTAGCGTTAATAATTAAAAATAAGAATAAAAGAATATTTTAATATATTTTTTATTTATATTGACAAATTCATTTAATTTTATTTCATATAATATTATTTCTTTGGTTTTATAAAGTGTTAATTTTTTTAAAATTATAAACAAAGTTAGCTATTGGCTAGTCTTTTAATTTTGGTGTACCTATTTCTCTAGAAGGAAATTTTACGCCTAGATGAGAAGAATGCATTGAATCTAGCCTGAATTAATATTCTGAAAATTCATCGCTTTCTTATTCTCTAATTGGGCACTTATATTTAAGGCTACTTTACTTAGGTGTGTATCTAATAAAGTTATTAGTTTGGGTTTAAAAGTATTAAGATTTAGTTATGTTCAACATACTAACAGAAGTTTGTTTTTTTGATAGAGCAGGAGACTAAATCAGTTTATCCTAAGTGTATTTAAGATCACTTAATTATCTTATATCAGTTAAATATTCAATTTAGATTTCAATCTAGTTATCGCCGATTAAAGTTATATCAGGTTTATCTCTTAAGCAGATAAACTTCATTAAATTTTTTAAGTATTTGAAGCACAAAGAATTTATTTTAGGATATAGTTTTAAATCAAATAAATAAAAGCTTTTTTCTTGTTCATTTATTTGCTCATGATTTTTAGCATGTATATTAAGAATAATTCTTTCTGATAATTTATCTTTCACTTAGCTTATTTCAATTGAATTTATATTTTCTACTCCTAAGCTAGCAATTATAACAAAAATTGACTTAAAAATATATTTTTTATCTGAAAAAACTAACAAGTCTGAATATTCGCCAAGGATTTTTATGTTTTGATCAACAAAAATCAATTTGATTTTATCAATAACTTCACTGAAAGAAAATTGTTAAACATTTAAAAGCTTGAAATTTTGTTGAAAAGATTGCAAAATTATTTTGAATTACATAATTTTACGCTAAAGGTTTCTTATTGCATACTATTTTGTATATTATATATACTACATTTTATCTTCTAAACATTTAACTAATTCTTGAATTAAATCAATTTGATTCAGTTGTTTTTCTTTAAGATATTTGTTCTCTTAAAATATACTAATATCTTCCATACAAATTATTAGAAAGGGTTCATTCATGTGCAAAACAAAAATCTTCACCTTAAAACAAACTCTCTTTTCTGTTTCTTAGTTTATCATCGAAACACTTAAGTCTTCTACATAATCTTAACCTCCATTATTTTCTTTCCAATATTTTATTTAACTTGTTTAATTAGGACTTGATTGTAAATTTTTTCTTTTCATTTGTTGATATTTTGTTTGAGTATTTGCATCACTCTCAATATAAACTCTATAAATTTCTTCATGTTTTTTAAGCAAATAATCTTTGAGCGTATAGATTCCCTAATTCTTAAATAAACTGTCAATAGGGTTCACTACTGTTAAAAATTCTTCTATTTTCATCTAGTTTAAAAATTAAATATACTTATCCTAGCTTTAGTCTATTTAGTACTATTTAGCTCTTTCATTACAGTCTTGATTTTTTTAAAATGTTTATATTAATTTTTATGAAAATGAAAATTGAGTTTTTAATATCATCAAAAATCTGACCAATGATTATTATAATTAAAGGCTTAAAAGCCAACAAAATTTATTGAATTTTGATTAATTTATAGTCAGAAAATTATTGTTTAAGTGAGGAAAATAATTAATTGTGGGTCAAAGAATCATAATTAATTAATTTATTTTCTAAAGAGATTAGAAATTAATCAAAAATTAATTATGTTTATTACATTACATTATTATTTGAAAAAGAATTTAAATAATATATATACCATAGACTTGCATTCTATGAGTCCTGTAATCAAATGACTGTAAAATAAATAAATTTGGTAATATTTTTTCTGAAAGGCGCTCCCATTCTTAGAAATTTTTAAGAGCAAGATATAGCTTTCTGTCATTAATGTTATGAATGTATTTATAAAAACATATAATTATTATTGAAAAGAAATAATTTATGCTATAATTATGAGGTAATACTTAGTAGTAAGTGATTATTCCAAAACTGATGAGCAAAGAGATAGATTCAGCTAAAAAATTCTAGCATTCAACTATCCAATACATAACTTGCGTCTAATAATTAATTAATTAATAATTTTTTTATGTAATTACATCTAATAGAAAAAATTTAATCAAAAACAAGTTAGTTAGGTAACAAGTAGAGTTATTAATTAAATCAATTTATAAAGAAATCACCTTTAAATTTATTACTTTTATTGCGCAAATCATTATAAATTAAATGCAATGAAAAAATTATTATAATAATTATTTATTTACAATTCCATTAAGATAGTAGAGCTCGCGATTCTTATCAGTATTCAATTAATTCAAACTGCAAATAGAATAAGTAGTATATATTTAAGTAAGCATTATTATATATTGAGAATATTTCCTAGGAGTGTATTTTATAAATATCATAAAAAAAAGGCTTGCTATTACAGAACTAAAAAAGTAAAAGTCGAAGCCACTCACAAATATCATGTGCGAGACACTTTATATTATCACATAAATAGCTATCAAATAGATGAGCTTAAATCTCTAATATTTATGCAAAAAGTTTTAAAATTAATTTCCTAAATAAAGTTTACTATCAACTAAATATTCTAGTTGGTTAAGAAGTATTTTCAAAAATAAATAACTAAAAAACTTACTTTCGAATACAAGTCAACATGAAATTTATTTTCAAAATCGATGTCTTTAAATTTAGCTAACCATTTATTGAGAATTTCATCTTTGTAATATTTCATAGATAGAATTTAGATTGGAATCGTTACTTATTTATTTATTGATTTATTTTTACTTCTTTTTTGTTTCAATTGATAAGTATTGGATATTAATTATTTGTTATTAATAATAATTGAGGAAAACAAACTCTACTTATTTGTATGTTACTTTATTAATCAACATTAATTATTTTTAAAGTTTGTTATTTCCAGTTCATTAATTTTAGTAGAAACCATAAAAGCCATACTTATTTCTAAATAATCTCTTTGTAATACATTTAAAGAAAAATTTTTAGCATTTATAATTTAAACAATATTTAAATATGTTGCAAGTTATTTATTTAATCACAAATTAATTTGAACAAAATTATTAATTTTTAATATAAATAAATGCTTACTATTAATTTATTTAATTATTTTTAATTCATAATAATATTTTATTTGATTAATCATATTTTAAGTAATTATATTTAATCTATTGAAATAATTTATTTATTTATATCTTATCATTTTATCATTCACTTATTATCAATTTTACTAATTAAAATGGTAGCTAAAAAATATTTTGAGCTTATGGTAATGCATCATAAAACATTCACTTTAAATAAATCATTTCACTATCATCTTTTAGTGTTCTTTTTTTATTCTTCCTCTATATATCCTCTTTCCTCCATTTTTTTAAAACTCTTTCAAAGCAATATTTATTTACCTAATTATTGTAATAGTATTTAACATTTATATATATAACTTTATGAAAAGGGTGTATTAAAGGAGACTAATTTAAGAATATATTTTTTTAGAAAGATAAAGATAGATTAAATCAGAATATTCAAAAAAGATAATTAAGAAATTTTTGATTAATCAAAATCATTAATATCTGATATTATTAATTAATAATCAAATCAATTACAAAACCAAATAAAAAAATGAAGTAATAGAATAACTCTTTTAATAATCTCGAAGATGTATCCATCATTATTACTTTTATTTATTATAAAAAAATATTTTTTTAATAAACAGTTAATGAATTCTAACTTGAAAGCTCTAACTCTTATTGACTTACAGTTAAAGTAAGAAATATAAATATAAATTTATATATTAATTAATTTTTAATCAAAATTATTTTAAAAGTTTTCTCTTTTTTATAAATTTCTATAATAAAGAATAAATAAAATCTCATATCTTTCATTCATTCAATTATTCATAAAATAAATTCTTTTTTTTATTTTTTATTAAATAAATAGAAATTGGACACTTAGTAATGAATAAATTGCTTAACTTAACACTACTTTGGTATAATGTGAAAAATTAGAGTCTTTGAAATTAAATCTTAAGTGTATTAAAGATTTATTTATATATAAAATATATATATTTACCTCATATTATTAGTTTCTACTAAATCCCTTAAATAGGAAAATTTAGAAAATGATTAATTTATCTAATCATCTGATATATATTCCTTACTACACGTTAGATTGATAGTAAACAGTAATTAATTAATCATGATATTTAAGATAATAAAGTTAAAATAATTACTCAATAAATTGTTTAATAAATTATAATATTATCTATCTTATAACCCTAGTCATTTCTACTATTTTTAAAAAGCAATCAGTTTGAATCTTTATTTTAAAATTATGTTAAATTAATTATTAATTAGATCTTTTTTTTGTTAATTTAAAAATTTAAATGAGTTTTATTTTTTTAAATTTATTTTATTTAAATAGCAATGATTAAATATATACCCAAATTTAGTTTTTCCATAGAATTTTTTACAACGAATTCTAAGCTTGTGAAGAACCAAAGTAAAATAGAACAATTGATATTTAATTGATTTATTTTTTAATTTAAAAGATCAATTGAAACTTAAGGAAATATTCTATTAGAAGAAACTATGAGCAATCTAATTAATCTTAACAGTTTACAACTAAATTTAGAGTATTCTTTTTTTAATTTATTTTTTAATAAAATTATTTAAGCTCATCTTTCATTTAAAATACATTAAAATTTCTCATTATTTTTTATACTAAATTATTTTAAATAATATTTGATTATGAAAGTGGAAATTAAATTGAAGATGAAGGTGCAGTTTGGATTTGCACAATATTAAATAGATGCAAAGCACTTACGAACTTAAATTTGTAGCTTTGGTAATTTTATTAAAAATATACTAAACCTATTAAAATTATTTATTGCGTTGTTTTTAAAGCAAATAAATTATTTATTAAAAATATTTTTTTGAAAAGGAAAAATAATATGGGTAACAAAGGGATATCGAGTATTGTAGAAGGTATTAGTAGTTGTGCTAATCCCACAACTTTAACTTTAAACGCAGTGTAAATTTTATTGATTTCTGTTATAAATTTAAAAATAGTTTTTTAATATAAATTGATCTGAGCATATTTTTTTGGGACAGCATTAAGTAGCTGTAAGTTACTTATTAATTTAAAATTTTGTCTAAGGTAATTTTAATTAATTAATTTTATGTTTTGATAATTTAAAAAAAAAAATCTTAACTAAATTTTATTTTTGAGATTAGTTTAAAATAATTAGTTAACTAATTAATCATTTTATTTATTTATTTTGTTTGAAAAGGGATAATAAAATCGGTGATAAAGGAGCGTAAAATATTGGATTAGGTTTGAGTAACTGCACTCAACTTACAAATTTAGATATTGGAATGGAGTAAAATAATTTTTTTACTCAAAAAATAAATAAATAAATGAAATAAATTATTTTTATTTAATTTTTTTAGCTAATTTTTATTTATTTATTATTTTTATTATAAAAAGATTAAATTAAATTGGAAATAGAATAGAATAGAAATACTCGCACATATAAATGCACTCAGAATAAATCTTAAAAAATATTAACTTCTATTTTATCTAAAGCGTAACCAGTAGATTAAATTTTATCAATTGTGTGCAATTCATATTTTATATAATTTAATTTTTTCTATGAGTGTAATTCTAATTGTTGTTTATTCATTATTATCAATGTTTTTTTAATTTATTTACATAAAATTAGTTATCAAATCTGTTATTTTATTTTTTTCTATCTTTATGTTTTAAAAATTATTTAACTTCTTAATTTTCTTTTAAATATTATGCCACTAATTGATTGATGTGCTTCTTTATTTTTCATTTTAGTTTTTTTTTGAAAATTATTTTATCCTATTCAATAATTTGTTTTTTCAATTTATCAAATTGATTAACATTTCCAAAATTGCTTACATAACATAAAAATTTGGATACTCATTTACTTATTTATTTATTTATAAATTTCTTATTAGTCACTCATCTCTAAATATAATATTTTAAAAAAATATCTTTTTTTCATTACCATTCAGCCCTTCATCTGAAATATTTCATTAAATGATTCAAAGTTGCTTATTTAATTATTTTTACATTTTAATTTTTTATTACTTAAATATTCAATTTATTCTCTATTAGCTTAATTTTCTAGATTTTCCTCATCAGTATAATCTTCATCTGAATTTTAATCATTTTAATTTTCATCACTAATTTGTTATATAAAAAAGTTTGATAATATAAAAAGAAGCTTTTTTTATTTTTTTCATTAAGCAAAATTATTATAATCATCGTTATTACATTCCTTTTTATTTAAATCAGAAATCCCTTCAAAAAAATTTAATTATAGCTTAAGAATATGATAAATTTGAATATAGTGATAAATACAACTAAAATGGTTTACTTTCCAACATAATCTTTGGTAATTGTAAACTAAGGGAATGTTGTTAAATTTTGATTTTTTTTATCTAACACTATGTTTGAGTATCAAAACGATATTCTTTACCTAAAAATAAATTGTTTAGTGACAAACAATACTAGTCATCATATAGTAAAGATAGTCCAACTATTTTTAAATAATAATAAGTAAAAGATGCATTTTTTAATTGAATGATTATTTTTATAGACATTTTAAATGGGTTATAATAATAAATTAATTTTTTACCATTCAAAATTTCATTTAGAATGAATAAGTAAGTGAGTGATTTAATTAAAAAATTTTGTAAATAATTAAAGATAGAAATTAACAGTTTTTATTTACTCTTTTTTATTTATACTTTTATGCAGAATTTTTTATACAATACGTCTTTTAAATATAAATTATTTACATTTATTCAAATAGAGTTATGCTTGCTTAAGAAAGAATTAATTTTTAATTTTTTTAAATATTAATTTTTAATTTTTGAAATATTATTAATTTCATATTGACTTTATAATTTTTTGAAGGAATTTTTGTTGTTTAATAAGATAGATCAAATAACTCTCTTTGATCCTTTTTTTAACTCAGGAAGTACATCTTCAATATCAGTAAAAATACCAATGCTATAAATGGTAGAATTTTCTTTTTTAGTAACTTTAATATCATTTTTGAAGCATATTTTCTGTATGAATTTTTTGATATACTTATTACATCGTTCATTTACAAGCGAAAAACCTTGAGACTCATAGAAGAATAAATCTTAGTCATCTTAAAATACTGTGCTTGCGAAATTGCTATTGAAATTGTTGAAGTTATTGATATAGTTATTATTCTTTTTCTGGATTAACAATGGAGATAAATTATTTTAAATACTTGATAAAGCAGGTTTTAGTTAGGAGTAAGTTTAACTTAAATTGTTCAGTTAAGAAATTGACTAAAAATTTAAATTGCCATAAGCTTCCAACTTATTTAAATTGCTCACATCTTCAAATGAAATTGTTTAGTAATCTTCTGAATTAGCATTTTTTACTTTGAATTTTACTTTGATGATTTCAAAATGAGATTTCTTCTTTATTTTTGTTACTATTTTAATCAAATTTTTCAAATTAATCCCACTTAATATTGCTTACATTATTTTAAAGCAATAAAACTATTCTGATTAAATAAAGAGTTGTTCTTTGTTTTTATGAAATACTAAAATGTTAAAATCACTGTAGAGTTTAAGTAATTTGCCTATTAAATCACCCAAAGAAAATTTAGAAATCTTCATTTTAACATCTTCGTTGCTCACAGCTTAAGTGATATTTTTACAATAAAGAATTTGTCTTTGTAAAGATTTCAAATTAATTGAGTCTTAAGAAAGTATATTATTAAATTTCTATGAGAGACAGCTAAATGAGTTATTAAATAAGTCTGATTGGAATTCTTTTTGGTTTTTTAAACTTTGAAAGGAAGAAAACAAACTAATGTCTTCTAAGCAAATGATAAGCAAGGGTTAATTAATATTTAAATAAAAAGGTACTATTTTTACTTTAAATGTTTACAGTTTTTGAGAAATATCCTGTTAATAGTAAACTCTTAAATTTTCCGCAAATAAATCACTTGATTAGAGTTCAATATCTTCTGATAATTTTTTTTTCCTTTCTTAATCAAGCATTATTGGTTGAATTAAAGGGAAAACCTTCTTACTCTTACTTTTATCTTGCATGTCCTTGTATAAGTCACTATGCATCTCTAATAAGTAATCTTTTAAAGTCCGAACTTCAGTTAATTTGTTAGGACTACCAGTACTCATAAACTGAATATCAAGCTGCATTTTTGTTAGGAATTCTATGTAATTCGGTTAGCTGATGTGAATTTTGTGCTTCTGAGCTATTTTATTGCAGTCTATTTAAGATAATAAATTTAATTAATACTTTATCAGCTTACAATTAGTTAAGCATTTTGTTATGATATATTTATTATTGATTCCTTAATAAAAGATAATATATATAATATTCGCCAATTATTTTTTCTTTCTTTCTAAATTTTAACTCTTTTTTTTGTTTGTTTTATGGAGTATTTTTCTTTTATTTTATATGAAATCAATCAATAATAAATATATGGAAATAATTAAACGAAAAAAATCAAAGAATTAAAAAATTTTAGCAAAATTTAAGTACCATAAACATCTATTTAACCAGTTATTGTGTCATACTTTTAGACTATATAGTAGTTGGGGAGAATCTTATCAGTCATCTTCTCCCATTACTAAAAATTTTACAGAGCCAGAAAGAGCTTCCTCTCGTTGATATTGTGTGAATATTTGTAAAAAACAATAATTTCACAAACAATAATATAGCTCAAAATGTAAACATTATCTAACTTTTAATAAATCAATAGTATTGTTAAGTTTATTTGCATGCATATCCCTTCCATTAAAAAGTTTTAAACCTCTACCATCCAATACATCACTTGAGTCTAAGTATTAATTAATTTAAAATATTTATAATAAATAAATAAATATTTCTACTGGAGTGATTATAAATAGATGAATTTCCGAATCAAATAAATTTCTTAGATACTTTGCATAAATTAATTAATTTCTAAAACTACTAACATGCAAGTTTTTCAATGATGAAATAAGTTTTGATAAATTTTAAAGATTAATTTACGCATCCATTCAAGAAGAATATCTATAAATGATTAGTTGATTCATGTGCCAAAAGATCTTAGGTGGAGTAAGTGGAGTAAACTTACATAATCATAACTAAATACTAAGCATATTTACGAGGAACGAATTTATTTAAAATTAAAAAAATAACAATGGCTATTATAACAATTCCTTAATGGATAGTAAATCCATCACTTATTATCCTACAGATCTACCAAATGATTTCGTAAAAGCACAAAGTATAGACCAGATACAATCTCTATTTATTAGTAAAATATTATTCAAAGATCAGATAATTGATATCATTAATTATGATGATGAGTTTAAAATCTGAAAGATAAGCTAATTTGAAATAGTAATTATTTACCTTCTTATAGAGCATTTCAGCGAACGCGTTCTCAATTTTTGGATTATTAAATTTCGCTGAGAATTTAGAAAGACAATCGTCCTTAAAATACTTCATTATATATTAAACTTCTATGAATCCTTATTTGTCTTTTTTATATTTAGAAATTAATCAAAAAAAGATTACTTACTTAATTTAAGAAATAATATCAATATTTATTAGATATTTATAAAAAAGTAATTTAGTAATCTTTATTATTTAAACAACACTAAAATACATATATATTCAATAAACACTTACATTTTCAATGGTAAATCTATATGATATTATATTCACTTTATTTTTATACTATTTCAACTCTAAATTAAAGCATAAGTGATGCTATTTACATACTTCTTGCGTGGAAATTGCTAATATTAAAAAAAAATCAATTAGCTTAATTTCCACCTTTCAATAAATATTTATCAAACAATAAATTCCTTCTAAATCTTTAAAAAACAAACTTGATGACAAAAATCAATATATTTGCATATATAAAAATAATAAATAATCTATAAAAAACCAATGTAATTTATTAAATGCATTTAATTTGATTTAGTCTATAAAAATCAAAAATTTAAAAATATCCCTCTTTTGTCTACTTGAAGCAGAAAAAACTAACTAACTAACTAATAATCTAACTTAAATAATTAATTTCAAAAATTTTTTAAAAATCAACAATGCAAATTAATTTAAATTTTTTTTTTGTCATTTTTTTACCTCAAATTAAAAGCGAATTCTCATTTTGTATTTTTGATATATTTTCCTTATTAGAAATATGATTGCAAACGATTCATTAAAAATCAAGGTAGCATAAGTGGGAATTTTATTTATGTTAGTTAAATGAAAAAGTTGCTTCAAAGTTACATTATATATTGTTTTTATGATACTTGAAGCTCAAGTAGATTTTCAAAGGTTACACTAAAATAATTGATGATAGATATATGTAAAAGAATATAATTTGCTAATTTCATCAAATCTTCACTTTACTTTGATTTTTAATTGCTCAAAATTTCAATTAAGATTTCCAAAAAAAAGTTTCAATGATAATTTAAGGTTAATACATTAAATTGTAATTAATTATTTTTGACAAAAATTAGAATGGCTATAGTTTTTTAATAATGAATAACTTTGATTAATTGAATATTAAATTTGTTTTTTAAATATTAACATTAACTTTGATAAAAAATGATTGTTTAATGATTTTTTTATCCAGTAAAATGGTAAATTATACATAGTAAAGCTTGATAAGAAATCAAAAAATCTTTTTTTAACATAACAAGATATATATAACGCAATGTTTTTTAAATAATTCTATTTACTTTTTGTTTTTAATATTTTAAAAACTCTCCATTTGATTTCATAAAATATGATTTCACAACAATTAATCAATTTTTCTTTTTATTTTTTCTAAAGCAGCATAGGCTGCTTAAAAAACATCCATTTTCTCTCTTTTTATTAGAACTGCTGTTTCTGTTACTTGAATTAGGCGTATATGTATTGCTTTTAAAAGATTGAGATGATCTGCTACCCTTTCTACTATTAAATTCATTCATTTATTATAGATGTGGTTCAAGATATATATATAGATTTAAATTAACTAATAAGTATTTGATTATTTTTATAAATTTATTAATTAAAATTACTATATTACTTAATCAAATTTCATTATTATTTATATAAATTTTGTATGAATATTTTTGGGATCATTTTTATTATTTTCTTTAATATAAAAAAAAATACAAAAATAATATTTGATTTTGTTAAAACTAAAATTTACATTGATATCAAAAAGAAAGAAATTATATAGAATATCATAACACTTAGCTAGAAACAAACAATTATTTCAATTTCAATTTCATTTTAAATTTCCTTTTTCTTGATTATTTATAAAAATGTATTTTTTAGATTAAAATAAAAATATGGGGAGGGCGTCACAGAAAGGTGGGGTTTTTTTTATGATCTGAGTAAACCCTCATATAATTAGCGATTCCCCAACTACAGTATTATCGCCATTTGGAAATCCTTCCCTCTTACATAGAATTATGAAATATTGATTTTAAAAAAATATTTTTGAGAAAATTTTTCTCTCAGTTTAACAAAAACATTTTAAATTTGAAAGGTATTTATTTATTTATTCAATTAATCTTATAGTAAATTTAATAGACTTAATAATTTATTAAGTAGGTGAACCAATGAGTAAGAATGTAAATATATAAAGTAAATGATTAATGTATATATATATTAAATAAATAAATTTATGAGAACAAATTTTCAAATATATTTTATTTTGTAATATTAATGCAAAAAGAAATGAATGAATCATTCTCTACAATTAACACAGGTTCCTATAAGATTGACTTTTTTAGCTTTACAGTAATACTTAGAAATTTTAAATAGATTTCCACACTTAATACATGCTAAGTCAAGGAGAGATTACTAGCATAGATTTTGACATGTTTCACACATTGTATCTATTTTATTGATTTTATTTTAAATCATAACATTTCTTCTTGTGAAAAAGCATTTTTTACAAAGTGTACATTAAGTTCCAACAAAAGTATCTAGCTGCTTTTATTTCAATTTTTCTTCTTCTTCTTATTTCTATTTCAAAATTTTTTCTTACTCTTCTTATTTTTATTTTTCTTTTTCATACTCAGCTAGCAAAGCCAACCCTCTTTTCTTTTTTTATTTTTTAGGTTTCTTGTCATTTTATTCTTACTGAGGTATTTCTTCTGTTATTTCTTTCGGTTATACTATTTCTTTCTTTTCTAAATATTATTCTAAGCCATAAAAATCACTAAAGAAATCAAAATTTTGAGGGATTTTTCCTTGTAAGATAGGATGAATAAGGTTAAGTCTTTGGCAATACTCGTTACAATAATGAGTATGGAAGAATTTTAACATTCCTTCGTATCCAAGGTCTCCTTAACCATAAAATCTTGATCTATTCTTTGTATGAATCTATGGATCAGTAAGCACTCCTAAATCTGCTCCTTGAATATCAACTACTAAAAGCTGACCCTGTGAATATTACCATGTAAAATGACTGAAAGCTTATGAAATTTGATTGAATTGTGAGCTTTCTTGTGAGCTAGTCCATCCTGCATTGTTATTATACTTTTGATAATCACCTTCAATATAATTTTCAACAAAATAGTATTTTATGTCTTTATTATAATGTCTGAGAACTTCATAAATAGAGCTATCAACAAAATTAATTAAAATAGGAACCTAATATTTTAATAATTAAAATTATTTAAAAATTCTTAAATAAATCAATTTAATTACTTCATCATGATCAGTTGTTTTTAACAACATTCTTGAGTTGAATTCATCAGCAAAGTAATGACAAGCTATAAGACTCATAGAATCCCTTTTCATAACTTCGAAATTAGAATTATCACTCCAATTTTTATGTAATTTTGCAACTAATTTCTAATTCAATAAGGTATCATAGGCATAAAAGGCAAATCTCATAGCTCCTTCTGAGAAATATTTCTTATATATTTATATTTTTGAAGTTAATTTTTAAAATTTAATGGAAGGATTATTCCAATCAATTTATTTTTTCTTTTCTACATAAGCTGTTATACAAATACAACTGAATGTAAAAGCTTCTTTGTTAGAAATACTGGTACACCAAGAATTACTTTCAACCATCGAAGTTGGTCGATAGTTAATAAACATTAATTATTCTGGAGTGTATTAAGGAGCTTCTTCTTAAATAATTCTAGCTTCTTTTTTCACTGCGATTTCTTTATGACTTGACTTACTTTTGCTCTCTTCTTCTTTCGTCTCTTCTTTCTCATCATCATCTTCATCCTCATCTTATTCGCAAATGGCATTTTTTTTATTTTCATACTTGTCCTTGAGACCACCAGAAGTTGTTTTTACTGAATAAGCAAGCTCAGTGTGAGATAAACAAGCTGTATTCAGCAAGCCTTTATGAGTTCTTAACACTCTAATAGCTAATTCCCCAATAGAATCATATCCATGATTTACTTTCTCCTTTTTTTCATTTTATCCAGTTGTTCCTCCTCCCACACCAAGAGTAGTACCTGTAATCGATGTCAATACAGTCTTTGCAATTACTGCAGATTTCTCTTTTGACTCTTTATATCTTACATTACTAGACTCACCAGATAAACTAATTCTTATTATATCTTTTCCACATGTTTTTTTGTAAATATCTTAAAAAATAGAAAACATTAAATTAGTAGAACTATTAATTTCTAATACAGATAACTCTATATTTCTTTTAGCTAAAGTTTCTATCAATCCTTCAATGTTAACTCCTTTAGGGCAGCCTTCAGGATAATCATCAGCTGTTGTATGATACTTCTTTCCATGACATGGTGCATCAGCAATAATAAATAAATTCTTAGTTTTACTAATCCAACCTTTATTTATTTATATATTAATTAATAAATTTCATAAATAATTTTAAGTTTTTATATTTACTTAGTTCATGTATTGCAGTATATAAACCTCCTGCTAAATCTTCAGGACCATCTCCACCACCAGTGGCGACTAACTTTCCAATAAAATTTTCTAGGGCTTCATATTATGAAGATATGAATGAAAATTTTTCTATTCTATTAGTATCGCAGTGGTCACGATAAGCTACAAAACCTGCTCTAAATGTACTGTTGACGAATTACTGCTTCAGAGTATTAAGTATGTTAATAATCTAAGTTTTGCATCTTTATATCCAACTTCCCATAGAACCCGTACAGTCTAGCACAAATGCTAAATCGCAGGAATCTTCAGTATTAGTTTCTTATTTAGTGTTGTTGTTTTAAAGTTAAAATTATGTGGCTACAGCGTCTCTATTAATATTTTTATTAACGCTAACAACTTTTTTTTAGTAAGGAGCATAAGGGAGCATTATATTGAAGTCATCATTCATCTCCTTTAAATTTTATGTAAATAACTAAAATTCTTTATCTTAGGGTTATTCCTCCATTTTGTTTGAGCTCTTTAGATTTATTATTTACTTTATTAGATTAATAGTAGTTTCAATACTAATTATTTTTTGTCTTTATTTTTAATGATAATCTTGTTTATATAAGATATTTTGTTTGTTTTTTAATGTAATAAAATAAATTCTTTCAGATATTAAATCCTTATACTGCATCAACACAAGAATATTTATAGGATCTACAACTTCAAATTTTATCTTTTAACTATCCACTTTACTAATCTAGAATATAAAAAAAATATTAGTCTAGTTAGAATACATTAGTACTGTTTATTTCAATTCAATTTGTAATTAAAATATTTCAAAGATTAAATTTTCTTTTAAAAGAACCTTATAAATTAAGGTTTTAAATATTATATGGAGTTATATTATTTAGATTTTATTATTCATTTTTAGAAGAAAAATAAAATAAAATGGAAGGAAAAATTTTTTAAAAAATTTAATTATTGATTGAAATAATACAAAAAAAAAAATAATTTATTATTATAATTAGATTTTTAAAATAAAATATTATTTTAGATTTAATTTTATAGCTTTAAATTAATTGTAACTCTCAAAAAATATTTTTTATTAATTTAAGATGTTATTTTTAATAAAGAAAAATAAATTAAATTTTTTTGTTTATAATTAGAAAAAATAAATTTAATTTAAAAAATAATATTAATAAATTAATAAATATACTAGGATAAGTGCATAAAATTTCATTTAAGAAATAGAAGTAAAATGAATTTCAAAATTTTATTTTATGAACAAAAATTTAAAGAGATTTAATTTATTAATAGCACCTATTTATACTATGAATGGCTATTTGATTTTACATTAGATTAATAATAATTTATTTAAAATATTTTTAATATAAAAATAGATGATAGAAAATTAATTAATTTGATAAAATTAAGAAAATAAGAAATAGAAGATGATTTCTAGAAAGTATAAAGATGTACAAATTATTAGATATACTTTAGTAATGCTTTTTTAATGAATTTAATACTAAAACAAATATTAATTTATTAAATAATTTTTAATGAACCAAAAAAAAAAAAAGAAAAATGATAGATTAATAATTAATTAGTTTAAAATTTTAATTTTTTATAATCTTTAAACAAACTCTAATTGCAATCTATTAATTATCAAATATAGATTAATAGATAGAAAGATAGATACAAAGATCGTTATTTTGTATTTTAAAAATTAATTTTTGAAATTAGGTCTAGTTATATTTATTTCTCACACACTTTTAAATAATTATATAATTCAATCGTCTACTGATTTATTATCCAAAAATCCAATTAATAAAGCTTTTTTGATATTAATAAATCAACGCTGATATTAAAATGATCATAAAACAGACATTTGTTTGGTTTCATGAATTTATTTTTTAATTAAATTGGAAAGCTAAATAATTGAATGATGTATTATCAACTAGGCAAAACTTATTTATTTATTTACAAGTGCAAACAGAAAGTCATAGTTAAAAAAATACTATTTAATTATTGATATCTTATTATTTTCAAACGAAATAAGGAGGTCAACTTAAATTAGATAGAGTAAAAATGAATGAAAACTCTTAAACTTTACATTAAATAGAAATTAAAGAGGTTTTTTAAGATTAAAAATCATACCCTTGATAAATTTTATGACATATTATTTTAAGATAAAGAAAAGAGATTATTTTTAAATTTTTCTTTACTAAAATAGTATAAGCAAAATTAATTGTGGTTTATATTATGTATACTAATCTTTTTAAAAATATAAGCTATTATGTGTGAAAATTAAATAATACCACAAATTTAAATGGAAAACTGTTGATTGATCTCAAAATACTTGAAATTGAAATTGGTCTTTCAATTTTTTATTTGAAAAGATGTTTGTTTATATTAACTTAGAAGTATTTTTTGGTTGTTTTCATCATTAATAAAGCCATATAACTCAAACTCTCGTTATTTAATTTGCTACAATTTTAACACTGATTAACTTTTTAATAACAAATTTATCAATTTAATAAAAAGTTAATTAAAATAGAAATCTAACCATTTCAAGTATCCAAGTTTTGTTTTGATGGAGATTTATGGCTAATCAAAAGTAATAAATAGTTAAGAAAAATGAATTTGTGTATCAAAGAAGAATCAAATTTCTCATCAATAACATCAATAACGATTCAGTGAATTAAAAGTATTACTAATAAATACGCATTAATAAAAAGTTATATAATAATTAATTTATAAATTTTAAGATTTCTATCTCTGATAAAATCTAATAATTTTTGCTAGTTATTATTAACTAAATTAAAGATAAAGACAGCCACCAGTTTTAGTTTAAAAAAGAAAGATTAATTCAATTTTCAAAATCAAGATTAATTAATACTAGCTAAATATAAAATAATATATTTACAAGAAAGAGTAGGTTAGAAAAGTATGGAAATTTAATAGTTTTAGTAAATTAAATATATTTTAAGAAGTATATTTGTTTGTTTGTTCTAATTTAAAGTTAGTTTGTTTATTTGTTTCTAAAGTATTAGTTTTTATTTTTTTGATAAAGTGAAGAAAAGAGAAGTGAATTAGTTGTTTGGAAGTGTTTTATCATATAGCAAAGTAATTCTCAAAATTTGAATACATCAGATCTAATTTTCGTTGGAGAATCACAATCCTAAAGAGAATAGAAATAGTTAAATAGTTAACTATGCTTTATCATTAAATTATCATAAATCTTTCTATTTACAGAGTTGCGTTAGTGAAGATCACATACATTTTTAAGTTTCTTGTTAATAGCTCTGTCAATAATTATGAATTATTCTTTGTATTAAGAAATAACTTCTATGGTACGAGAGAATATGTCCTTTTTTTATGAATTGTTTGTAGATTTTAAAAGCTGACTTATTACAATGCAATCCTCTTCATGAGTACTGTCCATTAAAGGTTTAGCTTAAATGTGAGCACATTTATAAAGTGTTTCTCTTAAGTCAGAAAGCTTTTAGATTAAGGAGTCAAGGCCTTAATTTACTTCAAAGCAGCACATTTTGAAAATTTCAGCCCCATTTTTTTAAACATAATCAAAGTTATTAATCATTTTTATTTACTAGAGAGATAGATAGATTGATTGATAAGTATATAAAATCTGCTTCACAATATATTTTTTGCAAATTTTTATTTTAAATTTTTTTCTTGTTTTATTAATAACATTAATTTCAAAATTAACAAATTTAAGCATCTATTTGCAAAAGACTAACCAGCCTTCTAAAAGTCAAGCTGTAAAAACAAATTTTGTATCAACACTGCTTCGTCTCAGTATTTATTATCAACAGGAAATTTACATTTAATAATAATGTGATCTATTTTTCTTTATTCTCAAAATCTATTGTATTAAACTAAGGTAAGTAAGTACATATTTATAATTTTAATACTCTTGCAATCCTATCTATTCATACTAAAGTCAACTTCTTTCTGAAGTCTGAGTAATAATTAAAAAACAAATGATGAGGTTTTAGCTCTAATTTTTAATGATTTGAGTATTTTTTAAGAGTATTTTTTGCTAGGATAAATATTCTTTCATATTTTTAATAAAAAAGTGTTTGTAAATTCATTGATTGTTTTTAAGAAAAAATGTATGAATTGATAAAAAATATCATAAAGCAGTTAAAGTAGTAATTATTTTTTATTAGAAATGATTCACAAGTATTCCATCTGTGATTATTAATTGAATGAGGTGACTTGATTTTTTATTTTAAGTCCCATATTTCAAGATAGAGAATTTACATATTAGAAAATAAGTAGTTTTTTTATTTTAAATTAAAAACTTGTAAAGCAACAAGAGTCTATATAAATAATTAGACATATAAATTTACTAGTGAATCAGCTGTGGAGATAGATAACTTATGATTAGATAGATTAAAAGATAATTTATTTTCTATTTTTTTGTATTTTTTATAAAGCAGAAAATTCTTATTTATTTATTTAGTGAATGATTTCATCCAGCCGCCTGAAATTTTTTTCTGTTATTTCATTGAAGTAAAATATAAATTTTTATATGTTAGCAATCATACATTTTCATAAATATATATCAGAAAATTAAAAAATATTTATGATAAAACAAAATAACTAAGACAAATAAGTAATATATTTATTTTTTCATATCTAAAATTAGATGCTTAAGTGTCTTTCCACGATTAATGTTTCCTTAAATAAATAAATAGAAAAAATTACATATAAATTTTTTATACTTTTAATTTAAGCAAAAATGAAATTAACGAATATTTCTAATAATCTAAAAAGCTAATAATGTAAAACATTCAATGCCTATCTATATCAAGCTATCAAAATACTTCTAAGCTACTCAAATAAAAACAAAATAGCTTTTAATTCAATTTATATTGTATCAAAAATATTAGAAACAAAAAAATTGATCAGCCCTTCTGATTGTTTAATCAAGCAAGGCTTGCTTATAATGATAAAAAGCAATTTATAATAATTTATCCTAAATTTAGCAATGAGTTAGTTATTTTTCAAAGGAAATAATAAAATAGATAAAATATAAACAGTTCAAAATAGCAAATATAAATAAAATAAAGCCTATTTCTATTATTAATTATCTTTCTTTATTTAATTATCTTAACTATTACCATATATTCTCAACTTTGAAAGCCATTCAAGCAAACCTTTTATATAAGGTCATAATTTTCATATCAAAAAAATTTAAAAATAAAAAAAATACTTCATTACTTCTTATATTTCGAGTAGTTGCGTTAGTTAGGAAGATATTTATTTATTTTTTAATTAAAATATTTATTCATACAAATATAGAAATCAAATCATTTTGAAAATTATTAAATATCTTCTCATTTATTTAGTAGTATCAAATATCTATTTTGATACGAATTGTACAACATTTAAATAATAAATAAAGTTGACTAATGGTATAACTAAATAAGCTCTATATATTTACTGGGTATATAATAAAAAATTGGTAATTAAAATTTTTATAGAGAATTTAATTTTTCTATGATCAATGTTGAAGTTTGAGTTACAGATTTGAATAAAATTGAATTATACAATTAGCTAAATTTATGTCTAAACATTTGACACATAATTTTCATAAATGATAAATCGAATAAAATTTTATTTGTAATTATTAGACCTAATTAATATTATTAACTAGTATTTTGTTTAGATTTAAACAATATTTTAAATATTTTTAACATTTTATTATTAAAAATATAAATTTAGATAGTTAGCTTGAATTATATTCATCTATGCTATTGTATAAAATATATTCATTCTTTAATTACAATTATAAAATTTATATTTTTTTTATTAAATTTATGTTCTTTTTTTAAGTCTTAACTTTTTTATGAAAAAAACATACTAAAACAAATCAGTTTAATACACAATATTTTTAATAAGAAAATAGAAATTTCTAATAAAAATTAGAATAATATATATATTTTATATTAGTACTGCTAAAACTAGATAGAGTGAGTGAGTGAATTTAAAATAAAATGTAAAGTAATTCAATAAGTAGAGTATAGGATCTAAGAACTTGATATTACTAAAAATACTTTAAAATTAAGTACATTAAAATAAAAATACTCAACTTATAGAATCAATCAATCAATCAGATAGTTAGTTAATAATATTTAAAGACCCTCTTATTGCTATTTGCAGCATATTTTATCTGTAGCTAATAAGTTACTTGTAAAATAAACAATAAATTTATAAGTTTATCTTAATTTATTTTATTATGTTATCTTGTTTATTTTTTAATTTTAAATAAATATTTTTTATTTTTATTTTAAAAAAATTAAAAATTAATTTATTAATTTGAATCTAATTATTTTTATATTGTTTTTTCTTTTCTTATTTATTTATAAATAAATTATGAATACTATTAATTTATTTTTAAATTCATTGCTTGTTTATTTTTTTAATTTAATTTAAAATAAAATTTTTTATTTATTATTTTTTAAATTATTTTACATTTTACATTTTTTAATTTTTATTTAAATTTATTTTTGATTTATAAAAATATTAATTTTATTTGCTATTTATTTATTTTAATGATTTTTTACAAGATATTTGCTTTTAATTAAGTTAATTATAATTGATTACATTTAACTAAAGGGGGAGGGGGGAATTTAATTAACTTGAAAAAAAATAAATTTATTTTTTATTAAATTAGTCTTAAAAATATATGTATTTATATCATATTTTTTTTAGATTTTTAAAAAACGCAACATATATAAATTAAGGCATCTTGATTGAAATTAGTAATATATATTAATTTGACTTGTATAGTTAAGAAATTGGACTTAAAGGTTTTCTTAAATACAATTATAATTTTGATTAATTTGGTTAATTAGAAAAAGTTTTCTATTTTTATCAAGAATCTAATAGTTGTGTTTTAAATAACTAGGAGATTATTTATACAAAATCTAATTTGAAAATTTGTAGTGTCTTAAAATTACCATTCAAATGTTTTTGTATGCTTACTGAAGTAAGAACTAAACTCAGACTAAAATTACAAATGCATTCAATAATTTTTTCTTTTATAGCTCTTTATTATTTTGATATATTGATATCAAAAAGCTTTTATGAAGGAAATATTATCATTTTTATTATTTACTGAAATAATACTAAAAAATAATGAAATCTATTTAATAAAAACAAAAAGAATCAATCCTTTAGATTATTTGCTTTGAAAATAATATAATTGATTTTAAAAGTCTTAAAGAAATAAACTGTTGTAATTTAAATATTAATTAATTTTTTGGCAGTTAGTACTAAATTACAAATTTTTAAATGTAAAAAAAGAATTTGATGTCAATGTAAAGTCTATTTAAATACCAAAATTAAAATGGTTATTTCAAATATTTATAGGAGTTAAGTTGATTTGATATGATATATTTAAATGCTTATTCCTTTTCAAATATTTTAAAAACCTATTTTAAAAAAGATAATATAACATCTTAAATTTTTAAATCAATAATCAGTAAAATAACAATCTTTAAATTATAATTTGATTAGTTGTTGATTTTTCTCATTGTATTTAAAATTGATTTCTATATTAAAAAACTTTTTTATAAACAATATTGCTAACAAACTAAAATTTACAAACTGATACACAAAATAATAAAATTGATGAATTTGAAGGGCTTGATAATTATCCAATTAATACTAAATAGAATTTTCCTTTCTTTAGGCCAAAAAGATGATGCTAGTTAATGTAACCAAATATGCTAAGATTGCTCTAGTGATAAAAATTTTGAGTGTCTTGGATGTAAATATCCATATTATTTTGATCAGAATAACTATAATTGTGTCTAATCTTGCCCTGGTGGAACATATGAAAACTAAAAAATGGAATGTGTTTCCTGCGCTTCTAAATTTTGTTCAAGCTGCTCACCTATTGAATGCTATTAATGCTAACCTGGATACTCTGTGAACCCACAAGATTAAGTAACTTAATCATTTAGTTTTCTTAAAATCATTATTCGTTTTTTATTTTACTTTAGTAAGGATGCATTTCGAATTGTTAAGATGGATAATATTTACTTGATGGAGAGTGCGTATATGAATGTAGCATTTAATCTAATATTTATTAGTTAGATCCATCTTCTAACACTTGTATTTAGCTATAGATCTGCCCTTAGTTGTCTTATATTCCTGCATCTTAAGCGGTTGGTCAAATATAATTCTTTAGCACATTCATCAGTGAAGGTAAACCTTATAGTTTAGAAATTCAATTTAGCTTTTTGTTATTATTTATATACCCTAAGGTATTACCTTTTTCAAGGCTAAATACACTAATGTTAACAAGTTATATTATTTATTTTCTGGCACGAATTCGGAATTTTAGTGATACTATTTTGGAATTTCTTATCGAGAAATTATGATATTCATTATTTTAAATTCACAAAAAATTTTAATTGTTGTTTTAGTTATGAATTTAATATTTTATTTTTAAAAATTATTTTTAAAACTCATTGTATTTTAAATTAAAATTTGCTTTTTAAATATTTTACTGCCAATGTGCTTAATTAAATTTAAAAAGAATTATAATTTCAATTAAGTTTTACATAAAAATTATACTTTGAGTATTATTAATAAATTCAATACTCTTCTAAATAAGTAGATATTTTTATTTTTTTTTAATTTTGAATCTTATCTTTATTGCTTTGAGTAAAATAATCTATAGCTTATTGAAACATATAAGTATAAATAATCAAAATTATAAATATTTTAAAATATATTTTGATTTTTTAATCATAGAGTTAAAATTTTTTTACATTTTTTTAAATTTAAAAAAAGATAATAGCATCATACTTTAGATTGATGAATATGGCAAAGTTATTATCAAGTCCATTCCTTAGCTTTTACCTCAAGCCTATTATATATTTCCTGAGTTAGTATCTGTAAATTATTTTATTTATATTTATTTCAATTTTAAGTTTGAATAAATAATAATAGATCTCAGATTGTGTACATCTAGTAGAATAATCAACATAAAACAAAATACTATCTTGTATGAATTCTAATACCGAAGTTTTTGCTTTTTATATATCATCTGGTCTACTTTTATCATAAAATATTACATTTAATTAATAAATAGCAAATTTGTATTATTTAGATGGAATGAAAATTACTTTTTTGACCTAATCAGGATAAATAGTCTAGTACAATTTCCAATCTTAGCAATTTTTTATTGTTGATGACTCATCAGATAATCTAAATTAAATACTTTGTGTTTAAAACTATCAGCAAAGAAATGATTAATATATTCTTGCTATCAACTCCACAAATACAATTTTTTATTATGATTAATCATTTAATAAGAATATACTTTTATAATATTCAACATAGACCACTCTTTAAATGGAATATTTAAATATACAAAATATGTGGGCATTCTACTAAAATAATAAAATAGATTTTTATTCAATCATATTTGGTTAAACTCCTTTACTGATCAAATAAATTACTTCATAAACTGTCATCTATTCAATATTGAGATCTAACTAAGTAAGAAATATTGTTTTTCTAATCTTAAATGATATCGTTTTTTAAAAATATAGACTTTGATTCTAATTGATGACCAAAATTAAACAGCAACTTAAGTATTCTAAATAAGCTCAAATAAGTAAGTCACTGAAATAACTAACACATTACCATCTACTTTCTTTAATTCTGATTGCTTTTGGAAGACAAAAGATTTTTATTTCTCTCAAAAACAAGATCTTCTTTATATTTTCAACTTTATCTTTACTAATTTTACTCTTTCTTATACTTTAAAATTATCTCAACCTTTAGTTTGCTCAATAACTTCCTTAGATGTTTTGCAAAATAATGAAAAAGTTTATTTGTTAACTAGAATAAAGTAAGATATGTAAATTTAAGAGCTCACTTAAAGCCAATTAACCTCTATAAATTCTAGTTAAATGTATTTCTCATCTGAATAGCATGCCTTTTACTATACTTAAAGATTATTAAATGTACCAGCAGTTAATTTTTTGAATACTGCTACAAATAATTAGATCTTAGAGTTAAAAGGGAATGGTATAGCTAACTAATATGATTTAGAATCAAGATAGATTGCTAAATAATTCTATTTTTGGGAAGATTTTTATTATCCAGATTAAACATCTGTTAAAAATTTTATTTTATACAACTTTCTTGTTGTAAAAGAAGAAGAAAAATTAATACTTACTGGAGTAAAAAATGGCGTTTTAGTTATAAGAGAATTGAATTTATATACTTTTGAAATACTTTTAGAAAACTAGTTTAGTAATATAGACATTGCACTTAGTTAAATAGATATTTTTGATTAACCATTCTACATCCAGAGTACAAAAACCTTGATAGTTTATATTATTAATTAAGAAATCAGTGATCTTTATACAGAACTAAGACAGCTTCATATTTTTAGTTACAGCTAAATAAATAACTAATACAACTACAAATTCTCAGTAAGGTAAATAGTAAATGACGTTTAAGTTTCATAGACAACTGGTGATGTTATTTGTTTCTTAGTTTTGTAAGTTTACCTCAGTTAAATAGTGATCTACAATGTTTACAAAGATGTAAATTTATTTTAATCTAATTAATTAATTAGATAACCATTTTTTTTAAAAGTAAAATCCTGTTTACGTATCTGAAGAATTTTATAATGTTTGCTAAAATTAGATAGGCTTTTTCAATTTAAACTAAGATACTATTTATTACTCTGATTTTTTTGGAGGGATAATGAGCATGAACCTTCTAAAAAATTATTAGAAAAATATATTTAGCAAAAATATACTCATTTTATCATATTATCTATCTCCAAATTTAAGCTATTAGATATTTAGCTTAAGTCCTTATAATACAGTTTAAATTGTATCTACTGTAGATAATAAAATCCTATAAGTAAGTATAATTTCAATATAAAAGAAATTTTAAATAACAATTAATTTTTTAAATTAGGTAATAACTGCTGGTGCATACATTCCAAAATATATTAGATATGACAACAAAGTATTTATTTGCAGCAATACTTACACTTTATCATACTATGATGGCGATGCAAACAAGCTTATACTATACCAAAACTAATATTATGGGCAAAACTCTTAGGCCTTTTTACATAAATAAAATTAGATAATATTTATAAATACCAACGTCTATCTCACAATTAGTTTAGATGATTAGAATCTTTAATTACAGTAGGTATGTTAAGTAATATTTAAAATTTATTTTTTTTCAAATAATATTTTTTTTAAACATTAGGTTGCATAAAATGCTAAATATTATCCATATCAATTTAATGATATTTAAATACCTATAACTCTTAATAATGGCTAGGTAGAGTAAATGGTTGATGTAAAAGCAATATTTTGCTATGAATATTAAAGTGATGATTATTTAAAAACTACAATAAAATTGAAAGTTGTTAACTTTTATGAGTTAGATATATAGTTAAATATATATATAAATAAGATAGCAGTAATAAAATACCAAAAGATTATAGCATAAATTGCTATTGATTTCTTACAGCCTCAATAACTGGTAGCTGAAAATTACAGATTCTATCTATTGTATGATAAAAAAGGATTTTATTTTCCCAATTAAAAATATATGGTAGTAGTTTGTGGATATCATATTGCTTTTATTAGCTCATCTAACTTTGAAATTGTAACAATCTATTTAAAATATCATTTCTTTCTTTATTTATTTGACATAAAAAATAATTTAAAAGCTATTTCATTACGTGTCTAAATCAACATACTTGAATGTTGCTTATGATATAGAATTAGGATACATGGCCTTTATAGAAAACTTGTAAGATTGCATTATCAACTTAAATGTAAACAAATGAATAAATTTAAAAATAACAATTTTAAAATATTTTTTCTTAAATTATATTTTAGGCTATTTCTAAAAATTGCATCACTAATAATTATCCATTTAATGAGGATAACTTTCATGGAACTATTATTTAAAGATAAAAATAGTTGATAATCTTTTATAGTTAATATAGTTTAAGAGTGTACTCATTAAAAGAATAAATTTATAAGTTTGTATTATATTCAACAGACTTTATACCAAATTCTATATATTATAATGATTTTGGTAGCATTATAATTATTGGAGATTAACCAAGTTAAAGTTTTTAGATACTTAATTTAGATACACTTCAATTGTTGCATACGTCATTCCCTGCATACAGTACTTAAACTTTTGAGAATCTGTATAATGTATGAAAATATATTAATTTCAATTGCACAACAATTTAATTTTATTTTTAATTAAAAGTTTTATTTTTTCTCTGATCAAATATAAGTGATGCTATTTTCTTCTTACAGTAATTCTATAGTAATCTATAACATAAATACTCAAGAAAGCCTCAAAACAATCTAATTATAGTACTAATTTAATTATCAAAGTCAAGTAGTTGTTGATGAAAACCTTGATTTGATTATATTGATTGATAATTATAATTAAATTGAGATTGTTTCTTATGATACCAATTAAGTTGTTAAAATATTTTAAGTAATCTTTTTTAGCTTAATTTTTTTTAAGTTTTATAAAATATATTTGATTTCTTACTTAAGCCATTTAAGTTTATTTTAAATTTTTTTCTTTATAAAATACTTAAACAGTTAGATAAGTAATAAAATGACGCAAATACATACTAAAAAATATTGATTTGGGATAATTACAAGAGAAAACTTTTTGCAAGCTCAAACAACATATTTTATGTCTTTGATTATGATACTAGCATTTTTATTTGCAAATACCAATTTTAACTTCCTATTTTTGATATTTATATCAGCTTTAATAAAAATTAAATATTTGTTACAGATTATTTGAATTTAAAAGTTTTTGATTACTCTATCCTAGAGTTTAATTAAAACTCATTGTTGCCTTAAAATTCAACTCCAAATATATTAAAGATTAATGATAGCCAATATATTTTATTTGATAATAGTCAATCAACTCTGAAAAATATTGTTAATGGTGAAGTAAAGGATGTTAAATACTTTAATCAACTAAATCCTTCATACTTTTACTTCAATTATTATAATATAAATGACAACTAAATTTATGTAATAACATTTAATTAGCTCTTAATCTATAATGTAACTTCAACTAGGATAAATAAAATATTTTCTTAATTGCTTGATTCTTAAATAATAACTTTTATCAGTGACTCTGATTTCCAAGTTCTTTTTCTAACTCAAAAATAATCTTTATACTCTCTTTAAAAAAATCAAACTAACCCATAGCTCTTGATACTAACCTATATCTCAACAGGAATAGGCCAATTTTTTATGATTGATGATTCCTTTTTAATATACTGCTCTACCAAAAACACAATCTAATGGAATAAGATGACATTTAAAAAATCCTAGTCTCTTTCTCTTGAAGTAAAACTTGATTAATTTCAATTTAAAATAGAATTAAATGATACTGTTAAAAAGATTGTTAAAATAGATACTACTTAGAATATCATAATATTAACTAATAAATGCATACAAATAATAGATATTTAGACAGGAAATATTTTATAAATCTCTCAATTAGATTTTTAAAACCAATAATCTTAAATCTACTTTGATCCTATTTATTAAAGGATTTACTATGCAGATAGAATTATAGGAATAGCAGTATATAATCTTTAAATGCAAACTATTAAATAGAATTTACCATCTTCAGGTATAAAATTAAAAATGGAAGGTTCTTTCATATTTATGCTTTCATTTAACTCTGTAAGTATATATTTAAGATAAGACCTCAAATTATTCTAAATAATTAGAAATTTTAACAGCACACAATCACTAATAGATATTGAGTACACAGGATTTAACAATATATTCATTTTGTATTTTGACAATTCAATTAGTTTCTTTAATGCTAACCCTTTCTCTTAACCGAAGTTAATTGATTTCTTATAAGTAAACAATTATAAGGTTTTACTATAATAAGTATAATCCCAGAATTCTTAGTATTTAATAGTTGATATGATGATTCTAACTATAGAAAATACTATCAAATACACTACTTAGCTAAATATTGGCTCATTTTCAAATAACATATGCTCTGCCTAGCTATAAATATTAACAGACTAAAATGATTTATAAACAAAAAATCAATAAAATGATTATTTAAATTTATTATCACTGAAATAACTCTTAATTTAGAACATTATTTATAGTATGTTCATAAATAATGGTGAATAAACAGATCTAAAGTATCCTTTTGTTAGCTCTAGCTCTGTGACAAATTAGTACTCTCTTTATATTTAAGCTATAAACAATAATATGATTTATTTAAAAACTCAAAATAGCACAGATTAAAATATTGTAGAGCTGTAACTATAAAACTTAAAAATTTCATTTAAAAACTTAAATAATACTCTATTTTTGTTTGGAAATCCAACATTTAAAAAATTAGAAAGATTATTTTTAAATGACATAGAATTATCAGATTTTGGTAATAACCAACTAGCATTTGATGGCATCAAACATCTTTTTATCTAAAATTTAGTGATTAATGGAGAATAAATTCAGTAGATTAACAAATAGATTATGCTTTTCTAAAACATTGATATAATTGTAATACAGAACATTAATTTTATGAATTGTTAATTTAATAATATCATAAATCTTCTTAAATTTGTTAATATAAACAAACTAACAATTAATAATTTCAACATCAAACTTAACAGTTTAAATTCAAACTTTAAACAAAGCTCTATGATAAATATCTCATATGTTAACTTACTTATTTTAGATAGTGCTAATCTTTTACAGAACATATTTTAAAATGTTTAAATTTTCACAATAACTAATGTTACTTCAATTAGTATTAGCAACTTGATATCATCTTAAAATTAAATAATAATTAATTAAAACTTAGATTTATAAGGAATTATTTTTTATTTTGAAGCAACTTCATAGGTTGACTTCAAAAAAATACAATTTAATATGCTTAACTTTACCCAATATTCATCCATTTCTTTACTAAAATTTTCTAATGTAAATGAAACTTTACAATTTAATGATTTTTATTTCGCAAACTTTAAATTAGAAAACAATTATAATAACTCAATAAATGGCTAATAATTTTTTATTTTAGAATGTGAGGGAATTCCTAATTCTAATTTCTCAAATATTCAGGTAATAAATTCAGATATGATAGGATTTATTAATTTACATGATTTAAAAAATAAAAACGGAATTATTATTTAAAATTAAATATCAACTTACTACAACTATTAGCACTCTCTTTCAAATACAAATTAATTAATGCAACTTAATGCTTAATAAATAAAAATATCAAATTCTAATTTTTCATCTATTTCTAGCTTCAATTCAGATTCTAACTTTATTTAAATTTAAGTTAGCTAAAATTTACTTTTAGATACAATTTAAATTTAAGGTGTTGATCTTAAGTAAAGTAGCTTTATTAACATTTCCTAAAGTCCTTACATAGTTATCCAAAATATTGATTCAAAAAATATACAAACAAAAAGCATAGCAAGTGCTTTTTATATGTCATAAATTTCTAGTTTGATAATGAAAAATAACACTTTTATCTCAAATCTATCTAATCTTGATGGAGGAGTTTTATATTTAAACTAAATAACATAAATAATTTTTTTAGAAAACAAATTTTAGTAAAACCAATCTAAGACAGGAAATGGGGGAGCTATTTACTGCTTCAGTAGCCTATTTTCTTAGTTTGAAGACAATACTTTCTTTTAAAATTCTTGTCCATAAGGCTCAGGTGGAGCAATATTGTTGAACAATTGTGATATTTAAGATATGAGATAAAATAATTTTTTATAAAACTATGCTCTAATAGGAGGTGCTTTTAGATATTAAGGCATATAACCTTAAGTTTTATAAAAAAGAAATGTGAGCCGAAGGATACTTACCTTAAATTTAAATACTTTTATTAAAAATTCTGTATAATTATATGGAAAAAATATAGGTTCTTATCCAATTTATTTGGATGTTAAAAATTAAATGTAAGATGATTTAAATATCTAAAGTGCTAAATTAGAAAATATATAAAGTGGCAGTACATCTTCACCGATATTAATGAGATTAATTGATGAAGAAATGAGAGAAATAAGTTTTTTTAAAAATACAGAGTAGATAAATTAAGAAATTCTGATTGAATTTGGTAGCTATTTACTTGAATTGTAGAGTTAAGAAGTCGGGCTTGAAGGTAATCTCAGATAGAATTATAATTTTGATTAATTTGGTTTCCTTTTTAATGTGTCCTATTCTTATTAGCCTAATGCTAACTCCTCTATTATAGTTAAAACAGTTAACCCTATCTATATTTTAAATACTACAACTTTTAAATTTGACTTTCAAGAGCTAAGTATCTCTATTGATGTTAATTTTAGGAAGTGCTAGTAAGGGGAAATTTTATAAACTTTGTAGAAATATAAGATATGCTATACTTGCTAATAAGGTAAATTATTCTTTAATAAAGTTTTTAATTTTTTTTTTAATATTAATTAATCTGTGATTGAAGGGGGGTGGGATCGTTATAAGATCTAGGAGTTAAAAAACATGGTACTTTATCATACTTTCATTTAAATATGATAACAAACTCAATTAAATACCCTTATCCCCTCCCAAAAAGTATTTTAAAAACAAAATAATAAAACATTTTTTTGATCAGAAAATCATTAATAAATAGTTTTTTTCATATTATTTTTATTTTATGAAATAATTTTTATCCAATTTAACTCTTTTGTAAAAAAAAACTCTCTACTTTTACCAAATATTCACAATTATATTTTGATTAACTAAGCTTACCAATTTTTTTAAATAGGTAATTATTGCTTACAAGATCCAAATAAATTTGAAAATTTGTAGTGCCTCTAATGCCCTATTGGTTCTAAAAATTGTCATTCAAATATCATACAGTTATAAAATAGATACTGGAGTAAGGACGAAAACTCAGACTAAATATATGAATGTATTAATCCAGAAAATTGTATCCCTGAAGACCCTTCAAATAAGTTTGGATGTTCACTAGGACATATAGGAGCTATGTGTGAATCTTGTGATTCTAAAGGGGTTATTTGGGGTTCAAAATATGGAAAAACTAATGGTGGAAATTAGTGCTAAGAATGCATTTATAAAAATAAAATTAGCTCTATTCTGCTTCTATTTTTATTATTGATTATATTTTGTGTTTATTTAATCTTCTAATTTTAAAAATAGATGGCATTAATATAAAAAAATATGAGCTGGTTTTATTTGAGAAAGCTTAAAATAATTTTACTATAAAATCCAAATATTAGTAGTTCTTCTTATTATATCAAAATTCTTATCAACTATTTTTAGTTTATAGCATTAATTAATAACTTAGGTATTTAGACTAAATAGTTTATCTCTTTTGTTGAAATTGGAGGTGGCGATCCTGCAAAGCATTCAATTTATAATTTAGATTGTATATTCAGTTACTATGATTTCTAAATTCCATTGTATGCTATTAGAGTTGTATTTATCAATACCTAAATAATTATTATATATTTGTTCATTCAACTAGTAAAAATCCTAACAAACATCTTTAAGATAGATGACCGCTCATTTTAGATTTCTTCTTTCATACTAATATACTTATTCTATAGTTCTTCAGTAATCAAAGTATTGATATAGTCTTCATCTTGTATTGAAATAGCAGGCAATCTATATATTATTTCTGAAATGCAGTATGAATGCTATACTGAAGAACACATTAAAATCCTACTATATTTAATAGGACCATTACTTTTAATATGGTTAATAATAATTCCAACATCATTTTCTATGTATTTGTATAGAAAAAGAGAAAAATTACAAAGCTTGTTTTATCAGTAGAAATATGGTCTTTTGTACAAAGTAAATAGTTTATTAATCATAAAAAAATTTTTTATAATAAAATTTATTCATCAATAGGAATATAAAGTAGAATCTTATTATTGGGATTTAGCTAGAAATCAAACAAAAGCATCTCTAGTTATATTTCTAAATTTAGTTAGGGTTTCACCATTACTCAAAGCTTCATTTTTAATAATTTTTATATAAATTTATCATACATTTTTGACCAAAGTAAGTCCTTATTAAAGATAGTAGTTAAACAATATTGATTAACTATCTTGCAAATTAATTATAATAAGTATATTCACTACATAAATGATATTACTTACAGATAATCCCTTACTTAAACTACTATTGGAAAGTATTTTAATAGTCTCCAATATAATTTTCATAGGAATCTTACTCTTACTAGCAGTGTAAAGGCCTATTCCATATAATAAAATTGACCAAAATATGCTTTAAAGATTATAATTTTATTTATCTCAAGTAATTCCTAACTCTATTTACTAAATTGCTTATTAAAAATAGATAAATTTATTAAGAATAAATTCTCTATGGAAAAAAGTCTAAAGCTCATTAAGGGAAGTGATTTCAATTGAAGCAGATTTTAAGAACTAAAAATGGTCTTAGCGAATAAAACTGAGTAATTAAAACAGTTAATTCACCTTTCGAAAATCAAAAATTGGCAAACAACTAAAAACTATTTTCTATCAATAAGCAAAAGAAAATTGTAATTTAGATAAAATTCAATAATGAATAGAAAATTGTTTCTAAAATAAACAAATATAAACTTAGTAGATAAAAATTAAAACAACAATAACTTACTTTATTAAAGAAAAAAAATTTTTTATTTAAGCTGTATTTATTTTTATTAACAGGTTTTTTAGATTTTATTTTTAAATTTACATAACTTAATTTGAAATAATTAAAATCTCATCTATTTCTACTTATCTTCTTCTTAAATACGAAAAGTTAAATCAAATTTATTTTATTTTACTATTTTTAAATTTTAAAAATAAAACAAAAAGTGTTTGGTAATTTAAGATAAAATAAATTAATAATTAAATTATAAAAACCTCAAAAAATTTAAATACACTGGATCAGCACAGCTCTAGTCCCAATTATAAATCTTGTTATTAAGTTTATTGATTGTTTATGGATAAAGCTAAATTTTTATATAATCAAAAATAAAAATATATTTTACTTCTTTAAATACTCTTTAGAAAATTATCATAATAAAAAAATTACTGGTTAAATATAAATTAATTTTAGATCCATATTATTTTTTCATACGATCTTTAGGTTGAATAAATTTTAATTTATTCTTCTTTATAAATATTATTACTATATTATTTTTTATCTTTGGTTAACCCAGAATAGAAATTAATATTTTCTTATTTAGAAGATTTTTTAGAATAATAATGATATTAATTATTTTTTATTCCATTTAAAACATGGTATATTATTTAAATATATTAGTGAATACTATAGATAGATATTGGTAAGCAAACAGTCGAAATAATTTTAAAAATTATAATAAAAAAAAAATATTTTAAAAAGTAATACAAAAAGTAAATTAACATTTTATTTCTCAAGGGATGTTTACAGTCCATGCAATTTATATATAATAACGAATATTACATATCATGAGTATTGACAAGATCAAAATAATTAAATAAATTACTAAAGCTAACGAATAATGAAAAAATGTATGATAAATTAATCGCTGAATTTTCAGCAAGTTAAAATAATAAATAATTATTAATTGAATATTGAATAAATTATAAATATACTAAATTAACTTACCGAATTTTCGGCAATTTAAAATATTGTTCTATAGAATAATTATAGGTTGGTTAATATATAAAAAACTATATAAAAATAAATTAAAGTCTATCTATTTGCTGAAATTTAGAAAATAATTATAAAATGATAAAAAAATATGTAACATAAATTAAAGTCTATTTCTGAATTTTCAGCATTAGAAAATAATTATAAATTAATAAAGAAGAGTATTAATATGTGATAAATTCTTTTTACCAAATTTAGGCAAATAGAATTGATAAGAAAATATGTAAAAATATATTAAATCCTATTATTTAATTTTCAGTTTTGGAAAATAATTATTAAATTTAAATAACTATTAAACATAAGTAAGTATTTTCAAATTTGTTTATTTCCATTAATATCTTATTATCTTATATTATATTATTAGATAGCTTATTCGATATTTTGATATGAACCAATAAATTATAGTTATCCTTAATTCTTAATCATTATATATTATACATTTTTTTATTTTCATTTATTGATAATATTTTTATTTTATTTACTTTTTCATTTTATTTAATTTTATTTGTAAGTATAAAAAATTTTAACAAATTATTTCGAACGAAAGGAAAAATAATGAGAAATAAAATAATAGATATTGGAAGGAGGACTTTGCTGATAACATAATATCGTATTTTATATAATTTTTTGTAATTATCTAAAATTTCTACTTTTTTTATAAATGCCTGATTCTTTATTTAAAAATATTATTAATTTTGATGATTTAAAAATGAGCAAATTATATTTGAATATCAGTTTTTTAGGATGTTGTTAAACCAAAATTTATCATAAATAAAAATGAATTAAAAAAAAATGGCTTAGACTAACATTTTCAAATATATTTTTATTTAATTTTAAACTCATTAATATCAATACCACTAGATTTTAATTAAGCGTTTGGCTATATTAATTTATTTAATAAATAAAGATTTAATCTAAAGTAGATTACAAAATTTATAATAATTATTTTTTAAAAAAGAATATCATAATATTTTAGATCGAATAGAAAGAATTGAATTACTTTCATTATTTTAGAGATGTATTTATTAATTCAAAATATGTGATATTCTATTAATGTTTAATATATTTATTGCTTTTACCTAATAATAACTATCCAAATTAATCGATTAATGCCTTCCTCCTTATGTTTATAGTTTAAAGTATTTTATTGAAAAAATAAATTTTTTACTCCATATTTTATTTTTGAAAGTAATTCTTAATTTACTTTCATGTAACATGAATTAAAAAAATTATTATTTAAGATTAAATATTTGATAAAAAAAATTAGCTTCATTTTTTCTTTCATCAGATACGAAACATTTATTTAATATTTTATTTTATTAAAAAATATTTATAAAAGCTAAGTTTATATTTGTTACTCAAAAAATAATACTTTGAGAATAACAATAAAAATACAATAAAGAAAAAATACTTATATTATTCGATTATTTTTTATATTATCATTCTTTATCGTTTTTCAATAAATTGACATCAAAAAGCTTTTATGAAGTAAATAAATTTTATTAGATTTATTATTTAATGAAATAATAGTAAAAAATAATGAGATCTTTTGATTAAAAAAAATAAGAATACATTAGATTATTTGTTTTGAAGATAATTAAATTGCTTTTAAAGTCTTTTAAATAAATTAATTGTTGAATTTCAATTATTAATGAATTTTTTTGGCAGATAGTGCTGAATTGTAATTTTTTTAATTTTTAAAAGAATTTTCTAAACAATTTAGTGTAAACTTAAAATCCATTTGAGAAAGGAAATTTGAAATAATTTTTTGAAATATTTATTGGAGTTAAGTTGTTATTAAATATTAAATTTTATTCCTTTAAAAATCACTTTAAAAAATTATACTTTTACATATAGATTATAACATCTAAATTTTTAAAAAAGTAATCAGTAAAATAATAATCTTAATATTGTAATTTGAAAGGTTGTTGATTTTCTCATTGCACTTAAAATTGATTTTTTAAAGAGGAAACATATTTTTATAAATTAACAAACTTAAAATTACTAACAGATACACAAAAATATATTTAATAATGTAACCAAATATGCTAAGCTTGTTCTAGTATTAAAAATTTTGAGTATCTTGGATGTAAATACCCATTTTATTTTGATCAGGATAGCTATAATTGCGTTTAATCTTGCCTTAGCGGAACATATGAAAACTAAAAAATGGATTGCGTTTCCTGCTCTTCTAAATTTTGCTTAATCTGCTCACCTACTGAATGTTATTAATGCTAACCTGGGATACTCTGTGATTCCAGAAGATTAAGTAACTTAATCATTTAATTTTCTTAAAATCCATTACATCTTTTTTACTCCAGTAAGCCGTAAGGATGCATTTTGAATTGTAGAGATGTATAATATTTGCTTGATAGAGAGTGCGTATATGAATGCACCATTTAATTTAATAGCTATTCCTTAGATCCGTCTTCTATTACATGCCATTATTTATAGATTTGCCCTTAGTTATCTTATATTCCTACATTTAAACCAGTTGGTCAAATATAGTTCTTTACATCTATAAGTGAAGGTAAGCAATATAATTTATGTTTTTCGTAGTTTTATTTGATTTTTTTTGTCGTTCAATTTTTAACTTAAATGAATATAAACAAATATCATAAAATAAATAGAAAATGTTAATAATTTCTTTTTCAAAAATGAAAGACGAAAAAATTTTAGTAAAAGATCAACAAAACATATATATACTTTCTTTAAAGACAAGTTGATTAAAACAAAATAAATTAAAAAATAATTTTTTATTTATTTTAAATTATACAGACCTTTATTTTATAGTAACACGCACTGATTAAGTATTTTTTATTTCCATAATTTTTCAAATTAATTAACGTGGTTTAAATTTGAAAAAAAAATTTGATTTTTTGTTTTTTTTTAAAAAAGTAACTAAAAACAAATAAGAGGTAGTAGGGTGTTAATTAGTGAGAAACTGCAATAATTTGATTACTATTTTTAAAAATTAATAAATTAAGAAGGTTTAACATTAATCTATTTGCTTTTCTATGTAAAGAATATCATAATTTTTTAGATTTAATAGATTTAATTACTTTGATTATTTTTAGAGATGTATTTAGCATCTAAATAAAATAAAATTTTGTGTTGAAGCAAATTATTTGAAGATAATATAGAGTAATTGTTTTATATTTGTAATTATATTATGTGATATTCTATTAATTTTAAATATATTTATTACTTATCCAGGATAATAACTATCCAAATTAATTAATTAATGCATTCCTCCTTATGTTTCTAGTTTAAAGTATTTTATTGAAAATATTTATTTTTTACTCCTTATTGTATTTTTGAAAACAATTCTTAAATTACATTCATGTAACCAGAATTAAACAAATTTTTATTCAAGATTAAATATATGATAGAAAAATATATGTTTATTTTCTTCTATTCTATCATATACTAAACTTTTATTTAATATTTTATTTTATTAAAAAATATTTATAAAAGCTAAGTTTATATTTGTTATTCAAAAAATAATTCTTCGAGAATAAAAATAAAAAAATAAAGAAAAAATACTTTAGTTGCTTCTATTTTCAAAAAAAAAAATTTAAAAATAGAAGAGAATCAAATTATATTATTAGATTATTTTATCATACTTTATTGTTTTGAAATAAATTTATCAAAGCTTTTATGAAGTAATATTATTTATTAATTGTATTATTTAATCAAATAGTAGTAAAAAATAATGAGATGTTTTAAATAAAAACAATAAGAATCATATTGATTATTTTTTTTGAAGATAATTAAATTGCTTTCAAAAGTCTTTTAAATAAATTAACTGCTGAAATTTAAATAATTAATTGATTTTTTTGGTAGATAGAGCTGGACTACAACTTTTTAAATGTAAAACTGAATATTCTTTAGAATTTAGTGTAAACTTAAAATCCATTTGAGAAAGGAAAGTTTAAATAATTATTTGAAATATTTATTGGAGTTGAGTTGTTATTATATATTAAAGTTTATTCCTTTAAAAATTACTTTAAAAACTTATTCTTTTACAAAGAGACCATCTAGATTTTTTTAAAAAGTAATCTGTAAAATAATAATCTTAACATTGTAATTTGAAAGGTTGTTGATTTTTCTCATTGCATTTAAAATTGATTTCTTTATAGAGGAAACATATTTTTATAAACAATATTTCTAACAAACTTAAAATTACTTACAGATAGATAAAAAAATATTTAAAAGTTGATGAATTTAAAAGGTTTGATAATTATCCATTTAATACTAAATAGGATTTTCCTTTCTTTAGGCTAAAAAGATGGTGATATTTAATGTAACCAAGCATGCTAAGATTGCTCTAGTGATAAAAATTTTGAGTGCCTTGGATGTAAATACCCATTTTATTTTGATCAGAATAGCTATAGTTGCGTCTAATCTTGCCCTAGTGGAACATATGAAAACTAAAAAATGGAATGCGTTTCCTGCGCTTCTTAATTTTGCTTAAGCTGCTCATCTACTCAATGCTATTAATGCTAATCTGGATACTCTGTGAATCCAGAAGATTAAGTAACTTAATCATTTTGTTTTCTTAAAATTATTACATTTTTTTACTCTAGTAAGGATGCATTTCGAATTGTTAAGATGGATAATACTTCCTTGATGGAGAGTGCGTATATGAATGTAGCATTTAATCTAATAGCTATTCTTTAGATCCTTCTTCAAATACATGCATTTAGTTATAGATTTGCCCTTAATTATCTTATATTCCTGCATCTTAAGCAGTTGGTCTATAATAGTACTTTAGCACATCTATCAGTGAAGGTAAACATTAATAATTTATATTTTTCTTTGCTTTATTTGATTTTTTTTACCCTTCAATAATTAACTTAAATGAATATAAATGCTAATGATATATAACATAAATGAAATTGAAAATGTTAATAAATTCTTTTTCATAAATGAATAATAAAAATTTTTTAGTGAAAGATCAACAAAACAACTCTATATTTTCTTTTAAAACCAATTGATTAAAACAAAATAAATTTTAAATTAAAAGATTAAACGCCTTGCATTATACTTTCTTTTTACTAAATTAAAACATTCGATATTCTTAAACTAAATATCGAATTCATATAAAATAATTTAACTCTATTATTAAATTTATTTTTATTTATCAAAATCACTTTTAAATAAATGATTATATAAAATACTATTTATAAATCATTTTTGATATATTTTAAATTATATTTAAATATATATGTGTAGTACCTAGATTACTGCCATTTTTAAGACTACATACACTAATAATAACAAAATATATTTTACTGCAAATGGAAATTATCAAATTTATTTCGCGGAGAATTATGATTTCAATTAAGATAGATATACATAAAAATTATACTTTGAGAGATTATAAATAAATTCAATAGGTTTCGAAAAAAGTAGATATTATAATTTTTTTAATATTGATCTTATTTTTATTGCTTTGATCAAAAATAATTAAAAGAAAATTGAAATATTATAAAATTAAATAATTTAAATTATGAATATTTTATAATAGATTTTTTATCTTTTTATTTAAAAAATATTTTAATTTTTTTATCACAAAGTTAAAATTTATTATTGACATTTAAAAAATAGATAATAGCACTATGCTTTAGATTGATCAATATGGCAAAGTTATTGTCAAGTCAATTCCTTAGCTAGAACTTCAAGCTTATTATACATTTCCTCAGTTAACATAAGTAAATTATTTTATTTATATTTATTTCAATTTTTAATTTCAATAAATAATAACAGATCTCAGATTGTGTACTGCTAGTAGAATAATTAACATAAAACAAAATATTATCTTGTATAAATACTAATACTTAAGTTTTAGCTTTTTATATCTCATCTGGCATACTTTTATCATAAAATATTACATTTAATTAATAAATGGCAAATATGAAATATTTAGATGGAATGAAAATTACTTTTATGACTTAAACAAGATAAATAGTCTAATACGACTTCCAATCTTAACAATTTTTTGTTGTTGATAATTCATCAAATAGTCTAAATTAAATACTTAGTGTTTAAAATTATCAGAAAAAAAATGATTAATACATTCTTGCTATTAATTCCACAAATACAATTTTTTACTATGATTAAACATTTAATAAGAAAATACTTTTGTAGTATTCATCAAAGACCACTCTTTATATGAAAAATTTAAATACCTAAAATATGTGGGCATTCTACTAAAATAATAAAATAGATTTTTATTAAATAATATTTGGTTAGGCTCCTTTACTTGTCAAATAAATTACTTCATAAAATGTCATCTTTTAAATATTGAGATCTAATTAAGTAAAATAATTTTTTTAGAATATTAAATAACATCATTTTTTTCAAAATATAAAAATATAGAATTTGATTCTAATTGATAGTCAAAATATAGTAGCAACTTAAGTATTCTAAATTAGTTCAAATATGTAGGTCACTGAAATCACTAACACATTGCCACCTGCTTTCTTTAATTCTGATTGCTTTTGGAGATCAAATAATTTCTTCGTCTCTCAAAAACAAGATCAACTTTATATTTTCAACTTTACCTCAAATAATTTTACTCTTTCTTATACCTTATAATTATCTTAACCTTTTGTTTGCTCACAAACTACCTAATATGTCATACAAAATAATAATAAAGTTTTTTTGTTAATTAGAATAAAATTAGATGTGTAAATTTAAGAGCTCACTTAAAGCCAATTAATGTCTGTAAATTCTATTTAAACTTATTTCTCATCTGAATAGCATGCCAGTTTCTATACTTAGATATTATTAACTTACCGAATAGTTAATTTTTTGAATACTGCTACAAATAATTAAATTTTAGAGTTAAAAGCTAATGGAATTGCTAATTAATATGATTTAGAGTCAAGATAGATTGCTAAATAATTCTATATTTGGGATGATTTTTATTATCCAGATTAAATAGCCATTACAACTTTACGTCTATACAGCTGTTTAATTGTAAAAGAAGAGGAAAAAATAATAGTTACTGGAATAAGAAATGGAGTTTTAACTGTAAGAGAATTGAATTTATATACTTTTGAAATACTTTTAGAAAACTAGTTTAGTAATGTAGACATTACACCTAGTTAAATAAGTTATTTTAATTAACCATTCTACATCCAAAGTACAAAAACCTTGATAGTTTATATTAGTAGTATACAAATCCCTGCCCTTTAAACAGAATTAAGACAACTTCATATTTTTAATTATAGCTAAATAAATAAACAATACAACTACAAATTCTCAGTCAGATAAATAGTATACGATGTTTAAGTTTCACAGAAAACTGGTGATGTTATTTGTTTCTTAGCTTTGTAAGTTTACCTCACTTAAATAGTCATCTACAATGTTTACAAAAATGTAAATTTATTTTAATCTAATTAATTAGTTAACCATTTTTTTAAAAAAGTAAAATCCTGTTTACATATCTCAAACATTTTATAATGTTTGTGCAAATTAGTTAGGTTTTTTTAATTTAAACTAAGATACTATTTATTATTCTGATTTTTTTACAGGGATTATAAGTATGAACCTTCTCAACAATTATAAGAGATTTGTATTTAGTAAATATACAAGCATTATATCTTATTATATATCTCCAAATTTAAGCTATTAGATATTTAGCTTAAGTCCTTATAATACTGTTTAAATTGTCTCAACTGTAGATAATAAAATCCTATAAGTAAGTATAATTTCAATATATAAGTAGTTTTAAATCATTATATATTTTTAAATTAGGTAATAACTAGTGGTGCATACATTCCATAATACATTAGATATGACAATAAAGTATTTATTTGCAGCAATACTTACACTTTATCATACTATGATGGAGATACAAACACACTCATACTTTACCAAAACTAATATTATGGACAAAACATATAGGCCTTTTTACATAAATAAAATTAAATTATATTTATAAATACAAAGGTCTATCTCACAATTAGTTTAGATAATCCAAATCTTTAATTATAGAAGGTAAGTTAAGTTAATTCATTAATTATTATTTAAAATTTATTTTTTTCAAATAAAAAATGTTTAATTAATAGGTTGCATAAAATGCTATCTTGTAGCCATCTCAATTTGATGATATTTAAATTCCTTTAAGTTTTAATAAAAATTAGGTAGAGTAAATGGTTGATGTAAAATCAATATTTTGCTATGAATATTAAAGTGATGATTATTTAAATACATCATTTTTCTTACATGTTGTTAATTTTTATGAGTTAGATATACAGCTAAATGTTTATCCAAATAGAATAAATGTGATTAAATACCAAAAGATTATAGCATATATTAATATCGATTTAATTCAACCACAAGATCTAGTTTTTGATAATTACAGATACTATCTATTGTATGATAAAAAAGGATTTTATTTTCCCAATTAAAAATATATGGTAATCGTTGTTGGATATCATATTGCTTTTATTAGCTCATCTAACTTTGAAATTGTAAAATTTATTTAAAATATAATTTTTTTCTATATTTAATTGGCATAAAATAATAATTTAAAAGCTATTTCATTATGTGTCTTAATCAGTATTTATGAATCTTGCTATTGATATAGAATTAGGTTACATAGCTTTTATAGAAAACTACTAAGATTGCATAATCGACTTAAACGTAAATAAATGAATAAATTTAAGAATAACAATTATTAATAAAACATATTTTCTTAATTTATATTTTAGGCTATTTCTAAAAATTGCATAACTAATAATTATGCATTAAACGATGATTATTTTCATGGAACTATTATTTAAAGAAAAAAATAGTTGATAATCTTTTATAGTTAATATAATTTAAGAGTTTACTCTTTAAAAGAATAAATTTATAAGTTTTTAAAATATTCAGTAGACTTTTTACCTTATTCTATATAGTATAATGATTCTGGTAGCATTATTATTATTGGAGAGAATTAAAGTTAAAGTTTTAAGATACTTAATTTAGATACATTTTTATTGTTGGATACATCTTTCCCGTCATTTACTACTTAAACTTTTGAGAATCTGTATTAGGTATGATAAAATAAATAAATTTCAGTTACATCTGCAAATTATATATTATTTTTTAAATAAAAGTTTTATTTTTTCTCTGATCAAGTATAAGTGATGCTATTTTCTTCTTACAGTAATTATATAGTAATCTATAACATAAATACTCAGGAGAGTCTTTAAAAAATCTAATTGTAGTACTAATTTAATTATCAAAGTCAAGTAGTTGTTGATGAAAATCTTGATTTGATTATATTCATTGATAACTAAAACTAAATTGAAATTATTTCTTATGATACCAATTAAGTTGTTAAAATATTTTAAGTAATATAATTTAACATTATTTTTTTTAATTTTATTAAAATATATTTCATTTTTTACTTAAACTTTTTTTTTTAATTTTTTTGTTTATGAAATATTAAAATAGTTAGATAAGTAATAAAACGACCCAAATGCATACTAAAAAATATTGATTTGGGATAATAACAAGAGAAAACTCTTTGCAAGCTCAAATAACATATTTTATATATTTGATTATGATACTAACATTTTTATTTGCAAGTACCAATTTTAGCTTACAATCTTTGATATTTATATCAGCTTCAATAAAAATTAAATATTTGTTACAGACTATTTGAATTTAAAAGTTTTTGATTACTCTATCCTTGAGTTTAATTAAAATTCATTGTTGCCATAAAATTCAATTCCAAATATATTAAAGATTAATGAAAGCCAATATATTTTGTTTGACAATAGTCAATCTACTCTTAAAAATATAGTTAATGGTGAAGTAAAAGATGTTAAATACTTTAATTAACTAAATCCTTCATACTTTTACTTCAATTATTACAATAAAAATAATTCCTAAATTTATGTAATAACATTTAATTAACTCTCAATCTATAATGTAACTTCAGATAGGATAAATCCAATATTTTCTTAATTGCTTGATTCTTAAATAATAACTTTTATCAGTGATTCTGATTTTCAAGTTCTTTTTCTAACGCAAAAACAATCTTTATACTCTCTTTAGAAAAATCAAACTACCCCATAGCTCTTGATCCTTATCTATATCTCAACAGGAATAGGCCAATTTTTTATGATTGATGATTCATTTTTAATATACTGCTCAACCAAAAACACAAGCTAATGGAATAAAATAACGTTTTAAAACTCCTAGTCTCTTTCTTCTTAAATAAAACTTGACTAATTTTAATTTAATATAGAATAAAATGATATTGTTAAAAAAATTGTTAGGATAGACAATACTTAGAATATCATAATATTAACGAATAAATGTATACAAATAATTGATATTTTGACAGGAAATATTTTAGAAATATCTCAATTAGATTTCTAAAACCAACATTCTTAAATCTAATTTGATCCTATTTATTAAAGGATTTACTACGTAGATAGAATTATAGGATTAAAAGTATATGGCCTAAACATGCAAGTTTTTAAGTAGAATTTACCATCTTCAGGTATAAAATTAAAAATTGAGGGTGCTTTCATATTTATGCTTTCATTTAACTCTGTAAGTATATATTTAAGATAAGACCTCAAATTATTCTAAATAATTAGAAATTTTAACAGCACTTAATCATTAATAGATATTGAGTACACTGGATTTAATAATATATTCGTTTTATATTTTGACAATTCAATTAGTTTTTTTAATGCTAACCCTTTCACTTAACCTAAGTTAATTGATTTCTTATAAGTAAACAATTATAAGGTTTTATTATCTTAAATACAGTCCCAGAATTCTTAGTATTTAATAGTTGATATGATGATTATAACTATATAAAATGCTATCAAATACACTGCTTAGTTAAATGTTGGCTCAATTTTAAATAGTATTTGTTCTGCCTAGTTATAAATACGAACAGACTAAAATGATTTAATAACCAAAAATCAATAGAGTGATTATTTGAATTTATTGTCACTTAAATAACTCTTAATTTAGAACATTGTCTATAGTATGTACATAGATAATGACGAATAAATTGATCTAAAGTATCCTTTTGTTAGTTCTGGATCTGTTACTAACTAATACTCACTAAATATTTAAGCTATAAATAATAATAGTATTTATCTAAAAACTCAAAGTAGCACAGATTAAAATATTGTGGAGCTGTAACTATAAAACTTAACAATTTCATTTAAAAACTTAAATAATACTCAGTTCTTGTTTGGAAATCAAACCTTTAAAAAATTAGAAAGATTATTTTTAAATGACATAGAATTATAAGATTTTGGTAATAACCAACTAACATTTGAAGGTATTAATCATCTTTTTATATAAAATTTAGTGATTAATGGTGAATAAATTCAACAGGTAAACAAATAGATTATGCTTTTCTAAAATATTGATATAATTGTAATACAGAACATGACTTTTATCAATTGTTAATTTAATAATATAATAAATCTACTTAAATTTGTTAATATAAACAAACTAAACATAAATAATTTCAACATCAAACTTAACAGTTTAAATTCAAACTTTAAACAAAGCTCTATGATAAATATCTCATATGTTAACTTACTTACAATAAATAATACTAATCTTTTAAAGAATACATTTTAAAACATTTAAATATTCACAATAACTAATGTTACTTCAATTAGTATTAGCAACATGGTATCATCTTAAAATTAAATAATAATCAATTAAAACCTAGATTTAAAAGGAATTATTTTCTACTTTGAAGCAACCCCATAGGTAGATTTTCAAAAAATTAAATTTAATACTCTTAACTTTACATCTCTCTCATCCATTTCTTTATTAAAATTCTCTAATGTAAATCAAACTTTGCTATTTAATGATTTTTATTTTGCGAACTTTACATTAGAAAACAATTATAATAGCTCGATTAGTAGTTAATAACTTTTTATTTTAGAATGCGAGGGAATACTTAATTCTAATTTCTCAAATATCCAGATATTAAATTCAGATATGATAGGATTTATTAACTTACATGACTTAAAAAATAAAAACGGAATTATTATTTAAAATTAAATATCAACCTACTACAACTATTAGCACACTTTTTCAAAAACAAATCAATTAATGATACTTAATGCTGAATAATTAACAATATCAAATTCTATTTTTTCATCTATTTCTAGCATTAATTCAGATTCTGGCTTTATTTAAATTTAAGTTAGCTAAAACTTTCTTTTAGATACAACTTAAATTTAAAGCGTTGATCTTAAGTAAAATAGCTTTATTTATATATCCTAAAGTCCTTAAGCAGTTATCCAAAATGTTGATTCAAAAAATATAGAAACAAACAGCATAGCAAGCGTTTTTTATTTATCATAAATTTCTAGTTTGATAATGAAAAATAACACTTTTATCTCAAATATATCTAACCTTGATGGAGGAGCTATATATTTAAACTTAATAGAAGAAATAATCATTTTAGATAACACTTTTTAGTAAAACGAATCAAAGACAGGTAATGGGGGAGCTATTTACTGCTTCAGTAGCATATTTTCTTAGTTTGAGGGCAATACTTTCTTTAAAAATTCTTGTCCATAAGGTTCAGGTGGAGCATTGTTGTTGAACAATTGCGATATTAAAAGCATGATATAAAATACTTTCTAATAAAATTCTGCTCTAATAGGAGGTGCTTTTAGATATTAAGGCATATAACCTTATGTTTTATAAAAAAAAAATGTGAGCCGAAGGTTACTTACCTTAAATTTAAATTCTTTTATCAAAAATTCTGCATAATTATTTGGAAAAAATATAGGTTCTTATCCTATTTATTTGGATGTTAAAAATTAAATGAAAGATGACTAAAAGATTTAAAGTTTTTAATTAGAAAATTTATAAAGTGGTAGCACATCTTCACCAATATTAATGAGATTAATTGATGAAGAAATGAGAGAAATAAGTTTTTTTAAAAATACAAAGTAGATAAATTAAGAGATTCTGATTGAATTTGGTAACTATTTACTTGAAGTGTAGAGTAAAGAAGTTGGGCTTGATGGTAATCTCAGATAGAATTATAATTTTGATTAATTTGGTTTCCTATTTAATGTGTCCTATTCTTATTAGCCTAATGCTAACTCATCTATTTTAATTAAAACAGTTAGCCCGATTTTTATTTTAAATACCACAACTTTTAAATTTGACTATGAAGAGCTAAGTATTTCTATTGATGTTAACTTCAGGAAGTGTTAGTAAGGAGAAATTTTACAAGCTTTGTAGAAATATTAAATATGTTATACTTGCTAATAAGGTAAATCATTATTTAATAAAATTTTCAATTTTTATTTTTTAATAATAATCTGGGGTGGAAGGGAGGGTGGGGGTTGTTATTAGGGTTTCAGGTAGAGCCCGAGAAGCTAAAATGAAAGAAATAAATTGTATTTTAAAATAATAATAAACTTGAATAAGTACCCTTACTACTCCTCCATATTTATTCTTATTCACATATTAAAAAATATTTTAAAAATTAAATAATAAAAAATATTTTAATCATACTATTAATTTATCATTAAAAATTCTTTTTTTCTTATTATTTTTCTTTTGATAAAATAATTTTTTTTCATTTTAACTTTTTTGTAAAAAAAAATCTCAATTTCTATCAAATATATATTCACTATTGTATTTTAAATAACTAAAATGACCAATTTTTATTAAAAAGGAAATTATTGCCTACAAGATCCAAATTAATTTGAAAATTTATAGTGTCTCAAATGTCCTATTGGTTCTAAAAATTGCCATTCAAATATCATTCAGTTATAAAATGGATACTGGAGTTAGGACTAAAACTCTGACTAAATATATGAATGTATTAATCCAGAAAATTGTATCCCTGAAGATCCTTCAAATAAGTTTGGATGCTCTCTGGGACATGTAGGAGCTATTTGTGAAACTTGTGATTCTTAAGGAGTTGTTTGGGGCTCAAAATTTGGAAGAAGTAATGGTGGAATTTAGTGCTAAGAATGCATTAAGCAAAATACAATAAACTCTATCCTATTTCTATTTCTATTTTTGATTATATTTTGCGCTTATTTAATATTTTAAATTTAAAGATAGCTGACATTAATATAAAAAAATATGAGCTGGTTTTATTTAAGAAAACTTAAATTAATTATACTATAAAATCAAAATATTAGCAGTGTTTCTTCTTACATCAAAATTCTTATCAACTATTTATAATTTATAGCATTAATAAATAACTTAGGTATTTAGACTTAATAGTTTCTCTCTGTTGTTGAGATTGGAGGTGGAGATCCTGTATAGCATACAGTTTATAATTTAGATTGTATATTTAGTAATTATGATTTCTAAATTCCATTGTATGCATTAAGAGTATTATTTATCAATTTCTAAATAATTGTTATATATTTACTGATCCAACTAGTAAAAAGCCTTACAAACATCTTTAAGATAGATGACCGTTCATTTTAGATTTCTTCTTTCACACTAGTATACTTATTCTTTAGTTCTTCAATAATTAAAGTATTGATATAGTCTTCATCTTGTAGAGAAATAGCAGGCAATCTATATATTATTTCTGAAATGCAGTATATGTGTTATACAGAAAAACACAATTAAATCTTACTATATTTAATAGTACCATTACTTTCAATATGGTTCATTATAATCCCAACATCATTTTCTATTTATTTGCACAGTAAAAGATAAAAATTACAAAGCTTGCTTTATTTGTATAAATATGGTCTTTTGTACTAAGTAAATAGTTTTTTTTAGTAAAATTAAACTTTTTTTAATAAAATTTATTAATCAATCAATAGGAATATAAAGAAAAGTCTTATTATTGGGATTTAGCTAGAAATCAAATAAGAGCATCTCTAGTTATATTTCTAAATTTAATTAGAACTTCACCATAACTAAAAGCTATGTTTTTATAATTTTTTATGTATATTTACCTTATAATTTAGATCAAAGTAAGTCCTTATTAAAGATAGTAGTTAAATAATATTGATTAATTATCTTGCAAATTAGTAATAATGAGTATATTCCTAATTTAAATGATATTAATTACAGATAATACCTAATTTAAACTGCTATTGTAAAGCATTTTAATAACCTTCAATATAAGTTTCATAGGGATCTTGCTCTTAATAATAGTATAAAGACCTGTTCCTTACAGTATACATGACCTAAATATGCTTTAAAGATTCTAAGTTTTTTTATCCAAATTAATTCCTAATTCTATTTACAAGATTGCTTATTAAAAATAGATAAATTTGTTAAGAATAAACTCTTTATGGAAAATAGTCTAAAGGAATTTAAGAGAGGTGATTGCAAAAGAAGTAAATTTTAAGAACTAAAAATGGTCTTAGTAATACAAGCTGCAATAGAAAGATAGTTAATTCAAAATTAGAAATTCATCAATGAACAAACAGCTAAAATATAATTTTTATAAATAAGCGCTAGAAAATAGTAATAAAGAGAAAGACCAACATTGAATAGAAAATTATTTCTAATATTAATAAATTTAAAATTAACAGATATGTTAATAACAATAATAACTTTATTAAAAAAAATTGTTTACTTAACCTGTTTTTATTTTTATTAACAAGTTTTTCTAAGATTTTATTTTTGAATTTACAAAATTTAATTTGAAATAATTAAAATCATATTTATTTATTTCTACTTCTTTTTATCAGAATTATTTAAAATAAATCAATTTTATTTATTTTTTAAATTTACTGTGGTTTCTCATTGTTTAACACTAAAAAAAAACTTTTTCCTCAATATTGGGTGTTCATTAATAATTAAATAATTTTATTATTTTTAGTTTTGGTATCTGCGAAAAATATAATTTTTGTGTTAAACAAATTATTTGAAGATTATAAATGTTTTTTATCTGTGCTTAAATGAAATTAATAATTCAAAAAAAATGATATTCTATTAATTTTAAATATTTTTATTGCGTATCCCGAATAATAACTATCAAAATGAAAATCCAGATTAATTTCTTACTCCTTATATTTTATAGTTAAATATTTTAGAAAAAAAAGGATATACGAGTTGAAAAATTAATTTTTTACTATATATTTTATTTTTAAATTATTAAATTACATACATGTAATATGAATTAAAATAAAAAGTATTTTAAGAACAATTATTTGATTAAAAAAATTAGGTTTATTTTCTTCAATCAGATATAAAATCTTTATTTTAATTTTTACTTTATTAAAAAATGTATATTATCACTATGTTTATATTTGCTACTTAAATAATAATACTTCAAGAATAAAAAAACAAATTAAGAAAATATACTTTAGTTGCTTCAATTAAAAAAAAGTTTAAAAACAGAAGATAATCAAATTATACTATTTGATTATCATTTTTATTGTCATTTTTTATTGTTTTTAAATAAATTGATATCAAAAAGCTTTTATGAAGTAAATATTATTACTTTTATTATTTAATAAAATAATACTAAAAAATAATGAAATAAATTGAATAAAAACAAAAAGTATCCTTTAGATTATTCGCTTTGAAGAAAATTATTTTGCTTTTAAAAATCTTAGATTAATTAATTTTTTATGGGCAGATATAGCTCAACTACAAATTTTTAAATGTAAAAAAGAATTTTCTAAAGAATTTGGTTTAAACTTTAAGTCCATTTTAAAAAGGAGAGTTAAAATGATTATTTAAAATATTTATTGGAGTTAAGTTGATATGATATAATGTGTTTTACTTTTCAAATATTTTTAAAAACTAATTCTTTAACATATTAATTATAGCATTGTTATTTTTTAAATTAGCAATCAGTAAAATAATAATCTTAATATTATAATTACAAAAGCTGCTAATTTTTCTCATTGTATCAAAATTGATTTATTTATTTAATGAAATGTTTTGAATAATAACAAAAAATAAACCTTTAGATTATTTGTTTTGAAGATAATTAAATTGCTTATATATTGTTGAATTTTAATTATTAATTCATTTTTTGGCCAGATAGAACCGATATACAAATTTATAAATGTAAAAAAGAATTGTCTAAAGAATTATATTAAACTTAAAGTCCATTTAAAAAACAAGAGTTAGAATGATTATTTGAAATATTTATTGGAGTTAAGTTAGTATGATATTTTAAAATGTCTACTCCTTTTCAATATTTTTAAATGCGAATTATTTAACATATAGATTATAACATCTTGAATTTTTAAATAATTAATCAGTAAAATAATAATCTTAATATTATAATTACAAAAGCTGTTGATTTTTCTCATAGTAATTCAAATTCATTTCTTATTTAGTTATTTAGGAAGCAATTTTTTATAAACAAAAGAGATAAAAAACTCAAAATTGTAAACAAAACATAAAAGTATAATTAAAAGTTGATGAAGTTGAAAGGTTTGATAATTACCCATTTAATACTAAATAGAATTTTCTTTTCTTTAGGCCAAAAAGATGGTGTTAGTTAATGTAACTAAATATGCTAAGATTGCTCTAGTGATAAAAATTTTGAGTGTCTTGGATGTAAATACCCATTTTATTTTGATCAGGATAGCTATAATTGCGTCTAATCTTGCCCTAGTGGAACATATGAAAACTAAAAAATGGAATGTGTTTCTTGCGCTTCTAAATTTTGCTTAAGCTGCTCACCTACTGAATGCTATTAATGTTAATCCGGATACTCTGTGAACCCACAAGATAAAGTAACTAAATCATTTCATTTTCTTAAAATCATTATATTTTTTAGTTAGGATGCATTTCGAATTGTTAAGATGGACAATATTTGCTTGATGGAGAGTGCGTTTATGAATGTAGCATTTAATCAAATAGTTATTCCTTAGATCCATCTTCTAATACATGCATTTAGCTATAAATTTGCCCTTAGTTATCTTATATTCCTGCATCTTAAGCGGTTGGCTAAATTTAGTTCATTAGCACATCCATCAGTGAAGGTAAACCTTAAAATTTAGACAAATAATTTATGTTTTTCGTTATTTTTTACCCTTCAATAATTAACTTGAATGAATGTAAACCTTAATAAGAAATTATGTAAAATAAATTGAAAATGCTAATAATCCTTCATAAATGAAGGGGGGAAATTTTTAGCAAAAGATAAACAAAAAATCTCTATTTTTTCTTTTGAAATCAGTTGTTTAAAACAAAATAAATTTAAATGATAAAGATTAAATTTTTTGCATTATATTTTCATTTTTCTAAATTTATAGCATCGATATTCATAATTTAAATATCGAATTCATTTTAAATAAATTTAACTCTATTAATTAAATTTATTTTAATTTTATCAATATAACTTATAACAAATGATAAAATGAAATCTATTTATAATATTAAAAAATCATTTTTTTATTTATTTTTAATTATGGTAAATTTTTAAGTTTCTTTTAAAAAAATGTTACCAAGAAGAAGCCACCTCATTATTTAAAAATATTCAATCTTCATAAAAAAAACTTTTAAAATAATTTTATATATTTTCTAAATTCCTCTTTTGAATTAAGATAATCATGCTCCTTTTGTATTTTAATGAGTGCCTTTTGACATTTTTTTAAAATATTCTATATATTAAATTAATTCAAAGTCTTGATCCCTGAAATAGTTATGAATTTACAATTCTAATTTAAAAATTATTATTTTAGGGTATTTTAAACTAAAATTTGTTTTTTCAATATTTTACTGCCTATGCGCATTATAAAATTTAGAAAGAATTTTTATTTCAATTAAGTTCTACTAAGAATTATACTTTCAGCAATTATAAATAAATTCAATAAGTTTCTAAAAATAGATATTATAATTTTTTAAAATGGTGATATTTATCTTTATTTCCTTGAGTAAAAATAACAAAAGCGAATTAAAACATCATAAGATTAATTAATTTTAATTATAAATATTTTATAATAGATTAAAAGATCTGTATTTTATAGAATATTTTAATTTTTTTAACATAAAGTTAAAATTTTTGACATTTTTTTTAATTTTTAAAAAAAGATAATAGCAATATGCTTTAGATTGATGAATATGGCAAAGTTATTGTCAAGTCAATTCCTTAGCTAGAACCTTAAGCTTACTATACATTTCCATAGTTAGCATCTGTAAAAAATTTTATTTCTCTTTACTTCCATTTTAAGTTCAATAATTAATAACAGATCGCAAATTGTGTGCAGATTGTAGAATAATCAACACAAAGCAAAATACTATCTTGTATGAATACTAATACCTAAGTTTTCGCTTTTTATATCTCATCTGGTCTACTTTTATCATAAAATATTACATTTAATTAATAAATAGCAAATTTGTATTATTTAGATGGAATGAAAATGACATTTTTGACTTAAACAAGATAAATAGTCTAGTACAATTTCCAATCATAGCAATTTTTTATTGTTGATAAATCATCAAATGATCTAAATTAAATACTTAGCGTTTAAAATTATCAGCAAAAAAATGATCAATATATTCTTGCTATCAACTCCACAAATACAATTTATTATTATGATTAATCGTTTAACAAATATATACTTTTATAATATTCATCCAAGAGCACTCTTGTAATGAAAAATTTAAATACACAAAATATGTGGGCGTTCTACTAAAATAATAAAATAGATTTTTATACAATCATATTTGGCTAATCTCCTTCACTAATCAAATCTATTACTTCATAGACCGTCCTTTATTCAATATTGAGATCTAATTAAGTAAAAATATTGATTTTCAAATAATAAATAAAACATTTTTTTCTAAATAGACTTTGATTCTAATTGGTGGTAAAAATTAAACAGCAACTTAGGTATTCTAAATTAGCTCAAATAAGTAAGTCACTGAAATCACGAACACATTATCACCTACTCTCTTTAATTCTGACTGCTTTTGGAAAACAAAAGATTTCTATTTCTCTCAAAAGCAAGATATACTTTATATATTCAACTTTACTTCAAATAATTTTACTCTTTCATATACTTTAAAATTATCTTAACCTTTAGTATGCTCACTAACTTACTTAGATGTTTTGCAAAATAATGATAAATTTTATTTGTTAACTGTAATAATGTAAGATACGTAAATTTAAGAACTCACTTAAAGCCAATAAATCTCTGTAATTTCTAATTAAATGTACTTTTCATCTGAATAGCATGCCTATTACTATACTTAAAGATTATTAACTTCCAGAATAGTTAATTTTATGAATACTGCTACAAATAATTAAATTTTAGAGTTAAAAGGTAATGGAATCGCTAACTAGTATGATTTAGAGTCAAGATAGATAGCTAAATAATTCTATTTTTGGGATGATTTTTATTATCCAGATTAAATCACTATTACAAGTTTTCGTTTATACAACTATATAGTTGTAAAAGAAGAAGAAAAAATAATACTTACTGGAATAAGAAATGGTGTTTTAACTGTAAGAGAATTGAATTTATATACTTTTGAAATACTATTAGAAAACTAGTTTAGTAATGTAAACATTTCACCTAGTCAAATAAATTTTTTTAATTAACCATTCTACATCCAGAAGACAAAAACCTTGATAGTTTATATTATTAGTTAAGAAATCAGTTAACTTTATTCAGAATTAAGACAACTTCATATTTTTAGTTACAGCTAAATAAATAATCAATACAACTACAAATTCTCAGTCAAGTAAATAGTAAATGACGTTTAAGTTTCATAGACAACTGGCGATGTTATTTGTTTCTTAGTTTTGTAAGTTTACGTAAGTTAAATAGTGATCTACAATGTTTACAAAGATGTAAATTTATTTTAATCTAATTAATAAGATAATCATTTTTTTTTAAAGTAAAATCCAGTTTACGTATCTCAAGCATTTTATAACGTTTGTGCAAATTAGTTAGGTTTTTTTAACTTAAACTAAGATACTATTTATTACTCTGATTTTTTTGGAGGGATAATGAGCATGAACCTTCTAAAAAATTATTAGAAAAGTATATTTAGTTAAAATATACTCATTTTATCATATTATATATCTCCAAATTTAAGCTATTAGATCTTTAGCTTAAGTCCTTATAATACTGTTTAAATTGTCTCAACTGTAGATAATAAAATCCTATAAGTAAGTATATTTTCAATATATAAGAAGTTTTAAATCACTTTATATTTTTTTTAAATTAGGTAATAACTACTGGTGCATACATTCCATAATACATTAGATATGATAACAAAGTATTTATTTGCAGCAATACTTACACTTTATCATACTATGATGGAGATACTAACAAGCTCATAATATACTAGAACTAATATTATGGACAAAACATTTAAGCCTTTTTACATTAATAAAATTAGATAATATTTACAAATACATAGGTCTATCTCACAATTAGTTTAGATGATCCAAATCTTTAATTATAGAAAGTAAGTTATAAATAAATATTTAAAATTTATTTTTTTTTCAAATAAAACTTTTTTAATTAAAAGGTAGCAGAAAATGCTCTATATTATTCATATCAATTTAACGATATTTAAATTCCATTAACTCTTAATAATGGCTAGGTAGAGTAAATGGTTGATGTAAAATCAATCTTTTGTTATTAATATTAAAATGATGATTATTAAATTACATAATATTTTGAACAAGTTGTTAATTTTTATGAGTTAGATATATAGCTAAATATATATATAAATATGATAGCAGTTATAAAATACCAAAAGATTATAGCATACATTGTTATTGATTTCTTACAACCTAAATAATTAGTAGTTTAAAATTACAGATACTATCTATTGTATGATAAAAAAGGATTTTATTTTCCCAATTAAAAATATATGGTAATCGTTGTTGGATATCATATTGCTTTTATTAGCTCATCTAACTTTGAAATTGTAAAATTTATTTAACATTTTATTTCTTTCTTTATTTGACATAAAAATAATAAAAGTTATTTCATTACGTGTCTAATTCATCATATTTGAACGTTGCTTATGATATAGAATTAGGATACATGGCTTTTATAGAAAACTTGTAAGATTGCATAATCGACTTAAATGTAAATAAATGAATAAATATAAAATAACAATTTTAAAATATATTTTCTTAAATTATATTTTAGGCTATTTCTAAAAATTGCATAGCAAATAATTATCCATTTGATGAGGATAATTTTCACGGAACTATTATTTAAAAACAAAAATAGTTGATAATCTTTTATAGTTAATATAGTTTAAGAGTGTACTCTTTAAAAGAATAAATTTATAAGTTTGTAAAATATTCAACAGACTTTATACCTTATTCTATATATTATAATGATTTTGGTAGCATTATAATTATTGGAGATTAACCAAGCTAAAGTTTTAAGATACTTAATTTAGATACTCTTTAATTGTTGGATACATCTTTCCCGTCATTTACAACTTCAACTTTTGAAAATCTGTATTAGGTATGACAATAAATAAATTTCAGTTATACATACAATCTTTATATTATTTTTAAATAAAAAGTTTTATTTTTTCTCTGATCAAATATAAGTGATGCTATTTTCTTCTTACAGTAATTCTATAGTAATCTATAATATAAATACTCAAGTGAGCTTGAAAACAATCTAATTATAATACTAATTTAATTATCAGAGTCAAGTAGTTGTTGATGAAAATCTTGATTTGATTATATTGATTGATAATTAAAACTAAATTGAAATTATTTCTTATGATACCAATTAAGTTGTTAAAATATTTTAAGTAATATTTTTTATCTTAATTTATTTAAAAATTAATAATAGTATATATTTTTTCTTTAATTATCTAGTAAACTTTATTTTTAAATTTTTTTCTTAATAAAATGCAGTTAGATAAGTAGTAAAATGATTCAAATGCTTACTAAAAAATAATTATCTGGGATCATTACAAGAGAAAACTTTTTGTAAGCTCAAATAACATATTTTATATCTTTGATTATGATACTAAAATTTTTATTTGCAAGTACCAATTTTAGCTTACAATCTTTGATATTTATATCAGCTTCAATAAAAACTAAATATTTGTTACTGACTATTTGAATTTAAAAGTTTTTGATTACTCTATCCTAGAGTTTAATTAAAATTCATTGTTGCCATTAAATTCATCTCCAAATATATTAAAGATTAATGAAAGCCAATATATTTTGTTTGACAATAGTCAATCTACACTTAAAAATATAGTTAATGGTGAAGTAAAAGATGTTAAATACTTTAATCAACTAAATCCTTCATACTTTTATTTCAATTATTACAATAAAAGTAACTCATAAATTTATGTAATAATATTTAATTAGCTCTTAATTTATAATGTAACTTCAACTAGGATAATTCCAATATTTTATTAATTACTAGATTCTTAAATAATAACTTTTATCAGTGATTCTGATTTACAAGTTATTTTTCTAACTCAAAAACAGTCTTTATATTAACTTTAAAAAAATCAAACTAACCCATAGCTCTTAATCCTAACCTATATCTCAACAGGAGTAGGCCAATTTTTTATGATTGATGATTTATTTTTAATATACTGCTCAACCAAAAACACAAGCTAATGGAACAAGATTACATTTTAAAACTCCTAGCCTCATTCTCCTCTAATAAAACTTGATTACTTTTAATTTAAAATTGAATAAAACGATATTGTTAAAAAAATTATTAGAATAGACAATACTTAGAATATCATAATATTAACTAATAAATGTATACAAATAATAGATATTTAGACAGGAAATGTTTTATAAATCTCTCAATTAGATTTCTAAAACCAATAATCTTAAATCTACTTTGATCCTCTATATTAAAGGATTTACTATACTGATAGAACTGTAGGAATAAAAGTATATGATCTTTAAATGCAAACTATTAAATAGAATTTACCATCTTCAGGAATAAAATTAAAAATGGAAGGCCCTTTCATATTTATGCTTTCATTTAATTCTGTAAGTATATATATAAGATAAGACCTCAAATTATTCTAAATAATTAGGCATTTTAACAGCACTCAATCGCTAATAGATATTGAATACACTGGATTTAATAATATATTCGTTTTATATTTTGACAATTCAATTAGTTTCTTTAATGCTAACCCTTTCTCATAGCCTAAGTTAATTGATTTCTTATAAATAAACAATTATAAGGTTTTATCCTTATAAGTATAATCCCAGAATTCTTAGTATTTAATAGTTGATATGATGATTCTAACTATTGAAAATACTATCAAATACACTACCTAGATAAATATTGGCTCTTTTTCAAATAATATTTGCTCTGCCTAGTTATAAATACTAACTGGCTAAAATGATTTAATAACCAAAAACCAATAAAGCGATTATTTGAATTTATTATCACTGAAATAGCTCTTAATTTAGAACATTATTTATAGCTTGTACATAAATAATGACGAATAAACTGATCTAAAGTATCCTTTTGTTAGCTCTAGCTCTGTGACTAATTATTACTCATTGAATATTTAAGCTATAAACAATAATAGTATTTATTTATAAATTCAAAATATTACAGATTAAAATATAGTAGAGCTGCAACTATAAAACTTAAAAATTTCATTTAAAAACTTAAATAACACTTAGTTCTTGTTTGGAAATCAAACATTTAAAAAATTAGAAAGATTATTTTTAAATGACATAGAATTATCAGATTTTGATAATAACCAACTAGTATTTGAAGGTATTAATCATCTTTTTATCTAAAATTTAGTGATTAATGGAGAATAAATTTAACAGGTAAACAAATAGATTATGCTTTTCTAAGATATTAATATAATTGTAATACAGAACATTAATCTTATCAATTGTTAATTTAATAATATCATTAATCTAATTAAATTTGTTAATATAAACAAATTAACTATTAATAATTTCAACATCAAACTTAATAGTTTAAATTCAAACTTTAAGCAAAGCTCTATGATAGATATCTCATATGTTAACTTACTTACAATAAATAATACTAATCTTTTGCAGAATATTTTTTAAAACATTTAAATATTCACAATAACTAATGTTACTTCAGTTAGTATTAGCAACATGATAGCATCTTAAAATTAAATAATAATTAATTAAAATGTAGATTTACAAGGAATTATTTTCTACTTTGAAGCAACTCCATAAATTGATTTGAAAAAAATCCAATTTAATATTCTAAACTTTACCCCACTCTCATCCATTTCTTTACTAAAATTTTCTAATGTAAACCAAACATTATAGTTTACTGATTTTTACTTCTCAAACTTTAAATTAGAAAATCATTAAAATAGTTCAATCAGTGGCTAATAATATTTCATTTTAGAATGTGAAGGAATTCTTAATTCAAATTTTTCAAATATTCAGATAATAAATTCAGATATGTTGGGATTTATTAATTTGCATGAGTTAGAAAATAAAAACGGAATTATTATTTAAAATTAAATATCAACATTCTACAATTATTAGCACTATCTTTCAAAAATAAATCAATTAATGCTACTTAATGCTTAGTAATTAACAATATCAAATTCTAATTTTTCATCTATTTCTAGCATTAATTCAGATGCTGGCTTTATTTAAATTTAAGTTAGCTAAAATTTTCTTTTAGATACAATTTAAATTTAAAAAGTAGATCTTAAGTAAAATAGCTTTATTTACATATTCTAAAGCCCTTAAGTAGTTATACAAAACATTAATTCAAAAAATATAGAAACAAATAGTATAGCAAGTGTTCTTTATTTGTCATAAATTTCTAGGTTGATAATGAAAAATAGCACTTTTATCTCAAATATATCTTATCTTGATGGAGGAGCTATATATTTAAACTAAATAACTGAAATAATATTTTTAGATAACACTTTTTAGTAAAACGAATCAAAGACAGGAAATGGGGGAGCTATTTACTGCTATAGTAGCATATTCTCTTAGTTTGATGGCAATACTTTATTTTAAAATTCTTGCCCATAAGGCTCAGGTGGAGCATTATTGCTGAACAATTGTGATATTTAAGACATGATGCAAAATACTTTCTAATAAAATTCTGCTCTAATAGGAGGTGCTTTTAGATATTAAGGCATATAACCTTATGTTTTATAAAAAACAAATGTGAGCAGAAGAATACTTACCTTAAATCTAAACTCTTTTATTAAAAACTCTGCATAATTATATGGAAAAAATATAGGTTCTTATCCAATTTATTTAGATGTTAAAAATTAAATATAAGATGACTTAAATATTCAAAGTGCTAAATTAGAAAATTTATAAAGTGGCAGCACATCTTCACCAATATTAATGAGATTAATTGATGAAGAAAAGAGAGAAGTAAGTTTTTTTAAAAATACAGAGTTGGTAAATTAAGAAATCTTGATTGAATTTGGTAGCTATTTACTTGAATTGTAGAGTTAGGAAGTTGGGCTTGATGGTAATCTCAGATAAAATTATAATTTTGATTAATTTGGTTTCCTTTTTAATGTGTCCTATTCTTATTAGCCAAATGCTAACTCCTCAATTATAGTTAAAACCGTTAGCCCTATCTTTATATTAAATACTACAACTTTTAAATTTGACTTTCAAGAGCTAAGTATCTCTATTGATGTTAACTTTAGGAAATGTTAGTAAGGGGAAATTTTACAAACATTGTAGAAATATAAAATATGCTATACTTGCTAATAAGGTAAATTATTATTTAATAGAATTTTCAATATTTAATTTCTTACTAATAATTCTGATGGAAGGGAGGGTAGTGAGGTGGTTATTAAGGTTTCAGTTGAATAATTTTAGAATTTTTCATGTAATTTAAAAAAATAATAAACTCTAATAAGTACCCTTACTCCCCTCCCCCTTCCCAATAATTCTTATTCAAAAATTAAAAAATATTTTAAAAATTAAATAATAAAAATTTTTTTAATCAAAAAATTAAGTGATCATTAATTGTTCTATTTTCTTATTATTTATCTTTAAAAATTTTTTTTATTCAATTTAACTCTTTAGTAAAAAATTGTTTATTTTTATCAATTATTCATAATTATATTTTAAATATCTAATCATACCAATTTTTTTAAAAAGGTAATTATTGCTTACAAGATCCAAATTAATTTGAAAGTTTGTAGTGTCTCAAATGTCCTATTGGTTCTAAAAATTGCCACTCAAATATCATTCAGTTATAAAATGGATACTGGAGTTAGGACTAAAACTCAGACTAAATATATGAATGTATTAATCCAGAAAATTGTATCCCTGAAGATCCTTCAAATAAGTTTGGATGCTCACTGGGACATGTAGGAGCTATTTGCGAATCTTGTGATTCATAAGGAGTTGTTTGGGGTTCAAAATATGGAAGAAGTAATGGTGGAGTTTAGTGCTAAGAATGCATTAAGCAAAATACAATTCAATCTATTCTATTTCTACTTTTATTATTGATTATATTTTGTGCTTATTTAATCTTTTAAATTTAAAGATAGTTGATATTAATATAAAAAAAAATGAGCTGGTTTTATTTGAGAAAGCTTAAATTAATTTTACTATAAAATCAAAATATTAGCAGTTCTTCTTCTTACATCAAAATTCTTATCAACTATTTATAGTTTATAGCATTAATAAATAACTTAGGTATTTAAACTTAATAATTTCTCTCTGTTGCTGAAATTGGAGGTGGCGATCCTGTATAACATACTGTTTATAATTTAGATTGTATATTTAGTAATTATGATTTCTAAATTCCGTTATATGCTATTAGAGTTTTATTTATCAATTTCTAAATAATTATTATTTATTTGCTTATCCAACTAGTAAAAATCCTCACAAACATCTTTAAGATAGATGACCGTTCATTTTAGATTTCTTCTTTCATACTAATATACTTATTCTTTAGCTCATCAATAATTAAAGTATTGATATAGTCTTCATCTTGTAAAGAAATAGCAGGCAATCTATATATTATTTCTGAAATGCAGTATGAATGCTATACAGAAAAACATAATGAAATCTTACTATATTTAATAGGGCCATTGCTTTTAATATGGTTCATAATAATCCCAACATCATTTTCTATTTATTTATACAGTAAAAGAAAAAAATTACAAAGCTTGCATTATCTGAATAAATATGGTCTTTTATACTAAGTAAATAGCTTTTTAATAAAATAAAAATATTTTTTTTAATAAAATTTATTAATCAATCAATAGGAATATAAAGAAAAGTCTTATTATTGGGATTTAGCTAGAAATCAAACAAGAGCATCTCTAGTTATATTTCTAAATTTAATTAGGACTTCATCCTAACTAAAAGCTATGTTATTATAACTTTTAATGTATATTTACCTTAGATTTTTGATCAAAGTAAGTCCTTATTAAAGATAATAGTTAAATAATATTGATTAACTATCTTGCAAATTAGTTATAACAAGTATATTCATAATATAAATGATATTAATTACAGATAATCCCTAATTTAAACTACTATAGTAAAATATTTTAATAATCATTAATATAAGTTTCATAGGAATCTTGCTCTTATTAATAGTACAAAGACCTGTTCCTTTTAATAAAAATTAATAAAATAAGCTTTAAAGATTCTAGGTTTTTTTATCCAAATTAATCCCTAATTCTATTTACTAAATTGCTTATTAAAAATAGATAAATTTATTCAGAATAAATTCTTTATGGAAAAAAGTTTAAAGCTCTTTAAGGGAAGTAATTGCAATGGAAGCAGATTTTAAGAACTAAAAATTGGCTTAACAATAAAAACTGCTTAAGCAAAATAGTTAATTCAAATTTCAAAATTCAAAAATTAACAAACGATTAAAAACTCGCTTCTATTTATAAGCACTAGAGAGTTATAATTTGGATAAAAATCAATAATGAATAGATGTTTTTAAAATAAACAAATTTAAACTTAATATATACAAATTAAAACAACAATAACTTTATTCAAGAAAAAAAATTTTTATTTATGCTGTTTTTTTTATAAACTAGTTTTTCTATGATTTTGTTTTTGAATTTACAAAATTTAATTTGAAATAATTAAAATCTTAATTTTGGGATGAATCTAAAAAATAATTTAAAGAATTCAATTTTCAATAAATAAACTCTATTGTATATCTATCTTTACTTCTTTAACTTTTATTAAATAAACAAACTTAATTTATCTTAAATAAAAATATTATTGATCCTTTTTAATAAAATAAATATAATAAAATAAATTTTTTGTTACTAAAATAAAGTTATTTAATTGGCATGAATTTTATAAGTATTTAATCAATAAAGACTATCTTATTATAGCAAAATTAAAATATAATTTAAGAGTAATATTTTTTATTGGTTTATAAATTACTTACAGTCAATAAAGTAAATTAAAAATGATAATTAGCGATTGATTTATAAATTTGTGATTATGAGTGAATCAAATATTTATCATTATAATAGCCAAAATCAATAGATCCTTTATTATTTAACATTCAATGTGACTTAAAATTGTATATTACTATGTTAATGATTAAAAAATAAATATATGAACATTTTGCTTAAAAGAATATATAAGAAGTATTAAAATAATAATATTGTAATAATCTTTTAAGTATTGCACTTTAAAATTTAATATAACTTAATAAATAGATAGAGTATAAAGAGCAAGAAAAAGAAGAGAAAGAAATATGGATAATTAATATGATAGGTAGAGCACTTAATAGTAGGATGGTCAGTTCTAAATTTACAGTTAATAATCACTAGGGGATTTTCATATTTATGAGGAAAATAATAATGAAAATGTAATAATTTAATTCTTCAAAAATACATACATTATCTAGCCATTTACTATTTTCATTTATATAGTTTTAAGGCTTTGGTAAGAGTTAGCAAAATCTAAGTTCTACTGATCAGGACTGTACATTATTCTAAGATACTTCCCCAAATGGTTTTAAAAATGACAAAAAAAGCTCATAAAATTCTCTCAACAAAAAAAGAGCTTATATAGATTATGAAAATGAAGAAAGATAATAAAATTCTAGTGGTACTTCAACTTAAAAAAACATTCACTATACAAATTAAAAAGGCTTAGCAATTTCGTAAATAAATAGCACCAAATTCTCTCAAAACTTTTTGGAAAGGACTTAAAGGTTTTTAAGAGCAAATAAAAAGTTCTATTTGTATATGGATCTTGTAGTTGATCTAGATTTTTTTCAGAATTACAGTGACAAGTAGAATTATTTGAATGAGAATAAGCATAACTAACTAGAGAAGGGATTAAGATATATCAACTGTGTTATTCACAGAATGGATAATAAATTTATTGAAGTAGATTTGACATTCTTTCCGAGTAATGTAAATAACATAGAATATCTTTTAAAAATATTGTACTCATACGGCAACAAAGATCTGCTAGAAACAATTTAAAAGTTATAAACTATCTGGGATAATATATAGCTAACTAAAAGGCTGATTTTAGATTAATATCAAGATACCTTATTTTAATAACATTATGAAGGTAGAAAAGCAGCTAGTAATCTTAAATTTAAATCATTGACTGAAGGGCTGGATCAAACAAGTTTAATATTTTATATTCGCCTTTCAGTTAATTATGAAAAATAACTTTATGAAAGTGATAGAGTAGGCTATTCCCCTGAGCTTTACGATATTATAGCAGAGAATTCTTATGTGTTTAAAGAGTATTTAAAAGCTTATGGATATTTCGATCCACGCAATACATATTTTAAATTAGAATAGTGCATTAATACAACTCTTCATTTCTTAACTACTTCTACAAAAGCACTATTCTCTAAATAGGGGTACTCTTCGTAAAAAATAGAGATAAAAACTATTGACTAATTTACATTTCCAGTTGAAGCTAGAGCAAGGTTTTTTAATCTAGATCAAGACTATGATAGTAAACACAATTTAAATTTTAAATATAATGACATGTTGGTAACTTATGAATATATATTCGAAGACCCAAATATTAAGTCAAGATTCAAAATGTATAGATAATTATAGCATTCAGTTCAATCTAAAGCAATTACATTATAGAATGATGAAGAAATAGATGACAGACCTGAATACAAAGAATTAGAGCTTTTTAAGAGATATTATTAAGATGATGCTGATAAATTAATAGAAGTTGGTAATAAATGGTTTAAAAAATGTGGTGTAATTAATTTACCACAAAAAAAATCTAAAAAAGATGAAAATTGAAAACAAATAAAAAAATATAAAATGTATTAAAAATAAAAAAAATAATAATTAAGTTAAATAATTTATAAAATAATAATAAAATTATTATTTATTATTTATATTTATTTTAATTTTGAATAGTTATTTATTTTAATTTCACAAAATAAAATATTTTTTTAATTGTTGTTGAAATTTATACTATAAAATCCAATATTTATTTATTTTTCTTATCGATTAATATTCAAAAGTTGAAATATAGATAATTAAATTAGATAAATGAAATATAATATGCTATATATATTAATTCATTTTTTTGGTTGGATAACTTTATAAAAATTTTGATTATAATAAATCAAAAAAGAATTTAAAAACCAGATTAGAAAAAAATTGATCAGAAACAACTTAATAAATATTTAAAATAATCAAAATTAAACTTCGCAAATATGCAAATATCTGATAGTTTAACTAACGTAAAATGTGCAATTCACAAAAATACACCTTTAATTGCTATTTCTTTACATGAGCAAAGAGAAAATTTAAGAGTTTTGTGTAGTAAATGTATAAAATAGTATAATTTTGAATATAAAGATATCATTTTCATAGATGATGTAATTGATTCAGATGAAAATACTTTTTTTGAAAATTTGCCAATTCAAACATAAAATTAAAATCTAATTAAAGAAATATAGCAATATTTTGATAGTATTGATGAAGATGCTAGCTTCTAATCACCCCTCTTAACTATACAAATATTTTATGAATAATTTATTAAAATAATGAGTGAAACTTTAAATAAGAGTATGAAAAAAATTCTTTCTAATGTAGATAATATTTTCTTAACAAAAGAAAAATTTTTAGAAGTATATAACTCTATTATTTAAAAGTAGAAATTATAAGAATATGCCTCTTCCATAAAAAAGTAAGATCCCTAATCATTCCAAAATTTAAATAATCTAATATAGAAAATGCAATAAAATAAAGAAGCAAATAGCACCTTGTTAATCAATACCTTTAACTAATTTTAAAAAACTTAAGAAAAACTTTAAATGAAAATGGCTAATTATTATATGGAGCAAGCATTATAATAAGTTGAAAATATAGAAGAATACTTTTTTAATTAAAATAGCACATATTTAAATGAAATATTATCAGATGATAAAGAACCTTTTAATATAAAGAGTTAGACAGTAGAATAAATAACTAAATTAATCAATAACAAAACAAATTTTTGCAATGAAAAATTTATTAATGAAATAAATAATTTTCTCAACTAAATATCTTCTGGTTTAAGTAAAATTTCAACAGATTAAATGTTTATGCAGAATAAGTTTCCTTTGGAATTCAATGATTTAGAATAGACATAATTTGATCTAGTTGAAGACTAAATAAATTGCCTTACTAAAATTAATAATAGCTTGAGAATTGCAAAGTGTCCAATTGATTTTTAAAATATTGACTATCTTTAAGATTAAATGATCAAAAAGCAAAATGATTTACTTAAGTTAAATAAAAATTTAATTCATGAAGTTTAAATTAATATTTTTGGGTAAATAGATAAAACTTTTTCTTGTAGTTTCATAAAATCTAAATAAGACTGTTACTCAATTACAAACCAAATAATAAGGAGAGATAGTACAAATAGGATTGAGATTAAATAGATAAAACCTGGATGGTAAGTTTAATCTTACCTTGAAGAGGCTATCGATCCATTTAAGAAATATTTACTTAGGTTATAATTTGATCCCTTTTAAACTCATCAAGAAAATTATAGGTTTTACATAGGAATTATTGAAGAAAGATTTTGTGATTCTAAATGGCTAGATTCATCTCCTTTCCTGTTTTCTAACAACCCAATATCTGAATTCAGCTTTAACAAAGTAAAAAAAGGATTGAATATTAATCATAGCGATATAAGATATAATCGAAATATGAGATTTTTAGAATTTCAAATGTGTCTAGCTGATAAGCATTTAGTAATAGCTGATTATCCTGAATGCTAAAATATCACAGAAGCTGAGATTGAAAAATTTGATCGTTTTCCTCTTGAAGAGTCATATAGGCTAATAATTGAAAGTGAGTCTATTTAAAAAATCAGAATTCATCACTTCTCAGAGGTGAAATAATTTGTCTGAGTTATTTAAATTTACATGTTAAAAAATTTAATGAAATTATTTTAATTTATTTGAAAAGATTTTTAAAATTAATAATAATTAAATAATTTAAAACTAGAAAATAATTCAATTATAATTAATAAAATATAAAAATAAATACTTTGTTTTAATCATATAAAATAATTTATTAGTTATTTATATTTTTTTTATCTATAAAAATTTTATATTTTATTGTTTAGCCAATTATTAATAATGTTTTATTTGCTTCAATATTAAATACTAAAGAATTTGTTGATTTATTATAAATTTTGTTTATTTAAAAAACAGCTTATTTAAAGATAAATTTTGAATAGTAAAAATGAATTGCTTTAATTTCGATGAAGATATGCACGTTTTTCAAGTAAACTAGAAGATAGAGGTCTTAAAATGTCCTTTGTAAACCATCAAGCAGTAAATAGACAATAAGCTTAAAGAAAATCCAAACGATTTATATAGTTTAGCCATAAAATGCTAAATAGAATATGAATATAATTTAAATTACAGAAATGCATTAGAAATAATAAAATTAATTTTAAAGTAAGACAAGAACAATGTAGATGCAAGATTAGACTTAGTTTCGATTATGTTTAAGTTCAAATTGAAGTAGATCAGAGAATGTTTTAGCTTAATTGATGAATGTTTGCAGATTGCGAATTAATATTGGAGAACAAATTATATTAAGAGTGTCATTCTATCAGAAAATGTGGATTTGAACGATTCAATTTTTGTTTTGAAAAAACTATATGAATAAGAACCATAAAATATATTTATATTGTGTAGACTTTCATAATTTCTATCTGAAGATCCATTAACTTAAAATGAATCCTTAAAACTGTTGAATAAAGCTAAATCAATTGGAATTTATGATTATGATATTCTAAGAAGAATTTCATACTCTGAATTTAGCTTAAAGAATTATGAAATTACTAAAAAACTACTTTAAAGGGCTATTCAGCTAAACCCAAATTCATCTATTTGCTATGAAAATTTAGCTTATCATGAATATAAAGTATTAAATGACCTATAAAAAAGTGAAGAACTATACTTGAAATCCATCGAACTTGACAACTTTGTTTATGAATCTCATACATAGCTAGCTTATATAAACTTAAATAAAAAGAACATTGAAGATGCAGTTAAATATTTTAAGAAGTGTATTTAAATTAAAAGTGATCGCTCACCTACTCCTTATTCAGAGTTAGCAGTCATTTACAGCAACGATATAAAAGATAATGATAAATCCTACTATTATTTACAAAAAGGTTTATAATAATTTAAAAATTGCCCTTATATGAATTTAATAGCAGTTATGTAAAGATAAGATGAACCCTTTAGGTAGACATACAAAGATCTTGAAGAAGATGAGCATAGTGCCTATATTACATTAAACTAATCAAATAAAAAAAATATAGACTATACATGTATGTTATCTATTTTAGCATTGCTGTATTGAGCATTTATACTATCAATCTTTAAATAAGTTTAAATTATTTTTAATTTTGAAATTTTTATACATTTTAATTTTCTTACTTGAAAACAAAAATATTTATACATACATAAATATATTATATTTAATTTTTCTTTATGATACTTAAATAAACAATAAATCTACAATTAATTTTATTGTAAGCACCGATGGTTTAGTGGTAGAATAGAGCGTTGCCATCGCTTTGACCCGGGTTCGATTCCCGGTCGGTGCATTTTTGTTATTAACTTCATGATAAAAATTACCTAAATTTTACATCAATGTATCAAGCTTAATTCTTTCTTAAGTTAAATATTTTTATTACTAATGTATTTCCTACAAAAAATTTAAAAATCATCAGAGTAATTAAGATATAATTTATTAACTTTTATTAATTATTAAAAATATCTTATTCTTATAATTCAAGAACAAAATTTGAGATTTATTAGTTAGAACCTTATAAATAGAATAAAAAAAAAAAACAAAAAGATAGGAAAAGTGTTTGTTATGAGTATTAGATAAAAAATATTATTTTCTGTATTGCTACAGATATATAATTTATGTTTAGGTTAGATAGCAGATAGCTGTAATAGCTAAAGAGGTTACTATTTTGATTTTTCGCAAAATTCATGCTTGCAATGCTAGAATTCATGTTATAATTGTTTAGATCAAAATAAATGTTCATCGTGCAATTATTAGTCATTTTTGGTAAGTTATTAAAAATCAGAAAAATAATTTACATTTTCAATGATAAAAGGACTACTAAACTAGCCAGTGCTAAAATTAATGCAAGTAAAGTGAGTATTAATCGAGCTTTTTTGGGGAATGCCAAGAATGTAAAATTTAGAATTGTCAAATATGCGAATCATCTTCTACTTGCAAATAATGTTAGTAAGGCTGGAGTCTATCATAAGATTAAAAGGCGTGTCTTAATAATATTTGCTTTTAGAAGGCAAATTATTTTTATAATCCTTCAACATAGCAATGCTTATTATATTGTTAAGAAGGATAAGATGATGATAATAATAATAGAGTTTGCAGTCCTTTTATTTAAATAGGTGATTAATATTTGTAAATAATACCTTCTCACCTCTATAGTAGCTGTATTATTTCGAAGCTTAAACTATTTACTGTGGCAGGGGAAAAATAAGTAAAATTGATTTAATTAATTATCTTTCTATTTCAATGTAATGTTTTTTTAAACTAAATAATTTTAAATAAGCTGATTGTTCTTTGTGAGGGCCAAATCATATTTTATAGCTTAGAAAGTTTGATACCACTACAAGTGATAAATATAAATGGAAGCTTAATAGATGCTGTCTAATAAGATAATTTAATCTATATTTTGTTAAAATCAAATAACCAAGGTATAGTTGCTACATTAAATCCTCTGAATTAAGAAATAAGCTATTAAAATACTTAGCTAAAATGTACTTTATAATAATTTAGTGGCTAATAAATTACTTGCTTTGAAGAAGAATACAAATTAACTTAATTAGATATTTTCAGTTTAAATTAAATTAGTTTTAACTATTCAACAGATAAAATAATAATAGTTTCAAGTTTTGCATAAAATGATTTGCAATAAAATTAATAATAATAATAAAATAGTGATAGAATATTAGAGACAAGAAATAATAATGATGAAACATTTTCTGAAAAATATTAATTTAGAAATCTATAGTAAGAAAAAATAAATTTTGAGCCTTAGCCAAATCAAGATAAAATATTCATAAAACCATTAGAAATTCCTTTTTTATAATATTAATAAATTAATTTAAAAAGTATATTCTATTAATTCAAATCATATAATGAAATTAATAAAGTAGTTGTTTTTAAACAAAACTTAAATACATTGTATTATATGGATGTTTCTAATCCAAATAATCCTTTATTAGCTGCTAATTTAGTAAATATAACTAGTATAGTATGCTAAAATTAAATTAATAAAACAATTACATTAGTTTTATCTTAATAATATACTAATTATTACAGTTACTTAGCAAATATACAGTATAATTTATCATCTTCTTAATACTATATCGAAATGGTAAAATAAATTTTAATTTTAATATTTTATTTTCTTCATTTTTAAATTCGAAAATATTTGAATCTCTAAAAATAAAAATAGAAATTTTATCTTATATTTTATTATAAAATTAGATAAGAAAATTAGATTATGGTTAAGGAAATTTGAATTTATGTCTTATTGATAACTAGACTCTTTTAACTGTTACTGCAAATAAGTTAGGTAAGTTTATTAAATTAATTAAATTTTAATAAAATTAATTTTTAAAATAGGATGCTAAATTTATAATTTGAATAATTCAGATACTAGTTTGTAATTTAGTTATAATTTTACTATGCAAAATAATTTAATAATAGAATAAGCATTAATAATTTAGCGTTCTTTCATAGTTACTATAATTTAAGTTAATTCAATTAACACTTTAATAAAAATTGTTCCTTATGATCAAAATGGATTTTAAACTAAAAATGCAATAAATTATCAAATTTCGATCAATTATTTTGGTTAAGTTTCATTAATAAAGTCATTATTTTATGATTAATAGAATTAGATATTGTATATTTCAAATTAATATGAAATTGAAATAATATCAACTGATCCAAAATAGCAAAAACTCTATGCTAATGTTTAAGGTAGTAAAATGATTTTAAATTATGGTAACTTAATAGACCTTCAATATTCTGATATTGATGGAGCCACGTACCTTACTTACCAATTTGGCTTTAGCATTATCTATGACGATTTTAAAAAGCAACCATTTTCAAATTACATTCATACATAGCTCAAAAAATCATAAATATTTGGGGAATACTTTTTCTTGATAAGCGACTATAATTGCATAATTGTTGATACAAAATATAAAAATATATTAACTTTTAACATTGACTCCTCTAATATTACAAACTTATAATTTAAATCAAATACTTATTATGCTTTAGCTGCATATAAAAATCAAAATTCTTAATACTTAATTTTCATTATTTAAGGATATAATTAAATTTCTTCATATTAATTTGCATCTGATCCAAATTTTGGAGACTCATCATTTTTTTAAATTGGCAACAGAATTATCTCATAGCTCGAATAAGGTATATTTAGATAATATATAATTTAAACATAATAACTATAAAAAGAGGATTAGTTTACTGGTGCTACTTTTGATAGCTAAAGTTTAAATTATTAAATTGTCAAAAACTAAGGTTAAATTAATTAACTAATTACTTTTAATTATGATACTTAGTCTATGATGTATTACGATTATACAACTTAAGTTAATATATATATGACTATATGTAACTTAAATACTTTTACTAATACTATATATCTAAGATTTAGTTCTCTTTTATTATTTTATAATTTACTAAATGGCAAATCGCTAGAACTCAGAATATCTTCAAGTCAAATATCATGCTTTACATAACAAGCTAAGAATTATTAAATCATACTATCAAATGGAGTTTTATATAGATATAACTTAACTGATTTTAGTAATATACCATTAACCTCTTAATATTAAACTTTAAATTTTTTTATTGATAATCAAACTCTTTCTAACTTTCTAAAAAATGAAAAATAATTCCTCGTTTTAAATATCAATAATGTAAGTATTAAAAAATTGCTTCAAGTTAAAATTTAATTCTTAATTTTATAAAAATAGAATCAAACTGTGATTTATGATGCAGACGCAATGATGTTAAAACAAACTGTTTTAAATGTAGATGGAGATGTAAAAACATACAAAACTTTTGGTTAAAATTAAATTGCTTTATTCAATAGTACATATGCAGCTACTATTTATGATAACATCAATGCTTTTACTTCTGTAGATTACAATATTGGCCAATTAATCTCTAACAGTCTTATTTTCATAAAAAAATTTTTAGTACTTAAATAAAAGTCTAATTTAGTACTGTTTAATGTGCAAACAAAGTAACTTTAGTACTTGTGTAAGTTTTTAATAAAAGTATTTATTTGTTTCTTTTACTAATAAATTTTTTTTATTTTAAAGATACTATTTAATAGGTAGGCAATGATCGTGTAATCAATTTTAACTTAGTTATTATTGAAAAAGATATCTATGTTTTAATTTAGACCTAAACTAATTAATTTTAGCTATTAAATTAAAATAATCAAACAATCATAGGCTATTATAACTATACAACAGTTATTTTTTCTTAAGAAATAGAAACATTTATTATTTAAGATTCTATTAATAATTAACTATTGGCACACTAGCCTAAGAGTGATAAATAGGTTAAATTTTAAAATAGTTTAATAGATTCGTTATCTATTATAAAATATGATTTTATGTTAATCAAATAAATAAATTGTTTAGTAATTTAGTTTTCAAATTTTGATAAGCTTGTTGTCTTTAACTATGAAAAATCATAATTTTACTTGATCTCTATAAATAATAATAAACAATTTTACTCTGCTTATATTTATTAAGATGCAAATAATATTTTAGCATTAGATAATTACTCTGTTTATATAATCTAATTATTTGAAACAAGCTTTAAATACTCTTAATATAGTTAAGATAGCTATTTTTAAACATTGTTACCATTTGTTAGATTATCTTCAAGATACATATATTATAATTTTGCCTCAGATATTATATATATTTATGATCTCAATACTTTTGTGTTTGGCTTCAAGGTTTAACCAGTCTTTTAACAAATTTGCTAAATATCAATAGAAAGAACCTCACTTTTTTAAATTTCACCTCAATCAAAGGTAATTTTTACTAATTATTTTTTTATTCTTAAAATAACATTTTTATATAAATATAGCAAATGATTTTGGTTTCATAGACTAAAATATATGCTATAGATTTGAATAAATGCTCAGTGATTCAAAATTCATCTGAGAGATTTAATAACTTATCTGGAGCAAGTTAAGATTAAATAAATAAGTTGCTAATAGATTCTTAAAAAGATTTAGTTTACTTGATTAGTAGTCCAAATTTAAGTGTTTATTAACTTTCTAATCTATAATTTTTATTAGGTTATCAATTCGAAAGCTAGTCAGTATCTTTAATTTCTAAAATTATTGAACAGACGAACGAAATACTTATCTATTATAAAGGTGTGATTAAAAATTTTGATATTAATTTATCTTTATTTGGAAAATAAGAGTTTAATAATAAACTCAGAATTAAAAATTATTTTTAATTTAATATTGACAATAATTAGTATCATGTTGTGTTATATTAAAATACAGGAATCATTCAAGTTAAAGATAAAGAATTAAAAAATATTCTCTATATCAAGCTGTAAATTCCTTAAACTCTAAACGGTTTCAACTTATTAATGAATAAATTTAATAACACTACATTAATAATATTCTTGTCAAACTAACAAATTTAAGTTTTTGATATAACTTAAATGTAAATAATTAAAAATATTAATTTATAATTTTAGTGTAAATCAATTAAGTTTTATTAGCAAAGCTCATATTGTTAAGTTGGCTAAACATAGATTTTTAAGCTTCAAAATAATTTTTCATTTACTTAAACATTTTAAATCAGCTAATCTAATAGCAAAATTATTGAATATTATATTCTATCAGTAGATTTATTAGCAATAATTGACAATAGTTATTAGCTATTAATATTTTCTCAACAATATTAATTACAGCAAGTTGTAAATACAAAACTTCAGAGGAATTCATAAGTATTTTTTTTTCTTTATATTTATATTTCTAATAATAAATTATTATTTATTTTAGGTTTAACTATTTAATAATACTTATCTTGTAGTAAGCTCAACATAATCTTTAGCAATTTTTAATATTACTCTATCTTCAATCGAAATCAATCCAAATAACTTGTTACTTTAGATAAATGAATAGAATTAAATGCAATCTTTTACTATAATGACTTAGTTTAATAACCCATTGCTAGTTTATTCTTCAAATTATCAAGCCTATGTTTATGATCTTGCTTAGTAAAAATTAATGTGCTACCTTTAGAATGCATAACAATTCGGTCAAAAATTTGTATATGATGAAAATTATTTTTACATCTTAGGATTTTCAAATGTAATAATATATGATATACTATCATTTAATTATATTAACTACTACAAGCAAAACTCATTTAAACACTCTTAAATAGTAGACATCTAAAGAATCTATGAAGATTATTTTATTTTGATTGAAAGAAGGGAATTACAAATAATTAAAGTCAATATTCAAAACTCAATGATGGTTTAAAGCTTCAAGGATATCCCTTTGCCTGAAGAATTCAGTTTTAAATTATTATTTGATAATTTTAATAAGTTATCTGAGATAAATATTTAAGTGATCAGCTCAGATGCAAAAATGAATTTATTTACTTACAGTCTTAATTAAACCTCTTTTTAGTAAAATTAAATTTCATAAATCGAAGTCACTTATGGAAGACAAGTTGAAGAATACTATTAAACAGTAATATTATTTTATTTTTTAATTTTAAATCTAAATTTTAATCACCTTATTTTCTGAAAAATTTCCTACCTTAATATATATAGAAAAAAGTGCCATCTGTCCCAGAAAACTCAAAATTTTTTAATTTTTCAGAATTTCTACAATAGTTCAATATTACAATAAATTACAATAATTAATATATTTTCAAGTTGATAATTTTATATTCAGGCATCTAAAAACAAAAAAATTAATACAAATTATTTTTATTTTAAGCCATATTGATTTAGTTTATATATATTTACATTCATAAATAAATAAGAAAATATTCTAAACTAATAATTTTTTTAAAGTATTACCATTACACTTAATTGAATCTTATTCCTATAAATTCATTCAAGCATTTAGAAAAATTAAAAAATTTTCTAAGATTTATGTTTTATTTTAACTATAGAGTTAAAGGCTACAGCTGAGGATTTCTGACCTTAATGGCTAATTAGGAGCGTATATTATTTCTATATAAAAATAACTTTAAGACATCGAAATTCCTCAAATAAAGTTATATTAAAATATTATCTCCCCATTAACTTTATTAAGATATAATACTCTAATAGATGGAGTAGAAAAAAATTAACAATTTTCAAATGTTTTACTTACAAGTAATAATTTTTTAACACATAAAATATCAGATTAGAAAGATTAATATATTTTAAAGCTGGCATTTATTTAATTAAATCTAAAAGTAAATATCACTTCATAAGATGTAGAATTAAATAAATATGGATCACTTAATTATTTATTATTAGATTAAGTTAATTTTATATTCTTTAATTATACTTCTACATTATTCTTAAGCAATATCACTTAAGTAATAATTTAAAGTATGACCATTCAAGATTAGTATTTGATAAGAAATAAATCAGTAATAAATATATAAAATTCTTAGAGTGTAATAATTGAATAATTATATATAAAAAATATAAATTATGTTTTTGAAGAAATTAGTCAGGACAACTAAAATAGTTTTATTACATTTAATAATATAACTAACATATAAATTTATTATCTGAATATCTAAAACTTAAAATGGAAAGGAAAAATTATTTAAATACTCTTTTCAAGTAATATAACCATAAATAATTTAATTATTGATAACTCAAAATTCTAATAATATAATTTATTTGAATTTATTATGCTTGATAATTTAGAAATAAAAAACTTGATTTTAACAAATATTTCTTATTTTAGTTAATCTAATAGAATTATGGAAATTGAATAACCATAACCTATTTCACGAATAATTTATCTTTAAGGGGTTTATAAATCGATGTTTTAAAATATTTAAGTCAATCAATTTAATAACACTGGTATACTATTTGCAGAATAATTCTAAAAAAATGATGTATCTTTATTTTACAATTCATATTTAAATTTTAATAAACTTACAATCTAAAATGTGACTATTGATTAAGATTTTAGCTAAATTAGTATGATTTTTGAAATAAAAGCATTGAATTGTATTTTTTCAAATTTAAAGTCAGAATACTTAACCTTAAATGGAATATTTGCCTAGATAGAAGCTAAAAATTAAATCTAAATAACAGATTCCAACTTTGCACATTTCCAATTTACTAATTCAAACATAGGAGGAATTTTTAGAATTCAAAGTCTGAATTTGTTTTTGAATAATACTAACTTTAAAAATAGTATCTCTTTAGGGTTTTCAAATGCTCTTTAAATATTATCAATCTCAAATTTATGGATATAGTACTGTAAATTTATCAATTTAACTTGCATAGACATTCCAAAAATATCATCACAGTAATCAGCTGGAGCTATAGAAATTAATTAAGCAACGCAAGCTTTTTTAAAATATAATACATTTAAAAGCTGTGTTTCTTAAATGAATGGAGGTTCTTTATATATAAGTTTACTAAATTAATAAAGTTTTATAATCATAGATCAATGCATATTTGAAAATAATTATTCTAAACTAAAATCTGGAGGTGCAATTTTTGTAGAAAATTCATATAATATAACAATTATTTCAAGTTAATTTAATAGAAATTAAGCAAAATCTGAAAAAGGAGGGGCTATAGCAATCATGAATTCTAATTTGTTTATTCTATAAGATACTATATTTGAAGAAAACGAATCATTAATAGGTGGTGCTATTTGGTATGACTAATACAGCTCAATAAAAATTTCAAAAGAAGTAAAATATTCAAACAATTCTGGTAATATTATTAATTTTATAAAGGAACAAATATATTTTTTTGGTACTTAACTTCCAAAAAATTTTCATTTTTTGTAATATTTTTGTTCTTTTATTTTTTTCTATAATATTCTTAAATTTTAAATATAAAATAGGAATATGTTATGGTTAAAATTTAGGCTCTCGCCCCAGATCTATTTAGCGAGTAACATAGACCAATAAAATCAAATTAAATAATGAGATCACAGGTGTATCTAGTGGTAATTAGCTAAAGGACATAGAGTATTTTAATTTTTTTGATGAAGAAAATAATCCATTGAAATGTATGGATATTAATAGCATGTAGTATTCGCCTTCTTCTGTAATTAGTGAAGAAATAAATAATTATAATATGTAAATTGATACCTAAAAGACATAAAACATTTTGGTGAAATAATAATAAATGTTAATTAAGAATTAAATATATTAATTATATGAGTTCAACCCTATAATATTGTTTAAATAATAAATGTATTAAACTCTATATATTGTTTCAAATAATGATAATCTTAAAATGTAAATTTAAATAAGGTTTAGAGAATGTGAAATAGGAGAAATCGTTTAAGTTGATTCTGGTTTTGTTACGTAAATATGTTATTTTTAAAATTGAAATTTATTTTTATTTGCTTTAGGTGTTACTTATGTCCATAAGATAGATATTCCTTAGTTATACCAAATATGGAGGCAGATTAGAACTAGTTAAATTGTTTAAAATGTCCTATATAGGCTAAGAGCTGTTAAGGAAAAACGATCATACTTAATAATGGCTATTGGAGGACTAATAAATTGTCTGATGAAATTTATACTTGTAACACAAAAGGATGTATAGAAGATGATTTAAGTAGTAAATTTGGATGTGATAAAGGATATATTGGTCCTCTATGTGATACTTGTGATAGTAAAGGAGAAGTTTGGAATGAGCATTTTGGTAAAAAGAATAATGATGAGTGCTTACCTTGCAAATAAGCTCTGTCTTAATATCTTTATTTTTTTGCTCTTATTTTATTTTATCTATTTTATATCACAAATAGCATCAATAGCTAATTCAATAAGAAAATGATACTTTTTAAGCTAGATGTTTTGAGAAAAATGGATCTTTTTATAACCAGTAAGTCATGCTCACAGGGTTAAGATTTATATTTGTGGATCAAGATTTTCATAAACTATTTTCAAATATTTCAATTATTCTTTTTATTTACTGCTAATGTACCTTAATAAATTGAATTAGTAATAGACGTTTTTGGTGAACCTGTTAAAATGAATGTCGCCAGTTTAGATTGTTTGTTTATTATGACAGATAAATTTCCACTTTGGTTTTTTAGAATTATCGTTTAAATGAGTTCTGTATTAATTTAATATTTATTAATATCTTTGATTGCATTCTATATCTTTAAAAGAAAGAAGTTAAAGATGAGCTTAGTTGGATAAAAAAGATTTATTTTCATGATGGTATTTGGATTCTTTTACTTATTTTACTAACCTTCAATATCAAAGTTACTGTTATAGGGATTGTTTTGTAGATAAATAGCTTAAAAAAAGTATTTAATTGCTTAGCTTAACTATGAATGCTATTCAGATATCCATTTGATCTACATATTTACTTTTATTATTCCTTTCCTTTTCATATGGTGTGTTTGTATACCGTTTTATTACTATAGAAAACTAAAAGCATTTTAACATTCGCCTCAGCTAAGTAATAGATATAACTAGATATTAACTCATGGTATATTGTATAAAAGCTATAAAACATAATATGCATATTGGGAGCTAATTAAGATACTTAAAAAATTATTGTTGATGATATTAATAAATACTCAATTAAGCCCAATCACCTAGATTATATTTATATAAATTATTTTATTATTATATTAATATTTTTAAATAACACTATAACCATTTTAAAATTAGTAACAATAGAATTGTGAAAAGTTTTTGATTTTAAGACTCAATTTTAGCTTTATTATTTTAGGTTTTATCATTTAAGATAGTTAAGATACTGGTTTCAGTGTTTTAAAAGTTTTAAGTTATATTAGCTTATTTGTTATTAATCTCTAAGTTTTGTTTATGTTAATATAAATAACCTTTAATAACATAGAAATAAAACTGATTAATGGGTAAAATAATGAAAGTAAAATTACTTAGTTGGTCATAATTATGAAAAGATATTTACCATATTTGATGTAATTTATAAGAATTAGAAGAGTGAGCTATATAAGAGTACATAAGTTATGGAAAAAAATTATCATCTAATATAGAAAAGTAAATATCTCAAAGTTAAAGGAACCATAAGAATTTAAAATATTTTCTGAAAGTGTATAATAATAAAATGATTAAGGAAATATTTAAGAAAAATAATAATTTAAAGATACAGAGTATTAAATTAGCAAGCAATACTCTAATTTAGAATCTAAAGCTTTTAAGGACGACTTAATTTTATGTTACCAAACAATAAAAAATGACAAATAGTTAATCTTTGATTCTCAGCTTATTTAGGAATTAGTAATTTTTTTATTTAAATTAAAATATTTATTTTTTTTTAAATAAGGATTAGCAAGTAAATCTTCCAATTTCTCCACCTATGAATTACTTTTATAATAAGAAAACAAAAAATAATTGAATTTTTATATGTTTGTGTTTTAAATATTTTCCAAAATATATTTAGATATGTTAATTTAAAAAAATAATTTATTTTAAGTTATAAAATATTATTTTAGTTTAAAGTTTAATTTTATATACTAAATGAGTAAAAATTATAAATAATGTTGGTTAATTTTTCAAATTTATTCTTAATTTTACAAAAGATGTAAAAAAATTATTTATTTTTGAAATTTTAATAAATTAAATTATTAATTTTTATTCTATTATAAAATATAAAATATAAAAATCAGATTTTTTAATAAATAGCTAAAAAATCTATTTCATTATAAGTGACATTCAAACAACGGAATTTTTGAATGGTATCTTGGTATATTAAGCAAACTAGATTTCAATTTATTCTATTTCTAATTTTAAAATTGATTATTTTTTGTGCTTATTTAATCTTTTAAACGGAAAGATAGTTGATATTTATATTTAAAAAAAATGAGTGGTTTTATTTGGGAAAGCTTAAATTGATTTTGTTATAAAATCAAAATATTAGTAGTTCATCTTCTTATATCAAAATTATTATCAACTATTTATGGTTTATAGCAGTAATAAATAACTTAGGTATTTATACTTAATAATTTCTCTCCTTTACTGAAATTGGAGGTGGCGATCCTGTATAATATACTGTTTAAAAATTTAGATTACATATTTAGTAAATAGATTATATGTGTATTTCATCTATTTTAGCATTGCTGTATTGAGCATTTATCTATCGAACCAATCATTAAATAAGTTTAAATTATTTTTACTTTGGAAACTTAAGTTGATTTTAATTTTCTTGCTAGAAAACAATGATATATATTTGTAATTTTTCTTTACATTTACTTAAATAAACAAGAAATTTACTATTAATTTTATTGTAAGCACCGATGGTTTAGTGGTAGAATAGAGCGTTGCCATCGCTTTGACCCGGGTTCGATTCCCGGTCGGTGCATTTTTGTTATTAACTTCATAATAAAAAATTACCTAAATTTTGCATCAATATATCAAGCTTAATTCTTTCTTAAGTTAAATATTTTTATTACTAATTAAATGTATTTCCTACAAAAAAATTAGAAATAATCAGAAAAATTAAGCTCTAATTTATTAAATCTTATTAATTATTAAAAGTATATCTTCTTATATTTCAATAGCTAAGTTTGAGATTTATAAGTTCTAATCATAGAAAAAACTACAAAACAAAAAACAAAAAGATACGAAAAGTATTTGTTATGAGTATTAGATACAAAATATTATTTACTGTATGGTTACAGATATATAATTTATGTTTAGGTTAGATAGCAGATAACTGTAATAGCTAAAGAGGTTACTACTTTGATTTTTCACAAAATTCATGTTTGTAATGCTTGAATTCATGTTAAAATTGTTTAGATCAAAATAAATGTTCATCATGCAATTAATTGTCATTTTTTGTAAGTTATTAAAAATTAGAAAAATATTTACATTTTCAACGGTAAAAGGACTATAAAACTGATCAGTGCTTAAAAGAATGCAAAGAAGGTGAGTATTAATCGTCCTTTTTTAGAGAATGCTAGGAATGTAAAATTTAGAATTGTCAAATATGCGGATCATCTTCTACTTGTAAACAATGTTAGTAAGGATGGAGTTTATCATAAGATTAAAAGGCGTGTCTTAATAATATTTGCTTTTAGAAGTCAAATTATTTTTACAATCCTTCAACTTAGCAATGCTTATTATATTGTCAAGAAGGATAAGATGATAATAATAATAGAGTTTGCAGTCCTTTTATTTAAATAGGTGATAACTATTTGTAAATAATACCTTCTCACCTCTATAGTAGCTGTATTATTTCGAAACTTAAACTATTTACTGTGAGAGGGGAAAAATAAGTAAAATTGATTTAATTATCAATATCAATGTAATGTTTTTTTTTAAACTAAATTATCAAAATAAGTTGATTGTCCTTTGTGAGAGCCAAATCATATTTTATAGTTTAGAAAGTTTGGTACCACTACAAATGATAAATCTAAATGGAAACTTAATAGATGCTGTCTAATAAGATAATTTAATCTATATTTTGTTTTTATCAAATGACCAAGGTATAGTTGCTACATTAAATCCTCTGAATTAAGAAATCAACTATTAATAAACTTAGTTACAATGTACTTAATATTAATTTAGTGGTTAATAACTTACTTGCTTTGATGAAGGAGAAGACAAATTTACTTAGTTAAATATTTTCAGTTTCAATTAAATTAGTTTTAACTATGAAACAGATAACATAGTAATAGTTTCAAGTTTTGCATAAAATGATTTGTAATAAAATTAATAGTAATAAAACAGTGATAGAATATTAGATACAAGAAATAATAATGATGGAAAGTTTTTTGAAAAAGATCAGTTTAGAAATCTAAAGTCCGAAAAAATTAATTTTGAGCCTTAGCCCAATCAAGAAAAAATATTGATAAAACCATTAGAAGTTCCTTTTTTATAGTATAAATAAATTAATTTAAATATAGTTGAGTATTAATTCAAATCATATAATGAAATTAATAAAGTAGTTGTTTTTACACCATAATATACTACATTGTATTATTTAGATGCTTCTAATCCAAATAATCCTTTATTAGCTGCTAATTTAATAAATATAACTAGTGTAGTATGCTAAAATTAAATTAATAACATAATAACACTCGTTTTATCTTAAGATTATACTAATTATTATAGTTACTTAGCAAATATACAGTATAATTTATCTTCTTCTTAATACAATATCTAAATGGTAAAATTAATTTTGTTTTGATATTTCTTCATTTTTTAAATTCTAAAAATTTTTGACTCTCTAAAAATAAAAATAGAAAATTTATCTTATATTTTTTTATAAAATTAGATAAGAAAATTAGATTATAGTTAAGGAAATTTAAAGTTATGTCTTATTGATAATTAGACTCTTTTAACTGTTGTAGCAAATAAATTAGGTAAATTTATTAAATTAATTAAAATTTTAATAAAATTTTTTATTATAGGATGCTAAATTTATAATTTGAATAATTCAGATACCAATTTGTAATTTAGTTATAATTTTACTCTGCAAAATAATTTAATCATAGAATAGGCATTAATAATTGAGCGTTCTTTCATAATTACTATAATTTAATTTAATCCAATTAACGCTTTAATAAAAATTGTTCCTTATGATCAAAATGGATTTTAAACTAAAAATGCTGTTAATTATCAAATTTCGATAAACTATTTTGGTTAAGTTTCATTAATAACGTCATTATTTTATGATTAATAGAATCAGATATTTTATATTTCAAATTAATATGAAATTGAAATAATACCAACTGATCCAAAATAGCAAAAACTTTATGCCAATGTTTAAGGTAGTAAAATGATTTTAAATTATGGTAACTTAATAGACCTTCAATATTCTGATATCGATGGAGCCACATACCTTACTTACGAATTTGGCTTTAGCATTATTTATGATGATTTTAAAAAGCAACCATTTACAAATTACGTCCATAAATAGATCAAAATGTCATAAATATTTGGAGGATACTTTTTCTTAATAAGCGATTATGGTTGCATAATTGTTGATACAAAATATAAAAGTTTATTAACTTTTAACATTGACTCCTCTAACATTAGAAAATTAGAATTTAAATCAAATAATTATTATGCTTTAGCTGTGTATAAAATTAAAAAATCTTAATACTTAATTTTCATTATTTAAGGATATAATTAAATTTCTTCATATTAATTTGCTTCTGATCCAAATTTTGGAAACTCATCATTTTTTTAAATTGGTAACAGAATTATTTCATAACTCGAAAAAGGTATTTTTAGATAGTATATAATTTAAGCATAATAACTATACAAAGAGGATTAGTTTTCTGGTAAAACTATAGATAACCATAGTTTAAATAATTAAATTGTCTAAAAAAAAGGTTAAATTAGTTAACTAATTACTTTTAATTATGATACCTAGTCTATGATGTATTACGATTATACAACGGAAGCTAATTTACCATAGCTAATGACTATATGTAACTTAAATATCTATACTAATACTATTTATAAATAATCAGGTTCTATTTTATCATTTTTAAATTTACTAAATCACAAATTGCTAGAAGTCAAAAATTCTTAAACTCAAGTATCATGCTTAACATAACAAGCTAAGAATTATTAAATCATATTATCAAATGGAGTTTTATATAGATATAACTTAACTGATTTTAGCAATATAGTTTTATCCTCTCAATATTAAGCTTTAAATCTTTTTATTATTAATGATGCTCTTTCTAACTTTCTAAAAAATGAAAAATAATTCCTTGTTTTAAATATCAATAATGTAAGTTTTAAAATTTGGCAACAAGTTAAAAATTAATTCTTAATTTAATAAAAATAGAATCAAACTGTGATTTATGATACAGACACAATGATGCTAAAATAAACAGTTTTAAACGTAGATAAAGATGACAAAATATACTAAGCTTTTGGTTAAAATTAAATTGCTTTATTTAATAGTACATATGCAGCTACTATTTATGATAACAGCAATGCTTTTACTTCTGTAAATTGCAATATTGACCAATTAATCTTTTATAAACCTAATTTAAAAAAAAATTTTTTAGTATTTTAATAAAAATCTTAACTAGTTCTGTTTAATGTGCAAACTAAGTAACTTTAGTACTTGTGTAAGTTTTTAATAAAAATATTTATTTGTTTCTTTTACTCATAAAATTTTTTATTTTAAAGATATTATTAAATAGGTAGGCACTGATCCTGTAATCAATTTTGGCTTAGTAATTATTGAAAAAGATATCTATGTTTTAATTTAGACCTAAGATAATTAATTTTAACTATTAAACTAATATAATTAAACAATAAGAGGCTATTATAACTATACAGCAGTTATTTTTTCTTAAGAAATAGAAACATTTATTATTTAAGACTCTAATAATAATTAACTTTTGGCACACTAGCCTAAGAGTGATAAACACGTTAAATTCTAAAATAGTTTAATAGATTCGTTATCTAAAATAACAAATGATTTTATATTAATCGAATAAATAAATTGTTTAGTAATTTAGTTTTCAAATTATGATAAGCTTGCTGTCTATAACTATGAAAAATCATAATTTTACTTGATTAATATAAATATAAATAAACAATTTTACTCTGTTTATTTATATTAAGAAGCAAGTAATATTTTAGCATTAGATAATTACTCTATTTATATACTCTAATTATTTGAAACAAGCTTTAAATACTCTTAATATATCTAAGATAGCTATTTTTAAACATTTTTACCACAAAATAAAAAGACTGTAAGATCTATTTATTATAATTTTGCCTCAGATATTATATATATATATAATGATGAAGATAGTGTGTCTGGTTTCAAGATTCAACCAGTCTTTTAACAAATTTGCTAAATACCAACAGAAAAAATATTTATTTGTTAAATTTCTTCTCTAACAAAGGTAAGTTTTGCTATTTATTTTTTTATTCTTAAAATAACATTATTATATAAATATAGTAAATGATTTTGGTTTCATAGACTAAAATATATGCTATAGATTTTAATAAATGCTCAGTGATTAAAAATTCATCTCAGGAACTTAATAATTTAATAAGTACAAATCTAGATGAATAAAATAAGCTGCTAATAGATCCTTAAAAAGATTTAGTTTACTTAATTAATAGTCCATATTTAAGTGTTTATTAACTTTCTAATCTACAATTTTTATTAGGTTATCAATACGGAAGCAATAAAATATAATTAATTCCTTAAATTATTGAACAGACTAACGAAATACTTATCTATTATAAAGGTGTTATTTTAAATTTTGATATTAATTTATCATTGTTTGGAAAATAAGAGTTTAATAATAAACTCAGAATTAAAAATTATTTTGAATTTAATATAGACAATAATTAGTATTATGTTGTGTTATATTAAAATACAGGAATCATTCAAGTTAAAGATAAAGAATTAAAAAATATTCTCTATTTCAAGCTGTAAATTCCTTTAACTCTAAACGGCTTCAACTTATTAATGAATAAAATTAATAACACTACATTAATAATATTCTTGCCAAACTAACAAATTTAAGTTTTTGATATAACTTAAATGTAAATAATATAAAACATTAATTTATAATTTTAGTGTCAAGCAATTAAATTTTAATAGCAAAACTCATATTGCTAAGTTGGCTAAACATAGATTTTTAAGCTTCAAAATAATTTCTCATTTGATTAAATATTTCAAATTAGCTAATCTAATGGCAAAATTATTGAATATTATATTCTATCAGAAGATTTATTAGCAATAATTACCGATAGTTATTAGCTATTCATATATTCTCAATAATATTAATTACAACAAGTTGTAAATACAAAACTTTAGAGGAATTCATAAGTATTTTTCTTTGTTTATTTTATTTCTAATAATAAATTATTATTTATTTTAGGTTAAATTATTTAATCACACTTATCTTGCAGTAAGCTCAACATAATCTCTAGAAATTTTTAATATTACTCTAACTTCTATGGAAATCAATCCAAATAACTTGTTGCTTTAGATAAATGAATAGAATTAAATGCAATCTTTTACAATAATGACTTAGTTTAATAATCCATTGTTAATTTATTCTTCAAATTATCAAGCCTATGTTTATGATCTTGCATAGTAAAAATTAATGTGCTACCTTTAGAATGCATAACAATTCGGTCAAAAATTTGTATATGATGAAAATTATTTTTACATCTTAGGATTTTCAAATGTAATAATATATGATATACTATCATTCAATTATATTAACTACTACAATCAAAACTCATTTAAACACTCTTAAATAGTAGACATCTAAAGAATCTATCAAGATTATTTTATTTTGATTTAAAAAAGCGAAATACAAATTATTAAAGTCAATATTAAAAACTCAGATTTGGTTTAAAGCTTCAAGGATATCCCTTAGCCTGAAGAATTCAGTTTTAAATTATTATTTGATAATTTTAATAAGCTATCTGAGATAAATATTTAAGTGATCAGCTCAGATGCAAAAATGAATTTATTTACTTACAGTCTTAATTAAACCTCTTTTTAGTAAAATTAAATTTCATAAATCGAAGTCACTTATGGAAATTAAGTTGAAGAGTATTATTAAACAGTAATATTATTTTATTTTTTAAATATTAATAATCACCTTATTTTCTGAAAAAATTCCCACCTTAATTTTAAGGAGAAATTTCTAAACATTTTTTTGATAACTCAAAATTTTCAATTTTTCAGTATTTCTACTGTAGTTCGACATTTCAATAAATTACAACAATTAATATATTTTCAAGTTTACAATTTTATATTCAGGCATCTAAAAACAAAAAAATTCATACAAATTCTTTTTAATTTATAGCCATATTGATTTTGTTTAAAAATACTTACATTCATCAATAAAAAAATAAATAAATAAGAAAATATTCTTTTTTAATAATTTTTTTAAAGTATTACCATCACTTTTATCGAATCTTATTCCTATAAATTCATTCATGTATTTTCAAAAATTAATTTTAAAAATTTTTTATTCTAAAATTTAAGTTTTATTTTAATTATAGAGTTAAAGGTTACAGCTGAGGGTATCTGACCTTAATGGCTAATTAGGAGCATATATTATTTCAATATAGAAATAACTTTAAGACATCGAAATTCCTCAAATAAAGTTATATTAAAATATCATCTCTCCATTAACTTTATTAAAATACAAAACTCTAATAGATGGAATAGAAACAAATTAATAATTTTCAAATGTTTTACTTACAAGTAATAATTTTTTAACACAGAAAATATAAGATTAAAAAGATTAATATCTTTCAAAGTTGGCATTTATTTAATTAAATATAAAAGTAAATATCACTTCATAAGATGTTGAACTAAATAAATATGGATCGCTCAATTATTTATTATTAGATTAAGTTAATCTAATATTCTTTAATTATTCTTCTACATTATTCGTTAGCAATATCACTTAAATAATAATTTAAAGTATGACCATTCAAGATTAGTACTTGATTAGAAATTAATCAGTAATAAAAATATAAAATTCTTAGAGTGTACTAATTGAATAATTAGATATAAAAAATATAAATTTAGTTTTTGAAGAAATAAGTCAGGACACCTAAAATAGTTTTATTACATTTAATAATATAACTAACATTTACATTAATTATCTGAATATCTAAAACTTAAAATGGAAAGGAAAAATTATTTAAATACTCTTTTCAAGTAATATAACCATAAATAATTTAATTATTGATAATTCAAAATTCTAATAATATAATTTATTTGAATTTATTATGCTTGATAATTTAGAAATAAAAAACTTGATTTTAACAAATATTTCCTACTTTAGTTAATCGAAAAGAATTATGGAAACAGAATAACCATAACGCATTTCAAGAATAATTTATCTTTAAGGAGTTTATAAATCAATATTTTAAAATATTTAAGTCAATCAATTTAATAACACTGGGTTACTATTTACAGAATAATTCTAAAAAAATGATGTATATTTATTTTACAATTCATATTTAAATTTTAATAAACTTACTATCTAAAATGTGACTATTGATTAAGATTTTAGCTAAATGAGCATACTTTTAGAAATAAAAGCATTGAATTGCATTTTTTAAAATTTCAAGTCAGAATACTTAACATTAAATGGAATATTTGCCTAGATAGAAGCTAAAAATTAAATCTAAATTACAGATTCAAACTTTGCACATTTTCAATTTACTAATTCAAAAGTAGGAGGAATGTTTAGTATTCAAAGTATGAATTTGTTTTTGAATAATACTATCTTTAAAAATAGTACCTCTTTAGGGTTTGCAAATGCTCTTTAAATATTATCAACCTAAAATTTATGGATATAATACTGTAAATTTATCAATTTAACTTGCAGCTCCATTCCAAAAGTATCATCATAGTAATCGGCTGGAGCTATAGAAATTAATTAAGCAGCTCAAGCTTATTTAAAATTTAATACATTTAAAAGCTGTGTTTCTTAAAGCTCAGGAGGTTCTCTATATATAAGTTTGCCAAAATAATAAAGTTTTATAATCATAGATCAATGCATATTTGAAAATAATTATTCTAAATTAAAGTCTGGAGGTGCAATTTTTGTAGAAAATTCATATAATATAACGGTTATTTCAAGTACATTTAATAGAAATTAAGCAAAATCTGAAAAAGGAGGAGCTATAGCAATCATGAATTCTAATTTGTTTATTCTATAAGATACTATATTTGAAGAAAATGAATCATTGATAGGTGGTGCTATTTGGTATGATTAATACAGCTCAATAAAAATTTCAAAAGAAGTAAAATACTCTAACAACTCTGGTAAGTTTATATATTTTATTAGTTAACAAATATATTTTTTTGATACTTAATTTCCAAAAAATTTTCATTATTTGTAATATTTTTGTTGTTTAATTTTTTATATTTTATAACATCCATTAAATTTTGAAAATAAAATAGGAATATGCTATGGCTAGAATTTAGGCTCTCGTCCCAGATCTATTCAGAGAGTAACATAAACCAATAAAATAATATTAAATAATGATATTACAGGTGTATCTAGTGGTAATTAGTTAAATAACATGGAGTATTTTAATTTTTTTGATGAAGAAAATAATCCATTAAAATGTATAGATATTAATAGCATGTAGTATTAGCCTTCTTCTGTAATTAATGAAGAAATAAATAATTATAATATTTAAATTGATACCTAAAAGACACAAAATATTTTGGTGAAATAATAATAAATGTTAATTAAGAATAATATACATTAATTATATGAGTTCAATCCTATAATATTATTTAAGTAATATATGAACTAAACTCTATATATCGTTTCAAACAATGATAATCTCTAAATGTAAATTTAAATAAGATTTAGAGTATGTGGAGTGGGAGAAATCGTTTAAGTTGATTCTGGTTTTGTTACGTAAATATGTTATTTTTTATATTTAAATTTATTTTTATTTGATTTAGGTGTTACTTATGTCCATAAGATAGATATTCCTTAGTTATACCAAATATGGAGACAGATTAGAACAAGTTAAATTGTTTAAAATGTCCTATATAGGCTAAGAGCTGTTCAGGAAATACCATCATACTTAATAATGGCTATTGGAGGATTAATAAATTGTCTGATGAAATTTATACTTGCAACACAAAAGGATGTATAGAAGATAGTTTAAGCAGTAAATTTGGATGTGATAAAGGATATATTGGTCCTCTATGTGATTCTTGCGATAGTAAAGGAGAAATTTGGAATGAGCATTTTGGTAAAAAGAATAATGATGAGTGTTTACCTTGCAAATAAGCTCTGTCTTAATATCTTTATTTTTTTGCTCTTATTTTATTTTATATTTTTTACATCACAAACAGCATCAATAGCTAATTCAATAAGAAAATGATACTTTTTAAGCTAGATGTTTTGAGAAAAATGGATCTTTTTATAACCAGTAAGTCATGCTCGTAGGGTTAAGATTTATATTTGTGGATCAAGATTTTCATAAACTATTTTCAAATATTTCAAATATTCTTTTTATTCACTGCTAATATTCCTTAATAAATTGAGTAAATAATAAATCTTTTTGGTGAACCTGTTAAAATGACTGTGGCTAGTTTAGATTGTTTGTTCATTATGACAGATAAATTTCCACTTTGGTTTTTTAGAATTATTGTTTAAATCAGTTCTGTATTTATTTAATATTTATTGATATCTTTGATTGCATTCTATATCTTTAAAAGAAAGAAGTTAAAGCTGAACTTAGTTGGATAAAAAAAATTTATTTTCATGATGGTATTTGGATTCTTTTACTTATTTTACTAACCTTCAATATCAAAGTTACTGTTATAGGGATTGTTTTGTAGATAAATAGCTTAAAAATAGTATTTAATTGCTTAACTTAACTATGAATGCTATTCAGATACCCATTTGATCTACATATTTACTATTATTATTCCTTTCCTTTTCATATGGTGCGTTTGTATACCCTTTTATTATTATAGAAAACTAAAAGCATTTTAAAATTCACCTAAGCTAAGTAATAGATATGAATAGATATTAACTCATGGTATATTGTATAAAAGCTATAAAACATAATATGCATATTGGGAGATAATTAAAATACTTAAAAAATTATTGTTGATGATATTAATAAATACTTAATTGAGCCCAATCACCTAGATTATATTTATATAAATTATTTTATTATTTTATTAATATTTTTAAATAACCTTATCTCCATTTTAAAATTAGTAACAATAGAATTGTGAAAAGTTTTTGATTTTAAGACTCAATTATAGCTTTATTGTTTTAGGTTTTATCATTTAAGATAGTTAAGATACTGTTTTCAGTGTATTAAAAGTTTTAAGTTATATTAGCTTAGCTGTTATTAATCTCTAAGTTTTGTTTATGTTAATATATATAACTTTTAATAACATAGAAATAAAACAGATATATGGGTAAAATAATGTAAGTAAAATTACCTAGTTTATAATAATTATGAAAAGATATTTACCATATTTGCTGTATTTTATTAGAATTAGAAGAGTGAGCTATATAAGAGTACATAAGTTGTGGAAAAAAGTAATTATCAAATTTAGAAAAGTAAATATCTCAAAGTTAAAGGAATCATAAGAATTTAAAATATTTTCAGAAAGTATATAATAATAAAATGATAAAGGAAAAATTTAAGAAAAATAATCATTTAAAAATACAGAGTATTAAATTAATAAGCAATACTCTGAATCTAAAGCTTTTAAGGATGACTTAATTTTATGTTACCAAACAACAAAAAATGACAAATAGTTAATCTTTGATTCTCAGCTTATTTAGGAATTAGTAATTTTTTATTTTAATTCATATATTTATTATTTTTTATAAAATAAGGATTAACAAGTAAATCTTCCAATTTCTCCAGCTATGAATTACTTTTATAATAAGAAAACAAAAAATTATTGAATTTTTATCAAATTTTTATATGTTTGTGTTTTAAATATTTGACAAAATACATTTATATACTATAATTTAAAAAATAATTTATTTTAAGTGATAAAAAATTATTTTAATTTAAAATCTAAATAAATAAAATAAATAATTTATAATTTTTTAAAAGATTTTTATAATTAATAATAAATAAATAAAATAAATAATTTATTAATCGAAAATAATTTAATTAACTAATGAAATATAAATAAAATTTTAAAAATTTTAATAAATTTATAATAAAATAAAATTAATATAGTAGTTTTTATTTATATTTTTTTATTTTTGTTGTTATTCATATTATTAATAATTCTTTATTTTTTATGCTTTAATATTAATTACTAAAGAAATTTGCTTGATTTTTTAGTATTATTATTGTTTATTTAAAAAACAGCTTATTTTTAGAAAATTTTAGAATACTAAAAATGAATTATTTTAATTTCGATGAAGATATTCATATCTTTCAAGTAGACTAGAAGTTAGAGGTCTTAAAATATCCTTCTTAAAGCATCAAGCAGTAAATAGACAATAGGTTAAAAGAAAATCCAAACAATTTATATAGCTTAACCATAAAATGCTAAATAAAATATGAATATTATTTAAATTAGAAATGCATTAAAAATAATAAAATTAATTTTAAAGTAAGACAAGAACAATGTAGATGCAAGATTTGACTTAGGTTCTATTATGTTTAAGTTCAAATTGAAATAGACCAGAAAATATTTTAGCCTAATTGATGAGTATTAGTAGATTGCGAATTAATATTGGAGGAAAAATTATATTGAGAGTGTAATTCTATCAGAAAATATGGATTTGAACAACTATCTGAAGATCCATTAACTTAAAATGAATCCTTAAAACTTTTGAATAAAGCTAAATAAATTGGAATTTATGATTATAATATTATAAGAAAGATTTCATTTTCTGAATTTAGCTTAAAGAATTATGAAATTATCATAAAAATAAAGTATTAAATGACCTATAAAAAAGTGAAGAACTCTACTTGAAATCTATTTAACTTGAAAATTTTTTATATGAATCTCATGCATAGCTAGCTTATATAAATCTTAATAAAAAGAACATTGAAAATGTAGTTAAACATTTTAAGAAGTGTATTTAAATTAAAAGTGATCATTCACCTACTCCTTACTCATAGTTAGCAGTCATTTACAGCAAAGATATAAAAGATAATGATAAATCTTACTACTATTTACAAAAAGGCTTATAATAGATTAAAAATGCCCTTATAAAAATTTAATAGCAGTATTGTAAAAATAAGATGAAACCTTTAGATAGACATACAAAAATCTTGAAAAAGATGAGCATAGCACCTATATTACATTAAACTAATTAAATAAAATAAAATAAGCTATACATGTATTTTATCTATTTTAGAATTGTTATATTGAGTATGCAATTATCAAATCAATCTTTAAATGAATAAGTTTAAATAATTTTGCTATAGAAACTTTATGACTATTTTTATTTTCTAACTAGAAAACAATGATATAACGTTATATATTTTATGTAATTTTTCTTTATATTTACTTAAATAAACAATAGATTTGAAATTAATTTTACTGTAAGCACCGATGGTTTAGTGGTAGAATAGAGCGTTGCCATCGCTTTGACCCGGGTTCGATTCCCGGTCGGTGCATTTTTGTTATTAAATAGACTATAAAAAATAACCTAAATTTAAAATTTACATATAAAGCTTATTTACATTTTAAGTTAAATATCTTTATTACTAATCAAATACATTTCCTACAAAAAGATTAAATATAAACAAAATAATTTACCTATATTTTATTAACTTTTTTATTTATTTATTAAATGTATCCTCTTCTTATATTCAATAACTAAATTCGAATTTAATAAGTAAAAATCATAGAAAAAACTGTAAACAAAAAACAAAAGATAGGAAAAGTATTAAAAATGAATATTAGATAAAAAATATTATTTACTGTATTATTACAGATATATAATTTATGTTAAGGTTAAGTAGCAGATGACTGTAATAGCTAAAGAGGTTAATACTTTGACTTTTCACAAAATTCATGTTTATAATGCTAGAATTCATGTTACAATTGCTTAGATCAAAATAAATGTTCATCATGCAATTTATAGACATTTTTGGTAAATTATTAAAAATTAGAAAAACTATTTATGTTTTCGATGGTAAAAGGACTACTAAACTAGCCAGTGCTAAAATTAATGCAAAGAAGGTGAGTATTAATCGAGCTTTTTTGGGGAATGCTAAGAATGTGAAATTTAGAATTGTCAAATATGCGACTCATCTTCTACTTGCAAATAATGTTAGTAAGGTTGGAGTCTATCATAAGATTAAAAGGCGTGTCTTAATAATATTTGCTTTTAGAATTCAAATTATTTTTACAATCCTTCAACATAGCAATGCTTACTATACTGTCAAGAAGGATAAGATGATAATAATAATAGAGTTTGTAATCCTTTTGTTTAAATAGGTGATATATATTCCTAAATAATACCTTCTCACCTCTATAGTAGCTGTATTATTTATAAACTTAAACTATTTACTGTAGAAGGCAAAAAATAAGTAAAAATTTATTTAATTAATTATCTTTCTATATCAATTTAATGTTTTTCTAATCTAAATAATAATAATAATAATAATAATAATAAGTTGATTGTTCTTTGTGAGAATCAAATCATATTTTATAGTTTAGAAAGTTTGGTACCACTGCAAATGATAAATCTAAGTGGAATCTTAATAGATGCTGTTTAATAAGATAATTTAATCTATATTTTGTTATAATCAAATGGCGAAGGTATAGTTGCAATATTAAATCTTCTGAATCAAGAAATAAACTATTAAAAAACTTAATTATAGTGTACTTTATAATAATTTAGTGGCTATTAACTTACTTGCTTTGAAGACGCTTACAAATTAACTTAGTTAGATATTTTCAGTTTAAATTAAATTAGTTTTAACTATTCAACAGATAATATAATAATAGTTACAAGTTTTACATAAAATGATTTGCAATAAAATGAGTAGTAATAAAACAGTGGTAGAATATTAGATGCAAAAAATAATAATGATGATCTACTTGATAAAAAAGATTATTTTAGAAATCTATAGACAGGACAAATTAATTTTGAGCCTTAGCAAAATCAAGATAAAATATTCATAAAACCATTAGAAATTCCTTTATTATAGTATCAATAAATTAATTTAAATAGTATATTCTATTACTTCAAATCATATAATGAAATTGGCAAATTAGTTGTTTTCAAACCTAGCACAAATTAATTGTATTATTTGGATATTACTAATCCAAATAATCCTTTATTAGCTGCTAATTTAGTAAATGTAGGTAGTCTAGTGTGCTATAGTTAAATTAATAAAACAGTTACATTTGTTTTATCTTAAAATTATACTAATTATTACAGTTACTTAGCAAATATACAGTATAATTAATCTTCTTCTGAATATTATATCTAAATGGTAAAATTAATTTTATTTTTAATATTTGATTTTTCAAAAAATTATAAAACGAAAATAAGGATTTCAAGTTTTTTATGAGCAAAATATTATTGAAATTATAAGTGCTAGAACCTTTTTATTGTATTTAAGCCCACTTGTGAGCAAAAAAATTTTACTCATTAATTTTTAACCATAGAAAAATTATTTTTTATTTTTTAAATTAAAAATATTTGAAGCCCTAAAAATAAAAATAGAAATTTTATTTTATACTTAATAATAAAATTAGATAAGAAAATTAGATCATAGCTAAGGAAATTTAAATTTATGTCTTATTGACAGCTAGACTCTTTTAACTGTTACTGCAAATAAGTTAGGTAAGTTTATTAAATTAAGTAAAATTATTTATAAACTTTTATAATAGGATGCTAAATTTATAACTTGAATAATTCAGATACCAATTTGTAATTTAGTTATAATTTTACTACGAAAAATAATTTAATCATAGAATAGGCATTAATAATTGAAAGTTCTTTCATAATTACTATAACTTAAGTTAATACAATTAATACATTAGTAAAAGTTATTCCTTATAATTAAAATGGATTTTAAACTAAAGATATCATAAATTATCAAATTTCGATCAATTATTTTGGTTAAATTGCATTAATAAAGTCAGTGTTTTATGATTAATACAATTAAATATTGTATATATCAAATTAATATGAAATCGAAATAATATCAGCTGATTCAAAATAGGAAAAACTTTATGCTAATGTTTAAGGAAGTAAAATGAGTTTAAATTATGGTTAATTAATAGATCTTCATTATTCTGATACTGATGGAGCTACATATCTTACTTATAAGTATGGATTTAGCATTATTTATGATGACTTTAAAAAGCAACCGTTTACAAACTATATTCATAAATAGCTCTATAAATCATAAATATTCGAATAATACTTTTTCTTAATAAGCGATTTTTATTGTATAATTATTGATACAAAATAAAAAAAGATATTAACTTTTAATATCGATTTATCTAACGTTACATAATTATAATTTAAATCAAATAAATATTATGTTTTAGCTGTTTATAAAAATCAAAATTCTTAATACTCAATTTTCATTGTTTAAGGATATAATTAAATTTTATCATACTAATTTGAATCTGATCCAAATTTTGAAAATCAATCATTTTTTTAATTTGGTAATAGAATGATTTCATAACTAGAAGAAGGTATTTTTAGATAGTATATAATTTAAGCATAATAATTAGAAAAAGAGTATTAGTTTACGGGTTTTACTCTTAATAACAATATTCCAAATAGTCAAAATTAGTAAATTATTAAAGTAGAAGGTTAAATTACTTAACTAATAGCTTTTAATTATGAAACCTAATCTATGATTTATTACGATTATACAGCTAAACCTAATACATTTTATGTTGTTTGTAGCATAAATACCTATACTAATACTATTTACGGTTTTAAAGGTTATTATTTATAATTTTTTAATTTATTAAATCAAAAATTGTTAGAATTAAGAACATCTTCAACTAAAGTATCATGCAATACATAACAAGCTAAAAACTATTAAATCATTTTATTAAATGGAGCTTTATATAGATATAACTTGACTGATTTTACCAATATAGATATATCCTCTTAGTATAAAGCTTTGAATTTTTTTATTTATAATTCATAATTTTCAAACTTTCTAAAAGATGGAAAATAATTCATTATTTTCAATATCAATAATGTAAGTATTTAAAATTTTGTTGCAATTTATAAATTATTTTTTAATTTTATAATATTAGAATCAAACTGTGATTTATGATGCAGATGCAATGATGTTAAAATAAACAGTTTTAAATGTAGATTAAGATGTAAAAATATATAGAGCTTTAGGTAAAAATTAAATTGCTTTATTCAATAGTACATATGCAGCTACTATTTATGATAGCAATAGTGCATTTACTACTGTAGATTATAATCTTGGCAATTTAATCTCTTATAAGCCAAATTTAATAAAAAAATTTTTAGTATTTTAATAAAATTCTAATTTAGTGTTGTTTAATGTGCAGACAAAGTAACTTTAGTACTTGTGTAAATTTTTAATAAAAATAATTATTTGTTCTTTTAATTATAAAATTTTTGTTTTAAAGATACTATTTAATAGGTAGGCGAAGATCAAGTCATTAATTAGAACTTAGTAATTATTGAAAAAGATATCTATGTTTTAATTTAGACAGAAACTAATTAATTTTTATTATTAAACAAAAATAATCAAACAATGATAGTCTATAATAATTACACTGCAGTTTTTTTTTCTTAAGAAATAGAAACGTTTATTATTTAAGACTCTAAGAATAATTAATTATTGGCACACTAATTTAAGAGTGATAAATATGTTAAATTCTAAAGTAGTTTAATAGATTCTTTATCTACTATAACAAATAATTTTATATTCATCAAATAAATAAACTGTTTAGTAATTTAGTTTTCAAGTTATGATAAACTTGTGGTTTATAATTTTGAAAAATCATAATTTTACTTAATCACAATAGGTAAAAGTAATACATTTTACTCTCTTTATATCTATTAAGAAGCAAATAACATTTTAACACTTGATGATTATTCTATTTATAAACTCTAATTATTTGAAAAGAGCTTTAAATACTCTTAAAAAAGCATAGATAATTCTATTTAAACATTGATATCACATTTTTAGATACATTCAAAATATATTTACTATAATTTTGCTTCAGATATTATGTTTTTAGTTAATAGATAAAGTACTGTGTTTGGATTCAAGATTCAACCAGTATTTTAATAAATTTGTTAAATACCAACGGATAGTATTTAGATTTATTAAATTTCATCTCAATCAATGGTAAGTTTATTACTTTTTATTTATCCTTAAAATAACTTTTTTTTTAATTTAGAAAATTATTTTGATTTCATAGAGTTATATATATTCAATAGATTTGAATAACTGCTCAGTAATTCAAAATTAATCTCAGGGATTTTATACTTAATCTGGAATGGATTTAAGTTTTATGAATACAATTCTAATAGATTCTTAATAAGATTTAGTTTATGTTATTAATAGTCCAAAACTAAGTATTTATTAACTTTCTAACCTATAATTTTTATTAGGTTATTAATATGAAAGTGGCTCAGCATCTGTAATTCCTTAAATTATTGAACAGACAAACGAAATACTTATCTATCATAAAGGTGTGATTACAAATTTTGATATTAATTTATCTTTGTTTGGAAAATAAGAGTTTAATAATAAACTCCTTATTAAAAATTATTTTTAATTTAAGGTAGACAATAATTAGTATTATGTTGTCTTATATTAAAATACAGGAATCATCTAAGTAAAAGATAAAGAATTAAAAAATATTCTCTATATCAAGCTATAATCTCCTTTAACACTAAACGGTTTCAATTTACTAATTAATAAAGTTAATAATACTACATTAATAATTTTCTTGTCAAGCTAGTTAATTTAAGTTTTTGATATAACTTAAATGCAAATAATAAAAAATATTAACTTATAATTTTAGTGTTTATCAATTAAATTTTATTAGCAAAGCTCATATTGTTAAGTTGGTTAAACATAGATTTTTAAGCTTCAAAATAATTTCTTATTTACTTAAATATTTTAAATGAGCTAATCTAATGACAAAATTATTGAATATTATATTCTATCAGAAGACTTATTAGCAATAGTTAACGATAATTATTAACTGTTAATATTTTCTCAATAATATAAATTACAGCAAGTTGTAAATATAAATCTTCAAAGGAATTCACAAGTATTTTTATTTCTTTCTTATTTTATATCTTTTGATTTTTAATAATAAATTACTATTTATTATAGGTTTAATTATTTAATAATACTTACCTTGCAATCAGTACAGCATAATCTTTAGCGATTTTTAACATTACTCTATCATCTATGGAAGTTAATCCAAACAATTTACTACTTTAGATAAACGAATAGAATTATATGCAATATTTTACTATATTGACTTAGTTAAATAACCCATTGCTAGTTTATTCTTCAAACTATCAAGCCTATGTTTATGATCTAGTTTAGTAAAAAATAATGTGCTACCTTTAGAATTCTTAATAATTTGGTCAAAAATTTGTATTTGATGAAAAGTATTTTTACATCATAGGATATTCAAATGTAATAATATATGATGTAATATCGTTCAATTATATTAACTATTACAAGCACAACTCATTTAAGCACTCTTAAATAGTAGACATCCAAAGAATTTATCAAGATTATTTTATTTTGATTTGCAATAGTGAAATACAAATAATTATAGTTAATACTCATTATTCAGAGTTGGTTTAAAGCTTCAAAGATATCTTTTAGCCTGAAGAACTCAGTTTTAATTTATTATTTGATAATTTTAATCAATTGTCTGGAATAGATATTTAAGTGATCAGCTCAGATGCAAAATTAAATTTATTTACTTACAGTCTTAATTAAACCTTTTTTTAGTAAAATTAAATTTCTTAAATCTAAGTCATCTATGGTAATTAAATTGAAGAATACTATTAAACAGTAAATATTATTCTATTTTTTAATTTTAAATCTAATTATTAATCACCCTATTTTCTCGAAAAATATCCAATCACAAATTTAATTAGAAATTATAAAAATTTATTGATAATTTCAAAATTTTTTTATTTTGATATTTAATTTGTATTTAAACAATAGAGTTAAAGGTTACAGTAGAGGGCATCTAACCTTAATGGCTATTTAGGAGCATATAATATTTAAATATAGAAATAACTTTAAGACATTGAAATTCCTAAAATAAAGTTATTTTAGAATATTATATCCCCATTTACTCTAGTAAAATATAATACTCTAATAGATCCAACAGAAACAAATTAATAATTTTCAAATGTTTTGCTTACTAGTAATAATTTTTTAACAGAGGAAATATCTAATTAAAATATTTTAAGGTTGGCATTTATTTAATTAAATATAAAAGTAAATATCACTTCATAGGATTTAGAAATAAATAAATACGGATCACTCAATTATTTATTATTAGATTAAGTTAATTTAATATTCTTTAATTATTCTTCTACATTATTTATTAGCAATATCACTTAGGTAGTAATTTAAAGTATGACCATACAAGATTAGTATTTGCATAGAAATAAATCAGTAATAACTATATAAAATTCTTAGAGTGTACTAATTGAGTAACTAGATATAAAAAATATAAATTATGTTTTTGAAGAAATTAGTCAGGACACCTAAAATGGTTTTATTAAATTTAATAATATAACAAGGGTATATATTAACTATATGAATATCTAAAACTTAAAATGGAAAGGAAAAATTATTTAAATACTTTTTTCAAGTAATATAACTATAAATAATTTAATTATTGATAACTCGAAGTTCTAATAGTATAATTTAATTGAATTTATTATGCTTGATAATTTAGAAATAAAAAACTTGGTTTTAACAAATATTACCTACTTTAGTTAGTCTAAAAGAATTATGGAAACAGAATAGTCATAACACATTTCAAGAATAATTTATCTTTAAGGGGTTTATAAATCAATATTTTAAAATATTTAAGTCAATCAATTGAATAACACTGGTATACTATTAGCAGAATAATTCTAAAAAAATGATGTATCTTTATTTTACAATTCATATTTAAATTTTAATAAACTTACAATCTAAAATGTTACTATTGATTAAGATTTTAGCTAAATGAATATTCTTTTTGAAATAAACGCGTTGAATTGCATTTTTTCAAATACCAAATCAGAATACTTAACCTTAAATGGGATATTTGCCTAGATAGAAGCTAAAAATTAAATCTAAATTACAGATTCAAACTTTGCACATTTTCAATTTACTAATTCAAACGTAGGAGGAATTTTTAATGTTCAAAGTATGTATTTGTTTTTGAATAATACTAACTTTAAAAATAGTACCTCTTTAGGGTTTGCAAATGCTCTTTAAATATTATCAACCTAAAATTTATAGATATAATACTGTAAATTTATTAATTTAACTAGCAGCTCCATTCCAAAAATATCGTCATAGTAATCAGCTGGAGCTATAGAAATTAATTAAGCAGCTCAAGCTTATTTAAAATATAATACATTTAAAAGCTGTGTTTCTTAAAGCTCAGGAGGTTCTTTATACATAAGTTTGCTAAATTAATAAAGTTTTATAATCATAGATCAATGCATATTTGAAAATAATTATTCTAAATTAAAGTCTGGAGGTGCAATTTTTGTAGAAAATTCATATAATATAACGGTTATTTCAAGTACATTTAATAGAAATTAAGCAAAATCTGAAAAAGGAGGGGCTATAGCAATCATAAATTCTAATTTGTTTATTCTATAAGATACTTTATTTGAAGAAAATGAATCACTGATAGGTGGTGCTATTTGGTATGATTAATAAAGCTCAATAAAAAATTCAAAAGAAGTAAAATACTCTAACAACTCTGGTAAGTTTATATAATATATTATTTTATTAAGGAAGAAATTTATTTTTTTGATTTTTAAATTCCAAAAATATAATTTTAATTTGTTGTGATATTTTTGTTGTTTCATTTTTTATATTTTATAATATTCATTAAATTTTAATATAAAATAGGAATATGTTATGGTTAGAATTTAGGCTCTCGTCCCAGATCTATTCAGAGAGTAACATAAACCAATAAAATCATATTAAATAATGAGATTACAGGTGTATCTAGTGGTAATTAGTTAAAGAACATGGAGTATTTTAATTTTTTTGATGAAGAAAATAATCCATTGAAATGTATAGATATTAATAGCATATAGTATTCGCCTTCTTCTGTAATTAGTGAAGAAATGAATAATTATAATATTTAAATTGATACCTAAAAGACATAAAATATTTTGGTGAAATAATAATAAATGTTAATTAAGAATAAAATACATTAACTATATGAGTTCAACCCTATAATATTGTTTAAATAATATATGGACTAAACTCTATATATCGTTTCAAATGATGATAACCTCTAAATGTAAATTTAAATATAATTTAGAGAATGTTAAGTGGGAGAAATCGTTTAAGTTGATTCTGGTTTTGTTACGTAAATATGTTATTTTTTATATTTAAATTTATTTTTTTTTGCTTTAGGTGTTACTTATGTCCATAAGATAGATATTCCTTAGTTATACCGAATATCGAGAGAGATTAAAATTAGCTAAATTGTTTAAAATGTCCTATATAGGCTAAGAGCTGTTCAGGAAATTCCATCATACTTAATAATGGCTATTGGAGGATTAATAAATTGTCTGATGAAATTTATTCTTGCAACACAAAAGGATGTATAGAAGATGATTCAAGTAGTAAATTTGGATGCGATAAAGGATATATTGGTCCTCTATGCGATACTTGTGATAGTAAAGGAGAAATTTGGAATGAGCATTTTGGTAAAAAGAATAATGATGAGTGTTTACCTTGCAAATAAGCTCTGTCTTAATATCTTTATTTTTTTGCTCTTATTTTATTTTATATTTTTTACATCACAAACAGCATCAATAGCTAATTCAATAAGAAAATGATACTTTTTAAGCTAGATGTTTTGAGAAAAATGGATCTTTTTATAACCAGTAAGTCATGCTCACAGGGTTAAGATTTATATTTGTGGATCAAGATTTTCATAAACTATTTTCAAATATTTCAAATATTCTTTTTATTCACTGCTAATATTCCTTAATAAATTGAGTAAATAATAAATGTTTTTGGTGAACCTGTTAAAATGACTGTGGCCAGCTTAGATTGTTTGTTCATTATGACAGATAAATTTCCACTTTGGTTTTTTAGAATTATCATTTAAATCAGTTCTGTATTTATTTAATATTTATTGATATCTTTGATTGCATCCTATATTTTTAAAAGAAAAAAATTAAAGTTGAGCTTAGTTAGCTAAAAAAGATATACTTTTATGATGGTATTTACATTCTTTTACTTATTTTACTAACCTTCAATTTCAAAGTTACTGTTATAGGGATTGTTTTGTAGATAAATAGCTTAAAAATAGTATTTAATTGCTTAGCTTAACTATGAATGCTATTCAGATATTCATTTGATCTACATATTTACTATTATTATTCCTTTCCTATTCATATGGTGCGTTTTTATACCTTTTTATTACTATAGAAAACTAAAAGCATTTTAACATTCGCCTAAGCTAAGTAATAGATATGATTAGATATTAACTCATGGTATATTGTATAAAAGCTATAAAACATAATATGCATATTGGGAGCTAATTAAGATACTTAAAAAATTTTTGTTGATGATATTAATAAATACTTAATTAAGCCCAATCATTTAGATTATATTGATATAAATAATTTTATTATTTTATTTATATTTTTAAATCACACTATCACCATTTTAAAATTAATAACAATAGAATTGTGAAAAGTTTTTGATTTTAAGACTCAATTATAGCTTTATTGTTTTAGGTTTTATGATTTAAGATAGTCAAGATACTGTTTTCAGTGTATTCAAAGTTTTAAGTTATATTAGCTTAATTGTTATTAATCTCTAAGTTTTGTTTATGTTAATATAAATAACTTTTAATAACATAGAAATAAAACTGATTAATGGGTAAAATAATGAAAGTAAAATTACTTAGTTGATAATAAGTATGAAAAGATATTTACCATATTTGATGAATTTTATAAGAATTAGAAGAGTGAGCTATATAAGAGTACATTATTTGTGGAAAAAAGTAATCATCAAATTTAGAAAAATAAATATCTCAAAGTTAAAGGAATCATAAGAATTTAAAATATTTTCACAAAGTATATAATAATAAAATGGTTAATGCAAGATTTAAGAAAAATAATAATTTAAAGATACAGAGTATTAAATTAACAAGTAATACTCTAATTTAGAATCTAAAGCTCTTAAGGATGACTTAATTTTAAGTAGCCATACAACAAAAAATGACAAATAGTTAATATTTGATTCTCAGCTTATTTAGGAATTAGTAATTTTTTTATTTAAATTAATCTATTAATTTTTTTTTTTGAAAATAAGGATTAACAAGTAAATCTGCCAACTTCTCCAGTTATGAATTACTTTTATAATAAGAAAACAAAAAATCATTGAATTTTTATAAAATTTTTATATGTTTGTGTTTTAAATCTTTGAGAAAAAAAATTTAGATATAATAATTTAAAAAAATAACTTATTTTATGTGAACACAATTTTAATTTTATTTACGAACTGAGTAAAAATTATAAATAAAAAAAGTAAATAATATAAAGTTTATAAATATTCATATTTTGAAATAAATGAGTTACTTTATAAAAAAAATCTGTTAATATCGAATTTATAATAAATTAATTGAGAAAATTACTTATTTTATTTTTAAAAATTCTTTAGAAAATACAAGATTTTTTAAAATATAACCAATACTTTCATAAAAATACTTATGATCAATTTTTAGAAGCTAGTATATAATTATTTGATATATTAATAGATTTTGATGCTGAAAATAGTATTCTATTTATAGTCTAATTATTTATGTTATTGTGTATAAATGAATTTTATATTCATTTTTTTTATTTAGTTTTCTTCGTCTTTAATGGTATGTTTATTTAACAAGTCACAATTTTCTGATTGCTTATGTAGTTCTATGATATGGTTGCTTTCATTATTTTTAGGCTAAACTAATATTTATTTTTATTTAATTTAATGTCTTTATATTGATACCATAGATATATCTAATTATGACTAAGGAACTAGACTTAATTTCTTCTTCATAAATCTTAATTTATCAACCGAAATTTAAGAAGTTAGTATGAAAAATTTATTTTATTTATTCTATTCCTCTGCGAGTTTTTCTTATTTTAACTTTTCAATCTCGGCTTTTGGTTTTATGAGTGTGCAAATAAAATCTTTAACAAGATTATAAATACCTTTTAATAGATCTACAACAACACTAAAAATATGTATACTTAAAATTAAAGATGCACTACCAACTATAATCCATCCTATGTTAAATCTATTTTCCTCTCTTTAACTTTCATCATCTTTAACTAAGAAGCAAATTGTAACCTGCATTATTACTAGTAACACCTCACTTATTCCATTTTTTATATTAGCAGATTTTTCTTCTTAAGGCTTAATGTATAGATAATAAATTGATAGGAAAATATTCATAGAATTAATAATAACCATTTAAAAGTATACTTATCCATAAAAATACAATAAAACCATCATGTAAATAATTTTTCTAGCATAAATAATTACATTGGTATATCTACTCCACTTATACTGTAACTATTTTTATCTGGTTACTTTTTCATGCTCAATTTTTTATAAAAATTTTTTTTCATTTGAAGTCTTTAGATTAGATTCGTTTATTTTATTTTCTTACTTTTTATTCTATTATTTAGAATTTTGATCATTTTAAGGTATCACTAAACCTCCTATAATTGATCCAAATTACATTTGAATTTATGGGTCATTTAAGTTTTTGCAATTTTTTATGAAAATTGTTAACATTATTGGATATATTATAGTGAATAAAAAGGTTATAGAAAAGAGTGTGTAGTTAATAAAAGCAAGTGATTCATCAAATTAAAATCTGTAAAACTATAATAGAGAAGATAATAATAAATAAACATACACACATCCAATCATATCAAAAAAACCACAAAATTCCTAATTTTTTTAAATAATAAATTATTAAATTTAAGATTTAATCAATCATATGTAATGCTAAATTAAAAAGAATTGTCTTTTATATATTATATTGAAAATAGATAAGTGATGAATAAAATATTTTAGTTTTTATTTTTATAAGTATTTTATATTTTTTTATTTTATTTAATAGAGTGAATTGATATAGAATATTGCTTTATGACTATATTTGCCTTAACTAATTCCATAATTTACCAGATAAATAAATTTATAAATATAAATTAATTGAAAAATTATTTTTTTTATTTTAAAACATTCTTAGAAAATACAATATTTTTAAAAAATATGAACAATTACTTTCATAATAATACTTATGATGGATTTTTAGCTGATAATAAATCATTATTAGATATATTAATAGATTGAGGTGCTGAAAATAGTATTCTATGAGTAGTCTAATTATTTATGTTATTGTGGATAAATGAATTTTATAAATTCATTTTTTCATGGTCTGGAGAGTTTTTTAATTCAAAAGAAGAGTTTTTCTATTCATTTTTTTTAATTTAGTTTTCTATGTCTTTAAGGGAATGCTTATTTGACTAGCCATAATTTTCTGATTGCTTTTGTAGTTCTATGATATGGTTGCTTTCATTATTTTTAGGCTAAACTATTATTTATTTTTATTTGGTTTAATGTCTTTATATAGATACCTTAGATATATCTAATTATGACTAAGGAACTAAGCTTAATTTCTTTTTTATACTTCTTAATTTATCAATCGAAATTTAAGAAGCTAGTCTTAAAAATTTATTTTATTTATTCTATTCCTAAGCGAGTTTTTCTTATTTTAAGTTTTCGATCTCTGCTTTTGGTTTTATGAGTGTGCAAATAAAATCTTTAACAAGATTATAAATACCTTTTAATAGATCTAAAATAACACTAAAAATATGTATAGTTAAAATTAAAGATGCACTACCAACTATAATCCATCCTATGTTAAATCTATCTTCCTCTCTTTAACTTTCATCATCTTTAACTAAGAAGCAAATTGTAACCTGCATTATTACTAGTAATACCTCACTTATTCCATTTTTTATATTAGCAGATTTTTCTTCTTATGGCTTAAGGTACAAATAAAAGATTGATAGGAAAACATTCATAGAATTAATAATAATCATTTATAAGTATACTTATCCATAAAAATATAATAAAACAATCATGTAAATAATTTTTCTAGCATAAAGAATTACATTTGTATATCTACTCCACTTATACTGTAACTGTTTTTATCTTGCTAGTTTTTCATTTTCAATTTTTTATAAAGATTTGTTTTCATTAAATGTCTTTAGATTAGATTGGTTCAAGTTGTTTTCTTGTTTTTTGTTCTATTCCTCAGAATTTTGATCATTTTAAGGTATCACTAAACCTCCTATAATTGATCCAAATTACATTTGAATTTATGGGTCATTTAAGTTTTTGCATTTTTTTATGAAAATTGTTATCATTATTGGGTAGATAATAGTGAATGCAAAGGTTAAAGAAAAGAGTGTATAGTTAATAAAAGTAAGTGATTCATCAAATTAAAAACTGTAAAACTATAATAAAGAAGATATTAATAAATAAACATACACACATCCAACCATATCAAAAAAGCCACAAAATTCCTAATTTTTTTTAAATAAAAAATAAGTCAAAACTAGCTTAGTAAAATTTCATAACTTTTTTAAATAACTTAAAATAATTGATAAAAATATACCCATCCACTTTTGATTTTATTTCTTATATATACTCTTATAGAAGTTATAGGAATATAAGATAGAATTTTGATAACTCCATATATTGCTATGATACCAGCCATAGTTGTAAGAGATTATCCTGCTCCATTAAAAAAATATCTATTTAATTAAAAATATTTAAACAAATTTATTTGAAAAATGATATTTTACGCATCATATCCATTATCAATGAATTTCTTGGGAGTGTACGGTTGAGTATAATTAGAATCCATTAAATAAACTTATATTGCGTTTGGAATGAAAGCAAACTGGAAATTTTAAAATATAGAACAAAATGACATAACATTATCAGGATATCTAACATCAATAAAGAGCATAAAATAAATAAAAGTTGTTAAATCTATTGTACTAAAAAGAACATAGGTATTTCCTATCACTATCATAAGTATCATCATTATAAGTAAGGAAGAGGAAGCTCCAGAAGCAACTTATTTAGTCTGTTAAGACTATTAAATTTAAGATTCTGAAAGAACTACATATTCATTAAGTTTTACTTCTTTTTGTGGATCGACTAAGTTATTAATCTACACAAAGCTATGATCTTTCATCTAAACTACCAAGTTCTTATTTTTACAATTTTCTTATAATTTTAATTAAATTTTTATTGATTTTTCCTAAACCTATAGGATAGTAACTTAAAAAGGGTTTGCATAATCTTATATTTAGATTTTTAATTAACTATCAAAATTTTAATCTTCCATAACTATTTAATTTTTAAAAAGTAAAGTAACATTATATCCTACATTTTAAATGACAGTTTACTAAACAGAGAAATCATTCTATATTGATAAAATACATTAAGAATCAGAATCTAAATTATATTTATCATTACATGTTTAGCATAGATTTGGCTTATATGGTTAACATTGACTACACTGAAGAACTTTGCATTAAGTTGAAACACACTAATTTGTAGATGGATCTAATACATATCCAGAATTACAGCTTTTACATTAAGTTTTATTATTTGGAGGGTCTTAACATTCTTTGCAGTTGTCTAAGCTGCAATTGAGCTAGCATTAAACAGTTTAACCAATTAGATTAAAGTGATATTCAGTAATGCATTATTGACATGTACTCCCATCTAAAGGATCACATTTTTAACAATATTAAACATTGCACTAACATTAGTTCGAACTAAAGTTATATCCATTTTAACATTACAAGCAAATGTTTCCATTGTTTGGGTCACATCTTTTACAATTTGCAAAATTACATTTATTTGTTTAACTTATAGGATCATAGGTATAACCTGGCTTAGGAGAAATACATATTTTTCCATTGTTTGGATCGCATTAATTACAGCTGTTTACTTAGCAATCACATGATGTTCTAGAAGAATTTAATAAGTAATTATTCACACATGTATTACATATATTTCCATCTGTTGCACTACATTGGCTGCAATTCTAAACATTACATAAGCAAGATCCACTTTATGAAATTATGAAATTTGAATAACAAATTTAACACATGAGCCCATTAAGAGGAGTGCACGTTTAGCATCCATAAACTTAGCAAGTACAAATTGGCGATTAGATACCTACTGGTGCATAGTTTGTTATGCAGCTATCGCATAAATTACCATTTAAAGAATTACAAGTTTAGCAATTAGAAACATTACATAAACATTTACTATTTATAGGGTTCAGATTATATCCACTAACACAAGTTTAGCATTAAGTACCATCTAAAAGATTACACTGAGAACAATTTGGAATAGCACATGAACACTACTTTTTGTCTAAGCTAATTAGATACCCATTTACACAAAAATCACAAATTGTACCATCTTAAGAATTGCATGCTTAACAATTTTACACAGAGCATGAACAAGTAGTTTAATCAATGCTTTATATATAACCATTTATGCATGTCTAACATAAACTAGGTTAACCAATTACACATTAACTACAATTGTCTACATTACAAGGATAACAAGAAGTTCTGTCTGAACTTAAAGAAAAATGATTTTAGCATTGCTAACAAAGTCCTAAAATTCATATTTAAATAAATATTTTTTAAAATTAAATTTTATAAAAAAAATTATTTTTATTGGATTTAGAAAATATATTAAATTAACTAAATACCTTCTCCTGAGCAGCTTAAGCAGTTTTAAATTGTACACAAAGCGCAATTTACCGGATTTGCGGTTACTATATAATAATTACCTGTAGGGTTACACAAAGTACATTATTGATTTTAATCACATTACTAACAGTCATTTCCGCTGCAATTTTTACTGCATAGGCCTGTTTAAGGATCACGTGAATACAATAGAGGGCACATCACAAAAGTACAAGTATAAGAGATAGGATCATAAGTATATCCTAATTAGCACTAAGAGCATTAGCTTGGATTTGGACATTAAATGCAATTATTTACAGGGCAACCACATGTATAAAGAGAATAATTTTTATGTTCATAGATAAGAATAGTCTAAGAATTTAAGCATTTGTATTAAGATAAATTTACTTATCCAGGACAAATTTACCACTTATAGTAAGTATTTTACTTTTACATATAACATTTAGTACTGTAGGCTTAGCAAAATGAAAATGTTGATTAATATTAGTCTAATTTAATTATAAAAATAATATTATTATTTACAAAAGTTTTAATTTCAATTTAATTATTAAATTTAAACATAGATTTATATTTTATATTGAATACTATTTATTTTAAACCATTAAATTAAAGTTTAAATTTACATGCAAGACAAGCCCTTCCAGGATTTGCAATACAATTTTTGTTAGCATCTAAGGAATAACCTGGTAGACATTTAACACAAGTAGCTGTTTGTGAAGAAAGAGAGCTTTTGATACATGAAAAGCAATTGTTTATGTTGCAATCTTAAGTTTATTCACATACTTTTTATCCTGATTGTAGTGTATACCTATCAAACCCTTAAAGACAACTGCTGCAATTAGTACTGTTTAAGCAAATATCGCAATTTTCTACACAATTAGCCCATGTTCTTAACTTTAAAACACCATACCATGAAGAATCACTAATTACATGTTATACGAACTTCACTTTTATCTAGTCTGATGCTAGATATTAATTCAATTAAACTGTTTCCTTACTTACTTACAAATTTCCAGACCAAAAAGAACATTTTAGTTTATAATTATATTCCAAACTCGTACCTGTATTTGCGCCACTATAGTATTAACTGAACAAAGAAGTATTTCCATCAAATATAGACATATTTAAGAAGTCATCTTTCACTAAATAAACTAAATCAACACCAAAAAAAGAATAAGGTTATGTGATTGATTTTATCAGTTAGAATCCTTTAGGATCACTAGACATATCTGGTGATAATATGTCAATATGAATTCCATTATCTGTTCTCGAACATTAATATTGGCAAGTTCCACCAGAAAAAGAACCAGAAACTAATGACCAATACTAGCTAAAAATATTAGAGCAGGAAAGACTAGGAGTAAAATCTTAATAGTAGATCACTTCTAACCCTATTTATTAAAATAAAATTAATAGCTTTTTTAATATTTAACTTCTACGTATTTTATGTTAAACAAAAAAAAGTAGAATGATCATTTAATGAAAAATAAAGTAATAGATATACCTCTCACAATAATACCATTAATTGCTAGGAATAAGACAAGTAGAAAGAAAAATTATTACATCATTTTTTAGCTAAAATATACTTAAATAATATTCCTCTCTATTTACTTTTTGAATTAATCTGAATTTTGTTTTTGACAAAATTTTGTTACTTTTAAAAAAAATAATATATAGATAAATCAAATACAAATAGTTTTTAGATACACAAATAACGAAATAAATCAGTCTTTTGAATACCATATAAAAACATATATATGGAATATAATCAAACTAAACACAACACCATTGAATTTTTTAAAAGATAATCTCAACTCCTTGATATTTGAATCTGATTAATTTATTTTTACAAAGATATTAAATAAGGAATAATAATTAATTTTGATTAGTTGTGCTTACTCAAGTTATAATTCATGATATACTTAAAAATAAAAATATTTATGCCTTCTACATTTTTTCAAGTAAATTTAAAGTATTGATTTAAAAAGATATTTTACAAGGATTATTTTAAGTTCATCTCTGATAACAAATTTGAGTAACCAAGTACTGATTTTACCCTTATGTCATATTACTTAAAATACGCACTTTCTGATATTTGCTTTAATTCAAAATTATTAAATAAATGCATTATAAATATATTTTATATCACATATACACCAAATTATTTATTAAATAATATATAATTTAATTTTTACTATATTAACTCTAAATTTTTTGATTTATATTATTTTTCAATATTTCATATAAAGTTGATTAATATTTATTTTGAAATAAATGAGTAACTTTATAAAAAAAATATGTGTTTATCGAATTTAAATAAATTAATTGAAAAAAATTTTTCTTTTTATTTTAAAACATTCTTTAGAAAATACAAGATTTTTTTAAAATATGAACAATACTTTCATAAAAATACTTATGATCTATTTTTAGCAGCTAGAATATAATTATTTGATATATTAATAAATCATGGTGTTGAAAATAGTATTTTATTTATAGTCTAATTATTTATGTTATTGTGTATAAATGAAATTTATTAATTGATTTTTTAATGGAATGGAGAGTTTTTTAATCAAAAAGAATTATCATTTTTTTTTATTTAATTTTCTTCGTCTTTAAGGGTTTGTTTATATAACAAGTCACAATTTTCTGATTGTTTTTGTAGTTCTATGATATGGTTGCTTTCATTATTTTTAGGCTAAACTATTATTTATTTTTATTTTATTTAATGTCTTTATATTGATACCATAGATATATCTAATTATGACTAAGGAACTAAGCTTAATTTCTTTTTCATAAATCTTAATTTATCAACCGAAATTTAAGAAGTTAGTCTTAAAAATTTATTTTATTTATTCTATTCCTCAACGAATTTTTCTTATTTTAAACTTTCTATCTCTGCTTTTGGTTTTATCAGTGTGCAAATAAAATCTTTAACAAGATTATAAATGCCTTTTAATAGATCTACAACAACACTAAAAATATGTATAGTTAAAATTAAAGATGCACTACCAACTATAATCCATCCTATATTAAATCTATCTTCTTCTCTTTAACTTTCATCATCTTTAACTAAGAAACAAATTGTAACCTGCATTATTACTAGTAACACCTCACTTATTCCATTTTTTATATTAGCAGATTTTTCTTCTTATGGCTTAATGTATAGATAATATATTGATAGGAAAATATTCATAGAATTAATAATAACCATTTAAAAGTATACTTATCCATATAAATACAATAAAACCGTCATGTAAATAATTTTTCTACCATAAAGAATTACATTTGTATATCTACTCCACTTATACTGTAACTACTTTTATCTTGTTAGTTTTTCATATTCAATTTTTTGTAAATATTTGTTTTCATTTGAAGTCTTTAAATTAAATTCTTTCAAGTTGTTTTCTTATTTTTTGTTATATACATCAGAATATTGGTCATTTTAAGGTAGCACTAAACCTCCTATAATTGATCCGAATTACATTTGAATTTTTGAGTTATTTAAGTTTTTGCAAATGTTTAATTAACTGTCAAAATTTTAATCTTCCATAACTATTTAATTTTTAAAAATTAAAGTGATATTATAGCCAACATTTTAAATCACGGTTTACTAAACAGAAAAATCATTCTTTATTGATAAAATACATTGAGAATCATAATTTAAATTATATTTATCATTACATGTTTAGCATAGATTTGGTTTATATGGTTAGCATTGACTACACTGAGGAACTTTGCATTAAGTTGAAACACACTAATTTGTAGATGGATCTAATACATATCCAGAATTACAGCTTTTACATTAAGTTTTATTATTTGGAGGATCTTAACATTCTTTGCAGTTATCTAAGTTGCAATTCAGCTAGCAGTAAACAGTTTAACCAGTTGGATTAAAGTGATATTCAGTAATGCATTATTGACATGTACTCCCATTTAAAGGATCACATTTTTAACAATATTAAACATTGCACTAACATTAGTTTAAACTGAAGTTATATCCATTTTAACATTACAAACAAATTTTTCCATCGTTTGGGTCACATCTTTTACAGTTTGCAAAATTACATTTATTTGTTTAACTTATAGGATCATAAGTATAACCTGGCTTAGGAGATATACATATTTTTCCATTGTTTTAATCACATTAATTACAGCTGTTTACTTAGCAATCTCATGATGTTTTAGAAGAATTTAATAAGTAATTATTCATACATGTATTACATGTATTTCCATCTGTTGCACTACATTGGCTGCAATTCTAAACATTACATAAGCAAGATCCACTTTATGAAATAATGAAATTCGAATAACAAATTTAACACATGAGCCTATTCAGAGGAGTGCAAGTTTAGCATCCATAAACTTAGCAGGTACAAATTAGCGATTAGATACCTACTGGTGAATAATTAGTTATGCAACTATCACATAAATTACCATTTGAAGAATTGCAAGTTTAGCAATTAGAAACGTTACATAAGCATTTACTATTTAAAAGGTTCAAATTATATCCACTAACTCAAGTTTAGCATTAAGTACCATCTAAAAGATTACACTGAGAACAATTAGGAACAACACATGAACACTACTTTTTGTCTAAACTAATTAAATATCCATTTACACAAAAATCACAAATTGTACCATCTTAAGAATTGCATGTTTAACAATTTTACACAGAACATGAACAAGTAGTTTTATCAGAGCTTTAAATATAACCAGCTATACATGTCTAACATAAACTAGGTTAACCAATTACACATTAACTACAATTTTTGACATTACAAGGATTACAAGCAGTTCTGTCTAAACTTAAGGAAAAATAGTTTTAGCATTGCTAACAAAGTCCTAAATTTCAAAATTAAATAAATATATTTTTAAATTTAAACTTTTAATAAAAAATATTATTTTTTAAAACTCGAAAAATTTTATTTTTTTGAGTTTAGTAAATAAATAAAATAATTAAATACCTTCTCCTGAGCAGCTTGAGCAATTTTAAATTGTACACAAAGCGCAATTGACTGGATTTGCGGTTTCTATATAAAAATTACCTGTAGGATTACATAAAGTACATTATTGATTTTAATCACATTACTAACAGTCATTTCCGCTGCAATTTTTACTACATAGACCAGTTTAAGGATCGTGGGAATATAATACAGGGCATATCACAAAAGTACAAGTTAAAGAGATAGGATCATAAGTATATCCTAATTAACACTAAGAGCATTAGCTTGGATTTGGACATTAAATGCAATTATTTACAGGGCAGCCACATGTATAAAGAGAATAATTTTTATGTTCATAGATAAGAATAGACTAAAAATTTAAGCATTTGTATTAAGATAAATTTACTTATCCAGGACAAGGTAACCAAGTAAAGTAAGTATTTTACTTTTACAAAAAACATTAACTACTATAGGCTTAGCAACCTTAAACCATTGATTAATACTAGTCTAATTAAGTAATAAAAATAAAATTATTATTAAAAAAATATTTTTATTTAAAATTATTTCAATTTGATAATTAAATTTAAACATAGAATTATATTTTATATTGAATAATATTAGTATTTTTAAACTATTAAATTATAATTTAAATGTACTTGCAGGACAATCTCCTCCAGTATTTGCAATACAATTTTTGTTAGTATCTAATGAATAACCTGGTAGACATTTAACACAAGTAAATGTTAGAGAAGAAGCAGGACTTTTGATACATGAAAAACAATTTGTTATGTTGCAATCTTAAGTTTATTCACATACTTTTTATCCTGATTATAGTGTATACCTATCAAACCCTTAAAGACAGCTGCTGCAGTTCGTATTGTCTAAGCAAATATTACAATTCTCAACACAATTAGCCCATGCCCTTAACTTCAAAACACCATACCAAGAAAAATCACTAGTTACATGTTATTTAAACTACAATTTTATAGTGTCTGATGCTAGATATTAATTTAATTAAACTGTTTCCTTACTTACTTACAAATTTCCAGACCAAAAAGAACATTTTAGTCTATAATTATATTCCACATTCGTACCTGTACTACCGCCGCTATAATTTTAACTGAACAAAGAAGTATTTCCATCAAATATATTCATATTCAAGGGGTCATCTTTCACTAAATAAACTAAATTAACACCAAAAAAAGAATAAGGTTTTGTAATTGATTTTATCATTTAGAATCCGCTAGGATAATTAGACATATTTGTTGAAAATATGTCAGCATGATTTCCGTTATCTGATCTCTAGCATTAATATTAGCAACTTCCACCAGAAAAAGAACCAGAAACTATAGACAAATACTAGCTAAAAAGATTAGAGCAGGAAAGAATAGGAGTAAAATCTTAATAGTAGACCACTTCTAACCCTATTTATTAAAATAAAATTTAATAGCTTTTTTAATATTTAACTTCCATATATTTTATGTTAAACAAAAAAAAGTAGAACGATATTTAATGAAAAATAAAATAATAGGTAAACCTCTCACAATAAAACGGTCAATAGTTGTTAGAAATAAGACAAATAAAAAGAAAAATTATTTGATCATTATTTAGCTAAAATATACTTTAGAAATATTTCTCCTCTTTGTTACTTTTTCAATTTATCTGAATTTTTCTTTTTGACAAAACTTTGTTTCTTTTAATTAGAATAATTTTTTACAAGTATTTACAAATAGTTTTTAGATACACAAATAAGGAAAATATTCAGCCTTTTGAATACTAGATAAAAACATATTAATGGAATATAATCGAACTAAATATAATATAGAGAGGTTAAAATTCTTTTTATTTTGATCTGGCTAATTTATTTTTACAAAAATGCTAAATAATATATAATAATCAATTTTTATTGTTTACTCAAGTAATAATTCATAATATACCTCAAAGTAAAATTTTTATCTCTGGCCACATTATTTTAAGTAACTAGATAGTATTAATTAAAAAGATATTTTATAGGATAATTTTAAGTCCATAAATGTAACAAATTTAGTAACCAAATACCAATTTCGCTCTCATGACACGTTACTTAAAATATTCACTTACTGGTTCTTGCTCTAATTCAAAATTATTAAAAGCATTAAAATATATTTAACATCTTATGTACATTTAATTAATTGTATTAAATATATATAATTCGCTTTTTACTGTATTAAGTAAGTAAGGAATATGTTAAGTATTAATTGAGAAGACTGAAAATAGATTTGTTAAATTTTTTGTATTTTTAATAGAAAAGAATATACAAAGAAAAATTTTTTTTAAATAAAAGCTAACTTAAGAGAAAATACAATAAGATATATGGGACAATTAAAGTCTAAAATTTATACCATAATTTAAATAATAATTTCAATGATTTTTACTATTAGTTATTTATGAAAAAAAAAATTCTTTTATTATTTGATTGTTTCTTTTAATTTTAGAAATCTTAGTAAAATAGATAATCAAATTTTTTTTAAAAAACATGGAATAGATATTTTTTTGGCATCAAATATTTATTTTTAAATAATTTTTCAAATATTTAATTAACAGACTTTACAAACTTTATGAAAATCCTTTTATTTATTTTAAATGTATGACATTATAAAAAATTCTTATTGCCAATAATTAGACTTATGTTTTAAATAATTCTTAATTTATTATTTTAGATAAAAATATTTGAAATCAATATTTAATTAACAATTATTAATTTTTTTATAGTCTTATTTAGTTGATCATATTTTTACTAGTTTCTAACTAGTAATTAATTTGCTGCTATAAGATTAAAATAATGATCTATATCATTGCGAACTTTTATTTAGCTTTTTTTGAATGAATAAAGTGCTATCTATCACTTAATAATGATTTGTAAGGTTAGAATATTTTTATGTTAAGAAATTATGACCTAAAATAAAAGTGAAGGATTATAAAATAGTCTTAACACTTTTAAAGAGAAATGTTTAGATTAAAAAGAATTGAAAAGTGTAATATCAAGTATTAAAAAATATTTCACTTAAAGAGGAAATAAACTATCCTGTCTTCATAAGAGCAGGTTAGATATTTTCAAAAATAGATTACTTGATTTCATTCAACTAGCTTTATTTTATTGCAAAAATAAAAATTCTAAATAAATGCATTTTTAGATTCTAAAATAAAAATTGTTTTACAAAAGGCAAATAATAAATTACATATTTTATTTATTTTGTTATACTAATTGTATAAAATAATCTTTATGGGATAACATATAATTAGTAATTAAGCATTTTAGTTTAAAAATCTATTACTTAGATGTTAATATTAACTTTATAATTAGTTATATGATAAACTATATAATATATCTTATTTTTAATACTAAAATGAATTTATTTTTTAAGATCATTCTAATCTTTATCATTTAAGCTTAATTCTTGTAAATTTAAATTATTTTTATTTTTTAGTTCTAATATAATTGGTTAAAAATATTTATTTTTATTGAAGGATATATCGTAGGTTAATTCTTTAGGCTATCTACCTTTTTAATTGTGATAATGAGAACCTAGAAGTTGATCCTTTTTAAGATATAATTGAACTAAAATTTTTTTAGATACTTCTGATTTTTTCTAAAGATATTGAGAAGCAACATCTATAGTTTTATACTTTGATTAATTAATATCTCCTAATTTATTTATATATTTTTTCTAACTCTTTTTTTTGATTTAAATAATGTGCAAATAAAGTCTTTAACTAAATTAGTTATACTTTTCAGTAGATTGATAATTACACTTAAAATATGAATAATTAAAATAGCAAAAGCTGATTCTATAATTACCCAATCAGCATTAAATCTATGTTATTCATCCTAAGTCTAATCATCCTCTACTAATAGACAATTTTTAATATTAGTATTCTTGTCTTCTTATGGTTTCATATAAAAATAATAAAATGTTATGAATACGATCATTAAGCTATTTAAAATAACCTAAAAATATGTAAAATATAAATAATTATCTAGGTTGTAATTATTTTCACAATTTTCGCATTTATCTAAATTATTTGCTAAAAATTATTTATACTTTTAAACTTTGCATTGAGTTATACATGTTGTTAATCTTTAACGTGCTAGGACAAGAGCAAACTTAATTATTATTTAAAAAAATATATCCATTAGGAAGAAACACAATGTAATATATATTATGAATTTTTTACTAAATTTGAAAAGAGGTAACCTCCCTTTCAAATAAACTTCTTAATTTTTATTTATGATTAATAGAATAATTCCAGAATATTTTTTTCTATTAAATATTTTTTATATTAATAATTCATTATAAAATGGCTGAAATTGTAAAAAATGTAATGAATTTAAAAATATTAGCTTTATTTGATTTATGCTTTTTAGTTTTGATTAAATATTTTTTCTAATTTATTTATATTTTAAACTAATAAATTATTAAATTTAATATTGAATCAATCATATGTAATGCTAAATTAAAAAGAATTGTCTTTTATATTTAATATTGAAAATAGATAAGCGATGAATAAAATAATTTAGTTTTTAGAAAGTTTTTAGTTTTATGAGTATTTTATATTTTTTTATTTTATTTAATAGAGTGAATTGATATAGAATATTGCTTTATGACTATCTGTGCCTTAACGAATTCCAAAATATGTCAGATAAATAAATTTATAAATATTAATTAATTAAGAAATTATTTTTTTTATTTGAAAAAATTCTTAAGAAAATACAATATTTTTAAAAAATATAAGCAATTACTTTCATAAAAATACTTATGATGGATTTTTAGCAGATAATAAATCATTATTAGATATATTAATAGATTGAGGTGCTGAAAATAGTATTCTATGAGTAGTCTAATTATTTATGTTATTGTGGATAAATGAATTTTATAAATTCATTTTTTCATGGTCTGGAGAGTTTTTTAATTCAAAAGAAGAATTTTTCTATTCATTTTTTTAAATAAAGTTTTCTATGTCTTTAAGGGAATGCTTATTTGACTAGCCATAATTTTCTGATTGCTTTTGTAGTTCAATGATATGGTTGCTTTCATAATTTCTAGGTTAAACTATTATTGATTTTTGTTTGATTTAATGTCTTTATATAGATACCTTAGATATATCTAATTATGACTAAGGAACTAAGCTTAATTTCTTTTTTATACTTCTTAATTTATCAATCGAAATTTAAGAAGGTAGTATCAAAAATTTATTTTATTTATTCTATTCGTCAGCGAGTTTTTCTTATTTTAACTTTTCGATCTCTGCTTTTGGTTTTATCATTGTGCAAATAAAATCTTTAACAAGATTATAAATACCTTTTAATAGATCTATAACAACACTAAAAATATGTATAGTTAAAATTAAAGATGCACTACCAACTATAATCCATCCTATGTTAAATCTATCTTATTCTCTTTGATTTTCATCATCTTTAACTAAGAAGCAAATTGTAACCTACATTATTACTAGTAATACCTCGCTTATTCCATTTTTTATATTAGCAGATTTTTCTTCTTATGGTTTAAGGTACAAATAAAAGATTGATAGGAAAACATTCATAGAATTAATAATAATCATTTATAAGTAAACTTATCCATAAAAATATAATAAAACCATCATGTAAATAATTTTTCTAACATAAAGAATTACATTTGTATATCTACTCCACTTATACTGTAACTCTTTTTATCTTGTTAGTTTTTCATGTCCAATTTTTTATAAAGATTTGTTTTCATCTGATGTCTTTAGATTAGATTGATTCAAGTTATTTTCTTGTTTTTTGTTTTATTCCTCAGAATTTTGATCATTTTAAGGTATCACTAAACCTCCTATAATTGATCCAAATTACATTTGAATTTATGGTTCATTTAAATTTTTGCATTTTTTAATGAAAATCGTTATCATTATTGGATATATTATAGTGAATACAAAGGTTAAAGAAAAGAGTGTGTAGTTAATAAAAGCAAGTGATTCATCAAATTAAAAACTGAAAAACTATAATAGAGAAGATATTAATAAATAAACATACACACATCCAACCATATCAAAAAAGCCACAAAATTCCTAATTTTTTTTAAATAAAAAATAAGTCAAAACTAGCTTAGTAAAATTTCATAACTTTTTTAAATAACTTAAAATAATTGACAAAAATATACCCATCCACTTTTGATTTTACTTCTTATATATACTCTTATAGAAGTTACAGGAATATAAGATAGAATTTTGATAACTCCATATATTGCTATGATACCAGCCATAGTTGTTAGAGATTATCCTGCTCCATTAAAAAAGTATCTATTTAATTAAAAATATTTAAATAAATTTATTTGAAAAATGATATTTTACGCATCATATCCATTATCAATGAATTTCTTGGGAGTGTACGGTTGACTATAATTAGAATCCATTAAATAAACTTATATTGCGTTTGGAATGAAAGCAAACTGGAAATTTTAAAATATAGAGCAAAACGACATGACATTATCAGGATATCTAACATCAATAAAGAGCATAAAATAAATAAAAGTTGTTAAATCTATTGTACTAAAAAGAACATAGGTATTTCCTATCACTATCATAAGTATCATAATTATAAGTAAGGAAGAGGAAGCTCCAGAAGTAACTTATTTAGTCTGTTAAGACTATTAAATTTAAGATTCTGAAAGAACCACATATTCATTAAGTTTTACTTCTTTTTGTGGATCAACTAAGTTATTAATCTGCACAAAGCTATGATCTTTCATCTAAACTACCAAGTTCTTATTTTTACAATTGTCTTATAATTTTAATTAAATTTTTATTGATTTTTCTTAAACCTATAGGATAGTAACTTAAAAAGGGTTTGCATAATCTTATATTTAGATTTTTAATTAACTATCAAAATTTTAATCTTCCGTAACTATTTAATTTTTAAAAATTAAAGTAACATTATATCCAACATTTTAAATGACAGTTTATTAAACAGAGAATTCTTTATCGATAAAATACATTAAGAATCAGAATCTAAATTATATTTATCATTACATATTTAGCATAGATTTGGCTTATATGGTTAGCATTGACTACACTGAAGAACTTTGCATTAAGTTGAAACACACTAATTTGTAGATGGATCTAATACATATCCAAAATTACAGATTTTACACTAAGTTTTATTATTTGGAGGGTCTTAACATTCTTTGCAGTTGTCTAAGCTACAATTGAGCTAGCATTAAACAGTTTAACCAGTTGGATTAAAGTGATATTCAGTAATGCATTATTGACATGTACTCCCATCTAAAGGATCACATTTTTAACAATATTAAACATTGCACTAACATTAGTTTGAACTAAAGTTATATCCATTTTAACATTACAAACAAATGTTTCCATCGTTTGGGTCACATCTTTTACAGTTTGCAAAATTACATTTATTTGTTTAACTTATAGGATCATATGTATAACCTTGCTTAGGAGATATACATATTTTTCCATTATTTGGATCACATTAATTACAGCTGTTTACTTAGCAATCACATGATGTTTTAGAAGAATTTAATAAGTAATTATTCACACATGTATTACATATATTTCCATCTGTTGCACTACATTGGCTGCAATTCTAAACATTACACAAGCAAGATCCATTTTATGAAATACTAAAATTTGAATAACAAATTTAACATATGAGCCCATTAAGAGGAGTACACGTTTAACATCCATAAATTTAGCAAGTACAAGTAGAAGATTAGATACCTAATGGTGCATAATTAGTTATACAGCTATCGCATAAATTACCATTTAAAGAATTGCAAGTTTAGCAATTAGAAACATTACATTAACATTAGTTAGAATTAAAGTTATATCCGCTTTAACATTACAAACAAATATTTCCATCGTTTGTATCACATATTTAACAGTTTTAAAAATTGCATTTATTTGTTTAACTTATAGGATCATAAGTATAACCTGGCTTAGGAGATATGCATATTTTTCCATTATTTGGATCGCATTAATTACAGCTATTTATTTAGCAATCACAAGATGTTTTAGATGAATTTAATAAGTAATTATTCACACATGTATTACATATATTTCCATCTGTTGCACTACATTGGCTGCAATTCTAAACATTACATAAGCAAGATCCACTTTATGAAATTTGGAAATTCGAATAACAAATTTAACACATGAGCCCATTCAGAGGAGTGCAAGTTTAGCATCCATAAACTTAGCAAGTACAAATTGGCGATTAGATTCCTGCTGGTGCATAGTTTGCTATGCAGCTATCACATAAATTACCATTTAAAGAATTACAAGTTTAGCAATTAGAAACATTACATTAACATTAGTTAGAATTAAAGTTATATCCGCTTTAACATTACAAACAAATATTTCCATCGTTTAGATCACATATTTAACAGTTTGTGAAATTACATTTATTTGTTTAACTTATAGGATCATAAGTATAACCTGGCTTAGGAGATATACATATTTTTCCATTATTTGGATCGCATTAATTACAGCTGTTTACTTAGCAATCACATGATGTTTTAGAAGAATTTAATAAGTAATTATTCACACATGTATTACATATATTTCCATCTGTTGCACTACATTGGCTGCAATTCTAAACATTACATAAGCAAGATCCACTTTATGAAATTTGGAAATTCGAATAACAAATTTAACACATGAGCCCATTCAGAGGAGTGCATGTTTAGCATCCATAAGCTTAGCAAGTACAAATTGGCGATTAGATTCCTGCTGGTGCATAGTTTGTTATGCAGCTATCACATAAATTACCATTTAAAGAATTACAAGTTTAACAATTAGAAACATTACATAAGCATTTACTATTTAAAGGGTTCAGATTATATCCACTAACACAAGTTTAGCATTAAGTACCATCTAAAAGATTACACTGAGAACAGTTTGGAACAGCACATGAACACTACTTTTTGTCTAAGCTAATTAGATACCCATTTACACAAAAATCACAAATTGTACCATCTTAAGAATTGCATGTTTAACAATTTTACACAGAACATGAACAAGTAGTTTAATCAAAGCTTAATATATAACCATTTATGCATGTCTAACATAAACTAGGTTAACCAATTACACATTAACTACAATTGTCTACATTACAAGGATAACAAGTAGTTCTGTCTGAACTTAAAGAAAAATGATTTTAGCATTTCTAACAAAGTCCTAAAATTAATATTTAAGTAAATATTTTTTAATATTAAATTTTATAAAAAAAAATTATTTTTTTGTATTTACTAAATAAATGAAATTAACTAAATACCTTCTCCTGAGCAGCTTGAGCAATTTTAAATTGTACACAAAGAGCAATTGATCGGATTTGCGGTTACTTTATAATAATTACCTGTGGGGTTACATAAAGTACATTATTAATTTTAATCACATTACTAACAGTCATTTCCGCTGCAATTTTTAGTGCATAGGCCTGTTTAAGGATCGCGTGAATACAATACAGGGCAAATCACAAAAGTACAAGTTTAAGAGATAGGATCATAAGTATATCCTAATTAACACTAAGAGCATTAGCTTGGATTTGGACATTAAATGCAATTATTTACAGGGCAACCACATGTATAAAGAGAATAATTTTTATGTTCATAGATAAGAATTGACTAAGAATTTAAGCATTTGTATTAAGATAAATTTACTTATCCAGGACAAGTTTACCAAGTATAGTAAGTATTTTACTTTTACATATAACATTTAGTACTGTAGGCTTAGCAACCTGAAATTGTTGATTAATATTAGTCTAATTTAATTATAAAAATAATATTATTATTTACAAAAGATTTAATTTCAATTTAATTATTAAATTTAAACATAGATTTATATTTTATATTGAATACTATTTATTTTAAACCATTAAATTAAAGTTTAAATTTACTTGCAGGACAAGCCCCTCCAGGATTTGCAATACAATTTTAGTTTGCATCTAAGGAATAACCTGGTAGACATTTAACACAAGTAGCTGTTTGTGAAGAAGGAGAGCTTTTGATACATGAAAAGCAATTGTTTATGTTGCAATCTTAAGTTTAGTCACATACTTTTTATCCTGATTGTAGTGTATACCTATCAAACCCTTAAAGACAACTGCTGCAATTAGCTATGTTTAAGCAAACATTGCAATTCTCTACACAATTAGCCCATGCTCTTAACTTTAAAACACCATACCATGAAAAATCACTAGTTACATGTTATACGAACTTCACTTTTATCTAGTCTGATGCTAGATATTAATTCAATTAAACTGTTTCCTTACTTACTTACATATTTCCAGACCAAAATGAACATTTTAATTTATAATTATATTCCATACTCGTACCTGTACTTGCGCCACTATAGTTTTAACTGTACAAAGAAGTATTTCCATCAAATATATTCATATTTAAGGGGTCATCTTTCACTAAATAAACTAAATCAACACCAATAAAAGAATAAGGCTATGTGATTGATTTTATCATTTATAATCCGTTAGGATAACTAGACATATCTGGTGATAATATGTCAATATGAATTCCATTATCTGTTCTCGAACATTAATATTGGCAATTTCCACCAGAAAAAGTACCAGAAACTATTGACCAATACTAGCTAAAAAGATTAGAGCAGGTAAGACTAGGAGTAAAATCTTAATAGTAGACCACTTCTAACCCTATTTATTAAAATAAAATTAATAGCTTTTTTAATATTTAACTTCTACGTATTTTATGTTAAACAAAAAAAAGTAGAATGATCATTTAATGAAAAATAAAGTAATAGATATACCTCTCACAATAATACCATTAATTGCTAGGAATAAGACAAGTAGAAAGAAAAATTATTACATCATTTTTTAGCTAAAATATACTTAAATAATATTCCTCTCTATTTACTTTTTGAATTAATCTGAATTTTGTTTTTGACAAAATTTTGTTACTTTAAAAAAAAATAATATATAGATAAATCAAATACAAATAGTTTTTAGATACACAAATAAGGAAATAAATCAGCCTTTTGAATACCATATAAAAACATATATATGGAATATAATCAAACTAAACACAACACCATTGAATTTTTTAAAAGATAATCTCAACTCCTTGATATTTGAATCTGATTAATTTATTTTTACAAAGATATTAAATAAGGAATAATAATTAATTTTGATTAGTTGTGCTTACTCAAGTTATAATTCATAATATACTTAAAAATAAAAATATTTATGCCTTCTACATTTTTTCAAGTAAATTTAAAGTATTGATTTAAAAAGATATTTTACAAGGATTATTTTAAGTTCATCTCTGATAACAAATTTGAGTAACCAAGTACTGATTTTACCCTTATGTCATATTACTTAAAATACGCACTTTCTGATATTTGCTATAATTCAAAATTATTAAATAAATGCATGAGAAATATATTTTACATCACACATACACCAAATTATTTATTAAATAATATATAATTTGATTTTTACTATATTAGGTGAGTAAGGGGTAGGTTAGGTATTAGTTGAGAAGAGCAAGAATTCTTTTGTTGAATATTTTCCATTAAAAAAAATATATACAAAGAAAATTTATTTTAAAATAAATAAAAACCTACTTAATAAAAATTATTTTTATATCTTAATTTATAAAATTTACTATTATTTAAAATAAAAGAAGATATATTATACAGTGAAAATAAATTGCGACCATTTTTTAATAATTATTTCAAATATCTTGACAAAGATTTATTTATGATTAATAAAAGTATCAAAGACTAAAATAATTCTTTTGTTATTTATCCTTTTGATTTTGGAAATATATTTATAAAATAGACAATCAAATTTTATTAAAAAAGAGATATTTTTTGGCATCAAACATTTATTTTTGAATTATATTTTTTTAAATATTTAATTAACAAAATACATAATCTTTTTGATCATCCTTTTATTTATTTAAATGTCTGATATTATAAAAATGTATATTGCCAATAGTCAGACTTATATTTTAACAGATTAATTAATTATTTTAGATTTAGAGTAAGTTGCAATACAAATTTACAAAAAGCAAGTTTTATATACCATGTTTTTACATTTTATAAAATTAAAATTTTAAATATTTTTTGCGAATTTTTTTTTAAAACAAAAAAATTAGTTTTTCATAAAAATTAAAGGGCATTTCTTTTAATAAAATCACAGGTATATATGATAAATTCTGACAAACCAAAATAAAAAAAGCAAGAAGGCTACTTAGCATTCAATTTTAAAATAAAAACATATCGAAATTCCGCTGACATTATGTATCCAGTCAGCCCTGGATTAGCATAATCTTTAATTTTATTACATTTATTTCTAAAGACTATTTAAATTATTGCTAATAAATATTGATGATTATTATTTAACTTTGCAAAGAGCTATATTTGAATATATTAAATACATAATGAATAAGTTTGAATTTCTTCGAAATAAAATTAAAATAAGATTTAGTATATGTTATTTAGATAAAATAATATACAAGCAGAAAATATGAAATTCCTTAAGAAATAAATTTGAGTTAGAGAATTAAAAAATTATACTAAATGAATAGTAAATTATTATTATTAATTGCTTATTTTATGATTTATATTTAATTATCTGTATGATTATTTTAGCCTTTACGAATTCCATTATTTGTCAGATAAATAAATTTATAATTTTTAATATCCATAAATATATATTGAATTTAATTAAATTAATTTAGAAAATTAATTTTTTTATTTTAAAACATACTTAAGAAAATACAATATTTTAAAAAAATATGAACAATTACTTTCATAAAAAAACTTATGATGGATTTTTAGCAGCTAGTAAATAATTATTAGATAAATTAATAGATTGTGGCGCTGAAAATAGTATTTTATGAGTATTCTAATTATTTATGTTATTGTGGATAAATGAATTTTATAAATTCATTTTTTAGTGGTCTGGAGAGTTTTTTAATTCAAAAGAAGAGTTTTTCTATTCATTTTTTTTAATTTAGTTTTCTACGTCTTTAAGGGAATGTTTATTTGGCTAGCCACCATTTTCTGATTACTTTTGTAGTTCTCTGATATGTTTGTTTTCTTTATTTTTAGGTTAAACTATTATTTATTTTTATTTGGTTTAATGTCTTTATATTGATACCATAGATATATCTAATTATGACTAAGCAATTAAGCTTAATTTTTTCTTCATACTTGTTAATTTATCAATCGAAATTTAAGAAGCTAGTCTTAAAAATTTATTTTATTTATTCTATTCCTAAGCGAGTTTTTCTTATTTTAACTTTTCGATCTCTGCTTTTGGTTTTATGAGTGTGCAAATAAAATCTTTAACAAGATTATAAATACCTTTTAATAGATCTACAATAACACTAAAAATATGTATAGTTAAAATTAAAGATGCACTACCAACTATAATCCATCCTATGTTAAATCTATCTTCCTCTCTTTAACTTTCATCATCTTTAACTAAGAAGCAAATTGTAACCTGCATTATTACTAGTAACACCTCACTTATTCCATTTTTTATATTAGCAGATTTTTCTTCTTATGGCTTAAGGTACAGATAATAGATTGATAGGAAAATATTCATAGAATTAATAATAATCATTTAAAAGTACACTTATCCATAAAAATATAATAAAACCATCATATAAATAATTTTTCTAGCATAAAGAATTACATTGGTATATCTACTCCACTTATACTGTAACTATTTTTATCTGGTTAGTTTTTCATTCTCAATTTTTTATAAAGATTTGCTTTCATTTGACATCTTTAGATTAGATTGGTTCAAGTTATTTTCTTGTTTTTTGTTCTATTCCTCAGAATTTTGATCATTTTAAGGTATCACTAAACCTCCTATAATAGATCCAAATTGCATTTGAATTTATGGGTCATTTAAGTTTTTGCATTTTTTTATGAAAATTGTTATCATTATTGGATAGATAATAGTGAATACAAAGGTTATAGAAAAGAGTGTATAGTTAATAAAAGCAAGTGATTCATCAAATTAAAAGCTGTAAAACTATAATAGAGAAGATATTAATAAATAAACATACACACATCCAACCATATCAAAAAAACCACAAAATTCCTAATTTTTTTTAAATTAAAAATGAGTCATAAAAACAAATTTTTAAATATCATAATATAATTGATAAAAATATACCCATCCACTTTTGATTTTACTTTTTATATATACCCTTAAAGAAGTTACTGGAACATAAGATAAAACTTTGATAATTCCATATATCATCATGATACCAGCTATAATTGTAAGTGATTATCCTGCTCCGTTAAAGAAATATCTAATTAATTTAAAATATTTGAATAAATTTATATAAAAATTATATTTTACGCATCATATCCATTATCAATGAATTTCTTGGGAGTGTATGGTTGAGTGTAATTTGGATCCATAAAATAAACTTATATTGAGTTAGGAATGAATGCAAACTGGAAATTTTAAAATATAGAGCAAAACGACATAACATTATCAGGATATCTAACATCAATAAAGAGCATAAAATAAATAAAAGTTGTTAAATCTATTGTACTAAAAAGAACATAGGTATTTCCTATCACTATCATAAGTATCATCATTATAAGTAAGGAAGAGGAAGCTCCAGAAGTAACTTATTTAGTCTGTTAAGACTATTAAATTTAAGATTCTGAAAGAACTACATATTCATTAAGTTTTACTTCTTTTTGTGGATCGACTAAGTTATTAATCTAAACAAAGCTAGGATCTTTCATCTAAACTACCAAGTTCTTATTTTTACAATTGTCTTATAATTTTAATTAAATTTTGATTGATTATTCTTAAACATAAAGGATGGTGACTTAAAAAGGGTTAACATAATCTTATATTTAGATTTTTAATTAACTGTCAAAATTTTAATCTTCCATAACTATTTAATTTTTAAAAATTAATGTGACGTTATAGCCAACATTTTAAATGACAGTTTACTAAACAGAGAAATCATTTCTTATTGATAAAATACATTATGAATCAGAATCTAAATTATATTTATCATTACATGTTTAGCATCGATTTGGTTTATATGGCTAACATTGACTGCACTGAGGAACTTTGCATTAAGTTGAAACACACTAATTTGTAGATGGATCTAATACATATCCAGAATTACAGCTTTTACACTAAGTTTTATTATTTGGAGGATCTTAACATTCTTTGCAGTTGTCTAAGCTACAATTGAGCTAGCATTAAACAGTTTAACCAGTTGGATTAAAGTGATATTCAGTAATACATTATTGACAGGTACTCCCATTTAAAGGATCACATTTTTAACAATATTAAACATTGCACTAACATTAGTTCGAACTAAAGTTATATCCATTTTAACATTACAAACAAATATTTCCATCATTTGGGTCACATCTTTTACAGTTTTCAAAATTACATTTATTAGTTTAACTTAAAGGATCATATGTATAACCTGCCTTAGGAGATATACATATTTTTCCATTATTTGGATCGCATTAATTACAGCTGTTTACTTAGCAATCACATGATGTTTTAGAATTATTTAATAAGTAATTATTCATACATGTATTACATATATTTCCATCTGTTGCATTACATTGACTGCAATTCTAAACGTTACATAAGCAAGATCCACTTTATGAAATTATGAAATTCGAATAACAAATTTAACATATGAGCCCATTAAGAGGAGTGCACGTTTAGCATCCATAAACTTAGCAAGTACAAGTTGGCGATTAGGTACCTACTGGTGCATAATTTGTTATGCAGCTATCGCATAAATTACCATTTGAAGAGTTGCAAGTTAAGCAATTAGAAACATTACATTAACATTAGTTAGAATTAAAGTTATATCCGCTTTAACATTGTAAACAAATGTTTCCATTGTTTGGGTCACATATTTAACAGTTTGCAAAATTACATTTATTTGTTTAACTTATAGAATCATATGTATAACCTGGTTTAGGAAATATACATATTTTTCCATTGTTTGGATCGCATTAATTACAGCTGTTTACTTAACAATCACATGATGTTTTAGAAGAGCTTAATTAGTAATTATTCAGACATGTATTACATAAATTTCCATCTGTTGCACTACATTGACTGCAATTCTAAACATTACATAAGCAAGATCCACTTTATGAAATTATGAAATTCGAATAACAAATTTAACATATGAGCCCATTAAGAGGAGTGCACGTTTAGCATCCATAAACTTAGCAAGTACAAGTTGGCGATTAGGTACCTACTGGTGCATAATTTGTTATGCAGCTATCGCATAAATTACCATTTGAAGAGTTGCAAGTTAAGCAATTAGAAACATTACATTAACATTAGTTAGAATTAAAGTTATATCCGCTTTAACATTGTAAACAAATGTTTCCATTGTTTGGGTCACATATTTAACAGTTTGCAAAATTACATTTATTTGTTTAACTTATAGAATCATATGTATAACCTGGTTTAGGAAATATACATATTTTTCCATTGTTTGGATCGCATTAATTACAGCTGTTTACTTAACAATCACATGATGTTTTAGAAGAGCTTAATTAGTAATTATTCAGACATGTATTACATAAATTTCCATCTGTTGCACTACATTGACTGCAATTCTAAACATTACATAAGCAAGATCCACTTTATGAAATTATGAAATTCGAATAACAAATTTAACATATGAGCCCATTAAGAGGAGTGCACGTTTAGCATCCATAAACTTAGCAAGTACAGGTTGGCGATTAGATACCTACTGGTGCATAGTTTGTTACGCAGCTATCGCATAAATTACCATTTAAAGAATTGCAAGTTTAGCAATTAGGAACATTACATAAGCATTTGCTATTTAAAGGGTTCAGATTATATCCACTAACACAAGTTTAGCATTAAGTACCATCTAAAAGATTACACTGTGAACAATTTGGAACAGCACATGAACACTGCTTTTTTTCTAAGCTAATTAGATACCCATTTACACAAAAATCACAAATTGTACCATCTTAAGAATTACATGCTTAACAATTTTACACAGAACATGAACAAGTAGTTTAATCAAAGCTTTAAATATAACCAGCTATGCATGTCTAACATAAACTAGGTTAACCAATTACACATTAATTGCAATTGTTGACATTACAAGGATTACAAGCAGTTCTGTCTTAACTTAAAGAAAAATGGTTTTAGCATTGATAACAAAGTCCTAAAATTAAAATTAAATAAATATTTTATTAAAATTAAATTTTAACAAAAAAATTATTTTTCAAAATAAATTCTAAAAATTTTTATTTTTATTGTGTTTAGTAAATATATAAAATTAACTAAATACCTTCTCCTGAGCAGCTTAAGCAATTTTAAATTGTACACAAAGCGCAATTGGCTGGATTTGTGGTTTCTATATAATAATTACCTGTAGGGTTACATAAAATACATTATTGATTTTAATCACATTACTAACAGTCATTTCCGCTGCAATTTTTATTGCATAGACCTGTTTAAGGATCACGTGAATACAATACAGGGCACATCACAAAAATACAAGTTTAAGAGATAGGATCATAAGTATATCCTAATTAACACTAAGAGCATTAATTTGGATTTGGACATTAAATACAATTATTTACAGGGCAACCACATGTATAAAGAGAATAATTTTTATGTTCATAGATAAGAATAGACTATGAATATAAGCATTTGTATTAAGATAAATTAACTTATCCAGGACAAATTTACCAAGTATAGTAAGTATTTTACTTTTACATATAACATTAAGTACTATAGGTTTAGCAAACTGAAACTTTTGATTAATACTAGTCTTATATAATAATAAAAATAAAATTATTATTAATAAAATATTTTTATTTAATTTTATTTAAATTAGATTATTAAATTTAAACATAGATTTATTTTTTATATTGAATAAATTGATGTTTTAAAACTATTAAATTAAAATTTAAATGTACTTGCAGGACAAGCCCCTCCAGGATTTGCAAAACAATTATTGTTAGCATCTAAGGAATAACCTGGTAGACATTTAACACAAGTAACTGTTAGAGAAGAAGGAGAGCTTTTGATACATGAAAAGCAATTGTTTATGTTGCAATCTTAAGTTTATTCACATACTTTTTATCCTGATTGTAGTGTATACCTATCAAACCCTTAAAGACAACTGCTGCAATTAGTACTGTTTAAGCAAATATCGCAATTTTCTACACAATTAGCCCATGTTCTTAATTTTAAAACACCATACCAAGAATAACCATTAGTTACATGTTATATGAACTACACTTTTATATTGTTTGATGTTAGAGATTAATTCAATTAAACTGTTTCCTTACTTACTTACATATATCCAGAATATTGAGAACATGTTAGGCTATAATTATATTCTATATTAGTACCTGTACTAGCCCCGCTGTAGTTTTAATTGAATAAAGAAGTATCTCCATCAAATATATTCATATTTAAGGAGTCAATTTTCCTTAAATAAACTAAATCAACACCAAAAAAAGAATAAGGTTATGTGATTGATTTTATCATTTATAATCCGTTAGGATAACTAGACATATCTGGTGATAATATATCAGCCTGATTTCCATTATCTGATCTCTAGCATTAATATTAGCAACTTCCACCAGAAAAAGAACCAGAAACTATAGACCAATACTAGCTAAAAAGATTAGAGCAGGAAAGACTAGGAGTAAAATCTTAATAGTAGACCACTTCTAACCCTATTTATTAAAATAACATTTAATTGTTTTTTAAAGAATAATTATCATTTAAAGAAGAATAAAATAGATATACCTTTCACAATAATACCGTTAATAGCTAGGAATAAGACAATTAAAAAGAAAAATTGTTCGATCATTTTTTAGCTAAAATATAGTTTATAAATATTTTCTCTCTATTTAACTTTTTGAATTAATCTGAGTTTTTATTTTTGACAAAATTTTGTTACTTTTAATTAAAATAATATATTAAACAAGTACAAATATTATAGTTTTTAAATACACAAATAAGGAAAATTATCAGCCTTTTGAATACCATATAAAAGAATAGATATGAAATATAATCAAATTAAACATAACACCATAGAGTTTTTTAAAATATAAGCTCAGCTTCTTGGTGTTTAGATCTGGTTAATTTATTTTTACAAGGTTACTAAATAAGAAAGAATAATCAATTTATTAGTGGTGCTTACTGAAGTAATAATTAATTATATACCTCAAAATAAAATCTTTGTCCCTGTCCACATTATTTTAATTAAATATAAAGCATTAATTAAAAAGATATTTTATAAGGATTATTTAAAGTCCATATATGTAACAAATTTAATAACCAAATACTGATTTAACTCATTTACCGTATTACTTAAAATATGCACTGACTGGCTCTTGCTCTAATTAAAAATTTTTAAATAAATGCATTAAAAATATATTTAACATCTCATGTACGCCAAATTAAAAATTAATATTTAATTCGCTTTTTACTGTATTAGGTGAGTAAGGGATATGTTAAGTATTAGTTGAGAAGAGCAAAAATTCATTTTTTAAATATTTTGTATATTTAATAGAAAAAAATATCCAAAGAAAATTTATTTAAAAAAAAAAAACTAACTTAAAAGAATTATTTTTACATCTTAATTTATTGTACTTACTATTGTTTCAAATATAATAAGATATATGAGACATCTAAAATTTAGACCAAATTTTAAATAATTATTTTAAGATTTTGATTATGAATTATTTATGATTTATAAAAAATCAAAGACTAAAAAAATTCTTTTATTATTTATGCTTTTGATTTTAGAAATATTTTTATAAAATAGGCAATCAAATTTTATTAAAAAACATGATTAGATATTTTTTGGTGTCAAACATTTTTTTTGAACTAATTTTTCAAATATTTTATTAAGAATACACAATCTTTACGATCATTCTATTATTTATTTAAATTTCTGATATTATAAAAGTAAATTTTGCCAATAATTAGAATTATATTTTAAACAAGGCTTAATTAATTATGTTAGAAATAGATATTTGAAATCAATAGTTAACTAACAATTATTAATTTTTATATTAATTTATTTATAGTCTTATTTAGCTGATCATATTTTTACTAGTTTCTAACTAGTTATTAATTTACTGCTCTAAAATTAATATAATGATTTATATTATTGCGAACTTTTATTTAGCTTTTTCTTGAATGAATAATGTATATTTAAATTTATTTTTAAAATAAATAAGACTAAAATAATTTTAATATGCAAAAATAAAAAAAGCAAATAATAAAATACATATTTTATTAATTTTGTCATAGTAATTGCATAGAAGCATCTTTATGGGATAGTAGATCATTATTAGAAATATTCAGTAATTAAGCATTTTAGCTTGAAAATCTATTACTTAGTGGTTAATATTAACTTTATAATTAGTTATCTGATAAACCATTTTATATATCATATTTTTTGTTGTAAAATGGATTTATTTATTAAGACCAATTTTAATTCTAATTTTTATCATTTAAGCTTAATTCTTGGAAATTTAAATTATTATTATTTTTCTATTTTTCTTATTATTGGTTAAAATTATTTGTTTTTATCTAATGAGATATTATAGATTAATTATTTAGGCTTCTCTATCTTTTTAAAGGTGATAATGAGAGCCTAGAAGTTGGTTCTATTTAAGATATTATAATTGTACTAAACTTTTTTTTGATACTTCTGATTTTTTCTAAAGATATTTGAGAAGCAATACCTAAAGTTTTATACTCTGATTAATTAATGTCTCCTAGTTTTTCTTATTTAATTTTTTCAAGCTCTTTTTTTGATTTAAATAATGTGCAAATAAAGTCCTTAACTAAATTAGTTATACTTTTGAATAAATCGATAATCACACTAAAAATATGAATAACTAAAATAGTAGAAGCTGATGCTATAATTACCCAGCCAATGTTAAACCTATGTTACTCATCCTAATTCTCATCATCCTCTACTAATAGACTTATAGATGCATACATGACAATTAACAGAATTTCACTTATGCCATTTTTAATATTAGTGTTCTTATCTTCTTATGGTTTCACATAAAAATAATAAAAGGTTAGGAATATTTTCATTAAACATATTACAATAACCTAAAAGTATACAAAGCCATAGAAATATAGCAAGACCATGATAAAAATGATTTTTCTTAAGTATAGTATAACGTTTGTAAATTTACTCCATTTTAACTAAAGCTTTTACTATCTACTGAGTATTAGTTTATTAAGTTTTTCTCCATTTTAGCTTTAAATATCATTCTTCTAATCTTTATTTGTAATGCTATTGTTATTATTTATATTATTTTTTATATTTTCTTCAACAGTCTCATTTTCAGGTAAAATAAAACCCCCTATTATAGAGCTAAATTAGAGTTGTATTTAAGGATCTTTCAAATTCTTACATTTTACTATAAAAACAGTAATCATGATAGGATAAATTATTACAAATATAAAGAATAAAGAAAATAACGTATAGTTAATAAATGCTAAGGATTCGTCAAATTTAAAGCAATAAAACTAGAGTAAGGTAGACACTAATACATAAACGTAAACGCATCCTATTAGGTCAAAAAATCCATTATATTCCTAATATTTATTTTTTAAAATTGCTAACATTATATAAAAGCAAATTTTAAATTTACCCAACCACTCTTGATTTTACTCAATATATATAATCTAATTTATGGTATAGGGATAAGTGAAAGTATCTTAATTACTGAATAAATTGAAACAATTCCAACTATAATAGTCAAAGATTAGCCAGCTCCATTAAAAAAATACCTAAAATTAAAAAAAAAAATTTAAAAATCTAAAGCTTTTTATTAAATTACGCATCATATCCGTTATCAATAAATTTCTAAGGAGTGTATGGTTATGTATAATTAGCATCCATTAAATAAATTTGTATGGTATTAGGGACAAATGCAAATTAAAAATTTTAAAATATAGAGCAAAATGACATAACATTTTCAGGATACCTAACATCAACAAAGAGCATGAAGTAAATAAAGGTAGTTAAGTCTATTGTGCTAAATAAAACATAAGTATTTCCAATTACTGTCATTAAAACCATCACTATAAAGAGAGTTGATGAAGTTTTAGAAGCTGCTTGCTTTGTTGTTTAAGATTATTATATTTGGCTCTTTGTTAATACCACATAATCGTTCAATTAAACTTATTTTTATTATTCTTACAAATTGTTTACTTAGACAAATTATAGGTCATTCATTTTAACAATTAAATTTTTATTTTTGCAATTACCTTCCATATAAATTTAAATCTTTATTTATTTAATTTAGATATCTACTATTTCAACTTTAAAAGGATTGTTGTAATCAACTATTTAAATACTGAGTAACCCATTCACATTATCAGTAGTTGCTATAATCTCATTTTAAAATTTTATTGTTATATTATAACCAATATTTTCTACAACTTTTTAATCTACAATAAAGTCATTTTACATAGATAGTATGCACAATAAATTGTTATCTAGGTAGTAATTTTTTTCACAAGTTTCACATTTATCTAAATTATTTGCTGAACACTATTTACATTTTTAAACTTTGCACTAAGTAATACATGTTGTTGAATCTTTAGGGCAAGAGCAAACTGAATTATTATTTAAAGAAATATAACCATATTAGCAAGAATCACAAATTGAACCATTACCAGAGTTGCAATTTTAGCAGTTTAAAACAGAACAATTGCATTAAGTCTAATCTTCACTCAAAATATAATTTAGCTGACATTTAATGCATTTTGTATTATTTTAAGGATCTGTTGCTAAACAATTTTTAATTTGAGGTTAACATACCTTATTATTATTTTGAGGAGCAAAACCTGCTAAACAAATATCACAAATAGAACCATCATTAACATTGCAGCTAAGACAATTAAGAACTGAGCAAATACATTATGTTGAATTAGAACTTAAGGCATAATTGGCCTAACACTATTGACATACATTTCCATTTTAGGGATTACATTTTAAGCAATTTTAAATTCCACACTAGCATGCCTTATTATTATTAATAGGAATAAATCCTTGATCACAAGAATCACAAATTTATCCATCATTAACATTACAATTTTTGCAGTTAGAAACCTAGCAAACGCATTATTAATTCTAATTCAATGTATAATTCTGTTAACACTTTAGACACAGATTACCATTTTAAGGATCGCAAGATAGACAATTTTAGCTAATACATTTACAAGTTTTATTATCTTTTGATGTGGTATATCCTTAACCACATGTATTACAAATAGATCCATCACTGGAATTACATTATTAACAATTAGGGATTATACATTAGCATTATGAAGAATCACCATTTAACTTAAAATTTTATTGGCATTTGTTACAAATTTACCCATTTAAAGGATTACATTCCAAACAATTAGCCATACCGCATTAACAAACCTTATTGTCATTTGAAGGAATATACCCATTTGTGCAAAAATTGCAAATAGATCCATCGCTTGATTTGCATGATTAACAATTAGATACAGAACAATTACATTATGTTTTATCACTACTTAAAGAATAATTTTATAAACATTATTTACAGATGAATCCATTTGTTGAATCACATATCTAGCAGTTTGCAACTGAGCATTAACAAGATTTATTATCATTAGAAGGAATATATCCAGTAATACATGTATCACAAATAGAACCATCGCTATAATTACATTTTTAACAACCAGCAACAGAGCAATTACATTAAGTAAAGTCACTTTTCATAATATAATTATATTTGCATTGATGGCACAAACTACCATTTGAAGGGTTACAATTTTAGCAATTATCGACGCTGCATGAACAAAGTTTATTATTATTCTATGGAATGTACCCTATCACACAAGTATCACATAAAGATCCATCATTTGGATTGCAGATTTAACAATTACTTACCTAACATTAACATTTTAGTTAATCAAAACTTAAAAGATAATTAGTTTAACACTAAATACAAGATTTTCCGGAAGTTGGATTGCATTCAAGGCAATTATCTACACTACATTAACACTATCCGTTGTTATTATAGAATCCAGAATAACACATTCCACAGATATTTCCATCAAAAAGAGAACATTAATAGCAATATTAAGCTTAACAAATGCATGATTTCTTATCTACACTTAGCTAAAAGTTAGGTTAACATTAATCACAAAAGTTACCATTTAACGTATTACAAACCAAACAATTATTTACGCTACATGAACAAATTGTATTATTATTGGTAGGGTAATAGCCATTAACACATGTATCACAAATATAACCATCATTTGAATTACATACTTAACAATTTTAAACAGAACATTTACATTATTTAGAATCTGAGCTTAAAATAAAGTTTTTTGAGCACTGATTACATAATGATCCATCAGAAGGATTACAGACCTAACAATTCGCTACTGAGCATTGGCAAGATTTATTATTATTTGTAAGTATATATCCAGTAATGCAAGTATCACAGATTGACCCATCAGTTATGTTGCAATTTTTGCAATTAGAAACTTAGCAATTGCATTAAGTTTAATCACTACTATTTATATAATTATTTGTACATTAATTACATATATTTCCATTAGATAAATTGCAAATCTAGCAATTACTTACACCACAATAGCAATTATGTTTACTATTTTAAGGAATATATCCTACAACACAACTATCACAAAGAGATCCATCGATAGGATTGCAATTTTGACAATTATTAACTTAACATGTACATTTTGATTAATCAGCACTAGCTTAATAGTTAACTTAGCATTGATTACAAATTTTTCCATTTTAAGGGTTACAGTTTAAACAGTTGGAGACTTAACATTAACAAATTTTACCTGAATTTAAATTTTAATAACCAGTATTGCATAAATCACAATAATTTCCATCATTTAAGTTGCAAAAAAGGCAATTTTAAACAGAACATAAACATTAAGTCTTATCATTATTTAATTAATAATTAGTATAGCACTGATCACATAAATTACCATTAGAAGCCTAACATTACTTGCAATTTTAAACATTACATTAGCATGTATTATTATATTGATCATCTAAGACAACCAAATAACCAGATACACATTATAAGCAATTCATACCATTCGTTGGATCAGGTTTGATACAATTTTAGGCTTTCATAATGCATTAGTTTCCAACTAAAGTATAGCCTTATGTGCATATTAGACAATTGTTACTTGAACATAAAGAGCAGTATTATACAGAGCATTAACATAAAGTAGAATCAGAGCTTAAAATATAGTTAGTGGCGCAAGTTAAGCATTTGCTTCCTGAAGAATCACATTATTAGCAATTTTTTATAGGACATTAACATTAATTATTCTAATCTAAGATAAACACACCTTTACAAGCTAAACATTATGTATTACTTTAAGGAAGACATGTTTAACAGTTTGTTAATGTACATTTACATGTTTTTGATAATGAATCAAATATTCCATTATTGCAAATTGAACAAATAGTTCCATCATTTGGATTACACAAAAAGCATTAAGGGATAGAGCAAATGCAAGTAGTTTTATCATTACTTAAAACGTAACCGGTAACACATTGTTAACAAATTGATGGATCATTGCATAAAAGACAATTTTAAGCACAGCTTATGCAGTTTCCTGAACCGTTCATAAAGTATGTTGGATTACAAGTTTTACAAGTTCCTAATTTAAAAATGATTATTTAAGTAAAATTAATATCTCTAAAACAAAAAATTTAAGTAAACATTTAAATTAAAATTTGATTTATTTTAGAACTAATTTCCATTATTTTATTTTCCATAAAATTATTTTTTTTTAAATTTAATAAACTAATAATTTGATGATTTCTAAAATTAGTGATATAAAATCATTTATAAAGTTAATTAAAAATTACCATCAGGATTGCATTACTTGCAATTTTGAACATTGCAATATTTACATTGAAGAGGATTTGTTGCTGACACATAATATGAACTACCTAAACATTATTAGCAAACAAATTGGTCACATTTAAGGCAATATGTATCAGAGCATATTATACTAGAGCATGCTTTTGTAATAGGGTTCATCTATGACCCTATGGGGCATGTAGATGCAACACATGTTGATCCACTAAAAGAATACCCTTGTTTACATTAAGTGCAAGTATTTGTATTGCATTAATTGCAATTTGGTAAATGATTGCACCCGCAAACTCTTGCACTATAGTTTCCTCTTTAATATAATAGAATTACTTTATTTTAGAAGCATTTAAATGTTGTTTAATCTGGTACAGCAAAGCATTATAACCAAGTAGTTTCAGATGTATTTTATCTAAGACAATTACTTGTATATGTTTCACAAGTGTTTTATTCACTTCTATATTATCCTATTAAAATAAATATGCTTATTATTTATTTACAAAATAAAAGGTAAAAAAAAAATATTTTATTTAAAATTTTTAAAAATAAAATAGGATTATACTAAGCATTTTTTATAATTTGCGCTACTCACAAGCAAAGATCATTTATTTATAAATTAACAAAAATGCTAGTTTTAACCTAACTTAATATCATTTTTTTAATTGAAAGCTTTAAAATTATTTTTGTTAGATTAAAAAATAGTTATCATTCATTAAAAAGAAAATAATCAGAAAATCAAAAATTTTTTATCAATTAATTTAAAATTTATATTTACAAAATTATGATATTAGAATATTTTATAATATTATTTGTATTATTTATTTTTTAAGTAATAGTTATTGTTTTAATTTTTTTAAAAACCATCAGAATTTATAATAAATAAATAGAAGATTACATTAATTATTTTTTATTCATTAATGTTAGAAATAGCTGATAATATTTGAGTTATAAAAATAGCTTATTATTTCTGTTGGTTAATTTATTTAAACTATTTAATATGCTCTTTAAATTGCAAATTTAAAATAAAATATATTTTAATAACTAAATATACCTGCACTGCAAGCTAAACCAGTTGAAACACAAATATTAGAACTATTTAGTTTATAGCCAGGTATGCATAATATGCATACTTCGGTTATTCCACTAATAGCACATTCCAAACAATTACTTGATTAGCAATCCTCTTATTAAGAACATACTTGTTAACCAGAAGGCATAATCATCAATGAAAAACCTTATAAACAAACTTAGCAATTTTAGGAATCTTTGCATTAATCACAATTTAAAACGCAATTTGACCACATATAGATTTTGAAAAAACCATAGTTAGAAGGCAAGTTAGAGAACTGTAAATAATATTTAGAAATATTCTATGTTTTGACGTATTTGCTAACAAAAATTGTTCTAAAACTTGAGCCTTAGCAATTGACACCGTTGTATATTATTTCTTAAGGAAAATTATTTTAGACTATTTGCTAATATGATTATTAGTATAGTAATTTATTATCTCCATATATTGAAACAGTAAATTATCCAGATACAAAATAAGCTAAATCAAAACCTAATATGGAAGCTGTGCTTGCTAAGGTTTTAGTAATTTCAAATCCGTTTGGATATTGAGTCGGGACTAAGTAGAAAGCAGTATATATAATTGAATTTATAGAACAGCTTTATTAGCAGTTATTGTTAGGAAAAGAACCTCCCCCAATCATATTCCAGTTAGTTTGTAACTCGTTTTAGCAATTTGTGGAAGAATCGTAATACTTCAAGAGAACCCTCTCAAGCGCAAATATTTCTTGAACTTAGTTTAAATATTTAAAATATAAAAAATGAAAGAAGTAAGTTAAATTTACCTCTAATGCATATAATAATGTAGAATAAGATATTCAAGAAATAGCTTTTTTATCTCATTTGATTATTTTATTTGTTAGTTTGTTGTTGTATTCTATTAATTAATTTCTTGTTTACTTCACTTTTATTTTCTCTTTATATTTTTACTATCCTTATTCAATAAAGAAATGAACTTTATTTATTTAAATCCTAAATAACCATCACAGAGCAAAATGATAAAAACAATAATAATCAATTTGTTAGATTTTTCTTCCGATTGTAATAAAATAAAATCCATCAATTTAAAGTTGCTTATATTTGCACAATTCCAATCAAATTAAATAGGAAGATTTTCATTTCCATTTACTTTGAGCATTTATTTGCTTGATAAGAAATCTATGGTTCAAGTAGTAAAAAATATACCATAATTTATTAACTAGTGACCACTTATCTATAACTTCTTAAAATATTCATACTTTAAATTGCAAAAGAAATTATGAGTTTTAATTTATGATAAAATCTAATCAAGCTCAACCATAAACCATAAAATTATAAGAAATTATATTAAATCTTTATTTATCCAACATTAATTGTAATGTTATTAGTATTTTTATTCTTTAAAAAAAATAAATACCATGTTTAGATTTTATTAATCTTCCCATTTTTTTGTATACTTAAAATTTGGTAAAGCTGAGTTTATCTAATGAATATCTTATTATAAAAACTTAGAAGAAAATGAATTTTATGAATTTCAAGATTCAGTTTTCTATTATTCATAAATATTCAAATCTTATATAATTACTTCAAATAAAAGTAATTCTTGTCACATAGAAATCAAAATTCATGGTTTTGAGTTTTTCAAAATCAAATTAAAATTGTATAAGATATTTACACAAAATAATAATTTATTTCTTACTTTTTATTTTTACTTACAAATAATTTTCTTTTAAATATCTTGATAAGTATTATTTTTCAATAATTATCTAAAGAATTCCATTGACTTTTTCAAATACCACCTTGCTCTAATACAAAATTTATATATTCATATTTTTTTTTATAAATATTATTCATTTATTTTATATTATTATTAAGTAGCTAAAAAAATACCTACTAAAAAAATAATTTTAACTTAAATTAATAATTAACAAAAAAAAATAATTTTAAGTGACTCCATATACTTTAATACCATAACTCTATAATTTTTCTGTGTTAATAATTTATAAATTAAGTAAAAATAAATAAGCATTCTTATAAAATCTTTTTTTTCGATTTTATTATGTAATGGAAATAGGAAAAAAAAATGAAAAATATTTTTGGATAGCATTATTTATTCTATTGAATATTTTTATCTTAAATTGTTTATAAAATAGGAAATAATGTTATTGAAATGCTATTAGAAGCTAAAATCAAAATTAAATGTGAATAAATATTTTAGTTATTATATATTATACTCTTATTCCTCTATATTTAAGACTTTTATAGTAAAACTCGAATAATTAACAGCAAGCTTATTAGCATTTTAATGCTCTCTTAATACATAAAAAGACATTTTGATAAATTTCTATCTTAACCTTTATTTCGAAATCTAGATATCCTTACTTTACCAAAATGGAAACTTGCTGCATATAAAGATATCTTTCTTAAATTTTTTTTCTAAGCTAATTTTTTACAGGCTATTTCATTTATTTTTTAATATAATTGCCTATCACGCTTGATTTGAACGAATCTTATCTGCAAATCAATTAGGTCTAGAGGGATATGATAAAATAAGTGTAAATTTAATAAAATGGTTTACTATACTTCTGGGTTCGTGTTCTTATTATCTATTATATCCCACTTTTTTATCATAAAATTATCCAAGTTACTTTACATTTTCTTTAATTTTTATAAAGCCTTTTTTTCTTTATATTCTTTATTTAAATTCTCCTGCTTAGCTTCTATATGTGATTTCATGTTTTTAGTGCATTGATCTTTTGGGCTTATACTTCCCATTGAATACTCATTATTACATCTATTACATATAAATATTTTTGCCTTTGTTGCTGGCACAGTAAAAAATTAAAATATTAATGTTCTCATTTTTAGATTATTCTATTTTGTTTTATAGTTGAATATAATTTTTACTTAAATAAAATCCTCCTTTATAACTTAGAAATCAATTCAATTATCTTCAATTTAATAGGATAAAATACAAAATTTGAGATATTATTTTAATCAATCTTTCTTTACTCATAACTTTAATTAAATTGGATAATTGAAGAAATCTGAATAATCTGTATTATGACACAAATCTTAAGTTTAATTGGAAGAAAAATAAAATAAATGATAATTTAATATCTCATAATTTATTAATAATATTTTGAAAAAAATAAATATACCACTAAATAATCCACAAAAGCAGAATATTTCAAATTTTTAAGATGCCTAACACCAAACATTCAGAAAAATTCTGTTTGCTGAACCATGATCTTTTTTCCGAATACAGTGGATCCCTAAAAATTATCTTCAAATATTTATAATATATTATCCCTTTATATAAAGTTACTCTTCATATGTGCAATTTTTTCACTCTTACTTTTTAATTAATTATTAATTTAATTTGAAATTTGTATTCCAAAAAATTTAGTTCTACTTAATCATATCGCCGACATTTCATCTGCAAGATTATTTTTTTTATTCATTCAAAAGCGATTCTTTCTTTCCATGATTAATTGCTAATGATCACTGTTTTTTAGTCATTTAAAATGTAAATCTTTATATTTAATATATTATTTAAATAAAATAGTATGTTTCTGGTAGCTAAATATATTTTTACAGATTTTTGTTTATGTTTTAAAATGTCAAATTCCTTAAAAAATAAATTTGGTTTATTGAAATAAAAAATATATACTAAAAGGATAGTAAATTTTTATGACTTTTTGCTTTTTTTATGATTTTTATTTTAAATGAAGATCAAGACATCAAAATTATTCATATTTATGCTATTAATAGCTTTTTACTTGATTTATGATTTTTATTTTGATTATTTTTTTCTTTTTAAATTAAAATAATTTTTTTTTTCTAATTTATTTAATTTATATTTTAAACTAATAGATTATTAAATTTAAAATTAGAACAATCATATGTAAAACATGAAACTCTAAATTAAAATTTATAAATCAAAAAGTTTAATCTTCTTATATATATAATTATGATAATAGAAAAATGATGAAAATTAAAATAAGTTAAAAAATATATTTAGTTTTTATATAGATTTTATTTTTTAAGTATTATATTTTTGGAGAGTAAATTAACATAGAATATAACCTTATGATTATCTTTAGCTTAATGAATTTAATAATTTGCCAGATAAATAAATATATAATTTTAAATCCATAAATATATGTTGAATTTAATTAAATTTCTTTAAAAAATAATTTTTTTTTTTAAAATATTTTTTAGAAAATACAATATTTTTTTAAAATATGATAAATTACCTTCATAAAAAAACTTATGATGGATTTTTAGCAGCTAGTAAATCATTATTAGATATATTAATAGATTGCGGTGCTGAAAATAGTATTCTATGAGTAGTTTAATTATTTATATTATTGTGGATAAATGAATTTTATAAATTCATTTTTTATTGGTCTTGATAGTTTTTTAATTCAAAAGAAATGTTTTTCTATTCATTTTTTTTAATTTAGTCATCTTCGTCTTTAAGGCAAAGTTTATTTGACTAGTCACAATTTTATGATTGCTTTTGTAGTTCTATGATATGGTTGCTTTCATAATTTCTAGGTTAAACTATTATTGATTTTTGTTTGATTTAATTTCTTTATATTGATACCATAGATATATCTAATTATGACTAAGGAACTAAGCTTAATTTTTTCTTCATACTTCTTAATTTATCAATCGAAATTTAAGAAGCAAGTCTTAAAAATTTATTTTATTTTTTCTATTCCTCAGCAAGTTTTTCTTACTTTAACTTTTCAATTTCTGCTTTTGATTTTATTAGTGTGCAAATAAAATCTTTAACAAGATTATAAATACCTTTTAATAGATCTACAATAACACTAAAAATATGTATAGTTAGAATTAAAGATGCACTACCAACTATAATCCATCCTATGTTAAATCTATCTTCCTCTCTTTAGCTTTCATCATCTTTAACTAAGAAGCAAATTGTAACCTACATTATTACTAGTAACACCTCACTTATTCCATTTTTTAAATTAGCAGATTTTTCTTCTTATGGCTTAAGGTACAAATAAAAGATTGATAGGAAAACATTCATAGAATTAATAATAATCATTTATAAATATACTTATCCATAAAAATACAATAAAACCATCATATAAATAATTTTTCTAGCATAAAGAATTACATTGGTATATCTACTCCACTTATACTGTAACTATTTTTATCTGGTTAGTTTTTCATGCTCAATTTTTTATAAAGATTTGCTTTCATTTAACATCTTTAGATTAGATTGGTTCAAGTTGTTTTCTTGTTTTTTGTTCTATTCCTCAGAATTTTAATCATTTTAAGGTATCACTAAACCTCCTATAATTGAACCAAATTACATTTGAATTTAAGGGTCATTTAAGTTTTTACAATTTTTTATGAAAATTGTTATCATTATTGGATAGATTATAGTGAATACAAAGGTTAAAGAAAAGAATGTGTAGTTAATAAAAGCAAGTGATTCATCAAATTAAAAGCTGTAAAACTATAATAGAGAAGATATTAATAAATAAACATACACACATCCAACCATATCAAAAAAGCCACAAAATTCCTATTTTTTAAAATAAATAATGAGTCAAAGCTAACTTAGTAAAATTTCATAATTTTTTTTAAATAACATAATATAATTGATAAAAATATACCCATCCACTTTTGATTTTACTTCTTATATATACTCTAATAGAAGTAACTGGAATATAAGATAGAATTTTGACAATTCCATATATCGCCATGATACCAGCCATAGTTGTAAGAGATTATCCTGCTCCGTTAAAAAAATATCTATTTAATTTAAAAAATTTGAATAAATTTATATTAGAAATTATATTTTACGCATCATATCCATTATCAATGAATTTCTTGGGAGTGTATGGTTGAGTGTAATTTGGATCCATAAAATAAACTTATATTGAGTTAGGAATAAATGCAAACTGGAAATTTTAAAATATAGAGCAAAATGACATAACATTATCAGGATATCTAACATCGATAAAGAGCATAAAATAAATAAAAGTTGTTAAATCTATTGTGCTAAAAAGAACATAGGTATTTCCTATCACTATCATAAGTATCACCATTATAAGTAAGGAAGAAGAAGTTCCAGAAGCAACTTATTTAGTTTATTATGACTATTAAATTTAAGATTCTGAAAGAATTACATATTCATTAAGTTTTACTTCTTTTTGTGGATCTACTAAGTTATTAATCTAAACAAAGCTAGGATCTTTCATCTAAACAACCAAGTTCTTATTTTTACAATTGTCTTATAATTTTAGTTAAATTTTGATTGATTATTCTTAAACCTAAAGGATGGTAACTTAAAAAGGGTTAACATAATCTTATATTTAGATTTTTAATTAACTGTCAAAGTTTTAATAATCAGCTACTATTTAATTTTTAAAAATTAAAGTGACATTATAACCAACATTTTAAATGACAGTTTACTAAACAGAGAAATCATTCTATATTGATAAAATACATTAAGAATCAGAATCTAAATTATATTTATCATTACATATTTAGCATAGATTTGGTTTATATTGCTAACATTGACTACACTGAGGAACTTTGCATTAAGTTAAAGCACATTAACTTGTAGATGGATCTAATACATATCCAGAATTACAGCTTTTACACTAAGTTTTATTATTTGGAGGATCTTAGCATTCTTTGCAGTTATCTAAGCTGCAATTGAGCTAGCATTAAACAGTTTAACCAGTTGGATTTAAGTGATATTCAGTAATGCATTATTGACAGATATTCCCATTTAAAGGATCACATTTTTAGCAAAATTAAACATTACACTAACATTAATTCGAACTAAAGTTATATCCGTTTTAACATTACAAGCAAATGCTTCCATCGTTTGGGTCACATTTTTGACAGTTGGCAAAATTACATTTATTTGTTTAGCTTATAGGATCATAGGTATAACCTGGCTTAGGAGAAATACATATTTTTCCATTGTTTGGATCGCATTAATTACAGCTGTTTACTTAGCAATCACATGATGTTTTAGATGAATTTAATAAGTAATTATTCACACATGTATTACATATATTTCCATCTGTCGCACTGCATTGGCTGCAATTCTAAACATTACACAAACAAGATCCGTTTTATGAGATAATGAAATTCGAATAACAAATTTAACATATAAGCCCATCAAGAGGATAGCATGTTTAGCATCCGTAAACTTAGCAAGTACATGTTGGAGATTATATATTTACTGGTGCATAGTTTGTTATGCAGTTATCACATAAATTACCGTTTGAAGAATTGCAAGTTTAGCAATTAGAAACATTACATAAACATTTGCTATTTAAAGGGTTCAGATTATATCCGCCAATACATGTTTAGCATTTAGTGCCATTTAAAAGATTGCACTAAAAACAATTTGGAACAGCGCATTAACACTGCTTTTTATCTAAACTAATTAAATAACCATTTACACAAAAATCACAAATTGTACCATCTTAAGAATTGCATGCTTAACAATTCTACACAGAACATGAACAAGTAGTTTAATCAGAGCTTTAAATATAACCAGTTATGCATGTCTAACATAAACTAGATTAACCAATTACACATTAACTACAATTGTTGACATTACAAGGAATACAAGCAGTTCTGTCTGAACTTAACGAAAAATTTGCTTAGCATTGCTAACAAAGCCCTAAATTTAAAATTTAAATAAATATTTTTAAATATTAAATTGAAATTAAAAAAAATTATTTTTAAAGTTCTAAAAAATTTTATTTTTATTGTGTTTAGCAAATAAATGAAATTAACTAAATACCCTCTCCTGAGCATTTTGCACAATTTTAAATTGTACACAAAGCGCAGTTGACCGGATTTGCCTATACTATATAATAATTATCTGAAGGGTTACATAAAGTACATTATTGATTTTAATCACATTACTAACAATCATTTCCGCTACAATTTTTAATGCATAGTCCTGTTTAAGGATCACGCGAATACAATACAGGGCATGTCACAAAATTACAAATTTTAGAGACAGGATCATAAGTATATCCTAATTAACACTAAGAGCATTAGCTTGGATTTGGACATTAAATGCAATTATTGACAGGACAACCACATGTATATAGTGAATAATTTTTATGTTCATAGATAAGAATAGACTAAGAATGTAAGCATTTGTATTTAGATAAATTAACTTATCCTGGGCAAGTTTACCAAGTATAGTAAGTATTTTGCTTTTACATGTAACATTAAGTACTGTAGGTTTAGCAACCTGAAACCGTTGATTAATACTAGTCTTATTTAGTAATAAAAATAAATTTATTATTAATAAAATATTTTCTCTTAATGTTGTTTAAATTAGATAAATTTAAAGACAGATATATTTTTTATATTGAAAAATAAAACTATTAAATTTTTATTTAAATATACTTGCAGGACAAGCCCCTCCAGAATTTGCAATACAATTATTGTTAGCATCTAAGGAATAACCTGGTAGGCATTTAACACAAGTAGCTGTTAGAGAAGAAGGAGAGCTTTTGATACATGAAAAACAGTTGTTTATGTTGCAATTGTAAGTTTATTCACATACTTTTTATCCTGATTGTAGTGTATACCTATCAAACCCTTAAAGACAACTGCTGCAATTAGTATTGTCTTAGCAAACATCGCAATTCTCTACACAGTTAGCCCATGCTCTTAACTTCAAAACACCATACCAAGAAAAATCATTAGTTACATGTTATACAAACTACACTTTAATAGTATTTGATGTGAGAGATTAATTCAGTTAAACTATTTCCTTACTTACTTACATATATCCAGACCAAATAGAACATTATAGGCTATAATTATATTCTACGTTAGTACCTGTACTAGCCCCGCTGTAATTTTAACTGAATAAAGAAGTATTTCCATCAAATATACTCATATTTAAGGGATCATCTTTCATTAAATAAACTAAATCAACACCAAAAAATGAATAGGGTTTGGTAATAGATTTTATCATTTATATTCCATTAGGATAACTAGACATATCTGGTGATAATATATCAGCTGAGTTTCCATTATCTGATCTTTCACATTAATATTAGCAACCTCCTCCGGAATAAGAATCAGATACTATAGACCAATACTAGCTAAATAGATTAGAGCAGGAAAGATCAGAAGTAAAATCTTAATAGTAGACTACTTCTAACCCTATTAATTATATAAAATTTATTTAATCACTTCAAATTTAAAAGTTCTTTTTCATATTTAATTATCCATGATTTTTTGTTAACAAATAAAGTAGAATTACAATTTAATTAAGAATTAAATAATTGGTATACCTTTCACAATAAAATTATTTATTGCTAGGAATGATAACAGTAAAAAGAAAAATATTTTGATCATATTTTCTCTAAAATATTTTGTAGAGATATTTCTCCTCTTTGTTACTTTTTGAATTAATCTGAATTTGTGTTTTTGACAGAATTTTGTTACTTTTGATTAAAATAATAAACAAAACAAGTATATATGATTTTTAGATACACAAAGAAGGAAAATAATCAGCTTTTTGAATATCAAATAAAAACATATATATGGAATAGAATCGAACTAAATCTAACACCATTGAATTTTTAAAAAGATAAGCTCAATTTCTTGTTATTTGGATCTGGTTAATTTATTTTTACATGGATACTAAATAAGAAATAGTAATCAACTTTGATTAGTGGTGCTTACTCAAGTAATAATTCAAAATATACCTCAAAATAAAAATCTTTATCCATAACCACATTAATTCAAGTAAATATAAAGTATTGATTTAAAAGGGATATTTTACAAGGATATTTTAAAATACATCTCTAATAATCAATTTAAGTAACCAAAAGTACTGATTTTGCTCTTTAGACATATTCTTTAAAATATGCACTTACTTGCTCTTGTTTTAATTCAAAATTAATAAATAAATGTATTAAAAAATATATTTTATATCTTATGTACACCTGATTAGGTATTAAATAATATATAATTCATTTTTACTGTATTAGGTGAGTAAGAGATAAGTTAAGTATTTATTGAGAAGAGCAAATTCATTTGAAAATATTTTTTATATTTAATAGAAAAAATATCCAATAAAATTTATTTTAAAATACAAACTAACTTAACAGAAATATTTTTTATATTTTAATTAATTGAATTATTATTATTTCAATTAAAATAAGAAATATGTGGCAATTAATACTTAAAATTAAGGCCATATTTTAAATAATTATTTCAATGATTTCTAATATAAGAATTTTATATTATTAATAAAAGTATCAAAGACTAAAAAAATTCTTTTATAATTTATCCTTTAGATTTTGGAAATATCTTTGTAAAATAGAAAATCAAATTTTATTAAAAATCACGAATAGATATTTTTGACATCAAATATTTATTTTATTTACAACCAATTTTTAATATTTAATTAACAAAATTCTCTATGACCATTCTATTATTTATAAATGTATGATATTATAAATATCTTTATTAGACATATATTTTAAATCAGCCTTAATAAATTATTTTAGAAATAGGTATTTGAAATCAATATTAAATTAACCATTTTTCATTTTATATTAATTTATTTATAGTCTTATTAAGTTTACCATATTTTTACTAGTTTCTAACTAGTTATTACTTATTTCTAGAAAAATAAAATAATGATCTATATTATTGCGAACTTTTATTTAGCTTTTTTTTTATTGAAGATAGTATGATTAAATTTATTTCTAAAATAAATAAGATTAGATAAAAAAAAATATTTTTCTTAAAAATTTTATGATATAAAAATAAAAAATTGCATTTGCTTTCTATCATTTATTATGCTTTATCAGATTTGAATATTTTTTACATTAAGAAGTTATGACTAAAAATAAAAAGGCGTTATAGATAGAATTATATATTTTTTTATCTTAAAATAGATTACACTAAATATTGAATATGATCTAAAGCTTAAAATTTATAAATTTACAATTTGTTTCAATTAATTTAATATGACTTTAATCTAAATAAATACCACAACAGTATTAATTTTTTGATATTTGAAATATACATCAAATCCTTATAATTAAAAAATATCTCAAAATGATTAACTTAGACTAAAATACCTTATACAAATAAATTTAAATAAAAAATAAAAATGACTAATTGGTTAAATTATTATTATTATATTCAAACAAATATCTTAATTTTTGAATTTTTTATCTTAAAACAAACAAATTAATATTTTTTTAACACAAAAAATAATTGGATCTAGTTTTTTTGAGCTTTCTATTTTGTAATTCTGAGTAATCAATTATTTTAGATATATTATTTTTTATGTTTTTTCAAATTAAGGATTAAAAATAATTTACACACTTTCTAGGAGTAATCATTTAGAGTAAAAATTAATATATAAAGTATAATAAATAAATATGTAATTTGTATAAAAAAAAAATTCTAAAATACATTTTTATTTTTTAAAATAAAAAATTGTTTTACAAGAGTTTAATAATATAAAAACATATTTTATTTATTTTATCATATTAACTGAATAGAAGCATCTTTATGGGATAACAGATCATTATTAGAAACATTTAGAGATTAAATATTTTAATTTAAAAATCTATTACTTAGAGCTTGATATTGACTCTATAATTAGTTATATGATTCACTATTTTATAAATATTATTTTTTCTAAAATAGATTTATTTATTAAATCTATTAAAACTAGTTTTAATTCTAATCCTTACCATTTAAGGTTAATTCTTATAAATCTAAATTATTGTTGATATTTTTTTAACTCTCTTATTATTTATTAGAATTATTTCTTTTTATCTAAGGAGATATTATAGACTAATTCTTTAAAATTATCTATCTTTTTAATGGTGATAATGAGAGATTCGAAGTTTGTTCTACTTAAGGTATTATAATTGTGCTTAGTTTTTTTTTTATACCTCTGTTTTTTTATAAGGATATTTGAGAAACAAAACCTAAAGTTTTATAATTTAATTAATTAATCTCTCCTAGTTTTTCTTATTTAATTTTTTCGAGCTCTTATTTTGATTTAAATAATGTAGAAATAAAATCCTTAATTAAATTAGTTATACCTTTCAGTAGATCAATAATTACACTGAAAATATGAATAACTAAAATAGTAGAAGCTGATGCTATAATTACCCAGCCAATGTTAAACCTATGTTACTCATCCTAATTCTCATCATCCTCTACTAATAGACTTATAGATGCATACATGACAATTAACAGAATTTCACTTATGCCATTTTTAATATTAGTGTTCTTGTCTTCTTATGGTTTCGTGTAAAAATAATAAAAGCTGAGGAATACATTCATTAAACATATTAAAATAACCTAAAAATATACTAAGCCATATAAATATAGCAAGACCATTATAAAAATGATTTTTCTTAAGTAAAGTATTACGTTTGTAAATTTACTCCATTTTAACTAAAGCTGCTACTGTCTACTGAGTATTTATTTATTATATTTCTCTCCATTTTAACTTTAAATCTCATTCTTCTAATCTTTGTTTGTAGTGATATAGTTATTATTTATATTATTTTTAATATTTTCTTCAACAGCCTTATTTTCAGGTAAAATAAAACCCCCTATTATTGAGCTAAATTAAAGTTGTATTTAAGGATCTTTCAAATTCTTACATTTTACTATAAAAACAGTAATCATGATAGGATAAATTATTACAAATATAAAAAACAAAGAAAATAAAGTATAATTAATAAATGCTAAGGATTCATCAAATGTAAAGCAATAAAACTAGAGTAAGGTAGACACTAATACATAAACGTAAACACATCCTATTAGGTCAAAAAATCCATTAAATTCCTAATTTTTATTTTTAAAATTGCTAAAATTTTATAAAAATAAATTTTAAATTTACCCAACCACTTTTGATTTTACTCAAAATATATAATCTAATTTATGGAATAGGGATAAGTGAAAGTGTCTTAATTGCTAAATAAATTGTAGTAATTCCAATTATTATTGTAATAGATTGACCTGCTCCATTAAAAAAATACCTAATATGAAAAAAAAAATAATTAAAAAACCAGAAACTATTTATTAAATTACGCATCATATCCATTATCAATGAATTTTTAGGGAGTGAAAGGTTATGTATAGTTAGCATCCATTAAATAAATTTGTATGGTGTTAGGGACAAATGCAAATTAAAAGTTTTAAAATATAGAGCAAAATGACATAACATTTTCAGGATACCTAACATCGACAAAGAGCATGAAGTAAATAAAGGTTGTTAAGTCTATTGTGCTAAATAAAACATAAGTATTTCCAATTACAATCATTAAGATCATCATAATAAGGAGAGTTGATGAAGTTTTAGAAGCTACTTGATTTATTACTTAAGCTTATTAAATTTGGCTTTATGTTAAAACCACATAATCACCCAATTAAACTTATTTTTATAGTTCCTGCAAATTATTGACTTAGACAAATTATGGGTCATTCATTTTAACAATTAAATTTTTATTTTTACAATTACCTTCCATAGAAATTTAAAGCTTTATTTACTTTTTTTAGATATCTACTATTTCAACTTTAAAAGGATTGTTGTAATCAACTATTTAAATGCTTATTAATCCATTCACATTTTCAGTAGTAGTTATAATATCATTTTAAAATTTAATTGTTATATTATAACCAATATTTTCTACAACTTTTTAATCTACAACAAAGTCGTTTTTCACAGATAATGTACACTTTAAATTATTATCTATGTAGTAATTTTCTTCACAAGTTTCACATTTATCTAATTTATTTACCTAACACTATTTACACTTTTAAACTTTGCACTAATTAATACATGTAGTTGAATCTTTAGGGCAAGCGCAAATCGAGTTATTATTTAAAGAAATATAACCATATTAGCAAGAATCACAAATTGAACCATTACCAGAATTGCAATTTTAGCAGTTTAAAACAGAACAATTGCATTAAGTCTAATCTTCACTCAAAATATAATTTAGCTGACATTTAATGCATTTTGTATTATTTTAAGGATCTGTTGCTAAACAATTTTTAATTTGAGGTTAACATACCTTATTATTATTTTGAGGAGCAAAACCTGCTAAACAAATATCACAAATAGAACCATCATTAACATTGCAGCTAAGACAATTAAGAACTGAGCAAATACATTATGTTGAATTAGAACTTAAGGCATAATTAGCCTAACACTATTGACATACATTTCCATTTTAGGGATTACATTTTAAGCAATTTTAAATTCCACACTAGCATGCCTTATTATTATTAATAGGAATAAATCCTTGATCACAAGAATCACAAATTTATCCATCATTAATATTACAATTTTTGCAGTTAGAAACCTAGCAAACACATTATTAATTTAAATTCAATGTATAATTCTGTTAACACTTTAGGCACAGATTACCATTTTAAGGATCGCAAGATAGACAATTTTAGCTAATACATTTACAAGTTTTATTATCTTTTGATGAAGTATATCCATTACTACATGTATTGCAAATAGATCCATCAATTGGATTGCATTATTAACAATTAGGGATTGTACATTAGCATTATGTGGAATCACCATTTAAATTAAAATTTTATTAGCATTTGTTACAAATTGACCCATTTTAATGATTACACTCTAGGCAATTAGCTACACTGCATTAACAAACCTTATTGTCATTTGAAAGGATATACCCTTTTATACAAGAATTGCAAATAGATCCATCATTTTATTAGCATTATTAACAATTAGAAACAGAACAATTACATTATGTTTTATCACTACTTAAAGAATAATTTTATAAACATTATTTACAGATGAATCCATTTGTTGGATCACATACCTAGCAGTTTGCAACTGAGCATTAACAAGATTTATTATCATTCGAAGAAATATATCCTGAAATACAGGTATCACAAATAGAGCCATCGCTATAATTACATTTCTAACAACCAACAACAGAGCAACTACACTAAGTAAAGTCACTACTCATAATATAATTATATTTACATTCATCACATAAACTACCATTTAAAGGGTTACAATTTTAGCAATTACTCACACTGCATTAACAAATTTTATTATCATTCTATGGAGCGTACCCTACCACACAATTATCACATAAAGATCCATCATTCTGATTGCAGATTTAACAATTACTTACCTAACATTAACATTTAAGTTAATCAGAACTTAGAAGATAATTAGTTTAACACTAAATACATAATTTTCCATAAGTTGGATTACATTAAAGGCAATTATCTACACTACATTAACACTTTCCATTATTATTATAGAATCCAAAATTACAAAAACCACAAATATTACCATCAAGAAGAGAACATTAATAACAATATTAAGCTTGACAAATGCATGTCTTCTTGTCATCGCTTAGTTAAAAGTTAGGTTAACATTAATCACAAAATTTACCATTTAAAGCATTACAAACCAAACAATTATTTACGCTACATGAACAAATTGTATTATTGTTTGAAGGGTAATAGCCATTCGCACATGTGTCACAAATATAACCATCTTTTGAATTACATACCTAACAATTTGAAACAGAGCAGTTACATTATTTAGAATCTAAATTTTTTATATAATTTTTTGAGCACTAATTACATAATGATCCATCAGATGGATTACAGACCTAACAATTTTCCACTGAACATTGACAATATTTACTATTATTAGTAAGTAAATATCCAGTCAAGCAAGTATCACATATTGACCCATCATCTACATTGCAATTTCTGCAATTTGCAACTTAACAACTGCACTAAGTTTAATCACTACTATTTATATAATTATTTGTACATTTATCACATATATTTCCATTAGATTAATTGCAAATCTAGCAATTACTTACACCGCATTAACAATTCTTTTTATTATTCTAAGAAATATATCCTACAACACAATTATCACAAACAAATCCATCGCTAGGATTGCAACTTTGACAATTTTAAACAAAGCATTAGCATTAAGTCTTATCATTGCTTAATTAATAATTAGTATAGCACTCATCACATAAATTACCATTAGAAGCTTAACATTATTTACAATTTGAAACATTACATTAGCATATATTATTATATTGATCATCTAAGATAACTTGATAGCCTGCTGCACATTAGAAGCAATTCATACCATTTGTTGGATCAGGTTGGATACAATTTTAGGCTTTCATAATGCACTAGTTTCCAACTAAAGTATAACCTTAAGTGCATATTAGACAAAGATTACTAGTACATGAAGAACAGTATTACATTGTACATTAACATAAAGTAGAATCAGGGCTTAAAATATAGTTAGTGGCGCAAGTTAAGCATTTGCTTCCAGTAGAATCACATTATTAGCAGTTTTTTATAGGACATTAACATTATGAATTCTAGTCTAAAATAAACACACCTTTACAAGCCAAACATTTTGTATTGCTTGAAGAAAGACATGTTTAACAGTTTGATAGTGTACATATACATGTTTTTGAAGATGAATCAAATATTCCACTATTGCAAATTGAACAAATTGTTCCATCATTAGGACTACATTAAAGGCATTAAGGGATAGAGCAAGTGCAAGTAGTTTTGTCATTACTTAAAACGTAACCTGTGACACATTATTAACAAATTTATGAATCATTGCATTAAAGACAATTTTAAGCACATTTTAGGCAGTTTCCTGAACTATCCATAAAGTAGTTTTAATTACATATTTTACAAGTTCCTAAATAAAAATAAATATTTAAGAAAAATTATTTTATCTAAAATATAAAATATCTAAATAAAAACTTGTATTATACTCTAATTAATTCCCAATATCTTAAAATTATTTTGAATAAACATATTATTATTGATAAAAATATTATTTAATGAATTCTATAATTAGTAAAAAAATAACTTTTAAAAATTACCATCTTGATTACATTGTTTGCAATTTTGAACGCTGCATTATTTACATTGAAAAGGATTTGTTCCTGACACATAATATGAACTACTTAAACATTATTAGCAAACAAATTGATCGCATTTAAGGCAATTTGCATCAGAACATAATATACTAGTACAAGCTTTTGTAATAGGGTTAAGCTATTAACCATCAGGACATGTAGATGCTACACATGTTGAACCACTAAAAGAATACCCTAGTTTACATTAAATGCAAGTATTTATGTTGCATTAATTACAATTAGGTAAATGATTACAACCACATACTCTTGTACTATAATTTCCTCTTTAATATAGTAGGATTACCTTATTTTAGAAGCATTTAAAAGTTGCTTAATCTGGCACTTTAAAACATTACTACCAGGTTGTTTCAGATGTATTTTATCTAAGACAGTTGGTTGTGTATGTTTCGCAAGTATTTTATTCATTTCTATATTATCCTATTAAAATAAATATTATTTTCTATTGAAAAAAATAAATATATTTAAAATATATTAAAATAGAATAGGAATATAAATCTATTCCACATTCAGCTTGAGCTTTTTGAGCAGTTTTATTTATAAAAAAATTGCAAAAACGCACTAGCATCATTTTTTATGGCTTGTAATGTTTATGAAATTCCAACCATTTTGTAAAATTTGAAAGAATTCTTAGATAAATTGCATTTAAAAAACATTTAAAAATTTATAATAATTTCTATTTTTCATTCAAAATTGAATAGGGAAAAAATAAAAATTTCATTCAATCATTCATCTTATTTATTAAAAAAAAAACTATCACAATAGAAAATTTAATTGTTTTTCTTTATTTATAATTAATTTATTTAAACAGATAAAAATTTGAAAAAATTTATCCAAAAGTATTCAATTTTATGATAATAAAAATAATTAGAATTGAAATAAAAAATTAAATTATTTTTTTTTTTGAAATAAATTATTAAGAGCTTATTCTTTATTTGCCTTATGATCAACCTCAATGCCAACCCAAATTAATGCTTAAAAAATATTATATTTGAGGAGCAATATGTCTGAAGCAAAAGCTGACAAAAAAGTTTAAAAATTTTTTTTTAAGCTAATCAGATTTGAGTAATTCAATATAATTTGGAGCAGAGAAAAAGCAAGTAACATTTATAAGTTAAAGAGCAAGTTGATAGAAATTATTGAAAGCATTCTTATGGTATTAATCTATTAAAAACCATTAGAATTTCTAAAAAAAGAATAGAAGTTTATTTTATTTAATTTTTATTCATAAATTCAAGAAATAACTAATTACATCTGAGTTATATAAAATTGGTTATTAGATTAGTTAATTTGCAAATTTAATAAAAAAATATCTAGAATAATTATATATACCTGCACTACAAGCTGAACCAGTAGAAATGCAAACATTAGAATTATTTAACTTATATCCAGGTATGCATTATATGCAAACTTCGTTTGTTCCACTAATAGCACATTCTAAGCAATTACTTGATTAACAATCCTCTTATTAAGAACATACTTGTTATCCAGAAGGCATAATGATCAATGAGAAACCTTATAAACAAACTGAGCAATTCTAAGAATCTTAGCATTAATCACAATTTAAAACGCAATTTGACCACATATAGATTTTGAAAAAACCATAATTAGAAGGTAAGTTAGAGAACTGCAAATGATATTTAGAAATATTCTATGTTATAACATATTTGCCTACAAAAATTGTTCTAAAATTTGAGCCTTAGCAATTGACACCATTGTTTATTATTTCTTAAGGAAAATTATTTTAGACTATTTGCTAATATGATTATTAATATAGTAATTTATTATCTCCATATATTGAAACAGTAAATTATCCAGATACAAAATAAGCTAAATCAAAACCTAATATGGAAGCTTTATTTGTTAAGATTTTAGTAATTTCAAATCCATTTGGATATTGAGTTGGGACTAAGTAGAAAGCTGCATATGTAATTGAATTTAAAGAACAGCTTTATTAGCAGTAATTATTAGGAAAAGAACCTCCTCCAATTATATTCCAGTTAGTTTGTAACTCATTTTAGCAATTTGTTGAAGAATCGTAATACTTCAAGAGAATTCTCTCAAATGTAAATATTTCTTCAAAGCAATTTAAAATTAAAAATATTAAAAAAGATAAGAGTTAACTTAAATTTACCTCTAATACATAGGATAAAGTAAAATAATATACTCAAGATCTAGTTTTTTTCGCTCATTTGATTCTTTGATTTGCTTGTTATTGTTTTTTTAATTAATTTCTTGTTTGCTCTACTTTTATTTTCTCTTTTTATTATGCTATAATTGAAATTCAATAAAGAAATTAGCTTAATTTATTTAAATCCTGAATAACCATCATAGATCAAAATTATAAAAACAATAATAATCAATTTGTTAGATTTTTTTGCAGATTGTAATAAAATATAATCCATCAATTTAAAATTACTTATATTTGCCACAATACCTGAAAAAGTTAATAGCAAGATATTCATTTCTGTTTATCTTAAGCCTTTATTTGTTTGATAAGAAATCTATAATTCAAGTAATAAAAAATTTACCATTATTTATTTACTAGTGGCCACTTATTTATAACTTGTTAAAAAATTCATATCTTTTAATTGCAAAAGAAATTATAAGATTTGATTTTTGGTAAAATCTAATTAAGCTCAACCATAAACCATAAGATTATAAGAAATTAGATCTCTTTATTAATTCAATGCTAATTTTAATATCATTAATATTTTTATTATTTAAAAAAAATTCCTTTCTTACTTTTCCTTATGCTTCAAATTTTTATATATTCTTTTAAAAATTCATAAGCTACTTTAATCTAATAAATATTTTACTGTAAAATTGAAATGCTTATGGCTTGCATGAAAGTCAAAATAAATTTTCTATTATTCTGAAATATTCAAATCTTTTTTATTTAAAAATAAAAAATACTTCTAGTAAAACTAATGTTTGTTATTTTGAAATTAAAAGGAACTCCCAAATATTTAAATCAGTGGTTATGAATTTTCAAAGCTAAATTAAAATAGTTAAAAGATATTAGCTTACAGAATAATTATTTATTTTATGAAGTTTTATTTTAACTTACATGAGCTAAAATAGCTTAATTGAAATTATTTTTAAATAAATATTTATAGGAAACAATAGATAATATTAAATGAAGCTCTAGTTCTTATACAAATTTTATAAAATTTAAAAATTTATTTTGATAAATATAATTCTTTTTTATTTTTTATTTTATTCAATTTTCTAAATTTATTTAATATATACATTTTTTTATTCTTTAAATTATTATTAACTAATGAAATATATTCTATTATTGAATAAATATTTTAACTTAAGTTAATAAATTAAAAAAAATTAATTTTAAGTGATTAGTATTGCTTTAATACCTAACTCTGTAATCTCTCTGAATAAATACTTTTTAAGTTAAGTAAAAATAAATAATATTTCCATCAATTTTTTTATTGGATCATATTTACTTTATTAAATTAAGGGGGGAAAATGAAAAGATATGCTGGATAATAAAATACTATGATTTAAATGCTTAAATATACTAAAATCTAAATTAAATGTGAATAAATATTTAAATGTAAATTATATACTCCATTTTCTCTGTTTCTTAAACTTTTATAGTCAATCTTTAATTAAAATTTCACTTGTTAGTTTTGATTCTGAGTAATATATTTTTAGAAATTATTATCAAAAAAAATAAAGGAAGAATTATGGCATATCTTCTTTGCTGATAATTCATATACCTTTTAATCTTGAAATAATAAATAAATTAATCAAAAAATATTTGAAAATGAAAAGTTAAGCAAAAATTAAAATTAAATATCATAAATTAAGAATTTTTTATCAAAATAAAAAGAGAATATAAAACTTTAGATTATAAGAATAAGCATTTTGTTAAATTTATATTATTAAAATAAATAGATAATATTTTATAAATAATTATTATTGAAATTAGTTTATTTAATTTAAGAAAGATTTTGAATTATTCAAGAGTAATCAATTTCTTAAAAATAAATTAAATCTATTCTTGTTTTGTATTTTTCGTTAATTCCAAAGTGAAGAGCTATATAATAAGTTTCCTCTGAATTGAGCTTATATTCCTCATTTAGTTAGTTAACTTTCTAATAGTTTGGATAATCTAAAAATTAAATTTGTTATGCTTGAATATCTACCCTCATTTCTATGACCTAATCTTTTTGAATTTCATAAAAGAGATCTCCTTAAATCACATTACCGCAATAGTGAATGTTATCATTGCAAAAGAGTTTACCTTGATGTGTTTTATTTAAATCATAAGTAGTGCTGCTTTTACTAACTAAACCTATTATGAAACAGTCTCCTGCTTAATCATTAAATCTAAACCTAACAACATATTTTTTATTTTTGGTCAACTCATATTTAAAATATATTCCTCCATATACATCTTCATTATCCTTTTATATTTATATTATATTTTCATAAATATTTTCGACCACTTAAATTAAATTTGATTGGTCATAGTTACAATTCATCGCCTTTTCATAAATCTATGAAACAATATTCATGTTTTCCTTATCTTTTATCATTTATTAAGCTATTTTTTATATGTAGAGAGCTTCATCTTCTATTAATATCATGTAATTTAAGGGTTTGCTTGTAAAAATATCATCTATTTGCAATTCTAAAAAGGCGTAGCTAACTTTATCAAACAAATTATTAAATTACTATATGAATGAAGGCCTAACATGGTTGAGTTTATTCCCAATCAAAAAATTTAGCTATTTTTTAACCTCATCAATTTATTCATAGGAATTTTTTCTCTTATTTGTAAGAGGATTAAATTCTTCCAATTACCTTACTATTGAGTGCTTAAATAGATTCATATCAACCATCTATAAAATCTAATATTCTTTAATTTTATCAAGCTATTGCTATAGAATTTTAGTATTTTGCTATTTTTGCTATATCTTTTCTGAAATAAAGCACCTTAAATCATCAAGTTTGCATTCCATATTTTACTTCTCTATCTTTATAATTTATTTTAATTTCTTTTTCTCTGCTGTATCATTATATACTTTAAGTATTTCATCCCACTTCACACTTTCATTAATAACTGTCTACATTGCTGCCTTTTTCTTTTGCTCTAAAGCATCTACTATTTCTTTAATTAAACCATCAAATGCTTGCTCAATTCCTTTGATTAAATCTGATCTATATTAAAAAGCTCCTCTAATTTCGCTTAGAATCCCTAAGTCCTCAAGAGGAGGCCAATTCATAAAAATGTATTCGTCTTAACATTTGCTGATTGTTTTTATAGACAAATAATCTTTATTATATGTATCCTCTAATATGCACTCTTAGCATTTAAAAATTTGATTGCTATCTAATGAAGCTTTTATATAGATAGCTTGGTTTTCTGGATGTTACCCACAAAAAGGAGTATTCATATTATAAACTTTATCCATTTTAATCTTCTGTTTAGCTAATAAATATTTGTTCTATATTTAATTCTTGATAATTTATAGAACTATTTTTAATTACAAAATTGTTATTTAGCATAAAGATATCTATATTGAATATTTTCTACTAATTTTAATAATAGAATGATTTAAAAAAATGTTGATATATTTACATATACATCATATTTTTAGTATGTAACATTAATTAAAAGCATAGTATTTTAAAATTATGAATACTATTTTTAAAAGATATTTTTAGTTAAGAATAAATAAAAAAATTCTTAACCACTAAATTATAAAGAAAAATTAATATACATTACTAATTCACAATATTACAGATAAGAAATTAATTTGAAAATAAATTTACAAAAAAATTATATTGTAAACTTTAATTTTCTTCAAATTTTGTAAATAACTTTTAAAAAATACTTAAATAATAATTAAAACACTAAAAATTACGAAAGAAAAATAAATTCAATTTATTTTAATTTAAATTTTTAAATAAAAGTTACTTATGTTTCAACTAAGTTAAAATTTAAATTTAAAAAAAGCTTTTAAAAGCACAAAAATGAAAATATTTTGTTAAAAAATAATATATTTTTTTTAAAATATCCTAAATAAGCTTTAAAAATCATTAGTGAAATTATTTTTATTAAAATTAAAATAAAAATTTTTGATTTTTAAAATGAGTAAATAATTGAAGTTATGTAAAGGGGATCTAGCTCAAATGGTAGAGCGCTCGTTTAGCATACGAGAGGCACTGGGATCAATGCCCAGGTTCTCCAGTTTTTATATTTTACACATATTTCAAATAAAAAAAGAAAAACAAGTGTCTTATATTATTATTAAATTTAAATGTGTGTTATTTAGAACTAATTTTTTAATATGGATAGAATAATTAACATATATTCAAACCTCATATGGAAGTATATAATTTACCATAATTATTGTAAAATAAAATTATTTGTTTCTTTAGATGATATAGCGGATGATGATGGTGATGGAGAGGAAAATTTAAACCTTCTATTACTCTCATACATTTTAAGAAATATTATTAGCTATTAAAAGAATTCTATTAATTATTATTAAATAATTTATTCAAAATAGTTACTATTTAGAATCTCTTGAAAGCATTAAGTCATTATTAGATATATTAACTGATTAGTTATTATGATTTAATTAGGAATATGAAGTATTTTTGCTACTTTTAATTAATATTTTTGAAGTTTTTTATTATTTTGTGCTTACAAAATTTTCGTTTTATTCAACTATTTAATTTTAATTTTTTTGGTTAATGTTAATGTCTTTTTTATTTAATACAAAACTATTTTTTGCTTAAATGTCGAAATTAATTAAATAAGAATTATTAACATCTTCACTTTTTTCTTTAAATTCCAAATCAGGTGACCTTAATTCATGGCTTTTAAGAACTTATGATGAATCCAACTTGTGTAAAGATGTTATTTATGGACTAAACTTTTTACTATTTTTTAATAATTACTTTAAAGAAATTTAAGACAATCTCCCTAATTTTTTTTTTAACTTTTCTTCTTTTTACAACTATTTTGATTATTTTATTTTATCTATCTCATTCTTTGACTTCAATAAAGTACATATGAAGTCTTTAACCAGATTATATATACCTCCTATAAGGTCAACTACTACACTAAAAATATGAATTGTTAGAATAGTAGAAGCACAAGCTATTATAACCCATCCTATATTATATCTTTATTACTCATCCTAATTGTCACTATCTTCTACTAAGAAGCAGACAGAGGTCTACATCATGATAAGAATTATCTCACTTACTCCATTTTTAAAATTACCACTTTTTTCTTGTAAGGGTTTTATATAAAGATAAAAATATGCAAGAAAGATATTCATAAGGCAAATAATTATCATCTAAACATATACTTGCCCATAAAAATATAGCAATGTCATAATATAAATAATTTTTCTTAAATAGAGTATTACATTTGTATATTTACTCCATTTTAACTGCAGAAATTACTGCTTTGGAATAGTGGAATTCTCATTTTTATTATTCTTATTAAAATTTATAATATCAGGTTCTGCTGCTACTTTATTTTAATGTTCTTTAATTAAATTATTTTCAGGATTATTTTGTTAATTAGGAACCACTAAACCTCCGATTAAAGAACCAAATTATTATTAAATTTAAGGATCACTTAAGTTTTTGCACTTTGTAATAAAAATTACCATAGTAATAGGTGCTAAAAATACAAAAATGAAGCTAATTGCAAAAAGAGTATAATTGATAAATGCTAAAGGTTCATCAAATTAAAAGCAGTAAAATTAACACAGAGAAGAAACAAGGACATAAACATAAACGCATCCTATCAGATCTAAAAATCCTGAATATTCCTTTTAAAATAAAAATTTTGTTAAAAAATATTTAGCTTGAAAACAATTATGAATAATTTTACCCATCCACTTTTGATTTTGGATTCAATATAAATTTTTATCTTTGGAATAGGAATATAAGAAAGAACTTTAATTATTCCATAAATAGTAACAATGCCTGCTATAATTGTACAGGATTATCCTGCTCCATTTAAGAAATATCTTTAAAAATTAATTAAAAAATATCATTAATAAACAATTCAATAAAATAAAAAAAATTATTTTACGCATCATATCCATTTTCTAAGAATTTTTATGGTGTTTTAGGTTAAACATAATTGGGCTCAATAAAATAAACTTAAATAGTATTAGGGACAAAAGCAAATTAAAAATTTTAAAATATAGAACAGAAATTAATGAGATTTTAAGGGTGTCTTATATCAACAAACAGAAGAAAATAAATGAATGTTGTCAGATCAATAGTGCTAAATAATACATAAGTATTTCCTATAATTATCATGAGTATCATTGTTATAAGTAAGGTATTTGCAGCTCCTTAAGCTACTTCTCCTGTTTTTTGAGCTTAGGCTACTTAGTTTTAAGAAAGAATAATATACTCCTTCAGTTTAACTTCTTTTTAACTATCTTTAAGATTATTTATATGTAGAAATTAAATATTATTCAATTAAACAATTAACTTTTTATTTTTACAGTTATCTTTAAGTTATAGTTAAACTTGTATTTATTGCTCTTTAATTGATAATATATTAACAACAAAAGGATTTTCAAAATCCTCAATTTATAAATTAAGCAAATTTTGGACATCTTGTTATGAAAAAATAATTTGTTAGCTAAAAGCTATTGTAACATTATAACCAATATTTTGAGTTACAGTTTAAAAAACTGAAAAATCGTTTTATAATTCTAAAACACAAAAGAAATCTGAAGTTAAAGTGTATGTATCTTAGCAAATTTAACACTTTTCTTAAGAATTTTCTTTACATTATTTACACATCTAAACTTCACATTTTGATGGTGTTTAACATTATTAAGAATTTACTTCGCATAAGCATTGCTTTTTGTTATCATTTAATAAAAATCCATCTTAGCAATTATCACAAATTGATCCATCATTAGTATTACAGTTTTTACAATTAGGAACAGAGCATTTGCATAAAGAGGAAGTATTGATATAACCATTTTTACATTATAAGCATTTTAAGCCATCAGTAGGATCTTCAATTTCACAGTTTTGAGCTTGTTTTTAACATTAAGAACCTTAATTTATGAAACCGTTTTAACATTATTAGCACTAATTACCATCATATTAGCTGCATTATATACAATTTTATACTGAGCAATTACATTATGTTTTGCTATTATTCAGCTAATATCCATTTATACAAGTGAGGCATTAATCTCCATTTTAATTACATTAATTACAATTTGCTATTGGACATTAGCATTAATTATTATTATCTTTAACATACAATCCCATGCATTATTTACAGGAATGATCATCATTTTACTCACATTAGCTACAGTTTTAAACTTAACATTAGCAGGATTTTGTAATGATATTAAAGGATCCATTCTAACAAACTTAACAAATTGTCCCATCAATTTAACTACACTATAAACAGTTCTAAACTGAGCAATTACATTATGTGTTTCCGCTACTCAGCTAATAGCCTTATATACAATCAATACACTAATCTCCATTTTAATTACACCTTGAGCAATTTTATATTGAACATTTGCATTAATTATTATTATCTTTAACATACAACCCAGAACATTTTTTGCATGAAGAGTTAGTATTTTAATCACACAAACTACAATTTTCTACCAAGCATTAGCAAGCTTTTGTAGAAGGATCAAAAGATCCGTTTTAACAATCTTAGCAAATAGATCCGTCTGTTTAACTGCATTACAAACAATTCTAAACAGAACAATTGCATTCTGTGTTTCCATTAATTAGTTAATATCCTTAAACACATGTAAGACATTTATCTCCAATTGTATTACATGCAGCACAGTTTTTAATAGGACATTAACATTAATTATTAATATCTTTAAAATACAACCCCAAACATTATTGACATCGTGAATTCGCATTTTAAGTACATAACATGCAATTTGAGACCAAACATTAACAAGTTTTTGTAGTAGGATCAAACTACCCATTTTAACAATTTTAGCAAATAGATCCATCAGTTTGGCTGCATTATAAGCAATTTTCAACAGAGCAATTACATTATGTATTTCCATTACTAAGAAAATACCCTTAAGTGCAAGCTAGACATAAATTACCAGTTTAATTACACTGAGAACAATTTTTTATTGAGCACTAACATTAATTATTATTATCTTTTACAAATGAATTAGCACATTATTAGCATGAAGAATTTGTATTTTAGTTACAGAGAAGACAATTTTAGACTGTACATTTACAAGTTTTAGATACTAAATCAAAAGATCCATTTTAACAAATTTAACAAATTGATCCATCTATTTAGCTACATTATAAGCAATTCTAAATAGAACAATTGCATTAAGTATTTCCGTTACTTAACTAATATCCTTAGATACATGTTACGCATTAATCTCCATTTGCAGTACATACAGAACAATTTTTTATAGGGCATTAGCATTAACCATTAATATCTTTAACATAAGAACCAACACATTTTTGACATGTAGATTTATCATTTTAATTACATAAACTACAATTTTAGACAGAGCAAATGCATGTTTTTGAAATAAGATCAAAAGAACCATTTTAACAAATTTGGCAAATTGTACCATCAGTTTAACTGCATTACAAGCAATTTAAAACAGAGCAATTACATTTTGTATTTCCACTACTCAATTAGTATCCTTGAGTGCAATTAAGACACTAATCGCCATTTTAACTGCAAACAGAACAGTTTTTTATAGGGCATTAGCACAAATTGTTATTGTCTTTAACATAAAGTCCTACGCATTGTTGACATGAAGAATTTGTATTTTAATTACATAAGCTACAGTTTTAGACAGAACATTTGCAAGTTTTTGAAGTAGAATCAAAAGATCCATTTGAACAAATTTAACAAACAGATCCATCTGAAGGACTACATTATAAACAATTATTAATGCTACAAATGCAAGACTTTTTATCACTGTTTAAAGTATAATTACTAATACAATTTTAGCAAGTTTATGAATTAGTGCAAACCATACAATTTTTTATACAACTAAGACAACTTCCTGACGAAAAATAGTATCCTGAATTACATATTTTGCAAGTTCCTTTAATAAAAAACAATTTTATAAATTTTATGCTTAAATGAATATTTATGAATATTAAAATGATGTAATTCAATGTGCTAAAATACATTTTTTTAATTTGAATCATTATTTATTTACCATCTGGATTACATTATTGACAGTTGTTAACTAAACATTGTTTACAGTATGCAGGGTTAGAACCATCTACATAATAGTTTGCAGAAGCGCATTAATAGCAAATATATTAATCACACTTTTAGCATTAAGTATCTTTGCATTATTGAGGGTTACAAAGATTAGTTAGCTAATTTAGATAATATCCTTAAGGGCAACTTGAAAAGGAACAACTCTAGCCATTCAAAGTATACCCAGTAATACACTTTGTACACGAACTTAAGGTGCATTAATCACAATAAGCAAAATTATTGCATCCACACACTCTTGTATTGTAATTTCCTCTTTCATACAAAAGAATAAGTTTATTATTATAGCATTTAATTGCAGTTTAATCTGGAACTTAATGGCATGAAACCCATGTAGTTGAGCCAGGAGACTGCATTTAGCAACTACTTGAATAAGATTTGCAAGTTTTATCTGTATTTTGATATTATCCTAAATATTAAAATATTTTTTAAAATATTTATTAAAAAAATTTATTTATATAAGAATGAAATGAATATTTAGAATTTTAAATATGGATATAATTTAGTAAATAACTACATTTCAATCAAAATTTTTATTTAAAAAAATTTGATTCATGCTTGAAAAAATTAATGTGATAGATTTAAAAAACATTAATCAAACTCTTTAAATTTTTGAATTTATTTTTTAAATTTAATGTCTATAGATAGTGTATGTGACTCTTATTTAAAATGTTAAAATGAAAAATTAATAGTAATAACTTTTTGATATTAGATATTAAATTGCAACTGAGTTTTAATGCATAAATGATTATTATTTTGATTTAGTTTATTAGAGATCATAAGCATTTATTCCTATCAAAAATTTATGTTAATATCAAAGTAAACAAAAGTAAGTTAAAATAAATATAGATTACTGACTCAAAATTTGCAAAGAAATTTTGTGAAATCAGAATATTCTTCTACTTTAACATATATTTTCATGCTAATAATAATTAAGTTTACCTGAACTACATGCATTTCCATTAGAAACACAAGTATTTGAATTATCTAAAGAGTATCCTGGTTGGCAATTAATACAAACTTCTATTATTCCGCTTTTAGCGCACTCTAAACAATTACTTTTTGAGCAACCTTCCTATTATGAACAAACTTTTTAACCAGAAGGCATAACCATCAAAGTGAATCCTTGCAAGCAAATACTACAGTTAGAAGAATCTTAGCATTAATCACAATTCAAGACGCAGTTAGCCCACATAATTATCTTAAAAAATCCATAATTAGGAGGTAAATTTGTAAATTACAATTTAAATGTTGTAAAACTTTGACCAGAAACGTAGCTGCTTGTAAAGATTGATTAAAAAGTAGCTCCTTAACAATTGACCCCTACATAAAGTATTTCTTAAGGAAATGTACCATAAATCTATTGTTAAAGCACCTTTGTATTTAAAATTTAGTTATCGCCTTATATGGAAACACTAAATTATCCAGATACATAAAAAACTAAATCATAACCTATGATTGAAGCAGGTTAAGTAATATTTTTAGTAATTTCAAATCCACTTAGGTAAATAAATGGAGATAAATAAAATGATGTATAAGTGTAAGAACTTAATGAACAGGAAATTTAGCATTAATTGCTTGGGAAAGAACCTCCTCCAATTATATCCCAATTGCTTTTGAGTTCATTTGAACAGTTAGTAGTAGTATCGTAGTATTTAGATAATAATTTCTAATATTAATAAGCACCTTTTTTATAGAAAAAAACTGATAAGTTTTAAATTAATTATGAATTTTCTACCTTAAATATAGTAAATGAAAATAACAAATAACTTTAGTCCAATTTTGGTAACCATTTATTTATGTACTTTTTTTTTTTGCTTCTATTTATTTATTTTTAGTTTTTAATTAATAACAACTTCATGTCAGAAATTTATTTAAAATCTTAGATTACAAATTAAAACTATAAAATGTATAATTAATAAATTAAATGTTGTTCTTACCACATTTTAATTTTATACAAAAAGGAGAAAATCATTCAATGTAACACAAAATATTTAACTAGTTAAGTATTTATTTAATAATAATCATTCTAAAAATCTTTTTAAAATATAGGTTATTAAGAATCTTATTCATTAAAATTAAATAAAAGATCCTCTTAAATTGCATCTTTAACATGAATCCTTGAATGATATTACCAAAAATTTATTGTAAAATACAAAGTTTTTATGGTTAAATTTATATAGCTTATAATTTATTTGATAAGATTATTTCTATATTTAAAGTAGCAATCCTAAGAATTAAACAGATAAAAATCAGAATTTTAAAAAATTATGTTTGCATGAAAACTGCATATAAAAATCTTAATTTCATTTATATTACAAAAAATAAATTAGATTTAAGCAGTTGTTTAAAATAGAGGAGCTCTTGTATTCTATTTTAAATGCATATTTAACATATATTTTTAGAAATATTTTTGTGAATTAATTTTTGTGGATTACTTATTATTATTATATTGTTTAATATAAATAAGATTACAATTTTTTATTTTATAATATTAATTTTCTTTTTTTTAAATATTATGGAATTCTTTTACAAAAAAAAATTTATCTTAATAAAAATAAACTTAAATGATGTTAAAAATAATACCTTTTAAGTTTAAAATTATTTTCTTCTATCTAAAATTTTAAATTATTTAATATTAAATTAAGGGGATCTAGCTCAAATGGTAGAGCGCTCGTTTAGCATACGAGAGGCACTGGGATCAATGCCCAGGTTCTCCAATTTTTTATTTTTAGATTTTTAAAAGTTTAATTTCATTTATTTAAATAAAATATAAAAATCGATTTATAGGATAATACTAATTTTTATGCTAATTATTTTTTAATTAGTAATTTTTATTTTATAAATTAATTTAATTTAAAAATAAATTGAAGGGGATCTAGCTCAAATGGTAGAGCGCTCGTTTAGCATACGAGAGGCACTGGGATCAATGCCCAGGTTCTCCAAATTTTTATTTAATTTTTTAATTTCGTTTTAAATAAGTTGCGAGTTATAAATCTAAAAATATATATTTATTTTTAAAAATATAATTTTTCAATATTTTATCTATTTTAAATAATTAAAAGTAAAGATTTGAAATATTTTATTAAATTTCAAATATTTTTCTTGATAATTAATCCATCTATAAATTATTTCTTTTTTAAATATTATTTTAAATAATATTAATTTTTTTTGATATTAGAAATTAAGTTAATTTACTTGGCTTATTTAATTTACATTTTTTTAATGTTATCAAATTTTCAAAATTTATGTTTTGCTAATGTAAAATTAAATTAATTTAATTACTTCGGGTCATAAATATTTCAAATTTAGATGAAAAATAATATTTCAAAACAAAATTTTATTTGAATTCTATTTAAATATTTTTAGTAGCAAGCAATTTTTAATTTTGGATCTATTTGCCTTAAAATCCTCAGATTATAAATTATCTACCTAAAAATCAAAAAATTATTTTTCAGTAAAGTTAGGTCAGCATAAAAATTTTTTAGTTTTTTAATTATTATTATTATAAAAACATGTTTCTATCTATTATCAGTTAAAACTTTTAGATTAAAATTAATATTAATAAAAAAAAGAAAGTGTTAGATAATTACCTTAGTTTGTTACTAATTAGTAAATTTAAAAAAATCATTAAAGTATTTTTTAAGTATGAACTAATTTAATAATAATTTTAATAATAAAATATCTTTAAATGAATTTTATTTAGATTAGATATTTTGTATTACTGATGAAACTTAAGATTTTATTTTATAAGGCTAGTAAATATAGCTTGATTAAGAAAAATAGTAACTTTATAGAGTAAAAGTAAATATATAAATAAAATATTCTGTCGAAAACTGAAATCTTCATTCAAGCTTTAAAATGACTGAAATAACTAATTTGTATTAGATATTTAAATTTATAAAAATATATTTAACACTAAAAGATTCATCTATCTAGTGGTATATTTTAAGAATTTATAATTAATACTTCATTTATTTTTTTTAGTTATAGCAAAGTATATTCTGTTATTTTAAAGCAATATTCAATAAAGATTTTTGAATTCTTAATTATACATTATAATAAGAAGAAGGAAATACAAGCTTTGAAAATTTTCTAATTAGTTTTTAAGGTTTTTTCTCAAAATGATTTTTTTAAGTTACACAGCATACTTTATTTATTCCTGCTTGATGCTTACTATAAGTATTTAATATTTTTGCATCTTCTTCCTTAAATATTTACTTTTTAAAGGGCATGTATTAGCTTATTAGGAGGTCATTTATAAAAGCTTAGGTTCCACTTCAAACTGTATTTCAGATTAGCAAAACATGTGGCAAACTATTGGAGCAAGTTACATAAATTAATGTTCTATTAATTGTATACAAGTAGACACTGGTTCTTTTTCAGCTCTTTTAGTCTCATCTGATTCTAACTCTGGAATATAAATTTTGGTTCCAACCACATTATTAACTAATCCCTATTCTATTATTGGTGTTGATCTTATTTACAAAGAGGGAGCCAATAACTAGCTTAGATTAAATCTAAACGACTAGGCATCTACAGTTTTGACTGTATAATCTCCTACTATTTATGAATAGTAAAATTAAATTACTTGCTCTTCAACCTTATATCAATTTTATAAGGCTTCCCTCATATTTTAAGGAACAATATCAAGTTCTACATTTTTCGTCTCATTAGATTAGAATTAGGTAGATTTTGCTATTAAATAAATAAGAATATGGACTAACTGTTGCTAAAACTGCTTATAATGTTCCAGTAGCACTACATGCCTTACTTGTATGCCAGGATTTAGCATATATACTTTCCCAACTGGTGAATAAGTTTGTTAATAGACTTCTGGTTGCACTACAGTTAATTGTTACTCATGCGCTTAGCTTAATGGGTAAGAGGTTTGCATTAGTTGTTAACCTGGCTATTATTTAGACACTAGTAATCTATGTTAAACAAACGATATGAATGGAATCTGCAGCGGACAAGGTAAATAGTCATACCTTTTTTAAAATTTTTTATAATTTAATTGATTTAAACATTTTCTTTATAATATTTTCAAGCCTCAATTTTAAAACTATTCATATCAAGTTTCTGATTAAAATAATTATGAAATTTAAAATATTTAAAATTATAATAAAGCTTAGTACTTAGAATAATCAAGTCAAGTATGTTAAAGCTATAGTTCGAATTGCTGGTATCAAATATCTTTAACAAATTAATGGATTGCTTGTGGAAGCTTAGAAAACTATTAAAATTACAAATGCCCATTTAATAAATAGGTTCTTGTTTACTATTACTAGAATTATGGAATTTATTAGTGTTCTTGCTTGATAAGTAATTGTGAGTATTGTACCCAATAAAGTGGATGTACTCAATGCTAATCTGGGTATAATTTTGATGCAAGTACTAATACATGTGATCTCAACTGTTCTAGTAGTTAATATTTTGACTCCTCTACTCGTACTTGTGTTAACTGTGGATAAAATTGCTAAATTTGTAATAGTTCAGGTTGTCTAACTTGTAATAATTCTAATTACTATATCAATTCTTCATCCCCTCAAGACTGTTAATTATGTACTATTTAAAATTGTTAAGGGTGCTTAGGAGATGGTAATTAGATTAAATTATATATTTTTTATGTAATAATATTTTGCAAATTGATTATAAAGCAATTTAAAAGAAAAATATTTTAATTTGTTGAAAGAAAATAATTATGAAAAAAACTACTTTTTGAAACAATAACTTAATATTTTATTATTGAAATTTATTCAATTTTTTAGGAATTTTTAAAATAAATTAATTTTTACTTTAATAAATAAAAGGAACTTGCTAATCTTGCTAAAATGGATTTTAATTAAGCCAAGACAAATCTACATGCAATATAATTTGTAATGTGTAGAACTGTTAAACATGTAATCCTCAGAATGGATAAATATGCACAACTTGCTTAACTAATTATCAGCTAAGCTCTGACTAATCTACATGTTTTTGTTAAGTTAGTAATTGCAATTAATGCTAGACAAATGATGGCTTAAAATGCTAAATTTGCTAAACAGGTTATATCCTAAATGCGAGCACTTTACAGTGTGACTGTACTGTAGCAAATTGTTAAAGTTGTAATTCATCTAATGGAACATTATGTGACACATGCATTACTAACTACCTGCTGAGTTAAGATAAATAAAAATGTAGCTGTTAAGTTATTAATTGTTAGAGCTGTTAATATAATGATGGCAACATATGTTCTAGCTGTATTAGTGGATATGTTCTTAACCCAAATAAAAACCAATGTAATTGTGCTGTTTAAAATTGTTAAAATTGTAATGCTTCTAATGGTGCTCTATGCGATAGCTGTGCTTAAAATTATTTACTTAGTTCAGATAAAACAAGTTGCTCTTGCTAAGTTTATGGTTGTTAAACCTGCTAAGCAAATAATGGATTGGCATGTTAAACTTGCAACTCAGATTATTTTTTAAATTCAACTAATAAGTAATGCAACTGTGCAGCAAATCACTGTCAAGTTTGTGATCCATAATATGGTACAGTTTGCTTAACTTGTGTTACAAATTTTATTTTAACTTAACAAAGACTTTGCTATTGTGCTGTTAGAAGTTGTAGAGTCTGCAATTAAGATAATGGAGCTTAATGCTCAATGTGTTCTCCTGGATACTTACTTAACAGTACTACATTTTAATGCGACTGCTAAATCTAAAACTGCTAAACGTGCAATGTAACAAATGGAACATTATGCTAAACTTGTGTTAATAACTATTTACTAAGTACTGATTAGACAAAATGTTCTTGCTAAGTGGCTAATTGCCTATAATGTAGTCCATAAGATGGATCTAAGTGTTAAGTGTGCTAAAATAACTTTTTATTAAGTACTGATCAAACAAAATGCACTTGCCAAGTAGCTAACTGCTCATAATGTACTAGCTAAGATGGAAATATTTGCTAAACATGTGTAACAAATTACTTACTAGGTCCGAATTCTAAGAGCTGCAATTGCTAAGTTCAAAACTGCTTAAAATGCAACAGTTAAGATGGATCGATCTGTTAAACTTGTGTAAATAATTATCTATTAAGTTAGAATTTTAAAAGTTGTTCTTGTTAAGTTGCTAATTGCTCTTAATGTAGTTAACTAGATGGATTAAAATGTAGTATATGCTAAAATAATTACTTACTAAGTTCTGATTAAACAAAATGTAGCTGCTAAGTCGCAAACTGCTCTAAATGCAGTATCTCAAATGGTAGTGTTTGTTAAACTTGTGCTACTAATTACTTATTGAGTAGTAACTCTATGAGTTGCACCTGTTAAGTTGCTAACTGCTCTCAATGCATTTCAAACGATGGAACTAAATGTCAAGTTTGCTAAACTGGGTATGTTCTAAACTAAAGTAGTTACACTTGCTCTTGTTCAGATTAAAACTGTCTATCTTGTAGTCTTTTAGATGGGAGTATTTGCTTATAATGTCCTTCTGGATATACTTTAGAGGCTTAAACAAATAGTTGCAAATTAACTGCATGCCAAGTTTAAAACTGTTAAACTTGCTAAGTAAATAATGTTTATGGTTGCTCATAATGCAATCATAATTTTTACTTAAATAAGAATTAAACCAGCTGTCTTTAATGTTCTGTATTTAATTGTAACACATGCATATAAGCAGACTTTTAATAATGTTTTATTTGTAATTAAGGATTTTAAATAGATTAAAATAATTAGTGTCAAATAATTAGTAACAATAATCAATATACGGTTAACCCAATAGCATCTCTAATAGGATATTCTGTCAAAATTTAATTTTAGAGAGACTTAGTTAATGTCAGCGTGAACTAAGACATTCAAGATTTAACCATTTAAATTCCTGGATATTCTAAGTATAACTATACAGTAATTGTATCAAGCATTAATTAAATAACAATAAATATCAACTGTTTTGAAAATATTAAAAATGCAAATATTTTCATCAACTTTCAACTAAGTTAGCTTGTATCTTAAAACAGTATCAGTAATTTGTCCTATAATACTTAATTACCCGCTTTTGTTATAGTATCATAATAAGTTTAACAGACTGTAGCTTAAATTTCCTCAGCCACTTAAGCAGCATCAAAAACAATTGTTTCAAGCTACTTGCCAATTGCATTTTTTGGAAACTTTTATTTCCTAGTGAATATGATTGATCTAACTAACTTCTTATATTATTTACTTTTTCTTGATATCAGATACCCTATTAATGTTACTGATTTTTATGGATTATTCAAAGACTTTTAATTTCCATTTGTTCCTAATTTATTCACCTATCTGTATGACCCTTCTTACAATCCAAGGAGCCCTTAAAAATTTATGGATATGGGAACAAATAGCTATCTAATAAGTAATTCAGGTTAAGCAATATGCATATGCTTTTACATATTTAGCGTATATATTTTAGCAAAATTAGCTCATAGAATTATTAAAATTAGAAGAGTTCATGCCTATCTGACCAGAGTTCTTTATGAAACATGGGAATTTAGCTCCTTTTTTGATATGATGTCAGCTGAATATGTTTATATATTAATTGGTTGTTTGCTTTAATCTCTTAATTTTGATACTTCTGATAAAAATTCTTACATAGTGAATTATATGCTTTATGCTTTCTTTATGCCTTTCTGTATCATTTGGCCAATATTTATTTTAGCATTTTTATACAAACAGAAGAACTTGAAATCAAATGAGTACCTACTTACTAAATTACAATCATTCTTAGGAGGTTTGAGAATTGAGAATGAAAATCCTTACTTTGATTAAAATATTAAAGAAAAAGAAGATTAAAAACAGAGCTAAAATAATACTCAATAGTCAAAAGAGAATCATCATAAAAATATTTTCCAACACTTAGAAAGCGAACATATAAAATAAAGCCCAAAACCAAATGAAATTATTCAAGAATTAGCTGAAGAAGAATAAATGGCTAGCCCTGAAGTAATAAAGAAAAAATAATTATCAAACGAGATACATTAATAGAAAGTTATACATTTAAGATAAATAAGTGAAATGACTAATATTTCATCAAAAGCTAGAGAATTAGATTTAATCACATACTTATAAATAGATATAAGATCTAAAAGATAAAAGCTGATTGCAAAGTATTCTAAACTATTTAGTTCATTTCTATATATTAGAAAAATTTTATTTTCTTTTATTATAGTCTTACTGCATGGCTATTGTTACCTTTAGATTTCATTAATCTCTTTTTTAAATTTAGTTGTAATTTTTTTGATTGCATATATTTAACCTTATGATTGTCTCTCTGAAAATATAAAAAATGCCTCAAGCGAAGTAATACTTATTGCTATTCAAATGTGTGCTGCAACTTTAGTTGAAGATAGTTAAGATGATAATGAGGAGAGAAGAATTAATGTAGGATGGGCTATAGTGTGTCTCAGTGCTTTTGCGCTATTATGGAATACATTAGTTCTTGCCAAAGAGACAGTTGTTTCTTTTTATCAATCTTTTAAGAAATTGCTTCTTACTTAAGAATCTGAATAATAAAAAAACTAAATCTACCCAATTACCAATCAAATGGAGATCTAAAAAAGTAATCTATAAAATGAAAACTAAAACAAATTTTTAGATGATTATCATAAAAAGCATATTAATTCAAAAGTTATATAAAATGATGTGGCTTTAAAAAGAAAAAGATCCTCTTTTTCAAGTTATAGGAATTAATTAAATTCTATTGTTTCAGATACTTTGATTCCGTATCCATAAAGTTAAGTGATGACACCTTCTTCATTAGGATCATTTGCAATTAACACGGAGCGTATAGATTAAAAAATAATGTAAGCAAAAGAAATTGATGAAAAACATAACATTTAAAATTGTAAAACTGAAATAGTCTCTGTCGAAAATAATTTTATTGATGATTTTAATTACACAAGTTTCTCTCCTAAAATTAGCTTTGTTGATTCTAGCCATGCTATTAAATTAAATAAAGTCATACAAAATAATTTAAATTAATCTGGATCAATAATTTAAAAAAGAAGAAGAAGATCTACTAATTTCAAAAAAGATGATATTTCATTTTTACTTAATTAAAAATCTAATAAAGTTAATGAATCCAAGAATTCTTCAGGAAATTCTCCTGAGAATAATTTAGATTTGTAACCTCAATAAAACAAAAAATCCAGTTTTTCTGAATATTCTAACAATAAATCTATTAAAAATACAAATTAAATTGATGGCGATTTATAAAATAAAGAAATAAAATTTATAAATAATTAAAAATCAGACTAAAAAAATTAAAATTGATTGTAGTTAAATATATATAATCCATAAAATAGATTTAAATAAATATTAATTATTATTAAGCTTTATTTTTTCTCTTTGCAAAAACATTTAAAATTAGATACTATTTTTTCAAGAAACTTTAAAATTCTAATTTTTTGTTATTCTCATATATTTAGATGGAGTTAATTTTTTATACTTACTTCTATGAATTTTATCAATCTTTATTTTATAATGTTAATTTTATTAAGTAAAGAATTTAAATTTTCGTACAAAATGTTTATTTGAATTAGTTAAAGAATAAAACGAATTAATTATGTAGAATATATACCATAAGAACTTTTTAATGAAAAGAAATTAAAAGTAAGAGAAAATAAAGACAAATATATATCACACATGATGGTATGCATAATAGTATTTAGGTTCCTTTAAATATAATTACCAGTATTGTGCTTGATAAATCGATTTGTCATAGATAGATCAATTTTTTTATAAATTTTTAAAATTTGTAAATTTTTCAATATCTCTTCTTTATTTGATTAATTTTCAATATAATATAATGTAAATTATTATTTAAAATGTATTATTTTTGTACTTCAAATTCCAAAAAATTAATTTTTAATAAATAAATTTTATTGTAAGTTTAATTTAAATAGAAAATAAAAAAATTTTAATGTTAGGGTTTAAAGTAAATACGACATAAAATATACGACTTTTAATATAAAATTAAAATTTTTAATTGTCTGAATCAACTTTAAATAACATATTTTTAAAAAAGAAAATTTAATTAGTTTAAATAATTCAAATAATTGTCAAAATACTGATATAAAAATCATATTTAAACTAATATTTATTTTAAATATATTTAATTTATATTAGCTAAATTTTGAAGAAAAATCATGATTTTAATAATTAGCTACTGTTAATTTTGTTACTTTTTGCTTATTTATCTAATATAATTTAACTGCTTATATAGGAAAGGTCCTAAAAAGATTATTAATGGATATTAGTAATTTCTCTTTATGATTAGGCTTAATTTTAATTATTGTTCTATTAAATATATTATCTCATAAATTACGTTTGAGAAATATATTTTTCATTAGAATCTTCTTAAAGTTTTAAAGTATTTGTTTTCCCTTTTCTATTTTCTGGAGATATATTAGATTGAATTAATATTTTAGAACTTAATTTTATTGTATTACTTCTTATGAAAGGTAAAGAAATTTAAGATGTCATCTCTCCTATTGGTAATTTAATTAATGTACTCATTTTTTATAATTAATTTTCTTATTTATTTAAGATTTTTTGATGCTTTTAAGTTTTATAATATTGCTAAATAGATAAAATCAAATCTTTTACTAGATTAAAGATAAATCTAAAAAGATCAATGACAACAGTAAATATATGCATTAGTAAAATAAAAGAGGCACTTCCAATTAACACCCAGCCAATGTTTATTCTTTCTTGTTCATCTTGATCCTACTTATCATCCACAAGGATTCCAGCACATATTTGCATCACTATTAAAAAAACTTCACTCAAGCCATTTCTTATGTTTTCAAACTATTTATCTTGAGGACAAATATAAAAATAAAAAAATGCTAAAAAAGCATTTAGGAGACTTATTAAAATCAATTAAACATATGGACAATCAAATAAGTAAATGATGAATATGGCATAAGCAATTTTTCTGAAGTACAAAAAAACATTTGTATATTTGCTATATCTCATAACTCTTTCTTAGTACTTTATTTTTTTATTCTACTTAAAAAAAAATTAAATTAAATTTAAAAGTTTCAAATAAATTTACTTTTAAAGAACCAGCTATTTCAGAATACTTAGACTTTTTGTTAATTTAATCTTCATTTATATTACATTCAGAACCAATCTTATTTTCTATAGATGGTAATCTTTGCTATTTTTCTTCTGAGTCACCACCAACTTTTAATCCTCCTACGATTGATGAAAATTACTTTTGAATTCTTGGGTCATTTAAGTTAGGTGTCTTAGAAATAAATATTGCAATCATAATTGGGATGACAAACATTGCTATAAAAGACATAGAGAAAAGGGTATAATTTAAGAAAGATAGAGACTCTGTGAATTCGAATTTGTAAAATTGCAAGAAAACTCCTACAACTACATACATGTAGACAGTCCAAATAAGATCAAAAAAAGCATTATATTCCCAACCACTTTCAATTTTCTTTTATAGATACAACTAAAATCCAGGTATTTTTATAAAACTGAATAATTTTATAAATATGTAAATTGCTAAAATGCCAAAAACTATTGTAAAACTCTAACCTGAGCTATTTAGAAGGTATGCATCATTTCCATAATCCATAAATTTACCTGGAGTGTTGGGTTAAATATAGTTCGGATCAGTAAGGTATACTTAAAAGACATTAGGGATGAAAGCCATTTAGAAATTTTGAAAAATAGAGCAAAATGCAGTTACATTAGAAGGATATCTGACATTTACAAACATCAAAAAATATATAAAAGTGGTAAGATCGATAGTGTTAAAAAGCACATAAAAGTTTCCAATCATTGCTATTGAAAGCATTGAATATAGTAATGTAGTTTGCATGCTCTAACTAGCAGTTTTTGCTGCCTATGCTTGCTGTTATTAATTTTAACTTTAAACTACATAACTACTTAATTAAACTTCCTTGTAATTGTTTTAAATATTATTTATTTAAACAAAATTAGGATCATGTAATTTCACTTCTAGTTTTTAATTTTTACAGTTTTAATCAACTTTAATACTGAGATATATTTTGTTGTTTAATACATTTGTCACTTAATAAGTATAATTTTAAATTCCTGTTATTTCAATACTTAATATTTTCTCATAATTAATTAAATTAAAATTAACTAAATTTTCTTAAAAAGAAATGGTTACATTATATCCAATATCAGTAGCTTTATAAATAACATCAAAATCATTTAAATCAATTGATTGACATAGTTTCCCTAGATTCTTAACTATTAGTGGATCATTACATTTTAAACACATATTATTGTTAGTTTGAGAGCATGTTTAACATCCATCAACCATACAAGCATTTGTTTTTTAGCATATATTGATTGGACTGGTATTTTATTAGGAATTTATTAAGATTGAATATCCATCTGAGCATTAAGAGCACGAGTTAGAATTATTTAATTAGCATTAATCACAATTTTAAACTAAACATTTTGGTATTGCATCACATTTGTTAGTTTAATTATTCCATTTATAACCTAAATTACAAGTATCACAAATATTACCATCTTATATTGAGCAAATGCTACAGTTTTATACTTAGCATAAGCACTATGGACCCATGTAATTTTTAATACATGTTTTACATATCTATCCATTTACATCGGAGCAAATTTAACAATTTTATACACTACATACACATTGTTTTGTAGTCTAGTCTAAAATAAAATTATTTATACACTATTAACAATTTGAATAGTTGAGAGGATTATAAGTTTGACAGTTTTATATTTATTTGAAGCAATTTTTAGTAGTAGGGTCTAAAATGTATCCAAAATTACAATTTTAACATAGTTGGCCATCAAGTTTATCACATATTTAACAATTTTAAGAAATGCAACTACAGTTTTAATTATTTGAGCTTTATAAATAGTTATTAGCACATTTGTTGCATATATTACCATCATTTGGAGAGCATATTTAACAATTTTATACTTAGCATTGGCATTGATAAGAGCTATCAAGTTAATAATTTATCTAACAACTTTAACATTAACTTAAATTGCTGGGGTTGGTTTTTAAGCAGTTTTAAATAGTACTTTTACATTGATTTGTACTTTGATCTAAAACATAACCTTAGCTACATTGTAAGCAGATATTTCCATCAGAAGAAGAACACGATTTACAATTTTGAGCTTGACATTAACATTAGAATGAGCTATCTAATTGATAGTTTTTTTAGCAAACTTAACATTTAGTAATATCATTAGCGTTTATTGCTAAACAATTTAGTAAAGAAGATTAGCATTAACTATTTATATTCTTATTGTATCCACTTTTACAGACATCACACAATTTACCATCATTAGGTGAACAAATTTAGCAATTATCAACTTGGCACTAGCACTATTGAGAACTATCAAGTAAATAATTATTTTGACAAAATTAGCATTGATTAGAACTATTTGGCTAAGTTGTTAAGCAGTTTTTAATTGTGCTCTTACATTAATTTGTATTAGAATCAACAGTATAGCCAGTATTGCATTAAAGGCATATACTACCATCATTAGGATCACAAATTTAACAATTTAAAAGATTACAAGTGCAGTTTTAGCTATCAGAACTTAATAAATAATATAATTAACAGGTCTAACATTACCCTACTTAATTACTGCAGGAAATACAATTCTTTATAGGGCAATAACATGTATTATTTTGTGTATTATAAGTTAGCCCAGCATTACATAATAAGCATTTAGCTCCATCTATTGGGTTGCATATTTAGCAATTATTGACTTGACATTAACAAAGATTGTTGTTTTAAATGTAATTATTAGCACAAGTTAAACATTTTGATCCATCATTTTACTGGCACTTCAAACAGCCGTTTACATTACAAGCACAATAGGTGCTATCTCCACTTTTTAAGTAATTTGGTGCACATTAACTACAAAGAGTAGATGAATTACTTTAGCAAGCTATACAATTTTAAACACTACATGAATTGCAAGATAATTTGTCAATACTTAAAGTATAACCAGAAACACAAACTGAGCATTTTCCTATTTTTAAATTTATAAAAATAAATAAAATCATTTTTTTTCATAAAATTTTGTTTTTTATTAATAAAATTTATTAAAAATTAAAAATTTTTATATGAAAAGTGCTTTACCATCACCTGAACAAGTTTAGCAATTAGTAATATTACAGGTGACACAGTTTTAAGGATTAGATTAGTCAATATAATAGTTTGCATTAGAAAGGCAACTAAGACATTAAGTGTTATTACAAGTCAAACAATTAGTTCCTGGGCAATTAGCAACACAAAAACCAGAATTAGGGTCTTTACTTTATCCTTACGGACATGCGTTGAAAGTACATAAAGTTTTTTGTGAATTAAGTTAATAACCAGTCTTGCATGAATCACAAGTTTAAGCATTTTAGCATACATCACAATAATCAACTTTACAGTCACATGTTAATACTTTATAATTTTTTAATTCGTATATTAATATAGTTTTTTCTTTTGGACATTTAATGATTGATGTACTAACTGCTTAAGCGCATGCTTACCATTAATTATACTAACCACTAACTTGCATCAAACAAAGTGATTGGTAATTAACACAAGCTTTATCACTGCTAGAATAATATTAACCTAAAATAAAATAAATTTTTAATTTTAAATTATTTAATTATTTTTTTAAAAATTATAAAAATTAAATTAAGTATTTAAAAAGTTGCTTGATTTTTTGATTTTAATTTAGTTTTGTAGTAAAATAATATTTTTATTTTAAATAAGTAAATTACTTAATTAATATTAAAAATTGAAATAAAATAATTTACTAGATGAACAGTTATTTTAAACTAAACAATTGCCAATAGAATCTAATGTATATCCAGGATTACATTTAACGCATTTATTTAAATTTAAGTCAGAATTTTTTATACATGAAAAACAGTTAGTAGTTTTACAACCACTAGTTTCTTCACATACTTTATTTCCATTTGAAAGAGTGTATTGATTAAATCCTTTTATGCACACCTTACAATTATTAGCATCTTGACAGGTCAAGCAATTTTCAACACAGTTAGACCAAATCACAATTTTCAACAACCCAAACCAATCTCCATAAACAGGATTTCTGTCGTAAGTAAACGATGTTACAGGATTTTAACTTATAAATTACTTATTGTAAGACAAAGAAAATTCAACTACATCTTTCAATGGACTATTTTTACTGCAACTGATTTAATATGCGCATTATTAATTTTATTGATCACCTGTACTTCCTAAAAGCGAAGTAGCGACATTATTTTGCTAGTCAACCATATTAAAATCTATTAAATCACTAGCAGTTGTAAAATAAAGAATATCAGCATAAGTAAATTGATAAGGTTATTGCTAAGCCGAAGAGGTAACCTGAAATCCTTATGGATAAAGTTTATAATATGGTGATAAAACACCTGCAGTTGTTGACGTTGAAGTCTTGCAAGAATAATCTGCCTTTTATTATGATGGATCATATGTCCCAGATATAATACTCCATGAGTTCTAAAATAAAGTACTGCTATCAAAACCAGGTGTAAAATCCATCATATATAATACCTCATAAGCTTTTATTCCTTTTTTTTAAACAAAGATTTTTAATAACATTATCATTCAATTCTAATAAGTTTAATTTATTTAAAGCATTACTTGAAATAAAAAAACTAAAAATCCAAAATAGAATAGAGTTTTTCCAAGAAACCATTTTATAATTCTTTTTCATAGAGAACTTTATTAGGAATAAATTTGATATATATGTTTATTTAGTATAATTAAATATCTTTTTGACTAAATTTTATTTATTATGTATTATTCTTTAATTATGATTAGGAAGAAAGAATTGGATTATTGATGATTTTTTGATTCTATGTAAAAAGGGATATTTTATACTTTATATTTTGGTAATTGTTAAACAAAATAATAAAATTTATACTGCTTGTAAAGTAATTGTAAACAAATAAACTCGCTTATGTTTTCACCTTAATCAGATAATCTTTTGTCTAATATTACATAATGATTCATAAACTAGTTCAAAGCTTAACCGCTTAACTTTTTTACATTTTCCAGTGTATTGTAAGCAAACCAAATATATAATCTAAAAATATAGAAATGAATTAATATTTAAAATTTCAAAAACTATTTAACATTATTCTATTAAAGATAATGAGAAATTGCAGTATATAGTTAATAGATACTTTTTCTGGCATTTATTCGACTTATTTTGATATTTTAAAAACATTAAGGAATGGTAATTATCATATATAATTATAATTCAAAGATAGCCATTAAATTTTTAATTAAAATAGAACCAACCAAAGTAATTGTATTATTGTATAGATAGTATTATTAATTTTTGAATAATTCGTACTAATTTTTTTAGAAATACAATTTAAAAATAATCAAGATAATTATTAAAGGTGGATACATTATTATTACTTGTACCATTCCTTTAAGTTTTTCCTACATTTATTTATTTTTAAAAAATTGAAAAAACTTTTGATTGAAAATAATAATGGCTAAATCATTTAATAATTGTATGTTTTTTCATATATTTTCATAAAATAAATAAACTATTAATTATAATAATGTAATTTCAAACATATTTTACATTGATACAATTTTTAATTTTAGAGTAAATAATTTAGTCGTAAATGAGTAAACCAAATAAAAAATCAAATTATGGTTTAGTTTACATTTAGAAAATAAATCAAATAATAAATTAATCAATATATTTCAACTATTTATTTTCTTTTTATATCAATATTAATATTCTAAGTTATTTTCTTATTAATTAAAATATCATTTTTATTACAAAAAAATTATTAACTCATTAATTTTAATGATTTTTGTGGATTTTAATTTATACCTAATTTAAAAGATATTTTGTATTTTCAAGTAATAAAACAACAACTAAAATAAGGAAGTACTAAAATATAATAACTTTCATAAAATAAATTATTATAATTTATATTTAAAGCACAAAATATTAAATAAAAATAAAATTTTTTGAATATTTTTCATATTTTTTAATTATTATTATTATTATTATTATTATCAAATTTGTTTCTATACCAAAAAAATTGGTTTTTTAGAAGTTATCAATTACATTATTAATTTTCATTAAATTTTTATAAATCAATCAAAATTTAATTATTCTATTTTATAAAATTTACTATTAATTATTTTTTAATAATTTGTCTATTTTTAAAACCCTTCAATATATTATAGGTCATATATTAATTATGTAGCACTTATATTTTTTTTATTTAGTCTTAATAGTACTTTTCCAAAAAGGACTATGATAAAATAGAGTATTCAATATCTTCTTAAAAGAAAGATAACTCTTTTTATAAAAATAAATTAAACTTAAAATTTTTAGATTAAATGTCATTCTTAGAGTCTAGAAAACCCTTTAAATAATTTGTATCAATATTTATTTCTATTAAGCAAAAGAAGAAATTGCCAAACAAACCTCTATAAGTAGGTGGCTGTATTTTATGGTAATTCGAATCTGACATTAAATCATATCTATCTAGAGTAGTAAAATTAACTATTGTTTTATATTTAGTACTATTTTAAAATTTGGAATATCCAACATTACTTATATCCAAAGATCCATCTTTAAAATTAGTCCTACCTATATAATATGAGCTTAAATTATATTACTTCATCAGCTCTTTAACTTTTACTAGACAAAATTAACTATATTAATTATACTCATTATTTAAGTTTTTATTGAATTGTAAATCATAAGGGTCCTACTGTAGGGTTTTAAGAAAGTAGTTTTTAGCCTCTTCTAAATATTTCAGTTGAAAATATACATTTCCTATGTTGTTGTAAATATCAACATAAAAAGTAGAATTAAGAAATTTTTAATTGTATTTTAAAGCTGGATAAAAATCTTTTTGGGTTTAAAGTGAATAAGCCATCTCAAAACTAGCGTCAGCAGAATAAGGATTGTTCTTATAAAATTGAGTGCATAAATCATAAAATTCCTTTCTTAATAACCCATTTACTCATACCTATCAAGAATCAAAATATATGCAGTTTCATTTTGAGGATTTATTTCTATAGTTTTAAAAAAATATTCCAATAATTATTCTTTCTTGTTTTATTTATCCTTTATTTCCCCCCATACTCAAGTAGGCTTCATCATTAGTTGGTTAGAATAAATATCACTTACCATTTTATAAGCTTAAGAATAATTATATCTTTTTTTGCATGATTAAAAAATGGATGATGTTGCTTAATTAGGTTATTTAATAAGCTTTTCATAAATCTTTCCTACTTATAAAATACAGAAAAGCCATATTTAAAACCTTAAGGATTTATACCAAGATTATAAATAATACATTTAGACTATTCGACTTCAGAAGAAAATTAATTTTGTATTAATGCAAGAAGAGAAAGGGATAAATACTGCTTTGGTTAATGTTTCAGTGCCTTCATTATAAACTTTTTGCTAAGACAATCTTTATACATTAGATAATAAAGCATAGATTAATAGTAGTATATTCTCCAATACTTTTTCTTTTGGGAAAAACATTTATCAATAAGTGATTAACATTACTCAATTCAGTTTTTTTTAATCTTCTAAAATGCAGTAGCATTTACCTAGCAGTGCATCTATATCTCTTTCATCAATTTTGAGAACTCTTTCAAAATATTGCAAACAAATTCTTTTTATTTTTATAATATCTAAGATAGATTAATCCTAATTTTATCATAGCCTCTAAATCTTATTTATTTAATTCAATCCGCTATTTGAATTAATCCAGCTCTTTCTCTATATTAGTAAAATCTATATCGATTTATCTTTTTTCATAATCTTATAAAATAAATTTTGGCTATTACTATTCTATGATTTCTACATTTATTTTTTAATTATTTAACTTTTCTAATTAATTTTTGCTTTCTCTAAAATTTACTATTAAAGTTTAAAAAATTATATATTATTTTAATAATTCAAAAAAAAAAAAAAATCTAAAAATAAAAATGAAATATTTTAAACATAAATTAAATAAAATGAATTTAAATTTATTAATATGATTAAATCAAAGATATAATAATGTAAAGAAATATTTCTAATAAAAATTAATTAGTTATATAAAAGTAAATAAAAATAAAAAATATTTGAAATATTAAGGTTATTTCTTTAATTAATAATATCTCTAAAATTATCATATTATATACAAGTTTTTATGATAAATTAACTTAAAAAAGTAATATTTAATATATTTTATTATTATTTAATAGTTAATTATTTTTAAAAATTTAAAGAATTGTTAAAAAACAGAAAATAAAAATATAATATGAAATTCTAACTTTTATTTTAAATATATTTAATGCTTTTTAAAAAGCTAAATTTTGAAGAAAAATCATGATTTTAATAATTAGCTAATATTAATTTTGTTACTTTTTACTTATTTATCTTATATAATTTAATTGCTTATTTAAGAAAGGTCTTAAAAAGATTATTAATGGATATTAGCAATTTCTCTTTATGATTAGACTTAATTTTAATTATTATTCTATTATATATATTAACTCATAAATTATGTTTGAGAAATATATTTTTCATTAGAATCTCCTTAGTGTTTGAAAGTATTTATTTTCCCTTTTCGATTTTCAGGAGATAAATTAGTTTCAACTAATATTTTAGAACTTAATTTTATTGCATTACTTCCTATGAAAGGTAAAGAAATTTAAGATGTCATCTCTCCTATTGGTAATTTAATTAATGCACTCATTCTTTTTAATTAATTTTCTTATTTATTTAAGATTTTTTCATGCTTTTAAGTTTTATAATATTGCTTAATTGATAAAATCAAATCTTTTACTAGATTAAAAATAAATCTAAAAAGATCAATGACAACAGTAAATATATGCATTAGTAAAATAAAAGAGGCACTTCCAATTAACACCCAGCCAATGTTTATTCTTTCTTGTTCATCTTGATCCTACTTATCATCCACAAGGATTCCAGCACATATTTGCATCACTATTAAAAAAACTTCACTCAAGCCATTTCTTATGTTTTCAAACTATTTATCTTGAGGACAAATATAAAAATAAAAAAATGCTAAACAAGCATTTAGGAGACTTATTAAAATCAATTAAACATATGGACAATCAAATAAGTAAATGATGAATATGGCATAAGCAATTTTTCTGAAGTACAAAAAAACATTTGTATATTTGCTATATCTCATAACTCTTTCTTAGTACTTTATTTTTTTATTCTACTTAAAAAAATTAACATAAATTAAAAAAATTAAAATAAATTTACTTTTAAAGAACTGACTATTTCAGAATAATTAGACTTTTTGTCAATTTAATCTTAATTTATATTACATTAAGAACCAATCTTGTTTTTTATTGATGGTAATATTTGCTATTTCTCTTCCGAGTCACCACCAACTTTTAATCCTCCTACTATAGATGAAAATTACTTTTGAATTCTTGGGTCATTTAAGTTAGGTGCCTTAGAAATAAATATTGCAATCATTATTGGGATGAAAAACATTGCTATAAAAGACATAGAGAAAAGGGTATAATTTAAGAAAGATAGAGACTCTGTGAACTCAAATTTGTAAAATTGCAAGAAAACTCCTACGACTACATACATATAGACAGTCCAGATAAGATCAAAGAAAGCATTATATTCCCAACCGCTTTCAATTTTCTTTTATAGATACAACTAAAATCCAGGTATTTTTATAAAGCTGAGTAATTTTATAAATATGTAAATTGCTAAAATGCCAAAAACTATTGTATAACTCTAGCCCGAGCTATTTAAAAGGTATGCATCGTTTCCATAATCCATAAATTTGCCTGGAGTGTAGGGCTAAATGTAGTCCGGATCAGTAAGATATGCTTAAAAGACATTAGGGATGAAAGCCATTTAGAAATTTTGAAAAATAGAGCAAAATGCAGTTACATTAGAAGGATATCTGACATTTACAAACATCAAAAAATATATAAAAGTGGTAAGATCGATAGTGTTAAAAAGCACATAAAAGTTTCCAATCATTGCTATTGATAGCATCGAATATAGTAATGTAGTTTACATGCTTTGACTAGCACTCTTTGCTGCCTATGCTTACTCTTATTAATTTTAGTTTAAAATTACATAGCTACTTAATTAAACTTCCTTGAAACTGTTTTAAATATTATTTATTTAAACAAAATTAGGGTCATGTAATTTCACTTCTAGTTTTTAATTTTTACAGTTTTAATCAACTTTAATGCTGAGATATATTTTATTGCTTAACACATTTGTCACTTGATAAGTATAATTTTAAATTCCAGTTATTTCTATCCTTAATATTTTCTCATAGTTAGTTATATTGAAGTTAACTAAATTTTCTTAAAAAGAAATGGTTACATTATATCCAGTATCAGTAGCTTTATAAATAACATAAAAATCATTTGAATCAATTGATTGACATAGTTTCCCTAGATTTTTAACTATTAGTGGATCATTACATTTTAAACATACATTATTATCAGTTTGAGAGCATGTTTAACATCCCTCAATTATACAAGCATTTATTTTTTAACATATATTGATTGGATTGGTATTTTTCTAGGAATTAATTATGATTGAATATCCATCTGAGCATTAAGAACATGAGTTAGAATTATTTAATTAGCATTAATCACAATTTTAAACTAAGCATTTTGGTATTGCATCACATTTTTTTGTTAAATTATTCCATTAAAATCCTTAATTACAAGTTTCACAAACATTACCATCTTATTTAGAGCATATGCTACAATTTTATACTTAGCATAAGCATTATGGACCCATGTAATTTTTAATACATGTTTTACATATCTATCCATTTGCAGAGCAAATTTAACAATTTTGTACACTGCATAAACATTGATTTGTAGTTTAGTCTAAAATAAAATTATTTATACACTATTAACAATTTGAATAGTCGAGAGGATTATAAGTTTGACAGTTTTATATTTATTTGAAGCACTTTTTAGTAGTAGGATCTAGAATGTATCCAGAATTACATTTTTAACATAGTTAGCCATCAAGTTAATCACATATTTAACAATTTTAAGATTTACAGCTACAGTCTTAATTATTTGAGCTTTATATATAGTTATTAATGCATTTGTTGCATATATTACCATCATTTGGAGAGCATACTTAACAATTTTATACACTGCATAAGCATTATTATGTAGTCGAGTCTAATGTAAAATTATGTATACACTATTAACAATTTGAATAGTCAAGAGGATTATAAGTTTGGCAGTTTTATATTTATTTAAAGCAATTTTTAGTAGTAGGGTCTAGAATGTATCCAGAATTACATTTTTAACATAGTTAGCCATCAAGTTAATCACATATTTAACAATTTTAAGATTTACAGCTACAGTCTTAATTATTTGAGCTCAATAAATAGTTATTAGTGCATTTGTTGCATATTTTTCCATCATTTGGAGAGCATATTTAACAATTTTATACACTACATTGGCATTATTTTGTAGTCGAGTCTAATGTAAAATTATTAAGACACTATTAACAATTTGAGTAGTCTAGAGGATTATAAGTTTGACAGTTTTATATTTATTTGAAGCACTTTTTAGTAGTAGGATCTAGAATGTATCCAGAATTACATTTTTAACATAGCTAACCATCAAGCAAATCACATATTTAACAATTTAAAGAAATACAGCTACAGTCTTAATTATTTGAGCTCAATAAATAGTTATTAGTGCATTTGTTGCATATTTTTCCATCATTTGGAGAGCATATTTAACAATTTTATACACTACATTGGCATTATTTTGTAGTCGAGTCTAATGTAAAATTATTTATACACTATTAACAATTTGAATAATTGAGAGGATAATAAATTTGACAGTTTTATATTTATTTAAAGCAATTTTTAGTCGTAGGGTCTAGAATGTATCCAGAATTACATTTTTAACATAGCTAACCATCAAGCAAATCACATATTTAACAATTTTAAGAAATACAGCTACAGTTTTAATTATTTGAACTCAATAAATAGTTATTAGTGCATTTGTTGCATATATTACCATCATTTGGAGAGCATATTGAGCAATTTTATACTTAGCATTGGCATTGATAAGAACTATCAAGTTTATAATTTATCTAACAACTTTAGCATTAACTTAAATTGCTAGGGTTATTTTGTAAGCAGTTTTAAATTGTACTTTTACATTCATTTGTAATTATATCTAAAACATAACCTGAGCTACACTATAAGCAGATATTTCCATCAGAAGAAGAACACGATTTACAATTTTGAGCTTGACATTAACATTAGAATGAGGTATCTAACTGATAATTTTTTTAGCAAACTTAACATTTAGTAATATCACTAGCGTTTAATGTTAAGCAATTTAGTAAAGAGATTAAGCATTAACTATTTAAAATCTTATTGTATCCACTTTTACAGACATCACAAATTTTACCATCATTAAGTGAACAAATTTAGCAATTATCAACTTGACACTAGCATTATTGAGAACTATCAAGTAAATAATTATTTTGACAAATTTAACATTAATTAGCACTACCTATCTAATTTTTTAAGCAATTTTTAAGTGTGCTCTTACATTATTTTGTATCAGAATCAACAGCATAGCCTAAATTACATTATAGACATATACTACCATCATTAGGATCACAAATTTAGCAATTTAGATGATTACAGATGCAGTTTAAGCCATCAGAACTTAATGAATAATTTAATTAACAGGTTTTACATTACCCTGTATAATTACTACAAGAAATACAATTCTTTATAGGGCAATAACATATATTATTTGATGGGTTTTAAGTTAGCCCTTCATTACATACTAAGCATTAAAGTCCATCTTTTGAGCTGCATATTTTGCAATTATTGACTTGACATTAACATAGATCGTTCTTTTAAATATAATTACTAGCACAAGTCAAACATTTTGATCCATCATTTTCCTGGCACTTCGTACAGCCATCTACATAACATGAGCATTTGGTACTATCTTCACTTTTTAAGTAATTTGGTGCACATTAGCCACAAAGAGTAGATGAATTATGTTAGCAAAATATGCAATTTTAAACATTACATGTGCAAGATAATTTGTCAGTACTTAAAGCATAACCAGGAACACATAATAAGCATTTTCCTATTTTTTACAAAAAAAATAAAATCATTTTTTTTCTCAAAGTATTGTTTTTTATTAGAAGAAATATTTATTAAAAAATAAATATTTTCAAATGAAAAGTGATTTACCATCATTTGAGCAATTATAGCAATTAGGAATCGTACAGACAACACAATTTTACGGATTTTTAAAATCAATATAATAATTTCCATCACTAAGGCATTCAAGACAATTAGAGCTATTACAAGTCAAACAATTAGTTCCTGGGCAATTAGAAACACAAAGACCAGAATTAGGATCTTTAATTAATCCTTTAGGACATTAATTGAAAATACATAAAGTTTTTTTTGAATTAAATTAATAACCACTCTTACATATATCACAAGTTTAAGCATTCTAGCAAACATCACAATAATCAACTTTACAGTCACATGTTAATACTTGATAATTTTTTAATTCGTATATTAATATAGTTTTTTCTTTTGGACATTTGATGATTGATGTGCTAACTGGCTAAGTACATGCTTGCCATTAATTATACTTGCTGCTAACTTGCATCAAGCAAATTGATTGGTAATCAACACAAGCTTTAACATCTCTAGAATAATATTAACCTAAAATAAATAAAAGATAAAGTAAGTTTTAATTTAAAACTATTTTTTTATAAATTAACAATGTTAGAATTAGTATTTTAAAAGTTGCTTTATATTTTTTGAGTTTAATTTAATTTTTTAGTAAAATAATTTTTTTATTTTAAATAAGTAAATTACTGTTTTTATATTAAAAATTTAAATAAAATAATTTACTAGATGAACAGTTACTTTAAGCATCACAATTGCCATTAGGATTTAAATTGTAACCAGGATTACATTTAACACATTTATTTATACTTAAGACAGAATTTTTTATACATGAAAAACAGTTAGTAGTTTTACAACCACTAGTTTCTTCACATACTTTGTCTCCGTTTAAAAGAGTGTATCGATTGAATCCTTTCATGCACACCTTACAGTTATTAGCATCTTCACAGGTTAAGCAATTTTCAACACAGTTAGACCAAATCACAATTTTCAACAACCCAAACCAATCTCCATTAATAGGATTTCTGTGATACGTAAATGATGTTACAGGATTTTTACTTATAAATTGGTTATTGTAAGACAAAGAAAATTTAACTACATCATTCAATGTAGCATTTTTACTGCAACTGATTTAATATGCACATTACTAATTTTATTTATCACCCATACTTCCTAAAAGTTATGTAGCGACATTATTTGTCTAATCAACCATATTAAAATCAACTAAATCACTAGCAGTTGTAAAATAAAGAATATCCGCATAAGTAAATTAATAAGGTTGTTCCTAAGCCGAAGCAGTAACCTAGAATCCTTATGGATAAATTCCATAATAGGGTGAGAGAACGCAAGCAGTTGTTGAAGTTGAAGTCTTACAATAATAATCAGCCTTTTATTATGTCGAATCATATTCTCCAGATATAATGCTCCATTAGTTCAAAAATAGAGTTCTGCTATCAAAACCAGGTGTAAAATCCATCATATATAATACCTCATAAGTTTTTATCCCTTTTTTTAATAAAGATTTTAATAGCGTTATCATCTCATTCTAATAAGTTTAATGTATTTAAATAATTACTTGTAATAAAAAAACTAAAAATCCAAACTAGAATAGAATTTTTCAAAGAAACCATTTTATAATTCATTTTCATTGAGAGCCTCTATTAGGAATAAATTTGATATATCTGTTTATTTTGTATAACTAAATATCTTTTTGATTAAATTCTTTAATTATGATTTGGAAGAAGAATTGGATTTTTAATGACTTTTTGATTGTATATAAAAAGGGATATTTAAACTTTTTATTTTAATAATAAGTAAACAATACACTTAAAAATGTAAAAAAGTTAAGCGGTTAAGCTTTGAACTATTTGATAAATAATTTTGTAATATTATATAAATACTATCTGATTAAGGTGAAAATATAAGCGATTTTTTTTTTTACAATTAATTTTTAAGCAAGTAAAAATGTTATGTCATCAATTCTTTAATATTTTTCTATTATAGGTAGTTAGAAATTGCTCATTATTTCTTATAAATACTTTTTTCTGACATATTAAACTTATTTTAATATTTTTAAAATATTAAGGAATGGTAATTATCAAATTTAATTATAATTCAAAGATAGCCATTAAATTTTTAATTAAAATATAACCAACCAAAGAAATTGTGTTATTGTATGGACAGTATTATAAATTTTTGAATAATTCCCTCTAATTTACATAGAAATAAAGTCTAAAAATAATCAGGATAGTGATTTAAGGTGAATACATCATTATTATTACTTGAAGTAGATCTTTAAGTTTTTCCTATTACTAAATTGAAAAACTTTAGATTGAAAAAATAAATTGTAAAATCATTAAAAATGTTTATTGGATTTAATACATTTTCATAAAATAAATAAACTGTTACTAATAATAATGTAATTTCAAAAATATGTTACATTTAATCTATTTTTAATTTTAGAGTAAATAATTTAATCGTAAACTCGTAAACTAATAAAAGAGCAAATTATGATTTAGTTTACATTAGAAAATAAATTTAATAATAAATTAATTGATATATCAATCAATTATTTTTTTTTAAATCAATCAATATTAATATTCTTAGTTATTCTATTATTGAATAAAATATCATTTTTATTTTAAAAAAAATTATTAACTCTTTAATTTTTGTGGATTTTAATTTAAGTCTTAATTTAAAAGATATTTTTGTATTTTCAAGTAATCAAATAACCATTAGAAAAAGGAAATATTAAAATTTGATAACTTTCATAAAATAAATTATTATAATTTATTAAACACAAAATATTTAATAAAAATCACATTTCTTTAATATTTTTCATATATAACAATTAATATTATTATCAAATCTTATTTTAAAACCAAATAAATTGGTTTTATAGAGGTTTTTAATTACATTATTCATTAAGTTTTTCTTGATAATTATTTTTTTAATAATCTATCTATTTTTAAAACCTTTCAAGATATTAATCTGAAACCGCATTGTTTTGAAAGTAGGTCATTGGATTAACTATGTAGACCTTATATTTTTTTTATTAAGTCTTAATAGTACCATTCCAAGAAGGACTATGATAAAATCGAGTATCCAATATCTTCTTAAAAGAAAGATAACTCTTTTTATAAAAATGAATTAAAATTTGCATTATTAGATTAAATGGAATTCGTATAGTCTAGAAGTCCTTTTTATTAATTTGCATCAATATCTATTTCTATTAAGCAAAAGAAGAAATTGCCAAACATTCCCTTATAAGTAGGTGGCTATATTTTATGGTAAGTCAAATCTAACCATAAATCATATCCATCTAGAGTAGTAAAGTTAACTCTTATTTTATATTCAGTGCTATTTTAAAATCTGCTCATTAAACAAAACAATGAGCTTTCCAATATTTAATTTATATCTTTAACCAATTAAATCTGCCTGTCTCTTAAACATAACTGTTACATCGTGTCGTAGTCCAAGCAGATTAAATCAAGTAATCCATTTGAATATACAACATGACTTATATCCAAAGATCCATCTTTAAAATTAGTGCTACCTTTACAATACGAGCTTAATTTATATTACTTCATCAGGTCTTTAACTTTTTTTAGACAAAATTAACTATATTAATTATACTCATAGTCATATTTTTCTTGGTTAACTTCTTTATATTCTAAAATTTCTACTTTAATTTAATCATAATATTAACCTATATTCAATAAAACTTAGCTGAATTAGTAATAGATTTAATGAGGAACATTCTATAATTCAATCACAACTTTTTCTAACGGAATTTCTTAAATCCTATTAAATATCAGTTTTGTATCAATGAAAGAAATCGTCATATTTTTATATTGACTCTGATTACCAAATTATCAAAGCTTAATTAAGTCTTAATATGATTCTGATATGCAAAAGTCACCAAAAACATAAAAAACATATTGTCCTTTAAATTTTAAAGAAATAGTAAAAGTTTAGCAAACCCTTTTTTATTTTTTTCTAAGTTTTACAGAAACATTTTTTTTTAAATCAGTAGATTCTACTATTTATCTTCACTAATACTAACTCTGTCGATTGATTAACTATCTAAATTTTCATTAGAAAACTATTAAATGAAAAAATGTATTTGCTACCTCACCTAGTTTAGTAAAAAATTTGTCTCTATTTTTCAATAGAGTTAGATAAAGATGCTTGAGTTTCTATTTCCATTTTAAAAATATATTTATGATAATTTAATTAGCTTATGAATTAACTAAAATTAATAAATACTTTCACTTTTTTTAATTTTTTAGAGTTGGCTAATTAACATTAATATTAATTATATGTTTAGCATGCATAAATAGAAGAGATAATTATTTAATCCATGAATTTCATATGCTAAAAAATAAAATATATTATAATAATTATAAATATATATTTCTATTTCATATTTATGTAAATTTATTAATAAACTAAGACTTAAGAATAAGTTTTTCTTAATTCAAAAATATCTCACTACAAGTAAAAATTAATTGAATTTTCATAAATTATTTTTTTTTTTAAATATTTTTTGACTAGCATTGCCAATAATTAATAATGTATATTTAAAATGTAAAAAATATTGATTTTTAAAAGTTAAAAGTGATCACTAAGAAGTTTATAGAAATTATATTTAACAATTTATTTTTTTAAATTTAAGTTTGTGATAATATGAAATAAATTAATTAATAAATGTTTTAATATTAAATATTGAAATTGAAAAAATTGGATTTAAAATTTATTTGGAATATTTGAAGATTAATTTTCATGTTTTTTTATTATTTTCTTGATTGATTTCTTAATCTTTTTCTTCTTCTTCCTATTGTTCTTGTTCTTCTTCTTGATTTTATACACCATCTTCATCGTTATTATCATCTTTTTAATCACTATTATACTCAAAGGGATAAAAACCTTCATTTACTAGTTTTGAGTATTCAGCTACAATATTTAAGTTTTTATTGAATTGTAAATCATTAGGGTCCTACTGTAGGGTTTTAAGAAAGTAGTTTTCAGCCTCTTCTAAATATTTCAATTGAAAATATATATTTCCTATGTTGTTGTAAATATCAACAAAAAAAGTAGAATTAAGAAATTTTTTATTGTATTTTAAAGCTGGATAAAATCTTTATGGGTCAAGTGAATAAGCCATCTCAAAGCTAGCGTCAGCAGGATAACGATTTTTCTTAGAAAATTGAGTGCATAAATCATAAAATTCCTTTCTTATATAACCCATTTACTCATACCTATCAAGAATCAAAATATATGCAGTTTCATTTTGAGGATTTATTTCTATAGTTTTAAAAAAATATTCCAATAATTATTCTTTCTTGTTTTATTTATCCTTTATTTCCCCCATACTCAAGTAGACTTCATCATTAGTTGGTTAGAATAAATATCACTTACCATTTTATAAGCTTAAGAATAATTATATCTTTTTTTGCATGATTATAAATGGATGATATTGCTTAATTAGGTTATTTAATTAGCTTTTCATAAATCTTTCCTACTTATAAAATACAGAAAAGCCATATTTAAAATCTTAAGGATTTATACCAAGATTATAAATAATATATTTAGACTGTTCTACTTCAGAAGAAAATTCACTTTGTAATAATGCAAGAAGAGAAAGGGATAAATACTGCTTTGGTTAATGTTTCAGTGCCTTCATTATAAACTTTTTGCTAAGAAAATCTTTATACATTAGATAATAAAGCATAGATTAATAGTAGTATATTCTCTAATACTTTTTCTTTTGGGAAAAACATTTATCAATAAGTGATTAACATTACTCAATTCAGTTTTTTTTAATCTTCTAAAATGCAGTAGCATTTACCTAGCAGTGCATCTATATCTCTTTCATCAATTTTGAGAAATCTTTCAAAATATTGCAAACAATTCTTTTTATTTTTATAATATCTAAGATAGATTAATCCTAATTTTATCATAGCCTCTAAATCTTATTCATTTAATTCAATCCGCTATTTTCATTAATCCAGCTCTTTCTCTATATTAGTAAAATCTATATCGATTTATCTTTTTTCATAATCCTATAAAGTAAATTTTGGCTATTACTATTCGATGAGTTCTACATTTATTGATAATTATTTAAATTTTCTAATTAATTTTTGGTTTCTCTAAAATTTACAATTAAAGCATAAAATATTATATATTATTTTAATAATTAAAAAAAAAAAAATCTAAAAATAAAAAAGAAATATTTTAAACATAAATTAAATAAAATGAATTTAAATTTATTTCAAAAATATAATAATGTAAGGAAATATTTCTAATAAAAAATAATTTGTTATATAAAAGTAAATAAAAATAAAAAATATTTGAATTATTAAGATTATTTCTTTAATTAATAATATCTCTAAAATTATCATATTTTATTAAAAGTTTTTATGATAAATTAGCTTAAAAAAGTAATATTTAATATATTTTATTATTATTTAAATCATATCAAATTTAATTTTTATATTTAAAAATAATAAAATTTTATTTTAAAAAATTAATAGTTAATTATTTTTTAAAATTTAAAGAATTGTTAAAAATACAGAAAATATAAATTTTATATAAAATTCTAACTTTTATTTTAAATATATTTAAATGCTTTTAAAAAAGCTAAATTTTGAAGAAAAATCATGATTTCAAAAGTTAGCTAATATTAATTTTATTACTTTTTACTTATTTATCTTATATAATTTAATTGCTTATTTAAGAAAGGTCTTAAAAAGATTATTAATGGATATTAGCAATTTCTCTTTATAATTAGGCTTAATTTTAATTATTGTTCTATTATATATATTAATTCATAAATTATGTTTGAGAAATATATTTTTCATTAGAATCTCCTTAGTTTTAGAAAGTATTTGTTTTCCCTTTTCGATTTTCAGGAGATAAATTAGTTTCAACTAATATTTTAGAACTTAATTTTATTGGATTGCTTCCTGTGAAAGGTAAATAAATTTAAGATGTCATCTCTCCTATTGGTAATTTAATTAATGCACTCATTCTTTTTAATTAATTTTCTTATTTATTTAAGATTTTTTCATGCTTTTAAGTTTTATAATATTGCTTAATTGATAAAATCAAATCTTTTACTAGATTAAAAATAAATCTAAAAAGATCTATGACAACAGTAAATATATGCATTAGTAAAATAAAAGAGGCACTTCCAATTAACACCCAACCAATGTTTATTCTTTCTTGTTCATCTTGATCCTACCTATCATCCACAAGGATTCCAGCACATATTTGCATCACTATTAAAAAAACTTCACTCAAGCCATTTCTTATATTTTCAAACTATTTATCTTGAGGACAAATATAAAAATAAAAAAATGCTAAAAAAGTATTTAGGAGACTTATTAAAATCAATTAAACATATGGACAATCAAATAAGTAAATGATGAATATGGCATAAGCAATTTTTCTGAAGTACAAAAAAACATTTGTATATTTGCTATATCTCATAACTCTTTCTTAGTACTTTATTTTTTTATTCGACTTAAAAAAAATTAACATAAATTAAAAAAAATTAAAATAAATTTACTTTTAAAGAACTGACTATTTCAGAATAATTAGACTTTTTGTTAATTTAATCTTAATTTATATTACATTAAGAACCAATCTTGTTTTCTATTGATGGTAATATTTGCTATTTTACTTCCGAGTCACCACAAACTTTTAATCCTCCTACTATAGATGAAAATTACTTTTGAATTCTTGGGTCATTTAAGTTAGGTGTCTTAGAAATAAATATTGCAATCATTATTGGGATGAAAAAAATTGCTATAAAAGACATAGAAAAAAGGGTATAATTTAAGAAAGATAGAGACTCTGTGAACTCAAATTTGTAAAATTGCAAGAAAACTCCTACAACTATATACATATAGACACTCCAGATAAGATCAAAGAAAGCATTATATTCCCAACCGCTTTCAATTTTCTTTTATAGATACAACTAAAATCCAGGTATTTTTATAAAGCTGAGTAATTTTATAAATATGTAAATTGCTAAAATGCCAAAAACTATTGTATAACTCTAGCCCGAACTATTTAAAAGGTATGCATCGTTTCCATAATCCATAAATTTGCCTGGAGTGTAGGGCTAAATGTAGTCCGGATCAATAAGATATGCTTAAAAGACATTAGGGATGAAAGCCATTTGGAAATTTTGAAAAATAGAGCAAAATGCAGTTACATTAGAAGGATATCTGACATTTACAAACATCAAAAAATATATAAAAGTGGTGAGATCGATAGTGTTAAAAAGTACATAAAAGTTTCCAATCATTGCTATTGATAGCATCGAATATAGTAATGTACTTTACATGCTTTGACTAGCACTCTTTGCTGCCTATGCTTACTCTTATTAATTTTAGTTTTAAATTACATAGCTACTCAATTAAACTTCCTTGAAACTGTTTTAAATATTATTTATTTAAACAAAATTAGGATCATGTAATTTCACTTCTAGTTTTTAATTTTTACAGTTTTAATCAACTTTAATGCTAAGATATATTTTATTGCTTAACACACTTGTCACTTGATAAGTATAATTTTAAATTCCAGTTATTTCTATCCTTAATATTTACTCATAGTTAGTCATATTGAAGTTAACTAAATTTTCTTAAAAAGAAATGGTTATATTATATCCAGTATCAGTAACTTTATAAATAACATAAAAATAATTTGAATCAATTGATTGACATAGTTTCCCTAGATTTTTAACTATCAGTGGATCATTACATTTTAAACACACATTATTATCAGTTTGAGAGCATGTTTAACATCCATGAACCATACAAGCATTTATTTTTTAACATATATTGATTGGATTGGTATTTTTCTAGGAATTAATTATAATTAAATATCCATCTGAGCATTAAGAACATGAGTTAGAATTATTTAATTAGCATTAATCACAATTTTAAACTAAGCATTTAGGTATTGCATCACATTTTTTTGTTAAATTATTCCATTAAAACCCTTAATTACAAGTATCACAAATATTACCATCTTATTTAGAACATATGCTACAATTTTATACTTAGCATAAGCACTATGGACCCATATAATTTTTAATACATGTTTTACATATCTATCCATTTGCAGAGCAAATTTAACAATTTTGTACGCTGCATAAACATTAATTTGTAGTTTAGTCTAAAATAAAATTATTTATACACTATTAACAATTTAAATAGTCGAGAGGATTATAAGTTTGACAGTTTTATATTTATTTGAAGCACTTTTTAGTAGTAGGATCTAGAATGTATCCAGAATTACATTTTTAACATAGCTAGCCATCAAGTTAATCACATATTTAACAATTTAAAGAAATACAACTACAGTCTTAATTATTTGAGCTCAATAAATAGTTATTAGTGCATTTGTTGCATATTTTACCATCATTTGGAGAGCATATTTAACAATTTTATACACTACATAGGCATTATTTTGTAGTTGAGTCTAATGTAAAATTATTTATACACTATTAACAATTTGAATAATTGAGAGGATAATAAGTTTGACAGTTTTATATTTATTTGAAGCACTTTTTAGTAGTAGGATCTAGAATGTATCCAGAATTACATTTTTAACATAGCTAGCCATCAAGCAAATCACATATTTAACAATTTAAAGAAATACAGCTACAGTTTTAATTATTTGAGCTTTTTTAATAATTATTAGTGCATTTGTTGCATATATTACCATCATTTGGAGAGCATATTGAGCAATTTTATACTTAGCATTGGCATTGATAGGAATTATCAAGTTTATAATTTAACTAACAACTTTAACATTAACTTAAATTGCTAGGGTTATTTTGTAAGCAATGTTAAATTGTACTTTTACATTCATTTGTAATTATATCTAAAACATAACCTTAGCTACACTGTAAACAGATATTTCCATCAGAAGAAGAACACGATTTACAATTTTAAGCTTGACATTAACATTAGAATGAGGTATCTAACTGATAGTTTTTTTAGCAAACTTAACATTTAGTAATATCACTAGCGTTTAATGTTAAGCAATTTAGTAAAGAGATTAAGCATTAAATATTTAAAATCTTATAGTATCCACTTTTACAGACATCACAAAATTTTCCATCATTAGGTGAACAAATTTAGCAATTATCAACTTAACACTAGCACTATTGAGAACTATCAAGTAAATAATTATTTTGACAAATTTAACATTAATTAGTACTACCTAGCTAATTTTTTAAGCAATTTTTAAGTGTGCTCTTACATTATTTTGTATCAGAATCAACAGTATAGCCTAAATTACATTAATGACATATACTACCATCATTAGGATCACAAATTTAGCAATTTGGATGATTACATATGCAGTTTAAGCCATCAGAACTTAATAAATAATTTAATTAACAGGTTTTACATTACCCTGTATAATTACTACAAGAAATACAATTCTTTATAGGGCAATAACATATATTATTTGATGGGTTTTAAGTTAACCCTTCATTACATACTAAGCATTAAAGTCCATCTTTTTAGTGGCATATTTTGCAATTATTAACTTGACATTAACATAGATCGTTCTTTTAAATATAATTACTAGCACAAGTCAAACATTTTGATCCATCATTTTAATGGCACTTCGTACAGCCATCTATATAACATGAACATTTGGTACTATCTTCACTTTTATAGTAATTTGGTGCACATTAGCCACAAAGAGTAGATGAATTATGTTAGCAAAATATGCAATTTTAAACATTACATGTGCAAGATAATTTGTCAGTACTTAAAGCATAACCAGGAACACAAAATAAGCATTTTCCTATTTTTTACAAAAAAATAAAATAATTTTTTTTCTCTCTAAGTTTTGTTTTTTATTAGAAGAAATATTTATTAAAAAATAAATATTTTCAAATGAAAAGTGCTTTACCATCATTTGAGCAATTATAGCAATTAGGAATCGTACAGACAAGACAATTTTAAGGATTTTTAAAATCAATATAATAATTTCCATCAGTAAGGCATTCAAGACAATTAGAGCTATTACAAGTCAAACAAAAAGTTCCCGGGCAATTAGAAACACAAAGACCAGAATTAGGATCTTTAATTAATCCTTTAGGACATTAATTGAAAATACATAAAGTTTTTTGTGAATTAAATTAATAACCACTCTTACATAAATCACAAGTTTAAGGATTTAAGCAAACATCACAATAATCAACTTTACAGTCACATGTTAATACTTGATAATTTTTTAATTCGTATATTAATATAGTTTTTTCTTTTGGACATTTGATGATTGATGTGCTAACTGGCTAAGTACATGTTTACCATTAATTATACTAACCACTAACTTGCATCAAGCAAAATGATTGGTAATCAACACAAACTTTAATACCTCTAGAATAATATTAACCTGAAATAAATAAAATATAAAGTAAATTTTAATTTAAAACTATTTTTTTATAAATTAACAAAGTTAGAATTAGTATTTTAAAAGTTGCTTTATATTTTTTGAGTTTAATTTAATTTTGTAGTAAAATTATTTTTTTATTTTAAATAAGTAAATTACTGTTTTTATATTAAAAATTTAAATAAAATAATTTACTAGATGAGCAGTTACTTTAAGCATAACAATGGCCATTAGGATCTAAACTGTAGCCAGGATTACATTTAACACATTTATTTATACTTAAGACAGAATTTTTTATACATGAAAAACAGTTAGTAATTTTACAACCACTAGTTTCTTCACATACTTTGTCTCCGTTTAAAAGAGTGTATCGATTGAATCCTTTCATGCACACCTTACAGTTATTAGCATCTTCACAGGTTAAGCAATTTTCAACACAGTTAGACCAAATCACAATTTTCAACAACCCAAACCAATCTTCATTAATAGGATTTCTGTGATACGTAAATGATGTTACAGGATTTTTACTTATAAATTGGTTATTGTAAGATAAAGAAAATTTAACTACATCATTCAATGTAGCATTTTTACTGCAACTGATTTAATATGCACATTACTAATTTTATTTATCACCCATACTTCCTAAAAGTTTTTTAGCGACATTATTTGGCTAATCAACCATATTAAAATCAATTAAATCACTAGCAGTTGTAAAATAAAGAATATCCGCATAAGTAAATTAATAAGGTTATTCCTAAGCCGAAGCAGTAACCTAGAATTATTATGGATAAATTCCATAATAGGGTGAAAGAACGCCAGCGGTTGTTGAAGTTGAAGTCTTACAAGAGTAATCAGCCTTATATTATGTTGAATCATATTCTCCAGATACAATGCTCCATTAGTTCAAAAATAAAGTTTTGCTATCAAAACCAGGTGTAAAATCCATCATATATAATACCTCATAAGTTTTTATCCCTTTTTTTTAATAAAGATTTTAATAGCATTATCATCTAATTATAATAAGTTTAATGTATTTAAATAATTACTTGTAATAAAAAAACTAAAAATCCAAATTAGAATAGAATTTTTCAAAGAAACCATTTTAAAATTCTTTTTCATTGAGAGCCTTTATTAGGAATAAATTTGATATATCTGTTTATTTTGTATAACTAAATATCTTTTTGATTAAATTCTTTAATTATGATTTGGAAGAAGAATTCGATTTTTAATGACTTTTTGATTGTATATAAATAGGGATATTTAAACTTTTTATTTTAATAATAAGCAAACAATACACTTAAAAATGTAAAAAAGTTAAGCGGTTAAGCTTTGAACTATTTGATAAATAATATTATATAAATACTAGAGAATTTACAATCATAGCATTTTTAGATCAGTAGGGTAGTAAAAATGAGCCACTACATTTTATTAATTATAAATTTGTTATTATTAAAAATTTGTTAAAATGTTTTTTAAAAAGTCTTAAAAAGTAGCCCTCCAAGTGAAATACTTGGAAGGCGAAAAAATAGTAGGGCACAATTAATTTATAAGCAAGTAAAAATGTTATGTCAGTAATTCTTTAATATTTTTCTATTATATGTAGTTAGAAATTGCTCTATATGGCTAATAAATACTTTTTTCTGAAATATTAAACTTGTTTTGATATTTTTAAAATATTAATGAATGGTAATTATCAAATTTAATAATAATTAAAAGATAGCCATTAAATTTTTAATTAAAATATTACCAACCAAAGAAATTGTGTTATTGTATATACAGTATTATAAACTTTTTAATAATTCCCTCTAATTTACATAGAAATAAAGTCTAAAAATAATCAGGACAGTGATTTAAGGTGGATACATCATTATTATTACTTAAAGCAGATCTTTAAGTTTTTCCTATTACTAAATTGAAAAAACTTTAGATTGAAAAAATAAATGGTGAAATCATTAAAAATGTTTATTGAATATAATACATTTTCATAAAATAAATAAACTGTTACTAATAATAATGTAATTTCAAAAATATGTTACATTTAATCAATTTTTAATTTTAGAGTAAATAATTTAATCGTAAACTCGTAAACCAATAAAAGAGCAAATAAATTAATTAATATATCAATCAATTACTTTTTTTAAATCAATCAATATTAATATTCTTAGTTATTCTATTATTGAATAAAATATCATTTTTATTTAAAAAAAAAATTATTAAGTCTTTAATTTTTGTGGATTTTAATTTAAGTCTTAGTTTAAAAGATATTTTTGTATTTTCAAGTAATCAAATAACCATTAGAAAAAGGAAATATTAAAATTTGATAACTTTCATAAAATAAATTATTATAATTTATTAAACACAAAATATTTAATAAAAATCACATTTCTTTAATATTTTTCATATATAACAATTAATATTATTATCAAATCTTATTTTAAAACCAAATAAATTGGTTTTATAGAGGTTTTTAATTACATTATTCATTAAGTTTTTCTTGATTTTTAAAAATTTAATTATTCTATTTTATAATATTACTATTAATTATTTTTTAATAATCTATCTATTTTTAAATCCTTTCAAGATATTAATCTGAAACCGCATTATTTTGAAAGTTGGTCATTGGATTAACTATGTAGACCTTATATTTTTTTTATTAAGTCTTAATAGTACTTTTCCAAGAAGGACTATGATAAAATCGAGTATTCAATATCTTCTTAAAAGAAAGATAACTCATTTTATAAAAATGAATTAAAATTTGCATTTTTAGATTAAATGGAATTCCTATAGTCTAGAAGTCCTTTTAATTAATTTGCATCAATATCTATTTCTATTAAACAAAAGAAGAAATTGCCAAACATTCCCTTATAAGTAGGTGGCTATATTTTATGGTAAGTCAAATCTAACCATAAATCATATCCATCTAGAGTAGTAAAGTTAACTCTTATTTTATACTCAGTACTATTTTAAAATCTGCTCATTAAACAAAACAATGAGCTTTCCAATATTTAATTTATATCTTTGACCAATTAAATCTGCCTGTCTCTTAAACATAACTGTTACATCGTGTTGTAGTCCAAGCAAATTAAATCAAGTAATCCATTTGAATATCCAACATGACTTACATCCAAAGATCCATCTTTAAAATTAGTCCTACCTATACAATACGAGCTTAAATTATATTACTTCATCAGCTCTTTAACTTTTTCTAGGCAAAATTAGCTATATTAATTATACTCATAGTCATATCTTTCTTGGTTAACTTCGTTATATTCTAACATTTCTGCTTTCATTTAATCATAATATTTGCCTATTTTCAATAAAACTTAGCTGAGTTAGTAATAGGTTTAATGAGGAACATTCTGTAATTCAATAACAGCTTTTTCTAACGGCATCTCTTAAATCCTATTAAATCTCAGTTTTGTATCAATGAAATCGTCATATTTTTAAATTGACTCTGTAACCAAATTATCAAAACCTAATTAAGTCCAACCTAAAGAACCTCCAAGTCTTACTTAATATGATCCTGATATGCAAAAGTCACCAAATACATGAAAAACATCTTATCCTTTAAATTTTAAAGGAATAGTAAAAGTTTAACAAACCCTTTTTTATTTTTTTCTCAGTTTGACAGAAACATCTTTTTTTTTATTTAGTAGATTCTACTATTCATCTTCACTAATACTAATTCTGTCAGTTGATTAACTTTCTATATTTTCATTAGAAATCTATTAAATGAAAGTATTCATTTGCTACCTCACCTAGTTTAGTAAAAAAGTTGTTTCCGTGTTTTCAATAGAGTTGGATAAAGATGTTTGAGTTTCTATTTCCATTTTAAAAATATATTATTGATAATTTAATTAGCTTATGAATTAACTAGAAAAATTAACAAATATTATTACTTTTTCTAATTTTTAAAAATTGACTAATTAGCATTAATAATGATAAAATGTTTATCATGCATAAATAGAATAGATAATTTTTAATCCATGAATGTCATATGCTAACAAATAAAATATACAGTAATCATTATAAATCCACATTTCTATTTAGATTCATATAGCTTTATTCATTTAATAAAATAAGACTTAAGAATCAGTTTTTCTTAATTCTAAAATATCTCACAAGCAAATAAATATTAATTGAATTTTTTGACAACATTGTAATAATTAATAATACAGATTTAAATAAAATTAGATAATAAAATTCTATAATTTTTTAATTAATTTAAAAGATTTATATTTTTATATTTTCTTCATTAAATTATTAAATTGAAAAAACGTTAAAATAAAAAAATATTTTGTTAAATTTATCTCTTAATTTTAACTTTAACTAAATTGTTTTTAGCAACCATTTTCTTTGTTTGTTTTATGTAAAAAAATTGATTTATTTTACTTTTTAGAAGTTAAAAGCGATCATTTATAAGTTTATAGAATTTATATTTAACATTTTATTTTTTTAAATTTAAGTTTGAGAAAATGTTAAATAAATTAATTAATAAATGTTTTAACATTTAATATTGTAATTGAAAAAATTGGATTTAAAATTTATTTGGAATATTTGAAGATTAATTTTCATGTTTTTTTATTATTTTCTTGATTGATTTCTTAATCTTTTTCTTCTTCTTATTGTTCTTGCTCTTGTTCTTCTTCTTGATTTTATACATCATCTTCATCGTCATCATCACTATCATCTTCTTAATCACTATTATACTCAAAGGGATCAAAACCTTCATTTACTAGTTTTGAGTATTCAGCTACAATATTTAAGTTTTCATTGAATTGTAAATCATTAGGGTCCTACTGTAGGGCTTTAAGAAAGTAGTGTTCTGCTTCTTCTAAATCTTTAAGTTAAAAATACACATTTCCTATATTGTTGTAAATATCAACATAGCAAGTAGAATTAAGAGATTTTTTATAGTATTTTAAAGCTGGATAAAAATCTTTTTGGGTTGAAAGTGAATAAGCCATCTCAAAACTAGCGTCAGCAGAATAAGGATTGTTCTTATAAAATTGAGTGCATAAGTCATGAAATTCCTATCTTTTATAACCCATTTACTCATACCTATCAAGTATCAAAATATATGCAGTTTCATTTTGAGGATTTATTTCTATAGCTTTAAAAAAATATTCCAATGATTATTCTTTCTTGTTTTATTTATCCTTGATTTCGCCCATACTCAAGTATGCTTCATCATTTTAAGGGTCTAATTAAATAGCTAAATTTGCATAATGCTCTGCCTTTTCAAAATCATTTAGTTGGTTAGAATAAATATCACTTACCATTTTATAAGCTTAAGAATAATTATATCTATATTTACATGATTCAAAAAAGAATTATATTGCCTAATTAGGTTCTTTGAGCTTTTCGTAAATCTTTCCTGCTCTATAAAATACAGAAAAGTCATATTTAAAATCTTAGGGATTTGTAACAAGGTTATCAATAATACATTTAGACTGTTCTATTTCAGAAGAAAATTCACTTTGTATTAGTGCAAGAAGAGAAAGGGATAAATACTGCTTTGGTTTATGTTTCAGTGCCTTCATTATAAACTTTTTGCTAAGATAATCTTTATACATTAGATAATAAAGCATAGATTAATAGTAATATATTCTCCAGTACTTTATCTTTTGGGAAAAACATTTATCAATAAGTGATTAACATTACTCGAATTCAGTTTTTTTTTTATCTTCTAAAATGCAGTAGCATTTGCCTAGCAGTGCATCTATATCTCTTTCATCAATTTTGAGAACTCTTTCAAAATATTGCAAACTATTCTTTTTATCTTTATAATATCTAATATAAATTAATCCTAATTTTATCATTGCCTCTAAATCTTATTCATTTAATTCAATCCGTTATTTGCATTAATCCAGCTCTTTCTCTATATTAGTAAAATCTATATCAATTTATCTTTTTTCATAATCCTATAAAGTCAATTTTGGCTATTACTATTCTTATTGTTTTTACATTTTTTGATAACTATTCAAATTTTCTAATTAATTTTTGCTTTCTCTAAAATTTACAATTAAAGTAAAAAAAATTTTATATTATTTGAATAAATCAAAAAAAAAATAAAATCTAATATTAGTAAAATTGTTATTATTTTTAAATTATAAATATCATTTATGTTAAACAATGTATACATATCAATTTAAGTCAAAAATATTAAAAAAAAAAGAAAAAAAAATATTTTAAACATAAATTAAATAAAATGAATTTAAATTTATTTATTTATTTGATTAAATCAAAAAAATAATAATGTAAGGAAATTTTCCAACAAAAAGCAATTTGTTATTATGTAAATGTAAATAAATATAAAATATTTGAATTATTAAGATTATTATATTAATTTATGATATCTCTAAAATTATCATATTATATTAAAATTTTTTATCATAAAATTAGCTTAAAAAAGTAATATTTAATATAATTTATTATTATTTAAAGCATATAAAATCGAATTTGTATATTTAAAAATAATAAAATTTTGTTATGGAACTATCTTTTGAAATTTTTTATTGTTTTTAATAAAGTAATATAATTTTATTTTAATATTTAAAAGATTTAAAAACACATTAATAATTTAATTAGTCAAAAACATTTTATTTTATAAACAAAATTTAATAAATTTTAAACTTTTAAATTAGATTTTAATTGAAACTGAGTTTGAATTGCATTAGTTAGTTACATAGAGAAAATAAATATTATTTCATATTAATAAAATAATTAAAATATTTAGATTTTTTTAATTTTTAATAGAAATTTCATTCTACTTAGCTTTTGATTTTAATACAGCTATCATCACTATCTTTTTATTTAATATTATGTATCATATTTTATGTCAAATTCTCAAATATCGACTAAGGAATACGTTACCTATTTGCCTATTATAATAAAAAAATATTTATTTTAAAATAAATTTATTTAGAAATAAATTATCTACATCTGCATTCATTACTTAACTTTCTATGGATAACCACTCACTTTATGTCTTTTATATATGTATTTAAAAAAACATTTAATTTTTGAAAATAATTCATATTTACTCTGAAGGTAGGAAGCTGTTCATTTTTTATTTATTAATTATCATCAATATGTTAGTTTTCAGACTATAATGATACTTACTTAATTTTTAAATATACAAAAATTTATATATTATAATAATAAAAATAATTTACAGAATAGTTAATGCTCTTCAAATCGTCTTTAGGAATAATCTGATTATCATTTATTTATAATGATTTAATTAGTTTGTGCTAATTAAAAAATATTTAAATTAAATTAATTTAGATAAATTTACTTAATTAGATTGTTCAGATTGTTTTAAAGACTCTTTAATAAATGCTTTAAGTATTTTGCTGTTAGATTTTTAGATGCTATGAGCTTTGTTTATAGATTTAGTATTCAAATTTATTTTACTTACAAAATTGGAACTATAAGTAAACATTTAATTTCGGTAGGCCAATATGACTTTCTTCCATAAATAATGAATTTTAATTATTTTTATTTACCTAAATTTCAAAAATTTAAAAAAATGAGGATATTTTTTTTTTAAATAAAGCATTCTTAATTTTATTTTATTATTCAAAGAGTTTGTATCGTTTATCTAAATATAATTTTAATCAAATATGCTAACAATTAATGTTATTAGCACATATATATTTAAAATAACTATGCAAAACTCACTAACTCTAGCATATATTTATAGTTTGGACTCGTCATTTAAGATAATTATGAATAGGGTATAAATGTATATTAAGCAATAAGATAAAGTTCTCTCTATTTTGTAAACTTTTGTATTACTGTATGGTTGCTTTTATTAAATAATGCAGGTATATGCAATCATTGTAGGAATAATAATTGCAACTTTTACTTGGTCAGTTTAATTTATATTAATAATAATCATTATAATAAATTTGTGGAATATTTTGACTATTTCCCAATATAAATATTTATTTTTATATCCATCATATATCACACCATAAGCGAGATTGTTCTTAATTTTATAAATTAATTCAGTTTTTGATTAATTTTACTTTTAAAAGTATTTTAGCTTCCTTAGTAAAATCATAGGTATCAACAAGCACCAAATTAGTATTAAAGGCCCTACAAGCACTAACTCATAAATTAAATAATACTTATTATAACATTCTTAACTATAATCTGCTAATAAATAATATTTGTTAGCAATCTATACACAAAATAGACTCTCAATTAACATTTTAGACTATTTATTATTAAAAAATTTAAGTAATTTTATCAATTAAAAATTTTGAAAAATAACTTTATTCTTTTTACTTGTAAACTTTTTCTTGATAAAATCTTATAGTGTTTTATTTTCAAATGTATTTTAAGGATAAGATGGATTTAATATATAAAATTATATATTTGAGAGTAATATATATTTTTTAATTTTAATTAATTAGCACCTCCATTCCACTTTGTTTATCCTAACAAGGAATAATAAATGATTAATTTGAAAACTTTCCAAAAAATAATTAAAATTTCATTCAATTTCAAAGAAAATCTAGGAATTAAAAAAATTGTGCTGATAATTTAAAACATTTTTTTTATAAAGACCAATTAAATTTCTACACTAAAAAATAAAAAATGTTATTAAAACAAAAATGTCCTCTTATTAACAGTAATTTTGAAAAGAAAGACAAATATTTTATAGTTTATAAAAGAGTAGATAGGAAGGGATGTTAAAAATTTTATTTTAAGTAAAATTTTTTATTTTTGCTTAAAATTTTTAATGTCATAAAATTATTATTTAAAATTTTTTAAATTATTTACCAGTGTTATTCAAAAAGATAATGTTGTTTTCATAGAGATTTACCAATTTAAGTAAATCTGAAGATGTCTGAGTATAATAAAATGATCCACCTATATATGCTCTGTTCAGATTGAATAAAGAATTAGCAAATTATTATAGAGTGCATTCCTCAAAGTAAATAGAACCTCCTTTTTACTTTATAGCAGAGTTACTTTCAAACTTAGATTTGATTATGCTTATTCCATAGATTGCTTAAAAATAAATTGCTCCACCTGATCCATAAACTGAAGTATTTTCTAGAAAGTAGCAATTACGAATTTAAAAAATGGAAGATTAAAGAGCCTAAAAAGCATATATTGCTCCTCCAGACTCAAAGGCCTTGCATTTATAGAAATAGCTGAATAAAATAGTTATATTCTAATAATTCTGTGCTTTTATTGCACCTCCATAAATAATTGATTGTTTTTATTGATTCATATTTAATAATTCTTTAAAATGGCTGTTTTCAATCAAAATTTGGTTTGCCTAAAGTATATTCAGTGCACATGGATAATTTGTAGAGTTTATTTATATAAAATAACAAAAATTTAAGCTTATTTGACCTTACATCACATTTATCACGCTTCCTTCTGATATATTTATATGAGTGAATGATGAATTTGATATTTAACCCTATAATTAAACATCCCAGTTTATTAAGCTATTATTACTAGCTATATTACTAAAAGTGACATTCAATAAGTTAGCTTGAACTGATTATATAATAAAAATCTAATATTTTGTAATTTTATTGCCTATGTTAATTTAATTTACAGTGCAGTTAACAATTTATAAGAAATAACTAAAATATTATAATTAGTTATTGTTAGAGAAGTGATTTGCTTGAATTAAAGTTACATCTTAAAATTTTGTAAAGTCACTGTTATATATTCCTACATTCTCACAACCATGGAAATTTAATAAAATATTTTATTTAATTTAATTCTAAATAATTCTGTGTTAATTTAATTATTTTAAATTTCTATTTCGTAAATTAGAGTTTGATTGATTAATAATTGTAAAGCTTAAATCAATTAATTATATTGACAGACTTTTAAAGAATGAAAACAAACTACCAGAAAGTATAATCGCTTATTCAATGTTCAAATTTTATATTTAAATGTATTTGCAATCATTAAACTCAAAAAGATTTCCATTTATTTGTAAATTTATCATGTGCAAATTTATAATAGTGATATTATAAATATCTGAAAACAAAAACTAGCTCTCATTTAAAAAATTCATATCTTATATTGTAAGGTTTTGAATTAATAAATTTGTGACATTACTAATTTTAATAGCACAAGATTACCTGCAAAGTGTGCTCCTTTGTATTAAAACTTAATCTAAAATTAATTAATTCAAATTATCAATTTAGAGACAAGATGTATTGTTAAATAATACTAATTCTACATCATTGAAAATAATTTATTTCATATTGATATAAGGGTTAAGAGTAAGATTTTGTTAAGTAGATGAAATAAACAGTGCAATAGATTAGAAATTTAAATTTTAGAATTGAGAAAGGATAAATTGGTTATTAATCAAATTCGCATATTTTTTGTTTTAAGTATCTGCTTTTGGACTTTAGAATTAATATTCTATTTAAGTATTGCTATTAAAAATGTCATATATTTTTTTAATCTAAAACAAATTAGAGTTTTCTATTGTCATTTTTACAATATATTTTATCAAATTAAAACCTTGTGAATGTACTCTATTTTGGTTTTCTACATTCTATTTTATAATTAAAAATAAATAATTTATTTATTTATTAATGCAGGGCAGGGTATTATTTTATTAATTAATTATATTAAAAATAATTTTATTTAGTATATTTAAAATAATTCCCTATTTTTTATTAAAACTTTATTTAATAAAAAATTAAAAAAGATTACTTTGTTTTAGTTTTCTAAATCATTAGAAGATTGAGTGAGCGAGAGAAGAGCATTTAATGTTTCATGATCATTTCCTTAGACTTTAAAATAGATATCAAATATATTTGTATCACTAAAGCACTTAAAGTTTATTTAGTTTAAATTAAGTTTTTATTAATCTGAATAATCAAATTTAGTTGAGTAAACAACAGGATTTCTTAAATTTTAAAATGACTCTAATAATTAAGTATTTTTTTGATTAATTTAAACAATCAGCAAGTCGTTTGAAAGAATTAACAAAAATATGTCTTAATATAAATATTGTATTTCTTTTAAACTTGAATATATGAATTAGTTTACTTTGTAGAAATTTACAAATTTAAGCACTCTCTTTTTGAATACATTTACTTAAAAACTGCACATAGCGTATAAATAGTCTTAATCTTAACTAAGCTTGCTTTACAATCTTGAGGGAGTAGGTAATTATCCAATTATTTAATTAGAATGTAAATTAAATACTTTTATTGATAAAGTCGATGAAAACACTAAAGTTTTTGAATCATTAAATTAAATTACGATGAAATCTAAAATTTATTAATTTTCATAGCTATATTTTGTTTATTTAGAAATATTTTTTACGCTTAGATCTTTATCAAGTTTGAATACTACTAAATCTGTTTACGAATCTAAATATAATATGTATTCCCCAATTTGTTGAATCTTTTTTATAAATAAAAGTATTATTTTTCAATTAAATTCTAAAATAAATAATATTTAAAATAAAAAACTGGTTACTTTATTATAAATTTTTTAAACTATTAAAACAGGAGAGAACTATTTAGCTATCATATTATACAGGAATAAGTTTCCTTAAATATCAATAAAAGACACAATATGTTAACTCAATACTTTAAATTTGCTAATTTCTTACTAAAAATTCAAATTTTCTGTAACAGCTTCAAAGTCAAAAATATTAGGATTGAATTTTTTTATTATTGATCCCTAATCTAAACAAAACACGTTTTATTAAATGGTTGAATAAAAAGAGCAATAAATATGATTCTGCACTGATTTTATTTATTTTTTACTAATAAAATCATAGATTGTATACTCAGAAGGAGAAGAAATAGCTAAAATAACAGATGTAGTCAAATTATATAGTAAAATAGAATACCTTGATGATGAAAGAGAATCTGACAGTTTAAATTAAGATAAAATTTAATAATCAATAACGTTAATTGTATTTAAAACTCCAGTATTTTTATCATAATAAACAGCTAAGTTCTAATCTTCAAAGTATAAAAAGTTATTTTAAGGATTTTTCATTGAATTATAATATAGTTAAGTTAATAGAGGAGTCCATAGATCCATCATAAAAATATTATTTTTATAAATTATCAATATAATATTCGTGGCTTATTAATATAAAGCTACTGCTGACAAACCATAACTCTAGTAATCAACACTGCCTTAGTAAATCAAAGTAGAAGCTTAAAAAATATTAGATCTATTAAAAGATATTATAACAATCATATCAAGAGATAAATCTAAAAATATAAAAGACTGAATTAATTAAATGCTAGAATCCTAAAAATTCATCCCATACATGCTTTTACTTTAAATGCTGCAGTCTAAATAATTCATTTTGTTAAGATTATTCTAATTCAAATTATAAATCACCTTTTTTTAATAAGTTTAATTTATTTGTGTTTCAAATTATCTAAGTAAAAAATTATGAATCAAGATACTAAAATTAAATATTTTTTATTTTTTCTATTATCAAATAAATTTGATTAAATAAGAAATTTAAGTAAAAAAAAATATTTAATTTTTTATTTCATGAAACGATTCAAAATAAAATATATTTATATTAATATAAAAAAAATAATTTACTCCTTCTTAATTTGAGTGAATAAAAGAATAACTACCTGGAACAGCTAGCTAGCACTTTAATTAACTCAAGTTAATATCAAATGTATTTAATACTGCTTTCTATTAATTTTAAACTTAAAATTATATTATTAAATTAATGTCTTTTCTATAAAAGAGTGAAGAATGGCTGAAGAATTAGCTAAACTAATTATTGTTATACTTGATGTATTATAACAGCTGATACTAACCATTTTTTTCTATTTTGAAATAGCTAGCAGAAGGTTACAAAAATATCATTAATATGTCATCTTAGAAAATAATCTTATATTCATAATTAGGCTTAGAATAAAAGCTATTATCTTAAAGCAAAATACGATTTCCTTTTTAGGAGAAATAATCATATAAATACATTATTTGTTCCTTATTGGTTACTAATTTAATTATTATAGTGTTTTTTTACTTAAAAACAACTTCATAATCAATTTAATTTATCTAGTCTTAGATAGAATAATTTATTAACTAAAAACTATAATCACTCTATTTAAAAAATAGAATTTAATTCTGTTGATTAACTGATATGAAAGCTTATAATTCTAGAATATAAATAACTTGGGATTGTTCAATAAAAGTAAATATAATATTTAGCTATTGATCACAAATAACATACTTTCCATCTTTCATTTGAGCTAGTATTTATCTATTACCTACTAGTTTTTGTTACTTCTAAAAGGTTACATTTTATTATGTCTATTAATCTAATTTAAATAAATAATATTATTTAGTAAATTTTTAAATAATATTTACTTGTTTAGACAACTTCATTACTAACAAGGTCAAAATAGTAATTTAATTCATTCGTTTTGATTAGAATACCAAAATCATTTATACTTGAATCAAAATCTACAAAACTCGTTTTTAAAGGAGTTTAAACAGTAATTTATTGATTACTTTTTGAAAGCAAGTAAATTCCTACTAGTTTTCCAGATTGATATAAGATTATTTGATTACTCTCCAAATTAATAAAATTCTATTCTATTGTAGTAAACTACAAAATTTAAACAACTTGTTGAGTTTCTAAATTAAATAGATAGTTTTGCTAATTTAAAGAATAAAAAAATAATTTAATCAAAAAATTTTAATATCTTGTTGACTTTATTTTTTCTGTTAAAGTACACAGTTTTTGATGATCTTAAAGTTGTTATTTTAGATATGAAAATTAAATTTTAACCAATTTATTAGAATACAATATAATTATTAAATTTGAATGAAATTATAAAATAGTTTAATAGAGGATTTTTTAATTTTATTAGATTTTTAAAATTTAAATAATTTTTTTATTTCAAAACAATTGTTTTAAAATGAAGTTTTATATTTAATATCGTAATAATTTTTAAAATAAAATTTTGAATAGTTTTTAATTTGATATGAATAAAAAAATAATTTACATTTTAGATATTCTTTATGATGATATATCTTTGCTAGTTAATTACTAAAATCTAGGATTGCAAAACTGAAAATGAAAAAGGAAACTGTAAATCTGTGCTTTAAAGCGTAGTAGTATTAACTAATTTATAATAACTATTGTAGTTTAATATAAAGCTATCATCATTTTTAGCAAAAATAGATTTTTAGAATGATTGCTATGTTTGATTTTGTAAATCTACTACTTTGAATTTTATTTACCCTACTTAATTATTAGAGTAAGCTAATTTAAGCTCAGGTATGCTTACATACTTGATAATAAGTTAAAAATTTGTTACATTTAAATATGTACTATATATTTAATAAATATTTTGATGTTATTTCCTACTATATATTAATCCCTATACTCTATTGCAATAGGCTTATACTATTACATAATTATTATCAAAATTTATGTAACCGTTTAAAGTATAAAAATTATCCACTAAATTCAACGTTGAACTTTATTCATTGTAATTTAATACAATAATATTATACTCTATAGTACTTATGTATATTGTATTATTTAAGGCTTGAAGTGTATTACTATAATCAAAATCAGTCAAAAAAACAGTGGCATTTATTTAGAAAGCATCTATTTTTTATGAGCCAATACAAAATAATTAGATGGTATTTTTAAAGTAAACAGCAACAAATAAAATTGATGGATTATTCTACTAGATCAAATTAATATAAATAGACATACTGTCTATGTTAAACTAAAACATTTAAAAGGTTTCTAGGTTAAAAATCACAAAATTGTATAAAGATTAGCATTAATAAGTTATTCCAAGATATTGATTGCTTATTTCTGCATTTATAATTTGCTGATTTAAATTTTTTTCAAAGATAAGTTTTTAATTATCAATTTGAATTAATCTAAATCCAATTTGAAATATAATAATTAATAATTTTCTTTCGTTATTATAAATAAGCTTCTATATCCCTCTCATTTTGTATGAACTACTATAATCAGCAAAACTGCTATATGTAATTTATTATTAAGAAGCATATTTTAATATCTAAATTTAATTATTAAATGCGATTACTAGTTATTAGTCAATATTTAATACCTGATAAATACCAATAGCAAAATTAATTTAATCTTGGTAATTTAGTGTAATTAATTATTTTGATAAATCTAGTAATATGTTAGTACTATTAAAATATAATTAGTAGATTTTTATATTATTACTAGATATTTAATAAAATAAGGCTGAGTTGTTTGGTAAAAATTTTAAATGGTTGAATACCATGTTATTTTAAGAATCAAACAAATATTTAACATTTTAGCTACTATTAGTGAGTTGTTAACTTAAGTTTGTACTAATGTCAATTATTTCATAACCTAAATAGTTAAATTATTTAAATTAGTTTATACAGCAAATTTTAATTAAAAGCTTAATTTTGTCATTTATTATGATAAACAACAAGAATATAAAAATCACCTTAATTTTTTTGAAAAATTAAAAAAATATTTTTTTGTACAAATTTAAAAATGGGTTTTTGTTTTAATAAAATTAAAAAATAATAGAGAAATTAATTAATATTTTTATGTAAAAATAAACAATAATATTTTTTTAATTATTAATTTAATGAAAAAATTTGAAAAAGAATAAATAAATTTATTACCTATTTTTGAAGCTAAAATAATTTAAGATTAGTTTTAAAAGATCTGATGCTCAATTATTTATTAAGTAGTTAATGAAAAATGAGGTTAATCCTAAATTATTATTTTTTAATAAAATTAAATAAGTAATTAATGTCTTATAAATCTAAATTACATATTCAAATAAGTATTGTTAACTTACTTGATCATAAGTTAAGTTAAAACAGATAATAGCTGATTGATAAATATCTTAAAATTAATTGACACTTCTTTAAAGAAATCTTATTTTTCCATTATATTCATAAGCCTTTAAAATCTAATTTACAGCAATTCCTTCAATTTTAATCATAGAAGTAGTATTTTATATATCTATTAAAAATAATTATAACCCATATAATACTACTGTTTTATTAATATTTACCATTTCATATACTGAAAATTTCTGCTCATACTAATTAATTATTTATTAGTATTACTGAGTATTTTCTAATAAAAAATCTCTCTTGATTAAGTTTATTTCTTATTTTATTATTTAAACTGAAACATTAGTTTGATTAGGGACAAAACATCCAAATTGATCTTAAATTCTATTTGGAGGTAGTTGTATAGACAAATTATAATCATTATTATTTGAAATATCTGATAAATTCAAATATTTATATTTAAATTAAACTAGTATCTCATTCTAAAAGGTATAATTAAATTACTACTTTTATTAAAAATTATAAACTTAAAAATTCAAATCTGATTTAGAATAGTAATTCTATTGAGAAAATCCATATCCTTACTGAGGCAGTTAAATCAGTATTTCAATACTCTTTGCTTCTAAATTAATTTTCTACACTACATTAGAAATTAAATAAATACTATCTTTGTCTAATATAGCTTATTAGTAATCGTTGAGTAATTATATTTGAGTAATAGGAACAAGACTTTAAAATGAAAAAATCACTACATTTGAATTTTATAGAGCTATTATCTATATTAAATATTATGATAAATATTTTGAAGTGATAAAATAATATATTTTACAATTTAATCACCATTTAGCATCTAATAATAGAAAATTTAGTTTATATCTTCTTATTCTACATTTCTTTTACTTGCTGCAAAGTTAATTGTGCTAAATTTTTTTAGGTGAAGGCAAAGCCTTTGATTTAAATCTGAATAATCAGGGCAATTTGTAGTGCATTTTCCATCTTCTTAGTTGTAATTGTAAAAATCATTTATTAAACATTCGCTTTTTTAGCAATACATTGAACTGTTTGTTATTTTCCATCCTTAGTTACATTAATAACACAGATTTAAATCAATATTACATTTTTCGCAATTATTTATTTGGCATTCAGAACATTGCTAAAAGTAATTTTGATAAAATTCTTTATTTTTACACTGTTTTACACATTTTTGAGTAGTTTATTCCTATGATCATTTATAAAATTTATTAATTTTTGTAATCATTAAATAAATATACATAAAAATACTATGTTTTGCAATCTAAACAAGTGTTTAAATCATCACAAGAATTACAATACTCTTGGCAGTCTCCACATTACTAAACAGATAAATCATAATATGAATTTTAATTTCTACACTATTGAATTAATTAAGCATAAATTGACTTAATTATTAGAATTTTGATTATGTATTTTATCATTTTCCTTATAAATTTAATTATTAATATCTTTCTTTTTGTTATTTACTACACAAAGCTAAGATAAAATATAAATGTATATAATATTAAAAATAATACAAAAATATATTTTTCATTCATTTATAAAATAAATAGATCATATTATGAATAAAAACAAATTTTTTAAATCATATTTTACAAATGTAAATATGATAATAAAGTTTTATAAAGTGATTAATAACTTTATATAATTCAATTCAATTAATAACTTTAAGTTGGAAAAATAAAGATCCAATAATATAAGTTTTTAAACTACATATTTTTGATATTTAAATCTGAAAATATACCAAAAATATGATTCTGGGTATGCCGACCCAAGCCAAAATTTTCTTCCAAAAAACCCTAAATTTTTTGATTTGAATAATTTAAAAGTAAAAAAATAAATGATCAAATTATTTGAAATAAATTATTAAATTTAAATATTTAATTTATTATTCATTTTTTTGAATTTTTTTATTTAATAATAATAATATGAATTAAAAAATTTTACAATTTTTATAATTAAAAAATTTATAAAATCATTTTTAATCATCACTTTAATCATTTTATGGAGTACTAAATGCTTTGAACAAACTTTTAGAAGCATTTTTATTTCCTTCGTTATATATTTATATATTCTATTTATACAAAAATGAATTAATCAAAATAAGGTAAAATAACATTAAATACGTTTGGTGAGTCTTGACTTGGAATTACATGAAAATTTGACATTTATATTAATTTTAATGATTCTGGTATAAGCTGGTTTTAACGAATCTAAATAAAAAAATGTTTAATTCTTTTTGTATAAATAAAAATATTAATTACATTTTCACCTAAGGTGTTAGAGCTGAAAAGTTTATTCGAAGAGTTCAAATAAGAAACACTTTTTTGATTCTTTTAGGTTATTGGATGATGTATTCTACTGTTTTCAGATTGCTAATGCAGAGTATAATTTTTATTGCTTTAAAAATTTTTGCTGGTAAAAATGTTTTATCTAAATGATATAATCACTTTTTTCCATAACTAGTGGATTCTAATTATTTTTGTTCTTCTAAAATTCAAGAAATTTAAAAGCTTTGGATATTTATTTTTTATTTAGAAAAGGAATTTCTTAAATTTGTTAGAACAAGAATCTGCTTCATCTATTTAAATGTAAATATACCCAACAAATATGAAGATAGCCAGCTTAATTGTTGTAATATTTATGTATATTATGAAAATCAGTCCAATCATCTTGTAAATAGATAACTTTGAATTATCACTAATTATTAGTTAGAGTAATGCAAATGTGTATAAAAGTTTGAAAATAAGTCTTTTTTCTGTTTGAAATTGTTTAATATTTTTATGTGGCTAAGCCTTTTAAAGTATATAATAGTAAAAAATAATTGTCAAAAGTATTAAGGACACTTAAGTTTGTTAATTAATATTTAAGTTAATTATTGACATTAGAATAAATTTATGGAATATTTTGAAAATTTCCCAGTATAAAAATTTATTTTTATATCCGTCGTATAATACTCCATAAGCTAACAGATTCTCAATTCTCTGACCCTTTGGGTTATGATGGTCATCAAGTTTTTGAAACGATTTTAGGTTAAAAAATATCTTCAATGGTATTAAAAAACACCAAATTGTGATTAATGGAATTGTTATTGTAAAGGTATATAGATTGTGGTAATGTGTGTAGCATTACTGACTATAGTCTGATATCAAATAATAATCACTTCCAATTTATGTGCAAAAAACTCCTTGAATAAGCATTTTAGACTTTTTAAATAAAAATTTAATTTGTTTTGTTGTTTAGAATTGTTTTATTTATTTTTTAAAAATTGTTAAAAAAAAATGAAAATAAAATAAATTACTAATGAAGGCTGATAGAATAAGTAAATAAAAATAAAAGTCATTTTTGCAATATTAGGTATTTAAGCAAATGATTTTTTGAGGTCTTTATGCTGCTTAATAGATATTAGAATTAGAGATAAATTTATTAAAAAGTAAATAGCAACCATACTAACTACTTATGTAACAATCCTATTTAACCAGACTGGATATTTATCACTCATTTTAAATAAGCAATCAAATGAAGTTACTGTTAATTGTAAAGGATCTCCAAACAAATTTAAAGAGACATTTAAAAAGTTTGGAACTGTGATGTTAAATGACATAGCACAAGATAAAATTTGTAAATAATTAATGAATATTTTAAACCATAGAGAAAAATCTTTCCCTTGAGAACTAGATTTACTTGTGATGAAGAGATCTATTTTCTTAAATATTATGAGTTTATACATGATTATTTTACTTTTTATCATGCTATGATGACTGTAAGCAATATACAAAAAGTACAAAGCAAAATATATACTAAAGTACAAATACTATTCTATCCATTCGCTACAGACATAGCAGTTTTAGCCTTTCAATCCATACTAGTATTTCCAAACACTTGCTTTGCTATCACAACTATTACAAAGTGGTCCTACAAATCCCTCAATGCAGCCATTTTTGCTACTTGGGTTGTCAGAAGAACAGCTGTTTAAAATACATTAATAAATTTAATCTGATGAGTTATTTTCTCTCCAGTAACCATCTTTGAGTATTATTTAACTTCCTTAACAAAATTTAGCTGAATCTGGACAAGAAATACATTGTATACTATTAATATCTTTTTACATATCAGGAATTTTTAGTGAGTATCTGCCCTAAACACACTGGTTGCACCTTTTAAAAATAAATCAATCGATTTTTTTAAATTTTAGAAATTAAAAAATTACTAAATGAAATTTTCCTTTTCTTAAATAGTTTCTCCCTTAATGCAATCTCTGTATTATAATTCAAGAGCTAAATAAAGCTACTTATCTTATTGTATTTAGTTTGATATAATATAGATTTTTTGATTTTAAGAAACCTTGTATATTGACTGGAAATTTAATTAAAATAAGCCTATAGATTGATTTAATTATGCATTTACTCCTTATTAAATAATAATTTAGCTATTATTTTAAAAATATAACTGTAAAGAAAATTCTTTTCTTAAGCTATTTAAACTTGGTGATTCTATAAAGTTAAAAGGATTCCCTTCTTCGTCTATAAAATTTAAATACAACGGCTAATCTAAATAATTACCACTAGAAATATTTTAAACTTTATATTATTAAACTATTTTAAGCTTATCTGCACTAGGTTTTTTTGAAATTCCGATCCAAAAAGGGATTGAGCCAATATTTTAACCATAAAATGTAGCTATTAATAAAATTAAAAAAATTAATTTATAATTTATAATAAAAATCTACCTTTATTTTTTTCAAAGTAAATTTGATTTTTTTAAAGAATTTATTCTTTAAAAAATTCTTAGTTTGTTATGGAATAATAAACAGATCCTCCAATATCTGCCTAATTTAATGAGAAGTTAGAATTTTAAAAAGCAATTAAAGACGAAGATTCAAAATAGATAGCACCACCTTAAGATTTTAATGCATGGTTGCTTGAAAAATAACTCTAAGTTATGTTAATTCCACATTATTGCAAAAAATAAATTGCTCCACCAGAATCTAAAATGGATTAGTTTTCAATAAATTAAGTCATAAAAATCTCAAAAATTGCTTGCTATTTTGATTAAAAAGAATAAATTGCGCCGGCAGGTCCTTAAGATATGCAATTTTTGAAAAGACTTTGTTAAATTTTTGTTATGTTTGTATTTTAAAGCTTAATAGCTCCACCTTAAAAATGCAACAACTAGTTTTATGAATTTTTCTATTGCATATTATTAGAAAGGTTTATAAATTAGCAGTTTTTAATCTATATAAAATCTCCTTCTATAACATTAAGGGCGCAGGGATAAGCTGTAGAATTTACGTTAGTAAAATTGGAATTTGTAATTATTAGTTCACCTTGTAAGAAATTTATGATGCTTCCTCCAGATAAACTTATATTATCAAATCTAGATTTATCAATTCTAGCTTTTTCTAAAGGATTTAACTGTATCAGAGAATTATTATCTGATATCTCTGAAAAAGTTACAAACTGCAGCAATGATTAAATAGAAGTTATTTAAAGTATTTGATCTCCATTACCAGAAAATACAAAGTTTTTGGCATCTAAATAAATAATTTCAATATTATTTAAGAAATACATTTACGTTTTATCTATTTAGTAATGATCAGCATAGACCAAACAAATGTCTTCGAATTATTAAAAATAGCAGTTTTAAATATTTACATTTTGGCATCCTTAGAAGCTAAATAGAGAAGTAGGATTATTATTTTTATTTTATTACTTAATTAAACTATTCCCTAGCTAAAGGTCTCTTTAACGAGATGTAGTAAAAAATTTGCTTATTTATGTAGCATTTAAATAGATTATTTATACTTAATCTACTTTGATTAAAGAGAAGATGCTCCCTTTATTTAATTTGATATTTTTAAGAACAGAGTTTTAAATTAAAATGTTTTCACATTCTTTGAACTCAAAAAGATTTCCTATCAAATTTAAATTTATTAAATTTAAATTCTCTACTGTAAGATTTGAAACTTAATCAAATAAAAATAAATTTTAGCTTCTCATATCAAAGTTTTATATTGTTAGATTTTTTATATAAACGTTTGTTATATTTTTAATAATAAAATAGTGGTTATTCGTTATATTTGCTGGCTGATTACCAATTATGAATGAATCTAATATCAATGTATCAGTGTTGCTTATTTAAAGTGTTGTATTATTTTGAAATAAAAATTCAACATCATTAAAAACAAAAGTATTTAGACTGTTATTTGGATTGAGCTCAATGGTTGTTTCATTAGAAAAAACCAAAATTTTTATTTATTAAAATGCTAAATGATAAAATTAAGGTAGAATTATATTATTGTTTGAAAGATAAGCTACTCCTTTTCTTTACATCTAACCTTGTTTCTTCTCAAAATTATATTCAATAATTGAGTTTTTTTAGAAAATATTATAGAATATTTGAATTTTAATTAAATTAGAATAATCAGTGTCCATTTAAATAGTATATTTTGCTAGCTGTAAATACTAATAGTAGATTCTACTTTAAAGGTCTTAGTGCTATTTAATAAAAGTTAATTTTTATTATTATAAAATAAATTTGAATAAATTAAAAAAACTATTTTTTTTTATTAAATATTTTTTATATTATTATTAAAATTTTAAAGTCAAGAAACGAAAAAAAAAGCTAATCGTGATTTTAAATTAATAATTTTTTTACCTGATTTAAATTAGTGTAAATTTCCGAAGTCTATTTGTAATTAATATACATCTAATAGGTGTTAATATTATTTTATTAAACTTAGTAAGAAATGTCGAATAAATTTTAGCTAGAAAAGCATTTAAAATTTATTAAACTCAATATCTATTTTTATTTATCTGAGTAAACTAATTCGGTGTAGTAAATCATGGGGTTGTTCAAATTTTAATATGACTCTAACAGAAAAGAATATTAAGCATTTAAATAAATTAAATGCATATCATTGTAAAGGATGATCATGTACATGTTTTCTACCACAAATTAAATATCTTTAATATTAGAATAAATAAACTAATTAACTTTGTAATAGTTTATTAAATTGAGAGTTTTTTTCTAAAAAACACTAACCTAAAAACTGCATATTACAAACAAATAATTCAAATCAGTCTTGAGCTTGAGATTATTTTAACATGAAACAGGTAAATTTCCTATCAGAGTATTAGAATTTATATAAAAGGCTTATATAGCAAGATTGGTAGCTATAACAATACAACTAGATTAGCTATATTAAAACACTGTAAAATCGAGAATATTTTAAGTTGCTTTATAAAATTGTGTTACTTATTTAATATTTTTAACATATGTGATAGGATCTAACTATAGGATAGTGATATATAGATTCTATGTCTAAACTATGATATACATTCCATAAAGTTTAATCTATTTATAATTTCAATTAAAAATATTTATAAACTTTAATTTAATTTATTAAATTTAGATATTATAAATAAATTAACCCATTTCTCTTGAAAAAAAATTTTCATATGTTCTAAAAATTAAATTTCTAAAATTTAGTATTTAGAAAGGGTTATTTTTATTTGGATATCTTGATTGAAAATAATAATTTACTTTGTTTAAATATTTTTAAACTTGTATTAGAGGAGAAATTTGAATTAAATCTACATTCAAAAATGCAACATTTCCTTAGTTATCAAGTAAAGCTAATATTTAATTACTCAATGCATAAAACTAGGTAACTTAAAACTAGATAACATCTTTAGTAGTGACTATCTCAAAATCCAAAGAAATTCTACTAAACTTTTTTATAGTATTGCTACTTTCTAAGCAAAATATACTTAAATCAAAATAAGACATGAGCTTGCAATTAAAAGACTAAGATAAATATTTAATTTAAATGTTATTTATGAAATCATAAACAATTAATTCTTGGTATGAAATAATTGCTAATAATGTACTCGAAGTTAAATTAAACAACTAAACGTCAAATTTGGTTGCAAACTAAGAGCCCTATAATTTAAATTAAAACAAAATTTATTAAGTGCTGCTATTATGAACATTAACAACACCTGAATTATATCTATAAAATAGAATTAATTTCTAGTCATAATAATATAAAAAATTGCTATTGTAACTATTTAGATAATTATTATGTAAGTTAGAAAACAAATTTGTCCAAAGATCAAATATTTAAACTTATAAGTTGCTGATTATAACCAAAGAGCCTGACGAAGAAGCATAAAAAACTGTAGATGAAATACCATAATTTTGATAGTCAAGGCTTCCTAAATACATTAAAGTTGAATACTAAAATAAATTTAGCCTATCTTATGACATAATTATAATAATGTCAAGATCATTTTCTTAAATAATATATCTTGGATTTTATCTTATAGCCTGCTATTAAAATTGTATCCCATAAAGAGGCACATTTTAAATTTGACAGTTTGCATAGTCAACTACACTCAAAGTACTTTAGTTCATTGTTACAAATTTCTATTAAAAAAATATACTTTAATAAATAAATTTTATTTTTCTTAATATATTTTGAATTATTTTTATTTAATTCAACAAAAATAAATAGTTTTAAAAATATTTAAAAATTATATAAAATTAAATTTTTATTTTCATAAAAAAATAAAAAATAGCTAAAATAAAAAGTGTGTTAAGGTATTAAAAATAAAATAAAAAAATAATAATTTATAAATAAAATAAAATTTTACAGAATCCCTTATTATGTGTAATTACTATTAACTACTTGAGAAGGTGAACTAGCAGTTTTAAACTAAATCTAAATCATAAATTATTAAAACGTTTCTACTTTTTTCTGCTTTATTATCACTGAAAAATTATATAATAAACTTGTTTTAATTATTATAAAATGTTAGTTATGGAAGATAAAGTTAAAGAAACTAATCATTATATTTTTGGTATTTTAGTATTTAATATTAATTATTATCTAATATTTATATTAAGCTATAAGATACTTTTAAAAAGATTATAATTATGTCATCTTATTAAAGTAATTTGTAATTATCGAGTTAGTTGTAATAGATAATGTCTTGAAATTAAAGCTGACAAATTTATTATGTGTAATAATTAAATAAGTATGAAATCTATGAAGATTGTGTCTTTTAAGTAATAACTATACTATTCTTTGATTTAATTACAGCTTCATTAATAAGTATGTGCTAGTCATCTATTAAAAATAAGTTTAATTTTTATTTTTTATAATCACTTCTATGAAATAGAATTTATTTATTTTAGTCAGAGGAGATGAATACATCTATTTATGAAATGTAAATTACTTAAGTTTAATCAACAAATGTATATTTTATGTTAAATTAAAGATCCACAACAACATACTTATTATCATTAATTATTCCTAGCAATTATCTTTTGCTAATTAATGAGACAAATAGAAAACTATTCAGGTTAATAGGAATATCTATTTATTAAAATTGATAAAAATATATTAATTTATATATTATTTATTTTAATAAATTATTACCATTTATTATTTATTCGTTGGTTCTAAAATCAAAGAATTGAATTTATTTTTAATAGACTAAAATAACTCTTGATTTCAATTAAACTACTTTTGAATTTATTATAAAATCTAATAAAGAAAATTATAAGTATTTTTAACCTAAAAAATATGTATCAATAACATTTGCAGCTTGGTATAATGCCAATTAATTTTATTTTATTTGGATGTAGTTATTTTCTGTAGAAGCTTACAATAAAAGTTATTCTATTTATTAGTTGTAAACATCAAGTAAAAAAATTTGCTATTTTATAAAAATAAATATAAATTAAATTAAAATATTTGATAATGAAAAAAAAAAATTCTTAGTTGTACCATTAGATTAAATTTTTCCTAAAAATTAATAAATGAAAAATAATTTTGATGGGGGGGGGGGGGGTGGCATGAGAACAAAAGTTTAAAAAAATTTTTTTTTAAATTAAGTAATTTACTTTCTAAATATTTTAGATTATTGAGTAGGTTTTATTTTAAAACTAAAGAAGATTATTATTCATAAAAACAGCAGAAAGAGGGAATTGTAAATTAACACTAGAAAGATCAGTAAAGTTATATAGCATATATTACGAATTTTACGAAGCGATAAAACTATTATCATTTGAGGCTATCATAAAAGTTTGTTGTAACTCTTAAAACTTCAAAGTTTTTAAATCAAAAACTTATAAATTTGTTACACCAAGAGAAAAAAATTGTGTTAATACCACTTTTAAGTATTTTTTGCTTAATGATTTAATTATGCTTTTAATGCTAGTGTCTAAAAGATTACTTGCAATTATGGCTTGATTAACTCTTTTGAGTTAACTATATAATACAAATTTATTTGAACCATTACAATACAGAGTGATAATAGCTAGATCTTTATTAATAACTAGAAAATTATTTATATTAACAAAATAATCTTTATAGGTGAGAGAAGAGCTTTGTTAGTTATAGATTAAAATAATTGTAAAATAATCAATAGTATTAAAGTATATATAACTTTCAAACACCTAAACTATTTTATCTTTATCAAAATTTATTATTTTAGCACCTGCTTATATCTAAAACATATCTATTTTCTATTCAGAAATGCAAAATAGTAAAGATTAATATTAGTAATGGACAGCTAAATACATGACTGCAGAGTTTACTTCTTTTAGTAAATTAATATAGAGATTGGTACTTTAAATCTCAAATTGATACATCTAAGTATTATCAGTATCAACAAGGAGAAAGTTAAATATAGTTTATACTTGGTAAACAATCGCTATATATTAACCGCAAATCTCAGAATTTGTTATCTATAATTATAAATTTTTTTCAAATACTTATTATTATCCTTGCAATTACTAAATTCTAAATCCAGTTTAAAATATTATGGCTATTGTGTTTCTCTCCTATGAATAAAGTATATTTTAGATACCTCCCATATAGTAAGCATCATTTTGATCCATAAAGCTACTATATTTTATGTTTTGAAATGTTTATTACTATTAAAATGCAACTACCCACAATTAATTTTTATAAGCAACTATAATTTTTTTGTCATCTAACTTTCTGATTTATTTTCTATTGATTTAAATATTTGCTTAGTCTTAAGGATCTAGTTAAAGAGATAAATTATCATTATCATACCAAAAATCAGTAATATTAAAATTGACTTTCTGTATATTTAAAGTATTGTCAAATACATAATACACTAGTGTTTGGTTTTAAGAAATAAATATCAAGTGATTGACTAACTGATTATTTGAATTATTCAGAGGAAAAAATATATTTTCATTATTTTATGTAACTTTTTCACTTATTTATCCACTTATATTTACTGTTTCGTAGCCTAATTCAAATAAATTTATTTTAAGTAATGTTAAATAGAAATTAAATTTAAAAAAGAAATAAAAAGATATTTTGTTATTGTTTTAATAAATTCAAGATATTTTAAAAGATATTAAAATGTCATTATTAATTATTTGCTTAAAATTCAAAATAATTATAAGAATTTATCTCTGATTAAAAGCAAATAAAAAATATCAATATAATTAAATTAATGTAATTAAAATTATTAAAATATAAAAAAAACAAGGCTAAAATTTGATATTCATACCTTCCTGTGATGAAAGGATGATAGTATTAAAATTATTTATAATTACATGATCTATAATTTAAGAAGTCATTTTAACAAAATGAGGTTATTCCTTTTTTGAATAAATAAAAACTAAATATTTTTAAAATAACCAATTTATTTATTTACATATTAAAAAGTGTAGATATTAGAAGTTTAATTAAGCGTAAGGTTTGCACAGATAATTGCTGATTAATAAATATCATCATCATAGTAATCTGCTTTTATTAAAATTAATCTGGCTTTTTGGTCATATTCAAAGCAATCTAAAATTTACATTTATAAATCTACTTATTTTACTTTGTATATAAATGTTGTATTATTCCAATCAATAAACCAAATTTAATTTTTATTATCTACAAAAACAGTTTTGTTAGTGTTTTTTAAATCAAAATATTTCTTTATTTTTGGATTCATATCTTAAGATTAAACTTACCCTATAAGACTATCACTTAGAATATTCTTCTAAATTAGATTTAATTATTATTTTGTAATTTACAATTCAAATTTGTTAAGTTAAAATATATAGCATCCTAATTTGTCTTTAATTGGAGGAGGAGGAGGTAGTTATGGAGGTAAAGGTGATTAAGAATTATTAGATTATTTTGGAACTTATGGTGGAAATGGAATAGAAGGAGGTGGTGGAGGTGGAGGAGGTAGAGGAATTTAATTAAATTAGTAAGGAACAAAATCAAGATAAATTTTTGATGTAATATTAAATATCATAACGCTTGAAGTTTCCAAATTGATAATATTCATGTTTTGATTGTAATAGCAATATACAAAAGAATCAGAGAAGACAAACAATTCGCAGGTGGGTGTTTAGTAAACAATAGAAATTTCAGATAACTCTAAATCTATTTTTTACACACTAAATGAAGCAAACAAATAAATATTCTACTTATTGAGGAGTGAGTATTAAAAGCTAACCAACAGATTAACTTAATTGATGGAAATTAGTTCTGGATAAGAATAGAAGATGGCACTTGTGTTACTTATTGCTATAACCTATTAAATAATAAATATTTTTATTTATTTGGGATTAAAAAATAAAATTATTATTACTATTTAACTCTCATCAATCTTTTAATAATAATAAATTTCATTAATTTCATCTTATTTTATTTAATTTCTACTTCCAAAAGTTTTCATCTGGCTAAATTTTCTTAAATTAGCACAAGACCTATCTTAATCATTAGCATATTCGGGGCAATTTGTAGTGCATTAATTAGAGGCTTGATCATAATACAAATAATCATTATATAAACATTCTTATTTCTAACAGCTTAGTTTATCTTCAGCCAATTTCCATCCTTCAAGGCACTATTTACATTATGTCCCTTCAAACTCACAAATATTACAGTTCTCTATTTAACATTCTATGCAAACCTAGAAAAATTCTTATTATGAACCACCATATTAGCATTAAGACAAACAAGAGCCTGTTTAATCATCCTTTTTATTGGAATAAATTAGTTTTAGTATAAAAATAAAACGATAGTTTACATAAAAGAATGAATCCTTGCATATTTCGCATGTTTATTAATCATTACATATATTACACTATGCTTAGCAACTACCGCAGCTCTATAATTCTACATCAAAATACTAATTTTGCAATTCACATTGTTACAAAATTTAGCTAAGAGTATATTTGAAAAGTATTATAAACAAAGCTTTTTAAATTTTCATATTTATGCTAAATAAAATATTAAAGTATTAACCTTAAACTTATTTCAATTAATTACTTCTTAAGTTAATTTTATTATTTACATCTAACTTATTTAATTAGCTTCACAGCAGATATATGATCGATATAAACTCTTTTTAAGTATATTAAATCCTTAGTTATTTTATATTTATATCTATTTTTAAATAAAATTATTTATAAAAAATGCACCGACCGGGAATCGAACCCGGGTCAAAGCGATGGCAACGCTCTATTCTACCACTAAACCATCGGTGCTTTCGGTATTATGATTTGAAATTATTCAGGATTATTTTGTTTGTTTGTTAGACTATTGTTTTTGTGAAATAAACTTAATATTTTCAAAAATCTAATAAAACAAGATGATTATTTAAGAATAGCATTTTAAAATAAATATATTATTGATATCTTATTTTTTTAAATTTAGCTTCAATAATTTTAATTTACTAAATTAAATAAATTCATAAATTTATTTTTGTTTGTTCTAATTTTATGAAATAATTTTTTAAATATTTATTTGAATGAATAATTTTTTTTTTAATTAAAAATAATTTGTATAAAAATTTTACTCAAAAACATATATAATTAAAAAGATGACAAATTTAAATAAATATGTTTGTTTTTAAATCATTAAATCATTAATCTTCTTATATCTCTGATTATATTTGGCTTTTGGGTGTAAATTTATTTGCTTCAAAATAATGTTTCTTACTCTATTTAAGAAAAAAAATTAATAAAATAAATTTAAAGGAAATAATTTACATTTGGTGAATCTTGACTTGGCAGCCCTGAAATGTTATACATTTGTATCAATTTTAAAGATTATGGAATTAGCTACTTTTAATTAATCTATTAAAATTATTAATTACATAATTAGTTTTAAGTTTACTAAATAATTAATTACATTTTCTCTAAAATCATTAGAATTATAAAGCATATTTGATGAACTCAAAGCATTTCTGATTATATTTTAGCTGGCTGGTTACTAATTTTAAGCTGCTTCAGTATGCTATACTAAAGTTTAAGCCTTAATTGATTAAAAGTTTTTGCTTGTAAGCAAATTTTATCTGAAGGAAAGAATCACTTTTTTCCATAACTAATGGATTCGAATAATCTTAATTTTTCTGAAATATAAAAACTTAAAAATATTTGGGTATTTATTTTTAATTTTTAAGAGGCATTTCTTGAAATCGTTTTAAAAAGAGTCTGTTTCATCAATTTAAATTTATATTTATCCAACTAATATAAAAAACGCTAATTTGATTGATGATAAATTTATATATGCTATGATAATTAACCCTATTAACTTGTAAATTTAATATTAAGAGTTATCACTGATAACTACTAAAAGCAAAGCATATGTGTATAATAGCTTGTATATGAGCTTTTTTTCTGTTTCAAACTGTTTTACATTTTTATGAGGCTAATTCTTTGTTAGAATATAAAAATAAAAGATTGTTGTCAAAAGTATAATCGAAACTTAAATATATTAGTTAATGTTTAAGTTTGTTATTGACATGAGGATAAATTTATGGAAAATTTTGAAAATTTCCCAATATAAAAATTTAGTTTTATATCCATCGTACAAAATTCCGTATATTAACAAGTTATCAATTTTTTCACCCTTTATGTTTTGATGCTGGTCTATTTGCTAGAATGATTTTAATTTGAAAAAAATATATATTGGTATTAAAAAACACCAAAAGATAATTAATGGAATAGTTATAGCAAAGGTGTAAAGGTTGTGATGGTATGTATAACACTACTGGTTGTAGTCTGATATCAAGTAATATTTAGATCCTACTTTTATGCAAAAAATTCCCTAAATCAGCATTTTTGACTTTTAATAAAAAAAATAGATTTTTAAAATTTATTTTTGTAATTTTAAATAAATTTAAGTAAGATATATTTATTTATTCAATTAATTACTAAAGAAGGCTGGTAGAATATATAAACAAAAATAAATGTCATTGTTAAGATGTTAGGTATTTTTGCAATTGCTTTTTTTTTGTCCTTACTTTGTTACACTGTTATAAGAATCAGAGATAAATTTATTAAAAAGTATATAGCAACCATACTAATTATTTGAGTAACTATTCTATTTAACCAAACAGGATATTATTCGCTCATTTTAACTAAGCAATCAAATGAAGTAGCTGTTAATTATATTGGATCTCCAAATAAATTCAAGGAGACATTAAAAAAGTGAGGAATTGTAATATTAAAGGACATTATACATGACAGAATTTACAAATAGTTAATAAATATTTTAAACCAAAGCGAAAAATCTTATCCTTGAGAACTAGACTTACTTGTTATGAATAGGTCAATTTTCTTAAATATTATAAGTTTATACATAATTATTTTATTTTATATCATGCTATGATGACTGTAAGCAATATACACGAAGTATACAGCAAAATATACACTAAAATATAAATATTACTGTACCCACTGACTACAGATATAGCAATTTTAACCATTCAATCCATATTAATAATTCCAAACACTGATTTTGCTATCACAACTGTTACAAAGTGGTCCAACATATCCCTCTAGACAACCATTCTTGCTTTTTATATTTTCAAAAGAACAACTATTTAGATTACATGAATAAATTTAATCTGTTGAATCATTTTCTCTCCAATAGCCGTCCTTTAGTAAAATTTAGCTTCCTTAACAGAAACTAGCTTCTGATGGGCAAGAAAAGCACTGTAAGCTATTAATATCTTTTTACATATCAGGAATTTTTAAAGAATATCTACCCTAGACGCATTGGTTACACCTTTATTAAAAAGAAGAAAATATTAGAGTTTGATGGGAAAAAATAATATATTATTTAATTACTATATAAATTAATCTTTTTCTGAAATAGTTTCTCCTTTTATACAATCTCTATATTATAATTCAAGAGCTACTTAAAGCTGCTTATTTTATTATATTTCGTTAGATAAAATATATATTTTCTATTTTTATGAAATTTTGTAAATAGATTAAAAATTTAATTAAAATAAGCCAATTGTTTCATTTAATTATGCATTTATTCCTTACTGAATAATAATTTAACTATTATTTTAGGAATATAGCTATAAAGAAAAGTCATTCCTTACACCATTTAAGCTTGAAGGACCAAAAAAATTAAAAGGATTTCCTTCTTCATCTATAAAATTTAAATACAGTGGCTAATCCAAGTAATTTCCACTAGAAATGTTTCTAATTTAATATTAATTAACTATTTTAAGTTATTGTAAACTAGGTTTTTCAGAGATTCCTATCCAAAATGGGATTGAACCAATATTTTGACCATAAAATGTAGCTATTTTTTTGTTTAAAAAAAGTGATTTAAATAAATTTAAAAACTAATTTTTTTAAAAGATGTTTTTGTTTAAATTGAAATCTTATTTATTTAATTAAATTACCTTAATTTTTTTCAAAATAAATTTTATTTTTTGATAGTATTTATTTTTTCAAAAAATCTGAGCTGGTAGCAGAATAATAAATTGATCCTCCAATATCTGCTTGGTTTAGTGAGAAATTAGTTTCTTAAAAGTCAATTAGAGAAGAAAATTGAAAATATATAGCACCTCCGTTCTATTTTAATGCCAAATTACTTGTAAAATTACTCTAAGTTATATTAATTCCACTTTACTGCAAAAAATAAAGAGCACCACCAGAATCTAAAATAGATTAATTTTCAATAAACTATGTCATATAAATCTCAAATATTGCTTTTTATTTTGATTAATATGAATAAATAGCTCCCCCTGATCCCATAGCTAAACAATTTTTGAATATAGAAAATTTAATTTGAGCAGTTTATGTGTTCTAAAACTTTATAGCACCACCTTAAAACTGCAATAGCTAGTTTTCTAAATCTTATTATTTTATTGAATTTGCTAAATTAATAAATTTGCTATTTGTTATCTAGATAGTTTCTCCTTACAAGATATTTAATGCGCATGGATAACCTGCAGAATTTATATTAGTAAAGTTAGTATAATCTATTAAAAGTTATCCTTATTACAAATCAATAACACTTCCTTCATTTAAATTAATATTCTCAAAATTTGATACTTCAATTTATACTTTTTCTAAAGGATTCAAATATATCAAAGAATTGATATGCTGAATTGTTTTAAAGTAGATATTTTACAGTGAAGCTTAAATGGTCGTTATTTGTATTATTTGGTCAATACTATTGTCAGAAGATTAAAAGCTTAAAACATTAAATAATATGATTTCAATATTATTTAAAAAATACATCTGTATCTTATCATTATAATAATGGTTTGCATAAATCAAATGCACATCTTACAAATTTTCAAGGTTGCTATTCTAAAAGATGATATTTTAACATCCTAAGAAAATAAACAATGCAGTTGTGTTAGACCCAAAGTTATTTAATTATGAAGTCTAATTTAGTTATAATTATAGATTTCTATTATGAGGTGGATTTAAATATTTAATAATTTATTTAGCTACCAATCCATTTAATAATAGGTTATTTGATTTTGTAAAAGAAAATATACTGCCTAAATTAAATTTTATATTATTTAGATAAAAATTTTAAACTTAGATATCTTAGCAATTATTAAATTCAAACATGTTTCCTGTCAACTTTAAGTTTATTAGATGTAAATTTTCAATTACAAGACTTGTAACTAATTTAAATGAGAATAAAGTTTAATAAAAAGTATCTAAGTTTTCTATTGTCAGGTTCTTTATGTAGACTTTAGTAACATTTTAAATAATAAAGTAATATTTATTAGTTATGTTTTAAGGCTAAGAGCCAATTTTAACTTCATCCAGTATAAAAAGATCAGTATTACTAATTTAAAGTGTCGTATTGGTCTGAAATAAAAATTCAACATTGCTAAATAATAAAGTTTTTAAGTTATTCTTTGGATTTAACTCCAAAATACCATCATTTGTTCTTATCAAAAGTGTTATAGTCTAGAAATATAAATATTAAAACTAAGGAAGCACAATGCTATTATCTGAAAGATAAATCATTCCTTATTTCTGAACTTTGCTTGATTGATTGTTCTTAAATTAGTATTCAACAATTGAGTTTTAATTAAAGATATCATAGAATATTTCTATTTATATCAATTTAGTGAATTCTGTATTCATTTAAATTACATATTTTGATAGCTATAATTACTAAAAGTAAACTCTACTTTATAGGTCTTAGTGCTATTTATTTAATTTAAAATAAAAATTTTTATATTTTTTTAATTAAATGGAATAAAAATTTAAACTTTTCTATAAATTTTCTATAGCAAAAACAAAGGGTAGGTTATGTATGTAAATATGTTGGCTTGATCATTTTAAAATAATGAAAATTGAAAATAATTTTTAACCAACTTAAGATGCCAGAAATTTAAACCTCGAAATAAAATAAAAATAATTAAAAAATATCAGTTAATTATTTACTTGATTTTGATTGATGTATATCTTTGAATTTTATTCATAAGTAATTAACATCTAATTAGTTTTAATATTATTTTATTATACTTAATATGTGATGTCAAATAAACTTTAGCTTGAAAAACATTTAAAATTTATTTGATTTAATATCTGTTTCTCATTATTTGAATAAATGAATTCTGTGAAGTAAATGATTGGGTTGTTAAGGTTTTAGTAAGACTCAAGTAAGGTGGATGATTCTTTACTTAATTTTATTAAATGTATATCATTTTAAAGGATGACTATGAACATATTTTCTTTCAAAAATTAAATATCTTTAATATTAGAATAAATAAACTAGTTAGCTTTGTAATAGTTTATTAAATTAAGAGTTTTTTTCTCAATAACACTCACTTAATAACAGCATATAACAAATAAATAATTCTCATCACTCTTAAGTCTCAGATTATTCTAGCATGAAACAGGTAAATTTCCTATCAACATATTAGGATTGATATAAAATGCTTAAATTATCAGATCAGTAGCAATAACAATGCTAAAATACTACTTATAGTCCAATATAGTAAAGTCAAGAATTTTTTGAGAGATATAACTATATGTATATGATTCTATAATTTTCTTATTACTTATAATATCATCTAACTAAAAAATTGTAATTTAATCATTTTAAGTCCAGATGATAAGATAGTTTTGCTTGATTTGTATCTATTTTTTAATATTTAAAATAATTAATATATAAAAAGATATTTTAAATCATAATTTACTTTATTTATCTCGCCTTGCAATTAAATAATAGAAGAAATTTGTTTTAATTCTGCATTTATAATAATAAGATTTCCTTCATAATTAGATAATGATAAAATATTATCATTAAGAGCAGATAGTTTAGTGGCTTCAAACTAAATTTAATTGACACTCATAATAGCCTCAAAATCCAAAGTATCTTTATTAAATTTTTTCAAAGAATTACTGTTTTCTAAGCAAAATATATTTAAATTAAAACTTGACATAAACTTACAGTTAAATGATGAATTCAAATATTTAATCTGTTTATTATTAATAAAGTCATAAACTATTAATTCTTAATTTGAAATAATTGCTAATATTGTAGTAGAAGTTAAATTAAATAATTGAACATCAAATTTAGTAGCAAATTAAGAACCTAAAAATTTATATTAATTTTATATTTCGTAATTAATGCTATTATACACGTTAAGCATCCCAGAATTATAGTTAAAGAATAAAACTAATTTCTAATTGTCATAGTATAAAAAATTATTATTGTAATTATTTAGGTAATTGTTGTGCAAACTAGCAAAGAGTGATGTCCATAGATCAAATATTTAAAAAGTTTTATTATATAAAATTGCTAAGGAATTTGATTAAGGTATATACATAGCAATTACTGAGAGCCCATAATTATCATAATCAACACTACCTAAATACATCAAAGTAGAATATTGAAATAAATTTAGTCTATCCTAAGATAATATCATAATTAAATCTAGATCATTTTCTATAATAATAAATCTTGGTATTTATCTTATTGCCAATTATTTAAACTATAATCCATAAACAGGTGAGTTTTATATTTAGCAATTTGCATAATCAACAACACTTAAGGTATTCTAATTCACCGATACAAATTTCTATTATTATAATAAGTTAAAAATTAAAATTGATATTTTTTTCTTTTAATATTTTTTTAATTTTTGAATATTTTTTCTTGGAATATTTTTCTAAAAAACTATTCAAAAATGGATTTTAAAAATTGGGAAAAAATTTATTTAAATTATTGAATTAAATTTTACTGAGTCTTTTAATACATGCAGATATTGTTAGATACTTAAGAAGGTGTACTAACATTTTTATATCAAATCTAGGTCATAAATAGTTAAAATAGTTTTTCCTTATGAATTAACACCTTCACTTTAAATATAAAGCTAAATAATTAATTTATTTTAGTTATTATAAAAAATTTAACCAAGATTATTAATATTGTCAAATTAAAGAAAGTTTTATGACAAGCTTTAATATTTTAATATTTCATACTATCCATTTTCTAATATTTAAATTATAGTGTAAGATACTTTTAAGAATATTATAATTATATCATCTTATGAGTACAGATAATACTTATTAAATGAATTGTAATAAGCCATATCTTGAAATTAAAGTTAACTAATTTAATTAGTGAAATAATTGTACAAATATGATATTTATGTATATTGTTCCTTTGCTGTAATAATTATACTATTTTTAGACTCAATTACAGCTTCGTAACTAAGCTATTACTGAATATTAGTAAAAAATAAATTTAATTTTTATGATTTGTAATCAATTCTTCTATGCAAGATAATTTAATTATTTTAATCGGATGAGATAAATACATCTATTTCAGGAATATACAATACTTAAGTCTAGTTCAAGAATGTATGCTTGATATTAAGCTAGAGATCTAAAACAACATATTGACCAACTATCTTTGCTAATAATTATCTATCTCTTACTATTGATACAAATGCTAAACCATCCGGATTATTTGAAAAATCTATTTTTTATAATTAATATAATTACAAAATACTTCTTTAAGTTAATGTTTACCACTTAAAATTTGTTCGTTTGTGTTAAAATCAAAAAATACCATTTAATTTTAGCAGATTAATACAGTGCTTGATTGGAATTGCATAGCTGACTAATAAAAATCAGAACATTGTATATTAATTTGTTAATAATTTTAACCTATAATATATTTATTAATTATGTTTGCGGATTGAAAGAGCATAACTTATTCTTGCTTAATTAAGGAATAGTTGTTTTCAGTTGAAGCTTACAAGACAAGCTATGTAATTTACTGACCAGTAAGATTGTACATAAATACTTACTAATAATTATAATCAAAAAATAAGTAAATTCAGTTATTGTAAATATAATAGTTCAAATTTATTTTTTCAATTAATTAGTAAATTTTTTAAAAAGATTTTATCAATTGAGTTAATAAATTTTAAAGAAAATATTAAAACCTTTGTAGCAATCTTTTTATTTTTTTAATAAAGTTTGATTGATAAAACTAAAAATATTTAAATGATGCTTGGAAATAAATATTCTTTAAAGTTAATTTGGAATCATGGGATTAAATTTTTAAATTCCTGTTTAATAGATAAATGTTAAATAAAAAAATTACTTTTTGAATATTTTAGATCATCATAAAAGTCTTGTTCTAAATTTAAAGAAGATTGAAATTTAAAATAACTATAGAAAAAGGTATTTATAGGTTAAAGGTTGAGAGATCAATAAAATTGTAAACTATGTACTGCTGTAAATATGAAGCTATAAAATTTTATTCATTTGAGGCTATAACTGTAGTTTATTCAATTTGATAAAATTTAAAAGTTTATAAATCTATAATCTTTAAATTAATAAAACCAATTGCAAATTAAACTTTAAATACCAATTTTAAGTACTATTTGCTTATTGCTAAGAAAGTTGAGCTAATACTCTCATCTTATAAAATATCCACAATAAGTACTTAATTTGCTTTTTGTTTTCTACTATATAATACAAAACTTTTATCATAATTGCAAAATTACAAAGTCACTACAAGATCATTATTTATTATCAAATAAGAACCGTTGTTAGATAACTAATCTACTAAGGTCAAAGAAGAACTTTGCAAATCATAAACAAAAACAATTAAACGATATTCAATAGTTTAAAAATAAATATTATCATCTATAGCTTAAACTAATTTTTCATTTTCTACATTTTGCATAGATATGGTTGCTTATATCATAAAAATATCTATCTTTTAGGATGAAATGCAAAACAAAAGCGACTTACTTTAGTAATAAACTACTACATACATAACAGAAGAGTTTATTCCTTTCAATAAATTAATATATAGGCTGGTACTTTAATTTTCATATTAATACATCTAGTTGTTATTAGTATTAACAATTATAAAATTATATATTGCTTAGTTTTGATAAATAATTGTAATATATTAAGCACAAATTTCAGCATTCAAAATCTAAAATTTTATATTTTTCTCAAAAACTTGCTTTGATCCTTGTAATTATTGAATTCTAAATCCTGTTTTAAAAATGATAGCTACAATATTTTTTTCTGAACTATAAAGTACTTTTTAGACACCACCCATGTAATAAGCATCATTATTATCTGCAAAGCTACTATAAATTATATTTTAATATTTTAGCTGCTACTAAAATATTAATTGCCACAATTAATTTTTATATACAATAATCAATTTTTCATCATTCATTTACTTGATTTAGTTTCTTTTGATTAATATATTTGTTTAATCTAGAGGATCTAGTTAAAGTTATAAATTAGTAGCATCTTACCAAATATGAGTCAAATTAAAATTGATCTTATGAATGTTTAAGTCATTGTTAAACACATTATACACAAGTGCCTAATTTTAGCTTATAAATTTTATATGATTGGAATTTTGATTGTTTAAATCTAAGGAAGAAAAATAAATATTCTGATCACTTTATGTTACTTACTAACTTATTTATCCGCTTATATTCACAATTTCATATCCTTTTTAATATTTTATTATTTATTTTATTTAATTAAATGATAATTTTAATTTTTCGAAAAATAAAAAAAATTATTTAAATTCTTAAATTTTAGAATTTGCATACCTTGAACTGAATTAAGTATTATTGAATTTTAGTCATTTAGTATTAAGTGATCAATAATTGGAGCAGTCATTTTGACAAAATGAGGCTATTCCTGATAGAAAAATAAATAAATGAATTTAATTTTTATATAACATCATTTAATAATTTAATTTACATATTAAAAGATGTAGCTATTTTAAGTTTAATTGAAAGTAAGATTAGCACAAATAATTGCAGACTAATAAATACCATTGAAATTATCTGCTTTTATTAAAATTAATCTTGCTTTTTGATCATATTCTATGCAATTTAAAATTTATAAACTTTAATCAGATTAAAAAGCTTTGTAAATGTAAGTTATATTATTCCAATCTATAAACCAAATGTCGCCGTAAGGGTCTATAATTACTGTTTTATTAATATTTTTTAAATCAAAAACCTAATTGGTTGGATTTATATTTTAATTTTAGTTTTAGCTTTAAAAAGTTTCACCCAAAACATCTTTCTAAACCAAGCCTAAAGTCTACTTAGTAACTTATACAGATTAAATTCCTTATGTTATGATACATCCTAATGAATCAAATTGTGGTAGAGGTGGTGGTTAAGGAGGATCAGAAGGATCAGGTGGTTATGAAGGATCAAAAGTAGGGATATTTGGTATTGGAAAATCAGGAGTTGGTGGAGGCTATACTTAAAACTAGTACGGAAGAAAGCTAATTATTATTACTTACTTGATTTTGTAGACTATAATATTTTAATTGGATAGGTCAAATACATTTAGATTAGTATCTAAATAGCATAATGCAAAAGAATTAGAACAGGCAAATAGTTGACAATTTTGTGCTTAGTAAACAAAAGAAACTTTAACTTACTCTATATCTAATTTTTATACATTGTCTGTAGATAATAAATAGATATTGTTGTTATTTTAGAAACTGTATGAATAGCTGCTACTTAATAGATTAATTTAATTGAGAGAAATTAGTCCTGGATATGAATAAAAGATAGCACTTGTGGCGCTTAAAGCTATTACCTTTTTAATAATAATAATATTTACATTTAGATAAAAAAAATTTAATTAATTACAATTTAAGTTTAGTCGTCTATCTTTTTGTAGTAATAAATTTCATTAATATCATCTTATTTAATTTTATTTCTACTTCCAAATGTTTTCATCTGGCTAAATTTTCTTAAATCAGTACAAGATCTATCATTATTATTTGTCTATTCTGGACATATTATAGTACATTGATTAGATTCCCTATTATAATATAAAAATTCGCTGTTTAGACATTCTTATTTCTAACAGCTCAGTTTATTTTCAGATAAATTCCATCCATCTAGACATTATTTACATTATGTACCTTCATACTCGCAAATATGACAGTTTTCTATTTAACACTCTATGCAAACCTAGAAAAAGTCTTACTATTAACCTCCTTATTAGCATTAAGATAAGCAGTTACCATTGTTGTTATCCTTTTTATTAAATATTTTAAAGGTTTGATGCTTAAATAAGATAAAAAAATACATAAAAGTATGAAGGCTAGCATATTTTGCATGTTTCTTAACCATAGCACTAATTACAATTCGTTTAACAATTACTGCAGCTCTATAGCGTTATATCGAAGTATTAATTTTAAACCTGGCATTTCTGTAAAATTTAGCTGAGAACTCTACTTAAAAATAAAATTAGTATAATTTGTTTTGTTACCATTTTGTCTTTATCTTAAATACAAATTTATTTACTTTTAATTTATTTTTATAATTTGATTTTAAGCTAACTTTGTTATTTATATCTTAATTAAATAAACAATTAAGTTAGTAAATCTCACGTTTTATGTGCATATGCTTTATAAAAAATGTAAGCATTAAAATGTTGTATTTTAATTTTTAAGTCAATATAGAAAAAATGCACCGACCGGGAATCGAACCCGGGTCAAAGCGATGGCAACGCTCTATTCTACCACTAAACCATCGGTGCTTTCGGTATTATGCTTAATTAATTTTTCTTAGTTATTTTGTTTAAATACATTAAAAAAACTCTAGTTAATTCATGTTTATTTATTTATTTTTAAAAGTTTTAATTATTTTTAAGGTATTTTTATTAAAGATAATTATTATTTTTATATTCATAAATTTAAATAATATTTGATATTAATTTGTTATTTTTGTCCAAAATTTATTTTATTATGATTGTCATCCCATTACTTTAAAATTAGTAATTTAAAAATTTATTTTATCATTATTTATGTTAATTTTGCAAATAATATTTTAGAAAAAATTTTAATAAGTTTACCTTTAAGAGTATAAACGCTATTTTATCAATTAAATATTCTTACTAAGTATACTTCAATTTAAATAAAATTATACATATTTCTTCAAACAACTCAACAAGAAATAAATAATTAATTAATAGTAAATATTATCTAAATCATGTTCATTATCACTTTTATGACTAATTTAAAATTAAATTTTTAGAATTGGTTTTATTTCCATCATTATCATACTGAATTTTTAGTTTAAATACAAAAATAATTATTTATTGGGGCAAAGTTTAATGTAATGACATATACCACCTAACTAAAATATATGTTATAAATACATTAAATAAAAGAATTGACACTGCCTCCCCTAACAATATCTATTGACAATATTTCCTATGTTTGGGACAATTTAGTGCATTAATCAGAGGCTTGATAATAATACAAGTGTATTATATAAGTATTCTTATTTTTAACAGCTTAGCTTATCTTCTGCCAGTTTCTATCCTTCATAGGATTAAAAGCATTGTGTTCCTTCATACTCATAAATATAACATTTCTTTATTTAACACTTTATGTAAATCTAGAAAAATTCTTATTATGAATCACCATATTAGCACTAAGACAAATAAGAGCCTGTTTAATCATCCTATTTATTGGAATTTAGTAAAAAAATAAAATGATTTACATAAAAGAATGAATCATTATAGAAACTTATTTCAATCCTTTTTTTATTATTTTGAATTTCCATTAAATTTATAAAATAATATTTATTTTTCTAATAATTATAAATTTCTTACTTGAGAAATAATTATTCAAGAATAGCAAAATATTTATTTTCAAATAAAATTATTTAAAAAATGCACCGACCGGGAATCGAACCCGGGTCAAAGCGATGGCAACGCTCTATTCTACCACTAAACCATCGGTGCTTTCAGTAATATGATTTAAAATTATCCAGAATTATTTTGTCTGTTAGACAACTGTAAATGTAAAATAGACTTAATAAATACTAAAATCTAATAAAACAAGATAATTATTTTATAATACCATTTTCAAAATAAATAATCAAATAAATAATTATATATTTTAATATTTAATTAATTCAAATATGTAGTTGATGTTTTTATTTTTTCAAATTTAATTTACTAAAGCAAATAAATTCATTGTTTAATTGCTTGTTCTTTAATAATATATTTTTTTTAATTAAAATCTTACTCAAAAACACATAAAATATATAAAATATAAAAGTTTACAAATTAAAATAAGCATTATTTTAAATCATTAATCTTCTTATATCAGATCTTTAAATTAACTTTTGCGTGTTAATTTATTTGCTTCAGAAGAATTTTTATGGCTCTATTTAAGAAAAAAATTATTTAAATATATTTAAAAGAAATAATTTACATTTAGTGAATCTAGACTTGGTGACCTTGAAATATTTTACATCTGTAACACTTTTAAAGATTATGGGATTGGTTAGTTCTAATGAATCTATAAAAATTATTAATTACATAATTAGTTTTGAGTTTATTAAATAATTATTTACATTTTCTTTAAATTCATATGAATTCTATAAGATATTTGAAGAGCTCATAACAGTATTTCTGATTATATTTTAGTTGATATGCTGCTATATTCTAGCTGCTTCAGTTTGCTATACTAAAGTTTAAGTCTTACTTGAATAAAAGTTTTTGCTTGTAAATAAATTTTATCTGAAGGATATAATAACTTTTTTCCATAATTAATGGATTCGAATAATCTTGATTTTTCTGAAATATAAAAATTTAAATGTATTTGGGTATCTGTTTTTAATTTTTAAGAGACATTTCTTGAAATAATTATAATAAGAGTCTATATCATCAATTTAAATTTAAATTTATCCAACTAATATAACAAATACTAATGTGAATGATGTTAAATTTATGTATGCTACGATAATTAATCCTATTATCTTGTAAATCGATTATTAAGTGTTATCGTTTATAATTACTAAAAGCAAAGCATATGTATATAATAGCTTGTAAATGAGCTATTTCTCTATTTCAAATTGTTTTACATTTTTATGAGGCTAATTCTTTGTTAGAGTATAAAGATAAAAGGTTGTTGTTAGAAGTATAATTGAAACTTAAGTGTATTAGCTTATATTTAAGTTTGTTATTGACATAAGGATGAATTTATGGAAAATTTTGAAAATCTCCCAATATAAAAATTTAGTTTTATATCCATCGTACAATATTCCAAATGTTAACAAGTTATCAATTTTTTCACCCTTTATGTTTTAATGATGATCTATTTGCTGGAAAGATTTTAATTTGAAAAAAATATATGTTGGTATTAAAAAACACCAAAAGACAATTAATGGAATTATTATAGAGAAGGAGTAAAGTTTGTGATAGTACGTATAACACTACTGGCTGTAGTCTGATATTAAGTAATATTTTGTTCCGATTTGTGTGCAAAAAATTCCCTAAATCAGCAATTTTGACTTTTGATATTAAAATAGATTAATAAAGTTTTAATTTCTGTAATTTTAAATAAATTTAAGTATTAATTTATTTATTTACTAGAGAAGGCTGATAGAATACATAAACGAAAATAAATGTCATTGTTAAGAATTTAGGTATTTTTGCAATTGCTCTTTTTTTGTCATTACTTCCCTTCACAGTGATTATAACGAGAGATAAATTTATTAAAAAATAAATAGCTATTATACTAACTACCTGAGTAACTATTCTATTTAGCCAAACAGGATATTTATCACTCATTTTAAATAAACAATCAAATGAAGTTACTGTTAACTATATTGGATCTCCAAATATATTCAAACTAAGATTAAAAAAACTTGGAATTGTAATATTAAATTACATTATGCATGATAGAATTTATAAATAGTTTATGAATATTTTAAACAAAAGAGAAAAATCTTTTCCTTGAGAGCTAGACTTACTTGTGATGAATAGATCAATTTTCTTAAAAATTATGAGCTTGTACTTAAGGATTTTAGTTTTTATTATCTTATGGTGGCTATAAGCAATATAGACAAAGTATACAGCAAAGTATATACTAAAATAGAAATACTACTGTATCCACTCATTACAGATATAGCAGTTTTAATCTTTCAATCCATATTAGTATTCCCACACACTGATTTTGCTATCACAACTGTTACAAAGTGGTCCAACATATCCCTCTAGACAGCCATTCTTGCTGTTTTTATTTCCAAAAGAACAACTATTTAGTTTACATGAATAAATTTAATCTGTTGAATCGTTTTCTCTCCAGTACCCGTCCCTTAGTATGATTTAACTTCCTTAACAGAAACTTGCTTGTTATGGGCAAGAAATACACTGTAAGTTATTAGCATCTTTTTACATATTTGGAATTTTTAATGAATATCTACCCTAGACACATTGGTTGCACCTTTATAAAAAAAGAAATAAATATATGTTTTCGTTTGAGAAAAAAATTATGGTTTACTATATAAATTAATCTTTTTCTGAAATAGTTTCTCCTTTTATACAATCTCTATATTATAACTCAAGGGCTAATTAAAGATACTTATCTTATTATATTTAGTTAGATAAAATATAGATTTCCTATGTTTAAGAAAGTTTATAAATCGATTAAAAGTTTAATTAAAATAATCCTATTGTTTCGTTTAACTATGCATTTATTCCTTACTGAATGATAATTTAACTATTATTTTAGAAATATAACTATAAAGAAAAGTCATTCCTTACACTATTTAAGCTTGAAGTACCTAAAAAATTAAAAGGATTTCCTTCTTCATCTATAAAATTTAAATACAACGGCTAATCCAAATAGTTTCCGCTAGAAATATTACTAATTTTATATTTATTAACTATTTTAAGGTATTATTAACTAGGTTTTTCTGAAATTCCTAACCAAAAAGGGATTGAGCCTATATTTTGACCATAAAATGATGCTTTTTTAGTTTAAATAAAGTGGTTTAAATAACCAAAATTAAAAAATAATTAACACAAAATTACTGAAAACCGAACATTTTTGAAAAAATAAAAATATTTTATTTTAAATTTATAACTTATTTAATTACCTTAATTTTTTTCAAAATAAATTTTATTTTTTGATAGTATTTGTTTCTTTAATAAATCTGAACTGGTTGCAGAATAATAAATAGATCCACCAATATCTGCCTGGTTTAGTGAGAAATTAGTTGTTTAAAAGTCTATTAGAGATGAAGATTAAAAACATATAGCACCTCCATTTGATTATAATGCCGAATTACTTGTAAAATTACTCTAAGTTATATTAATTCCAGTTTATTACAGGAAATAAAGAGCACCACCAGAATCTTAAATAGATTAATTTTCAATGAACTATGTCATAAAAATCTCAAATGTTGCTTTTTGCTTAGACTAAAAAGAATAAATTGCTCCCCCTGATCCCAGAGCTAAGCAATTTTTAAATAAAGAATATTTTATTTCTACAGTTTTTGTGTTCTAAAGCTGTATAGCACCTCCTTAAAACAACTGCAATAATTAGTTTTTTGAATCTTTTATTTTCATCAAATTTACTAAATTAATGAAATTGCTATTTTTTATCTAAATAGACTCTCCTTACAAAATATTTAGTGCACATGGATAACCTGTAGAATCTATATTAGTAAAGTTAGTATAATCTATTAAAAGCTATCCTTATTGCAAATCAATAACACTTCCTTCATTTAAATTAATATTCTCAAAATTTGATAATTCAATTTATACTTTTTCTAAAGGATTCAAATTTATCAAAGAATTGATATGCTGAATTGTTTTAAAGTTGATATTTTAGAGCAAGGCTTAAATAGAGGTTATTTGTAGTATTTGATCAATATTATTTCCAGAAAATTAAAAGTTTAAAACATTAAAAGATATGATTTCTAAATTATTTTAAAAACACAACTGTGATTTATCAATATAATAATGGTTAGCATAAATTAAACCCACATCTTAAAAGTGTTCAAAGCTGCTATTTTAAAAACTGATATTTTAACATCCTAAGAAAATAAATAATGCAGTGGTATTAGATTCAATGCAATTTAATTAAGTAATCAAATTCGTTTTTTATTATAGATTTCTTTTAGGAGGTGGATTGAGGTATTTAATAACTTATTCAGCTATCAATCCATTCAATAATAGGTTATTTGGTTTTATAAAAGAAAAAATACTGCCTAAATTAAATTTAATATTGCTTAAATAAATATTATAAATTTAGATATCTTAGCAACTATTAAATTCAAACATATTTCCTACCGATTTTAAATTTATTAGATTTATATTTTCAATAATAATATTTGTAACTAATTAAAAAGAGAATAAAGTTTAATAAAGAGTATCTAAGTTTTCAATGGTCAGGTTGTTTATGTAAACTTTAGTCACATTTTGAATAATAAAGTAATATTTATTAGTTATATTTTAAGGCTAAGAGCTAATTTTTACTTAATTTAGTATTAAAAGATCAGTATTACTAATTTAAAGTGTGGTATTGCTTTTAAAGAAAAATTCCACATTACTAAATATTATAGTTTTTAAGTTATTCTTTGAATTTAACTCCAAAATACTATTATTTGAACTTACCAAAAGCTTTATTGTCTTGAAAGATAAATGTTAAAACTAAGCAAGGATAATACTATTATCTGAAAGATAAACCATTCCTTTTTTCTGAAATTTACTATGATTGTCAAATTAGTATTCAACAATTGAGTTTTAGTTAAAAATGTCATAGAATATTTCTATTTATATTAAATTAGTGAAGTCTTGGTTCATTTAAATTACATATTTCGATAGCTATAATTACTGAAAGTAAACTCTACTTTAGAGGTCTTGATGCTATTTATGAAAATTTTAAAATAACTATTTACTTAAATTAAACTAAAGAAATATAAATTAAAATGTTTCCTTATATGTTTTATAACGAAAAAAAACAAATAGATAATTCTAGATCATTTTTTAAAAATAACTAAAATTCAAAAAATGAATGTTTAACAAACTTAAAAATCCAGAATCTTTTATGCTTATTAAATTAAAATAATATTAAAAAAATTTTACTTGATTTTGGTTGATATATATCCTTGAATTTTATTCATAAGTAATTAGCATCTAATTAGTTTTAATATTATTTTATTATACTTAATATGTGATGTTAAATAAACTTTAGCTCGAAAAACATTTAAAATGTATTTGGTCTAATATCTGTTTCTAATTATTAGAATAAATGAATTCTGTGAAGTAAATAATTGGGTTGCTAAGGTTTTAGTAGGACTCGAGTAAGGTAGATGATTCTTTACTTAATTATATTAAAAGTATATCATTTTAAAGAAGAACTATGAACATATTTTCTATCACAAATTAAATATCTTTAATATTGGAATAAATAAACTAGTTAGCTTTGTAATAATTTATTAAATTAAGAGTTTTTTTCTAAAAGACACTCACCTAATAAATGCATATTACAAATAAATAATTATCATCACTCTTAAGTATCAGATTATTTTAGCATGAAACAGGTAAATTTCCTATCAACATATTAGAATTGATATAAAATGCTTAAATTATAAGATCAGTGGCTATAACAATGCTATAATACTATTAATAGTCCAATATAGTAAAGTCAAGAATCTTTTGAGAATTATAACTATATGTATTTAATTTTATAAGTTTCTTAATACCTATAAGAGGATCTAACTAAAAAGTTGTAATTTAATCATTTTAAGTCCAGACTATAAGGTAGTTTTGCTTGATTTGTATCTATTTTTTAATATAAAAATAATTAAAACATAAAAAATATTCAAATTATTATTTACTTTCCTTATCTCGCTTTCTAATTAAATTATAGAAGAAATTTGTTTTAATTCTACATTTATAATAATAAGATTTCCTTCAATATTAGATAATGATAGAATATTATCATTTAGAACAAAAATTTGAGTTGCTTCAAACTAAATTTAATTGATGCTGATAATAGTCTCAAAATCCAAAGTATCTTAATTAAATTTTTTCAAAGAATTACTATTTTCTAAACAAAATATGTTTAAATTAAAACTCGACATAATTTTGCAGTTAAATGATGAATTCAAATATTTAATCTGTTTATTGTTAATAAAGTCATAAACTATTAATTCTTAATTTGAAATAATTGCTAATATTGTAGTAGAAGTTAAATTAAATAATTAAACATCAAATTTTGTAGCAAATTAAGAACCCTAGAACTTATGTTGATTTAATATTTAATAATTAATACTATTAAACACATTAAGCATCCCAGAATTATAATTAAAAAATAAAACTAATTTCTAATTGTCATAGTATAAAATATTATTATTGTAATTATTTAGGTAATTGTTATGCAAGGTAGCAAAGAGTGATGTCCAAAGTTCAAATATTTAAAAAGTAGGATTCTATAAAATAACTATGGAATTTGATTAAGGTATATACTAAACTTATCCTTAGTTCATATAATTAGAGTAATCAACACTACCTAAGTACATTAAATTAGAATATTAAAATAAATTTAGTCTATTTTAAGTTAATATGATAATTAAATCTAGATTATTTTCTATTATAATAAATCTTGGATTTGACATTAATCCCTATAGTAAAAACTATAATCCATAAATAGGTGAGTTTTATATTTAGCAGTTTGCATAATCAACAATACTCAAGGTATTCGAACTCACGGTTACAAATTTCTATTTAAATAATAAGTTAAAAAATAAAATATTGTAAATAAATTTTTGAAAAATATAATTTATTTTTAATTTTTGTATAAAAAGGACTTTTTAAATTTTGGAATTTTCTTGGAATATTTCCTAAAAACTATTCAAAGTACGGATATTAAAAATAGGGAAAAAATTTAATAAAACATATCATGTAAATTATAAATTTAATTTTTACCGAGTCTTTTAATACATGCAAATATTTTTAGCTATTTAAGAAGGAGTATTAACATTTTTATATCAAATCTTCGTCATAAATAGTTAAAATAGTTTTTCCTTATTAAGAACTATCATATTAAATATAAAACTAAATAATTAATTTATTTTAGATATTATAAAAAACTTAATCAAGATTGTATAGTTAAAGAAAGTTTTGTGATAAGCTTTAATATTTTAATATTTAATACTACCCATTTTGTAATATTTAAATTATCGTGTAGGAAGTTTGTAAGAATATTATAATTACATCATCTTATGAGTACAGCTAATATTTATCATTTTAATTGTAATAAATCATATCTTGAAATTAAAGTTAACTAATTTAATCAGTGAAATAATTGTACAAATATGATATTTATGTTAGCTATTCCTTTATTGTTAAAATTATACTGTTTTTAGATTAAATTACAGCTTCATAACTAAGTTTTTGCTGATCATTCGTGAAAAATAAGTTTAATTTCTATGATTTGTAATCAATTCTTCTATGTAAAATAATTTAACTATTTTAATCAGACGAGATAAATACATCTATTTCAGAAACATATAATACTTAAGTCTAATTCAAGAATGTATGTATGATATTAAGCTAGAGATCTAAAACAACATATTAATCAACAATCTTTGCTAAAAATTATCTATCTCTTACTATTGATACAAATTCTAAAACATCCAATAAATTATTTGGATAATCTATTTTTTATAATTAATATTATTTTTAAATATATATTTAAGTAAATGTTTACCACTTAAAATTTGTTCGTTGGTGTTAAAATCAAAAAATGCAATTTAATTTTAGTAGATTAACAGAGTACTTGATTGGAATTACATAATCTACCAATATTATGATGAACCTAGTATCTTAATTTATTAATATTTTTATCCTAGTAAATATTTATTAATTATGTTTGTAGATTGAAAGAGTATAACCTATTCTTGCTTAATTATGGAATATTTGTTTTCTGTTGCAGCTTACAAGACAAGTTATGTTAATTACTGTCCAGTAATGTCGTACATAAATATTTACTAATAATTATGATTAAAAGATAAGTAAGTAAGTAAGTAAATTCAGTTATTGTAAATATTCTAAATAAAAAGTTAGTATGAATTTTTTTAAAATTAATTAGCAAATTGTTTTAAAAGGTTTTTTTCAATAAATTAAAAAATTCTATCAAAAGAGCTTTAAAATTTTAAAGAAGATATAAATAATTTTATATTGGATGAAATATTTTTAATTAAATATAAAGATCTTTGTAGTATTCTTATATTTTCTTTTATAAAGTCAGATTGATAAAACTAAAAATATTAAAACAATGCTTCGAAATAAAATAAAAATATTAAATATTCTTAAAGGAATTAAATTTTTAAATATATGTATTATAAATAAATACTAAATAAAAAAATTACTTTTTGTATGTTTTAGATCATCAAATAAATTTTATCTTAAATTTAAAGAAGGTTGGTATCTAAAATAGCAATAGAAAAAGGTATTTATAAGCTAAAACTAGAGAGATCAATAAAATTGTAAACTATATACTGCTATAAATAAGAAGCTATAAAATTTTGTTCGTTTGAGGCTATAACTTCAGTTTAATCAGTTTGAGTAATTTTCAAAGTTTATAAATCTAGAATCTTTAATTTCATAGAACCAATTTAAAATTATATTTTAAAAACTATTTTTAAATGCTATTTGCTAATTGCTAAAAAAGATTATTTAATGCTAGAGTCGTAAAAATTATAAACAATGATTAACTAATTTATCTTTTGTTTTTGACTATGTAATACAAAAGCGGTATTTCCTTTACAAATTTACGAAGTCACTATAAGATCATTATTTATTGTAATATAAGAACCGTTGTTAGATAGCTAATCTACTAAGGTCAAAGAAGAACTTTGCAAATCATAAGCAAAAACAATTAAAAGATATTCAATAGTTTAAAAATAAATATTATCATTTATAGCTTAAACTAATTTGTCATTATCTACATTTTGCATAGATATGGTTGCTTATATCATAAAAATATCTATTTTTTATGATGATATGCAAAACAGTAACGATTAACTTTAGTAATGAACTGCTATATACATAACAGAAGAATTTATTCCTTTTAATAAACTAATAAATAGGCTGGTGCTCTGTATTTCATATTAATACATCTAATTGTTATTAGCATTAACCATTATAAAATTATATGTTGCTTAGTTTTGATAAATAATTGCAATATATTAAGCACAAATTTCAGCATTCAAAATCTAAAATTTTATATTTTTCTCAAAAACTTGCTTTTATCCTTGCAATTATTGAATTCTAAATCCAGTTTTAAAAATGATAGCTACAATATTTCTTTCTGAATTATAAAGTACATTTTAGATACCACCCATATAATAAGCATCATTATTATCTGCAAAACTACTATAAATTATATTTTAGTATTTTAGCTGTTACTAAAACGTTAATTGCCATAATTAGTTTTTATATGCAATAATTAATTTTTCATCATTCAAAATGTTTATTAAGTTTCTTTTGATTTAAATATCTGTTTAATCTAGAGGATCTAGTTAAAGTTATAAATTAGTAGTATCTTACCAAATATGAGTTAAATTGAAATTTATCTTATATATATTTAAATTATTATTAAGCAAGTTATACACAAGTGCCTAATTCTAGTTAACAAATTTTAAATGATAGATATGCTGATTATTCAGATCTACGGAAGAATAAAAAATATTTTGATCACTTTATGTTACTTACTAACTTATTTGTCCGCTTATATTCACAATTTCATATCCTTTTTAATATTCAATTATTTTTTATATTTAATTTAATGATAATTATAATATTTATTTATTTATTTTTTAAATTCTTCAAAAAAATAAAATGGATTTTAAAAACAATTTTTTCAAAATTTTTTTAATATTAGAATATATATACCTTCAAATGAAGTAAGTATTATTGAATTATAATCATTGAGCATTAAGTGATCAATAATTTGAGAAGTCATTTTGACAAAATGAGGCTATTCCTGATAGAAGAATTAATATATTTAATTAATTTAAAAAAATTTTTAATAATTTACATATTAAAAGAATACACTATTTTCAGTTTAGTTAAACGTAAGATTAGCGCATATTATTGCAGACTAATAAATACCATTGAAATTATCTGCTTTTATTACAATTAACCTTGCTTTTTGATCATATTCAATGCAATTTAAAATTTAAAAATTTTAATCAAAGTTAAAGTTTTTGTAAATAAAAGTTATATTATTCCAATCTATGAACCAAATACTTCCATCAGAGAATGTAATTACTGTTTGATTAATATTTTTTAAATCAAAAACTTAATTGATTGGATTTATCCTTTAAGTTTAATTTTAGCTTAAAAAGGTTTCACCTAAAAAATTTTTCTAAACCAAGCTTAAAGTCTACTTAGTAAATTATACATATTAACTTCCATATATTATGGTACATCCTAATGAATCAATCTATGGTGGGGGTGGTGGTAAAGGAGGAGGAGAAGATGGAATTGAAGGATCCGTTGTTTACGAAGGATCCGTTGTTTATGAAGGATCAGTCTATGAAGGATCAGTCTATGAAGGATCAATCTATGAAGGATCAGTCTATGAAGGATCAATCTATGAAGGATTAGTCTATGAAGGATCAATCTATGAAGGATCAGTTGGTTAGGAAGGATCAAAAGGATTATTAGGAAGAGGGAAATCAGGAGGAGGGGGTGGCTTTAGATTAAACTAGTACGGAAGAAAATCAACTATTATTTCAGACTTGATTTTATATACTTTTACATTTTAATTATATAAATTAAAAATATTTAGGTACTAGTTATAATAGCATAATGCACTAGAATTAGAGTAGGCAAAATATAGGCAATTCGGCGTTTAGTAAACAAAAGAAACTTTATTTAACTCTAAATCTAATTTTTATACGCTATTTGAAGAAAATAAATAAATGCTGTTATTATTTTAGAAACTCTATGAAAAGCTACTCAGTAGGTTAATTTAATTGAGAGAAATTAGTTCTGGATATGAATAAAAGATAGCACTTGTGCTACTTAAAGCGATAACCTTTTGAATAATCAAAAATATTTGCTTTTAAATCAAAAAACAAAATAATTACAATTTAACTTTAGTCTATTCTTTTGTAGTAATAAATTTCATTAATATCATCTTATTTAATTTTACTTCTACTTCCAAGTGTTCCCATCTAGCTAAATTTTCTTAAATTAGTGCAAGATCTATCATTATTATTTGCCTATTCTGGACATACTATAGTACATTGATCAGATTCCCTATTATAATATAAATATTCACTGTTTAAACATTCTTATTTCTAGCAGCTTAGTTTATCTTTAGACAAACTCCATCCTTCAATACATTATTTACATTATGTACCTTCATACTCACAAATATTACAGTTTTCTATTTAACACTCTATGCAAACCTAAAAAAATTCTTATTATGAACCACCTTATTTGCATTAAGGTTTGCAATTACCTGTATTGCTATCCTTTTTATTAAATATTTTAAAGAAATACTTTAAAGATTGTATGCTTAAATAATTAAATAAGATGTAAAAATACATAAAAGTATGAAGATTAGCATATTTTGCATGTTTCCTAATCATAACACTGATTACAGCTTGCTTAGCAATTACCACAGCTCTATAGTGCTATATCAAAGTACTAATTTTAAATCTGGCATTTCTGTAAAATTTAGCTAAGAACTCTACTTAAAAATAAAATAAGTATAATTTATTTTGTTATCATTTTATTTTTGTCTTAGATAAAAAACTATTTGCTTTTAATTTATTTATATATTTCTTTCAAGCAAACTTATTTACATTTAAATTAAATAGATAATTGAATTGAAAAAATAAATATCATTTTTTATGGAAAGAAAGATGGTTTATAAAAAATATAAAAATAAAAATATTTAACTTTCTTTTTAATTACATTTAGAAAAAATGCACCGACCGGGAATCGAACCCGGGTCAAAGCGATGGCAACGCTCTATTCTACCACTAAACCATCGGTGCTTTCGGTGTTATGCTTAATTTATTTTTCGCAATTATTTTGTTTAAATACATCAAACCACTCTCTCTAGTTGTTCATTTTCATATATCTATCATATGTTTCAAAAATTCATACCCCTTCTCTTTAAAATTTTCATATTGAGTGATTAGTAAACATTATAAATTTCAAATCACTATCTAATTTTTACACACCACTTAAGAAGAATAAGTAAATATTCTACTGATTTTACAATACTTATTAAAAAATTTTAAATAGGTTAATTTAATTGAGAGTAATCATTTAAGAGTAGGAGTATAAAATAAAATAAATTCTACTAATCACTATAACAAAATAAATTAAAATTGTTTAACTTTAGATATAAATAAAAATAAAGATTTATTTAAAATTTAAGTCTAATCTATCTTTTAGTAGTAAGTAATAAATGCAATTAATATCAACTTTTAATTTTTTATTTCTAGTTCCAAAATTTTTTACTTGGCTAATTTATGTTAAATTAATGGGAGATATATTGTTATAATTAGTATAAAATTGTATTAAATAAATTAAAAAATGCACCGACCGGGAATCGAACCCGGGTCAAAGCGATGGCAACGCTCTATTCTACCACTAAACCATCGGTGCTTTAGGTGATATCTATTTAAATTTTATTTCCATTAAAACTCATTTTAAAAAAAATCTTAGTATTAATTCAAATTAATTTAGATGTAGTTTTTTATATTGTATAGAAATAAACTCAAAAATTTGTAAAATAAATACTTAAAAAAATCAAAAAATAAAAAGATTTTATGAAAATACTGCTTGGATATATCTAATATTTTATTGCAGTATGGATAAAAATTTTCATAATTTTAAATTATCATATAAAAAAAATGCACCGACCGGGAATCGAACCCGGGTCAAAGCGATGGCAACGCTCTATTCTACCACTAAACCATCGGTGCTTTCGGTGCTAATTTTAAAATAAAGATAGACTTAATTTTGTTTAAAATAAAAAAATTATAAACTTACAAAGATTTCTTAATTTCAAGTAAAAATAAATATCATATTTGCTTTCTAGAATTAATTGTGCTAAATATTTTAAATAGAGAAGATTTTAATATTTGGAAATCAAATTTCTTGTGTTTTGTTTGTAAAATGATATGTTTAGATAAATTGTATATAATTTTTGATAACTAAAATTAGAAAAATCTTAAGAAACAGAAATAATTAAATACATCAAGTTCGCTATATAATATAAAAATATTTAATAGGAGCCATAAGTTTAGGAAAACAAAGCAGAGCATAGCATTGAAAACTACCAACTAGACTTGCATATATTTGCTGAGTATTAAGAAAAATATTCCTTCTTAATTTATCTTAAAATCAAGTAGATATTTTCGAAGATCGTATCCTAAATAAAATGGAGCTACTTTAAAGAATACCTCTGTTTTTAAGACGAATAATGTCTTTTTGCTTCGTATTATTTTAAATTAACAACTTTATCACACTATACTACCTTTTTAGTGTCCATGATAAATATTCAATTTTAAAAGGATTCTTTGTTTGCTTTATGCTTGCTTAATTTTTTCTATTTTCATATTTGAAAACGAGCTAAAGTAACTGGAGCATTGTAACATTTTGTTTAAAATGGAATTTTCTTTGCTATATCCCAACTGTTAAGGATAATATCTCTCAAGAAAAATAAGACTTACTTATAAGCTCACTGACTTATTTTCTAAAATTGGGCTTAATTTACATCCATTCTCTTTTTAGCATAGTTATCTATGTAAAATATGAAGAAGGAGCTATTCTATCTTTATTTTTTGGAAGCTAATTTGGATTTCTTACAAGTACTATGATGTATGAGCTCAAATAGAATTATGACTAAAATAATATTGCAACACTAAGATAAATATTTAATAAATTCTTTTTTACAAGCCTCCTAACAGGTTATGCAAGCTTATGCTCTGAGAGGTTGTTTTTTTATTATTTCATGATATTTACTATTATGCTTGGTATAGCTTTATCTTAATTAAAAAATCTCTAATCAATATTTAAATTTGGTTATGAAAATGATGTTATCAACTTCAATTACATAAATGCATCTGTTATAGTATTTATTTTTCTGAGCTACTCAGGTATCAACTTTGGATATTTACACAAACCTATTCACAATATAATAGGTTCTTAATAAGAATATTGTAATTTTAATAGTGGTTTACAAGGTATAATATTACTAATAATGATAATATTTGATTTACTTTTTAGTAATATCTCAGAAAATTAGCTTGTCAGAAGTATTTTGATTTCATACTTGCTAATTTTTTCTCATAGCTACTTTCTTATTTTAAAAAACATCTATAACTTTTTCTTATAGGGTCCTTTTCAAAGAAAGATTTGCTTAGACTGCTAAAAAATTAAAAACTTATCTGAGAATTAGATATATTAGCAGTATTTTAGATTTAAATCACATTAATAATAAATTACAGCCTTAATAAAAAATGTAGATTTATAAAGCTTTAGAATTATATGCAATATATTGCTGAGAGAGACAAATAGGAAAATAACTTTCTAAATAGACTCTGAAAACTTTTAACATAGATATAGCTATACAATATCAAGCATGATCTATTAAAATATTATATAAATTTTCCTTGGTGAATAAAGCATAGCTTCTATCATAATAGAAGAAATAATTAAAAACTAATACTACAAATTTTGCTTTTAAATATGCTTTTTTTATGATATAACTCCTAAAAAATAATCTATATTGATGAATTAACTTATTCAAAACTATTAAATTATTCCTAATATAATTATTTCTCATAATCAAAATCTAAATGAAATTTATCTTATTAAAATCCCAGTCTACTAAATTATTGCTTTTAATAAAGCCATACAATAAGAAATGACATTTTTCAAAGAACAGATTTTATTTGATCTTTATGATTTGGACTGAAAATAACATGATTTTAGATTGTAAACTTTATTAAATATATAAAATCTTGCATCAAACAAATTTCTAAATAGCAAATAAGAATTAGTTAAAATATAATAACTTAATAACAACTATTAGATTAGTTTATGATGTAAAAATCACATGATAATAATCTTATTTTAATTACCAAATTATAATATATTTTAATAATATTCTTTTTTATATTAAATTAAAAATTATTAACCAAAGTATTTTAAGATTTATATTTTTTTATTATTTATTTGATTTCAAAATGTTTAAATTGATAAATATATAATATATACTTCATTGTTTCTAACTCATAAATTAACAATTATTTTATAATTTAAAGACAAATCATTATCATGACTTCTCCAAATTTCAAATTTTTATTTATGACCATGAATTATATTTGAAAAAATTGTGGATAAATAATTTTCAATAAGTATTAATATTCTTATTTGCTTACACTCATAATCAGAAATTTATTTAATCTAAGCTAACTATGATTTAAGATAAATTGATAAATAAAGATGCAAAATATCTTTTTATAAATACTATTTTAAAATGATATTAATTAAAAAATTTTTCATATTAATAGAATATACAGGCTAGCAAGCCTTTATTTAAATAGAACTAATCAATATATTATGAATTATAAAAATTGATCCAGTTAAGAATCAATTAATATAAAGGATACTAAATTTTAAAATTACGGATTTTTATAGTAATATCTTATAACAATATTAATATCTTTTACTCACAAGTAATATTAATAGTTATTAATTCATATATAATTATAAATTTAAAAAACTGGTTTTGCTCTTTAAAAATTCATTTGTAAACAACTGGTTTATGTTACAGAACAATTTCAAGCAAATTTATCTAAGAAATCGATATTGTAAGAAAAAATTAATTTGTGGCTTTAAATAATTTAATTTATTTTTGCAAGTATGAGAGAGTTATCTTCATTATTTTAAAACGAAATATTCAAGCATAATTGTGCTATTTTAATTTAATTCTACATTTAGCTTAAAGCTTATGGATATGACAAATAGTAAAATCAAATTCTGACGCAAGCATATATCTCAAGAAAATTTTTTAATGAATTAAAATTTTTGTTTTTAATTTAATTAAAAAAGTAGGCCAAAAGGTAAAGTTAAAACAAAAATTCTGTCTATAATTTTAATATTATTATTAATATCAATAAATAACTTATACTTACTGTCTCAATAAGATTAATTAAAGAAGGTTTAGTAAAATGAAAATCCTTTTGCTCTTTATCTTTCATTTATAAAGTAAGGATATATACAATTCATATTTATTTAATGCTACAAGCATGCTTTTTTCTTTTATCTATTTTTAATATCAACCAATATTCATTTTACTTCTATTCATTAAACATAGATTTGTTCTGCTATGAAGTACTTTATGATAAAAAATATGGCACTGATACTAATTGCTTAAGTGATTTACCAACAGCTTGGACTAAGTTAGAGGGAGGCTAAATTACGCAATGCTCAGATACTTGTACTAAATAGTATGATTCAAGTACTATTGTTAAATTCATTTCTGATGAGAACTCCTCTTTAGGTCTTAAATTTTCTTTTAATCCTACTCCTACTTAGCCTTTCTCATTTATTGGTGTAGATATAATTTACTTTTAAACAGGAGGCACAGTGATTGGGTTAAGGATAAATGGTTCTTCTTCTGCAACAACTGTTTATTCAACTTTACAAACTACTTATGATGAAAATTATTCTATTTCCTGTCCAGATTTAAGATCCTTTTATAGAGGTTCAGCTATTTTAAGCACTAACTAGCTTTAAAGTGGTAATACAGTGTACATTAATATAGAAAAAGATTCACCAAGCTAAAGTATTGGCATCAGAAGTATTAGAGTTTGGACTAATTGCAGAGAAAATTGTTTAACATGTAGCGATGCAACTAATTGCAATATTTGTTAGCCAGGATTTCAATTATATTAAATGCCTTCTGGAGAATTTGTTTGTGAGCAAACAAAAGGATGTGCTGCAATGAATTGCTACTCTTGCTTTATAGGAGATTAGTCTTAAATTTGTTATAAATGTGCAGCTGGATATAACTTGAATGCAACAGGCACTAAATGCAATTTAGCCAATCAAACTCTTTGCCCTGCATGTAATAAAATATATATATGCATTTATTTTTTAAAGGTTTGATAACAAAACATTTTTATTAAATTAAATAAATTGTTTCATAAAGCATATTTGATTTAACATAAAAGATAATAATGAAAATAATTGAAAATTAATTTAAATGATTTTAAGAAGATAGTTTCAACTAAAACATTTTTTAATATAACCAACAGATTTTTGATAAATTTTCTAAATTACTCATTAACGAATAAAATGTTTCTCAATTTTTTACATTAAAATTGATAATAATAATTTATTATTAAAAAAATTAATAAATTAATGTTGTTAATTATTTATAAATATTAGATACTTATATTGATTAAAGTGGAACTTGCTAATAATATACTTACTCATGTCAATACTAAGATAGAACAACTAACTAGTGGACAGCCTGCGTTAATTAAGAAGATCCAAGATACTATAAATGTGACAATAGAATGGCAGTCAGGGTTTATAACATAGAAAACTATGGGGTATTTTAGTGTGGATGTGGTATTCCAAACTGCAGTTCATGTTCAGCTGACTTAACTACTTGCTCTTAATGTAAATTTGGATATTACTTTAACCCAGGTACAAGTCAATGCGATAGTATGTGTCCTAGCACTTAATTCTATAATGGTTCTTTTTGTTAAAGCTGCACAGTGGCAAACTGCCAATCATGCTCCTAAGCTGGAACTTGTGATAAATGCAAAGCCTCATATGTATATAATAATTTGACATAGAGATGTGACTAATTTATTCCTTAATGTAGCTAAGGTTACTACTATAATTAAACAAGTAATTCTTGCTAATAATCATGTCCAGATTAAAACTGCTTGACTTGTAACCCATCCGGAGTATGTACTACATGCATTAATAACTATACATGGAGTACTACTGATAATAGATGCAATAAGAATTGCTTGTCTAATTAATACTTTGATTATGTCCAAAATAATTGCATAAATTGCCCAACAAATTGTCAGACTTGTGATTCTTCCTAATGTACTTAATGCAATAGTGGATATCTATGGAATGCAAATGATTCAAGATGTAATATGAGTTGTTCATCGAACTAGTATTTTGATTCAGTAAACAATAACTGTATCAACTGCCCAGCAAATTGCTAAACTTGTAACTCCACCTAATGTACATTATGCAATAGTGGGTATATGTGGGATTCAAGCGTTAAAACATGTGTAAGCTGTTCATCAAATTAATATTATGATTCAGTAAATAAAAATTGCGTAAATTGCCCATTAAATTGCTTAACATGTAATTCTTCCTAATGTACATAGTGTAATAACGGATATCTATGGAGTTCTAATGACCTAAGATGTAACATGATTTGCTCATCTAACTAATATTTTGATAATGCAAATAATATCTGCATAAATTGTACAACAAATTGTTAGACATGCAATTCTACCTAATGCACATAATGCAATAATGGGTATACATGGAGCTCTGGCGATTAAAGATGTAATATGATCTGTTAGAGTAATTAATATTTTAATCAATCCACAAACAACTGTATTAACTGTACATAATTTTGCTTATTATGTAACTAAAACGATTGCACTTTATGCTAACCTGGTTATTTATATGATAGTACTGATAAGAAATGCTATATATAATGTAATACAGGATACTATTTAGATAAAATTAATAATATGTGTAATGCTTGTATAGATAATTGCTTGAATTGTAGCTCTATGTAAAATTGCACTTAATGTTAAATAAGCTATACATATAATTAAATAGCTAATGCTTGCGAAAAAATTTGTTAAGCAAGCTAATACTTAGATGTATAAAAAAATTAATGCACAAACTGTATGTAAAATTGCACTTCCTGTACAGATAGTAATAGCTGTAATTAATGTTCTTAAGGATATTCCTATAGCTCTTTAAATAAAATTTGCTACTAAGATTGTTAATCTAATTAATATTATAATGAAACCTCAAATAAATGCTTAGATTGTGGAAATAATTGTCTAACTTGTAACCAAAATTAATGCACTAAATGCAATTAATCTTTTTTTACAAGCTAAAATGATAATTAAAACTGCCAACCTTGTTCCATTAGTAATTGCAAAACATGCTCCTCGTTAAGTAAGATTTATTTATACAAATCTCTTTTTACTTTTTATTAAAAATACACATTTATAGAACAATAGAATTTAAATATATCAAATTTTCTTGAATATTACAAAATTAATCAGTTTGTGATCAAAAACAATTAATTATTAATTAATAAATTATAATAAAAAGAATTTACTGAATTAATTTATTAATTAATGTTTACATTATTTTAATAGACTAATACCAAATTTTTAATAATATTTACTTCAAATCATATTCTTAATTCAAGCAGATATTTATTATGTAATATAATGCGCTATCTGATATTTATTCAAATAGATCATTTCATTTTAATTAAAATACATAATTAAGCACTACCCAAATTAAATAATCTTGTATTCTATCTAAATAGCCTAAAAGGTTTAATTTAACAAATACTAAATTCATTTTTTAATAAATAAATAATACCTCTTATAATTATTAATATACTAAAATTAATGATAGCTAAAATACAAAAATAGACATTAACAAATATAGATAATTTAACATTAACTAAAATACATCATTTAATATATACTCTAATACCTAATAAAGTATTTCAAAGTTAAGATTTTATTTTTAATATTTATTTTCAAAAATTGTAGACATTTGCGCTGAATGTGAATCAAATTATAATTTGAGCTTAGATAAATCAAAATGTAGTTAAGGGTGTAGTGTGGACTTTTGTACATAGTGCTCATCTTAAAATAGCTCTGCTTGTTAATAATGCTAAGATGGGTATGAATTGGTATAATCTCAAGGTATTTGCCAACCTGTATTGGTAGTTCAAAAAGGCTAAACTGATGTTAATCTAGGAATAAAGTTGGGTGATGATGGATATTCTATTTAAATTAAATTTTCTAACTCAGTATCTTATGATAATATTGATAAAAGCAACTTAATTTACCTAAATATTACAAACGTTTAAAATTACACCTACACCATTTAGGATTTTGAGCCAAAAGAGATTAAATTAGATATTGTCTCATAAGAAAACATAAAAAATTAATAAATTAAAATAGGTTTTAAAAATAAAAATTTTGTTTTAAAAAATTAAATAAAGACAATAGAAATTTAGTAAAATCTTAGCCCATCATTCGTAGTAATTCCATAATCATAAAAAGTAGCAACTTAGTAAGCTACTCAGCTAGGTTCAGGAGCGACTACTCTATTAGCTACTATGATTCCTATTATAACTATGAGCAATTTTTATGTCCTTGTAAACACGATAGATATCACTGGTTTCCTCTATTATATGCTATATATAAACATTAGAAATCCAGAAAATGTAGTTTAGTTTTACTCAATCTTTTAGAATTTTCAGTATCCCTTTATCCCTAACTTATTTCAGTACGTTGTTAGCCCAAATTATCAGTAGACATCATTCCCTAAATTCATGGAAAACTAAACTGATTTGTAAATAATCATTTTCTATTATTTTATAGTATATTTTTTAGTTATTAACTATTCGAAAAACTTAATTTCTACTTAAATTAATTATTAATTTAATTATTTTGAAACTGCTACTTAGATCTTTTATTTACATTTATATTATAAAATTTTAGTTACTTTCTAAACAGTACTGGATAAGCTTTTACAATCCATTTGCTTATTATGAGTCTCTATTTGATTGCTAAAATTATGAGTATGATAAAAATAAAATATGTTTAGGATTACTTTATAAAAGCTGTAAATAATACCTGGGAATTTAATGGAATGCTTGACTTGATTTGGAATGAATATATTTATTCTTTAGTTGGAGTATTACTCCAATTTAATTGCTATGATTTTGGTGATTCATCTGCATTTTTGAATTACACTATTCATTCTTTATTTTCAGTCATAATCCTAGGAATACCTTTTTTAATTACATTTTTAATTTATAAATAACCAAATGTTACTGAGAATAAGAGATTTTAAACTAAATTAGGCTCTATTATAGGAGGACTCAACATATAATAACTAGAAATATCAAGTCCTAAAATAAAAGATATTTAGGATGATAAAAGAGAGCCTATGGATGCTCTTTCGTTAGACAATATTATTAATTAACACAAAAAAGAGGATATTTAAGGAAAAAGTGATTACTTTTAATCTTAATATTAAGGTTCTTAAGATTTATTGGTTTTATCAGTAAAACCATCTTTTGTTTAAAAGATTAAATCTTATAACAAATATTACAATTGCATTCTCTATTTCAGAAAGATGTTATTTGGTTTGATTTTGGTATTCTTGACTGAATATTAATACTTGTAGCTAGTCTTATTAATTATGCTCAATATTTTTATATTATTTTTTGTAGTTTTAGCATAGCCACTCTAATCAAAATATGAAAATATCAAAAATTGTTTTGGTGAAATTATTTTAATTTGTATTGGCATTAGTCTTTCTTTATTAGTTTAAGACAATGAATCCGAAGATGAAATGTTTAGATTGAAAATAGGGTGGATTATTATTGCTTTTACATCCTTTATTCTCCTATGGCACACAATTCAGCTTACTTATGAGACTCTCAAATCTTTACTAATTTTAATGAAAAACATAGTTAATTTGGCATTTAGACGCTCATAAAAAGTCAAACCTGTCATCAAAGAAACTAAAAAGATTGATATAGAAGCAAATAACCATGAAGAAAAAACCTAAAAGAATGTTAAATAAGAGACTAAATTTTAAGAACTCAAGTAGAACCAAAGGAAAGTATCTAATTAATTAGAAGATACAGAATTAATTTTATTCTAATCAAACACAAATTTACCAATTTCAGATGATCTCCAAAAAGCTGATTCTATATAGCAGATAGCTAAAGTAAGTTCTAATAAAAACGAAAATTTATTTATCCAGAGTAATAATAATTCGAATGATAACTTATATATAAACAACTTAAAAAGCAATGATAACGTATTCTTAAAACCCTCAGACTAAAAAACTACAAGAACAAAAAGAAAATCTAACTTTAGCAACAATAGTAATAAGATGTATCTTAACATATCTCATAATCAAAATACTAATAGAATTCTTAATGGCTTTAATACAAATAGAGAAGACAACACTTTTATGAATGACAACAACAATAATAATAACAATTAGTAAGCCTCATAAAACCATATTATATAACATATTGATTGAATTAATATTTTATTTTAAAACAATAGCTTCAAAATTGTTATATTTCTATGTTTTTGTCATTAATTTGCTAAATAAATAAATTCACATTCACAAGATGTTTTTATTCCAATTATTTAAACTAATTCATTTTTTTTATTTTCTAAATAATATATTAAAATTTTTCTAAATTAATTGATATAATAAATAAAATATTTAATTAATATGAAAAAATTATCCAACTATTTCTAACATTTCATTTACATTTATATTTATTCAAAATGAAATTAAGAATATATACTATATAAATTAGAAAAAAAAACACTATCCAAAAAGCAATAATTTTTAAAAAGCAAAATAATAAATCTTCACTTTTTTTTTAGTATTATATTTTAATATAATCCTTTAAATGGCTTAAAATTAATATTAAATATTGCTTGTTTTTAAATTTGTTTATATATATAATTAATATGATAAATACAAAGATAATCAGTTTTTATTTTTAGAATTAATAATAATTAGTTTTTATTTAAAATGAAATTTTTCTAATTTAAATTCTATTAAAGAAGTAAAAGAGAACAAAGAAATATTATATAAACTTAATAGAAAGAAATATATTAATTAATAATCGTTGATTAAAGGAGTGAGATAATAAAAATGTAAGAAAAGTTAATTATTTGTATTTTAATGATTTTTACTAGTCTTATCATTTTCAGTGACTAGTATTTGGCATATCAAAACAGAAATTTATCAGAAATAAATTATTACTATTTTTGGTACAATACGTTGATATTATATTCCTCTTCTTTCATATTAGCTATTATATTAACTATGATGTATGATCTTAAAGCAGCAATTGCTACTTTTTTGATAAATATTTTGTACTTAGATTTTCTGCTCATATTAAAACTATCTCAAAAGAAATCAATTCGGTTTTGTTGCATTCAATTGATAACTCGTTTCTTTCCTTTAATAATAATGTAGTTATACTTTAACTAATATAAAGGACTTTTACTTTGTCAATAGATTAATGTATTTTAGTAAAACATAATGTTTTTTAATCAGATTGCTTTTGCTTTAGTTTTTCTTTTGCACTGTTAACTACAATTATAATCAGAAGATGTCTTTCAGATTGAGATGAATTTTAAAGGTTTCCTTATAAAAGTTCATCAAATATCAAATGGTCTAGGTTTTTATGGTGTCTTATAAACAATTTTGTTTTATGCTTATTTACTAAATGATGGTTTAAGGCTAGTCTACTTGTATATTCTTTTAATAGTAGTAGAAATTATGGTAAATGATTATCTTTACAAGAAACTAAAAAAAATGAAAGTAACCTGGGGTTCTTTTGATATATTTAGATATACATAAAACCTTATATTTAGTATGAGAAGTATTTCTAGTTCAAGGGTAGCTCTTAAGGTTTTGTTTACAAATACTAAGATCTGCATCTTTAGAATTATAATTACATCTATCATTATATATTTTAGAAGCGATTTGCAATTTTAGGAAATTCAGCAATAATTGAAAGATGGACCTAAAAAGATTGATAAGGTTGTATTTTATTTGAACTTTTTCCTATTGATGAATATAGCATTGATAATAATCCATAGTATATAATGTATTAATATATATAAAGAAATCAACTATTGTTATGAATAGATATCAGAAGAGAAAATAGAATACCATTTAAATTAAATTCCATTCAAAAAGTATACACATATGATGAATATTTTTGTGAAAAATAATAGTCCAGAATATGATGCTGAAGGATCATATTATTTTAAAAGCTCATACACTTAAAATTTATATTTTAAGGCTTTGAATTAAACTTTTAGGGCTATTTAAAACTCATCGAGATAAGTAGTTATAGACAATCTAATAATGTTTTCTTTTTACAAGTAATGTATTAAGCTAAAAAAATCTTTGGAACTTTAGTTTCTTTTTACTTTAGAAAATGTAAATGAAGTATTTGTTAAACATAATTATACATTTGATGAATGCAAACAAATAATATTTCAAAGATATTAAAACTTTGGCATTTTTTCTAACCAAGCTAAAATAATAATAGATAAAATGTTGAACTACAACTCAAATCTAAATTATCTCAATCTACAGATTTATTAAATTGTTGCTTACTATAAATTAATTGCTCCCCTGGCAGCTAACCACTAAGGTTAAATATTATATGACCTTTATGAAATATGATTATTCAAGAAATAGTGATCGATTTTTAATAATTAATCTAAAAAGTAAAAAATAATAAAAGTATATATTTTATATTTTTTATCATATTTAATAATTAATTTAGAAAAAATGGTTTCTATTTTTAATATCAATTCTATTGATTCAGCATTTATTTACTTTTTATTTTATTTATGTTAAGTTTTATTTTTTAATTTTAAATTTTTTAAATTTTATTATGATAAAATATATTATGTTAAAATTACTAATTACCTAGAAAAAATACAAAAATTGAATAAAACTAACAAAAAAATATTTAAAGGATGATTATCAATTAATATTGAATCTGATTAATTAAATTAAAAGTATAAGCTTATAAAATACATTAATTAATTAATATAAATTATTATAGAATATTACTTAATATTTATTTATAAAATTAGAGTAATTAATTTTTATTATATTAAATTAGAATAAATAATCTGAATGTTTGCTAAAATAAATTTATTTTGAATCAAGATATTTAAAATATAATCATTTGAAGTTAATAATTAAAATAAATGATAGGGAAAAGTGTAAAATAATATTGAAATTGACAAGTATTTTATTAGATAGATAAATTATAATCTACAAGAATTCCTTCGTTGAATTATTAGTTTTCTATTTTATATGATTTAATATTTATTGTAGTCATCTCAATAATTTTATGAATTATAAATTGTTTGTTAAAATATTAAATAAATATATAAAAAGAAATCTAATCAAATAATCTATTTGTTAATTTTGTTAAAAAAATTTCAAAATAAGCAGAAAAATGGACTAGAACGTTGTCAATTTTGACAAACAACTAGATAACTGTACTCAAGTTATAACTACTATAAAATAGCTTACCCTTTAAAGAAATTAGGCTATTTAGCAAAAGAACAACTAACCAATTATGAAAGTAAATTTTTTATAAAAATTAGATAGCATTTATATTAATTTTATGCGAAGATTAGATTGAATATGATTTGAGATAAAACATTGATAATATGAAATAGCAAATTCCTAAATTATAATAAAGCTGTGATGACATTTGCAGAAATAATAATAAATATAAAATGTAATTTATTTAACTTGAATTACTTAGATTTAGATAAAAATGAATTTATTGACATTTTCTGATACTTATTAAAAATATAAATTAGTACTAAATAGGAGTCAGAAAAAAGAATGAATCAATTTCAAAATCTGAAAAATTAATTTATTCAGTCAGAATAAGCAGCTTTTGCTGTCAAAAGAAAAATCGAAATTGTGGCAAACTAAGAAAAAGTAAGAATAATAAAAAATTTATTTTACTTTTGAAAAAAACAAAAAAATTAAACTAACTAAATATAATTTTTACTATATAATTTATAGCTTTTTTAAGGTAGAACAAATGACGTAGAAATGCAAGATATGTCTTCTTATGAAATTTAGTAACATAGATCTGCCTTATAATAAAAAGAAAACTAAGCTATAGATAGTGCAAACGATTTAGTAGAATCACTGATTAGCAAATAAAAGCAAGTAGGATAAATGATTGTAGATTCTACAGATCCTCTTGAGCACATTAATAAAAGAGCAGATTAAGTTAATTAAAAAATGTAGACTATGTCAAGTAGATTTGAAGATTTACTAAGGACTACAAGCAACAATACTCTTTGGATAATTATAATTATCAATATTTTTATTCTAGTTTTTTTAATTTCTTTATGATTTATTTGTTTGTATGCTTTAAATCAAAAATTCAGTCAGAGAAGAAGAAGTTGAAATTACTATTCGAATACAAGACATAAGATATTTCTATAAAAACTTAATATCCTTAAAAAATTTCAAAATGGAAAGTAAATCAAATAACTTTTTATATTTTAATTTAAATAAATAAATAATAATATAGTTACAGACATACAAAATAATTTAAAATTTTTTAATTTCTTTTATACTGTTTAAATATTTAAAAGCAATTATATTTGCTCTTTTATACTTAAAGAATATAAATTTATTTAAATTTAATATATGTCTCAATAATAGGAATAAATAATCATTTGAAAATAATTTTTCCTCTTGATATATCAACAACCTACATTCATTACTTAAATAAAGAGTTTAGCTTTAAGATTAATTGTTTAATTAGAATTTAAAAATTATTTTTGTACATTTGAAATAATTTAAATATTTAAAATTGAGTTGTATTTTTAAAAAAATCATAAAGCCTTTAAAATGCAAAATTTTTTTCATGATTTAATAAACTAGCCAGATGAAAAATCTTAAATGTACGATCTAGATGAAGAATTAGGTTATATATTGCTATTTTAATCATAAATTTAAGCTATAGAGTCATGAGATTAAGCATTTACATTTAAATTACTATTCCTAGGTTTAATAGAGATAACTTAAAGTTACTATTTTTCATTTTAAGTATTAAAAAATTTAATTCGTTTTCTTCTAGGATTCATAGGAATAGATTGTGTAATATCTTCTAAAATTGTAGCACTATTAGGAAACTCTCCTAAATTTGGAGGGTTTTATTCATCATACTTACCAATTTGATCTATACTCTTTAAGTTTATTTGTGATGTTATGAATTTATTTTGTTAAATTTAAATATTGTTTGGTTCAGATATAAAATTTTCTTTTTGCTTAACACTTTTTCTTCTCTTTTTGGCCTTCTATTCAAATGAAGGAACTGTCTTAGCTGCTTTCTTCCTACATAAAGATAAGATTGGTTATAAGAGAGATTTAAAAAGCTCAATTATCAAATCAATTGCTTAAACCATGATTATAAAAGCTGTACAAGAAACAAAGATCCATCCAATATTTATTCTTTCTTCTTCATTTTATTCCTTTGGGTCATCCTTTAATAACCCAGCTGAAAATATAATTATTATTAATATCAGTTCACTGACTCCATTTTTGATGTTATCAAAATTACTAACTTAAGGCATAACGTATAAGTAGTAAGCTCCAACAAATAAGCTTAAAACTGATAGCAAACATACCTAAACATAAGTGTAATCATGTAGATATACTACTATGCATGAAAATATTATTTTTCTAAAGTACAAAAGCATGTTAGTATACTTACTGAATTTTATTTATAACATTTGTCTTTTAGTTTTTTTATTCAATAGGTTAGCTGAAGAATATTTTTCAGTTCCAAAAAAATTTGATGTTTGCTTAAATTAGTCTACACATTTCGAAGAATTAATACAAAAACCTTCTTTTGGCTATTGTTCATAGATATTTAAATTTTAACTTTGTAGTATATTCCCATCTTAACTTCTATATGATTCTTTAGGTGAAAAAATCTTTATTTCTATTGTTTTATCACAAACTTCCTCTTCAATTAATTGTAATTAAGATTTTTTGGTTTTTTAATTTTTTTTTTCATTGATATTTTCCTGATCTTCGTTTTGATTTTAAATATCTTAAAATTCTATTTAATCGTCTTAGTTGAAAAGTTTCAAGCCTCCTATTAAAGAACCGAGTCTCTGATTTAGAAAGGTATCATCTTTAGCATTTTTGGATTTGTAGATAATATGTGTAAACTTTATTGGTATAGCGAAGACAGCAAAAGAACAAATAGCAAATAAAATATAGTTAATCTGAGAAGAATTGTCATAAATTTCAAAGGTGTACACTTGTAGAAGAACTGAAACTAAAACGTAAAGGTAAACTGTACCTATTAGATCTATGAATCCACTATATTCCCATCCTCCTCTTATTTTTTCAGTAATATATTTATTAAACGATTTAATTGGAATAAGTTGTAGGATCTTTAAACTAGTGTATATCACCATAAAGATAGCTTTAGTTTAAAAAAATTTTTTATAAACATTATTAAATTTTATTTATTATTTTTAGTAGTTAAAGGATGTCTTCAAAAAAAATAAAGAGGAATAAATAAAATTTTTTGATAAAGGCAAAAAAATGATTATTTTTAATTTTTTTTAACTTTAATGTTTAATTAAAATAATTTGAAAATTTGAAAAAAATTTCTAAACTAAAAAAATATTAAAAGCAAGTGAGTTTAAAATAATTTACTAATAATTGTAAAGCTTTGCCCTGCTCCATGAAGAAAATAGCCATCAGATTCATTTTCAATAAATTTTTTAGGTGCCCATTACACATAATTAGTATCTAAGAACTTTAAAAGCATATTAGGGATGAAAGCAAATTAAAAGTTTTAAAAGAGACTGCAAAAACTAGTAACATTAAAGGGATATCTGATATCAAGATAGAGAAGGTAGTATATCAATCCAGTGATATCAAGCATGCTAAAAACTATGTAAAAGTTACCTAGGAGGGCTAAAGGAATAACAGTCCCTACAACAGTTGATGTTATACTTTGGCTAGCTACCTGAATATTTTTCTGTTGCTCCTTTTAATTTTGATTCAATTTAACAAAATTTTCTAAGACCACAGTCTCTTCTGTCTTAGACAAATAATTTAGTTAGATAAAACCTTCATCTTTAATTTTCAAAATTCCTCTTTCTTCTTTACAAGTTACATTTAACATAAGATGTATTTTCAGTTACTTTTCAGATGCTTTTTTTATCTTATAGCTATAATCTTCTCTTTTAATTTATGTGATCTGAACTTCAATAATTTAATCAAAGTTATTTTCATCTCTAATTAAAAGCGGTTTTTCAAATTATAAAATTATTTTATAACCTTCGTCTGTCAATTGCATATTTAGGTGAAATTATTAAGATAAATTAATTTCATTAAAAGTTAGATCACAAAATCTATTATTTTCTGATAAGAAGAACCCTTTTTAGCATTTTAAACATATTTTATCAGAATTTAGGGAGCATTACAAGCAATTTTCGACTTTGCAATATTTTTGTTTTTGACACACTTTTCCATTTTCAATTAAAATAAAATTAGGCTTACAAACTTCACAAGTTTCTTCATCTTGAGAAATACATTATTCACAGTTTTCTATATCACATTAGCATTACTCGCACTAACATATTTTTTTTGATGTAATTTCTTCTAATTCACATTTTAAACAAGTATTTTATGGACAGACACAAAAATTACTCTCATTTAAAAATTATCCTTTATGTAAGCAGCTTAAACATTCATTTTTCTATGTACCACTACAAGTTTTACAATCTCCATGACAACTTAAACAAGTATTTTCTTATTTATCTATAAAAAATTGATTTTAAATATCACATTAAAAGCATTCGGTTTTAGAGTTGCTTAAATAAAAGTTTTCAGAACATTTTTAACAAAATGCTCCATCAATTGAACATTGTTAACAATTTTTTATTTTACAATTGCAAATATTAAAATTTAAAGGATCTTACACAAAGTTGTCATTTAAACACTTTATGCAATCTCTTTCTGTTGGTCCATTACAAGTTGAGCATGAAGCATGGCATTTATAGCATTTTTGATTGAATTAATCATAATTAAATTAGGATATATCGCAATATTAACATATCCCGTTTACTTGATAATAATTCATCTAACATTATAAGCATGTAATGCCATCTTCATCACACATTTTACAGTTTTATAAAGCACACTCACATATATTCATATTGCTTAAGTTAGGTTTATAATTTGGTTTTATACATTCGTAACATTCTGTTTTTTATGTGCCAAAACAAGTTTTACAACTTTCATGACATTTCTCACATTAGTTAGAGATTTTATTAAATTAATAACCTTTTTTTTCATCACAATATTAGCAGAAATTCTACTAATTTACATAAAATTCTTAGCATTCTAAGCATTTACTTCCATCGCTATTACAAGATTTACAATTTTTTATTGTGCATGAGCATATATTATTGTTATTTGGGTCTCTTTCAAAAAGTGGTATTAAGCAAGTATCACAATCCCTCTCAGTCGGGCCATGGCAAGTTTTACAACTTTCATGGCATTAATAGCAATTATTATTTAAAATAAATTTTGATTATGATAAATCACAAAATACACATTTATTATCAATTAAAACGAAGTCTTCTATGCACTCAGCACAAGACATAACTGAGCAAGTTTTACAATTTTGAATTCCACAAATACACAAGCTTGTCTTTGGATCTAAAATGTAATTACCCCAAGCACATCTTATGCAATCATATTTAGTTGGGCCTGTACAACTACTACAAGATTCATCACATTTCTTACAAACCCCATTTTCTAAATAGTATCCATTATATAAATCACAATAAATACATTCATTATTCCTAATCGTATAATTCTCGATACACTTTTAGCAATGAAGTCCATCAATCGAACATTCTAAACAATTTTTGAACTTACAAATACATTTTTTACTCATCGAATCCAATATAAAACCACTTTATTTGCATTACTCACAATTATTTTCATAAGGTCCATTGCATTTCATGCAACTAGAATGGCATTCTTAACAAATATTTTCAGGACTAATGAAATATCCATTTTATATGTCACAAAAAGTGCATTTTTTATCTTTAAGTGTGTATCCATCTATACATTTTATGCATTCAATTCCATCTAAATCACATGTTTAGCAATTTTCAATAGTACATTAGCATAATTTATTTATAGGGTCTACTTTAAAAGCTTAAATTTTGCAATCAATGCAATCTGTTTTTAGAGGTCCTGAACATGTTTAACATGAACTGTCACAAGATTTACAAATATTATTAAATATGTATTTGCCTTAAGCAATATTGCACTCACTGCAATCTCTTCCAACATAACCTTCCTTGCATTTGAGGCAGCTAAAACCATCTAGCGAACATTCAATACAATTACTTAAATTACAAACACATCTTTTTGATTAATTGTCAAGAATAAGATTTCCTTTGCAAGTTAGACAGTTTAACTCTGATCCCCCATTACAAGTCTTACAAGAATAATGACATTATTTGCAATTTTTAGAGTCATCTATATATTTTCCATCATTTATTGTACAAGTAAAACAAGTTTTATCATCAAGCAAAGTTGAACCTTCAAAGCATGTCAAGCATTAATTATATTAGCCTCCTGAGCAAGTCTTACATGAGGAGTGACATTTCTTACATTATCCATCAGAGTAATAGTAACCTTTATCTATTTTACATACATCACAAGTTTTACTGATTTTGTTTATGAAATGTCCTGGCATTTCTAAACATTCTGATTCTTTAGCGCAGGCAGAAATATCTTCAACTACAAACCTATCTTTTTCACATCTATTACATTCATATATCTTAGGGCATTTAACACAATCATAATTGCATTGCATACAAACACCATCGAAAACTTCATGCCATTCTTTACAGGTTTCCTAGCATGATCCATCGTAATATTTAATATATTTGGAATTGACGCATTAGTCACAAACAATTTATTTCTTATCTTCCCTCAAAGATTATTATGAGTAGGATTTACAAGACGAAGATTTTTTAAAGCAGAAATCTCCAATTTTTAATATTTCATTTGAAGGATAAATGCATTTCTTTTAATCAAATCCATCAAAGCAAGCTGAGGGAGAGCATTTTAGACATTAATTTTAATCACATTTTTCGCAAGGACCATAAATATCACAACTACTACATTTTTTATTTGGAAGATCAATAAATTAGTTAAGATTGCATTTAAAGCATAAGTTTCCAATTTAAGTAGATCCATTTTAGCATAAATAGCAAGTATTAAAATCTGGATATATCATATACGAATTGTTCAAGCATGAAACGCATTTGGAGTCTTTGCAAACACATTATGACTAATCACAGCCAATTGTGCATTATAGATCCCAAACATTATAGCTCAATCCAGGTGGGCAATCTTTTTAGCAGGATCCATCTAATCTTTATGTTAAACCGTATGGAGGTAATGATAGACAAAGAAAGCATTCTCTTTATGCACTATAAGTTGATAGGGAATTACAAATACTACAACTTGAGCATTCTATACAAAATCCATTATTTTCAAACTATCCTTTAGGACAAGTTAGAATCAGTTATCTATGACGCTATAAGTAGAACTCTTCTTTTTTTGTATTTTCACTATTAATTTTAATTAATAATAGTACAGTTAAATACTAATTTATCATTCTATTAATGATATTCAAGTAAAAATAAAATCATACATTCTTGCATAAACAGTTTAAAATGTATCTTAAATTAATGAGATCTGCTACTAATTAATACCATTATCAATGTATTTTAATTTTAAAAACAATTTATCCATCTTTTATTTCAATGGAATGTGTATATCGACCTACTTACTCGTAAGCTCATTCACATTATTGTATTATTCTAAGACTTAGCTATTTTAATCTAAAAGCATAATCTTGAAATCGATGTTATTTCTACTTATAATTTTTAAATTTTAAATGGATGAAATAGTCAACAAATAAGTCATTTTACATTAAGAAATGGTCTTGGATAGGATTTTAGAATTGCAGAGTAATAAAACAATAAAGGTTACATTACTGCAGCTTATTTTCTATTATCTCTAGGTCTACCTCAAAAACAAATGAATGAGTATTAATATCTGATTCTTTGGAATCAACAGCATATTTACTGCTTGCGAAAAGATCTAAAATAAATTTAAACATAAATGTAAATTAACTAAAAATTAACTAAAATACTACTTTAAGTTAGTTGTGTCAGATGTAAAATTAAAATAAAGACATTCATGCTTAAATATTGTTTTTAAATAGAGTCAGTAGAAATTTTAAATGATTTTTGCTTTCTTGTTTTTTGCTTGCTTTTTGTTAATTTTGCAAAATTTTATTAAAAAAATCAAATAATTTGTTATAGTTAAGATCTAAAAATATAAAATATACTTTATTCAAGCTTATAACAATAGCAAAAATATACTCGATGCTTAACTAACATTCATAAAAAAGAGGATATTAAATAACTAGTACTAACATACATGTCGTAACTAGTCTAGTTTTATTAAAAAAGATTACCTTTAACCATATATTAATTATGTTAAAAGTATTTGATTCTATCATTTATTTATTATTTAATTTTTCTTGATCCAGTAAATAAATTTAAATTTATTAAATTTAGTTATATAGAATTTTTTTTGCATATAATTTTTACTACTATAAATAGAAATTTTAAATAAATTATTTATTTTAAGTAATATGTAATTTTTAATTTCTTTTTGCTTTTCAAAAATATTTTTTTTATTTATCATTTATATATTTTAAAAGAAAAAAGAATACAAAAGAAAAAAGAAATAAAATTTGTATTTTTTTTTGAGTTAATTTGTTATAATTTTTAAAAAGTATGTATTTATAGAGAATCAGTGATTTAAAATATGCTTGCTACCAATAATATAATCAAAATAAATGATTAAAATATTTTACAATATAGATTTCTAAATTAATTATTTTTAAATAGTACAAATAATTGAATAAATTAATAAAAAAATTTTGAATAAATTGTTTTAAAATAAAAAATTGAGGGATGAAAGGATTTTTTTAATTTTTAAAAAAATGTCAAATATTTAGAACTAAAAGCATATCTTATATCTTGGTATATTTTATATAATAAAAAATATTACTCTTATTATTATTAATTAAGAGTAAAGATCTATCATTTAAATTAATTAATTTTTCTATATCTAGTTAATAATTTATAATTTAGCTCTTCAGAATATCCTTTAGTTTTAATTTTGAGTGCTATAAAATTTAATATAAATTATTTCAGTAAAACAATATTTAACCATTTAAATGTTTATTGTTAATAAATAATATTTTACTTATTATATTAATTATTTTAAAATTTTGAATAATAAAAAAATTATAAGAAAATCTGATATTGTTTTTGAAATTGCTTACTTCTAAAGAATTACTTATTTTAAAATTAAACTAATAACATTTATGTTTGTTTTCCAAAATATTCTTATTAAGGTAGTCATTAGTCATAACAAAAAATTTGATTTATTAATTAATTTTATTATTTTGATTTACTAGATTAATATTTTAATTTAATTTCTAAATTTCTATAATTAAAAAAATAATCAAAAATGTTAATTTAATTAAAAATTTAAATAAAAGTTTATTTTCATTTTGATAGTTTTTTTTATTTCTAATGATTATATGAAATGATAAATTATTTATAAAATATATTTTTTATCTTCCTTTTAAATATTAAATTAATAACCTTATTTTGTAATAGTTAATTTCATTAATTAGCAGTTAAAGAGTATATTTTTAAAGCTTTATTTAATATTGAGCATTTTATAAACAGTAAAATAAATATGATTTTATGCAATATTTAAATATAAATTGCTTGTTAGTAATAGGGATATAATATTAATAAAACTAATTTAGTAATTAATTGACTTGTTAAATTTTGAGTAAATTTTTAAATTAAAAGCAATTTTTAAGATAAATTATTTTTGTATAAATTATCAATTAGGCTTTTTTATTAGTTTATTATTACAGATCACATTAATATTTAATTAAATTTTTTTTAACTATTTATTATTTTAGGTTTAATCTCTCCTTCTTACTTACCTCAAATATTTTTGTTATTAGATTTATAATCAACAAAATATATCAAAGAAGGTAGAATAAAAATTTTTTGGATATTGATATTAAATTTAAAAATACCCAAAAAATATACAATTAATTTGTGGTTTTTAATATTTCTTTAATCTTATTCGCATATTGACCATAGATTTATTTTCTATGGTTTCAACTCAAATCTAGTATCACTTTTGTATTATAGTAAATTAATTGAGTTTCAACTTAATTAAATCTATTATTCGGTTTTCAGCTTAAAATTTTAAGGAGCTGCTGAAGAATACACTTATTAAATAGAAGTGATGCTAACTTTACTAAATTATTCTGATTCAAGTGTTTAATCTGGAGAGCAATAGTGGCTCTCAATAGGGGAAGGTTGCAATTTAATAAGCGACTATGATATTTATATGCAATGAGTGGTAATGACTAATGAAAGATCCTAGATAATTTCAACTGAAAAAACAGCTGTTTAGTTTTCTTCGTCTATTTCGCAAGTGTAATAGCTGTTCAAACATATCTTTTTTAACAACTTATTAAAATAAGATGTATAAGCTTCATAGAGAGAAGGATATTATAAAAGATTATATTAATTAAGGAAATCTCTATACTAAGTATTATTATTTTTCTAATTATTTATAACCACTTCTAATTTTATAGCAGAGGAAAATTTAGTTTCGCTGGGCTTAATAATTATCTATTTTATTTCAGTGGGCTTAAATGAGCTGACAATGCCTAAAATAATACTAAATAAAGCTGATTTATTAGACTTTATAATCTCACTTTTCAAATTGTTTACATATTAAATATGTGTAAAATCTTCGTAAAGTATTTAAATTTATTTGATAACTTATTGAATAGAAAACTCCTCTAAAAATGATTGGGTTAGCTCAAATTTTTTTAAGAATTTCAAGACTTGTTTAATAGAAATTAATTATCTTTGTATTTCTTTGACAGATATTTGACCCATTTACATAATTTAAGTTAATTTATCATCTAAAAACGAAGCGAAGGATTAAAATAGTTGGGACTCGTTATTTTTAAGGGTCCTCAAATTCATAAATTAAGAATAGATAGTAATATCTTCTAGAAATATTACAATAAGAGGCTCATTAATAAATATTGGTACTAACTTTACATTATATTTAATAGTCTTTTTTGTTGTCGGATCAATCCAATTTACTTTTAGATCACCTTTTAATATTTATAATTAATCAGAGTCATCAAGCTATTTTTATTGTTTTTTGTTTTTCTACTTTTGCTATATCATTTATTCTTGCTTTTTTTACATCATTTCGTTATATACTTATGAATGTCTTATTAATAGTACATCTTTTAAAGACTCTAACTTTGTATTGTGTCCCTTATTGACTAGGAGAGTTTGCGATAACTATGCATTCTCCACTATTTTAAGGGATTACAGATAAGAGGTATAAGCTTCTTGATTTTTCTGAATATTTAATTTCTTAGCTTTTTCATTACAATCTATTTATTTATAATACCATTAAGTATGATTAATTTTTCATCCATTAAACGTCAATTAGATATTTAAAAAAGTCAATTAAATTACTATCATTAATTCATTCATTAAATAAATAAATATTTGGTATTTATAAATTAATTAAAAAATTATCATTCATTGATTCTTTCATTCATTAAATTAATAAATATTTTGAGTAAATTAATTATTACCAATCAAATGCATTTCGTACGTGCGGGAGTTAAACTATTAAATGATTAGAATGTTGGATTAAACAACATCATTGATTTTCTCCAACTATTAAAAATTTTTGAGGGTTAGGAACAATCTTCTTGAATTCATGTTATGGTAATGCTTGTATGTTATGATTATAATAAAGGACATTATATAAACTTCCAAATATTCAATTGGCATAGTCATGTAGTATATAATTATACCAAAGTTTACACACATACTGACTACTTCTAGGGGAAAATTTTGGGACTCAAGGGTGTAATAAATCACTTGCATCTAATTGAATATTTAAAAAAATATAAAATACTTTATGTGAAATGTTAGCATAATAAATAGTATTTACCATTCCATTTTGAAAATTGATTTAGAAAGTACTTAAATTAGTAGAATTCACTTTGTTATAATCTTGCAAGTAGGTCTAAACATTAAAAGTAGAGTATATCTAACCCATAATTAATAGATATTATTAGAAGCGTGAGGGGATAAATCTGAAAATAACCATGAAAGCTGAGCATGCAATAAGCGTCTAAAGTTCATTTTATTGATCTATGCCTAACATTAATCTCATAGAAGCCCATATAATCTCTGCCAAAACAACTAAATAAATAGGTATCTTTCTCTACATAGTTATAAAAAATAATATTAAATTAATATATTCTAACGTTAAGATAAGTATATCTAATTGAACTACTTTTGGCTCTAGGCTACTATGAAACTATCTTTCTAGCTTCGGGCTTTTGAATTTAGCTAAGTAGATATTAATGTGATCTTGTTTGAAAAACTGCATTTTTATGCTTTAATATTTAGTGATTGTTAATTCTTTTTTTAATATTTAATTATTAAGAATAATCTAAAATCTCTTTAAGTAAACAAATATACATTTAGTAAAAAACTGTGTATTTTAATTACTGTATAAAATCATATAAAAAATCGTATGCTTATTTTTAAGCTAAAAATAGCAATAGGCATGCAAAATACAAATAAATTTTTTAATGTTATAATTTATTATTAATTTGTATAAAGATAAACAAACAGAAAAATAGAAACTTTTAAAATGAAAAAAGCATTATTATTAATATATATAAATAGTGATGTTAATTAAAGTATTTAGAAGGAAAAAAAATATTTAGAAATTAACTTCACAATCACTAATAATTTAAGTTACTGTCTAAGTTTTGCACTATATCAAAATTTTATGTTTGTAATGAAGCTAAGATAGTTTAAAAATAGCCTAAATTTTAATTTACAATACAAATCAATGTAAAAGAATTTTTATTTACCATTAATTTAAATTCAAATATTTATTTACAATTTTCATTCAGTTTATTGTAAAACCTGTTTACATTTAATTTTTAATCAATGTATTTCAAAATTATTTTAAGCACAAAAAAATAACATTGCTTTACCTATGGAATTCATAAATAATAAAAAAACAATTTATTTTACAAAAGAAAACAAAAATCAGAAAATTAATTATAGCATATTTATAAACTTTTTTATAATATCTCACTAATCCTATTTTATGTAAATAATATAAAAAAAAACTAATAATTAAAAATTTACTGGCTTATAAAAATAAATATAAACTGTTATTACTTTTCTAAATCTATAAAAAATGCAAATAATTATGATCTAAATAAATATTTTAATTCTATAATGTACTTAATTTTTCTTAAATAAAATGAATTAAAAATATTTCTTTTATTATTAATAAACTTTTACCTAAAATAAATATGATAAAAATACTATAAAATTTTTATTTGTGAAAAATAGAATTGTAAGCATTAATGATTTCAAAAATAATCTAAGTAAAATTAATTTTGTAATAGCTTAGTAATTACTAACTCATTTATTCTACTTTCTTTAACCTTAACTGAAAGTTTAATTTTGGAAAAAAACACTAAAATTTTTTAAAACAGTAATTGATTTTATTTTTAACTACTGTCTCACTTAATTTTTTAATTAAATACTTTTTTTATTATTATTTATAATAAAAATAAATAAATGTGAAATTAAATAATTCTATTTAATTTTTTTAAAATAATAAATCATAAATAAAAAAATTGTATTATTTAAAAAAAATAAATACAAGGCTAATTTAATTTTTAAATTTTAAAAATAAATATTAAATAAAAATTTATTATTTATTTAAAAAAAAAAATTATTATTTATTTGTTAAATAGAATTTTAAAAAAATAAATGAAAATAATTATTTTATTATTTAATGAAAGGCATAGTTTTAAGAAGTTTTTAATCACAATTTTAATAAACAATAAAAAGTTTTACTAAAAAGAAATAAATTCTTATCTTCAATACTAAACATTATCAAAAACTTTATTTATTTTCAAGTGTTTTTGAAATACTTGTTTAATTATAATAATTGGTTTAATAATTCTTCTAACAAAGATTATTTACTTTGCGCTTTTTAAAAAATGTAATTTTTTTTCTTTTATTTTTTTTAAATATTTTTAAATAATAGGTCTTAATAAATATCGTTTAAAATTATTAAAATTCATCATATATTTTATCTAAAAAATTATTTTTTCTATTTAATGTAAATTGAGAAAAATCTTTATTTACTGTTCAAAATCTCTATTTTATTTCTGTAACTAAAGCTAATGTTAACATAGAACCTTATTATCGTTATTATTAGATTGAAAATTTTTGTGCTTAACTTTGATAAGTAAATTTAGTTTTATCATACAAATTAATTTTTTTTGGCAAATCTCTCTGTTTGTGATTTTTGATCATTCATTTGAAAATATATATTTTGAATTTATTAATTTTGTTGATTTAAAATAAAATGATTTAAATTTATTGCGAAAATTGTAGTAGGCAGCTCTATGCAGCAAAAGATGGCAATAAGTATAAATTCCAAATAGAAATTCTTTCATTGATTGATTTTAAGAAAATTGGTAAATAAAGCCTTTATAAAAGAATTTGATATTTAATAAATAGGTGCTTTTATTATTAAAACCTTTATGTACAGAAAATATATTGTGCTCATCAGAAATTAGATCTGGACAAAATAAGATTAAAGTTAAAGATATATTCTTTTATAATATAATAAATTCTTTAATAAAAGTACAAAATAATATTTACTCCCTAATGAGATTGCTTGTCACAGATCCTCTCATTGCTATATAAAATCATCATCTAACTTTTTAAAATTCTTATTATTATTTTAAATTAATTAATTAATAAAAATATAATTTGAAAATTTGTTTGTTAATCAAATGAAACTTTTACTTGGCTCTTTGATTTTAATTGGTTTGAGCTTATCTGCTTTGACCTACTTGAGTTTGGAAAAACCTCACCATGATCTCGAATCTATTCAAGATGTTAAACAACAATTCGAAAAGTACTTATAGTAATTCGGTATTGTCATCAAGAATGCTGAAGAACGTATTTACAGATTGAAGGTCTTCATTTAAAACGTTGCTGAAATTGTTGCTCACAATAAGCTTTCCAACAAGACCTACACTCAAGGTATTAACTAATTCGCTCACATGACTGATGAAGAATTTGCTCAAACTTATCTTACCCTTGAAGATCGTGAAAAGGAAACTCTTAACATCTAATAATTCTAATCAAATGATATCCCTGAATCTGTTGACTGGAGAACCTAGGGTGCTGTTACTGAAGTTAAAAACTAAGGTGGCTGTGGTTCTTGCTACGCATTCTCTGCTGCTGGTGCTCTTGAAGGTCTCCACGCTTAACAAACTGGAAACTTAACTAGCTTCTCATCTCAACAAATTATCGATTGCTCATGGAAATACCATAACCACGGTAATATTTTTTATATATTCATAATTGATCATAATAATTAACTATTATTTAATTAATTATAAAGGATGCCACGGTGGTTTCATGGATAATGTTTTCAATTACGTTAAAGATCACGGTATTGAACTAGACTAAGAGTAAAAACTTAATTATTCAAATAGAAACAATTAGTTAATTATATTTATAAAATAAAAGCTATCCTTATGTTGGTCACGTCCACTTATTCAAATGCTTGAATAACCCTGATGCTTACCACTATTCTATCAAGGGCCACTATGATATTAAGGCTGGTGATTGCCAAGGTTTATAAGTAGCTATTGCTTAACAACCTGTTTCAGTTGCTATTGATGCTAGAGTACTTAAGAAATACAGTTCTGGTATTGTTACTGAATGTGGTAGAAGAATTAAGCTTAACCACGGTGTTTTGGCAGTTGGTTACGATGCTGATTCTTTAATTATCAAGAATTCTTGGGGTACTAGATGGGGTGAATAAGGATACTTCAGACTTGGCAAGAATAACACTTGCGGTGTTTGCTAAGCTGCTTCTTATCCTATCCCTCTTTGATTCAAATTAAATTGAAATTATAAATTTTAAAATGTATTAAATTTTTATAGCGTTGTCTAATTTTTTCAATAAAAAACTTCTACCAAAAAAAAAAAAATTATATTTGAATTTTTTAAATACTTTTTTTTCTACTTCATTTTAAGAATAATTTTATTACTTAATTATTTGCATTTAAATGATGAATTTTTAATATATATACTCATATTTATTCTGCATAAAAATAACATTAAAATTTAATTGCCATAGCGCAGATAATTGTCTAAAAATATTGATAAAAATATTCAATTTTTAAAAAAGAACTTTAAAGAATAAACAAAAAATTAATTTCATAAAAAAAAATACATAAAGGATAAAAATAACTCAATTTAAAAATTTAAAGGAGTAAGAACACAAATCATAAAATTGATTTCCAAAAAAAACAGTTTACAAATTAAAAAAATATTGCAAAAAAAATTTAATGGGATGCATTTAGAAGAAAAAAAGACATTCTTTAAATATCTTTGAGTTAGCTGATAAATAAGCTGAATAAATCCTTAAAATTACCAAAATAAAAAAAACTACCTAAATAAAAGTACTTGAGTAATAAATTTCATAATAAATTAAAATTATTTCACTATAATTTTACTAAAAAGAGGATCTTACCTTAAAATAACTGAGGCATAAAAATATAGGAATAATATAAATATTCATAAAAATACATTTGAAATTAGTCTGATAGCTGAGGGGTAATCGATTAATTAATTTTATCTAACTTATTTTTAATAATTTTAATCATTTCAAGTAATACTAATTATGAAGAAGATAAACACCAATGCTCATTATTTACATTGATATCTGATATTGATACTATCTAAAAGCTTTAAATAGAAACACAAACGTACATATAAATTTTCATATAAATTAACCAGTAAAAATTATTTTATAAAAGTAACATTTAGCTAAATCCTTAATCGTATCTCTTTTTGGAGAAAGTCTTTCATAAATTGGATAAACTATTTATGTTATCATTCATTATTGGATTGTAAGTTTATTGGCTATTTTTTCAGCTCTAAAATCTAATTAATTTACTTTTTTACACTTAATTTCTAGTTAATAAGTAAATTTTAATATATTCTTATTAAAAGTAATAATAAGTTAGGTGTTGAAGGTAGCAAAAATTTAAGTCATTCTATTCTGTAGTGTTCAAATTTAAGATATTTAGTTTTAAAAATTATGGAGTAAAGTATTATTTTTCATGAATAATAAATTTACATTTTTGAAAGTAATAATTTACTAGGAAGTGAAGGAGGAAAGCATATTGGAGAATCATTTTAAAACTGCAAACATTTAGAAAAATTAGAATATACTATTAATTAGTATTTTACATTTACAAGATTTATCTTTTAAACTATTTTTTTATTTTAAGTGGTAATAAAATATCTATTTAAGGTGGATAGTCTCTGTCTAAAAGTTTGCTAAAATGCCATCAGCTAAAATAAATCAAACTGATAATTGAAAGGTAAAGTTTAATTTATTTAGGTAAACATATTGATTAAATAATTTATTATAGTGATAATGAGTTAGAACCTTAAGGAGGGATAGCAATTGGTTAGGGTCTTAAGAGTTGCTCAAATCTTATAGATTTATACATAGATATAGGAAAGTATATTTTGGTATTTAGAATTTAAATAATTCTTTTTAAGAAATAATATAGGTTAAGAGGGTGTATCTTAAATTGGGATGAGTTTATAGAGCATGTAAAATTTGTAATCATTAGATCTAAATATTTAAAAGTAATTACTACAATTTTAAAATTAAATACAGGTTTATTATTATAAAAGTTAAGCTATTTTTTAAACCATAATTATTTTTTACAAATGTATATTTTTTTATTGATAAAGTAATAACATGTAAGAAGCTGGATCTATTAAATTAAGTGAAGGCATTAAAGAATTATAACAATTACTCTCTCTTAAATTAAGCATCGGACAGTAAGTATTTTATAAAAGCATGAATCTTAATATTTTTAGTTATAATAACATTTAGGAAAAAGGGGCATTGTCTATATTTAAATCTTTTGCTAATTTGCATAAACTATAAATATTTGTATTTAGATTAGGCTAGTTAAATTATATATAATAAAAAAGTCTTGCTTTATTAGGGTTATCTTTAAAAGGACTTAAAAATTTACAATATTGCATTGTTTCATTAATAAAGTAAATTAATTTACCAACAATATTTAGCCATTTTAATTTATAATTATGAACAAATAGGCATGAAAATAATTTATTTAATGATTAATCACATCTTTAAAATAAGATAAAGCATTCTCCTAAATTAATAAATTTTTGTATGTATTTATCTTGATTAAAAATATATTAAATTATTTATTCCTTAAAAATATAAATTGAAAAATATATTTTATACTTTGTTTGCAGTCATAATAAAATTTTTACTCTTAAATCTATAATTTATATTTAATAATAATTTTTATGTAAAAATAACCAATTTTTTCTATCTTTTTGATATTTACTTTATTATTTTATTTTTTTTATTTCAAATATTTTTATTTATCTTGAAAATTTAGTTTAAATTGACTTTTTGTGTCTTTAATTGTTTAAGATTTTTATTAAAATAAATAATAATCATTTGCATATTTAAATTATTTTTTTTAATGAGTGAATAATTAATCATTTGTATGACTTCCTAAACTTATTTTAAAATTTGCTGTTTCAAAATTGTATTAATTAATGTTTATTTATTGCAAATTAAATTAATGATAATTAAAAAGTTTTACTTTAATAAATATTAATGATGAGTAAATTTATTAAATTTTTTCTTAAAATAAAATTTAATTGTCGATAAGATAAATAGTATTTTCATCTTTGCTTTTAGATATTAACTTAAAAGACTCTTAGTTGTAAAGGTTTTAATTTAATATTTTTTTATTCTATTTTATAAAATTAAAAATATTTAATTATTTAATCAGAATAAATAAAAATCATACCTATTTCTTTTTTGAGGTCTATCTATTTCTGCTAGTATATTTTTCCATTTTCATCTTCCCATTTCATTTATTTTTAATACCAATCTTACTTACTTTAGTTAGCAGTAAGAGTAAGTTCTTCCATAATTTAGAAATTTGAAGGTATTTCAAAGTTAGCCTCTTAGTTATCATTAACGTTATAAAGCCTTAGAGTATAGTGGTCTTGGTATATTTTTAAGTAAACTCTGAGGTAAATGTTGCTATTTTTAAAGATGTTATTAACATTTTTATTAACTTTAAAGTTAAAGAATCCTTTATCAGATTCAGCAAAGAATATTAAAGGAGAGGCATCAAGTTCATTTTAAACTCTTCTAGAAAGCTATCCATTTTAGCTTTCAAATACAATATAGTGCCTGATCTTTTAAAAAAGACCAATTTATTTACTTTCATTATCTGTTTCATTTAAAGATTCTCCAACGCCTCTATTATCATCTCGAAGAATTCTTTTTAAAAATTGATTTTAACTAATTCGATCAAAAATTAGAAATTTTACCTTCTGTGAATCATTAATTCTAATTAGCCTTCTTTTAGTGATGTACCTCCCTAAGATCTATCATTCACTACAGAAATTTATTCCTTTTTATCTTCATCTTAGATTTAAATCATAGATCCAATAGGATAATAATTTCCACTGACTTATTCATGAACCTAAAAATAAAAAAATAGATAAGATAATTTAAAATTAAAAAGAAAAATAAATACTTTCAAATCCCATGTAGGTCTAAAATTCAATATTCTTTTTTACAAGCTTAAACCATTAGAATCAGTGTAGAATGTTTTTTTGTTCTTCAAATTTGTATTAACAATCATTACAATCTCTTTGCCTTTACCATCAGATATATTAATTGGATCGATAAAGGTTTCAACTTCAACAATTTTGTCAAAATTATTAAAGTAAAATCTCAATTAAGTGGTTGTATGTTCTCCTTATAATACAACTATTGTTACCAGTTGTCCTCTGTAAATTGTCTATAATAAAAATATTGAATTAATTAATTAATAAATAATATTTTTTTCATAATTAATTTTGATTGTAATTCTATGAACTAAAAATAGGAAGTTAGTATCATAACTTAAATAAAAATAATCTTAATATAATTTTAGTTAAGCAATAGAAGTCATTTTAAGAAAATTAAATAATTATTCTAAGTAGATTAATTTTAAGAGATTTTGGTTAAGAATAATAATAAAAAAGAAGGCTTTACTATATTTTTAATCTCAGAGTAAGTATGAGTTTGATCGTTATCAGGCCTAAAAATGTAAGCACCAGAAGATTAACCTGAATTTTATGAGGAATAATAAAAGTTATATTGCAATGAAAAAGAATATTCTTTAAGCTTTTAAGCTTCTAAGCCTGATTGCTCTTCTGCTTCCCATACCTAGTACAAAAATGATGGTTTTTTCAAATCAACTTTTAGCGTTGATAGTTTAGATAACTCAATTACTACTTATTCTTACGAGCTTTTAATGTCCATAGGTTGAATTTTCTATTAATACTTAGAATCTTAAAAGATAATTTTATAGTACTAGAATGAGTAACCTTCAAATTTATCTTTAAAATACAAATCGCAATTCTTTTAGTTTTTAGGGTGAGAACAAATTAAGTCAGCTTTTTTAAGAAAAGATACATTTTTAATATTAATAAAGTAAAATTTTAGTGGAAAAAAATTACCTTGCAAAAATTCATTTTTTTAGTTTATTACAGTGATATTTGCATCAGGTACTTTTATCCTGATATTAATAACTCTAGTAACCGATGGATTATAAATATTAACTAGAACAGGTTTTTTAGCATTTATTTATGAAAATGTTATATTACATTACGATGCTGTAACATTCCAGTTACATTACTGATAGTTAACATCAGATTCACTAATATCTTACAGTGTATATTCTCTAAGCAAAGGATTTAAATAATCTCTAATTTTAGAATACCCATCGCATATTCTATATATGTAATCATTCACAACATGCTGCTTTTCAGTACCAGATACTGCATCGTGATGCATTAATGCAGCCATTTACTATTTTTATTTATTTTTTTCAAAAAAATAATTAAACCCTGATTTAGTAATTAAGAAAATAATTCTTTCATTATTAATACTGATCATATTTGCTAAAAATTTGTAAATAATTTAGAATAATTAATTACCTCTTCAAAATATTGTAAAGATTATTAAATTTTGTCTGAATAACTTTCGAAATGTTAAGTTCTTCTGGAAATATGCTCAAAAGAAAATATATTTCTAATCGCTTATAAGTATCTTCCACTTTCTTTTGTCAATCCTTTTAATGAAGGACGAGAAGTAAAATATCCTGTCCAGTAAGCACTTTAAGTATCAGCATAAGGATAAAAATCGTGATTGTTAACAGGCCATTTTTTCTATTGCTTGTTAATTTCCTTCAAGTATTAAGATGGTGTGGAGTATTGGATGACCATCCCAAATTCGTCACTTCTCTTATTAATGTACTCAATTAAGAGATCGATGCTATCGAACCACACCTCAGAATGACTAAAAGTAAAATCTTCTCCCATAGTGTGTATTAAATGATTAGTTTAAAAGCTTTATCTCATTTGCTAGAAGTAGTTTACGAATTCTATAGCTTTTTAATGCACATTACTTTAGGTTACTTGTTAATCTCTTTCAAAGAAGAAATCTTTTTTAGCGATTAAAAATAAAAAATTGTAATTAGTATCCTTGATCCAATTAAATATTATTCAAGTATAATATGTGCCTAAAAAATAAAGTAGGGCTTTTAATGAAAACACTTTACAAAAGACAGGATAAGAAATATTTTTAAACTTGAAGTTTGAAAGTAAATAATATTAATTAATTTTTAAGAAAAATATATTGTAAGTTAACCAAATCAAATAATGGTCAATTTTGGTAATATTATTAATAATAACAATTAAATACTTCTTGGAGGAGAATAGTGTTAATAATTAATAGCTGAAAAGATGTAAGCATCTTCTTCATATTCTTTAGGATGCCAAACCATCTCAAGTCTTTTGTTTTATTTTCTGTAATCAAAATCTTAGTAATCTACTCTTGCAAACCATTGTGCATTGAATCCCATCTAGCTAAAGAGTGCAGCATTTGTTTATTAATGCCCAAACGGGTCAATTTACCATCCTATCTCAGGAACAACACCAAGATTTTCTTTTACCCACTAATGCCCTACAGTCATTTGGTCAATGATATCTTCAAAGTAGGTAGTAGCCTCGTCATGCATTGTCCATCCGCCATTTATAATTTCGATTTTTCCACTTTGGACCATTTCTTTATATTTGTTGCGTACCTCTTCATTTTAATTTTTCCACCACATATTTAAGAAACCAATTTCAACTTGTATATATTTTCTTTCATTATTTTTTTAGATTTCGCTGTAGACTGAATTAAGAATATCTCTGACATCTGTAAAACCCAAATAATATTTATTGAAACAAAAAAAATAATATAAATTAATAAATAATTACTTCCATATTCTTATCCAAATTGAATTATCCTATTACTATAGTATTCGTCAATTGTGTATAACCATCCATAGTCGTCATGTGAATGAGGGATTAAATGAACATAGATAATGTTATCTGTTTAGCATTTAATTAAGTGAATCAATACAAAAAGAATTAGCATTATTTATTTTTTTTAATAATTTCAATTTATTTCTTTTAATTTTCAAATAAATATTTTATAAGTAAGGAAACTTTAATTAAATTTATAACAGCTAATTACAAGCCTATTTATTAGGTTTCTATTTTTACCTTTAAATATTTTACACAAGTAATCTAGTGATAATTAAACTGAAAAAATTTTTATATAAATATAAATTATATGTGTATAAATTCATATCAAAAAATGTAAACTCAGAAACTCTACTAAATGTGTTTAAAATTAAGTTTGTTTGAATTTAAATAACAGAAAAAAAACAACCAAAATTTAAATAAACTCTAAATCGTTATTAATTTTAATTTTAGTTGGCGTTAAAAATCTCAAAATTAATCCTTTTTTTGTTTACAGTTTTTTATTTCTTAATTAATAATTTTTTTTAAAGAGATCATAGTGCGAGAGGAATTTTTGAATTAGTTAATTATTATTTCAGGTGGCTACTCTAAATGTTTACCTTTTTTTACAAAAATATGGTAATAATAAATTTAATCAAATAAATATTAAAATAAATTATTTATTGGGATTAAAGTGTATTTTAATTTAAATTATTAAAAGATGTATATTTTATAATCAGCTTTGAAATTGGGTTGGTATTTTAAGTAATTTTAGAAAAAATACAGAAAAAATTTGAAAATTATTGTTAAATATAATTTTTATATTTATTGAAAATAATTTAAAGGTTTTTCCACGTTACTAATAACTGTAAAATTTAATTTTTTTCAGTTGTATTTAATAACTAGAGGAGAATTTTAATTTAGTGGCACTCTTTGTTCCATCCAATCAAACTACAACTCGATATTTCTTTAATAAATAGTCTTATTTTAATATTATCAATTTAAACATTAAAATAATGAGTGCTAAAATGTTATAAAATAATATGTAATACCTGATACACCTATTTTTCATATTTATAATTAGAAAGTATGAAATTATATGCCATACATTTATTAACAAACATAGACTGTAAGATAAATAAATCTTTATTTATTAGAAAATTATTTTTTACATAAGGTTTTAGAATTGAATATTTCAAAGGAATAACTATTATCTCAAATATTTAGAATAAGAAACCTTTAAATGTATCTTCAAAGTACATCAAGTTGTATCTTTATCTTCTTATGGGTTTGCGCTGATGACATTAGCTTTATAAAGGAAATCAAACTTATTAACTAAATTTTGATAATTTACGAAATTTTAACATTTAAAACAAATTATGAATATAATCGAAATTTTTTCCTTGTCAATTACTATCAAGCTATTGACAGGTTATATATCATTTTCAAGACTGGCATGTCTTCTCTAATCTATTTTTAGCCTAAATTAACTCAATTAAGTAATAGTGGTATTTCAGTTGCATCAAACATAGATAAAGTAATTAACGTTTATTTATTTTATAGCATATATTTGAAACATATGTATCCTTTTTCTAATCGTTATATGTAATCTTCAGCTAGTTTAACCCTATCTGTAGTAGAAACTGCTTCATGTTGCATTAACATGGTAACTTATTAATTAATAAATAGAATAAACAAATTAAAATAAAATTTTATGACACAGAAATTGTTTGTTTTATTCAAATTTCTTTAATTAAAAAACTGGCTTTTTTATATATTATTTGTTTAAAATCTCCTAATTGTCAAAAACTGTTGCCTAGATTAAATATAAATTTTGATTAGTTATACGAAAAAAAGAAAGAAAAAACGAAACAAAGATAGATTAGGTAAATTATATTTACTCTTGATATTTTTTGTGTTTTTAGATGATTTTTTTCAAATTTATTAATTTTTATGTTCTCTATCTTTAAATAAGATCAATCTACCTATAGTTTTTTATAATAGAGTGAAATTCCTATTTAATTTACAAAAGGCAAAATGTAATTTATCTTAATAACATAATAAATACAGCTAAATAAGCTTAATACATCTTTATTTTTGAGTTTTTAGAAAGCTTTAAATTAGCAAAATATAAAATTTCAAATAATAGATACCGTATATTCTTATAACATATCATTTTTTTGATTTTTTTTACATATTCTTAAAGAGCAAATATTTCAAAATTTTTAATGAAAAATTAAAAATTAAAATATTTCCCTAAAAGCTTGTAAATTATCTTAATTAAATAAAAAAATTAAATTTCGCTTATTGTAAATAAAAATGGCATTTTACTCTAGTATAGAATACAAAATATGTTAAAATTATAAATATTAATTAGTAAATTTATTAAATTTTCTATTTAAATCAAATTAGATAATTAGTAAGATAAATAGTATTTCATCTTTGTTTTTTGATATCAACTTTAAAAACTCTTAGCTACAAAGGTTTTAATTTAATGTTTTTTTATTCTATTTTATAAATTAAAAATGTTTAATTATTTAATAAGAATAAATAAAAATTATACCAATTTCTTTTTTGAAGTCATTCTATTTCTACTAGTATGTTTTTCCATTTTCTCCTTACCACTTCATTTATTTTTAATACCAATCTTACTTACTTTAGTTAGCAGTAAGAGTAAGTTCTTCCATAATTTGGAAATTTGAAGGTATTTCAAAGTTAGCCTCTTAGTTATCATTAACATTATAAAGCCTTAGAGTGTAGTGACCTTGATATATTTTTAAGTAAACTCTGAGGTAAATGTTGCTATTTTTAATGATTTTATTAAGATTTTTATCAACTTTAAAGTTAAATAATCCTTTATCAGATTCAGCAAAGAATATTAAAGGAGAGGCATCAAGTTCATTTTAAACTCTTCTTGAAAGCTATCCATTTTAGCTTTCAAATACAATATAGTGCCTAATCTTTTAAGAAAGGCCATTTTATCCACTTTCTATATCTATTTCATTTAAAGATTCTCCAACACCTCTATTATCATCTTAAAGAGTTCTATTTATAAATTAAGTTTAACTAATTCGATTAAAAAATCAAATATTTTACCTTCTGTGAATCATTAATTCTAATTAGCCTTCTTTTAGTGATGTTCCTCCCTAGGACCTATCATTTACTACAGAAATTTATTAATTGGTATCTTCATCTTAGATTTAAATCATAGATCCAATAGGATAATAATTTCCACTGACTTCTTGATGAACCTAAAAATAAAAAATAAGATAAGATAATTTAAAGTTAAAAAGAAAAAGTACTCGCAAATCCCATGTAGGTCTAAAATTCAATATTCTTTTTTACAAGCTCAATCCATTAGAATCAGTGTAGAATGTTTTTTTGTTCTTCAAATTTGTATTAACAATCATTACAACCTCTTTGCCTTTACCATCAGATACATTAATTGGATGGATAAAGGTTTCAACTTCAACAATTTTGTCAAAGTTATTAAAGTAAAATCTCAATTAAGTGGTTGTATGTTCTCCTTATAATAAAACTATAGTTACCAGTTGTCCCCTATAAATTGTCTATAATAAAAATATTGAATTGATTAATTAATAAATATTATTTTTTTCAAATTAATTTTGATTGTAATTCAATGAACTAAAAATAGGAAATAAGTATAATAAATCGCTAAAATTTTATTTTTAGTTAAGCGACACAACTCATTTTAAGAAAATTAAGACAATTATTCTAAGCAGATTAATTTTAAGAGATTTTGGTTAAGAATAATAATAAAAAAGAAAGCTTTACTATATTTTTAATCTGAGAGTAAGTATAAGTTTGATCGTTATCAGGCCTAAAAATGTAAGCACCAGAAGATTAACCCCAGTTTTGAGAGGAATAATAAAAGTTATATTGCAATGAAAAAGTATATTCTTTAAGCTTTTAAACTTCGAAGCTTGATTGCTTTTCTGTCTCCCATACTTAGTACAAAAATGATTGTTTTATTAAATCAACTTTTAGCGTTGAAAGTTTAGATAACTCAATTACTACTTATTCTTACAAGCTTTTAATGTCCATAGGTTGAACTTTCTATTAATACTTAGAATCTTAAAAAATAATTTTATAGTACTGGAATGAGTAACCTTCAAATTAATCTTTAAAATACAAATCGCAGTCCTTTTAGTTTTGAGGGTGAGAACAAATTAAGTCAGCTTTTTTAAGAATAGATAAATTTTTAATTTTAATGAAGCAATATTTGAATGGAAAAAATTACCTTGCAATAATTAATTTTTTTAGTTTATTACAGTGATATTTGCATCAGGTACTCTAATCCTGATATTAATAATTCTAGTGACAGATGGATTGTAAATATTAACTAGAACAGGTTTTTTAGCATTGATTTAAGAAAATGTTATATTGCATTGCGATGCAGTAGCATTCCAATTGCATTACTGATAGCTAACATCAGATTCACTAATATCTTATAGTGTATATTCTCTGAGCAAAGGATTTAAATAATCTCTAATTTTAGAATACCCATTACTTATTCTATAAATGTAATCATTTACAACACGCTGTTTTCCAGTACCAGAAACTGCATCGTGATGCATTAATGCGGCCATTTACTGTTTATTTATTGTTTTTTCAAAAAAATAATTAAACCCTCATTTAGTAATTAAGAAAATAATTCTTTCATTATTAATCATACTGAAGATATTTGCTCAAAAATTTATAAATAATTCAGAATAATTACCTCTTCAAAATATTGTAAAGATTATTAAATTTTGTCTGAATAACTTTCGAAATGTTAAGTTCTTCTAGAAATATGCTCAAATGAAAATATATTTCTAATCGCTTATAAGTATCTTCCACTATCTTTTGTCAATCCTTTTAATGAAGGACGAGAAGTAAAATATCCTGTCCAGTAAGCATTTTAAGTATCAGCATAAGGATAAAAATCGTGATTGTTAACAGGCCATTTTTTCTATTGCTTATTAATTTCCTTCAAGTACTACGATGGAGTGGAGTATTGGATGACCATCCCAAATTCGTCTCTTCTCTTATTAATGTACTCAATTAAGAGATCGATGCTATCAAACCAAACCTCAGAATGACTAAAAGTAAAATCTTCTCCCATAGTGTGTATTAAATGATTAGTTTAAAAGCTTTATCTCATTTGCTAGAAATAGTTTACGAATTCTCTAGCTTTTTAATGCACATTACTTTAGGTTACTTGTTATCCTCTTTCAAAGAAGAAATCTTTTTTAGCGATTAAAAATAAAAAATTGTAATTAGTATCCTTGATCCAATTAAATATTATTCAAGTGTAATCTGTGCCTATAAAAATAAAATAGGGCTTTTAATGAAAACACTTTATACAAGAAAGGATAAGAAATATTTTTAAACTTGAAATTTGAAAGTGTTTAATATTAAATTTTAAGAAATATAGTAAGCTAATAAAATCAAATAATTGCCAATTTTGGTAATATAATTAATTATAATAATTAAATACTTCTTGGAGGAGAATAGTGTTAATAATTAATAGCTGAAAAGATGTAAGCATCTTCGTCATATTCTTTAGGATGCCAAACCATCTCAAGTCTTTTGTTTTATTTTCTGTAATCAAAATCTTAGTAATCTACTCTTGCAAACCATTGTGCATTGAAACCCATCTAGCTGAAGAGTGCAGCATTTGTTTATTAATGCCCAAACGGGTCAATTTACCATCCTATCTCAGGAACAACACCAAGATTTTCTTTTACCCACTAATGCCCTACAGTCATTTGGTCAATGATATCTTCAAAGTAGGTAGTAGCCTCGTCATGCATTGTCCATCCGCCGTTTATAATTTCGATTTTTCCACTTTGAACCAGTTCTTTATATTTGTTGCGCACCTCTTCATTTTAATTTTTCCACCACATATCTAAGAAACCAATTTCAACTTGTATATATTTTCTTTCATTATTTTTTTAGATTTCGCTGTAGACTGAATTAAGAATATCTCTGACATCTGTAAAACCCAAATAATATTTATAGAAGCAAAAAAAATAATATAAATTAATAAATAAATAATTACTTCCATATTCTTATCCAAATTGGATAATCCTATTGCTATAGTATTCGTCAATTGTATATAGCCATCCGTAGTCATCATGTGAATGAGGGATTAAATGAACGTAGGTAATGTTATCTACTTAGCATTTAATTAAGTGAATCAATACAAAAAGAATTAGCATTATTATTTATTTTTCTTAATAATTTTAATTTGTTTCTTTTAATTATAAAATTGTAATTTAATAAAGTTTATATAAATTCATTACAGCTAATTACGAACCTAATTATTAGTTTTCTATTTTTACCTTTAAATATTTTCCACAAGCAATTTAGTGATACTTATACTGAATAAATTTTATATAAATCTAAATTATATGCGCATAAATTCATATCAAAATAAGTAAATTCAGTAAATTTATTAAATGTGTTTAAAATTAAGTTAATTTGAATATTTTAAAATTAAAAATAACAGAAAAAAACAAACAAATTTAAATAAAGTCTAAATCTTTATTAATTTTAATTGTTTACAGAAATTAAAGATCTGAAAGTTAATCTTTTTTTTGTTTACACTTATTCATTTCTTAATAGTTAATTTCTTTTAAATTGATTACATTATCTAATTAAAAAATAAATTAAGCGATAAAAATTATATTTTTGAAATTTATCAAATAAAATGTTTTCACAAATTAGGTGAGGGTGTTAAATTTTATTTTCAAACCTTTTACATCTTTAAAGAAAAAAAAATATATAAAATTTTTATATTTATTGAAAATAATTTAAAGGTTTTTCCTCCTCTTAGATATTTAATTTAATTTTTTTAGTTGTTAATCAAACAAAATTTAAATATGAAATTTATGGAATTTATTAGTATAATTTTAAAAAAATTTTATTAATTATGTCAAAGTTTCTTTTTCTTGATCTAAAACCTGATTCTATAAATTTAAAATATCTTATAAATAACTTTTTATAATTTTTAACCAACAAAGATTATTTAATACGTATTTTTTCCTCTTTATTTATGATTATTTCTTTTTTCTAATTAAAAAAATATCATAAAAAACTTTCTACAAATTTCTTACCTAAATTAAATGATTGTCAGGGTGCCTTACCAGAGAATTTCACTGCTTGGTTAGTCAATTAATCTATAGGTCAATCAATCAATTAAATTAATTAAGGATATTTTAAAAGCCCTTAACTGAAAAGGTTTGATTGTAATGTTTATTGTTTTGTTTATTTTTAAGTTTTTTTAAAACTTAATGTAAATTCCAAAAGAAAATTAAATTTACATTTTTCATACAACATATTTGATTAAAATAAAGACTAGAATATTTATTTATTACCAGCTTTCCATTATATTTATTTTAAATCATTTTTTATTTACTTTAATTTTCAGGCAACCCCAACACGTCTAAGATTTTTAATTTAGAATCTAATAAACTGAACGTTTTCGTAATCATAAATATTATTAAGCCTCAAAGTAAAATAATCTGGGAATTATTTTAGGTATATCATTAAATTAAGATAATAATTTGAAATCAAGGATAAAGTTTCAAATAAATTGATAAAGTTTTCAGGTAATTAAAGTAAGTTTTAGTTTATCATCAAAACAAGAATTTAATTTGCTGAATCTAAGTGGTTTTAAATTTGTCTTCCTGTAGATTCTTTCTCATTTTCAAAAATTATCTAATTTCTAACTTTCTATTAAAGTCCCTATTATGGCTTGATATCATCAAATTTATTTAAGCCTCTCTGATACACCTCTTCCATCATCTCTCAGATTTATTTTTTTTTAAATTCATTAAATTAAAGATCTTCAAATATTTAAAATTCATTTGATTTATTTCCTTATGTGTATCTTAGTTTATATTAATACCTTATGAACTATCATTTACTGCAAGTACCCTTTATTTATCTTTTTAGTATACTGATCCAATTATAGAACAAATTGGATAATAGTTTCCACTTACATGTTATGTTTGCTGTTTAAAATAATAGTTGAATTATGTAAATTTTTTAAATAAATAGGTCTTTTACTTTTAAATCCCATTTATTTTGAAGTCGATTTATCTTTATTATAATTCTAATCTATTAGAATTCTGTAAGAAAATTTCCATCTCTTTTAAGAATTGTATTTACAAGCATCACAATCTCCTTTCCAACACCATCGTTAGCATTTATGGAGTGAATAAATGTTTCAACTTCTCTAACTTACTTTTATAAATAGCTAGAGGAGAATCTTTATTAAGTGGCAGTCTTTGTTCCATCCAATTAAACAACAACTATACCATTTCTTTTTTAAACAACCTTATTTTTATATTATCAATTGAAAAGTTAAAATAAGGTATGCTAGACTATTATAAAATAATATGTAAGACCTGATATACCTATTTTTATTTCTGCTAAGTAGAAAGTGTGAAATTTTATGCCATAGTATTATTAATAAAGATTAACTTTTAGATAAATCAATCTTTATTTATCTGAAAATTATTTTTTACATAACGTTTTACAATAGAATATTTAAAAGGAATAGTTATTATCTCAAATTATAAGAATGATCAACCTTCAAATTTATCTTCATAGTGCAAGCTGTATCCTTTATCATCTTATGGGTTTGAACAGATCACATTATCTTTATAAAAGGAATTCAAATTTCACAAAATTCTTTTACAGTTTTAAAATTTCTTGATTAACTAAACTAAAAAAAATAATTGAATACTGATAATTTACGAAATTTTAATATTTAAAACTAACGATTATTATGATGGTACATTATTCCTTGTCAGTTACTATCTAGATATTACAGGTTACATATCATTTTTAAGGCTAGAAAATCTTAACTAATCCATTATTAGGTAACATTATATTTAGTAATAGTCGTATTTTAGTTACATCAAACATAGATAATATGTTATTTTCATTAATTTATTTGCTTTTATATCTTTGAAACAAAGAATTTCCTTTTTCTAATTATTATATGTAATCATAAGCTACTTTTTTGTTTTCTGTAGCAGAAACATCATGTTGCATCACCAGGCAACTTATTAGTTAATAATTCCAATAAAAATATTAAAATTATATTTATATTACTCAGGAAATGTTTGTTTTATTCCTATTTTTTAATTAAAAAATTGGTTTTTTTTTATATATTTTTTGCATAGCATCCCCCAATTGTAAAAAATGTAACTTAGATTAAATAGAAATTTTAATTAATTATTCGAAAGAAAAAGAAAGAAAGAAAGAAAGAGTGGATAAATAATATGTATTTTTGATAATTTATTTATTTTTTAGATGAGTTATTCCATATTTATTATTTTTATGTTCCCTCCCTATCCATCTTTAAATAAGATCAAGTTATTTGTCCAAAACATAAAGAATATTCTTCTAGTTAGTTTTAAATTAGATAGTTCTTTTTAATATTAACTTAACTGGCAATATATTTCTTTAGAAATTTCTTCCATAATATTTAGTAGTTGAAATAAAATTTAAATATGTAATTTTCAAAAATTTGTTAGTTTATTTTAAAGTTTTTTTAATAAATTATGTCGAAGTTTATCCTTCTTCATCTAAAATCTAATTTTCGAATTTTATATTAACTTTAAATAATATAATTTTGAACATATGAAATTGTTTAATATATTTTTTCTACCTATTTTTATGATTAATTTTTTCTTTCTAGTATAATAAAATTAAAAAACTTCTTCTACAAATTTCTTAATTAACTAATGATATTTTAAAAACTTTTAACTGCAAACACTTAATTGCCATATTATTTTTTTCTTTTTTTAAATTTATGTAAAAAAATTACATTTACAATTTACTTGCTACAAATTTGACTAATATGAGGGCTAGAAGATTTATCCATCATCAACTTTAGATTTATATTTATTTTTAAGCATTGTTTATTTGCTTTAATTTGCACTCAATGTCAACTCATCTAAGATTTCAAATTAAGAATCTAATTTAAACTGAGCATTTTCGATATCATGAATATTATAGAGTCTCAAAGTATAATAATCTGGGAATTATTTTAGGTAAACCCTTAAATAAGAGTTTTTATTTGAAATTAAGTGAGAATTTTCAAATAAATTTTTAAAGTCTTGAGGTAATTAAAATATTTTTTAGTTTGTCTTTGAAATAAAAATTGATGAGCAGAATCTAAATGGTTTTAAATTAATATTCCTGTGCTTTCCATCTCTTACTTAAAAATAATATAAAATCTAACTTTCTGTTAAAGTCCCTATTCTGGTTTGATTCCATCAAATTCATTTAGACTCTCTGCTACACCTCTTTCATCATCCTGAAGAATTCTTTTTTAAAAATAAAAAAATAAAAAATTTTCTCATATTTAAAATTCATTTGAATTAATTAATTAACTTCTGTGTATCATAATTTCTATTTAACCTTGATTTAGGGAGGTACCACCTTATGATCTATCATTTACTACAAGTACCCTTTATTTAGTTTGTTAGTCTTCTAATCCAATTATAGCACCAATAGGATAATAGTTTCCACTTACAGGCTCTGTTTGCTGTAAAAAAAAATTGGACTAGGGAGTTTTATAAATAAAAAGTACTTTTACGTTTATTCCCATGTGTTTCTGAAGTTGACTTAATTTTATTATAATTCTAAACCATTAGAATCAGTAATGAATTTTCCATCGTTTTTATAATTTATAGTTATAAGCAACACTATTTCTTTTCCAAGACCATCTCTAAAATCTATAGAGTGAATAAATGTTTCAACTTCACAAACTTATTTATATCATTAAACAGAGGAGAATCTTAGTTAAGTGGTAGTCTTTGTTCCGTCGAATGAAACTACAGTTACCACTTTTCCTTAATAAACAGTCTAATATTTTTATTTTTTAAAAATTAAACTTTTATCTGCAAAATAAATTTACAGCAGATTTTATTTTAGAATAAGGCATGCTAGATTGTTGGTTTGGTCTGAAGATATATGCTCCTGAAGATTAGTATTTATCAGTGACAGAGGTATAATAATTATACTAAATTTAGAAACTATAGTAAATTGGCTTTTTAATTTTGGATGGTTGACGCTAATTAATATTTGATTAAAAGAAATTTAGATAGCAATAATGTATATAAGAAAAGATTAAATTTTGAAAATCTTCACTAGGTTTTGAAAAATTGAAGGAATTTTTGAAAACCTCTTTTGATAAAAGAACCATGGTTCAACCTAATGTGCTTTTGAAAATTATAAAATCTATCTAATAGTCCATTTTAACACTTTTAAAATAGGAATATGTATTAGATTATACTTTAGATGAAATTAAATAATTTTTCTGATGAAAATAATTTTTAGCATAAAAAATTAAAATACTCTGCTTGCTCGGTTTTAAAGCTAAGGTATATATTTTAGATAAATTCTTATTTAAAAAAGAAAAAAAAATGTAGACTGTCATTTATTCATTTTTTATACAAATATTTTAAAACCAGGAACATCTATATTTTAAAATAATCAAACCAGAAATGTAAATAAATCTTTAAATTTTAGATAACAAATAGAATATAAATGATTCTAACAAAAATCATAAAAAAACAAGATATAAAAAAAAATATTTTATTTAATAAAATAAAATAAATTTATATTTTTTCATTTTATCACCTTCAGAAAAGAGCAACAAGCAAAATAAAACTTAGAGTCATTTTAATGATAATAGAGTTTGTAGCGTTATTAGTAGTAGCACCAACTTCAGTAGGATTAATCTCAAATGATTTACAAACTGATTTATCTAAACTTTAGGTTTAAATTCCATCTGTAGAAGTATTTTCTGGACAAGCCTGACATTTATCTTCTGTATCAGCATCGTAATAGCCTGTTTTGCTATAAAAACCTTAACCACAAGGTCTTAAATTACAAGTTTTAGAGCCTTCTAAAGAGTATGTACCGATCTCACAAGTATTGCATCCTTCTCCTCTTCCATTAGAATCATAACCTGTTTTACTCCATTTACCTTTAGGACACAAATTCAATTACAAGTCACAAACTAAATCCTCATTTCCTTTTGTATTTTATTTTAATGTAGATTTCCCTGTTGGGCATTGTTAGCAATTAAATTCTTTTCTTTAATCATAATATCCTGTTGCGCTATAAAAACCATAACCACAGGGCTTTAGATCGCAAGAAGTTGAACCTTCTTCAGAGTAAGTACCTTCGATACAATCTTAGCATCCATAGCCCTCTTCATTAAGATCATAACCTGTTTCGCTCCATTTACCTTCTGGACAAAGTTTTACTGAATTACATACTGTGTCATCATTACTTTTTGTATTTTCTTTTAAGGTAGATTTTCCTGTTGGGCATTTTTCACAATTAAATTCTTTTCTTGAATCATAATATCCTGTTGCGCTATAAAAACCATAACCGCAGGGTGTTAGATAGCAAAATGTGGAACCTTCTTCAGAGTAAGTACCTTCCCAACAATCTTAACATCCTAAGCCATTTCCATCAAGATCATATCCTGTTTCACTCCATTTACCCTCAGGACATGGTCTTAATTGTAAATCACAAGCTGAATCATCATTTCCTTTTGTATTTGTTTCTAAGGTAGATTTATTTGTTGGGCATTTTTAGCAATTGTTTTTTTAGTTTGAATCATAATATCCTGTTGCGCTATAATAACCCTTACCGCAGGACCATAGATTGCAAGAAGTTGAACCTTCTTCAGAGTAAGTACCCTCCAAACAATCTAAACATCCAGTGCCATTTTCATCACGATCATAACCTGTCCAACTCCATTTACCTGCAGGGCATAATTTTACCTTTACATTACAAACAGAATCATCAAGTCCTTTTGTAATTTCTTTTTAGGTGGAAAAGCCATCTGGACACTTTTTACATTAAGGATATTTGGTATCACTATATTTATTTTAAAAGCCTAATTCACCATAAAAGCCATAGCCACAAGGGATTAGATCACAAGATATACCGTCTAAAGTATAAAAACCCTCGAAGCAATTGTAACATCCTTCCCCTTTTCCATCCAAATCATAGCCATACCTGCTAACTTTACCCCCTTAACATTTTCTTGAAATACAAGCTGATTAATCGTTACCTTTAGTTCCTGCAAATGGAGTGCATGTCCCTTCATCACATGGAGTACAAGGACCATTATTATCAGTCCCATCCATACTAAAAGTACAAACTTTACAGTCGTATGTATACGCTATTTTTATTAGAGCGAAAGCAAGTATCAGGCAAAACACTTTCGAATTCATTAAGTTTATTTATTTATTTATCTTGTATATTTTTATATCTTTGTAATTTATTATCATAATTAATTATAAATTTCTTAACACGAAATTTAAAATAATAAGATTAGTTCTATAATTAGTCAATGTATTTAAGCATTATGATTTACTTATCTATTTTTATTTAATACTATTCTGATAAATGAGCCAATTTTTTTTATTTAAAAAATAATATTAATATCTTGAAAGTAAGCGTAACAAATAAGTGATTATTCAAAGAATAAAATGATAAATCAATTAAACTTAGTATTATTTCTTGCAAAACAAATATCCATTGAAATCCCTAATTTCCCTTTCTCTTGGTTCTTCATTGAAGGCATGGATTTCAATATTTTTCATAAGCCATTCATAAAGTAATATGAAATTTAAAATGGTCTATTAAATATAATACAGTATTATTCAAATTAAATTTTTAAATAATAACTAGTAAGGAAGTAAATCTGTATTTAGCATAATAAAAAATAAAATTAATATTTGTCTAAAGCCACATATATTTTTATTTGAAACTTAATAAATAAACCCAAAAAAAATCACACAAAATGAGATGATATATACTAATTTAATCTAAAAAATCTACTTTAAGTATGACAAAAATTAAATAAAAGAGCAAACTAAAAAATTTTATTTTGAGCTATACTATCTTTCTATAAGATAAAAGTAAAATTTAAATGTTTGATTTAGTTAACTGACTGACTGCCTAGCAATCCATATTTGGTAATATAAAAACTAAATTTAGTAATTTATTGTTTAGAGACTGATTTTTCACATACATAAATAATTAAAAATTGAATCACCAAAGTATTTGTATGATTGATTAACTTACTCATAAATATATTTAATAATATTTTAAATAAAACTATTTTCATTCTTGTATATTTTTTTATTTTTTTTATTTTATAGACTTTAACTAGACTCTTACTAAAAAATGTTCTATGTTTAATTAATTAAATTAAAATTATAAAAATACAAGCATAAATTAAATCATAAATCTATTTTATGTGCTATTACTAAATATTAAATTTAGTATTTTTATATTTTAATATTACTATTATGTAAGAATAAAATTATTAGAAAATAGCTAAATTTGCTCTTTTATTTAAATAAACAATTATAAATTGATAGAATAAATTAATTCATTAAATTTTTACAAATTATCATTTTAAACTATAAATAGTACTTAACTAAAAAATTTAAGGTGGGTGGATGGATGGATTTTATTGATTTATTTTGTTAAAAATGAAATAAATTAAATAATAATTCAAATAATTTTTTTTTAGATATATTTAGATTTAATAATACCTATTAATCCTCTTTTTTATCTGAATACACTTAAATTAAGTATTCTTACTTTTTTACCTTTTTATCTAATTATTTAAAATTTTGTTTTATCTTATTTTTCAAGTTATTAATTAACTAACTAACTAATTCATTTTACCTTTATATTAATTTTAAATTATTTTAATTCTCCTTTTTCATTTAATGATAATTTAAAAAGAAAAATAATTTATCTAATAAAAATTAAGATAATTTTATTTTCAAAAATAATCAAAATAATAATATTCATTAAATTTTATTAATAAACAAAATACTGTAAATGCTTGTTAATTAAGGCATTTTTTTCTTAAATTTTTTTTTCCGATTATGGTGTGGGCACTTTTTTTGGGCAAAAAAGATACTTAGGGAATGCCTTAATTAATGAGCATTAACAGTATTTTCTATTCATTTTTGATAGAAAAATTTGTATTCCTTATTAAATTCAATAACAAAAAATAAATTTACATTCTTTTTAAAGGAAATTTATTCAAAAATGAATGAGTTTCTGCTATGAACCTTCCACCACCCACTCCTATCCCCTATTAGACTATTTTATTGATTTACATTTATTTTAAAGCCTTTTTTAATGGAATATATCATTAATTTTCAAATAAATCTACATAAAAAAGGTTTATAAATTTTCAATTTATTGATTAAAATATTTTACTCTTGATAAATTGACTTTAAAAAAAATATTTGATTAATTTACTTTTTTATAATTTGCAAAGATTCATCTTTTATTTTATTTAATATTAGTAGCCATTTTCTATGATTAAATTTTAAATGCAAATATTATCTAATTATTAATATAAGGATGAATGAATGGTACTTATTTGATTTTTTAAAAGTAATTGTTTCAATTTTTAAAGTATATATTTTGAAAATTTGTGAAGAATTTTAAAAGTAAGTTGCTGCCTTTAAGTATTTTAAGATAGATTAAAATTATTAAAAATTTAATATATTTCTCTTAAATATAATTTTTGAGATGCTAAAAGGTCATTTTAGTATTGGAATTGCATCAATAGTCTGTAACAGCTATTCTAGAATATCGATTACTTCTTAAGAACAAATAATACTCATTTTAGTATCTTTCTAATGAGCATTCACTAATTTTTGTTAAGTCTTAGTCATTTTGTACAAATATAATGTTCAACTTCTACGTAATAATGTATATGTTTGGATTTTCAGTAATTTATGGAAATATTCCAGAAAAAATAAATGTTTTAAATGATTGCCAAATTACGATTAAAAAGTGAATGAAAATTAATAAATCAACAAAATATAAGCCAATTATTTTACACTTCATTACAAAAATTAACAAAAATGAACGGTTCAGAACAAATTCAGAGCGAAGCCACAAGCTTATATGATCTTTCAGCCAATAACATCAATGGTGAGAATACTCCTTTAAAAAATTTCAATAACAAAAAAGCTATCATCGTTGTTAATGTTGCTTGCTAGTGTGGTTTAACTTCTGATCATTATACCTAATTAGTCTAATTATACAAGCAATATAAATCTTAAGGTTTAGAAATTTTAGGTTTCCCCTGCAACCAATTTGGAGCATAAGAACCTTGGGCTGAGTCTGAAATCCTTTCATATACTCAAAAGACATTCAACGTAGAATTCCCTCTTTTCTCTAAGATTGATGTAAATGGAGAAAATACTCATCCTGTTTACAAATACTTAAGAAGAAATTCAGAATTATTCTAAAATAATGCTGCAACTAAAATACCTTGGAATTTTGCTAAATTTTTAGTTGATGGAAAGACAGGTAAAGTTGTTTAATATTTCAGCCCAAAAGTTAATCCCGTAGAAATGGAATAGTAAATTAAATAGCTATTACTTTGAAAATCCTATCATTAATAAATATAGTTGTTAATTATTGCTTAATAATTCTAAAATTAGACTTAATATTAATAAATAATTAATAATAGTAGTACTATATGTTTCTAAATCTATTCATTATTACAGATGTTTTTTTATTATTAACATATTAAAATATCTTTAATAAGATTAATTGTAAACAAATTTTACTTTTATTTTCATAAAAGATTTTATAAAATTTTTTTAGTCTTTTGTTTGTTTTTAAAATTCATTTTATAAATTTAATTAATAAATACAATAATTTAATACAAGTTTATTTTTCAAATATCAAAAAATTTCTTAGCAAAAATAAAAAATGCTTAATAAAATATCTTTGTAACAATTATTAAGCATTTTTTATTTAATATTGCATAAGAAAAGAAATTTTAAATAAGAAACGAAATAAAATAAACTAAGTAATAGATAAAATATAAGTAAATAGTAATACTGATTATAGAACATTTTTCCTTAATTTTTTGAAATTTATTTTCCATATCACTATTTATATAAATAGGAAATATAACTAATTATACCTTAACATAAATAGTGGCTATACAATATATAAAAAAAGCAGAATATTTTGAAAAATATAACAATAATAAGATTATTTTTAACAAGATATATCTATTACCTTTCCAATTTGTATTCTTCAAGGATACACTTCTTTTATATTTTTGTATTTACATAATTAACTACATTTGGTGTTAAGATTTCATCAAAAATAAGTTTGAAATCAACTAACCATACCAAAAAGTTTCTTATTATTTAAATAATCATTTGAAAACCTTTAAAAGATAATTAATATTTTAGATAATAAGTAATAATTTAGATCAAAATCTCGATTTAAGATATGAAAGGATACTAGTTATTTGTTATACTAATAGCTCTTACTGCAGCAGTTCTTGGATCATAAGATACAGTTTATGTACATTTGATTCCACATTCTCATGATGATTATGGATGGATTTTTAACATATAAGAATTGTATAATAACCCTAGTCCATTTTAAGGTTAAGGAGGTATTTATATTTCTAAAAAAACAATAATATTTAAATCAGCAAATTATATCAATGAAAATTTTGAAACTTTATTGAATTTATTTATCAATTATGAAAAAAAGCTGTGAAAGACATTTTGAATTCTGTTTATACTGAAGTTTAGAAAAGTCCTAACAGAAAATTCAATTAAGTTGAAGTAGGTTTTCTAGATATTTGGTGGGATAGTTTATCAGAGTAGTAAAGGGATACTTATAGAAGCTTAGTTTAAAGTGGATAAATAGAAATATTGAATGGTGGATGGGTTATGCATGATGAAGCTACTGCATACTTCGAGGATTTGATAGAAAATATGACTGTTGGTCATTTGTGGGTCAAAGATAAGTTTAACATAATTCCTACTGTTGGTTGGTAATTAGATCCTTTTGGACATCAAAACGCAAATGCAGCTTTATACAGCTAAATGGGTTTGAATGCATAGTGGTTTGCTAGAATTGATTATTAAGATTATGCCTAAAGATCTTAAAATAAAGGATTCGAAATGATATGGTCGCCCGAACAAAATTCAGGGGAAGAAAATTACATATTTTCAGCAGTCAATTACAAGCATTACTCTCCTCCTCAAAGTATCTAAATTATTATTTAATTCATACAATTATTATAGTATTGTAGAGAAAAAACAAACTCCTTTAAATGCAATACATAAATTTTAATTGATATCTTTTTATTTGTGAAACCCTACTTTATCTTTTAAAAAGTAAAGAAGCATATTTCGATAATATACTTAGAAGAAACGTGTTTTTTATATAAATTATAAATTATTTCATTTTTTTAAATCAATAGATTTTTATTTTGAAACTGGCTAAGTAGTTAATTAATACAATGTTGCTTAAAAGGCTTAAGAATTTGTTTAATATTTTAAAATTATGAATCAATACTATAGAGGCAAACATCTCTTCCACACCATGGGTGAAGATTTTGCTTATAGCAGAGCAAATGTTTGGTATGAAAGTATGGATATGCTCATTGAATACATTAATTCTCGTAGCGACTAATACAATATGAAAATACTATATTCTACTCCATCAAACTATTTAAAAGAATTATAAAAATAAAATGAATCCTACCCTGTAAATAAATATGACTTTTTTCCTTATGCTGATAAATCTAATGCTTTTTGGACTGGATATTTTACTTCCCGTCCATCAATTAAAGGATTTACTAAAGATTCCGGAAGATACTTGCAGGCTATAAGAAATATTTTCTCAACTGAATCAATATTAAAGATATCTAACTAATTCAAAGTTAACTATCAAAATATCCTTTATGCTTTGCAAAATTTTGAACAGGTAACCTAATCTAAATATAATAATGAATAGGAACTATAAAAATTAATTAATATTAATAACTTCATCCAAAAAATATAAATTTATCAAAAATACAAAAGCTTACCATTCTCTACTCTTTCTTTCTTTTTTAATATAATTAATTAAAATTTCTTTTTAAGCTGGGTTACAGTTTTTTATAATTGTATAATCCTTTAAAAAATATTTAAAATAAATATCCTTTTTCTTAATTAAAATAAATTGATAAAATAAATCTTTTCCTATGTTACACTAATTAAATATTATTTTAATCTTATTATTTTAATAACTTTTTAGTAAGTTGCCATGATGATGCATCATGATGCGGTTACTGGTACAGAAAGGTAAAAAGTAGCCTATGATTATATATAACGCTTAAATAAAGGATATTCTTTAATTAGAGACTAATTACATCCTTTATTACAAGAATATACCAACAAATAAATAAATGAAAATGATATTAACTACGTTTAATGCAACTGGAATGCCACTATTACTTAATGCGATATAACCTAAAAGTAGCTAGGTTAAGGCTCTCCAGTCTTGTTAATGATATATAATCCCTCAACAACTAGATAATAACTTACAAGAATAAAAGTCCCATAAATCTCATTATCAGTTTTAAATGTTGAAAATTAACAAATTACTGGTATTTAATAAATTTTTTAGTTTAATTTATCAAGAAATTTATAAATTATAAAAGAATTATTATAACTTGATTTTATTTATATAAAGCTGATGTCATTTGTTCAAATCCATAAGATGATAAAGACTGCGACTTGTACTTTTTAGATAAATTTGAAGGTTACTCATTCTAATATTATAAGATAGTAGTTAGCCCTTTGAGTAATTCTATTGTAAAACCTTATATAAAAAAATAATCTTCTGACGAAATAGAGATTAATTTATCTCAAACTTAAGTTTTATCCATAAATACTGCGACATTTAATTTCAGGCTTTCTACTTGGCAAGAAATTAAAGATGACTACATTAGGTCTTATAGATTATTTTCTAATAGCTTTTAAATTCAATACAATTATTATACCTCTTCCACTGATAATTACTAATCTTCAGGAGCATATATTTTCAGACCAAATCAACAGTCTAGCATGCCTTATTCTGAAATAAAATCTGCAGTAATTTTTTTTTTGCAAGTAAAAGTTTTATTTTTTAATAATAAAATATTAGACTGTTTATAAAGGAAAAGTAGTAACTGTAGTTACATTAGATGGAACAAAGACTACCACTTAACTAAGATTCTCCTCTATTTATTAATAAAAATAAGCTTGCGAAGTTGAAACATTTATTCACTCCATAGATGTTAATGATGGTGTTGGAAAGGAAGTTGTGATGCTTATAAATACAAATTATAAAAATGATGGAAAATTCTTTACTGATTCTAATGGTTTAGAATTATAATAAAGATAAGTCAACTTCAGAAACACATGGGATTTAAAAGTAAAACCCTCTTTACTTATTCAATATATATTCCAATATTTTTTTAAAACAGCAAACAGAGCCTGTAAGTGGAAATTATTATCCAATTGGTGCTATAATTGGATTGGAAGATTAAGAAACTAAGTAAAGGGTACTTGTAGTTAATGATAGATCATAAGGTGGTACCTCCCTAAATCAAGGTTAAATCGAAATTATGATACACAGAAGGTAATTAATTAATTCAAATGAATTTTAAATGAGAAAATTTTTTATATTTTGTTTTTTAAAAAAGAATTCTGAGAGATGATGGAAGAGGTGTAGCAGAGAGTCTAAATGAATTTGATGATATAAAAGCACAATAGGGACTTTAATAGAAAGTTAGACATTATATAGTTTTTGAAAAAGAGAAAGAATCCACTGGAAGATTAATTTAAAACAACTTAGATTCAGCTCATTAAATTTTTATTTCTAAGACAAGCTAGAACTTATTTTAATTATCACAAAATTTTAGCAATTTATTTGAAAATTCTCCATTTGTTTCAAATAAAAATCCATACTTAAGAGTTTACCTAAAACAATTCCCAGATTATTATACGTTGAGACTCTATAATATTCATGATTTTGTAAATGCTGAGTTTAAATTAGATTCTAAATTCAAAATCTTAGACGAGTTGACATTGACTGCAAATCAAAGCAAATAAACAATGCTTTAAAATAAATATAAATGGAAAGCTGATAATGGATAAACCTTCTAACCCTCATTTTAATCAAATTTGGAGCAAGAAAAATGTAAATTTAATTTTAAAATTATCAAAAGGATTAAATTTTTATAAAAATCTAAAAATAAGAAACAAATAGTATGACAGTCAAGCCTTTACAGTTAAGAGTTTTTAAAATATCTTTAGTAAATTGATAGAATAGCTGATTAGAAGGCAAATAGAGTAGTAAACTTCTCAATTAAGGCACCCTATCAATCATTTAATTAAGGTAAGAAATTCGTAGAAATTTTTTTATCATTTTTTTTAAATTAGAAAGAAGTAAATTATCATAAAAAATGAGCTTTAAACAAGAATTTAAAAATTGTTGAATACTTTAAATTGTAAAAAATTATTTATGATATTATAATATTATAAAATAAAGATTTTAAATGAAGATGAAGAAAGTTTGACACACTATTTGTAAAAATTAAAAAAATAAATTAATATATAATATAAATTTCTTATTTAATTATGTTTCAAAATATAAAATATTAAATGTTTTATAAGTGAAAAAGATTAATTTAATTTACTACTTTACAATTGTATTTATAAAATTATAAAATATTTTCTTTAAATATTGTAAATCCCCATATATTAACTAACACTCAGATATTTAAATACAATTAAGATACAAAATTTAATATTAAATAATATGATTACAATGTATTTAAACTAAAAACTAGAATTTGAGAAAACAAGGTATTTATTTTATTAAAATGCTGTATTGGTTTTAATTATCAATTTATAGATTTCCTTTTAATTTATCCAACACTATTTCTATAAGTAGGAATTATTATAAAATATTCATTAGCATAGAATTTTTCCGTACCATATATTTATAAAATTAGATTAATTATTTTGTAAATTATTACAATTTTAAAATGATTTCTACTTTTTAAATACTTTTTTTCACCACTAAACTTCTTTATATTTGTATTTAGATAACAAATTTAATTTAGTGCAATATGTCATAAAAAGTTAATTAAAAATTAGCTATCACAACAAAAAATTTATGTCTGATATAATTCGTTTTTAAAATCGTTAATAGATAAATATATTATCAGACATTACTATTTATTTTTAATTTTAGATTAAAGAGAAAAACAAATACATTAAATCAAAAACGTCATATAAAATATGAAAGGATACAATTTATTAATTTTTCTAATTTCTTTTACTGTAGCATTTCTTGGATAGCAGGATACAGTTCATGTACATTTGATTCCTCATTCTCATGATGATTATGGATGGATTTTTAGCATATAAGAATTATATAATAACCCTAGTCCATTTAAAGGCTAAGGAGGTACATTTAAATAAAAATAATAATATTTAAATCAGCAAATTATATCAATGAAACTTTTAAAAGATCCTTTAATTTATTTATTAAATATGAAAAAAAGCTGTAAAAAACATTTTAAACTCTGTTTTTACTGAAGTTTAGAAAAGCCCTTTCAGAAAATTTAACTAAGTTGAAATAGGTTATCTAGATATTTGGTGGGATAGTTTAACAGAGGAGTAAAGGGATACTTATAAAAGCTTAGTTTAAAGTGGATAAATAGAAATATTGAATGGTGGATGGGTTATGCATGATGAAGCTACAGCATACTTTGAGGACATAATAGAAAATATGACTGTAGGTCATTTATGGGTTTAAGATAAACTTAACATAACTCCTACTGTTGGCTGGTAAATAGATCCTTTTGGACATCAAAACTCGAATGCAGCTTTATACAGCTAAATGGGTTTAAATGCATAGTGGTTTGCTAGAATTGACTATTAGGATTATGCTTAAAGGTCTTAAAATAAAGAATTCGAAATGATATGGTCACCTGAACAAAATTCAGGGGAACAAAATTACATATTTTCAGCAGTCAATTACAAGCATTACTCTCCTCCTCAAAGTATCTAAATTATTATTTAATTCATACAATTAATATCAAGAAGAAATAAACTCCTTTAAAAGGACTTTATAAATTTAAAGGGGAGGGTAGGGATATGAGAAAAAATGTTGGGTAAAGAAATAGCCTTCATTTTAAATTTAATAAATAGACTTTTAAAAAATTGTTTTGCATACACACCCCCTGAATTCATATAGCTATTTATTTTTTTATGAAATCATACTTTATCTTTTAAGAAATATTAGAAAAATAAATTGATAATAAGTTTTATTTATGTTATTAGAATTGAATATGCTTTATGAATAGAATTTGTTAAGATTTTCATTTTATTAAATAATTAGATTTTTCTTTTGAAACTGACTAACCAGTCACTAAATAAAATATTGCTTAAAAGGCTTAAGAATTTGTTTAATACTTTCAAACAATGAATCAATACTATAGAGGCAAACATCTCTTGCACACTATGGGTGATGATTTTGCTTATAGCAAAGCAAATATTTATTATGAAAACATGGATTTACTAATGGAATACATTAATTCTCACAACGACTAATACAATATGAAAATACTATATTCAACTCCATCAAATTACTTAAAAGAATTATAAAAATAAAATGAGTCTTATCCTGTTAATAAATATGATTTTCTTCCTTATGCTGATAAAGCTAGTGCTTATTGGACGGGATATTTCACTTCCCGTCCATCAATTAAAGGATTTACTAAAGATTCAGGAAGATACTTACAGGCTATTAGAAATATTTTCTCAGTTGAGTCAATATTAAAAATATCAAATCAATTCAAAAACAACTATCAAGATATCTTTAAAGCTTTGCAAAATTTTGAACAGGTAACCAACCTTACCTTATTAATGATTAATAGAAATGATAGATAAAATGAGAAAATTAATTAATTAATTAAAATTTATAACTCTTCTAACAAACCAAACATGACCAAAAATGCAATAGCTTTCCCATTCTTTCTTATTTTCATATAATTAATTAACATTTCTATTTAAGCTAATTTGTAATTTTTAATGATATATGCAAAAAAAAATAATATAGATAAAAATCAGTTTTCTTTTTAAAAAAAGTTTTTTGATATAAAAAATCCTTTATATTAATTAAATCTTATTTTAACCTTCTTATTATAATAATTAATTAGCAAGTTGCCATGATGATGCATCATGATGCAATTACGGGTACAGAAAGGTAAAAAGTAGCTTATGATTACATTCAACGATTAAACAATGGATATTCTTTGATTAGAGATTAATTACATCCTTTATTACAAGAATATACTGAGAAATAAATAAACGAAAAAGATATTGATTATGTTTAATGTAATTGGAATGCCACTATTACTTAATGCGATATAACCTAATAATAGCTAAGCTAAGGTTTACCAGTCCTGCTAATGATATATAATCCATCAACGACAAGATAATAACTTACAAGAATAAAGGTCCCACCTATTTCATTGTTAGTTTTAAATGTTGAAAATTCTTAAATAGCTGGTATTTAATAAATTTTTTAGTTTAATTTATCAAGAAATTAATAAATTGTTTTAAAATAATTTTTTAACATGATTTTCCAATATATAAAGCTGATGTTATTTGCTCAAATCCATAAGATGATAACGATTGCGACTTGTACTTTGTAGATAAATTTGAAGGTTACTCATTCTAATATTATAAGATAAAAATTAATGTTGAGAAAAACTCTATTGTAAAACCTCTTAAAAAAGAATAATCTTCTGACTAAATAAATATTGATTTATCTCAAAGCTAATCCTTATCAATAGATACAATGACCTTAAATTTCACACTTTCTACTAGGGAAAAAAAATAAATCAAAAATGACCACATCAAATCAAATAAATTCTTTTCTTAAAAAGTAAATTGCCATTTTTATTTATAATTAGCAAAATTTAGTGCGTTGATTTAAAGAAAAAATTAACTAAATTTATTATTAATCGTTTTGAATTTTAGATTAAAATTAATTTGGGTTATTCCTTTGTTTCATTTGGAATTTAAGGAATTTGATAAGCTTTTACTTGTATTCCTTTATCAGTGAGTGAAGTTTTAACAAAATTTTAAAAATTCCATCAATTTTGCTAAACAAGTGGTATCTATTTTCAGAACCAAATCTAATTTTTTTATATTACACTAAATTGTTTTATGTTTAAATTTCTTTAATAAAATATTAATTAGCATCACTCATCAAAAACTAAAAAGTCATTTTAATCTAGTTTCTAAATTCAATATAATTTTTATATGTCTTCCACTGAAGTTCACTAACCTTCAGGAGCATATGTCTTCAGACCAGCTCAAACTCCTAACATGCCTTATTCTGAAATAAAATCTGCAGTAAATTTTATTTTTCAATAATAAAAGTTTTATTTATTTTTCAATAATAAAAATATTAGACTGTTTATTAAGGAGAAGTTGTTACTGTAGTTTTATTGGATGGAACAAAAACTACCACTCAACTAAGATTCTCCTCGATTTACCCATAAAAACAAGTATGCGAAGTTGAAACATTTATTCACTCCATAGATGTTGATGATGGTATTGGAAAAGAAGTTGTGATGCTTATAAATACAAATTATAAAAACGATAGAAAATTCTTTACCGATTCTAATGGCTTAGAATTATAATAAAGATAAATTAATTACAGAAATACATGGGTTTTAAATGTAAAAGCTATCTATGATTATTTAAATAACTTATTAATCCATCCAAAATTTTTTTAAAACAGTAAACAGATCCTGTGAGTGGAAACTATTACCCAATCGGTGCTATAATTGGATTGGAAGACACACAAACTAAGTAAAGGGTACTTGTAGTTAATGATAGATCATAAGGTGGTACCTCCTTAAATGAAGGTGAAATAGAAATTATGATACACAGAAGGTAATTAATTAATTCAAATGAATTTTAAATATGAGAAATTTTTTATTCTTAAAAAAGAACTCTGAAGGATGATGATAAAGGTGTATCAGAGAGTCTAAATGAATTTGATGATATCAAACCTAAATAGGGGCTTTAACAGAAAGTCAGACATTATATAATTTTTGAAAAAGAGAAAGAAAGTACAGGAAGATTAATATAAAACCACTTGGATTCTGCTAATTAAATCTTTATTTCGAAGACAAGCAAAAAAAAATTTTAATTATCTCAAGACTTTAACAATTTATTTGAGAATTCACCCTTGGTTTCAAATAAAAATCCTTATTTAAGGGTATACCTTAAATAATTTGAAGATTATTATACTTTGAGACTTTATAATATTCATGATTTCGAAAATGCTGAGTTTAAATTAGATTCTAAATTCTAAATCTTAGACGAGTTGACATTGACTGCAAATCAAAGCAAATAAGCAATGCTTTAAAATAAATATAAATGGAAAGCTGATGATGGATAAATCTTCTAGCCCTCAATTTAGTCAAATTTGGACTAAGAAAAATGTAAATAAAATTTTTAAATTATTTTGGATGGAACACTTACTTATTAAATTTTTATTAAATCTAAAAAAAGAAACAAATAGTATGACAATCAAGCCTTTACAGTTAAGGGTTTTTAAAATATCGTTTGTTGACTGATAGAATAGCTAGCTAGATAACTAATCAAACAGTCATTAAGTTCTTTATTAAGGCACCCGAACAACCATTTAATTAAGTTAATATATTTGTAAAAAATTTATTACCATTTTTTCTAATTAAAAAGTAAATAATTATAAAAATGAGTACGAAATACAAATCAAAAAATTTTGTATATTACAAATTATATAAAATTACAAAATTAGTTTTTAAATAAACACACAACAAGAAACTATATAATATTTGTAAAATTAATTTTTTTAAAATTAGGCAATTAAATTATGTAAATTTCATAGTTAAATAAATAAATTTTGTTATAATACCTAAAATATAAAATGTTTAATAAGTAAAACAAAATTTAAATTGGTTATCTAATATTTATACGTGTAAAATTTTAATGTTTTTTCTTTAAATAATTTAACAGCAGAGAACATTTTTTAAATTATTAAAATAAATTTATATGAGATTAACTTTAATTTGTAACTTTTCTTTTAAAATATTTATTCTAATGATAATATTTGATTATTATTTTCTTATTTATGAAGGCAACGCTTACTACTATTTTTGAAAATTTTAAAAATAATTTTTTTTTAATAAATTTTTAAATTTTTTTGAAGAAAAATTTTTAAAAAAGGCAAAAATTAATTAAAAATTTAATAGAAAAATCATAAATAAAGATTGATATAAATTAAAATTATTATAAATATTATTAATTAATTAATTAAATTCTATTATAAAATTATTTATTTATTTTTAAATAAATAATGTTCAAACAAATCAGCCATTCAAAAAAAATAGTGATCTCAATTCACTAAATTTTTGAATAGCATTTATCTATATTCAAATAAATTTATATTTATTCATCCTATTTCATCACTTTTATATTTATAATGCAACTAATCTTTTATATTTAAGGCATTTTTCTTTCAAAATATATTTTTATTTGTTGACTTAGTTTCTACTATTAATATAAATTAGTTTAAATTACTAAAAAAATAAATAGAATTAAATTTTAAATTTAATATAATATTTTAAATCAATAAATAATTAAAATTTTAGCATAATAAATAAAAAGAAAAATAAGTCAAATAATTAAATAGTTAATAAATTAATTAATTAATTAAAAGAGTTATTTATATTGTTTTAAATTCCTTTTTATTTTCAAAAGGATCATAATCAAAAACAAATAAATTGTTTTTACTAAAAATTAAGGGTCAAATTTGAGAGATTAACACATTTTCTTAAACTAAAACATAAGCCTGATACACCTTTATCACCAATTTAATTTATACTTTAAAAATATTGAAGAAAAATAAATAGAGTTAGAATGAAAAAATATGAAATAATAAAATAAAAAAGTGAAAAATAAATCTAATAAATAGCTAATAAATAAATAAATAAATTAAAAGTGTCAATTATATTGTTTTAAATTGATTTTTATTTTCAAAAATATCACAATCCAAAATAAATAAACTATTTTTACTGTAGATTAAGGCTTAAATCTGAGAGATTAGTGCATTTTCCTAAACCAGAGCCTAAGCCTTATACACCTATATCACCAATTCTATTTGCACTTTTTAATTATTGAAGAAAAATATATATTTTATTGATTAGTTAATTAGAAGGAAAAAATGATGAAATAATAAAAAATTAATTAATAATAAAAACAATAGTTGATAATGAAAAAATGAGTTAAATTAATTTACAAAAAAGAAAGAAAGAAAGAAAAAAATAAAAAAACTCTACAAAATAAATTAAAAATTAAAATAAATCCTATAAAAAGCTGATAATTTAATTAATAGAGTTAGTTAATTATGTTTTTTTTAATTCATTTTTATATTAAAAAATATCACAATCCAAAATAAATAACTGTTTTACCCTAGATCAAGATACAAATTTGAGAGATTAATGCACTTCCCTAAGCCAGAACCTAATCCTGATGTACCTTCATCGCCAATTTCATTTCCACTTTTAAAAATTAAAGAAAAATATAAAATTAATTAGTTGATTAGAAAGAAAAATTGAAAAAAAATATGAAATAATTAGAAATGAAAGAATTATTATTAAATTAATAATAAAAGTAAAATTTGAAAATAAAAAATGAGATAAATTAACAAACAAATAAATTAAATAAAACAAAGAAAAATAAATCAAATAAAAAGCTAAAAAAAAATTAAAAGAGTAGTTATATTTTTTTAAAATTCATTTTTATATTCAGAAATATTACAATCCAAAACAAATAAAATTTTTTTACGATAGATAAAGTGTTAAATTTGAGAGATTAGTGCACTTTCCTAAACCAGAACCTAAGCTTAATCCGCCAATTACACCAATTTAATTTTCCCTTTTAAAAAGAAAAAAATATGAAATAATAATAAAATTAAAAGTTGAGAATGAAAAATGAGTTGAATTAACAAATAAACAAAGAAATAATAAAATAAATAAATAATAAATGCTAACAGAATAAAAAAAAAAATAAATCTAATAAAAAGCTAATAAATAATTTAAAGGAATTATATTGTATTGTTATAAATTCGTTTTTATATACAAAAATATCACAATCAAAGCAAATAAACTCTTTTTACTGAAGAAAAAGTGTTAAATTTGAGAGATTATTGCACTTTTCTAAACCTAAACCTAAGCCTTATACACCTTTATCATCAATTTCATTTTCCCTTTTTAAATATTGAAGAAAAAATATTTAGTTAATTTATTAGTTAGAAAGAAAAAATGAAGAAGTAATTTGAAATAATAAGTAATGAATGAATGAATTAGCTCATCTTAGAAAAAGTTTAAAATAAAAAATGGGTTCAATTAAAAAACAAATAAATAAATAAATAAAAAACCTAAAAAGAAAAATAAATCAAATAAAAAATTAATAAATAAATCAAAAGAGTTAGTAATATTTTTTTAAATTCATTTTTATTTTCAAAATATCATAATCCAATACAAATAAACCATTTTTACTCAAGATTAAGTGTCAAATTTTAGAGATTAATGCATTTTCCTAAACCAGAACATAAACCTTATATACCTTCACCACTAAATTAATTTTCACTTTTTAAATATTGAAGAAAAAATATATTGTTAATTATGAAATAATAATAAATTATTTTACCGTAAATCCTCATAAATTCTCACAATCATAAATTTTCACCATATTATCTTAATATTTTTAACAGTGAGGGGGGTAGGGGGTAGGGGTGGGGAGGTTGGTGAAAATTAATGAGGATTGACGGTATTTAATTAATTAATTAATAATTATAGTAAAAGTCTAAAATGAAAAAATTATTTAAATTTATAAACAAATAAATAAATAATTTAAACCTTAGATAAAGAGTCAAATTTGAGAGATTAGGGCACTTTCCTAAGCCAGAACCTAAGCCTGATGCACCTTCATCACCAAATTTATTAGACCTTTTTAAATATTGAAGAAAAAATATGTTAAGAATTAGTTAGTTAGAAGGAAAAAATGAAATAATAAGAAATGAATTAATCAATTAAGAATAAAAGAATAATTTTAAAAAGAAAAAAATGAATAAAATTTACAAACAAACAAAGAAATAAATTTTAAAAAAATAATACTAGCATAATAAACAAAAGAAAAATAAATCAAATAAAAGCTAATAAATAAATGAAAAGAATTATTTATATTGTTTTAAAAACCATTTTTATATTCAAATAATCACAATCCAAACAAATAAACTCTTTTTACTCAAGATAAAGTGTCAAATTTGAGAGGTTAGTGCACTTTCTTAAACGAGAACCTAAAGATGATACACCTTCATCGCCAAATTAATTTCTCCTTTTTAAATATTAAAGAAAAAATATTTTGATAATTGAAGGAAAAAATGAAGTAAGAAATAAACTAATTAATTATTAATAAAGCAAAATTTGAAAATAAAAAAAAAACAATTAAAACAATAAACAAAAAAACAAAATAAATAAAAAAGATAAGTAGAATAAAAAAAAAAAAAAATAAATCAAATAAAAATAATAAATAAATTAAAAAAGTGTAGGCTAAGTTATATTATTTTAAATTCATTTTTATTTTCAGAAATAAACAAAAAAAACTGTTTTTACGAAAGAATTAGAGATAAATTTGAGAGATTAGAGCATTTTCTTAAACCCTTACCTAATTTAGATGCTCCTCTTACACCAATTTAATTTTCGCTTTTAAATATTAAAGAAAAAATATATAGAGTTAGAAGGAAAAAGATAAAGAAAAAATATGAAGTTATAAGAAATTAATTGAAAATTAAAAATAAAACTTGAAAATAAAACAATGAGTTAAATTAACAAATAAATAAATAAATAAAAAACAAAACAAAGCACAATAAAAAAAAGGTAATAAATTGAAAAAAAATTTATTTTTATATTCAAAAATATCATAATCCTAAATAAACAAACTCTTTTTACTGTAGATTAAGTGTCAAGTTTGAGATTTAAACACATTTTCCTAAACTAGAACCTAAGCATGATGCAGTTTCATCACCAATTTAATTTTTACTTTTTAAATATTGAAGAAAAAACTTGAAGTTAATTAGTTATTTATAAGATGAAGAAAAAATATGTAATAATAAGAAATAAATAAATTAATTAATTCAAGATAAGACAAAAGCTGAAAATAAATAAATGAATTAAAAATAAACAAAGAAATTTTAAAAAACACAAGCAGAATAAAAAAATTAAATAAAAAGCTATAAAAAAATTAAAGTAGTTAATTTTGTTGTTTTTAAATCATTTTTTTAAACTGTTTTTACTAAAGAATTAGAGCCAAATTTGAGAGATTAGTGCACTTTGCTAAACCATTACCTAAACCTAATGCACCAATCGCACTAATTGCACCAATTTCACTTTTTAAATATAGAAGAAAAAAACAATTAACTTGTTCGCTAAAGGAAAAAATGTAATAAAATATAAATAAATAATAAAAGTAAATGTTAAAAATAAAAAAATTAGATAAAATAATATAGTAACAAAGAAATAAAAAGAAATACAAGCAAAATATAAAAAAAGAATAATTAATCAAATAAATATTAATAATTAAAGCTAGCTAATGAAAAGATTAAAAAAGTTATTTCATTTAAAATATATTTTGATAGCTAAAAATATCACAGCCAAAAATAAATAAATAAATAAATAAATAAATAAATAAATAAACAAACAAACTATTTTTACCTAAGTTCAAGTGTTAAATTTGAAAGATTAGTGCAATTTCCTAAGCCAGAACCTAAGTCTGATGTACCTTAATCACCAATTTAATTTTCTCTTTTTAAATATTGAAGGAAAATATTATAGTAAATTAGTTAGTTTGAAGGAAAAAATGAAGAAATAATAAGAAATGAACTAATTAATTAATAATAAAAGCAAAAATTAATGAATTAAAATAATAAACAAATAAATAAATAAAAATAAGAAATATAAATTAAATAAAGCTAATAAAAAAATAAATAAATTAAAGAGTTAGTTTGTTATATTGTTTTAAATTCATTATTTATTTTCAAAAATATCTTAATACAAACAAATAAAGTGTTTTTACTCAAGATAAAGTGTCAATTTTGAGAGATTAGTGCACTTTCCCAAACCAGAACCTAAATTTGATGCACCTTCCTCACAAATATAATTCTTACTTTTTAAATATTGAAGAAAAAACATCTTGTTATTAGTTAATTAGAAGGAAAAAATCAAGAAAAAATATGAAATAATAAGATATGAATTGATTAATTAATTAATAATAAATTAAAAAATTAAAAAAGTGAGTTTAATTGAAAAAAAAAACGAACATATGACAAAATATAAAAATATGAGGAAAATAAGAAAAGTGTTATTTTTGTTTTTTTTTAAATTTATTTTATATTAAAAAATATCCATCCTAATCGAATACAAGTAAACTGTATTTATTTACTTAAGTTTAAGTGTCAAATTTGAGAGATTAGTGCACTTTCTTAAACGAGAACATAATCTTGATGCACCTTCATCTCCAATTAAATTGTCTCTTTTTAAATATTAAGTAAAAGCATATTGTTATTAAGTTAGTTAGAAGGAGTAAATGAAGAAAAAATATGCAGTAATAAGAAATTAATTAATAATAAAAGGAAAATTTAAAAATTAAAAAATTAATTAAATTAATAAATAAATAAAAACACAATCAAAATAAAAAAGAAAAATAAACCAAATAAAAAGCTAATAAATAAATAAATAAATAAATAAATAAATAAATAAATAAATAAAAGAATTAATTTTTTTGTTTTAAATTCACTTTTAAATAAAAAAATATAACAAATAATCCAGAACAAACAAAATGTTTTTACTAAAGATAAAGTTTCAAATTTGAGAGATTAGTGCACTTTCGTAAACCAGAACTTAACCCAGATGCGCCTTTATCATTGATTTTATTTTGACTTTTTAAATATTGAAGAAAAAACTATAGTTAATTAATTTGTTAGTAAGAATGAAAAAATGATGAAAAGATATGAAATAATAAATAAATAATTAATTACTTAATTATGATAAAAGCAAATTTTGATTATGAAAAAATGAGTAAAATTAAAAAATAAAGATTTAAATATATAAAAACAAATTAAAAGAGTTATATTGTTTTAAATTCATTTTTATATTCAAAAATATCATAAAAAAACTAAATTTACAATAGAATAAGTTTCAAATTTGAGAGATTAAAGCACTTTCTTAAACCAAAACCTAAGCCTGATGCACCTTCATCGCCAATTTAATTTCTACTTTTTAAATATTATGAAAAAAAACATATTGTTATTTAGTTAAAAAGAAGAAGAAAATGAAGAAAAATATGAAATAATAAGATATAAATTAATAATAAAACAAAAGCTGAAAATGAAAAAATATATTAAATAAACTAAAAAAAAACTAAATAAAATAATAAAAAATAAGAAAAACATTAAATAAAATAATAAAAAATAAGAAAAACATTAAATAAAAAGTTAATAAATAAAATAATAAATAGTGTTAGTCTTATTTTTTTTAATTTATTTTCATATTTAAAAAAATCACAATCCAAAACAAATAAACTCTATTTACTCAAGATGAAGTGCCAAATTTGAGAGATTAGTGCACTTTCCTAAACCAGTACCTAAGCCTAATGCACCAATTGCACCAATTAAATTATTACTTGTTAAATATAGAAGAAAAATTATACAATTAATTAGTTAAATAGAAGGAAAAAATATGTAATAATAAAAAATGAACTAAAAATAAAATTAAAATTTCAAAATGAAAAAATGATTTAAATTAACTAAAAAAAATAAATAAATAAATAACACAAGCAGAATAAAAAAATAAGAAAAATAAATGAAATAAAAATCTAATAAATAAATTAAAAGTAAAGTATTAGTTAAATTGTTTTAAATTTTTTTAGTATTCAAAAATATAGCAATCTAAAACAAAAAAACTGTTTTTACGAAAGATGAAGTGTTAAATTTGAGAGATTAGTGCACTTTCCTAAACCAGAACCTAAGTCTGATGCTCCTTTATCACAAATTGTACCTTCTTTAACATATTCATTATTTCTTTTTAAATATTGAAAAATAAATATAATGTTAATTTTTTAGTTATAATGAAAAAAATGAAGAAAATTATAGATAATAATAAAGAAATTAATTAATTAATATAAAAGCAAAAGTTGAAAATTTAGTTAGTTAAATTATCAAATATATAATGAAATAACTAAATTAAAAAGCACTAGTAGAATAAAAAAAAGAAAATTGAATAAAATTGATAAAAAAATTGAAAAAATAGAAAGAGTAAAATTAGCTTAAAATCATAAAAATTATATGATATTTTATTATAGGACCAGCAATAAAATTAAAAGTTGAAAATAAAAAATGACTTAAATTAACAAACTGAAAAACAAACAAATAAAAAAAAGAAAAATAAATCAAATAAAAATCTAATAGTTAAATTAAAAGTATTTGTTTTATTGTTTTAAATTAATTTTTATATTAAAAAATATCAAAACTCAAATCAAACAAACAAATAAACTCTTTTTACTCAAGATCAAGTGTCAAATTTGAGAGATTAGTGCAATTTCCTAAACCAGAACCTAATCCTGATGCACCAGTTTGACCAATAATATTAAATCTTTTTAAATATTAAAGAAAAAATATTTAATTAATTAGTTTGAAAGAAAATATGAAGAAAAAATATGAAAAAATAATTTAAATTAACAAATAAAGAAATAAAGAAATAAATAAAAAAAAGATAAATAAATGAAATAAAAATCTAAAATAAATTAATTAAAATATTTATTAAGTTATATTATTTTAAATTCATATTCAAAAATATCATAATCCAAAACAAAAAAACTGTTTTTACTAAAGATAAAGTGTCAAATTTGAGAGATTAGTGCACTTTCCTAAACCAGAACCTAATCTTTAAGCACCATGAGCACCAATTTTAATTGAACTTCTTAAATATTGAATAAAAAACATACAGTTAATTAAATAGTTAGAAGGAAAAAGGAAGAAAAAATAGGAAATATAAAAATAAATAATAATAATCATTTAAGAAAATTTTTAAGTTAAAATAATTAGAAATATTTATTTATTAATTTGCTATAATATAATTGAATTTATTTTTTAGATGATAATTTAAATTAGAAAAATAATATTACAAATTAGATGAAAATTAAATTTAAATAAATAAACATTAATATTAATAAATTAAATATACTTCAGAACTAAATGGATATCCTAAAAAGATTAAATTGAAGAGTTTAAAAACTTATTTTATTAATAAAAATAATTTAAATGTTATTTATAAACAAATAAATATTATTACTTCTTAAGTGCTGTAAAAATATTTTTTTTTTGATATCATTTATTTTTTTTCAAAAATATTGAAAACTAATTTATGGAATTTAATTAATAAATTAATTATTAGGATATTAATAAATTAATTAACTTTTAATATGAAATTAATTTAGATAAAAAAAAAAATAAACAAGATACAAATTTATAAATTAAAAAAAAAATCATAAAAACAAATGTCAGTGTACCATTAATTATTAAATCAATATTTCTATTAAAAATTATATATATAAAATAATAATAATAATAATCAAATTAATGGGTTTTCTGTCATATGTTAATAAAATATTTTCAATTGGTATAGTTCAATTTTAAAATGTTATATTTTTATGTTTGTTTTAATCTATTAAAAAGGTAAATAAATATTCATATTTATTAAAATATATTCAATACATATTTAAGAAATCATCATATTTATTAGTGATCTACCGAATAAGACTTTTTTTGATTTTTTTAGGTTCGAAGCAGAATTTTTAGGTACCTTTTTTTATTATTTTATATTTTCTTTAAATTTCCTACTAGAGAAATAATTATTAGAGGATGGCAATAATAATAATAATCTCATTTACTACGAGAAAACCACAGTATAAATTTAGAAGGTTTTTTGCTGTTAATGTGTTTTAGAATGAAATTCAACTTTTTTTTTTCTTCTATTTTTTAAATTGGAATAATTAAATTAAATTTATTAATTTAAATAATTTTTAGCATAATTTCCCTTTCTCTATTGAAGGCAATAAAAATGGATTTATATATTTTTCATAAGCCTTTCTTAAAGTAATTTGAAATTTAAAACGGTCTATTAAATTGCAAATAGAGTATTATTGAAATTAAATTTTTAAATGATAACTAGTAAGTAAGCAAATCTATATTTAGCATAATAAAAAATAAAATTAATATTTGTCTAAAGCCACATATATTTTTATTTGAAATTTAATAAATAAACCCAAAAATAAATCACACAAAATATTTATATTTATTAATTTAATCCAAAAAATCTACTTTAATTATGACACAAATTAAATAAAAGAGCAAACTAAAAAATTTTATTTTGAGCTATACTATCTTTCTATAAGATAAAAGTAAAATTTAAATGTTTGATTTAGAACTTAAATGACTGACTGACTTACAAACAATTCATATTTGGTTATATAAAAACTAAATTTAGTTATTTATTTTTTAGAGACTTATTTTTCACATCATAAATAATTTAAAATTGAATCCCCAAATTATGTATATGATTGATTAACTTACTCATAAATATATATAATAATATTTTAAATAAAATTATTTTCATTCTTGTATATTTTTTTCTACTTTTTATTTTATAGACTTTAACTAGACTCTTACTAAAAAATGTTCTATCTTTAATTAAAATTATAAAAATAGAAGAATAAATTAAATGATAAATCTATTTTATGTGGTATTAGTAAATATTAAATTCAGTCTTTTTATATTTTAATATTGCGATTATGTAAGAATAAAATTATTAGAAAATAGTTAAATTTACTCTTTTATTTCAATAAACAATTATAAATTAACAGAATAAATTAATTGGTTGAATTTTTACAAATTATCTTTATATTGTATTTCTTTTCTTTAACAAATATGCATAACATACAGCTTGCAAAATTCTTTTTATTATATATTTGTTTATATTAATATTTATATATAAGTTTTTCATTGATTTTCTTTCTTTATTTCTTTTATTTTTATATTATTGGGAAGATTTTTCTAATAATTATTTTAAATATTACTAATCGTGATATCATTAATGGCGGGTGGTGTTTCAAACGCTATATAAATAATATTCAATCTTATAAGGTAAATTTAATTTGGTAAAAATATAAAAGATTTACAGTGTACTAGAAGAGAATGTAAATTTCATACAAAATATTTATAATGATTTTATAAATTGTAAAGTATTAATTATTTAATTAAATTCGTGTGGTTTATTATTAGGTTTTCAATAAATTTCGTTTGCTAATAAAGAGACTTTGCTCTATTTGTTAATTCTTGGTAATATATATTTATTTGATTTATTATTTTAGGCAAGATTTTTTGGATATGAATCTTAATTGTTACTTTAAATGGAATTTAATTTTTTACTGTCTCCTATCAGCAATCCTGAATTTATTAATTGGTCTATCATATTTTTTTGCATTTAAAGAGATTCGTTTTAATTAATTTTTTATTATTTTTCTTCATATACTTTTTTATTTTTAAGCAAATTAGTGTCTGATCTGCTTGATACTAACTTGCTATGAGGCTTAGAATTTAGATTTTGTTTGGCATTTTTTTTATTGTTGTATTTATGTATAAAAATCTCAGTCTAGAAAGAATCTACACCCTTAGTCTTATGCTGAAGCATGTCTGTTTACTTAAGCAACATTTAATTTAAATGATCTTCTTATTTTTCAAGCTTATTAATGTGAGACAATTCATTTAATATTGAGGTTTTTATATCTCTTTAAGTATTTCCTTAATTATTTGAGTTCATATTAGGTGTTGAGTCATCTCCAACAGATAGTTTTCTTTATATTTATTTACTACTTTTATTGAAAATACTTGCTTTGAAACTCAAATTATTAAGATTTGAATTCTTCTCAAGATTTAAGCTTCTATCAGAATTCTATAAAAAATTTAAAGTGGTAAAATTTTCATTATTTGAATTTTATTAATTATTAGGTTTTTGATTTTTTTTAATTTATCTATTCTAGTTGATTTCATCATATATTTAATATTTATCTAAAGTAACTTTTGGTAAAAAAGGTAGGCGATGCTAAAAAATATTTGCTTATCTCACAGAATTTACCAATTCATTATTAAAGCTCTGAACTATATCGTTTTTATAATTATTCCACATTATATTTTCAATATATTATCTTTTTATTTTTTCACTTGATGGGTAATGTTTAATAGAAGATTCAAATTACTTATATACATCCAAAGGAACGCAACTTTTTAAGTCTTAGAGAGTGATAGTTAATATATCACAGTCAGTTGTTGATACTGCAGTATAAGGAATTTCTTAATTGTTAAATACTTCATAGTCTCCAAAAACATTACCATTTCCTATTTCTTCCAATTAAACATCAATTGTTTTATATCTTTTAAGTCTAATTTCTTCTGGTGTAGGGTCTTTGTAATCATCCAAAATGCTATTGCTCTTATAGTCAATTCTAAATTTTAGTGTCGAAACGAGCTTAACTATTCCGTTTCTGACAAAAAATATTCCCTTTGGCTTTTCTCCTTACTTAATTATTATTGTATTTTTAGAGCATTAGGTCAATGTAGTTTTAGTAGAAAGCTTGAGAATATCTTTTTATAACATTTCTCTCATTTACCACAAATTAGTATAGAAATCAACCATAATACTTATTTTAGCATTTTTACTCTAGGATAAATATTTTTCAAATATCTGCTTTTTTAACACCAGTAAGTTAGTCGTGTCCAAACAAACTGCAGTTGCAGTTCTATTTTCATTAAAAAGCAAACCTAATTCTCCAAAAGCATCTCCAGATTCTAATCTTGCCACTTCTCTAACTCCAACTCCTAATATATTTTGCGAGATATTGTCACCTTTTTGGTCAATAATCTGGCTTTTACGAACAGATTTATTTGGGCTATTTTCCTTTTTTTGTTGTGGCATATTTTTTTCGTTTTCATTTTATTAATTGCTGCTATCTACTGCCTAATTTTGATTTTTGTTCTAATCAATTTTAATAAATGTATCAGCATCATTTGCTGTTCTAATATATAATCCTATAATACCATTTAAAATAATATAAAATTTGTCAGCAACATCTCCTTATCTAAATAGTATATGATCAAGTGGCCAACTTTCTAATTCCAAATTTTTTAAAACTTCAGCATAGTGAGTAGAATCCTAGTAAGACTGCAAAAATTTTACCTTCCTCAAACATTCTTTCATAATCTAAATATGCTCAGGTCTTCTTTACTCAGCAGGTATTTAAAGTATTTCAATTAACACCTTCGCATCTTAAGTATTAACCGAAATAGGTTTCACTTTTGCAGTTGATTAACTTTCCTAAGTCTTCTCAGTATTATCTTCTTCGCTATTTTTAAGATCTTCCTTACTTATTAGGTGCTTCATAATTTCTATTAAAACTTTTTTTAATGAATTTTTGATATTAAAATAAAAATAACTGAATGAATGAATGAATAATTTTGCATCACAAAATAAATTAATAATTTCACAAAATCTTTAATAGAATTTGATAATAAATTTTAATGTAAACCATTATCATTTATTTAAATACTCCAGTAACATTAAATATCTATGTATTCATAATAGAAATTTAATTATACTAGATTAATTCTTCGAAAATAATATCACAAATTAAAAATAATATCTAAAGAAATAAAAATATTATTAACATTTCACCTAAACAAAAACAAACAAATCATTAATATCTTTTTGCATATTAATTCAAATGCAAAAATTAATATATATATTTTGATTTATTAATCCTACTTTGCAAAAAAGAATTAATTTAATTAATTAGTATTTTTTGAAATTAATAATAATTATAAATAAGATATAAATGAATGGAGAATAATACTACTAAGATTGAAAAAAACTATCTAAGCAGCCAAAAAAATACAACATCGTTTTTCTCAAATGGAATTATTTTAGACCCGAAGACAGCAGCTAACCTGTAATAAGAAAATATTAAAACCCACTTAAAGTAATCAAAAGCAGAGGGAAATTATGAGAAAACAATTTACTTAAAGCATCTACTGACTAATAAAATAAATGTGCCTTCCAACTAAATGCTGTCAAAGGCTGGAAAGTTCTATAATTATAGAAGCTACGGCTATGAAACAATTTACTAACAAAATAAGATTAAAATAGCAGATGTTATAAAGCAATTCGATAAAAATTAACTTGACACAAAAATAGATCAAGAGAATGACTAAGAAGATTAGCTTAGCAATTAATAAAAAAAGACTGAAAGTGGCAAAGTTGTAAATTATTAAGAAAATAAAAAAATATTTAGGTCATACTCCCCACAAGATAGAAGTGAGGATGTCTTGTTTGATAAAAATTAGTCATATAAAGTTCTAAACACTACTTGTCTTTAGTTTAAAAGAGAAAAAAAAGATAAAATAAATTAGATTATTTCAAAAAATAAGTTGCTTCCTAATTCGAAGCACTCTTCTGCTTTTACTCGATTAGAAAGGGAAAGACTAATAGAATTAGATCATAAATTCGATAATGATTCTTCGAACTTAAATTATCATCCTATTTATGACTAAATCTTTCCTTCATCAACACCTCACAAATTTTTACCTCTTCCTTCTACTTAGGTGAACTTAATTTCTCACTTTTAATTTTAAACAAAATTTATTTTAAATAGAGAAGACAAGAAATGCAGATGGCTCCAGACTGCATTATTAGGGGAAATCTTTGTGAATATAAAATAAGAAGTGTAACTTAAGAAATGAAAAAGTACTCTGACAAGATTGTGTCTCTACTGAAAAAGCTTGAAGAAATTGAAGCCTAATATGAACTTTAAAAAGATAAACTTCAAAAGGATGACCCTTAGAAGATAAGAGATATGCTGGATATCATTTAAGAAAAAAAGAGACTTATTGGAGAAGAAATATTAGAAAATTAGAAGTTATTTATTCAAGCAAGAACAGAATACGAATTGCTTATAGGAGAAAATCTAGATTAACAAGATCAAGATGCTTTCAATTAAATTCCTGATAAGATAAAATCTCATGAAGCAAACTATCTATTTAATAAAATCAAAAGTAAGTAAAACAATAATAAAATAAACTAAAATGTCATAATTAATATATATATATATATATATTAAATAGTCAATAAAAAATATTTTAAAATTAAATAGAAAAGATATTGATTTATATTAAATATCATTTTATTAATTCATGATAATTTTTAAAAATAAATAGGTAGAGGCCCGTTATTTCCTGAGCAAAATGTAAAAGACTTAAATGAGAGACTATATAATAATTATAAGGGTAATTAGATATGTGAATAAGGTACTTTCTACTTTGATAGAACTAGAGGAAGAGATTAACTGTTCAAACCAGTTATAGGTCCTGAACATTATGATCATTACAAATAATATGAAAATGCACACTTTCATAAAACAGCTGACTTAGTTCATTTGAGTAAGCAAGATACTAAATTTACATACTACACAAAACATGACTACCATGCCTAATAAAATGACAAATCAGATAAAATTCCTATTGATTGGCATAAAATTGTTGAAGGCTAGTAAAAACTATCTAATTATACCAAATAACCAAACTACACAAACTTTTAAACATAAATAAACAGAGATAAACCAAACTCTCACTAAATTAGAACTATTAAAGTCAATACTAATTTTTACAGTATTAACTAAAATCAAAACCTTCCTAAATTTAATTCTTCAACGAGATCCTTATCTCCACCAAAGCGCCAAATTAATAAATTTGATAATTCTTTGTTAGATTAAAATTTATTTGAGTGATTTGTTCATTGTAACATATTTTTGAAAAAAAAATTTTATCACAATAATTTAAATTAATTAAACACTTTATATAAAATTATAAAAAATGCACCGACCGGGAATCGAACCCGGGTCAAAGCGATGGCAACGCTCTATTCTACCACTAAACCATCGGTGCTTTCGGTGATAATATTAAATATGTCCAAATAATCTTCTTTAAAATTGATTTTTTCTTCGTATAAAAATTATTTTCAATAATTAATTAATTAATTATTACTATGAATTTCATAAAATAAAATTTCGTTAAAAAAAAGATAGAATACATATTCCTATATAACTTATAAAAAATGCACCGACCGGGAATCGAACCCGGGTCAAAGCGATGGCAACGCTCTATTCTACCACTAAACCATCGGTGCTTTCGGTGATAAACTTATAATTTTTCAAACAATCTACAACAAAGTTAATTAATTAATTATTAATCTATGAAAATAATTTTTGGTATAATTAATTAAATTTTATAATTAAAATTTCAGCTGATTTAAAAATGTATGTATGAGTTAAATAATTAATTACTAATTTTTTTAAATTAAATAAAATAAAATATAAAAAATGCACCGACCGGGAATCGAACCCGGGTCAAAGCGATGGCAACGCTCTATTCTACCACTAAACCATCGGTGCTTTCGGTGATATTAATATAGTAAATAGTATTGTTCTTTTCTTTAAATTGTTTTAATTTTAAATAAATAAATATTTAACGTAATTTATTCAAAAGAAAACAACTTTTTTTCTTAATTTTTTTACAAAAATAATTGTTTCTGATAGGAAATGTTATATATCAGAAAATGTGACTAATAATTTATATTTTTAAATTAGCTTTGAAAACAAAATAATTTCTTAAATTGCTTTTGTGTTGAAATAATTAAAGGAAAAGAGTTTAAAAAACAACAAAAAATGCAAACTTTTTGCAATATAAATAAATGTCTTTCAGTAGTTATTTTAAACTTTTGTTATTTCACCTTTGTATGTAAGAACATTGTATTTTCCATTTAGATACGATAGTTCTACATTATATTTCCATCCATTTTCAGTTCCTATAGTCTCTGCTTTAATTTTAGGAGCTAAAAACTAAGGTATTTTAATTTTGAGATTAGTGAAAGGTATTTTGAAATAGATTCCTTCGCTCTAATGGTAGAATGTTCTATTATCCCCCTTTTCTTCTAGCCTCATTACGATAACGAAGTTAAAGATTTCTTCATATAACTTTTCCTCCTTTACATATTGTAATGAGTCGAATGTATTTACCTAACCACAGCTATTAATAAATTATCTATACCATAATTCACTTCCATCTTCATTACAAGTGACACCTAGAATTACCTTACCATTATTCATATTCTAAGGTAATTGCAATAACTTTTCTACTGCATTTACAAAATAATTATTGTCAGAATAAATAGTGCAATTTCCTTCTGCAACACAGCTTTATTTATTAAAATCTACACTTATTTACTTACTGTCTAGCTATTTGGGCTTATTTATATGAAAATCTACTAATCCTTTTGGGTAATTATAGAAATTTGGACCAATTATTCTTGTATAAAGCCCTTATCCAAGGTTAGGGGCAGTATAGCTCCATCCTAAGCAGAATTAATGAGTCTTGTCGAAAATAAATGTTTTAAACTTTCCTGACCATGCTTTAAAGAAGGCATTTCTGAATTATTCTGCTCTTCCATCTAATCTTCCTATCTAATGAACCATCGGCACAAGAGTTTGCACAATATGAGCTCTAAGTCTTCTTTTCTAAACATAATTAGATATGATATTATTCTTCACAAAATCCGTTTCTTTCATGCATTATTCGAAGCTATATTATAAATTCCTATTCCTGCTTTCTTTGAGCAATGCTTAGTAAATAGAACTAGAAAGTTAGAGAGCATCTTCTATTGCTAAACATGCTCCTTATGCTAGATTAGGAGCCATAGCATGACAAGCATCACCTAATAATACAATTCTTCCCTAAGACCATTCCTTCATTTTTGGTAGCTCATATATAGGAGTCTTAACTATTTCTTCTGATTTGGTGCTATTTATAACTTAATTAGCTAATTTACCAAAATCCTTGAAATAATATAATAACTCTTCTTTCTCTTATTCACTAATAACTTCTGTTTTAGAAGATTTTGGTTCATCTTCAATCAGACCATCTGATTAAGAAAAAAATGAAATATTATGTTCGCCTACTGCAAACCAATAACATTAAGGATCTTTTAAACCTACTATGCCAAATCTTCTATATGCTCCCCAAGCTTCAAAAGCAGCTGAGTTAGATAATTCTGAATTATTGCTAACACCTTAATAGTATGAATATCCTGCATATCTAGGCTATATTTCTGGAAAAATAGATTATCTAACTTTAGAATGTAAACCATCTGCACCAACCAACAAACTTGTTTCTAAAATTGTGCCATCATTAAGCGTAATTCTTACTAAATTATCAAGTTATTCAATTTATTCCACTCTTTTTCCAAGGAGGAGCTAATCAGAAGGGAATGATTCTCTAAGAGTTTTTTAAAGGGTACCTCTCCTTAAACACAAGCAGGAAGTCAATCTATCAATTCTGTTTGATGGCCTGACAAGCCAATCATCTAATTATTTTGATCTGTAGCCTGCACAGAACATTACCCTACCATCTTCGTCAAGCTTTTTTTCCAAACCTAATTATTTTAAAGCCATTTGAGCTGGTCCCCATAAACCAATTCCTTATCCAACTTTTGAATCAAATTCTTTTGCTTGATCTATGATTAAGGGCTTAAAACCATATTTTGTGCATGATAAACCAAATGTAAGCCCACCTATTCCACCACCACAAACAATAATAGGGAAATATTGAGCAACTTACTTTGTTATTTAACTCATTTTGTATATCTATTTCTAAGTACTCTATAATATTTAACAAATATCTTTGAATTAATTAATTAAATAATTAATCATTCCTATCTTTTCTAATATCTGACTAAACAAACATATATTTTAGTATTATTAACAAATAAATAAAAACAATAATAAAATTAAGTAAGTAAGTAAGTATTTTAGTAAAAAGATATTTATTTTCAAATTTTTACTATTATAATATTTATTGGTTTAAATAAAAAATTTTACTTGATACTTTCTAAAAGTTTTTTAAATTATATACCAATCAACATCTATTATAGCCAAATGCCTAATTAAAATCTAGTGGTTTGGGTATTAATGAGTTTTTTTCAAAAATTTTGGGTATTAATTATAATCGCCATTAATAAAGGAGAACATACAGAATTTGAATTTATTTAAAAGTTAGAAAATATATTTTAGACATTTAGTTAAATTGATACTAAATTTTATTTTATTTAAAATTTATTGCAAAGAAATAAAAATAAATATATAAATTAAAATCATATTTTTAGGATTATTATTATCAAAAAATAATTAATTAATTTTTGAATGAAAAACAAAAATATGAAGCAAAAAGTTTATTCTAAGAAATAAATAATGATCAAATTTAAAATTCAAAATTTTACTTTTTTATTAAATGATTTATTTATTTCCAAATATGAAATAAAGAGCTTAATCAATATTTAAATTAGGAAATTCAATTAATTGTTATTCTAAAATATTTTTATTATAGAATTGCATAAATAATAAGTTAATTTATTATGTTATTTTTGAATTAAATATAAAATTGAATAAAAAATTTGTTTTAATAATGCATATTCAATTAATTACTAAAAAACAGATATCTTTTGAAAAGGAAAACCAAGAAAAAAGCTTTGTATAATATTAAAGATGATTATTGTCTTAATTGATGTTTATATAAATGAATGAAAATTGTTTTTTCTACGATCTAGCCAAATTAAATTTATTTATAAGCAGATTCAAATCATTTAGATAAACATAATTTACTTTAAATTTTTTATTTTTTAAAGCAACTTTTATAAAATAAGATGAAATATTTATCTAAAATTGAAACAATTGTTTAAAAATTAAATATTTAAATGTTGAAATATTCCCTTTATTAGTTTTTTCCTTAAATTGATTTTTGAGTTACGATAAGATGAAAGTTAGTAAATTTAAATTTTGTGAAAAAATTATGTTTAGAAAAATTTTATTATGTGTAAAAATGGTTTAATCCTTAAACATGAAGAGTATCCTTCTAACTAACTATCTATCTATCTCCCTACCTACATACCTACCTACTAAACTATTGAATTTCATTAATTAGTTCTATTTTATTACTCTATTAAATAAGATAAGTCTATTTTCCTCCATTTAAAATACTAAATAATATTTAATCCTAGTCTATATATTTTTGAAACAGAGGGGAAATCAATGAAGTGAATGATTTTTAACTTAGAAATCTATGAAAAGAAAATAAATAAGATTAAATAAGAAAACCAAAAGATTTTTCATTTATCCTTTCATTCTATTTTGCTTAAAGATGTTTAGTGTTTGTTGTTGTAGTAAAAATATTAAATGTTATATCAAGCAGAATACAAAATAAGATTTAAAATATAATTCAGGCTTCAGAAGTGTTAATTTTAATAGTTAATTAATTTCCCTTTTATGTTAATAAGTTAAAATAGACTCAAAGGAAACATAAAATAAAACAGCTAAATTTTAAATCATTATCGAAAAATTTAAAGTAATTAATAAATTAACTATCTATCTATCTATAAATTGTGTAATCTTTTTTTTATGTTTTGCTCCCTATTCATTTCAAATTTCAAAGTAAAAATCTAATGAGTTTTAAGATAAAATCAAATCCTTTTGCTTATTTTAAGAAATAAATTTGAGAAAACAATTTTTTTAATACATAAATAAGAGTGCATTTATAAAATAAAAATCATCTGAGAAAGCTACTTTCGAAATATTTGGAGAGGAAAATCTAATACTTATATGATTATAAAAATATAGAAGGATGGTTATCAATTATATCGACAATGAAAAACACATTCAATTATTTTATTTAATTCAGGCTTTATATTAACCGGGCTAAATAAATAACGCTTTTAATTATTCCGGGTTTTTTATCAATATAGATAAATAACAAATTTTAAAGATTGATAAATAATGAATTTTAAATGATGATTAGGTGTTTTTAATTTTCGATTTTTTAATTGCAATAATTTACTTCATTTTATTTAAAAATATTTTTTTTAGAGTCTGCCTTCAACCAAAGTTATTCATTAGCCATTCAGCTCCACTTGAATAAAAAATATTTATGTATTCTTTATGTAAAAAGAGTATAAAATTTAAACTGTAGAACACTATATACAATTAATTGGGTTTGTTTTTAATGAGAAAAATATATTAATAAACGAGTAAGCAGGGGAAATAGCTTGAAATCAGATCAAATGGTTTTTTAAAATTCTGGTAAATACTTAAGAAGACAAATTTTAATAATATTTAATCAGAATCGTTTTTTTACCTGACAAACTAGCTAACTTAATTTTTATGACACATTATTGTTTTAATATTCGTTTCTCTATAAAAAAGAATATTATATGCAATTTTATAAGTAAAACCAAGGAAGGAAAAAAAGCAATTATTTTATTGAAAAAAATTGATATATAATAAAATATTATCACGTTGTTTCAAACTGAATTTAATACAGTTTAAAGAACAAAATTAATTTATAGATAGGAGAGAGCCACACAAATAGCTTAATAAATTGATAAATTTAAGGAGGAAATTATTTAATAAATGTAGATGCATAAAAAAAAAATTAATTAAAATTAGATAATTATATCGAATTCATTTAACATAAATTTTTACTGTTTATTATTATTTTAGAAGAGCGAGCATTGAATTCACCTGATTTTTTTTTTTTGTTGTTTATTGTTTCTAGAATTCAAAAATAAAAACTGTTTTTGCTTATAAAAGGCTACAAAAGTAAGTAAGTAAGTTAGTAAATATTCAAATTAACAGTTATCCTTTTGTGTTGTTGCTATAAAATAATGATTTTTTTATCATTTAAGATTCAGAGAAGCTAATCAAAATAAATTTTATAGAAATTTTTTATTTTTAAAATTTAAATAGATCAATGAAATAAAAAATTGTAATATCTATTTTTTAATTTTATTTTTTATGAAATTAACTTTAAAATGAAATAAAATGTATTAATACTTATGTCATAAACTTCATATTAAAAAGAGGAGAAAGTATCTAATTTTTATTTCCATATTTTCCTGTTTATATTTTGGCATAATTTAAGATAATGCAAAAATTTAACATCAACTAACGAAAATTTAGCTAAAGAAGCTTTTAGAAAAATTTCATTTAAAAAAGTTCTAAAATTAGGAATTTGAAAAAAAAATTTATTAAAATCAAATCAATTTCAAATAATTTAAAAAAACTCCTTCTCTTATTTTCTTTTTTGATTGATTTAAAGTAAATGAAGAACATTTAGAATTTTTAAGTTAAATGATATTAAATCTATTATATTTATAGCAAATATTGAAGAGGAATTTACTAATTTTTATTTATATTGCTTTTTGAAAATATTTGAAGAGTTTTTTTAAAAAACCTATAACACACTTAGTAGAAATAAATTTTTTAAACATAAATGAATTATTTTTATTTCAGGTAAATTTTAATAAGCCAGATTTTAATAAAATTTCACGAGATAAAATTTATTACAAATAACATCCTACACTGACTCAAATAAATGCCTAACTTACTTTCCTACATTATCAAACATGGCTTTGTATTAATTGTAAAAGATTATCTGAACATATCAAAGGAATTTTGATCATAAAGTTTAGCTCAAATAAATCTATAAATTTAAACTAGTTTTTATTTTCAATTTTTATTTCTATCTTTAAATATTTATTAAACAATTTATAAATTCAAACACATAAATAAATAAAAACAAACAAACATTTTTGCATTTTACAACTGTTAATTTTTACATTAATAAAAAAATTAAATTCACATTTTGAATAAATAAATAATAGAGTCATAAGGAGATTTTTATTTTTTTATTTTGATGTAATAAGAAATTTTAAAAATTGCTATTTAATATTATTTATTATCTTTTTATGCTTTTCATTTGAAATTTAAAACTTTAAACAAAATTTAAATATAAAAAAGAGATCGAGTTTCATTTAAAGTGGCTTAATTACATAAAATATAAAATAATTTTAGCAATTAATAAATATCTTTAGTAAAGATATTTCTTATTTTGCAGTATGGAAATTGTTTTTCTCTTAATACATTTTTTACCTGTTTTATAAAAAAGTTAATTATTTTTTTATGTTTAATTTTTACGTGAATTTTTTAAATTTTGTTTCTTCTATTTTTAGTTAAAAATAGCTCAAAACCTATTTCAATAAAAATAAACAATTTTTTTTTCTCCCATAGAAGACAAATTTTATTAATATTTTATCAGAAAAATATATTTGCTTCCTAAAATCCTTAGAAGACAAATTTTATTAATAAAAGAAAAGTCGGTTTTTTTTACTAAAAATACTACCAAATTCTTTTAAAATTTACAAAATATCTTTCTTTAAAAAAATATAAAATATATATTAAATATGCTTGTTTAAAATCGTTTTAATTATAAATAACTATAATCCTAATGTTTAAAATCAATTAGACTTATTATTTGCATTTGAATTAAATCTAAAATTTATATTTATTGCATATTATCGATTTTTATATATTTGATTTGCTATTTGTCCGGGATAAGATTTTTCTTTTTTTAATAGAAAAAAAACTTGATTATTGTTATTATCACTTTATCTAAATGAATTTTTGACATTTAGACACTACAATCAAATATATTCCTTTTTTTGCTTACATTTTTTTAAATAGTATTGATATATATAAAAAACTATTTGATGTATTACTAAACATTTTAATTTAAAAATATGAAAAACCTGAATCTATAAATATATCAATTTAATCATAAAAATTGGTTTTAAAAACATTCATGCATATCCAATATTATAGAATAATATCATTTATATTTAAAGAGTGCTTTTTTAATTCTCTTTAAGCTGTCATTTATAGTATAAATAAGAAATAGTGGGTGGATTAGATAGATATCAATATCTATTTATTTAATTTAGTAACTAAATTGCTCTAAAACATTAAAAAATATATTAGCATCATCTCTATTCTGTTAATTTCTTAATCAAGTGTGATTTGAAATTTCATTAGACAATTTAAATTTAATTGAAAATGCCTCTATTTTACTCTTTTTTGAGTCTCTTTTTCATTAACAATAGTGGTTAAAATCAAGACATATAATACATGAATATATATGAATTACCATTGAAATAAGTTTCTATTCCTTCTTCGTTAGAAAATTGACAACAAAAATTTTATATTTTTAAATTTCTAAAAAAATCAATGCAAACCATCTAAAAGAATTTGTTATTGTGATTGCAATAATTTAAAATAAAGTGGTATAAAAATCATTTTTGCTGATAACTAATATTCAATTTTCTATACATTTGATTTAAACAAAATAACTTTTCAAAAAATAAATAATAAAATCCCCTTCTTAAAATATTATATTTTAATATCAAAATTATAGTTTTAACATTGATGAAAAATAGAAAAATTCAGGTAAAAAAATAAATTATTAATTTCCATACCCCCTAAGATTATTTGTACTTACCTTTTTAATTTCGATTTTGATTATTAATTAGAAATACTCAAATCGATAACCTCTATCTAATTCAAGTTTCAAATTAAATAGTTGTTGGTTGACATAAATTAATCGTATAAAATTTAATTATAAAAAAAATTACATTAAAAAAAATTCAACCATAAAAATGAAAGTAACTTCTTTAATACTTATTTCTCTTGTAATAATATCAGCTGTTAATGCTGTTTGCAGTGACCCAAATTCTGCAGATGATGGTTAGGGTAATTGTTATTGCATTGCTGGCTATTATGGCGATACAACCTCAGGTTCTTGTTAGTAATGCCCAACTGGATCAAATTCTGCTGCAGCAGCTGGCGCAACCACTATCAGCGCTTGTACTTGTAATGATTCTAATGCTGTCCTCAACAGTGGAAATACTGCTTGTTAATGTAAAGCTAACTATTATGGTAACCCTACTAACTCTGGTGCGAGCGGATGCACTCAGTGCCCAACTGGTACTTCCTCAAATGCTGGTTCAACTGCTGTCTCTTCATGTACTTGTAATGATTCTAATGCTGTCCTCAACAGTGGAAATACTGCTTGTTAATGTAAAGCTAACTATTATGGTAACCCTACTAACTCTGGTGCGAGCGGATGCACTCAGTGCCCAACTGGTAGTTCCTCAAATGCTGGTTCAACTGCTGTCTCTTCATGTACTTGTAATGATACTAATGCTTCACTCAACAGTGGAAATTCTGCTTGTTAATGTAATGCTAACTATTATGGTACCCCTACCAATTCTGGTGCAAGTGGATGTAACTAATGTCCAACTGGTGCTTCTTCTTCTGCAGGTTCCACTTAATTAAGTTCATGTTCTTGTAGCGATGTTAATTCTTCCCTTAACAGTGGAAATACTGCTTGTTAATGCAATGCTAACTATTATGGTACACCTACTACTTCTGGAGCCAGCGGATGTACTTAGTGTCCTACTGGTACTACTTCTACTGCTGGATCAACTGCAATTGCTTCTTGCGCATGTCCTGATACTAATGCTTCACTAAGCAGCGATAATCCTCCTGTTTGCTAGTGCAACGCTAACTTCTATGGCAGTCCTACTACCTCAGGTGCTAGTGGATGCACTGCTTGCCCAGCTGGATAAACTTCCCCTGCTGGCTCTACTACTAATGTTTGCGCCACAAGCACTACTTCTTCCACTTATATTTTACCAATAATTTAATTACTTTTATGTTTGGTAATTCTTATTTGAGGTTTAATTTAAAATTTTAACATATAAACCTATAATAAAGTAATTACCAAAAAATCAATTTTTGTCTGTTAGTTTATGTTTTAATTTAATGTACTAATGATTTGAAAATTGATTTTGATTAAAGTAATCATTCTTCCTTCCATTTTTTATTTTTTCTATTAATTTTATTTAAGATTAAAATTATAAAGTTATTTTCTCAAAAGCATTCAATTGAAAATTCAATTTTTTCTTTCTTAAAAAATTTTACTAAAAATATTATTTTATGATTCAAATTAAAGAATTGAAAATTTTTATTTATTATTTTTTTTGAAAATATTAGTTAAAATTTTGTTTATGATAAATAAATATTATTATTATTATCAGTCCTAAATTTTTATTCAAAATAGCTTAAAACATTAACAGAAGTAATAAATATAATCAATAATTTTTCTTTTAGTTTAATTTTTATTATTTTAACGTGTGTGTGTTAAAAAATAAAATATTTTTAGAAAAATTTTAAAATAAATTTGATTTGCCTAAATAGCTTATTTAAAAATATCAAGAGTAAACTACTAAAAGCAACATAATTTTCGCTTGTATTTACAAAAAAAATAAATATTTATACTATTTATTTTTAATTTAAATAAGAAAAGTATGATAAAAAATAAAAATAATTGATTGAATTTTAATATTATCATAATTAATTTTTTTTTTATGCTTATTTTTTCTTGGGCATTATAAAATTGAAATAAACTAAAAATTTTTATTATAAAAGTATCTAAAATATCTTTATGCTATTTCAGCATATATTATTTTTAAACTTACCCTAGCATTATTTATTTATTATATTTTAATTTAAATCATATTACCTAGACCTCCGACGAAGAACTAAGTTCCATTTTTTCTTTTTTAGTTGCCTCAGGTTGCATCGATTGTATTACTACAAGCTTTATTTTTTCTGAGAGGTAGGGATTTTTGTTTTTTTTGATTTACTCTTAAGAAAAAAATGGTTTAATTTATCTTTTTTTAAAAAATGTTTATTTTTATCTTTGCTTTAATATACTTTAAAATTATATTTAAGAGATTAATAAAAGTACAGATAGATATTCATTTATTAATATTAATTTTGATAAAAGCAAGTAACGTTATCATAATTTATTATTTTAAAATTGTTATAAATAACCAAAATCATTATAAAAAAATGCTAATTCTTTTTATAAAACGGTGAGTAATGTTTTTTATTTCTAGATGGAATTTACTTTTATTAATATTTATCTAATTAGATTAATTGATTAAAGTTTTTTTAAAATTTATTAATTTAGTTTAAAATTTTTTAGTGTAAAGAAATAAATTTAATATGATAATTGTGTTAAATTTGTATGTATAAATTAATAAAATAAATTTAAGTATATAAAACTAATACTTACAGAGATTTAGTGCTATTGGTTATAATAAGGAAAAGCAATAAAACATGAAAAATTAATTTTTATCAGCTTAATATATTCTGAATAATCTGAGATAACCAAATTTAAAATTGAGAGAATTTAAAGTTATTAAAGTTTTTTTAATATGAATTAGAAAAAATTTTGTAGGTAATTCGTTATTGATAGGCAAAAATTAGATATATAAATAACTTTTGATTTCATTTTTTTATTAATAGAATAAAAATTAATTTATTGCTAAATGAATCTGTATCCAAAGAATGAAAGGTATAAATTTATTAAGATAAAATGTAACTTTAAGCAATAATTTTTCAATATTTTTTCAATTTACAATCACCAATAATTAAATTTTCTCAATTTATAAAAAGATAGAGTGAATAAAATATTTTATTTTACTAATTCTAAATGTTTTTGTCTGTATATAAGATAATCATAGCCAAATAAGACATTATATAAATTATACTTTTGTAGGCATTTAAACATGAAATATTTAAAATAATAAATTTAGTAGTTATAAAATAAATTTTTAGAACTTCTTTCTTATAGAATTAAACCTTATAATTAAAGTAAATGAATGGGAAAGCAACTAGAAAATAAAAATTAAAAATATCATATAATATAGAATTAAGAAGTAGATTTTAATTTGCAAATTTCTTAATTTTTACTTTTCAAGGAAGTAAATTTTTTTTATTAATAATTTCTTAAGATATTAAATAGATATATACCATAATACCTCAATTTTTAAGACGAGCAACCCTGACGAGGAAACCCTAAATATGGGAGGAATTTATTTTATGCCAATTTATTTTTTATGAAAATAAAGTAATTATTAACTAAATAAAATTTACAATATATAAATGCAATAAATTACAATTTAATAATATTTTATAAATACTAAGATAATAGTAAGAATATCACTTTTTTTTTTGAAATTTAATCTTCCTACACAAGGATTATTCTAAATTAATATATTTCTAATTTAAGATATTAAAAAACAATAAACGAATAAAAAGTTTCAATATAGTTAAAATGAATGAATGAACTAACTTCAAAAAAAAATTTTAAGATGAAAAAATTTACAAAAACTAATTTTTATGAAGTATTTATAAATTTATTAAAAGATAATAAATAAGTTACTCATAAATGATAATAAGTTTCTATAAAATTCATTTGCTTTATGCATTATGATATATTAATTTCATGAATCCCCAAAAAATTTGATTGATGATAGATAGATATATCAGGGTCTTCTAGAATTGTTCTATAAAATCTAATTTTTTAAAACACAAAATAAAAAATGACATTTTGAGACTAATATTGAATAAATTATTTTAATTTTAACAATATTTTATTAATTTTATCATTAAATTAAAATATTTTAGGTGTTGCATAAGTCAATTTTTTTTTTAATTACAAATTCTTTAATTGAATTTTTAATTTTCATCCTTAATGCCTATTTTACACTATTAATTAAATTCAAGTTTTTATAATGAAAAATATTTAAATTAATTAAAAACAAACAAGTTAATTTATCATTTAATCTATTTTATATCAGCATTATATTCTACTTGAAAGGTAATAATTAAGCGCTATTTAATTTTTAAATATTTTTTTCTTTTTATACATCTTAATTTCTAAAAAAATAAAAAAATAATTTGGAATTATTTATTACACGCGAAAATGTAATAAAGTTGCTGCTTATACTTTACCTTTTTTATAGTAAATTTGTTAATAAATAAATAAATATCAAATTTAATTAAAGCCGCAAAAATTAAAGTAATAGTAATTAAATATTTTTATACTTTTTTTGATATTTAAGTGTATCAATAAAGGATATCAAAACTAATTTTCATAAAAATATATAAATAATATTTAAATGATAACATAAAAATGATTTTAATAAATTAAACAATCAATCTAAATAAATTATTTTTATCTAATAAAATATTTATTTATTTAAGTTTGTTTGAAGTATTATTAAAGTCGTCTAGAAAATGTTTTTGAGCCAATTAAATTAATTTTGTTCTATGGTTTGATTATTTTTTGTTTGTAGCTTAATCAATAATTTACTTTTGTAAAAATAAAGAGTCTTTGGTTATTTTGGTTAGTGTAAATCGAAAGTGAATTTAATTATTAATGCTTAGTTAAGTACATTTGTCATTGTAACTCAAAAAAAGAAGAAATTTCTTGTTTTTTAGTTTAATTAATCGTAAATTATCAGTAAAATTAAAAGAATGTAAATATCTTTTTAATTACATCTATAATTATAAGCAATTTATTTACTTTTTTAACTTTCTTTAAGTAAAACAGCTTTCTCTTAAAAAAAATATACCAAACTTAAACTAATTCATAATTATTATATATAAATTATTTCACATAAATTTGAAAACTAAAATCAACATTAAAAATTAATAAGTAATATTTTTATAAAAAATGGGTGTTGAGATTGAACAAAGTGCATTGCCTAAACCTACTAATTTTTATCTTAATTACAAGTAATATATATATATTTATGATGAAATATTACATATATTAATTTTCTTAACAAAATTATATAGTAAATAAATGCTAAATGACTAAGATTTAGAAAATATTTTGCAGAAAAGATTTGAATTTGATTTTGCTCAATCTGTTTAGATACTTTTATAGTAAATATATACATATATTATTTATATATTGAAATTTGACAATAAATCATCACTTACTTATTTATCTATCATAAATAATATTATTTATTTTGATTAATTAATTAAATAAATATTTTTTTAAATGATGAGTGAGTGAGTGATTGAGTTTCATATAATATAAATATTTTAATTTATATTTTTTAAAAAGTGGCAATTATTTAATTAATTTTTTTTAAAGAAAAAATAATATTAGTGAAGAAGGATCTATTATCATAAGCAAATTCTTGTCTTCTTTTAAAAAAGTCAACTCCATAACCTTGAATTTAGAGTAATTTTAAATTATGAGCAAGCAATATATTTATTTGTATTTTTCAATAAAAAATAGAGACAATTTTTCACTTGGATGCTCTATTAATTGTATATTTGATCAAATTACTTATTTAAGCAATACTTTGACTTGCCTAAGATTAAATTTTAAGTAATATAAAATTTTTTTTTTATTCTTTTTTGATGAATATTTTATATGAAAATTAGCTATATTAATTTTACTGATAATGGACTTGAAAATTTATCTTTAGCACTATGCTAATATGGAAACTTAAGATATCTTTCTTTGGGATTAATGTAACTAAATATTTAGTTATACATTTATTAAATATATCATATATTTCATTAATAAATAGGGCTAATAAAATATCTGACTGCTCTCTCGAATAATTTTCCAGATGTCTTACTCATCTAAAATCTATTACTTAACTTAATTTGAATTTAAGGTACTTATTATTTTACACAAATTCATTGATTTATTTATTTATTGATCAACTTTTTTAATTATATCAAATAAAGCAAAAATTAGATAGAAGAAAGAGGTATAAATAGATTGTTATGCAGTATTGCCAAAATATAAAATTTAAAATAACTCTCACTTGACTTAAGGTATAGACAATTAAATATCATATAAAAAATAAATTTCATATTATTTACTTGAAAATAGATAAAATAATCTTAAATGCCAAGGAGTTAAATCAATAGCATAAATTCTACCTTAACTAGAAAATTTATTAAGCTTAAACCTCTAAATAAAGTAAATTATTACTTGTTATTTAGCTTTTATTCATTTATTTAAATATTTTATATTAATTAAAAGTCGTAACAGAGCTAGTGAGAGTACATTTTTAACTCTTTGTAAATCGTTCAAGAAAATGAAATATCTTAAGCACCTAAAAATAAATTTATTGTAAATTGATTAATTTATTTTTTAAATAATAGCATGTAATCAAAATTTAATATGAAATAGATTATGCCAACTAAATACAGACATTCAGAAAAAATTGAAGCAGCAACTTATGAAACCCAAAAGATTAACAGATTTAACTATTTTCTGACTTCAACCAATTTTAATTAAAAAACTATCCATATCATTACTTCAATCAATCAATCAGCCAATCTATCTATAAAATAACAAAGAATTTTGTAATCTAAATTAAAAATCTTATATACAAATAATTAAATAATAAATAAATAAATTATATTATATCATTCACTATTAATTTATATTATGTAAATCTACTTGCTTACTTACTTACTTATTTATTTATATTTCCTAGTTTAATTGTTCTTAAAAAGTGTTTACTCAACGAATTTGATATAAATCTTTTCTAAATTTATAATAATAACAAACTTACTATTCTTCTTTGATTCTTTGGTCATATATGAAATATCTTTATATATCTTTTTTATTTTTGCTTGTACTTTGAATTTGTAATATTGTGAAAATATAGCAAGTAAATTAAATTAATCTATTTTCATACAAATTTTAATTGATATAAATAATCGAAGTGATATTACTTACTAAGACATATTTTAAACTGAGAAAAAATCTCAACATAAATAGATGGTATCTAATGGTTATATTTTATGTTTTTGATTTTAAGGATTCTACTTTGACATTTTTATAACTTCATTTTTTACATCATAATTTTTAAAATATACTATAATTACTAAAAATAAGACACATCTATATAAAGAGGCGTTCGCTCAATTACAAGGAATAATTTTTTTTTTTTTAAATGATAATTTAGGCTTAATTCGAAAAATTCCAAAAAAAGGATTAAAAAATAATATATGTTTACATTTAATAAATTGGTTAGTTAATTTTTACATATTAAACATATTAGAAATTTAGGAATTTTATCTAAATTATTAATAAATAAATAAATAAATAAATAAAAAATAAATAAATAAATAACAAAATAGAATATCCATACTTTTGATAATAAGGGTAGGGTTATGGGGTAAATAAAATTATTAGGATTTTATCATTTTATTTGGCATATTTAAGTATGATATCATATATTTATCTCAACAACTATACAAATAAAATTATAGCACTCATTTTATTTTTTGATGTTATTTCAGAGGAATTTGATTGTTTAAATTGTTAGATCTTATTTATTGATAAGATAAAGCATAGGTTCTGTTTGTAACAGAATGAATAATTAAAGATTTTCTTTTTTATGAGTACTTTTTAATCCTATAGTAGCGTCCATTATCTAAGTTAAGGTGCACAAAAAAAATAATTATTTTTCACCTTTTTGCACTTTAATAAAAAATCACCTTAAAATAGAGAACAGAGCACCTTAATTTAAGAAAGTTAAAATAATTTAAATACATACATACATACACATATATTTGTATATATTGAATCATTAAATATGAATACATATCTAAATTAATATATTTGTTTATCATTATTATTATTCTTTGTTGTTATATTCTTAGGAGTTTTCAATATCTTCTTTAAAGAAGAATTCATATAGTTAAGAATTGGTTAATGTTTTGTGACTCTCAAAAGACTCTTCTCCATCATCATTTTCTTTAATAATTATCTATTTAATAAAAAAATTAAATTTTAATTAATATAATTAGTTTACTACTCTTTATACTCATTCTCTTGATTTTCAGAATTTTAGACTAAGAGCTCTTATAAGATTTAGTTTTTTTCTTATATATTTTAGTTATAGCAATTCCATGATTTCTAAACATTCTCTGGTTATATCTCTCTGTGTCCATGCTTAAACTAAATATTCTATAAAATCTCTATGAGTTAGTTTTGTTATTGATCGTGACCTAAAAAATATTGATAGTCTAAACACATTTCTCTATATTTTTATTTATAGATTTTGTTAATTGTTAGAGAAGGTCCGTAGTATTTGGAGGGAGAAACATTATTTCATAATTCATGTTTTCTTGATCAGATTATAAATCATCATAATCATGGCTACTTAAGTTGTCTAATAAGAGAAGACCTTTTTTTGAATTCTCAATAGTTTTTGAATGAGGTAAAAGTACTTAATTTATCCATTTTTTAAATAATGATTTTGTAAAATACGAGCCTTCTTCCTTATATTATTAAATATATACCATTCGATAAATATCTTTAAGAGCTCTTTGTTTATCTGTAAATTGGATTTAGGCCTCAAATTTTTGTTTCTTTTTCCTAGTATTTTTTTCTATCAAGCAATTCTTTGTATCTGGTAAAATTCTCAGGTCTAGGTCTATGCTTGAAATAATGCTAAAGACAGAAATCTAATCCTCCAGAGTAGGCTGCTTCATATAATTAGTCTGATACCTACCTATCTTCTCATTTAAATACTCAAACAATTTCACTTCTGCATTTGTAAGAATTTAATTTGTGATTCATCACTAGACCACACTTAATCCAAGTAATAGTAATCTTTTTTAAATTTAATTTCCAAAATTCAATACAAGATGTCTCATTTTATTTAGATAAATAAAATACCTGAATTTTTAATAAGCTCTCATATCTTATGAATTTATTTCAAATGCATTTAAATACAGTGTTCACTGAAGGAGAATTAGCAGTTTAATTTTTGGAAAATTTTTTAATTAATTTTTCATTTTTTTGTTCTTAATTTTCTCTCTTAAAAAGGTTTTTCTTTATTTCAAATTACAATTGAATTTACTTATTTTATATCTTTTCTGATAAATAAAATTATTAATTATTAAAGGAAGGAAAATAACCAAAATCAAATTTCAAATATTGTTAAAAAAAGAAATAACATAATGACTTTTTAAATAAATATTTTATATAAATTTTATCTAATTCAATTCATTTTAATATAATAATTAATTTCGATAAATATTGAATGAGACAAATTAGTTTTAATATTTTGTTGTATTTTTGAAAATTAGATTTTTTGTAATTTATTCCAAAAATATATAGGATTTATTACTATTTAAAAAATTCAACAATATCATGATATTTAAAAAAAGAAGATCCTATTTTATTAACCTAAATATAAATAAATAAACCTAATAGAAAAAATATAAGTTTTAATTAATCAAATATGAAAAAACTAGAAATTTTTATTTTATTTTTAAGCATAGATAATTTAATAAACTTAAAAAGACTAAAATAGTAATAAGATAGTGCTCCAATTTAAGTTTTTAATTTCAGGTAAAAATCAAAAATGAATGAAGCATCACTGTTAAACCTTCTAAATTATAGAAAATAGAATTTTTACTCTGCTTAAATTAGAGTTTTTACAATATGTTTTAAGATATATTTTTAAAAATATTTTGATAAAAGTAACAAACAAATTAATATTTTAGCAGCAATATTTGGCTAAATATTTCAAAATAAGTAGAACATCAGCAAATTATAGTTAAATTTTTGAAATTTTATGAACTACTTACTGCCACAAAAAGATTTGAAACATAATCAATCAATTACTTACTATTCTTATTTATTTTTTCTATTTTACATAAAACCTATTTATATACAAAAAAATCTTTAAATTACTGCATCAATTTTTTTAGTGTAAAAATTTAGGTCTATCTTTATTTGATTCTATGATCTATTAATCTATTTATTGGTATCTCTGATATTACAAATTATTTAAAATTAATTCTCTTAGTTGGCAAAATCTATTGCAAAAAATTGATTAATAAATGAATGATATTAGTAATATTATAAGTATACTAAATGATTTTTGAAGTGTAACTTTATAAAAACTAATGATAAACTTTTTTCTTTTTAGATTATAATTCTCTTCAAATTTAAAAAAAAAATTTGGATTGAATGTCAATCAATCAATATTCTTAGGATTCTATCAATATATTCTTTTACAAAGTAATATTTGAAAGAAAAATAGCAATACATTTTTAAATGAAAAGTATCTCATTTCAAATGATTTAGTTAAATTTATTCCTACTATTTTAAAAACCCAAGTTAAAAAAGATGTATGTGTATTTTAAGCATTTTAAGATAGCCAAATTTATTTAAACATTAATAGTCTTATTATTTATTTTTTTTTAATAGGAAAACTGCTTTGCTTTTTAGGTGAATAAGTAAATATACTTGATTTTAACTAACTAACTAATTAATTATTCTAATTTAATTTTCCTTAAGTTCATGTTGGAATTTATTAATTAATTTATAATAGAAAATTTTAAATGATAGTAAAAATTATTTCATTCATCCTAAAATTCAATAAAGTTAACTAAGTCTATCAACATTTAGAGGAAATGAAATTATTTAAATTTTTGTTTATATTCAATATTCATTTATTTATTTATTGGCTGGCTATTCTTCATTTTATTTTATGAGAGCAATTAAGCATGCAAAAAGAATTTATTTTTTAAGATTTGTATTAACTTGTTAGATTTTTTAAAGGATAATAAAAAATGCATTCATTTGCGCTTTTATTTAGTTAGTGTTGGTTAGTTCTATTTATTTATTATAATTTTTTTACAATCTACTAATAAGTATAAATTATTATCAGAGTAACATAAATGATTATAAAATTGCTGCAAATTCAACTATTTTATATATTAAGTGTATTTTTTCTTGCTGTATAGGCAAATTCTGCAGATTGCTAGTAGTAAGAGTGCCAAAATTGCTCAAATTCATAACATTTCCAATGCTTGGGATGCAGATTTCCATTTTTATTTGATTAAAATAGTCAGAAATGCACACAAAAGTGTGGAAGTAGAACATATTTAGAACTAATAACAAATAGCTGCTAGCCATGTGCTAGTTAGTACTGTAGCAGCTGTTCACAAACACAATGCTTTGAATGCGATTAAGGGTTTTTAATAAACTAATTTACAAATGTAAGTTTTTAGATTTAGCAAAATATATTTATTTAATGGTTGGTAGGCATTTAAACTAATCAATAATTAATTATTCAATTATAAAATTTAGTAATGTAGATCATAATGCTAATAAGGACAATATTATTATAATGGTTAGTGCATTGACAATTGCTATTAAATAGCTAAAGATTATTCTTTTGATTAATCTTCTAAGACATGTACATAGCTTCAAAATTGCCCAAAATTAACATTTAATCCTATTACTTAAGATACTGGAGCTATTGTTTACTTTGATACTACTATTGAAAAAGGTAAATTAATATACTAGAATCTAATTTATTTTAAATTATTTCTAACACATAAATAAATAAACAAATAACCATTTGATTAAATTTAATTTTGAAAATAATTTTTCAATATGCATTACATATATTTGATAAATTACTTGATTAAAATGAATATTTATTCTAAAGCTAATTTATTTATTTACTTACTTACTTATTGTTAAAATTAATTACAGAAAATGAAATAATTTCATACTTAAATTTAAAAAAAAAAAGAAAGAAATAAGCTAATTGTAATAGATGAATATGGGAAAGTAATTATAAAATCTATTCCTGAACTAGAAGTCCTCAACTTTTATAATATAGATAATCTTCTAAATGTAAATTATTAAAAAATAATGCAAAAAAAATTTCTTTTCATTTTAAATAAAGATTGTATAATGTATGGTAATTAGTAATTAAGACAGCTTAAACTAGTAAGTTTCTTGTTTGCTAAACTCACTTTTAGTGATAGTTTTTGACACATATTCGGGAAGTATTATAAAAACCAAGTAACTGTTAAATTAATAGATTGGAAATGTATGGGGATAACTAGATTTCACTTTTATTGGCATATCTGCTCAAAATATAGTTTTTTAATACAATTTTTAGACTTCTTAGACTTAATTAATTGATTAAAATTCTGATATTTTAATCAATATAGCTATTGTGACAGATTATTTAATGAAGGGAGATCAATATATTCTATCAATAACACAAAATAATGAAGTTTATTATTATGATTCTAATTATTAAAAAAACCAATTATTTTAATATGATCAGTCAATTCCTCTAAATTTCTTTTACATAGCAAATTAAATATGGGCTTTTTACTCAGTTTAATCCATTAATTTCTATGAAATTAATTTTTCATCGACTCCTGTGCTTTTACTAAAATAAACATACACTGCTTAGATATAGCTTATTCTAGTCTCTTAAGTAAATTTTTTTATTATTTTAAATTAATGAAAATTAGAAAGTTCTTTAATATTATCATTTCTCATACTTATATCCCATTTAATAAATTTATAGCCAAAAAAATAAATTCAAATAAATAAATGATCATCCATCATTCACATCTTAATATAAAAAAAATTAGATTAAGTTTGATTAATTAAAAATAAAATAATTTTATAAAAATTAAACATTTATGAATGAATGAATGAATAATTAATTATTAGGGATGGATCGACACAATACCAAATTTTTAATTTAACCATATTTTTAACTTTTATAAAATTTGAAAGAATTTAAAATCTAAAATGTTAAATCCAATCCCTCCCTTATTATCTATCTAGACTTTAAAATTTTAGATGTAAATTTAATTTCAAACTGTTCAGAACTTAATAATCGAATAATTAATTAGTATTTTAGAGGAATTAATATGTTTGTTTTTTGATTTTTTTATTCTTTATAAATTAACTTTTTAGTTAATTCTTTCTTTCTTTCTTTTGAGGGGATAAGATTTTTGAGAGATTTAATATATAAATACATTAAAATAGTTTTTTTAATAAATAAATAAATTTAAATTATTTTCAGTTTGTTTGAAATGTTGTTTATTTAAAAATAAAATAATAGTTTGTGTTAGTTTTGGACTCAAGCAATAATCCATTATAAATGTTTTAAGTGAAAGGACTTTTTGAAATATAAGATGTTTCTTAATTGATTCCAAAAGGGTTTTAAAGTGTTGATTGCTTAATATAATAATAAAATAATTTATTCTTTGTATCTAATTAAAACGTGTATATTTATGAAGTTATAAATATGAACTTAAAACTGAGGACAAATTTTTAGTTAAGGAATCAAGTGCCATGCTAAGAAACATATTTTGGAGTGATAAATTAAGAGAAAGCTAGCTATCTTCTTAGTATATTTGGATAAGACTATATGGTTCAAGATTTATCATCTTCATAGTCATTATAAAATGAAAAAACTACCTTTTACTCTTCCGAAAAAATGAATTTTTTCATATAATAAAAATTATTTTAAAACAGTTTTGTTGATTTTTTTGACTCAGCTACCAGTAATTAAATTACTGAGCTAAAGGGCAATGGAATGGCCTATCAATATGATTTTAATACACATTAGATTACGAAATCATTTTACTTTTGGAATAATTTTAATTATACAGATTAAAACTTAGTTTAAGGAAGAAAATTATATAACTTAATATCAGTACAAGAGGAAGAAAAAATAATAGTAACAGGTATGATAAATGGAGTGCTAGTAATCCAAGAGATGGATTTATACACAAACAAAATTTTACTTGAAAATACCTTTTAGGAAATAAATATACATGCAGATAATATAAACTTTTTTAGTAGACCATTTTATATAAAGAGTACTAAAACACTTATTGTTTACATATATAATTTCTATGGAGAGTCGCTCTTCACTGAAACAAGATAGTTGCATATACTTTAATATAACTCAGAATTGAAAAAATACATTTATAAATTTTCAATAAGAATGTTGTTAAGTGATGTATAAGTCTCTCAAAAAACAGGTGACATAATTTGCTTTTATCTAGTCGATTTGTATAGCAACATCATATACGTTTTTAATGCGTATAAAAATGTAAAATAATTTATTTTATTTTCAATATGCTTAAGAAGTTTTGTTTTAAAAAATTTTGAAAATAAAAAATTAGGCAATTCCTTTAATTAAAACAAAATAATTTTACAATATGGGTTCAAAATAATTAGGCTTTTTCAATCTAAATCAGGATGGAATATTTTATTCTGATTTTTTGAAAGGAACTATGCTCTTATCTCTTAGTCCTTAATTCAAACTAAGTGTAGTTAGCTAGGATTTGTAAATCTAGTCTTTATATATTTCTAACAACAACAAATTTAAAATATACATAGCTTAGCCTTATTCCCTAGCAAAAATAGTTTCATTTGATAATAACTCTCTTTTGCAAGTAATTAATTTTTTAAATATTTCAACAAATAAATAAATAAATTAATCACTATTTTAAGACTTTCCAAACAGGCATTTACTTGATAGCATACAAGACATTCGGAAATATAGTGGCAATAGCGACAAATACATACATATTAGTATGTTATGATGGGGACAGAAATATTTTAAGAGTATTAAATAACTCTCAATATGGCTAGAATCTTATTTCTCGCTTACACAATCAAAATCAAATTATCTTCATAAATACATAAATAGTAGTTTAAATCAATTTAGATGATGACAAAATTGAACTTCAAAATGTAAAAAAAATATATATATTTATTTATTCTTCATATTAAAATTCATTTCTCACCTTAAGCTAGTCAATTAAGTTAAATTAATTAATTTATCTATCTAATCTAATTTGTAAACTAAACAAATAAACAAACAAGCAAACAAACATACAAAATAATTTAAACTTTATTTTTAGAAAGATAAATAAAATATTTTTCATTCAACAAAAACTAATTAATATGTTTTTTAAATAAATCAAATGTTATTTTATTAAATATTTATTTAACTTAATAGGTTTCTAAGCAACCTAAATTGTCATTTTTAGATTATAATGATATTCAGATTGCTCGTACAAATTCTAATTACCAAATGCAGGAACTAGTAAATTATGATGATATTTATTCATATAATTATGTATAATCTGACGATAGCTTGACTTTCAGAGTATTGAATTTATAGGAATTAGATTTATAATTTAATCTTTATGATACAATAATAAATGTGGTTTAGTATAATACTGTTATTAAAGTGATAAATTATACATTTTTAATTCAATAAACTGAAAGTTAGATAAGTTACGAAAGTTATTCATTTTATTTGAAATTTGATAATGCTGCTTTTTACTATCCACCGAAAAAGTACTTTGTGATTATAAATGGATTTGACATTATTTTTATTCAATTGTCTTCTTTCGAAATTGTAAATTGAAATTTAAATTTATTTTTATCAGTATTGATTAAATTAAATTTTTTAAATTTATTTTGAAAAAAAAGCTGATGTCTTATAGTTAGAAGGTGAATTATTTGAAGAATGTTGCTTATGATATAGATATTGGATATTTGGTTACATTTGATGATAATGTTGATTGCTTTTTTGATCTTAAAGTAATTTAATTTATTTATTTAAATGTATTTTATTTAGAATATTACAAAAAAAAATGTATAGAACATTTCAAAGACATGCTTAGCTAATAACATAACTATAGAAAAAACTTAGCCTTATGGAACTATTATTTAAAAATCAAAGATGTTCGCTATATTTTATAGCAAAAATTAGATAAGAATTTACTCTTTAACTGAATAAGCTTACAAAGCAAACTTTTCTTTGAGCAGCATCAAACCATATTCAATTTATTTTGCTAACAATGTGGATTAAATGATAGTTGCTGAATATATTTCACAGAAATTCTTTATTCTTGATTTGAATACCTTTTAGTTATAAGCCTCTAAATTTCCTCCGTTTATTCAATAAACACTAGAAGAACTCTATAAAGTAAGATAAATAAATAAATAATAATATTAATGAAAAACTAAAAATTTTAAAAATAAAGTTCTACTTCTTTTAAGATCTGAAATCAGTTATGATACTAACTTCATATAGCAACTAATTTACTATTTATGACATCTCAACTTAGAATCCTTAAAAGTTAATCAACCTGCAATATGTATTTAATAACCAAGCCTAATTTGCTGTTGATGAAAATTTAGGCATAGTCATATTCATAGATACTAAAAATTAAGTAGAGATTGTTTCGTATTTAACCAATTAAATACTAAAAACATACTAAGTAATTTTTTTATAAAGCTAACTAACTTCTTTTCTGAATTTAAATCAATATTAAATTTATTTAAATTTTTATTCAATTATTTATTATACCCTGCCCTCCCTCCATCCCTAAGAATTTTAAAGTCTTCAACTAAAAAAATAAATAGAATAACAAGGTGGGTAGAAAGAAGGAAGGAAGGAATCTATTTATTTCATAAAATTAAATAAATTTTTTTATTATTTTAGTTATAAGTTTATGTAAATGATAGCAATGCATATGTAAAAGCTTTGATTTGGGACTCTGCAAAAAGAAAGCTACTAGTAAGCACTTATGATTTATTTTACATATTTGACTATGATAATGACATCTATCTATTAAAATACTAATTCAAAAATTTTGTGAAAAGTGTTTACATTAGTTATTAAAAAAATTTGGTGTATGTTTCTGATATGTAAAGGCTTTCTGTCTTCGACTACTAAGTTTTTGGATCTAATTCCTATTCTAATTTTCCTTAAACTTTGTCTCCTAGTATATTAGCTGTCAACTAGGACTAATACATTTTATTTGAAAACAGCTACTCAACTATCAAAAATATTGTAGGCGGTAAGGTCAGAGATGTTTTAAACTTTAATAATATGAATGTTGGATATTTCTATTATAATTTTTATAATTAGGCAAAATCATAATTCTATTTGATTACATACAATTAATTTTTCATCTTTGAGATCACGCAAAACTAATTGTCTAGATTATACTTTGAGTACTTAGACTCCTAAATAATTACTTTCATAAGTGATTCAAGCTCTTAGTTGCTGTTTGTTACTCAAAAATAATCATTTTACTCTTTAAAAAAGGATTAATAAAATCCAGAGCTTGTTATTCTTTTTGAAGTTGAAAATGGTATTGGAAATTTTTTAAACGTCGATGATAATTATTTGGTATACAGCTCTATAAAATATCCAAACCAGTGGAACAGGATAAACATTTAAGTATCTCCATCTTCAGCCTAAGTTGAGATAGTTAAAAATTTTATCATTCTTAACTAAAATGAATTCATTTTATAAATACTAAGAATAGAAAACACCTAAAATTTACTGATTCTTACAAACAATTAACTTTAGATATTTGATATAGAGAAAGGTAAATAAAAATAAATTCTAAAATCTTTTAGCAAATAATCAAAGATCTATTATGATTCATAGTATTCTAGAATTTTTCAAGTTGACAGAATATTTGGCACTAGCGTTTATAATATGGATTTGCAAATTATTTAATAGAATTTAGCATCTCCAGGCATAAATATTATCATTTAAGAGGAATTTGTTTACATATTTTCTTTTAACTCTGTGAATATTTACTTAAGGAATGATCTCTAATTACTTTCTTCAATAAGAGACTTTGATAATTCGCTATCATTAACCAATATTAAATACTCTGATTAAGGTTAAATATTCATCCTTTACTTTGATAAGCAAATAAGCTTCTACAATGTCTCACCATTCTAACAAGCATATCAATAAGATTATCTTTAAGTTTCTAATTATACGATTCTATCATAAAATATCACTTAAATAAATTCATAAGTAATTAGAATAGATTTAAACTTAGTAACTCAGAAAGGTGTTTTGAGTTATAGCACTGACATTTATCTATTAAAAAAACAACAAAAATACTGCTCAGCTTCATTGGAAATACAAGCAAGCTAAAGCTAAAATTTAATATAACAACAATAAAACCAATATCTAAATTTAATTAGTAAAAAGGGATTATACATTTAAAACATAAACGTTCAATTAGATGTTTAGCCAAACTAAGTAGCAAATTTGATTTTTCCTTACAATAGTTCAATTGCTATTGCCAAAAATAACTCATTATTAATAGAATCATCTGGTTTTAATAAAATATATTTGAAGGACCAAGATTAGAGTGGTTAATTTGCTGTGCTGCTTTAGCTATCTAAATTTTGTTTGTCACTTTTATAATTAAAAAGTTAGCAATACTTTTTTGATAGTTTTTGGTTTTAGAAGTTAAAAATATTGAATTTAATTGACATTTAGCTTTCTGATTTGGATAATAAACAAATTATATTCTAAAATTTGGAGGTGGTTTACATAAAAAATCTTCTTATTAATCAAGAAAATGCTACATCGACTACATAAAATACTAGTTCAGTTATTAGATTCAACAATTTGTAGATCGTTAATATATTAAATATCACAATATCTCAAAGTTAATTCAATAACAACAAAATCATTTTAGAGTTTTTGAATGTTACAAATGTCACTATAAATTTGTTTTAAATTTCAAATAGTTCATTTACAAATCCTTTAACAAGTTCTAATGTGAATAAAATATTAAGCTTTTAACAAGTTAGCTATTTGTCACTTAACTAAATTATATTAATTGGAAACAAATTTAAAAATTAGTAAATAGTTCAAATGAATTAAATCAGTTAAGTAGAAATTTAAAAAGGCTAATTCACTGATAATTTCTGGGAATTCAATATAACTTAACTGTACTTTGGAATTCTGTTAAATGCAGCAGATATCTCTATCATTACACTGGATTAAATGTAATTTTATAGCAATTCAATATCTTCACAATTTTCTCAGCCTTTGCTCAATTTTGTAAATATTAACAAAAATTTAAGCCTGAGCTAATTTAATGTTAGCAAATTTGAAATTAGTCACACTTAGACTACAAATAACTATGATTTCTTTTTATTGGAGTGTTAAGGAATTAAAAATGCTTTAATTTCTAAAATCCGCATCATCGAATCTAATTAAGTAGGATTTATAAGCTTAAACAGCTATTAGAATGAAGAAGGAAATGTTATTTAAAATTAGGTTATAAATATTTTTTAGTACATCCACTAAAGCGTTTAAATCAATTAGCAACTATTAGCTATAAAAGCAATGTAATTAAATCTAACTTAATGCTAATTTGAGAGCATATCTAGCTAACAAACCAAACTAGATTCTAGTCTTATTTATATTTAAGTTGACAAATAGCTTGTAATTAATCAATTTTTCGTTAAAAATATCCACCTTAAATCAAATAACTTTGCATAAATTCTACAATCTAATTTTGTTTTGATACAAAATTCATTTTTTTATGGCATGCAAACTGAAAGCAGCTGTACGGTATTTAAGTTTATTTAAATAAATTAACTTGAACTTTTAAATAACAACTTCCAGAGCAGTAAATCCTACCTAGATGCAGGATCAATTATGATTAGCGATGTCACTTCTGCTTCTATAAATGGTTGTAACTTTATTGAGAACTCCTCTCAAACTGGTTATGGAGGAGCGCTATACTGCTTGAACAGTGTAATTGATCAATTCAACAATAATAATTTCACTAAAAATGTAGCAAATGAAGGTTCTGGAGGTGCCTTCTTTTTAGATAATTGCGATATCTTAGAAATGGAAAACAACACCTTAACTTAAAATACAGCTCTTATAGGAGGAGGAACTAGATATGTGAATAAACAGCCTAAAGTTTTTTCTATGCAAAACTACTAACAAAGACTCTTAAAGCTAAATTCTAATAAATTTTACCAGAACCAAGCTAAACTATATGGATAAAATATAGGCTCTTATCCGATTTATCTGGATGTAAAAAGTTCTTTCTAAGACGATAATAGAAGTGATATCCCTCTGATTTAAAATGTATAAAGTGGAAATACTACAACTCCAATAATTGTTAGATTGATTGATGAAGAAATGAAAGAAATAAGATTTTACTAATAAAATGAAGTCAATCATATTAATCCTAGAATATAAGAGGAGTATTAAAATTATTTACTATCAATAGAAAGCTCAGAAGTTGGTTTGCAAGGAGATTTGGTGCAAAAATATGATTTTGAAAGGTTTGGGTTTGTCTTCAATGTGTCATATTCTTATCAGCCAGCTAACAGCTCGTCAATAAAGATTAAAAGCATTTCTAAATTACCTACCCTAGACTCGAATTCTTTAAGCTTTAATAATGAATTACATTAAATTTAACTTAATCTTTAATTTAGACAATGCTTAAAGGGCGAGATAATTTAAAATTTCAATAAATTCTAACTGTGTTACAAATGTTAAAGAGGTATAAGTGCATTTTTTTTTATTTATTTATTTTTAGACAGTCATTTTTTTTTATTCCATAAATTCAAAAAAGGCTTTTATTCATTGGAAGATCCACACTTAAAGCCGAATTCACAATGCTAGAAATGCCCACAAGGGTCGTTAGACTGCCATTCAAATGTTATAAAATTACAAAATGGTTATTGGAGAACGAATGAAGACTCTGACATTTTAGTCTAATGTAAAAATTCATAATATTGCAAACCAGAAGACTTTGATAATATAAATGGATGTGCAAGAGGTCATTTTGGAGTTCTTTGTGAAACTTGCGATTTAAATGGGTAAATTTGGGGATAACGTTATGGACGAAGTTATGATGGAAGCACTTGCTAAGTTTGCTCCAATGAATTCTTATCTTTTTCTGTTGGAATTCTTGCTATCTTGTTCTTATTTATTGTGACTTACCTTCTATTTTAAGTCTAAAGGCAACACACATTTTTACAAAGACAAATGAGCTGGTATTACCTAAGAAAATTAGGTTTTTTTATTCTCCACGACACAGAAATAAAACCTATGGCGACTTATATAAAAATATTAATAAATTATTTTTAATTTTTATCCCTGCTTAATAGTTTTGGAATACCTACAATCGATTATTTGTCTATCTTTTAATTAAGTGGAGGAGATCCACTTCAATTCACAATCTACAATTTAGACTGTGCTTACAGCTATTTTATAAGCTATTTACCTCTGTACGGTTTCAGAGTTATTTGGGCTAACATCCAAGTAATTTTTATTTACTTTGCTGTGCAAATATTTAACTTGATATACAGCATATTTTCCTTTGAAAAATTTTCTATAACAACATCTTCCCTGACACTAGTTTATCTCTTTTATAGTTCCTCAATGATTAAAATCTTAACTCAGTCAGCTTCTTGCACATTTATTTCTGGTTAGTATTACATTTAATTAGAACTCAATCACGTATGCTACACCTCAGAACATTTAAATTTGCTATAAAAAATAGTTGTTCCTCTTCTATTTCTTTGGTTTTTAATCATTCCTTTTATCTTTTTGTATATTCTAATGAAAAGTAAAAGAAATTTAAAAAATTTAAACACCTTGAATCAATTTGGGTACCTCTATCAAGTATTTACAAAACATTAAAATTTTAAAATATATTTATTAATAAGCTTTTTTAAAATAGGATTACAAACCTGAATGTTTTTACTGGGATATAGCAAGAAATTAGTTTAGAGCTCTACTTGTTATCATTTTAAACGTGTTGAATATTTCTACATACTTAAAGACTTAATTGCTTTTAATCTTTGTATACTTTTATCTTAAAGTTTAATCAAAAGTAAAGCCATTTTTGTTAAGTCAATTTAACTACCTTGATAAAATTTCAACTAAACTCCTAATTTTTAGCATACTCATCATATCTGCGTCTTATTAGAATCAGAATAATCAACTTTAATCAATTTTGTAGATCATTTTCTTTTCAATAAATGTTTCTTACATAATGCTCTTTATTCTCTTGATCAATGCAAGGCCCATTTCTATAAATTAAAAGTCGATCAATTTCAATTAAAGAATTTATCTATTTTTATCCAAAATATTTCCAAAATAAATATTTCTTCCCCAATACAAAGGCAACAATTCTACTAGAATCAATTATTTATGGAAGAAAGTTAAAAACTCAATTAAAAAAATTATCTAAAAAGAGCCTAAACCAAAAAATTCTTCATCACTTAGCTAAAGTTAGTTCCGACTTCTTTCCTTGGGATCACAGAAATCCTTATTAAAATCATAAGTTAAATTAAGGTCTAAAAGCACTAAACTGAGCGTTAAGTTTAATTGAGTGAAAGCATGTAAAATATAACATAATAATAAAAAAATAGTTTTTAAAATGAAAAACTTATTAATTTTGTTTATTTACATTTTATATATTATCCTTAAATTTAATTAATTAATTAACTAATTAAAAATGGCTAAATAATTTTATTTTGTGCGTTAAAATTTATCAATGAAAATGATTTGATAACAAAACAAATTTATTGAAATGATAATTTTTAAAAGAATTTAATTTAAATTTAAATACAATAACAAAAAACAAAAAACTACATAATAAATTTTATTCAAATAACAATCAAAGCTGCTAGCTTATTATTTAGAACGGATATGCTAACTTATATAAAAACTTTTTCCTCATTTCAATTATTTATTGTTGATTATTATTATCAATTAAACGAACTTTGTTTATTTATTTATTAATATTAGATTAATTTTTTATTTAAATTAAATGAAAATCAAAAATCATCTTGTAAATCTTTCATATTTAGGAAAGTGCCATTGTTTTCAAAAGATGAAACTAGATGATTTCTAATAAAATCCCTCTATCCTGAACTGTTTTTCTAAGAAATACTATTATTTATTGTATCGCTACCATTGGCTTTTGCCATATCGCCAAAATTTTACTTAAGATTTTCCTAGCTAGCAAATGATAAAATTTAGCTTACACTATTTTATTCATATTAACCAATAAAGTTATTATTGTTTGAATTCTATTCCTATTCAGTCTTAGTACCAAATATATTTATTTTTGTATTCGATTGCTTTTCTTAATTAGTTTAAGTACCAAATATATTTATGCTTGAGTTCTATAGTTGATGTTATCCTTATTCAGTTTTAGTCCCAAAAATATTTATGTTTGATTCGGTTTTAGTGCCAAACATATTCATGGTTGAGTCAGTTTTAGTACCAAATATATTCGTGGTTGAGTCAGTTTTAGTACCAAATATATTCGTGGTTGTGGTTGAGCTCTATTGTTATCCTGGTTGAAGTTTGGTACCAAATAAATTTAAGCTTGAATTAATTTACTGTTATTCTTATTGAGTCTAAATATTTACGCTCTTATATGATTCTAAGTTATTGCCAAAAAGATCAGTCTTTGTATTCTGCATTTATTGAGCTAAATTAGTAAAAGGATTTGACTCTGCACTCTATTTTTATTGATTTTAATTGTTAAACATATTTTATGAAGTTTTCTATGAAGGCACTTATGATTAATTTTGAGTTTATGATTGCTACTTCAAATAATCGACTGAAGATTGATTTTACGAATCTAAATTTAAACCTCTTGTTTTTTGAGTTTAATTGTTAGTCTAAATATATGCAGCTGCCTCTTAGTTTGTTTATTATGATTGGCTAGCAATAGTTTTATTTTATTGAGGACAACTACAATTGTAATTATTTTCAATTGAAGATTCTGTCTAAGTTGTTTTATTATTACTTTTCTCTTCTTCTTCTTCAGTTTTCTTTTGCTTCTGCTGAATTTTTTCTTCCTCCTGTTTTTTAAGATTCTCTGCTTCCTCCTTCTACCTTTGTTTTTCAATTCTCTCCTATTCAAGTCTCTCTTTCTCTAATCTTTCTTACTCTAATTTTTTTTCATAAGCCATTTAAGAAAGTTTTTGATTTATTTAATTCAAGAAATCATAGAGTCTTTGTGCCTAAAGCATTAAATCAATCAATTAATAAGGTAAAATAATTTAATTTACTATAAAATTACTTAAGTATAATAATCCTAATATTGGTTAATTAATTAGTTTATCATATAAAAAGACTCAAATCAGTAGATAATTAAGATCAATTTACTTCCTTTTTTATTTTTAAAATTAAATCTTAATCACTCAAAAAAAGTAATCTTTTAATTTACTTGCTTTAATTATTAAAATAATTAGATTTCTGTCGATTCATTCTTCTTTTATTAAATTTACATTCTATTTTTTTAATATTTATATTAAAAATATATTTATAAAAATAATAAATTAATTTACTGCCTATTCAAATAAAGACCTTTTTTAAAGCAAAATCTTGTCTGAAAATACTTTATTTACATACTAAAATAAATTAGAAATATTTTTATTTGGATCTAATTAATAAAATTTACTCTCTAATTAATTAATAATTAAGTTTGAACTTAAACAAAGAATCAATCAGCTAATTAATTATATTTACGTCCTAATATTTATATTACATAATTTTAATTTTTTTGACAATAGCAATCAATAATAATAAAAATCATTTAAAAATTGAAATAAATAAAATGAATAACTTACTGTCTACTGTTTTTTTAGGTTGAAAATAATTGAAAATTGATTGATGATGATTTATTCTGATTATTCTTACTGGCTGTAGTATATTTATTTATTTGTTAATACTAATTTATTTGACTTTTCTCTAAAATAAATTCTCACCTTAAACTATTAAATTTAATTCAATAAATTTATTTAAACAAACTGAATAATTAATTAATTAATTCATTACTTCCTGTTATTTTTAGAGTAAATTTGTTATTTTATAGAAACTTTACTTACTCAAATAAATTTTTACTATCTTAAATTAAAAATTATTTTAATGATGATTCATTCTTTTAAGACTGACAATAAAATTTTACTGGCTTTTAAATCGTAAAATGTTTAGCAAGTGAACGAACATATTTTGTTAGCTAGAATTTACTTACTAAATAATATAATAAAAATAAGTTAAACATTTTTAAAAAGTTGAATGAATTACTTTCTTTTTTTTAATTATTCGAATATTAAAAGAAATGGTTAGTTGATAGATCGATAGACAAATTAATTACTCCCTTTATTAAAATAATTAAAATCAAATGATGTAGTTTTTGAAAAAAAAACTAATTTTACTTCCTTTTAGTTATATATAATCAAATTTTTTATTTAGACTGGCTTTCAAAAATAAAACTTACTCCCTATTAATTTTATTTAAGTTATTTTAATATAAATTTTATGAAATAAATTAAATAAAAAAATAAATACTCTCTGTTATTTAAAATAAGTTATTCATTTTTGTTTTGTTTCCTAAAATTGATCTAAATTACGAACTATTTATTGAAAAAAAAATTAAATCAATAAATAAATCAATTAGTTAATAATTATTTTATGATTTTACTGTCTAGTTAATTAATAGTTAGCATTAATAAATAAATAAATATATCTGAGGTGATGGATGATCTTCCAAATTAAATATTTAATAGCTTACATACTTTTTTTAATTAAATATTTTTTTTAGCTTATTTAGTAATTCTGATAAAAGTATTACTGTTATTTCCTATTATCAAATAAAATTTTAGTGAATCTTTTTTATCATGCATTCATGGATGAATGAAAGAATGTTATATTCTATTATACCTCCTAAATGTATTTTATTAAATAAAAATAAGTTGATTAAAATTGATATTAAATAAATAAATAATTAATTACGTCCTAAATATTTATAATAATTATTGATTTTATTGATCAAAATTCATTTATTTACCCCCTTATTTTACATAACAATTAATTTAATTTATTTATGCTGATAAATTAATTTTGTATTTTACTATCTTTTTTATGAAGTATTTTTATTTAAATCTATCATAAATATCTTTAATTTACAGCCTATTTATTTATTCATTCATTAGAATATTTATTTTCTAATTAAACATGAGATGAGATAAAAATTTACAGCCTTTTATATTTAAAGAAAAATTAAATAAAATTTTAAATAAAATAAAATCTTACGTACTATTGGATATTTAAATAATTTATAAATAATAGACCACAATAGTATTCAATTTTACAAACTATTTCATAAATAAATAAATAAGTTCAAACAGAAAAGTTTCAATAGAAATTTGTTTTTTACAGCCTATTTATATTCATTTATCATAAAGTAAGTTTCAATTAATATTTATTTTCTTGAATAAATAATTTACTCCCTATTAAGAAAATAGATTAAATATTTATTTTAAAGAAAAACTTTAATTTTATTTACTTTCTATTTATTGTTTTTGAAATCATGTAAATTTGTTTCATTTATTTTTCATTAACTTACCTCCTATTTGGTTATTCAGCAAAATATTAATTAGAAGATAATAATTTAAGCTTTTATTTACATTCTATTTTGATTAATTAAAAATAATCAATGTATAAAGTGTGTTTGCAATTTCTATTTGTAATCAATCAATTTACCATCTATTTATTTTTATTATTAAAAATCATTTTTTTATTAATAAGCTAAATTAATTAATTAATTTCTATTTTTTACTTTCTAAATAAATTATAAGGTTGTGATTTAATTTCTAGAAAACTTTTAATTTATTTTACTTCCTTTTAATTTCATTTATTAAATAAATATTTTATCAAATCATTTCTCTCTAATAATCGTGCTAATTTATTTATTCAACTAATTAAATTTTTACATCCTGTTATTTTATTTTAATTTAAAAATTTAATTCAATTTTATTAAAAAATTAAATTTACTATCTATTTTTCCTGTTTTTTATTTTTAATAAAGAAATTAAGTTAACTCATTGATTGATTGATTGATCATTAGAGTAATCCAAATTTTTTACGAAACTTGTCCACTATTAATTTATTTATTTATTTAAACAAATAAGAATAATTAATAATATTTTTGACTATTATTAAAATTACCTTGAAGTTTGTTTTTAATATTTCTAGGAAAGTGTTTGCTTTTTCTAATGCATACTATCTTATTTAATCTTCCTCAAACTATTTAAATTTATACTTAAATTAGCCAGCTCTAATTAATTACTAATTTGCTTACATTTTTTACTATTTATTTTCAATCTTTAAATAATAATTAATTTATTAATTTTCAAACAATTACAATTTAAATTTTACATAAAAGTTTAATAAATAATTCATTTTTTATTTGGCTCTTCATTCATTTAAAAATTACTTTCTTCTTCAACTTAAATGAATGTACAGAAATTTAATTTTTTGTTTCGAACATCTGACAAAAACTTCATGTGATTTATTTCATTCTACTGATTATGAATTTGTTCATTTAAAACCTCTATTTGTTATTTAAGATCGTTTATATCATTTAAATATTCATCATATCTTTGCTAAACTGTTTATTAAAATAATTTGCTGTTTTTTAAGACATAAGATGCATTCAACCAATCACTATTCTCATTCAATACATCTTATAAAGGTTTTCTGTTTATATTTAAAAGAAACGATAAATATTAATTGTTTATTTCATTAAGTTTACAATAAGATAGGTGAATATTGACTTTCACTAATTTAGGTAAACTCTAATGATTCTTTCAAACGATCTTAAACTTCTGTGATGTCTCCGGAAAAAACCTGAGTGCTTTCTAAACCTATTTCTAAATATTATGAAAAAATACCTTTTAAAATACATAAAGCATCCTTGATTGATATTCTGTCCTCTGGTTCAAACTTTGTCAAATCCAAAACTAACCTTTCTAATAAAGATCTAAATCTAAACTCATTAAGTTCATTTTCTAAAATAACTTTTTTTTCTGAAAAAACTTTTTGTAATTTTTCTTCAAACTAATTTTCTCCAGTAATTAGCATCCTGTAGATTAGCATTCCTAAAATTATTATTGTTTATTTGTTTGTTTATTTATTTATTTATTATCTTCTAAAATAACTTTATTTACCTAATGAAAATGACTCTCTCTATTTAGTGAGTTAAAAAAAATATTATTTTAAAATAGATTGATTACTACTAATAATACCTTTGATGCATTCATGTCTCTGGGCATCTAAATCAACTCTGCTGATTCTGGAGCTTTATATGGAGAATTCCCAACCTTTTGGATATTATTTGATTAAAATTTTGTAAGACTTAATTAATTCTTATGTATACGATAACTTTGGATTCAAGACTGCTCTAAACGTCTAATACGAATTTGCCTTTTCAAAATGAATTATTTTAGAGAAGATTTTGTTTATGTAAGTAAAGTACTAATTAAAGCATTTCCAAATTGATCAATAAGAATATTTTCTGGCTTTAAATCTAAAACAGAACAATTTTTAACTTAAGCATCATATAATCCCTATGCAACATTCATCGAATACTTAACGACTGCTATTTCACTGAACTTGTTTTAATTATCTGCAAGTAAATGCTGTAAGCTTTCTAAAAAATATAAAAATAATTTGATTTACTAAATAAAAGTGAATAATTTTAATTTACTTTAACATTCTTAAAAGACCAAGTAAGTGAATTCTTCACACTGCTAGCTGTGAATTAGTTTAACAACATTGGAAGAATTTCTGCATTATTTAAAGCATTCAACTTCTTGCTAAATTTGATTTTCAATCTCTTAACTACTCAACTGTTTGTATTTTGTCCTAATACACTTAATTGCACATCTTTATTAATTTCTGGTATTCAAAGCCCTAACTACAAAACTTTAGATTCCAGCAGATATTAAACTTATACTTTAATAACCCATTTATTCTAAATCCTTTTTGATGATTGGCAAATTATTTTCAATCATCATGATAGTTGCTAAAGATTTCTAATCATTGTAAATCTCATCTTCATTGTATTCAGAAACTAATATTTTATAATTTGTATTGATTTATTTACAATTAGTAAAATAAGCTAAATTTTTAGTATATTTTGATCTTAGAATAAAATTAACTAAATGCTACAAAAAATTTGCCTATTTATACCAAAATATTTTATATTAAAGCTTCAATTATAAATAAAGCAATAAAAAGAATGGTTGATCTGTAACTAAAAGCAGTATTTATTTCATATTCGATAGCATTAGTGTGTTTATAATAATATTTTATTTTATTTTTTAAGATCTCTCATTATAATATAAATGGCGCAATTAGTATTATTTGCTTGCAAAAACCTAATTCCTATTTTACATCCTTCTCTTTAAAGTTTAAATCATATTTAATTCATAAAAGCCATCCTATTTAAGCTTCTTATTGGTCAATTAATATTATTTTGATTCATTATTTGCTGGATTTAGCTGAGTTGAAATAATTAATATATTTATTTATCTCTAATAAATAAAATGAGTTAAACTTCTTTTTTTAATACCTTTTTTTGAGAAACTTTGATATAAATGCTAAAAATTTAACTATGCAAGCTTTTATTAGCGGACATTTTAGTTATAGAGATACTCCATAAGCTCTCTTTAAAGACAAGGATCTTCCTAATTTAAATTGTACATGCTTTTGTAAAATAATTATGACACTACTTTTATATTAACCTAATTATGATCTAATAGAACTATTTATTTTATTAAAGATATTTACTTATTTATAATCTATTGTTTGTTTGCTTAGCTTGACTTTTACAAATAAATAAATCAATCACTATCTATTTATCTTTCTATTTGGTAGATGTATTCAATAAGAAGACGATCTTTAAAAATATTTTTAATTATCTAATTAGCTTGATATCTTTCTCAATCATAAAGTAAGTAAATAGATTAAGTTAAAAATCTGAAAGAAAAAATGAAGATAAAATATTTATCTCAAATTATTTTATTTCCAACCAACAATAAATTAATATTTAACAAAATAATATTTCTTTTATCTATTAATTAATTTATGAATTTCTTAACAAATAAAAAAAATTTAATATGTTCTTATTTATTTATTTATTTATTTAACTTCTTATAAAAACTCAAATTTAAATAAGATTTACAACTTATTCTAAAATAATTTATGTTTTTGATTTTATTTTAAAAATAATCTGCTATTATTTTAATAAATATATAGATAAAATAATATCTTAATTATTAAAGCTATAAATACCGTAGTTTATTGATAATTCGAAACTCAGAAATAGGAAGTTCCGACTTCAGAACATAAATTTTAAAAATTATTTTTTTAAAATTTCAAAATTTGGTCTTATTTATTTTATCAGAAATTAATTGCAGTAACTAAAATTTTATAAAATTTAAAAAATATTTGCTTCTTTCTAAAAATAAATGATAAACATTTCAAAATATCTAAACAAAATGCTAAGTAAGAGTTTGTTAAATTAAATTGAATAAAATATCTAAAATTAGCTTTTTATGTAGGTTTTTTTACTTAAATAGCCAGCCTTTTAATTATTTTTCTCTCCCCAATATTAAAACAAGCCAGCTGTATGTATGTAATCCATTAATTTATGTTTTATAAACTCGAAATTATTTGCCAAAATTTAATAATTAATTAAGAAATAAATAAATTATTATTTGATTAAAAAAAACATAAAAGTATAATCAACAAAATTGAAGAAATCTTATTAAAAATAAATAAAAAAAAATATATATAAGTCTATAATAACTCATGAAATTTTTAGTTATCTATCTTGCTTTTATAATAACTGCAATTAATTGCAAAGTAATGTCATTTTCTACTGGTAATTCTTGTGAGGAATCTAAATGCCCTCTCTCTCGCTGGAATTTTAATAATACAATTTACTCATATTCATGCCCTTAGCATGGTTAATAATTTAGTACTTCGTTTAAATTTACTAGCAGTGGCTATATATTAGATTTTTATGAATTAAATTCTGAAAAAATATTGAGTATTCCCCTCAGATATAATTAAAATGTCAATCAAAATGGACTTTAGTTCATAGGTTAAATGCAAAATAATATGCAAATAGCTATATTCAATTGTACTTATGATATTTCCAAATAATATACTCATCTTTGCTTAGATAACGAGCTAGTAGTTGGTAAATTGATTAACAATACTTTTCATCAAAATTGTGGCTATGGTCTGAATAAATTTTTTAAAACTTTAGAAAACAGCTGACTTTTTATCAAATGAAAAGCAGCGGATGTGTTGATTGATATACTATTTATTATCTTACATTATATTTTAGTACATTACTTTATTATTTTTATATATATCTATCTTTCTTTTATGTTGTTTGATTGATTGATTGATGCTTTTAATTTATTTGGTCTATCATTATAATTTAAATCTTGGTAGGATTTTTATAGAGTTTTTTTAAATTAATTATTTTTGATAGAAAATTGAATAAAAAATAAATAATAATCATCCAATTAATTCCTATTAACGGAATAAAAGCACTATAATTAACTAACATTTAGATCATATTTAAATATATTCTGAATATTTATTAAATTTCATCTCAGTATAAAATTTATTTTAGTCTGAAAAAAAATAATCCAAACATTTCTTAATTAAATTTATCATAATACAACAAAAAAAAATATCTATTCACCAAATATTAAGTTTATCTACTAATTGATTGAATAAATAAATAATATTCTTTGATTTAATGTTATTAAATCATATGTTACTATTACAAAATTTGCAATATAACCAACTAATGATGGATGGCAGAATATTTTGAATTTATGAGAATATGACATTCATTTTTAGAATAGAATAAATTATAGCATATTCTGTGAAATCGCTGTAACTTACACCTATCTATCTATCTATCTATCGGTGGGGGGTTGATAACTGGGACTCATAGAGCATGCTATGGGATTGGAAGAAATGATGTCCCAGATATCGACTCCCTCCATACCAGAGGATCCCGTATATCAACCCCCCACCTATCTATCTATCTATCTATCTATCTATCTATCAATTTATCAATCAATCAATCAATCAATCAATCAATTAATCAATCAATCAATCAATCAATCAACCAATCAATTAATTAGTTTTCTTTTGAATGATATTCAAAGAAATTAAAGATAATAATTAACTATATCTTTTTATATAAAAAAATAATCTACTTTAATAATAAAATTTAAATATTTTAACTTAAAACCATGAAATATTTATTTATAAAAAAGATTATTTAAGATAAAATTTGTTATGGTTTATATGATATAAATTTTTTACAATAGTATAAATCTACTTATTATATTCAAATAATATTTCATCCATCACTTTAATATTATATTGATGCTTTATGCTTTTTTAGAGTCAAATGTAATATTGCAATGATAAGATTTAATTGATTCTTCAGATAACCTATAAGCATACTTTAAAGCTACATAAAGTCTTGTTATAAAGTGTAGCCTTTAAAATAAAGCTAATCTTAATTAAATTATAAAAGAAATATCTATTTATTTATTGTTTTTATGTTTTTCTTATTTAGAATATAAATTTAAGTTACAAAATATTTTTTGTTCAATGGTATAGATTTTATTCATTCAAAAATGTATCCATAGTATAATAGTTAAAACTTTTTAAAGAAAAATAGTCCTGTCCTTTATTTGATTTACATTTTGAAAATACTATTATATGCATTAATGTAAATTTGAAAATTGATCTTCAAAAATATAATATTAAATCTTTATATTTTTTAAGCTTTTGAAGTTATTTTTTGGTTGAGAGCTAGGATGTTTGTGCTCATAATAAGAATATATTACTTTAATTTTAAATTTTATTATTTAAAAAGCTTAATTTTTATACTTATAGATAGCTAGAATTTTTAGTAAATATTAATTTTTCATGAAATTAATATAAACAAATAAGTAATTATATAATCAAAGAATCTTTTATTTATAATCAGATTATTAATTAAAATCTTTGAAAGGCTCAGTGGTGCAGCTGGTAAGCATGCTCGATTTATATTTGCTGACCAACCTTATAAAAGTGTGTCGAGAGACAGAGGTTCGAACCCTCTCTGAGCTACTTTTTTTTTAATTTTTTTCTTATTTATTTAACATAAATTTTTTTATTTTAATATTTATTCAAAATTATATATTCAGTCAGTTATATAAAATTTCATAAAATATTAGAAAAATCAATAAATTGTTTTCTTGTTTGCTTTATTTCTAGTACCGTAAAATGACTATGTATAACATTTAATTTAATGAAGCAAATATTTTTTTTTAAATTATTTCTATTCTTGATTTCAAGTCGGAAAATTTTTCAACAAAAATGACATGCTATAATGAACTCTTCACAGTATATATTTCTTCAAATTTTTAATTTTGTGAATTTAAAGCTACTATATTTAGCTTTTTGGTAATTAAATAAGTATTTCACACATATTATCCATAAATATTAAATAGGTAAATATATAACGCATTTTGAGGATTTACATAAATTTTGCAAGTATATTAGAATTACTTGAGTTAGAAAATCATTAAGTCTATATTTTTAATTTCAACCTTCACTCTTTGATAATTAAGTAATTGATAAATAAATATTGACATTTTAGTAAAAATCCATTCAATTTCAAAGAAAATTTAAATCATCATGGAAACTGAAAATGAACATACCAAAACATCTACCATAAAGCAAATACAATCTTTAGCAACAGTTCTATTCCGTTTTTTATTCATTTTTTGATATTATAATGTTATATAAAAAATTTACACATATAATTAATGCTAAGATTTGATTTAACAAATTTACTATAAAAAAATTTTATTTGTTACAATAATTAGATATTACTAATTATTCTAATATTTAATCCATTAATATGTTTAGCATAAATAAAAAAACGTATTATTTTATGATGACGAAATAGAGTTAGACGAGACATTGACATACAAATAAAAAAAAAGTAAGCCAAGTGGTAGACCTATAAAATTGTAGTATTAGTTATTTGGAATGATTTCTAGGATTTCAAAATATGCTGTTTTTATTTGTTGAAAAAAAGAAATAAATAAAGCTTAATACCATTAATAAAAAGACATATAAAATTCAACTGTAAACTATACATTGATTGTTGGAATGTTTACATTAATTTAAAAGTTAGTCCAGCTTTTGCTAATATAGCTAACCAATAAAGAAATATTACTCATTTCCCTATCAATCACAGTAAATATTTTGTAAATCCTTATTTCTAAGAAATACAAGCATAGCATATTGAGAGGAAGTGACGTGATATTAAATGATTTATAAAAAAATTTAAACCTCAGCAAAATATTAAATTATTTATAAGCAAATATTGGTTAAATTAATTTCTTAGTATTCATGAGTAAATAATATCATTATTAAAATTAATATCAAAATACTAATGTTAAAATGTTGAAATATAAAACATATTATATTTAATTTCTCAAATATATTTATTTATTTGTCCTATTTCTAGACTTTTTATTGTCAATCAATATTATATTTTTAAAGCTGCTAATTTTCTTGATTTAATGCACTTTACTTTTACTTATTTTGAGTTCTTCACTTTGTTTTGACTTTTAATACAAATTAGTGTAAATTACTAAAAAAAATAATAATAAATAAGATAAAATAAAATAAAATAAAATCTAATAAATAAATAAATTAGAAGAGTTAGTTAGTTAGTCAATTGTATAGTTTTAAATTTTTTTTTATATTCAAAAATATCAGATTCTAAATTAAATAACTGTTTTTACGAAAGATCAAGTATCAAATTTGAGAGATTAGCGCACTTTCCTAAACCAAAACCTAAGTCTAGAGCACCAATTGTATAAATATAGTTTCCTCTTTTTAAATATTGAAGAAAAAATATAGTTAATTATTTTTTGAAAAGGAGAAAATGAAAAAAAATATGAAATAATAATAAATGATATTCATAATAAAAGCAAAAGTTGGAAGTTAGATTGACAAAATGAGTTAAATTAACAAACAAACAAATATATATATATATAAAATAAAACACACACCCACACAAGCAGAAATAAAGAAAAACAAATCAAATTAATAGCTAATAAATAAATAAGTAAAAAGAGTTAATATATTGTTTTAAATTCATTTTTATGTTAAAAAATATCACAATCCAAAAGAAATAAACTATTTTTACTTAAGTTTAAGTATCAAATTTAAGAGTTTAGAGCATTTTCTTAATTAAGAACCTAAGCATAAAACACCTGTATCACCGATTTAATTTGGAATATTTAAATATTGTAGAAAAAATGTAAAGTTAATTAGTTTGTTGTTAGGAAAAAGTGAACAAAAAAATGAAACAATAAGAAATAAATTAAAGCAAGAGTTGTAAATAAAAATGAGTTATTAACAAATAAACAAATAAATAAAAAATCAATCAGAATAAAAAAAGAAAAATAAATAAAATAAAAAGATTATAAAAAATTAAAAGAAGTTGCCATATACTTTTAAATTTATTTATATATTAAAAAATATAGAAATCCCAAACAAATAAACTGTTTTTACTAAAGATCAAGTATCAAATTTGAGAGATTAGTGCATTTTCTTAAACCAGAACCTAATTCTGATATACCCACATCGCCAATTTAATTTTCTCTTTATAAATATTTAAGAAAAAATATATAGTTTATTAGTTAGTTAAAAGGAAAAATGAACAAAAATATTAACAAATAAGAAATTAATTAAATATTTAATAAAAAAAAACGAAAGTTGAAACAGAAAAATGATTTAAATAAACAAACAAGCAATGAAATAAATAAATAGATAAAAAATCACAAGTTGAATATAAAAGAAAGAAATATAAATCAAATGAAAAGCCCATAAATGAATAAATTAAAAGAGTTAGTTATATTATTTTTAATTCATTTTAATATTCAAAAATGTCATAATTCAAAATAAATAAACTGTTTTTACTAAAGATGAATTGTTAAATCTGAAAGATTAGTGCGTTTTCCTAAATTGGTACCTAAGTTTAATGTACCTTAATCACCAATTATATTATACCTTTTTAAACTTGAAGAAAAAATATATACTTAATTAGCTATAATCACAAATTATTTATTTATTTATAAAATAGATTATTTCATATTAAAAATTTGTTGTGGTATTTATTAAATAAATTTTTTATTTTTACAATAAAATAAATTTATTTATTTATTTATTAATTATATTAAAATAATATTAAATTTAATCTATCACTATGAGATCATATCGATGCTATCTGCATTATTAAAGTCTAATGTAATATTGTAATACTAAGATATAATTAATTAGTTCTTTAGAAAATCTGTAAGCATACCCTATTACTTACAAAAATTTTGTTATAAAAGTGTCACCTTTATTATGAAAGTTAATCTTAATTAAATTAAAAAAAAAATATCTATTTATTTATTGCTTTTTATGTTTTTCTTATTAAGAATAAAAATTTAAGAAATATTTTTTGTTCAATGGTTTTATTCATTTAAAAATGTATCCATAAAGTGAAAAATAATTATAATCTTAATAGAAAGAGATAGTTCTTTATTTGATTTAAATTTAGAAAATTCTATTATATGGATTGTTGTAATGTTAAAAATTAGAACTTAAAAATATTATTTTTTAAGGTTTTAGAGTTGTTTTTTGGTTGCGAGGTAGGATGTTTGTTTTGTGCTCATGACCAAGAATATATTTTTTTAATTTTAAATTTTTTTATTTATAAAGTTTAATTTTTATACTTAAATCCAGATAGATTTTTAAGTTAATATTAATTTTTCATGCATGATATTAATATAAAGAAATAAATAAGTACAGAATCTATCTATCAAAAAAATCTAAGAAAATAGACTCTTTTATTTATTTATAATCAAATTATTAATTAAAATCTTTGAAAGGCTCAGTGGTGCAGCTGGTAAGCATGCTCGATTTAACGTTCATCCTCCTACATTTAGAAAAGAGTGTCGAGAGACAGAGGTTCGAACCCTCTCTGAGCTACTTTTTTTCAAGTCTTTTTCTTTTTTTACTTAATTGATTTTTTAAATTTTATATTTATTCAAAATATTCAGTTTTTTAAAACCTCAAAATTTCATAAATTATTAGAAAAATCAATAAATTGTTTGCTTCCTTACTATATTTCTAGTAATAATCTTACCATTATATGACTATATATCAATAATTAATTTAATTTAGCAAATATTTAAAAAAATATACTTTTATTGTAATATTTTAATAGTAGAGTTATTTAACTTAAATTTAAGATTTTTACAGCATATAGAAGTATTTATTTGTAATAATTTTTAAATAAGTGCAAATCTGATTAATTAAAATTTCTAGCTAAAGCTCAGAATGGAATTAATTTATATGTTAAATTAGATATTGTTTTTTATCAAACAAATAAGATAATTAAATTGATTTTCTATCAAATTTCTATAGATAAAAATATATTTAGGAATCTATTATTTTATTTATTGAACAAAAAATAAATTTTAAAAAGATCTTCATTAAATAGCTTAATCATATCTATTTAATATCATAGGCTATTTATTAATTTGAGAAAGAAACCTATCAATTAATTTTTTTATATTTTCTTTTATATTTTACTCTAACAATATTATCAATTTTAAATTTTATGTAACCTAATTTAACTTAAAACTAACCTCAATACCATTGAGTTGAGGTTAATTTAATAAATAATATTAGGGTTTCATGAATAGGAAAGCATAGATGTATTAAAAATTCTGCATCTATATTCATTTTTCTCTATATCAAGATTCTTACAAAAATATCATCGAAATCTTGAAAGACAGACTGAAGTTAGTTTATATCATTTAATTTAAAAATACATCAAATTTCAGGTAAATTTTTTAAAATAATATTTATTTTTTGGAAACCCACATAAGTTTATTATTGAAATCACTGTCTAAACTATTTAATTTAATTTATTTTAAAGGATTTTTTTATAAAATAAAATTTATTTACAAGATTACAAATAATTTTATATTATGAATTATAAATTGATTTGATTTGATTGAATATCTTTCAAGTTTGTTTTTTAATTTTTAATAATAGACTGACTTCACATATTTTAAATAAATAAATAATTTAAATTACAATTTGGTGCTATCTAATTAAATAGCTAACTGTTTATTAGTGCTTTTTATAACTAATTAATTAATTAATTAATTTATTAATTTTCTTAGTTTAAATGTTAAATTAAATATTTTATCATTTTAAAAAATATCAAATAAATTAAAGATAGTAAGTAAGTAGGTAAGTGATCTCAATCTAATAAATTTATAAAAAGAGGTGATAGATTATCTAAAAATTTAAAGTTTTTTTTTATAATTATATTAATTTTCTTTGTTTGTTTATTTAATTGTTAAATTATATATTTTTATCCTTTTAAAAATAAAAATCAAGCAAGTTAAATATAGTAAGTAAATGATCTCTAAAATAAAGCAAAAAGAAGAGGAATAAATTATATAATAATTTAAAGAAATTAGTTTTTTATTCCTCACATCCCATCCATGTATATCCATCAGTAGTCTATTTATAAGTTTAGAGTAGTTTAATAAATAAATAAATTTAATATAATATAAAGGTGTATTAACTAATCTTATAAAAAAATAATTTACTCAATATTAATTATCCTTTATTTTCTTATTAAGAAATTGAAATAGTTTTTAGATAATAGTAATTTTGAATTTGCATGCTTATTTATTTTTTTATGTTTTTTTTTTTGCTTTAACTAATAAAAAAATAAATAAATGTCTATATAAATTGTAGACACTTCAGATATTAATCATTTGTTAATTATTTAAAATACTTTGAAGGCTCAGTGGTGCAGCTGGTAAGCATACTCGATTTATTGAACCATTGAAGAAAAGCTTTTCGAGAGACGGAGGTTCAAATCCTCTCTGGGCTAATTTTTTAAATAAATTTTATTAAATTTATTTTTATTAGTTCAGAAAACCAATAAGCTTTGGAAAATAAACCCTCTCCCTATTAATATTAATTAATTTGTATTTAATTTGTAAAAATTGAATTTTTTAATTAATTAACTTGAAAAAAAGCTCCGAGACCGGGAATTGAACCCGGGTCTCCTGCGTGACAGGCAGGAATACTAACCACTATACTATCTCGGATTTCATGAAATTTAAGAGCTTATGCTTAATTTTATTCTTCTTTTTTGGAAGTCAAGCATTTATTTTTTAACTATTTTCTATTTTGCATATTATTTATTGAATTTTTTTAATTATTCAATATTCAGATTTAATTTTAATAAAAGATACGCAAAAAATAAAGTATTTTATCTATTAATAGTTGTATGCTTTGTTTTTAAAGGTGTTAATTAAAATAAATTAATAAAAAATATAAAAGAAGTTTTAGATGAGAAAATAAAAGATTTTAAGAATCTAACAATAACAAAAATGATATAAATAAACATTGCAAAATATAATTTGTTCATTTGAAGTATCTATCAGATTAATGATATTTTTTAATGATGGGAATTTCTTCGAATCTTTTTAGCAAGGGATCAAAAGTAGAAGCGAATTCTTCATATTCTTAAGGATAGGTCTTTTTGAAGTTATTAATAGCTGTATAACCGAAGATGTCAGCTAAAGTTAACTTGTTGAAGAAGGAGTTTTTGTTGCCTAAAACCTTTTGTAACTATTTGATTTTTGGAATAATTTAAGTATTAAGATCAGTTTTCTTTTCTTCATCATTTTTTCTAGTTGATAAGAATATCTTGGAAATTAAATCATCGCATACATATCTTATATTATCTACTTTATATTTTAATTCGCCTTCTCCTTAAAGACTTTATTGGTTTGTTAATTATATCAAATAATTCACAATATTTTAAGACTCTGTAATTGAAAAGTCTCCGTGGATCAAGTAGGGAAGATTAGGGAAGTCTAATCCAAGCTCTAGTTTATCTTTTCCGAACCATTCAGTTGCAGTAGAAGGAGTGTATTTAGTTTCTGTGTAAGGGTAGTTTGCAAGCTCTAAGATGTATCTAATTGGCTAACCTCTCAAAGGGAAAGCCCAATAACCTAAAACTACCTTTTCAACTTGCTTTATTTCGTTAGTGCTAACTTAACCTGTAGAATTTTAACAACCCATTTAAAATATTTTCTTGTTTTTGTTTTTTTTGCTTTTTTAGTGCTTCTTGTTTATTAATTTATTTGTTTTATTTATTGATTGATTATATTTTTTTAACTTTATCATTTAAGTGCATTTAAGGTATGGCTTAGCTAATATTTATCAGAATTACTCATACTTATAGAATAAAAAAAGAAGAAATTATAAATAATCCTTAATTTAAAAGATTAAATTTGCTTTTTATTTTTTGAGCTAGCCTAACTTAGTACTATAAATAAATTTTTTTAATTTTAATAATTTACATTAAAAATTTATTCAGATTACTTTATCATTTTAATTAAATTAGTTTTGACGATTGCTTACTTTCAACCATCCTATTTATATTAAAGCTTCAGTAAATTCTAACAAAAGCTAATTTGTTAATCTAAAGTATATAAAATTATAATTAAGATTCATTTTCTTTAATTAAATTAGATTTTATACCAATTTACAATCTGACTATTGCGATAATAAAAAAGTTTCAGTAAATTTTATTTAAAAAAATAATAAATTTGTATCTTGAGTACATTTTTAAATAAATAGAAATTACAGCAATAATTAGATAAAGAATAATCAATACGCTTAAACCATTTACAAATAAATTTGCATAAAAATGTCTAAAAGTCAAAGCGCTTTTACAAAATAATTTAAAAAATACATTTAATTTAAAATGAAAATAGAATTATCATAATTATTTACAAATTGTTAGTCCTAAAAGACTATCGTATGATTATTCTTTTTTATAACTAAATTAGATAAATTAAATATACTCAAAAAAGTTTTTTTTTTAGATTAAGTCAGTAAGTAAAAAATATTGTGGCTATGTTAGTAAAATTTGTAGATCTATTTTTATATTTAGTTAAAATATTATTTAAATTCAATTAGAAAATTTATTTATTAAAGCATTGACTGGCATGCTTAAATTCTAAAAAACTCATATTTTTTTTAGACTATATCTTGAATGTATTTTATATCCTTTTTGAAAACTCAATTTTTTAATTTAGGTTACCCTTAATAAATTTATTTATAAACCAAAAAAGATATTTATAGCTATGAATTAGATTAAATATAATATATTTTGTCTCTTGAACATAGGCTTTTTGTCAAGTTTTTTCATAATTTTAAAACTTCTTCTCTATTTGTTTCTCATTTACATTTATGGAAATTTTAAATTGAAAGAATTAAAAATTTTATTTTTACTTAATTTAAACTAAGAAATTATTTTTTGTTTTTATTTGATTAAAAATTGTATTGTTTATTAAAGAAAATAAATACCAATTAACAAATAATTCAAAATAATTTTATTTGAAAGACAAAAAGAAGTTTAAAATATGAGTTGAATAATTCAATTTATTTATAGATCGGAATTAATTAATAATTATCAAAGTGGTGAAAAAAAGTGATCACAATATAAAATATGGAGTAAAACAATATTAATTATAATAATTATCAAGGCATTTTAGGATAACGATCAGAGTTGTGGTATTCTTTAATTAAAGGTATTTCTTCGAAGTTTTTCATGAAGGGGTCGAAGGTTGATGAAAATTGTTAGTATTCTTCATTGAACTTAAGCTTGAAGACATTGATTGCAGTGTAGGCAAATATATCAGCAAGAGATAACTTGTTGTCAAAGAAATAAACATTGTTTCCTAATTACTTGTGCAAGTATTTAAACTTAGGAATTAAAACGTTGTTTATTTCAGTTGTCTTTTCTTCTCCACTTTTTCTTGTGGCCAAAAATACCTTGCTAGTCAATTCGTCGCAGAAGAATCTAATATTGTCAATTTTGAATGTTTTTTAACCTGTTCCTAATAAATGTTGCTATTTAGTGATATCAATTGCATAGTTAACAATATTTTAAGATTCAGTAATCTTGAAATCTCCTTTAATAAGATAAGGCAAATTGGGGAAATCTAATCCGAGTTCTTGTTTGTCTTTACCAAACCAGTTAGATGCAGTGGCAGAAGTGTAAAGAGTTTGTTAATAGGGAAATTTAGCTAATTCAAAAATATATCTAATTGGTTATCCTCTTAAAGGGAGAGCCCAGTAGCCTAAAGTGATAGTATTAGAAGACATTGCTTGCTTTTTTTATTTTTATTTTTTTAATGTAGTACTTTTGTGGTTATTATTAATTTATTTGTTTTGATTTTTATTATTACTCTTTAATAATTTTTTAATCGCTTTTAAACATAATTTAATTCAAATATCAAATAGTACTTATTAATAGAATTGAGCAGAATGTTTTCTAAAGAACTGACAGAAAATAATCTTGTATTTAACATCTATTAATTTAATAAAACTAGTACTATTTATTAGTCTTGCTTTACAAGCATAAATTGATTAAATTACTCTTAACTTTCGAAAAACTACGCTGCTCTTAAATTCAATAAAATAAACCATTAATATCCATTTTAAATTATACCAAATTAATCTTGCTGAATTTATTTTCAAGTAATGCTTGTTTACTAAAAAAGTATATTTATTTGTATTAACTCTTCAAAAATGAGCGAATCTATTTTTGAGAAATTTTGTCAGTACTTTTCTTAAATCAATATCTAACAAAAATAAAATAATAAAAATATCAATAAATTTGAATATAATTTGTTTCTTTATTTGTGCTTTTATTAAATATATTGCTATTCTCTAATAATTATTTTGCAAGTAGAAAATATTTATTTAGTAGAGCAATCAATATTTTATTATATATTAAATAAAATTAAAAAAAGGTTTTAAAACAGTTTAGAGTTAGTTGACTAAATATTAGGCTAATATAAATCTTTAAATATCATTTATATAAATTTCATCATATAAAATACATCATTCATTCATTTATAATAAAAAACTAATTTTATGTTTAATTTTTGTTGGGTTTTAAGTTTTTAACTCTATCTAATACAGGAGAATTAAAAGATATAATTTAGAGTTGATAGATGAAAATAATAGAAAACTTTTTATCAAAGATTTAATTTTTTGATGAAGAAATCTTAATATTTTATCTAATATTTAATTTCGAATTAATTTTTTTTACATGTAAAATTAATCAAAAAATTTTTATTCAAGATTTCAGCTTAATGTAAAAATATGAATTATTATTTTTTGTTTATTCAGGTTCAAAAATTTAGAATTATTCATCAAATAATTAAATCTTTGATTAAACATTTTTTACTTATATTTTTCTTTAATCAGGGTTGAAACCTGTTTCAAACCTTTTTTTTATTTTTTTAAATTATTTTTAATTTCATTAAATAATATTTATTTTTCTTATATTAAATTTTTATTTCCTACTCTAGAAATATTTATCTGAGAATACCTTAAGTAGCTTCTATTTAGCTCTACTTAAAAAAATAAAAATAATATTTTATATTCATTTTATTTATGATATAAAATATTTTTATTTATTTTTTAAGAAATTGAATACATTTCTTAACTATTTATTTTCATGTCGATAATTAATTTTTCAATATAATGTAATTTTTTAAATCTAGTTTATTTTCAGCAAAATCAGCAGACTTAAAAGTTTATCTGAGAGAACCAAAACATTCTGAAATTGAATTTTGGGCTCTGGATATAACTCTTATTTTTAAAAAATTCATATGAAAATTCATAAAATATTTTTAATAAATATCAACTACATAATTTTTTGGCTTGAAAGTCCATTCTATTATTATTCACTAAAAATATAATGCATACAAATGCATAAATGTTCTCAATTCATTACTAAATTAATTAATTAATTACCTAATAAAAACAAATTTAATGAAAATTTATTCTGTAAATTTAAATTATTATTTTAGAGATAAGCTTTAAAAAATATCATTCCAAAAATAAAATTGATTTAATCAAAGCAAGCAAAATACTTTGTAGAAAATTTAATTTGACAAAATAACATTTTTAAAAATTTTAATTTAAAAGTTTAAATTAGAATTTTTAGTAAATAAGTTAGCCAAAATCAAAAAATTTTATGAAATTTTGCTTGATAAATTAAGTTTTATGAAGATTTACTAATAATCTAATTTATTTTAAACGTGAATTAATTAATATTTAAAAATTTAGTTAAAAAATTAAAAAAGCTCCGAGACCGGGAATTGAACCCGGGTCTCCTGCGTGACAGGCAGGAATACTAACCACTATACTATCTCGGATTAGATATTAATATACTAAGTTTGTATTTTATCATTTTATTCAATAAATTTCTCATTTTTAAAAAAATATTCAATTTATTTTTAAGATGAAAAATCAGTAGAAAAAAATAAATCTATTATTAAAAAAATAAAATAAAATTTTTGATATACGAGAAATTTAAGTGAAAGATTGATTGATTAATCAATCTATCTTCTCATTTATTTTCAAAATGTTCATAAAGATCTTAATTAAATGATGTAACAAATAATTACCTTCAAGTTCATGAATTATGAATACAATATATCATTCTTAATTTTTTTTTAATAAAAATTTTTAAATGAAACAATTAGTTAAAATGAATATTTGGAATTCACTAAATTTATTTTTGTTAAATTTTTAAAAAATATTACATTATTTTTTAATACTAGGTTTTATTTTATATTTATTGGATCAGTAAAATTTGATTTATTTTTTAAGATAGGAAACTCATTTTTCTATTAGTATCTATTAGAAAGATGAATACAATAAAATCAGTTCGCCATAAATATAGGTAAGTAAATAAATAAATAAATAGATAGATAGATAAATGATATAGATAGATAATCCTACATTCATCAAACAAATAATATCTAATTTTTATATTCACTAAATAATATTTAACACATTAAAAAAAAACACAAAATCAAGAGATATTATTAAGATAGCAAATAGATTTATATAAATGGAAAACTTTTCTTTTATTTCATAGTTTTCTTCAGCTAAGTAGGTATTTGATCACTATTAAGCAAAGAATGATTAAAATTAGTTAGATGATTCTCAGACATTAAATATTTCAAAGCATAATAATCCTGAGGATTAGGTAGATTTAGAGCAAAATATTTTAGAAAAGGCATAATAATTATTCAATCAGAATGACTATAAAACAGCGCAGATTTATTTCAATTAAATAGTTTAAGAAGATAGCAAAAATGTGTAGGCAATATAAAATTTAGCTTTATGTAATTTTTATCTAAAAAACTATGATGAAGGCATCCTATTGATGCAAAAAGCGATAGAAATGTAGCCCGATTATATTGATAAGCTTTATTATTATTTAGGATGCGCTTATTGTGACTAAAAACATTACATGCAGGGATTGGTCTATCTTGAAAAAGCGATGACTTAAAATCAAAATAATCAAGATGCTATTTTCATGCTTGGAAACACTTATTAAAATATTAGCTGCTTATAAATAGCCTAAAATTATTATAAAAAGCTCATTGAAATTGATTCTAGCAATTAAAAAGCACATTTTTAAATGGGTGAGACTCATTTTAAGATGCAAAATTATAAAGATGCCAGTGAAGCCTATAAGAAAGCTTGCAAAATAAATCCAGAAAATTATTATTTTTATTTAAAGCTAGGAACTTCTCAGTATAAAGAGCAAAATTTAGAGGAAGCTCTTAAGAGCTTGCAATAAGCAGTTGTCTTAAATAATAAATTTGCTAAAATAGGCAGTATTTTTTACAAGCTAATAGAAGCACTTGTAGAATAAAACCATCTTGAAAAATGCATTTAATATTACTTGAAAATGTTTGCTTTAAACCCTAAAAATGCCTCTTCATATTTTGTTCTTGGAGATATTTGCATCTAAGAAAAATAAATTCAAACTGCAAAGTTATTTTTTGAAGAAAGCGTCAAGTTAGATGCTAGTTTTTTAGATGGAATCAAAGCTCTTGGTAAACTCTATTTTGAGACAAATGAATTTGATTAAGCCATAAAAGTTTTTGAGAAAGGTCTTTTAATTGATTAGAATGAAGTTGATATCATTTATGATATTGGTTGCTGCTTGTTTGAATTGGATAAAATTTAAGAAGCCACTGAGTAGTTTAGGAAAGCTTTCCGTTTAAATACTATAAGTTATGAGGATGTTGATGGAAGTATGGTAAATAAAGGTATTTAGCTTCAAAAATCAAAAGAAAATATAAAATACTCACTAGAATATTTTAATTTTGCAATTTTAATTAACTCTAATAATGCTGAAGCATTCTATCAAAAAGGTTTATTATATGAATGTACTTGCAATTTGGAGAAGGCAAAAGAACATTTTGAAAAAGCACTCTAAATTTATCCATAGAATAGCAAGTATGCTGCAAAAGTAGATTTATTCGCATAGCTTGAAAAAGAAGAAAGAAAGGCAAAAGAAGCACGAGTTATTGATTGCAAGGAACTTATAAAGGAGGCCAAATAGTTATTTACAAATAAAGAATACTAAAAATGCATTGAAGTCTTATAAAAAATATCTTCTGTTAGTGATAATTTCCCAAAAGTAAACGAAATGCTTGGATATTCTTATGAACAAATAGGAGAGAATGAAAAGGCTTCATAACACTATATGAAAGCTTTATAATTAAATCCTAATGACTAGACACTTCTATTTAATTTAGGAAATTGTTTATTTAATCTAGAAAAGTATGACGAAGCTATTGAAAAATATAATATTCTCATACATCTCAACTAGAATAAGCCCTATGCGTATGAAAATTTAGCTGCATGCTACTATGAGAAGAAATAATACCAAGAGTCTATTTAATTTTATTAAAAGGCTTTAGAGTATAATAAAGTAGATCCTCTCACTAACTATGGATTAGGTAAAGCATTTTACTCAAATAACTAGTACGAAGAAGCATTGAAGTGCTTTTAAATTACTCTCAGTGCTGATCATGAAAATCCTAGTTGCTACACAAAATTGGCAAACACGATTACTATGCTGAAAAGTGATAGTTTGGTAGGGAAAATATTTAAAAAGAATTAAATTTACACAAAGGATGAGAAATCTAGGATGCTTTCTTTGATGGCAGGCGTTTTGTATGAAATGAAGCAATATTAGAAATCCATAGAAAAATGTGAGTAAGCAATCAATTTAGACTCTAAAAATTTTAATGCCTACTTAATCAAAGCAGCCTCACTAAAGGAGTTGTGTGATTTTGTTCATTCTTTAAACTAATTTGAGGAAGCCATAAAAATAAATCCAAATGATCCCGACTGCTACTACTTCTATGGACAAACTCTCGAAGCTGCCAATCTTCACATGAAAGCACTAGAAAAATATGACAAATCAATAATGCTGGCCTCTTAAACTGCTTCAGATGAAAAAAGCTTCAGTAACTTGAAATAGTTTTAGGCAGCAAAACAATGTATGGAAAATGTGATGATAAGATATCCTTAATTTTAAAACTACTTCAATGAAATAGGAAACAATCTTTTTGAGAAAAATGATTTCCATGGAGCTATAGAATGTTATAAATAAGAGCTTAGATACAATTCTAACGACTATGCTGCTATTTACAACATGGGTTTATGCTATAAAAATATTCAAAAAATTAACGATGCCATAGAATGTTTTTAGAAAAATATTATTAATAAGCACAGAGAATCTTGCCTCTAAATGAGTAAGTCAACCAAAATAGATTATTAATTTGTAGAAAAGCTGAAATTAGTTAGCGTTTCTTCAATGCAAGATTTATAATCTCTCATTAAACTAGAGCTTCTCAACAAAGAAAACTTAGATCTGAGCACTCCTCTCGAAAAATAGCCTCTTATTAGGTTAGTTTCTTAAGTTTAATAAATTGTAGCAAAAAAAGCAGCTAATTATGAAGATGATATCATGAAGCTTGGATAGCTGAATAGACTTGATGATTTAAGCAAAGTCTATAAAATTTTATTACTCACAGGGTTAGAAGAAAACTCTATCGTAGTTAATGTGAAACCAGAGTTAATGCTAGTTTTAATAGGCTAACAGTTGATATTTTTCAATAATTCAGTTAACCTTTTTTATAGCCCACTCAAACTTTTTGACAATATCATTCCCCACTTAAAAAATAATTTAAAAGATGTTGAGTCCTTCTTGAAGCTCGGAAATGGAGGAATTACAGCTTTTAAATAATAACCAATATTTCCTTAAGAAATAAACTTCCTGAAGGCAATAATTAGTTAATGTTTGAGCAAATTTAAAAATAGTTGGAGATATATCTCTCTCTGCATGAACTTTAAAATCTCAACAGTTTACAAAATTCATTTCTTTTAATCAATATTTAGATAAAAGAGCTTTAAACCCTTCCTTTAAATACAGAAAATAGAAAACATTTTTACAAATTAATCTACAAACGTCCAAAAGATTAACCTCAGAGTAGACAATTCTACATAGGATAAAAACATTATTTTAAAAACTTTAAAGTCGAAAAATTTTGATGAAGCTGTAAAAGAGTATACATTCTAAAATTGCATAACACATCGAAATATACATTCCTCTTACTTTTTTTAATGGAACGAAGATTAAAATAATGCTTCTATAACTTAGCCTTTGAAGGAGAGAAATCTCTACACTATTGACCAGCTGACGTACTAACAGTTTTTATCTATCATGCTAGATTGCTGTGAAGGTCTGTAACAACTCACTTTTTACAACATAGTTCATGCAGATATTAAACCTCAGAACATCTTTTATGATAATTAGAGAGCTCAAATAGCTGATTTTGGCTCATGCATAGTCTCGAACACTCAAAACAATGAATACACTCCAACTTTCTGCTCTCCAGAATCAGAGTCTTTTGAAAGTGGCTAAAGAATCACAACATCTTCTGATATTTACAGTCTTGGTAAGACCTTTTAGTTTATTGCTGAAAAATTCAAGTTACCTTGCTCTGGATCTATTCAAGCGATGATCTTGATGATGACAGAAAAAGAACCAACTAGAAGAATCAGAGTTCATGAATAAATTAAAATCATTTAATGCGAAATATTTGTTGAATTTTTATATTAATGTCTTGGTAAAGAAATGAGTCTCTAAAGATTTTATGAAGAGATTTCTTACATAATAGAAATGCGTAAAAAAAAATTAAGCACTAGTGACATGATTGTAGATATAATTGTGAACGTAGATAAAGTGAAATAGCTTATTGAAAAAAATAAGCTTTTTGTAAGAAGTTTATTTAACCAAAAATATCTTTATGTATTTTTAGTTATTATGAGCTGCAACGATGTAAGTGAAAAAGATTTACAAATTAAATAAAAAATTGACCAATTAAAGGAAGATTTTGAATAAGAAGCAGTTGAAATTGAGCAGTCAGCAATTAATTTTTTATCACAAATCTAATTGCTTTCACCTTAAGAATAATATCTAGAATATCTGTTAAACTTTAACTATGAAAAATTCATTCAAACTATTGCTTTCTTTGATAACATTAATTTCGAATAAGCTTATCTGTTGTCTATTTACCTTATCTGGAAAACTAATCTGTTTAACATAAGTATCCCAGAAAATATTACAAAAGAATTGCAAGAAATAGATTTTATGAAACTCTTTAAAAGCTTCTACAAGTAAGATAAATAAAAGTATGTAAATGACATAAAGAGACAAAAATAAATTAGTTCTTAGTTAATTGATGGAATATTTAATACATAAGAAATACAAAACCAATATAAAGCTAAGTACGAAGATATAATTTAAATAGAGTAGACTAAATTATTAGAATAAATTCAAAACTAACAAAATAATAACAACATCCTAGACCAATACAGTGAAACAGATGATGAAGTAGAATTGGAATCAATCAATAGTCTTTCTGCAGCAATGTCTTCATATAAGGACTCTTACAGGTATCCAGGCCCATTAAGTTGTGAAAAAATATTAGAAGAAGGTAGCGAATCCTAAGGCGCTGCTACTTCTAAATCATTCTTTTAGTATTCTGTTAGAATTTCACATAAAACTGATTTAAAATCTTCAAAAAGCTAGCACTTTGATGATAACTTAGATTCAGAAGATTCAGAATCTGTAAGAAGTTTACCAGCAATAAATATAGATGAAGAATCTCTCAACAATGATTTAACTGTAAGAAAAGGAAAAACAAATAATTGACTTAATTTTTAATAAATTTAAAAAAATAAAATTAATTAGTAATTTATTTATTTATATTTTTATTGTTATTATTTTTTTAAATAAATTTTAAATACCATAAAAGTTCATTTATTAAGATACCAAAAATATATTAAGCTCATTATATAAAATAACTTTATCAGATATTATTACATAAATTGATAATAAATAAAAAATAATTATTTTTAGAATAATAACAATTAGATATATTTATTTTTCTCTATAAATTTAAAATATAAATTTTATTTTTTTATGCAGCTTTAATTTTCAATATCTATTAGGATTTATCATTTCTTTTTATCAGGAAATCAAAATAGTATTATGTTAATTTATTAAATGAATTGAAATCGGTAGAAATTAGACAATTATTTAAGATATCGATCTGAAGAATTTATAATGGTAATGGTACCCCTATTACCTATTCTAATGGAAAAAAAATTGTAAATTTAATGATAAATTCAGGATATTATAATGAAGGCGTAAATTTTATTTGAACGTTTTAGCTTTCTCACTATCAATTATTATTTTATGTTGAAAATAAATTTATTTTTTAAAGGTTTAAAGAAAATTATTTTTTATATCTTTTTAGTGGAAATTAATTTTATTCAATAATCATTTAATAAAAGTAAAATAATGATTATTCTTCTTCTTTTTTTATTTGTAAATCTATGTTAATTTAAGATAAAATATATTGAAATTAATTTAGCTTTTTAAAACTTTGTTTTTTAGTTGAAGAAAAAGTAAATAAGTAAGTAAGTAAATAAGTATTTTTACATTTATTATTTTGTAGGAATTCTTTTAATAAATAAATAAGTAATAAATAAATAAATAATTTATTATAAAAGTTAAATTAAAAATTTATGATTGCAGTAAAACCAAACAAATATTTGAATTATATCATTAATTAAAATATCAAATTATATTTTTCATGCGACTGGCTGACTGCTAAGGTAAAAGTTAATAATAATACAAACATAATTCATTTTTTAGTAATGTACTTTTGCTTTTGATTTATTTAGTTTAATTTTGATTATCAAGTTTACATTTATAAATTTGTAATTTGCTTCTTATATTTTAGAGTAAATTAATTATGGTGAATTTGATTGTGAGCCTCTAATTTATATTATAATTTTTTTTAACAAAATATTGATTTCTTGTTTAAAGAAAAAAATTTCATATATAAAATTTAGAAAATTCAACAGAGTGAGCCAGCCTATCAAATTTAATATAGCAACTAATAAAGATTGTACTTGTCTTAAGCAAAGAGAACTGTAATTAGTCTTAAATTTAATAAGTATAAAAAAATTATTGCGCAGTAATATATAAAATATAAATAGTTGAATAAAAAAATAGATTTTTAAATGTAAACAAAATTTTTGTTTCCTGCATATTAGCTAATCTGTCTTTTACTATGCCTAATTATACTAAAATTAATTTAATTAAATTAGAATGAAATTATTATTTAAAAAGTGCTCAATCTGCTAATATAATTTAAAGCAGATTTTCTTTATTAAAATTAGGATATTTGGAATTCCATAATACCTGCGTATATATTTAATTTATAACTTATTGAAATAATTTTGTTTGCTTTCAAAGCCAGATAATCAAATTATTTCATCTAATTTTAGGATAGAAGTTTAAATATTTAATCATATTAAGATGATGTTTGATCAAGAGTTAGTTGGTTGAAAAGGATAAAATTAATGCAAAAAAAAAATAATTTATATTTAGCACATAGCTTTTATTATTAATTCATTGTAAAAATAAATCAAATTTACATTGAATAAATTACAATATCATTGAAATATTTTAATATAAGAAAAATGAAAATAAATATGATCTAGAGATAGATAATCATTTAAATAAAAAATCATAATAACTTCTTTCTGCTTAGAATAAATTAATTTGACTAACAATAAAATTTAGCTAAGTGAAAATTAAAATCTTTTCAGTACTAAATTAAAGAGTTTTGATCAACCACTGATAATAATTAATTGATCTCTAAATTAGATCTGATAATTTATAAAAGATATATTCAGCAGTAAATAAAAATCAATAATCTTTTATATCCAGATTTTAATCTATTAAGAATAACTTATTTAACTTAAAAATCAATATAATTTTTTATCAATTAAAAGAATTAAAAATTATAATTATGACTAAATAATTGGTTTTCTTCACTTTAACTCTGCTTTTAGCTACTTAGTGCTTTGCTTTTGTTAACATCAGAGGTTTTAAGTCGCTTTAGGATGTTTCATAGTGCAAATTACCATGCTATGATATAATTGACTAAGTAATGCCTGGAGCTATCTTAGGTATGAACTATAAGTATTCTGGTTCCAGCTACTAGAGGTGGTTTGAAAAAAGCAACATAAATTATTGTTGCGAATAAAAGAAAACTTATGATTTCCTAGATGGAATGATAGTACCTGATTTTATGGAAGTTGAGAAAGCTAATTTTGTCGATTAGGAATAAATTACATCTGAAATATCTCCTGCTCCTAAAACTGAGAAGTTCAAATACAAAATAAATATAGTTCATGAATTCTAAAGAAGAGCTCTTAATATTTCTGCAGATATGAATTAATTCAGAGTAAATATGACTAATGTAGAGTCAATCGTACCTGATATTAATTAATGTGATACTAGCTATGATATAGAAAATAAATGTTGGTTATCAGCTGTTCATCTCTTAGGAGAATAAGTTTTCACTAAATTAACTCTAGGAAGCTATCAAAAAGTTAATTTAACCATTTATACTAATTCAAAGTATGATTAAAAGCAGGCTATCCAAATTTATAAGACTTATATCATTGAAAAGGGTCTTGAAAACATAAATGAGGCATTTAAAAGTGATGAAAGCCCTTCGATTGCAGTTAAGTATTATGGGTGTATCAATTTATTATCAAGTAAAAATTGGAATGAATTCTTGAATAATCTAAGCGCTAAACATTATATTTATGCATTAGATTCAATTACTTAAGAAAGTTAATTATAATTTAGCGCAATTGATTCGTTTCATCTTTTTGATAAAGAATCTTCTGAAATATAATAATGTGCTCAAAAGATATATCATATTTTATTTTAATGAACACAAAAATAAATAAATAAATTTTTCTTTTTATAATAAAAACTATATTAAATTTGTTTTAAAATTTATATTTTTTAATATTTTCAAGATTAGATTTTATGGATAATTAAAGATTTTAAATATCTATGTTAATTTAAGATAAAATAGATTCAAATTAATTTAGCTTTTTAAATGTTTTTTAGTTGAAGAAAAAGTAAATAAGTAAGATTTTTACATTTTTTATTTTCTTAGAATTCTTTTAATAAATTAGAAATAATTTATTTTAAAATTTTTATTGCCTAAGCTGTCTTTTAATAAGCCTATTTTTTTTTCTTCTAAAATTAATTTAATTATATTTGAATGAAATTATTATTTAAAATGTACTCATTATAATTTTCATTTAAATATCTATGATTATTAGTAAAAGCCCTTATCATTATATAGTTGTCTATATTTTCATGTAAATTTCCAAACAAAGTAGGAGAAAGCAAATTTTGTTTATGTGTAGGCAAGTCTACTTACTTATCTCTACATTTTTAAAAGTTATTCTATATTTTATTTATTTATTTATTTATTTATTTATTCTATTTTTAAATTTTTGTTTTTTTATAAATTATCCTTAATTTTTATTTATTTTATAACTTATTCATTTAATCAAAATAATTTCATTTGCTATCAAAGCCAAATAATCAAATTATTACATACAATTTTCGGATAGAAGTTTAAATCTTTTATTGTATTAAGACAATACTTGATCAGGAGATGCTTGAAAAGGATAAAATTAATGGTAAAAGAAAGATAATTTATTTTTAGCACTGCTTTTACTAATAATTCATAGTAAAAATAAATCAAATTTACATTGAATAAATTACAATGTCATTAATAAATCTTAATATAAGTTGAATGAAAATAAATATGATTTAGAGATAATCATTTAAAAAAAAAAATTATAATATACTATGTGAACTTTTGAACTTTTGTTGAATAACTTCTTTGTGTTTATAATAAAATAATTTCACTAATAATAAAATTTAGATGTGTAAAAATTAAAACTTTTCAGAACTAAATTAAAGATTTTTGATCAGCCACTGATAAGAATTAAATTTATCCTAAATAGATCTGATAAATTATAAAAGATTTATTCAGCAGTAAATAAAAATTAATAAACTTTTTATATCCAGATTTTATATTTTTAAGAATAACTTAATTTACCTAAAAGATCAATATAATTTATAATCAATTAAAAAGAATTAAATATTATAATTATGGCTAAATAATTGGTTTTCTTTGCTATAACTTTGCTTTTAGCTACTTAGTGCTTTGCGTTTGTTAACATCAGAGGTTTTAAATCGCTTTTTTAGGATGAGTCATAGTGCAAATTACCATGCTAAGATATAATTGACTAAGTATTACCTGGAGCTATTTTAGGTATGAACTATAAGTATTCTGGTTCCAGCTACTAGAGTTGGTTTGAAAAAAACAACATAAATTATTGTTGCGAATAAAAGAAAACTTACGATTTCCTAGATGGAATGATAGTTCCTGATTTTATTGAAGTTGAGAAAGCTAATTTGGTTGATTAGGAATAAATTACATCTGAAATATCTCCTGCTCCTAAAACTGAGAAGTTCAAATACTAAATAAATATTGTTCATGAATTCTAAAGAAGAGCTCTTAATATTTCTGCAGATATGAATTAATTCAGAGTTAATATGACTAATGTAGAGTCAATCGTACCTGATATTAATTAATGTGATACTAGCTATGATTTAGATAATAAATGTTGGTTATCAGCTATTCATCGCTTAGGAGAATAAGTTTTCACTAAATTAACTCTAGGAAGCTATCAAAAAGTTAATTTAACCATTTATACTAATTAAAAGTATGATTAAAAGTAGGCTATCCAAATCTATAAGACTTACATCATTCAAAATGGTCTTGAAAACATTAATAAAGCATTTAAAAGCAATGAAAGCCCTTCGATTACTGTTTAGTATTATGGATGTATCGATTTATTATCAAGTAAAAATTGGAATGAATTCATGAATAATCTAAGCGCTAAACATTATATTTATGCATTAGATTCAATTACTTAAGAAAGCTAATTATAATTCAATGCCATTGATTCTTACCATCTTTTTGATAAAGAGTCTTCTGAAATATAATAATGTGCTCAAAAGATATATTAGATTTTATTTTAATGACCTTAAAAATAAATAAATAAAAATGTCTTTTTATAATAAAAACTATATAAAATTTATTTTAAAAATTATATTTTATGGATAATTAAATATCTTAAATCTAAAAATATTAAAAGTAAGATAAAGTAGTTTTTATAACTATTATTTTTGAGCAAATTTGATAAAAAATATGTATATCTCTTTAAACTAACATTTAAGCATTAAGTTATTTTAAAATCACAATTTTTAAAATTAATTTATTAAATTTTGCTTATTTTATATAATACAAAAAATTTTATTTAGTAAACTTTGAAATTGTTTTTTTAATTGTTGAATTTTCTATTAGAAATTTCTTTTCATATGAAAGGTTTTCTCATTAAATTAATATAATTAAGTTTTTAAATATAAACTTAAAGATAAACTTCTTAGAAAGAAGAATTAATAAGTTATCATGAATTATTTTGAATAAAATTAAGTTAAGTGATAATAATTTCATCTCTTCATGTCTCTCATTTTTTGAATACATCATATAGTAAATTAAATAGAAAAATAATAATATCCTTATAAGTTATAACTTAGAGTATTTAAACTTAAAATATATTTATAATCAAAAAGATATCAAAATTAAATTTATTTTTAGTGTTTTCAAATTTATTTTAGTATTAAAAAAAACTAATTTTTATTGAAATAAAATTAAAATGATTTAAGAAAAAGTTTTTTTCTAAACATTTATTTGGGATATAAACAGAGATTTCTAATTTTTAATATAAAGAATAATTTAAGAAATACAAATGTTAATTAGAAATTTAAATAATTAATTCAAATACATTTTTATTTTTAAATAATAAATATTGTGATTATTAAAAAGTTGATTATAAAAAAATGGAATATTTATTTGATCGTTAGAATCAAATATGTGAAAATTCAGGAATAAGTCATTTTTGTATTTATTTATTATATTCTAATAATACAAAAGAAAGGTTATGTTTGTTTTTTATTTGTAAAATTTAATTAATCCTTCATAAAATTTTTTTTATAATTAATTTATATTTAAAAATAAGAATAAGATTTATACTTTGTATAAGTAATATTATTTAATTTATCATAAAATTTGATATATAAAAGAATAATTAAGATTAATTATTGAAGAGTTGATCTTTATGTTTCACTCACTTTTGTATTAGTAATTAGCTTTTACATTTTTTATTTACTTATGGTATTTTGAAAATAATACAATAAATATTATTAAATTTTTAAACTAAAAAAATTATTTGGAATCACAATAACAATAAATATTTTATCAAAGTAATAAAAAATTATTATATTTAGTCAAATTTAAAACTTTTAATATCGTTGTCATTTATTAATTATATGAAATGTTTACCCATTTAATATTTATGAAATAGAAAATTGTCTTAAATAATACCAGATGTCAAAAAATAATTTATTAGACTGTCAATTCAATTTAAGATATTATATATATTTAAATAACATCTTTAAAATATATTTAAAAAATAAGATAGGATTAATTTATCAATTATTAATTGCTAAAAAAATAGATTCAAATATATTTATTAAAAAAGAAAATTATAAATAATTATTTTAATCATAATCTACTTACTACATAATAGTTTTTTTAATAGAAAAATGTTACTTATAAATAAAAGTATTTCTAAAAAATGATATCATATCATATAACTATATTTTAGAAAGGCATTTATTTGGGTTTAATATCTTATCAAGAATTTAATCTGAATAACTTATTATTCTGAAATCAAATTTATTAAAAAAGAATTCTTCTCAATAATGAATTTTACAATCTTTTCTTAAAGTAATTGAAATTAATCATATTTATGACAAAATTAAGTAGTAAACCTTTATTTAATTGCTTAAATATGCTCTAAGTAACTATGTACCAATACAATCAAATTTAAAAAGTAATTAATTACAAGAATTTTTTTATATTATAAAAATTAGAGTGAACTCAGCAGCTGTATTTAATTTATAAGATTTAGATAAAAGTTGCTTGAATTATCTGCTAACCGCTCTAAATAACTATATGATCTATTTCTTTGGTACTTTATTTATTAAAACTTCTTTTTACAAATAAAATTATTTGATCTTCATATCTTTCTTTATTTCATTATTTAGATAAATTCTGAATAATTAAAATATGCAATAATGAATGTATTTTAAAGGTATTTAAAGGCCGTACACTTAGAAAATTAAATTTCAATAATATTAAGCTCTCTCATTTACATCCAATTATTAGTTGTAATTCAAAAATGCATTCATTATAGACAGTTATTTATTTAAAAAGGATTAATTAATTTTGGTGTTAGGATATTAGAAAAAATAAATAAATAAATAAATAAGTATATGATCTCATTCTATTTCATTAAATATTTATGATATCTCAAATATATTTTTTTATAGGATTTGATCTAAGTTCAAGTGGAAATATTTGGTTTATTTATTCTTAAAAAATAAAATTATGTGCTTAGATTGAAGATTGCCAAAAACAAAATAAGCTTTAATTAATTGTTTAAAGCTTCTATTTGACTCCATCACTAATAAATATAAATTATAATTAAAAAAAAAATTAAAAGTAAAATAAATATAAGATGAAAATATTATTGATATTCCTAATTTTATTCTCCTTTGCTTATTGTGCTTTATACTATCCTATTTATATTGGTGATTCGAAAAATACCAATGATGTTAGTACTTGGAACTTTGAAAATACCTAATATTTTTACCGTACTTTCAAGACAAGTGTTTATGGTTATATCATAAATAATGATGGGAATTATGTTTTTCAACTCGCAACTTCTTCTCCTAACACTGATTCAATAGTAAGAATTCCTCTCACTCCTGATAAAAATACAACATAAACTGGAATTATTTTCTACTCTTAGTTCTAATAAAATGAACTTTTTGTGATTTTAGATTGCAATTAAAAAGCTGCCCAAAAGCTCACCAATTTATGTACTCCTACTTGTACTAAATTGGCTGGTAGAATTTATTAAGGTCTATTCAATTATGGTGGTACTTGTTTAGAATACTCAGGATTCGGTCCTTCTCCATTTGCAATCTGATTGATATATATATATATAAGTATTTCTATTGGAAAAATTGATCATGTTAGGTTTTAATAATATTAATATGATAACAAACTTATCTGTAATTACTTTTTTTTTGAAATTTTTAACTTTTTACTTAATTAGATCCATTTATTTCAGCATTAGCATGTATGTATGTATGCTATTTGTAAATTAAATTTCTTTTTTATTTTAATTGTTGAATAGTACAAAAAATAAATCAGATATTTATTTAAAACTATTTGTAAGTTTAATTGTATTTTAAGTTAAAAGGTTCTTATGTAAAAAATATCTAAGTAAGTTCAATACATTTTTTTACTTATTTAATAAAATAAATGAAACCATAATGTGTTTATTTATACGTTAAAAAAAAAATAGAAACAATAATTAAAATTCTGCAGCCTAAGAAAATAGATGGTGATAGGTCATCAAGATCAAGATCAGTAACACCACCTCTTAATATAGCAGCAAAAACCAAAATGTTCAGTTAACATTGAATTAAAGTCATCAACTTTTCATAGATAAATTTACTTTTTTAAGTAATTTGAAATGGGAGAATGCTTATATTTATAAATTTAGTTTTCATATAATGCTATTATTACTTCTTCTTGGCTCGAAGATATTAAAATACTCGATATTATCTTTAAACGTATTTGAATCTCGTTCTTTATCGCCATTTTATTTATTTACTTGCTTTTTATGCCAATTATAAAATTGCATTTATTCCTCTTAAGCAAAACAAAACTAAACTGCATTCAAACTTTGTTGATTATTATAGTAATCATTTTTATAAGCTTATCAATAAATCTATAATTTATGTTGGGTATTTATTTAAATTTAGCTTACATAAATTATGTAATGTATTTATATTATACTGATTTACTTTTATTTTTAAATTTAATTTTTACCTTCTTTAAACATTAATTATGTGGAGTTTGATATTTAGATTATTGCATACATGCTTTATTAACTCTAATTTAAACATCAGAAATTTAATGCTACTCTTCATATTAAGTCTTCAAAATTAGTGGTAATTAGTATTTTATGCTAAATAACTGGGCCACAACATATAAAGGCAATATATAAACTATAAATTACTAACACAAATTTTAAAACAATTAAGATAATCTACTATTATGTCATTTATTTGGAAATAATTTGCTTTCTGCAAACTAACTCTCACAACCTCGACACACTCTCATCAGAAGTGCAGTAAATTCACACATAATAAACATTTTTATATTAGCTTGTGGTCGTAAAATTACATTTTAGTTTTCAAATTAAATTGTCTAAAGACAACTTACAATCTATCTTAAATTGCATTAATACCAAATTTTACTTGAAATGCATAGTGATTTAATTTTCCTAACAAGTTTTCATTCTAGAATTCGATTTAAATTAGCATATTTGAAGTCTTTATTACATTTATAATCAGACAAATTTCTCTCTTTTGATTTAAATTAAAGTATTCTTAAATTTAAAATTTGTATTCTTAAAAATTTTGTTCAAAATGAAAATATACCTACATAATAATACTATTCTGTTTAAGAAAATTATCGTTTTTTCATTTATCTGCTGCAGTAGCTCCAATTAATTAATTGAGTCTTTCTGATGAGAGCCCTACTAATAGTACACAAAGGTAATTGCTCAGTAAAGATTGTTAGTCAAGCAAAAACAGGTCTTTGTACTTAATACAACCTAAATATCCACAGCAGTAGGCTTTTATTGCAACATTAAATGGAACCATATTAAGCTTTATTCGCCTTAGAGTTATTTTAGGACGCCATGTGCATAACTGACTCTAGCTTATTGAATCTAAATTTGGATCCTGATGTTCTTCTTTTCCTTATTCGCTGCTTCATAAAGCTTAAATCTAAAGTAACCGTTTTTCACGTGCACTGACTTCTATTAATTATTCTTTCTTTTTTAAAGTGAAAAAACCAATTACTCTAATGACCAAAATAAAATATTTTTTAAATACTTTCTAGGGTCAAGCTCTGCTAGTCCCTTGGAATCTACAAATCAGCTTAGTTTAATTAAAATGAATACAATTGGTAAAGGTTGGGAAAAAAGAAAGAAAGAAATATTATTTGAACAGAAAGAAAGTAATAAAACCATTCATTGATTCTTAACTCATTAGTGCAAATAAATATAACACAGACAAACAAAAAATCAAATATTGGGTAATTAAAGTGGGGAATAATCGTAATTAATCAATCAAGCAACCAAGCAAAATCAAATTAACACAACTAGAGATAATAAAGCACCAAAGATACTGAGGACGACAGCATTGGTACTATTAGCTTTACAAGGAGAGGCAGCAGAAGCAGAACCAGTGTACCCAGTCTTGCAGGTGCAGGTATTGGCAGAAGAAGAGAGAGTATTTGCATTAGTATCGTTGCAAGTGCATGCACTGATATCAGTTTTGGAGCCAGCAGCAGATTTAGAATCAGTAGGGCAGGCACCACATGTTAAAGGTGCACCACTAGCTGAAGACTAATAATAGTTGGCAGCACAACTGTTACAGCCAGCGGCAGCAGTAGCACCAGCAGTAGACCAGGTATTGCTGGTACAGTCACTGCAAGAGCCAGAAGTAACTCCAGTGCCGTAAGTACCAGCTCTGCACTTGCAGGTGGTATCACCAGCAGCTAAGGTGGCAGCCTTAGCATCAGCGCAAGTGCATCCGGTAATAGCTGTTTATCCAGGAGTAGAAGCAGCAGAACCAGTAGGACAGGCAACACAACCGCCAGAAATGGTAGCATCCCCGTAATAGTTAGCAGCACATTTGCAAGTATCAGTTGAAGCAGCAATGGCAACTGAATTAGTAGAGTTACAAGCACAATCAGTGACAGCAGTCTTTCCGGAAGCAGATGTGGTGGAACCAGCAGGGCAAGTTTGGCAACCAGTAGCAGCACCAGAAGTAGTAGCAACAGTACCGTATGTACCAATCTTGCACCCGCAGGTACTAACAGTTTAAGACAAAACGGCTGCATTGGTATCGTAGCAAATACAGAAGCCAGGAGCAGTTTAGATTGCTGATTAGGAGTTAGGAGGACATGCAGAGCAAGTAGCAGCAAGATTAGTTCCAGCAGCAGCGGTCATGTATTAATTAGCAGGACATCTGTTACAAACGCCTTTGTCAAGACCAGATTTAGTGTTTGTGTTAAGTCCAGGGGTATCAGTAGTAGCGCTACCATCGCATTTGGTGCAAGTACCACCTACAGCAGCAGCTGTAGTGTCTCCGTAGTAACCTTAATTACAAAGGCATGTGCCACTACCATTATCAGTTGCATTTGTACCACATGCAATAGCATTGGCAACTCCAGTAAAGGCAAGGAGTGCAATTAAAGCAAAAACGGCTTTGTTCATTTTTTAATATTAGATGATAAATCTTTTCTTTTTTTAGATTATTAATTACAAAAAGTTTTGTTTGTTTTTTTTTATATATTTTTAGGTTTAGGGTTATTTGAATTTGCACGAATAAGTATTGGTGATTAATAATTTAGATTATTCTGTCTTTGAGTGGGCTTGCCTCCATTTCTGAGTCTTCCCGACAGAGACAGATTTTTATTTATTTTCTTTTAATGGCACGTATTTTTGATTTTTAAATTAAATTGGAGACAATTTTTAATAATCTTCAATCAAGGGACTGGAGTAAGAAAGGTATTTTTATTTTACTTGCTTTTTATGTCATTCTCGAGTATTTAAATCTTGTTGGATGGTATGCAAATAAAGCAGTCTTCTCAGCCAGCTAATTGACAGATTATCTAGCTTGCTTACGAGCCACTTTATGGGTTTGCATAATCGCATAGATTGTGTACAGGCTGACAAATGATTTATTATTGCAAAAAGCCAACAATGAAAATAGAGAAAGCGAAGTGCATGCATATAAAAATATATACATCTTAGCATACAAGAAGTATAGAAAACGAGGGAAGTGTTTGGCATGATTTCTAACCAAAACCACAATAAAATAATGCAAAGACATATTCTAGGTATTCATTTAAGTGTCTTTTTATTAACATTTCGTGGTATATATATATATAGAAAAATATTTTTTTTTTTTTAATTTCATTTTAGTTTTAGTTTTAAAAGAAAGTTATTTGAATAAATTTAGGAGAAATTATTTAAATCTAGTAGATATGATTAACCCAAAAACTCAAAAAATGGTACCACTAAAGTTGCAAAGCCATAAAATAATGTTGATGATAATTTAAAAATGGATGGTATTAGTTAAATTGTTAAATTGAGCTAGATTTTGATGAATTTGTTAAGAAAATAGAATAAAAGCTTTTTTAAGTTTGGCTAAAAGTATGATGATGATGACGAAAATGAAAATGAGGATAGAAACACAGCTCCTTTCTCATAGAATATTGTTATAATTGATGCAATGCTTAAAGATATATAAAATACTTTAAAAGAAATCAGAATGAGTTATGGTGTGGTTGAAGATATTACTAATGTTGCCTAAACTAAATTAATTAAGAAATATTAGTATTGAGCATTTATTAATTTAATTACTTATTCTAAAAGGATTGCTGGCTACTAATAAGTATGTCAATGAATGAATGGATGAGTAGATTAGATTAAAATAAAATAAAGTAAATTAATTAAATAAATAAAACTAAATTAAAACTGAAGTTGCTTCTTGCTTGCTATGTTATAATGTTGAATATATTAAATACATTGAACTCCTAACTAATTATATAATTTTTTTACCAAGACCTGAAACATATGTGGCTTTACCATTTTTATTTATTTGTTCTTAAAATGTGTTTGTTTTTTTGTTTGTATGTTTAAATAAATAAATAAACTTGGATAGCCTAATATGAAAATATTTTCAAGTTGGATTAACTAACTAACTAACTAACTAACTAACTAACTAACTAACTAACTAACTAACTAACTAACTAACTAACTAACTAACTAACTAACTAACTAACTAACTAACTAACTAATTAACAAACTAACTAAATGAATGAATGAATGAATGAATGAATAATTTATTTGAGTTTAATAGACATTTATTTGGATTATTATTCATTTTATTTGCTGTTTTCAAATTTAATTATTAATTTTCTTTTTCTCATTTTTACATTTTGTCATTTTCAATATTTTTATTTACTTTTTAAAAGTCACAATAAAGTTAAAGGAGCTGATATTTGTGGATTAGGACTTGGATTGCCATAATTTTCTAATCTCTAAACTTTGATTCTTGACCTAAAGTAAAAATAGTTTCAACATTAATTACTATACATCTTAGAATCAATAAAAAAGATTTATTTTTTTATGAACAACTTACACACTGACTAATTTAAGGTTGGTTTATTTGATATTTGTTTAGTTTATTTACTCATTCATTAATTTTTATCTGTAATTTCATATTGAATTCAAATTTTTTAGTTTTCTCATATTTTTTAAATATTTCTTTATTCAATATTTATTTTATTATTTTTTAAAAGTTACAATAATATAAATGAAAAGAGAGTATCAAAATTAAGACCAAAACTTTCAAAGCAAAAAGACGGTCACTCTTATATTAATATAATATCGATTTAATGATTACTTTTAGTAAAGTTGTAAATGTTAAATATTTTTAAATGATCTAATTACAGTTATACATTAGAAAATTGATGAAAATTATTATTTGAAAAATTACAATTAATTTAAACTTAATTTAGAATCAAAAAATAAATAATTTTGTCTAAATATAAAACTTGTTTATCTATTGTAATCAGATTAATTTTATCCATTTGATAAAATTTTTAATTATTTTATTTAATTTAAAATATGTTGATTTATAAAAAATTAATTTGTTTAATAATTTCATAAACTCTCTTTAAACTTTTAACAATTGAACATTGAGTTTTTACCTTGCTTAGATTTTGACTTCATTTGTTTAAACATAATTTATTTATTAATAATTCAATAAAAATAAAAGATAGACTATTTGCTATAAATGTTTTTAATTTACCAATTAATAATGGAAATTAGTATTATTTTAGCATAAGTAAAGGTTAAATAAAAATTGTAATTTATGTAAAATATTAAAATATTTATTTATTTATTTCTTAATTTTGTAAGTGATAGCTTATGAATCGAGCTAAAGAGAGACATAAACAATTATTAACAACTAAATTACAGAGTTTTTTTGAAGGGAGACTTTTCAACACAGAGAACCTGATTGTTGTAGCTAATCCAAAACGAAAACCTTAATCAACCCTTATTGAAAGAAAATTCTATTAACCTTATTTGCCTTTCGGTTAGAAAACTTAACTTAAAATTTCAAATCCAAATATCAAGTCATTGACCACATTACTTCCACGCTTTAATGAAGGCGTTATATCTACAACACTAGGATTCTCTATTATTCCTACGGCTAAATGTGGTATCCCTACTATTCTACCCCCAGTAGAATAGAAATATACTTTACCTTTTAAACTTTGTAAAACTTATTAAAAAATAGCAATCGTAAATCTACCTAAAGAATAAAAAGTGAAAATAAATTACTGAATCTCTACAGTTCTATCTAGCTATGGTTTAATCTATATGATTAAATAAATTATATTTCTATACTTTTCTTTTGTTTTTTTTATATTTAGATAATACCAAAATAAAAAAAGCTCCGAGACCGGGAATTGAACCCGGGTCTCCTGCGTGACAGGCAGGAATACTAACCACTATACTATCTCGGATTTGATAGAATAATTCAATATGAACATAGTTTTTTAAAATAACATTTTCTCTTAATTCATTTTTATCATTTGAAATAATTAAATATTTTTAGGCAAAATATATTGCTCTAAATCATTTTTTTATTTTTAAAAAAAAGTAATTAATTTATTTATTTATTTATTTTGTTTTGAAGTAAATAAATTTTAAAATGACTATATTTATTAGAAATATATCCAAAATTATAAATAAATATAATAATTTGTAACTAATAAAGAGTATTTCTGTGTCTAATTAGTTAATTTCTGGTTGATAGATACTATCTATTTTGATTTAAAAATTATGAGCAAAGTGTTTCATCTCTAATTGCTAAAAATACTTATAAGGAATTAGCTAAAAATGTAATGCTCGTTCATTAATTATTATTTGAAGTAAAAATCAATTCTAATATCAAAAGATGGAAAAATATTTTTTAATGAACTAATTTATTCATAGTTTTCTAACACAATTTTTCATTACGCATTGAAGAGTTTATAAATATAGAAATGAATATAATTACTAAAAAAAGGTTTAAAATTTTGAAGGCTTCTAAGAGGTTTATTGTTAAATATTGATCAGTGGCACTAATTTTAGGTTAAGAAAGGTTAATTAAATTTAAGAGATTTTATTACAAATATTAAATATTATTAATTCATTTTGATTAACTTTGAGAGTTGTTGGTTGATTTGTGATTAATTAATAAAAAGTATATCTATCTATCTAGTTTGTAAGAAAACTTAAAATGAAAGAAGAAGATAATAAGATTAGTGTTTTATTGAACAAAAATGATTCGAATAACAAAAGGAGCAGATTAAATATTAAGACTAGTATAGAGAATTAGATTAATTAGCATGGAAAAGTAGAAGAAATTCTTATTATTGTTCAAATGTATTCATTTATTAAGAGTGAAGGAGCTTTAGAGATATCAGAGGCTTTTTAAGATTAAACATATCTCAAATCCCTGATTCTTATAATAGAAACTTATAATATGATCAATTGTGCAGGTGCCAAAGCTATTGGTTAAGCCTTATCAAAGCTAAATAATCTTACGCATTTAGAATTAACAATAGATTAAAATAACAGCATATTTACCAATGGATTCGTAGCTATAGCTAGAGGATTATCTTGCTTAAATAATCTTACAAAATTACACATTATGTTAGGAAGTAAAAACTTTGTTAACAAAGAAGGAGGAGTGGCTCTTGGTGAAGCGTTTAAAAAGCTTGGCAATCTAAGTGTTCTTTCTATTATATTGGAAGAAAATTATATCTGTGATGAGGGAGCCATTTCAATTGGGGAAGGATTAGCTTACTTAAAATAAATTGAGTAGCTTTAATTTACTCTTTTATATAATAATATTACTAATATAGGCATAAAAGCACTTGGCCAAGGCATATCTTAAATGAAAATACTAAGAATTCTTGAAATTAAAATACGTAGCACTAACAAATTTGATGATGTAGGGTTAGGATAATTTTTTCAAGATTTTGAGTTCTAATTTTTAAAGGATTTATGTCTCTTTATTGGAACATGCATTGAATTCAAGTAGTTCTCCTGTCAATCTTTAGGGCATTCTTTATCAAAATGCAATAATATAGAAAAAATAAATTTAATTGTTTTCTCAGATAAAATAAATGATGAAGGATTTTAGAGTCTAGGCAAGGGTTTAGTTTCCTTAAATAAATTATAGCAGCTAAACATATTTATTTACCAAAGCGATATACAGAGTGGCTATTTTACAGGATTTTAAGAGGGTTTTGTAAATTTGAAAGAACTTCATAGTCTATGCCTAAAAATTTCATTCAACAGATATTAATCTAAATCAAATAAAATCATATGTGATCTTGGCCGCTCATTTTAGTTCTTAAATAATTTAAAATCACTGAAATTAACTCTAGATGGTGAAAATTTTGAAAACCCTGATGGACCTTTTGCACTTGGTTTTGGCTTAAAGCATCTAAAAAATCTAGAAAATCTACAACTTAACATAAATCTGTATGAAGGAATAAAGGAATAATGCTTTTTCTAGTTAGGAGAAGGTTTAAAAGAACTTGTTAATTTATAATCCCTGTCATTATTGTTTGGACGCTTAATATTTTCTATTCCATCTGTAATTTTACAGCACTTATAAAATTTTGTACTTTTAAAAACACTTCACATATCTACTAGTTATCATTATAAATTAACGCTTCAAGATTTATATGATCTAGGATAAAATATTGGAAAGCTAAAAAGTTTAAAATAGTTAATCCTTTACATTGATTTTTAAACACATGGTAAGGAAGGAGTCAAGTAGTTATTAAAAGGTCTCTAAAATCTAAAAAAGCTGAACTAAATCGTTAATAATTGGAGAAATTATAGTGGTAATCAAAAATAAATTCGCTAATAAGCAATTAAAAAATTAACGCACTTAATTTTGCTAAAATTATGAGTGATAACTTATTAATTAAATATAATAAATAATAAAAGGTATTTTAATTAATTAATATATTTATTTAAGTTATTATAAAGTTAATTAAAACAAACTTACTTTATGTCATATGAAAATATTTTGATTTTTATGTCTTTAAAGATAAAATGTCCTTATAAATTATAAGTAAATAAATTTATGTTGAAATAATTATTTACAAAAAATTTTAATTCATTTTTTTTTGGTAATTAAGATAAAGACTTTTTATTAATACTATTAAGGTAATTCAATTGTTTTATATAATCTAAGCTACTTTAATCCCTCAATATCATCTTTTCTAATTATTTTAAACTCATAAAAAGATCATATTTTTTTTAAGTGGTATGTATGTATGTATGTATGTATGTATGTATGTATGTATGTATGTATGTATACAGTATATTAAATTTTACGTTGTAACTGATTTAAAATAAAGCAGCCTAGAATTAGAATCAGTAAATTATACGTTAATCTTTTTATTTATTAAAAAAAAATCACTAACGCAAGCAACAAAAATTCTAGCATTTATTTTGTAAAATGTTATTAAGATTATTGAATCAATTTTATAATAAATTTTTTTAAAAATTTTTTATCAAAGCCATTATTTTACAACTAACTAATTAACTATTCATATTTATAAAAAAATTAAATTTATTCAAGCATGTTTATGCAAATAATTAATTAATTACGTTTCTTATTTTTAAATAAACACTTACTTAGATCTAAATTAATTGATTTAACATATCCTACCTAGTTATCAGTATTTTAAATTATCACTTAATTTATTTAAAAATAGTATAAATTTGAGCTCTTTTTAATATCAACAATTATTTTATATTACTTCTCACTTTAATAGTCTAATTTTTTATTACAAATAATCTTAATTAATTAGATAAAAACATATTCTAAATTTTATTTTCATTGAATTTAAAAATCTATTCAATAATTTAATTTTGAATTAGATTTTGTTGAAAATAATTTTATTTTAGCAGATTTTAAAATTTAATTGCAAAGAAACTTGAATGAATAAGCAGTTATATATTTAAAAACGATTATAAATATTGTTAATAATTTTTTTAAGTTTGAAAATAATATTTATTGTATTTATAATTAAAAAATTTCATTCAAAAGTTTCATAATATAATAAATATTTTAGTAAAAAATTGGTAATTATTAACATTCATCATCTTTAATTTTTATATTAAAAAAAAATATTCCACTGTTATTTTTACTATGATTTGATTTAAGCTTTTATTTTGTTTCAGGTTTATGAAAAAAATTTTATTTAAATATTTTTATAAATTTTAAAGTCTAACTAAGCATATTTATTTATTTTATTTTGCTATTCAAATTTATTAAAAAGGGAATAGAATTTATTTTCTGATTATATTTTATTTTATTTTTATTTAGTTAATTAGTTAGTTACAAAGATATTAATAAACAAAGTATTAAAGCAGAATATATGTAAAATATGAGTTCTAAAATTTATTATAGATATAAATAGTTAAATGCCAATTAGATTTTATTAAATCTTGTATCTTTTTTATTTGTTTAAACAAACATAAATTGTAATTTTATAATTTGATTGATATATTAATAAGATAGGAATGGAAAGGATTGTGGAGTCTAAACCAAAGTTAGTAATGGAAAATATAAAAGCTAATATATTTTCTACAGTATTTTTAATCATTTTAGGAGCACTGTTATTATTAACATATTACTTGCTAAAGGATTATCTCACAGTTTTATGTTTTTCTTTTATTTCAGCTATAGCCATCAAACCAACCAAAGATTACATTTTGAATTGGATTATATCAGGCAGAAAGAACAAATCAAAAAACAACATCTTGCAAGAGAATTACTTAGTCCAACTGTTCACAGGGATATACCTTTTAGTCACAGATTTTAAGAACAATTATATGGGCGTTTGGGAACTTATTGTAGATGTTTTGAATTCTATTAAACATTTTAGGACAGATATTTTTTCATTGCTACGTCTCACATTAACATACATTTTAGTTGCTAAAGTAGGTATTGCTTTGAGCTTTGTGTCTATTGGATCTCTGCTTCTTTTTGATTTATTGATTCGCCTCTTTATATACACTTACCGTCGTATCTTTAAAGCCTACCTTGAAGAAAACGCTGAAAATGATAATGCTACTTAGTTAATTATTGACGAATAAGATCAACAAAACAATTAAAATTCAGGCAAAAAAGGGAAAAAGAGCTAAGTTAAAAATCAGCTACAATAAACTGTTGTAGAGAATGAGGAAGCCAAACAAAAAAGATTGAAAACTGAGTAAGAAGAAGAGCAATTTTACAATTCGCTTGTTTCTACTCTTTGTGTTGTAGGTTTTGTGATGTCAATAATTTTTATTCTTGTATTTTTTGGCGGATTGTGCTTTTGGGATATAATAGATATTCGTAACAAAGCTTCATAAACTCTTTAAATCTAATTAAAAGAAGTGAATAACTTAATAGAGTAATAAGGCATTAAATCCTACCTTGATGAATAATTTATCAAAGATTAAATTTTAAGCTAGGTAGATAAACTAGATACTTATATGAGTCAGTCAAATCTTTTACCAGCCATCCAAGTATTTTAAGGTAATATCATAATGTTTTCATATATTTTTTATTAGCTTAAAATTATAAAATGAGACAAAAGCAAAATAAATTTTTTGTGTTCGTTAAAAAAAGATTTTTAATAGAAATAAAAGAATAACTAAGAATTTTCTTATTCTTAAATGTTATTAAACTAGATAGTTAGTTAGTTTATCATATTAAATTAGATTTTTATTGTAATCAGCTGAGAGTAAAGATCGATAAATATTTTATTTATTGAATTTTGAGTTATTTAAAATTTTTACTCAAAAAAATAAATCATAATTTGATAACAATATTTTCTTTCTTGGATAAAAAAAGAATAAGTAAGCTAAATAGAAATTACTTGGTTAGCCTAGCTGAATAATTATTTATTTATTTAAAAAATCTACATATTATAATGAATTTTGAATTAAAATAGGAGTTGTTAATAACTACTTTAATAACACAAATTCTACTTTAGAAGAACAAGAAGCAACTTATAAATTTAGATAAAATATAGAGTTATGTCAAGAAGGTTATATCAAGTATCTAAATAACTCATATATTCCACAATTTATTATAAGTTCTGCTAACGAAGTTACAGCTGTTGTCTGCTATATTCAAATTTTTATTAAGCAAATGGACTTCAACATTAATGAGGTATTTATTTTTATTAATAAATTATTTACATTTCAAATATTCTTATGAAATTTTCTTAAAAAAACATACAAAATTCTTAAAACAGGAATCAATAAATTTTTGAAAGATTAAATAAAAATTTGGTTTTACTATAATTAAATAACTAACTAAGTAATTAATTAATATTAGATCTTGAATAACTTGAAAAATGTTGGAGGAAACCTTTATTAAAATATCCAAAAAATAATAATTTGGATAATTTAATCTTTGTTTACTTTTTTGTTTTCGATAATTGACTACTTGTTATAAACTATTATCTATCTCACTAGTTTATTCTACCTCTTAAGCTCACCTTAGTTTTCGTTGAATAAACTGCTGTTACTTCTTCCATTAGAAGGAGATATCAAGAAAAAATTAGAATTTTCTCTAGAGAAGAATATTAGAGGAGTGTTTGCTTCAAACTTAAAAATTTCATTTTATCACATAATTTTGACTTGGCTAATGCTTGATATATTTGATTTACCATTTTCATTTATTACATCAGTCTTAGCTGGTGTTTTGGCTATTATTCCAATTATTCCTGTTTACTTCATAACAATTCCTTACTGCATATATTTGTACTTCTCTGGTTCAATCTTGGAAATGGCCATTCTTTTTGTTGGATATGCACATATAAGTCTCCTTTCAATAGATGCTATCTATTCTAAAAACATTGCAGTTCATCCCTTTATTACAGGTAAACATTCTTTTTTTAATTTCAAATGATATGACACATTTAATACTGTAAACATTTATATTACAAATAAATAAATTTAAAAAATAAAAAGGTATTTGTGTTGCAATGGGTTTGAGTGTGTTTGAATTAAAAGGTATAATCATCGGGCCTCTTATAGTTTGCTCAGTTTATCTATTAGTTGATGTATTGGGAGAAATACAAGAAAGCAAAAAAATAGATCAAATTAAAAAAGGAAACCTAAAGAAGTTAAATTCTAATATCATAACACAAAAAGCAAGTAGCTCTCAGTAGTAAGAAGCCTCAAAAACATAAACTCCAGATGATCACAATAATGACTAGCAATAGCAAAAAAATTAGGAATCTGTAGAGCCATCAGAACCAAAGGAGGATAAGACCTCTATTGAAACTCATCAAAATCGTGTTAATCCTAAAAAATAATAATAGCTTGTCAATCCAAGTGATAACTAAATTGCCAAAAGAAACACAAGGACCAGATCAAATAAAAAAAATAATTGAAAACAATTTAATAAGAAATAAAAAATATATTTGGATGTATCAATCAATAAATATAAACTACATTATAACTAAAAATTTGATTTTAATATAACAAATTATATTGTTTTAAAAACTAAATCCTACCATTAAAACTAAGGATTAAAAATTTCTTTTATTATTTATTTTTTAATTGATTTGTTTGTTTGTTTAAAATATTTCATTTAATAAAAATTAACATGTTTAATTTATTTGAAAATATATATTGTTAAAAATAGGATTAAAAGGATATTAATGATATAATTTAAAAAATTGTGTAAAATGAAGTAAGTAAAAAAAAGATGAGAGTTAAAATAAGTAAATTTATCTGTTTGAGTTTATTGCATATTTTAGGAGATTTGAGCTGCTTAGTAGATTTTGTTTGTTTGATAAATTTGTTAGAAAAAGATAATATTTTGGTTGATAAATAGATATTTACTTCTGAATAAGCCATCAAAAATTTAATAACAAAGTGCACTACGGATAATTAAAACACTTATTAATAGATTGATTGATAGATAGATATAGAAACATATTTTATAAAATAGAAAAGATAGATAAAGAGATAGATAGATTCATAGTTTGATTGATTAGCTGATGAGATTTTTTAAATTCTTTAATAAGTAATTAGAAACAAATCCACTGAGGACTAAAATGATTACAACAACTATTGTATACTCTGCAGGAGATTTTGTGGCTTAAAAGTATATAGAAAAAAGCGAAACATATAGCTATTAAAGAGCTCTCAAATCCATCATATATGGTGCCTTATTTGCTGCACCAGTATTGCATAAATGGCATAATTTAATTCCAGTGCTTGCTTAGAGATATATATTCTATAGATTTAATGATATCTCAAAGTATACTAGGGCTTTTGTAAAGATGGTGATTGATTAAACAATGTTTGCTCCTTTGTTTAATTGTTATTTCTACATAATTATTAATTTGATTGAATTTTAATCATTGTAGAAAGGTATATAAAGTATCTAAGATAAATTATGGGAGACAGTAAAAAGTGGATGGAAACTTTGGCCACTTGCATAAATAATTAACTTCTCTTTTGTGCCAATCTAATATAGAGTTTTATATGGAAATGTAGTTGCAATGTTTTGGTTTACCTATTTGTCTTATATGTAGCACAAGCATAAGCAATTAATGTAAAACGCGAATGCGAATTTCTCATGAAATTCTCTTAAACTGTGTTTACTAAATCAATCAAAAATAAATTTTGTTGGAGTTAGAACAAAAAGATTATATTATTTAGAATGTGTATGTATATATATATATGTATATAGTTTAATATATATTTTTTTACAATATAATAAATATATTAAAATTTAATTCCTTAAAATTTCTTAGATTAAAAATTATTTTTAAGCTAATTTTTTTCATTTTATTTTTATTTTTAATTGAAATTTAACTTCATATTCTGTTATTGATACAAAATTATTTGCTTGTCTATAAAATTTATCAAAATTTTTATCTGAATCTAATTTTAGAAAAAATTTAAAGAGAAAGAAATATTTATTTTATAAAAAGGCTTTCTAGTTTATCTTTAATTACAAAATGTAATAAATAACCAAAGAAAAAAATATAATAAATTGTATAACAACCATATTTACTTAAATACTTCCTTATTTTCTCACAAATAATATTTATTTTTTCAATTTAGATAATTTCTTTTTTGATTGCATTTGAATTTTAAATTTATAAAATATAGAGGATGGATAACATGATTTTAATGAAAGTTTTTAAGAAGTCCAAGAATCTAAATGATAAAGAGAAAGACTTCAAGTAAAATTTGTAAATCGGAGAAATTAAATTTATAAATATTAAAAATTAACTTAATTTTTAAAAGCTAAAATAATTATTTTTTTTAAAATTATTTATTGTTAAAAATGAAAATCCTAAAACTAATTTACTAAAAATATTTTTGTATAAAAATATCACAGATTAAACTTATTTATCAAGGGTTAAAAATTTAAAATCCAAAATAACATTTTAAGTTCCTCATTTATAAAACTTATTTTTTTAGTTTTTAATTGAAAATAATTATAAAATTTTACAAATAACTTTACATTTTAATTTCAAAATTTTTATTATTTAATTTTTATTTTTAATAAAGGAATAACTAAAAGGACATTTTTAGTCATGGTTGCTAATTTATTCCTTCAGAAACAGTTATATGGCTTTGTTAGGAGATATCTTCTGTTTGATTACCTTCAATTTAATTGAAAACAGACTCTTTACCAAAATCTCTTGTAAATTTATGATTGACATTCCATCCAAATGGTAAATATTTTGGTTGCATAACATCTAAAAAGTGCTGTCTCCACATTTTTATGAATAAAATAATGTCATCTTCTGTTTTCAAATTTTCAACTACTTTTTATCCAGCCCAAATTCTCTCATTTTGTTTTTCTTCATCTTTAATATTTTTAGAGTCTTTTTCTAAATTAGAAAAGAAACTCCTAAATTCTTCATCAATTTTAATTTTTCCAGTGGTTGAGACTTTAAATTGTTTGTCCTTTAACTAAGGAAACTTATTTTAAATATCAGGTGTTTTGAGCAATTCGTCGAAATATTGTCTAATGTTTTCTTTACACTTTTATCTATTTTCTTTATTCATTTTTTCTTTGCTTTTTAAGTATGACTTAGTACTAGCATACATTCTTTAAGCCATATATTTTAAGCTTTGCTATTTAAAATACTGCTGTTTTTCTATTTTATATTACTGCAATAGTTAATCTTTTAACAAATCTGCGTTTTTTCCTGCTTTCTGGTGACATTTCACACATAATAACAAAATGTCATGAGATCTATGGCTTTTGTATCTATTTAATTTTATTTTAATGCATCGAACTATTTTATATTTTATGAGAAAGGAAATGAAATTTACTTATTTGGAAAATGAGTTCTGTATATAGAGGGAATAACATGATATTTAGTGAATTTTTCATCTTTTCCACAGACTACACAAACAGTTTCTCTCTTGCTTGCATAAAATTGGTTTTCATTCAAATGAATTTCTTGTTCTAATTCTTCATGATTCTTTCCATTAGGCTAAAAATTTAATTTTATAATTGTGTAAGGCTCTCTACTGACTAAAGTAGCTAGTCCTTTATTGAGATACCATTTAACTTTTTTTTCATCACAATTGCAAAGTTTCAAACCTAGTGGTGATAGAATTTAGCAATTTCCGTATGGTTCTTTTTTCAAGCAGAACTACTCCTCAAATTATTATGCTCTCTTCTGCTTCCTTTCTTCTTTTTCAGTGTGACTGCTAGCCTTTTTTTATCCATATTTATCATACTCTTATAATAAATTGTTTTTTTCTTCACTCTAATTCCATGAATTCAAAATTAACATGATTTTCTCCCTTTAGCTTTACAAAAATATAAGCGATTGGGGATATTTGATATTTTAGAATGTTTATAAGTCTAAATCTTCCAACAAAGCAAGTTTATTACTGTTTAAATCATAAATTTTAAAAGCTAGTTCTAAAAGCGAAGGTTCCAATAACAAATTATTAGCATTTAAGTTATTTAATTATGAATATTCATTTTTAAGTTTGGCTATTCTACAATATATTACGTTTATTATTCTGTATACTTCTGATTACTTGTCAATTTATGATGCATATAACTCTTAATGCTTAAATTATTTCTAAAATAAATCAAAAAAGTACTAATAATCAAACTTCTTCTTTTCATATTTCTTTAAAGTTTATTACTGCATTTAGTTAATGACTTCAATAGTTCTCTTAAAACCGACACTTTATATAGTCTCACACAACAGTTCATATCTAATTTTTATTAAGTAATGAGAATCCAAAGCAGCATAGTCTAACTATTCTTTGCTTAAAGGTCTATTTGACCACTCTGAAACCTTTTGGAAAATAAATAAAATAAAAATATATATAAATAAATACTGATTTATTTACTTATAGCTCTTTTTTCTTTTGCTTATCTAATTTGTAATTGCAATAGCGATCAATCAGCTAAATAAGTGAATTATCATCAGATTTTTTTAGGAAGCTTGCACATTCTTTTACATCGAAGTAATTTACTACTGATAAATCAAAATCTCTCTTAAGCCATAAAATATCTTATTATCCAGCATAAAAAATTTTAATAATGTCTTTGCACAAAAAAACTTTAGAAAGACACTCATTAATTCCTTATTTGCTGTTGATGCCTAAAACATCTATCAGATAGTCATTTTAATCAGTTGAAATTTGTATCAAGCATAAAAATCCTTCATAGGTCTTGGCAAAGCTCTATTCTGTATCTATTCCTGTATATTATAAATAATTTACATAAACAATGTAAAAATAAATAAATTTGAAAAGTTACCTAACCTAGTTTATTCTAAAAGTATTGGAATTAAATCCTGCAGCTTATTTAAAGTATCTATCAAAATATACTTTTCAGGCTAAAAGGGATTTAATACACTGTGATTATATTGTTAAAACTCTTTAATTGTGTAATTTTTCATATGAATAAATTATAGTAGTTCTCCTTATTATCTAATATTAATTAATAGATAGATATGTTTTTAAAAATAATCAGTTATTTGCAGATTTTATTAGCCTTTTGAATCACATATTCATTAATCTATTCTTATAGAAAACTAAAACCAATTATCTGATAAAATATAATTTAGTACAAACATAAATCAACAAATTAATAAATTTCTAGATGGTAGACATTTTAATATTAATCTAAAAAGAATAATTCTAAAGCTTATAACAAAATTATTTAATCTTCTAGAAGTAACAAATTAATTTCTTTCTTTATTGAAATTCTAGATTATTTCTCAAAAATTTTCAACCAAATTATTAAGAATAAATACTCAAATTGCAGAAAATTTAAGTTAAAAACATTTTTAATTTGAATAATAAAGCTTGTGAAAACATATTAACTATCAATCCTTTAAATATATAAATATTAAAATTATATTACCATTGAAATGCAATTTATTTATTCTTTGTTTGATATATCAGTTTCTCAGTATATTTTTATACTTTATTGTACTCATAAAAATAAATATGATTAATTTTTACTAAAAACATAATTAAATTCTTGTGAATCATCTTACATTTTTCAAATCTAATTCGAGTTTATTAGCTGTATTTGTGATTTATGTAAATGATTTTATCTATTAATTATAAAATTTTAGATTATTGTATTCAAATTTTTTTTTTTTTAAATGTTTCAATTTTAACTAAGCTGCTTTAAATTAAATTTTTTAAAAAATTAAGATAAATTTTTAATTTTAATAAAATAATTTTTATAAAAATCACATTTAAAATACCTCCTTAACATTAAATTAACAAATTAAATTTTGATATTTTTATTAATCTATTTACAATTAAGAGTATTCAAAAATGATAACTAAAATAATTTACATTAAAATAACTCTAAAAATAAATTCCTGATTCTAGCAATTAGAAATCTCTAATATTCTTTTGCAAAATAAAATAGAATTATTGACATTTTCTTTCGAAAAATCTGATAAAAAGTGTCTATAAGTAAATATATAATTAAATTAATAAAAAATTTAAGAATATAAAATCTGAGGTATACACTTTACAATTTGATTAACAAAATTGAATAGTTAATTGATTGATAGGATACTAATAAATATATAGATTTTTTTTGAATTTCTAAAAAAATGAGTGTTAAAAATAAGTATAATATATAAGACTTCGTAAATTCAAACTATTGTGAAACTAAACCATTTTATAATGGTTAATATATTTTAGTTTAAACAAAAGAGCAACTCCGCGAATGCATTTAAGAGATCAAACAGTTTAACAAAATAGGTATTATTTAAAAATTTTTTTTACCAATCATTCAATAAATCATTAAAAATATTTATATATTTATTTATTTATTAATTATAAAAGGAGTTGATACAGAATAGAGCTTCATGCAGACTTATTAGGCCTTTCTTTGTTTAATTTAAATATCTACTGAAGAGAAAGATTATCTGATTGATTTACTCTCAATAAATGACAAATAATATATTAAGTCAGAGATTGAGTAAATATTCCTGGATAAAAATATAATTAAAATTTTTTATGCAGGATAAACTGATATCGTATGGCTATAAAGAGACTATGATATTTTAATATCTAACTATTTTGATATTTAAACTGCTGCAATATTTTTAAATAAGGATGAAAGCTGGTCTTTAACTTATCTTCTTTAAAAATACTGCGACTATACTCTTGAAAAGAAAGAGAAGAAATAACTTTAAGTAGAATTTCTTTATTTGTTTATTTGTTTTATTAACTTCTATTTTTAATTGTTGATAAAAATTAGCTTTCAGAATGGTCTGATCGCCCACTAAGTGAAGAATAATTAAATTATGCAGCTCTCGACTCTCATTTCTTAATAAAAATAAGATACGAGCTACTTCACGAAATGATCAAAAGACTGGATTTCTAAAGAACACTAGAACTTCTTTACAAAATGCAGAAAGCTACATCTAAAAAATATGAGAAAAAGCCATTTGATGAGTTATTTTACTTCTAAGCTTTCGAAAAGTAATCTAAAATTTAGGTTAATAGTATTGGAGCTGGGCTTAAGAGTACAACAGAATGGAAAATTCTTAATATAATTTTCTTAGAACTTGCAGAATTGAGAGAGAGTTACTCTGAATAGTAAAATAGATATATTCAAAGTGTTTTAACAGAAGAATCATTGCTGCAAATAGCTTATTCTACCTTTGATGAAATATAATATAAATTAAAAAGTGTATACGAAATTCAAAACTAAGACTAATTTACTGAAAAGCATTCTTAAGATTTCTTGAATTCAAATAAGGAGAAAATAATTTCAATTCTAAATAGACACACAATTGAATTAGATAAAATTATTGAGAAATACGAATTGCTATGCATACCAATTAAAAATAAAATGCATATCCTTCAGCAAAGAATTGAGAGGAAAAATAAGACATTCTAAGAAAAATACTCGATGAAGACTGTACCTTACGAAAACTGCTAAATACTTTCACCAGATGGACAGCAATTATGTAACTGTAACAGTAAAAAAATTTAATGGTATCTTAAGAAAGGGTTAGCTCATCTTGTAAGCGAAAATCCTACAGTTATCAAACTTAACTTCTAGCCAAGTGGAAAGGGAAATTTTGATTTGGAGGATTAGAAGATCTTTGAAAACAATTACTATTATGTAACAGAAAGAGAAAACAAATGTGTTGTCTGTGGTTCTACAGAAAAATTTGCTAAATTTTACGTTATTCCATCTCTCTATAGGCGTCATTTTCCAGATATGTAACAAATCAATTTCACAAAAATTTTTGTTTCACCTTTAATAAATTATTTGCAATGAGGTTTTATTTAATTAAAAATTATATTAATTAAATTTAGAAATACTGTAATTTTTATACACTTCCCTCCTCCATGAACCCTCCTAATTTTTTATCTATAAAGGCTAAACAAGCCATTAAATTTTAAAATTTAAAGAAAATGGAAGGGCTAAAACTAGAATAATTACAGTACTTAGAACTTTAAATTTTAATTGAAAATAAAAAAAATAATTGAAAGTATTCAATAGTTTAATGAAGGACTATTCAAACATGAAATATATTTTACAAATCAAATAAAATTAAAATAAATTTTTGAATATAAAAAAATTAGTTTGAAGAGTCATAGATCTTAGGATATACTGCTTTTGTGTATGAATTGCCATCAAAGAGCAGGAACTTACTGTGATAAAAAGATTGACGAAATTTGTTAGTAATATCAAGTTGATAAAATTAGTTTGTAGTATGCTTCAGTGGTGTAAGACGTTATCTAAAGATTGAGCAGGAGTGCTAGGTCTTTCCAGAAAAATAAGTCTCATATGCCCAAAGAGAATAAGAAGAAACTAAAATCAATAATTAGATAGAACTATTAGGATTTTATAGAGTTAAAGGATATTCAATAAAAGATAGATATTCACCCTGATTCTTATTTTGGAATTAACAAGTAAAATTAAATTAAGATTAATGATAAGTTTATATCATATTGCTTGGAAATTGATAACTTTAAAAAAATTGGTAAAGAGAATTCATGTAATGATTTTAAGAATTAGCATGGTAAATATGTAGTAGAATAACTTAAAAACTTAAAAGATCTTACTGAATTTGTTCTTATGTGGCGTTAGTATTTCATTAAAACAATGTAGCCTAAATATTTACCAAGAGATTGGACAGAAAAGCCTAAAAGAGTAGAACCAGATAACGAAAGTAAATATGATAAAAAGCTTGAATAGATTCAAATATTTTCAAACTAATGACAAAAATATTTAGTTAAAAATAAATGATTTTATAAATTATAAAAATAAATATTTAATCTACTAAATTTTGATATAAATATTTCCATTAATTTATTCATTTTTTTATTAATTTATTCTTCCTTAGTTTCTTTTCAAGATGTATATTTGATTGTTTCATATAAACTATACCAGTTCTTTATTATTTTTATAAATACAAATTAAAAATACGATAATGAGTAATTTTAATAAATAATTTTAAATGCTTAAGAAAAATAAAACCATAAGTTCTTTAAATTATTTAATGATAAGTATTTTTTTAAAAAATTTATTTTATCCTAAAATATTAAATATAACACAAAATTAATTACTTAAAACCATCAAATAATTTTTTAAAAGTAAAAAATATCAATATTCCAGAAGTGGTCGATTTATTATTTATGTGGGAAATTAAATTTTGATTTACTTATTTACATAGTATATTTTGAAATTGAAAAATATTTTCTTAGTATTTCAAAGTAAATTAATTTTAAAAAAGTTTATTTATTATTTTATAATTTTAGTAAAAGAATATTTCCTTTCACAATAAATGTAATTTTATTGCTTGTTTAATATAATCAAAGAATTATTAGATTTATTTAAAAATAAAAAAGAGGGATCGTAATTAGTTAATTAGAAGGTCAGTAATTTAGTCTAAATTTTTTTATAAATGGTTGAAAGATATATATTGATTGAAATTACTTAAAATGATCAAGTAATAACATAAAATAAAAAATTTTACACTTAGACACAGTATAATTTACTAATAAAGAATAATCTTACTGGCTAGATTTATTTAATATAAAGGTAATTAAATAATATTAGAAATTAATTTGTTTGTGAAAGTATAATAAATTTTAGATGAATTTATTCATAGGTATGAAGCTTGCTTTTCATTATTTTCAAAATAAGATATAAATAAATTAATATCATTTTTATTAGAAAAATATTTTATTTAATTAATTGAGTTGAATTTATTAATACCATTCTTTAAAATTGCTAATTATATTTATTTAAAGCTTATTAATAATTAAGCAATTAAAAAGATTATAAATAAACCTTATTAGATAAAGTTTTAACAAGATATTTATTTATTTAGAATTTTTTAAAATAAACCTTAAATTAGTTGATATACTTGATAACGAATGATATAACATTTTAAATTAAAATTTAATTATTTTCTTATAGCAGCTATGCAAATAGCTTTATAAATAGCTAATTAGCTTTTATTTTATATTTTATTTATATCTTTGGCTTTATTTTTTTTACAATATGATTGACAATTATTAATTATTTTTTTATATAAATATTTATTTTCATTTAAATGAGTAAAATAATATTATCTAATAACCATACAAAATCAAAGGATTTTTGTATGTTAAAATTTTAAAAAGATTTGGCTGATTTTAAAATGTAAATTCTTATTTTTTGTAAGTAAGTGATCAGAAATCTTGACTAGTTAGTACTATATCAGTTTTTACTATCTTTTTTTAAAGTTATACTTAAAATTTCACAAAAGAAGATTTCTAGAAGAATTTAGTTTTTGTTAAATAATATGAATTATTTATCACCTTGCAAAGATAATTAATTAAAATATACAAAACAAATAAAATAAATAAAATAAAACGCCAAACATAAATAGCTATCTATCTATCTATCTATCTATCTATCTATAATGTCCAAATTAATCTTCTACGGTTACTTAATTTGCCCTTTTGCCTAAAGAGTCAGATTCGCTTTAGAGGCTTTGAAGATAGATTATGAATTCGTTCATATTGATTTGCACGCTGGAGCTTAAAAAGAAGAAGCCTATCTCAAAATAAATCCTTTTGGAAAACTACCTTCAATTCAAATCGATGGAAAGGTATGCTTGTTATTTATTTATTTATTTTTTAACTTTTTAATTTGAAAAACTTATTTTAATACATCTTAAATGATTATTTTAATATTAATCACATATAATTAATTAATTATAAATAGGTTGTTTATGAAAGCTTGATACTTTTAGAATTTTTGGGAGATCATTTTGGTGGTGTCTTCCCCAAAGACGATTTTGCCAAAGCTGAGAGTAGAATTTGGGCTAACTACTTTGACTAAAATGTTGCAAGCAAAGTTTTTCCTCTGTTTGGCTTAAAGAAAGCTAATAATTAAGAAGGAATCGAGAAACAAGCTCAAGAAATTTTAAATAACATCAAATTCTTTACATAAAAATCAGGCCTTGAAGATAGAATTAAGAATAATCCATAGAGCTACTTCAACGGCAATTAGTTGAGCTTTGTCGATTTTGTTGTAGCTCCTCACATTAGAAATATTGAAACATTTTTTAAACTTTTTGTAGGTAGAAGTATTTACAGTTTTGCTGAGCCCAATGAATCAATTTAAAACTTTGAAAAGTACTCTAAAAACATACTTTAAAGCTAGCCTTATCTTTCAATTACAGACAAATTGAAATAATTACCTCCTATTGAAACTAACTCTTTCTTAAAAGAAATTGGAGTTGACTCTATTGAAAAGTTTAATTACGAACATTTCTTTAAAGAGTTCCATCAAAAAAAATTCTTATCTTGAAAAAATAAAAGTAATATATCAACCAAAAAATAAATTAAATAACTTAATAAAATATAAATATGTGTGCTAGTTAGTATGGTATATAAATATATCAACCATGTTCTTAACTTACTCATTTTTAAAGCTATGATTAAATTAAATAATTGAACAAGATTGAATATAAAAGTTAATAAACTAAATTTTTAATACTTAGTAAATTTATTTATTTATTTTTTTCATAAAACTTTTTTTGTAGTTTTAAAATATTAATTTAATAATATAAAAAATAAATATAAAAAGACTTATATAAATTATTTGAATATAAAAATAAATAAATTTTTATTTGCAAATAATAATCGTTTATTTTTTTAATATTTTATCTGGAATTTTTTATTTCAGTTTTAGTTAATTTGCATAATAGAAAATCTTTTATTTAATAATTAAAAATAAGGTATATATTTAAGTTAATATATCAAAATGTTGATTATCCTGATATAAAATCAATTAAAATAATATCATCATAAAGATAGAATGAATGCTCTTTTTGTGTAAAAAATGTAGATATTCTCTTTCATTTTTGAAAACTTGCTAAAATCATTAAAAAAAATAAAAATATATTTAATTCATCAAATAATTTTGTGATCTAATACTATAAAACAAAATTTTATTTATTGAAATTATTTTATATTTTCTATTTTTAACTTTGTCAGCTAACACTTTGATTTTTAAACTTAAACCAAATACTTATTTTTACCTTATTTTTTTATATTTAAATTAGCAGTTTGATAAAAATAAAAATTTAAATTCTTTTAGGATATTTCTTTAGCTAATTATTTTGAGTATTATCGTTTTTTATATTATTTATCTTATTATAGCCTTAGATATAAAGAAATATTCTAATGGTTATAACATTTTATTATCTTGCTTGAAAAAATGAAATATATTAACTATTTTTATTTGTATATTTCTTTTTAATACTACTTTAAATAGTTATTCATAATAAAATTAAATTTTTTATATCATCAAATTTCATTTTTATATTTTGATAAAATTTTTGGAAATAAAACATTTTAAAATTATAATGATAAAAAACTTATTGCTTATTTTTTGTTAGCCTTAATAGAAGTTAATATAAATTTTAATATTTTTTATCTTTTGAGTTTAGTTTAATTTAGTTTAGTTTAGTTTGATTATTTTTAGAAGAGAAACAAACAAATATTACATAAGAAAAAAGAAATAATAGATATATTGATAAATAGATAGATAGATATTTTGTAATTTAATATAAATAATATTTATATGTTTATTTTTATTGCTGTTTGCTTTTGAATTTATTAAAATAGTAATTTATTCATTTATTAATATCTTTCTGTTGTTCATTCATTCATCACAAAGTATTCACAATATGAGAAAGATGAGGGAAGTTTTTTAATAAAAGTGGTTTAGGTAGAGCAAATGTAGGATCTATGGGAACTAAATCATATTTTTATTAATTGAGAAGACTCAAAGCTGCTATTCCAAAGAATGTGTGGAAAACGTCTACACAATTCTCTGGTCTATCTGCAATACCTCCTTCAGAGTCTTGACAATCGAGAATGAAATTCTCAAGTCCTTAGCAATCTATCCAATTAACTCTTTAAATCATTCTAAAACTTGAATAAATCCACCAAGAGTAACAAACATCTGCTAATTTTTCTGGTCTACCATTAAAGCCTCCCTTACTTGTCTGCCTCTCAGAGAGCCAAAATCCCAGCTAGTCTTTGTCAAAAGCGTCTAAATATCCAGCTATTGTTAAAGCCCCAACTCCTGTAAATATATAAGCTCCATGGCTTTCTGCATCTGGACTACCTCCAAATGCACCATCGAAATTTCTGCATCTCAATACATATTCAGCTGCTTTCTATACATTAATTTCATTTAACCTATTAAATAGAGCTAAACTGCTTAAAGCGCAATAAGAAAATCTAGTATCGACCTCTCCCCATGTATCACCCATAAAACTTCCATCCTCTTTCTGAAGAGATTTGATATACCCTACAACTTTGTCAATATCGACCTTATTTAATTCCTCAAAAATAATCAATGTCAAAATTGCATAATGAGTCGAAGTTATATGAGAATCGTGCTGAGTGTTTCCACCAAAGCCACCATCCTCATTTTAGCAACTTAAAATCCACTTGACTAACTTATCTACTTTTTCTTAAGGTAGCTTAATACCTAAACAAGCTAAAGCATTTAGACTCCAATAAGCACCTCCAATACGTAAGTGTTCTGTAAGATAGTAACCTATTGAATCTAAGTCTTTTGACTTTTCTAAAGATAGCAAGTACTCTTCGTGTTGCTTTCTCAAAAAATTTCTTTATTTTTCTTAACTTGTTTGGCTTTCTACTTAAGTGTCTTGCTTCTTTTCTTCTTCTTCCTAACTCATTAGTAAATAGGCTAAATTATATTGATGCTAATATTGCTTTTTTATTTAACTTTTTTCAATTTAAAATGTTCTATATTATTTTTTCTAATCAAATATTAAAGAATGATTTATTTATATGATAATTAATTAATAAGTAAAAAACCAGTCTCTTTTATTTCATCTATATAAATATTCTATCTATCTATCTTTAATAAACATTAGAGTTCTGTTTAAATACTATGTTTAATACTTTTCAAATTTTCTTTAAAAACTTAATAAATTAATTCCAAATTATTTACTAATTGGTATTATTAGCGTGCTTGCTTGTTTGATTTGCTATTCATTTCTTATCATTATTTTTTCAAATTTACTTTTTAAAAACAATCTATTGAGATAATATTTTTATTACCAATTTATAAATCAATAAAAATATCCATTATAATATTTTAAATTAATTCAAAATGAATAATAAAATAAAAAAATCATTTTAAAATTTATAATTTCTTAGCTTTATAACTTTGAAATAGAATTTCACATAATCATTTTTTATCTGAATTAATAAATTAGATTTATTTTTTTATATAAAATACACATTTTAATAATTCTGTTGCTGTTTTTTTTAAATTTATTTTTGTAATATTGTATAACAAAACTTTAATATTAGAATTAAATTGATTTATTTCAAATAAATATAAATTATCTTTTTTGTAGTATTTCTTTTTTTATTAAATTTGACAGTAAGTACAAAGTATTCATGTAATAAAAATAGTCAATAAATAATATCTTTATAATATTATTTAATTTATACATAGCTTTTCTCATAATTAAGAGCCATATCATTCATTTCAATTACTATCTAATACTTGTTATTTCTTATTTTTTTGGATAAGTTCACTTTAATCTTAAGCTTCTTCATCATCGCCATCTTCATTATCATCACCATCTTCGTTATCATCACCATCTTCGGCATCATCACCATCTTCAGCATCATCACCGTCTTCAGCATCATCACCATCTTCGGCATCTTCGTTATCATCACCATCTTCGGCATCATCACCGTCTTCAGCATCATCACCATCTTCGGCATCATCGCCATCTTCGTTATCATCACCATCTTCGGCATCATCACCATCTTCAGCATCATCACCATCTTCGGCATCTTCGTTATCATCACCATCTTCGGCATCATCACCGTCTTCAGCATCATCACCATCTTCGGCAGCATCACCGTCTTCAGCATCATCACCATCTTCAGCATCATCGCCATCTTCGGCATCATCGCCATCTTCAGCATCATCACCATCTTCGGCATCATCACCATCTTCAGCATCATCGCCATCTTCGGCATCATCACCATCTTCGGCATCATCACCATTTTCTAATTTTATAGTTAAGAAATTAATTTAATGATAAAGTAAATTTAAAATTGTTATTTTAATTGAATTGGTTTATATATTGTAATTTTTATTTTATTAACACGTTTAAAATAAAACAAAAAAAAAATATTTTTTTAATAATAAATCTAGAAAATATGTATGTATTAAATAAATACAACGGGTTGGATATTAATAATAGTTTATGGTACCTATAATAATAAAATAACAAATTACCATCATCACCATTATCGTCGTCGTTTGAATCATCATCACCGTTATCTTCGTCTGAATCACCATTATCATCATCTGAATCACCGTTATCATCATCAGAATCGCCAGATTCTTCATCATCAGAATCACCAGACTCTTCATCATCAGAATCACCAGATTCTTCATCATCAGAATCACCAGATTCTTGATCATCAGAATCACCAGATTCTTCATCATCTGAATCGCCAGATTCTTCATCATCTGAATCACCGCTATCATCATCAGAATCGCCAGATTCTTCATCATCTTTTTATAATTTAAAAAAATATGAAAATACATTGAGAAATATGAGTAAAACTCAAATAAATAAAAGATTTATAGATTTATTTAAAAATATCATAATATTTTCTGATGAAAATAAATTTAAATTTATAAGTAAATAATTGTAAATATTTGTTTATTTTAAATTTTTTGTCAATTTACCTCCATTATCACCTTCATCTGCATTTTCTTCATCATCTTAAATAAGCTTGGGGGTGTTTTCAGTCATTTCAGTTTCTTTTGAAACAGCAGAATGGCTTTTTTAGATAGGTTTTTCCTTTCTTAAACCTCTTCCTAAAGCAGCGGTTAAAAGTAAAGAAATAAGAAGGAGCACAATAAATTGTTTTCTCATTAGATTTTCTTTTTTAAATGATTATTTAGGTATATTTTTGTTTAAAAAGTATTACTTTTTGTTCTTTATTTATTTATAAACATATAAATGAATTTAAGTTGAAAATTAAAGAGAAAAAAACATTAAAAACAAGAAAAATAATTAAAAAGTAAGGCGTTTTTATGAAAGGTTGGCATTACTTATTTTTAGTTCTAAAACGAAGAGAATAGGAGTGAGAAACAAATCAAGAAAGTAAGCCATGAATATATATAATTTCATTTTATATAAATGATGATTATTATTTAAAGAAAAATAAAAAATAATTTTACGATGTAAAATTTTTATATTTATGACTTGTAAAATTTTAATGAAATACATGAAAAATAGTGTATAAATTAAATAGATTATTTTTTAATTTACAAAGTGTTTATAGACTTCACTCTTAGAATTCAAAAACGGATAAAAGTAATTAGAAATTATAGGAATAAATTTAATCATTATGTTATAAAATGAGTTTTAATTTCGAAGAGAATTAAAATTTTAATAATATTTTATTAATTTTAAAATAAAACATGGAATTTACTTATTTACTTTTTAATATAATGGATTCAAATTAATTTTTATTTGAAAAATGAATGTTTATTTTATGATAATCTAGAATTTGTATTTGCAGTAGTGGGCCTTCCAGAAAAGGGTCTTTGTTATTAATTAAAAAAATCTAATTATGAAGAATACTTAGAAATAGCAGATTCTGGTCTGCTTATAGCCTTGGCACTTTGAACTCTTGAGTAAGTAGGCATTTTCATAGGGGTATATTACTATCTCTCTATTGAATCTGGTTCTTTTTTACTAATACCCCAATTTGGATCTTCTAAGATCTATTTATTGAATTTTTCAATTACCAGATTGAGGTTTTACTATTATCTTTTTTGTCCGTTTTTAATGTTTAAACCTAACTCTTATAAGTCTTCATTTATTAACTCTTATTAGCTCATTTAGGGTGATATTACTATTAATTAAATGCGTAATTAAAAATTATTTAAACTAAACACAAAACAGTCATCAAGCAACAATTAAAATTGTAACAAGAAAAAAATATATATACATTATCAATTAAAATCATGATTTAATTACCATTCGATTATCTAATGTTCTATTTTTAATTGTAAAATTTTATTTTATCTTGAATTTACACTCCAACTGCTGTCTATTTATTCTCATTTTTTTCTTGTTTTTATACCTTTTTTACTGATTAAATAGAGCGATTGCTGGCAGTGATTGGAAGCAATTAGCTAGAAGTAGGCTTTAATACAGGAGGTTCATCAGACAACATCATAAGCAAAGCATCTTTATTTATGATATTCATTCCCTAGTTAATTCAGTCAGTAAAAAAGCTTAATAAATAGTTAAAGATTTGAAAAAAAATACTCAAATATACAAATTTAATTTTATGTATTAAAAATAGTCCAATCTATTAATTTTAAATTCTAAGGGATCTTTTTTTCTTTTCAACCTTACTATGAGTAAACATAAAATGAAGATTAATAATTAAAAAAAAAATATTTTTACAGCTGATTAAGGTTTTACATTTCTTTTCAATTTATTTGAAGATTTTTGTGAACTATGTTCTGATAACTCAATTATTTAGTTTGCTTTATCATTTATGTCTACTTTTGCTTGTCGAATATTTTAAATGTACTTCGGTACTGGCCTGTTAGGTTGTTCAGAAACTAACTCATCATATTATTTCTTTGTCATCTAATTATCTTTCGTTTTAAACTCACTTCCGATTTTCTTGTGACCAGTTTAAAATAAAACCTTAACTCCTTCATTAGGCTTTATAGTTTGTTAAAAAATGTCTTATTTTATGCATTTTTGTATTATTTTGTATTTAAAAAAAAACTTTGGATCAAATAAATTAGGTAAAACTTTGGTTTATTACATTTAATACTTCATGCAGAGGTGGTTATTTATGAAACTCTTAAAGCATGGCAGCACTTAGGTTTTCTTTCTTCTTTTTTATGAACTCATTAACTAGTTTGACAGGGCTAGATAGTATTTACGTCTTTTTGTTAAGATGGAGTTTTTAGTTTGAATAAATAAATTTCAATAAATGCTTAATTAAAATTTTCTCATAAACTAAAATTGAAAAAATTAGTAATTTCAAAAACGAAACAATATTTTCCAAGAATATAAAATGAATTTAATAGTAATGTAAGAATTGATTTTCATATACTTTAGTTAATAATTAATTAATTAAACGAATCTTTTATTTATAAAATATTTTATTTCTAATTAACATTTTACCTCTAATGGGACTGGCTTTACTATATCAGATTATTGTTTGCCTTTACTTTCAAGGATAGCTAAATCATTAGGCAGATTTTCTTACCTATTTTTATTCAAAAAGATCACATTTCCATCATAATCTTAAGTAAATTCTTTGTTTTTTAGTTGTCTTTATTATTCTTTTTTTCTCTCATCTACCTCGAGTTCTTCTTACAGCATTTTTTACTTTCTTGCTTACTCAATTTGCCTTTCTTTGTCTTTTTTTTCTCTTAAATCTCTTAGCTTTTCTGATATTGGGTCATCTTACTCTTCCTTTTTCTTTCTTTCATACTCAACATCATCCCCAACATAAACGACTTAAAACTCTTCTTTTTTTTGAGATGCTTGTTACTAACCTTCTTAATCTTCTACATTTATATTATCAATATTTGGGAGAGCAGATCTACTTAAACTGTTCATGGACTATCCTAAGAGTTAGCTGGCTGTCATAATTTTTTTAATTTTTTTGATTGCTGAAATCTATATTTAAAAAAATAAATTTAACTTAAAAATAATTCATTTTACCTTTATCTATTTATTTATTTAGTATAGCTTTATAATAAATATTTTTTTAGTCTTAAAAAGTTTTTAAACATTTTAATATAAATTGATAGTCTATGTTTTATAATTAATTATATTTATAAATGTTAGCTATTTCTTTAATTTGTATGTATTATAATTAAGATCTATAAAAAAAGATATATGAATTCATTTTAAATTATAGATATTAACTTTAAAATGCATACTTACTTTGGATACTTTAGAGATAGATGAAATCCTACTATAATTACTTTTTGTTTCACTTTAATCGTCATTTTCTACTTCTGGGTATATAATCTTATACTCAGTTTTTGCACTCAAGCATGATCTGCTATCTAACTTTTTATTAGGCTTTTATAATAAAACAATTTTTTAACATTATCAAAATTTATTATGCTTATTTAAATGTATAATTTGCTCCATTTTAGATTTATATAATGAACTTTACTAAATACTTAAAATGCTTTTTGCTTTGCTTATTTAAATATTTCAATAAATCTTAAATTTATTTACTGGTTCCATCTCTTGGGTAAGTTAATTTTTAATACTTTCTTAATTTTCCCCTGGATCATGACTAAGATGGTCTTAAAGAAGCATATTATATGTCCATCTACACAAATCTTCTGCTTCATAAAAAGGCGATCTTTCAAGTAAATATTTATCATATAATATATTGGCTCCACATGTCACTAAGTGGTCAATAACACGCGAAACTTGTTAGCAAGATTAAAATGATAAAATTTAATTTTCATAGAAAAACTATTCATTGTAGACTTAATTAAAATTGCTTTTTGGAGTTCCATATGGACTTATTGATAAAACAGAATTCTTTGGAGTTCCTGGAGAACTACTCATGATAAAATCTAACTAACTAAGTAACTAGCTAACTAAATTACTTACTATTTGCTTATTTTTTTGCTATTTATGATTGATATTAATAATAACTTACTAAGTATTGTATGTATGTATAAAGCAGTAATTTATCTTTGGCAAACAAACAAGAAATTAAATTGCTAAAGGATTTGAAACTATAATTATATTGATTTTACAGTAAATTTTAATGATAAATAATAATCTAACAATTTAAATAGCAAACAGTTGATTTAGAAAGACTGACAGATACTAGGTAAATATAAATGTAATTATCAATTTTTATATTATTTATAACTTAAATTTTCAAATATATTTTAATTTTCAAAATTGAAATGTTATTTTTAGGTGTTTTTATTGATATAACTTAAAAAAATAAATTATAATTCTTAAATTATAAAAAATTATTAGGTTTTAAAATAAAAATTATTTTCTATTTGTTGAAAAATAAAAATAGTAATTACTATCTAATTCTACTTGGATTATTTTTCAATGAATTAAAAACTTAAAAATTTAGAATTTCATTTATTTAATCTAACTAATAAATTAGTATATTTATAATAAATTAAATGATATTTTAGTAGCTGAAATCTAATACACTATTTATTTGGTAACTACTTTGAAGAAAAATATTTTAAATTAATACAAAATAAATCTGAACAAATAAATAAATAATTTAAAAATATTTCAAAATATCAAATAAAATTAATATCATAAATCTCAAAACTATTAAATTAAATATTTTAAATTTGCTAATTTAAAAATAGAAAGAAAAAAAAAAGGACTTTTAATATAATTTAAAAATGTATTTATTATTAATTTAAGATATTATTAAATTGTTTTTTAAAACTAAAATATTTTTAAAAGAAGTATTTATAGATTTTTATTTATTAGAAATATCAATTTAATCATTAAAAAATTATGAAATTATGTATTCACATTTTACAAAAAATATAATTTATTGATTGATTGTTAAGTTTTTTATTTATTTGAAATATCCTCAAATGTTAAAAGTATTTATTGCACTTTTATTTGATATCTTTGAAAATTTGATTTAAATATATTCATTCTTTCAACCTCCTAATATTTGTTTTAAATAATGAATTATTTATAATTTAGAAGATTGAGAATAAAGATAAAATAGAATTTTTTTTTCAATAAGCTTTTAAAAGGTTTTAAATTTTATACAAATGATCTAAAAATTTTAATTTGTAGATGTTTAATTTAAATAAATTTGATGATGTTTGTGGATTCTTAATTAGTTAATAAATAAATTAGTTAATTATTTATTTAGATCTTTGCAAACAATAAAAATTTGAAATTTGATATTAATTATTCAGTAATTATAAAAATTGTATATAAATACTTTAAATAGGAATAAGTGAATATTGATTATTTATTAGTAGTAAAAATGATAGGGTAAAATAAATGAATTTAATACAATTATGATAATTAAATTCAATATATTTATAAAATAGCAATAACGAAGTTAGAGCGAACCTCATAGGTGACGGATTTTAGAAGACCCCAAAAAGAAACGGATGTAATACCAATTGATTGATTGATTGATTGATTGTTTGATTTATTTATTTATTTATTTTAAATATATTTAAAAATCATAATGAATAGATGTTAGAATGAATGTTATTGGAGAGATTTCTCAAGCTATTAACTTTGACAATGATAACCTGTATGTATAAATTAATGATAAATTAACAGGATCGATCAGCTATATTTTATTTATTTATCCACTATAGTTATATTGAATGGGAGTTTTTTTTACCTCCTCACTGGTAGCCAGATTATGAGGATTTGCAAGAAAATATGCCAATTTTATCAGGACACATTAGCGAAGATATGAAAAGGGATTGGAATTTTTTGTAAATATCTAAATTTAATTAATTAGCTATTTCATAATTGTTAAATATATTTAATTAGCTCATCCATAACCCAAATAGCTTCTCCTATTTAATTAAAAAACAAAGATGGTTAAAACGAACTCATAACTAACTTCTGCTTCCCATTTGATATTTAGGTTTAAACTAAACAATAAACATGTAAATCTATCTTATTAATTATTTTAGAGTATTAAAGAAATTAATTATATTTATTCAAATATTAGTTGAAGAATTATCCAAATTCCCTATATTATTCCTTACATTAAGTTCAATAGATTCATGGGGTAGAAAAACCCTTTAAGGTAAATATATGAATTATTCTAATTGCATTTATCAATGTTATTTTTTCAATTATCATTAAGGATACACATATTGTGAAGTTCCAAGAAAACCAGGATACCATGAAATAACTGTTAAAGCTTGGGCTCCTGCTTAAAGTATTTACTAAAAAGTACATGAGTTTTTCCTAGGAGGACAAACTAAGCTTTATGATATAAAAAAAATAGCTTAGAATTCAATTTTAAATGATGAAGTAAATAAATATCTTTTAGATAATTAAAAAGCTCTAAATAAATATTAAATACTAACTATTAACAGAATACATAAAGCGCTATTGATAGATTTAATCTAACTACTGAGAGTAAAGGAGCTGTTAAATTAATATTTAATGTTGCATTTTAGTCAAAGTAATTAATTATAAATGATGTCAAAAACAAATATTTAGTTAGTTATTAAATCATGTTTAAATTAGAAAACGTAAAGAAGAATAAACTGCCATTTACCATGCAAAAAGATTAAATCTCAAAAAGTAATAATAAAAGTTAATAGATCCATCTGAAATCGATTAGCAAGGATAACAAGATAACTCTTATGCACCTGTTATAAAGTAATATTTTTTATCAAGTTAATATATTTTAATTACAATAATTAAAAAGAAACGAGTATACAACTTCACTAAGATATACTACGTAGAAATTAAATTGATATTTATGATTATGCTTAAACAATTAAATTGTTTTATCAACTAATTAACTAACTAACTAACTTATTCTATTAAAATTCTTTAAAATTATTGTATATTATTGTAAAATTTATTTATTTATCCAAATAAATATTTATTTTGTTAGTATTTTGTTTATCATTAACAAATTTTAGTTTTAAAAAATAAAATAATAGCAAAAAATAATAAATAAAATTAATTTATGTTATATAAAATTTGATTAAATAATATAAAAAAAAAAAATTTATTTTTTATTTTATTAATTTTTCAATTTAAATAAGATATCTTAGAAGATTCGTAGAAATATTAAAATTAATTATTATTGATATTATTTAGTAATTCGTTGAAAATCAACTATTTTATATTATTAAAAAGACCAAAGAGTAAAATGATATTTAGATAATTTGGTGCATTTTAAAGTAAAATTTAATTCTGCTTTTCTTCAAGCTCTCGTGGTTTTTTGAGAAGCGGTATAGGCTATAGTATAGATAATATTCCTGAATATGTGGATAAAGCTATTCAAAATTAATAAGTTATAGATAATTTACAAAATTTGACAGATAAATATTTAATTGCAATTAGTAAGAATGACAAATAGTCTATATAGTAATTAACTAAAAAGAGTTTATGTGAAAAAACTAATTAGTGGATTGATGAAGTTTCCAAAAAGGGAGAGAGCTTTTAGCTATTAGGTACAGATAATCAAAGTGTTTCTCTTTAATGTTTCACAAGTTATAGCTATATTTATGGATTGGCAAATAACTTGGATAACAAATAGTTCGAATCTCACTCAATTTATAATTTAAATAAAAACTTTTTGGTGAAAAGGTTGTTATTCATAGAGGGTTTTAAAGCTCACCAATTATTAACAAAGAAATCTATTTTAGTAGAAGCATTTGTATACAACACTCTTAGACTTTCAATCAAAAAAGATACTAAGCAATAATAAGGCTAATAAAATTTATAATATGCAGGTTATAAGATTTGTTTTGTTTGTGATGGAAAATACGAATAATAAACTCCCTATATATTGCTTGATAATGATAAAAAGTAATTGTACAGCCAAGAAGATAAGCAAAAGTCTTTCGAATTAAACTGTTGGAAAATAGCAGATATCAACGATTGGATATTTGGTGATCTTTAGTAATAAGATTTTTAAAAATGGGCTTTCCAAGCAGTAATGGATTAATAAAATGAATAAATAGCTGACTTAAAATCAACTTAAACAAAATGATTATCAATATTTTTATAAATTGTTTGTATATAAAATAAATTACTATAATTTAATTTATTATCAATTTTAAATATTTGATTTAAATATTTTATTAATTATTTAATATAATATAATTAAAAAGAAATTATTTTATTTTATTAAAAGCAAATATTTTATTTAGATAATTTGTTAAATAATAAAAATGATTTAATTTAATTTAAATAAATAAACTAAATTATAAATTTAAGAATATTTAATGATTTAGTTTAATTTGAAAAAAATGTAAAAATATTTTTGATATTTTAAAATATTAATTTTACTGATAATCAATCTTAATCGTGTTATAAATTATTGAAGAAATTAATTTGTTTATTAAAAATATGTTTCAAAAATATTTTTTTCTATGAATAAAAAGTAGAATTGATTTATTTATTGATTTTGATATTAAATTAATATTTATTTTTAAATGCAAACTAGTTTATTTTTCAAATTTTATGTTTAAAAAATATAATTTTTATATTAAATACGTTGTAGAATTAATCCATCAATGAATTTTTTTTATTTTATTTCAATAATCAGTAAAACTAGCCAAAATATTGCTATTTTTTTTTGCAAAAACTTTTCTAAATAGATCCAACAAAAATCCTTTTGAATGACTTGTAATAATAACATGGGTTAGGAAAGGAAGAAGGTAATTTTTTCTGGCATTTTTATAAAAAAAGGTTTATGATATGGTTGCTGTAACATATGAGAATACAGAATGAGAAATAGAAAAATCTACACTTAAGTAAAATTCAATTTTAATTTCTAAAAAGGGGGAAAAAATCTACATCACTAAATTGTTAAACTAAGCCAAGCAATTAGTCAAATGGTATTAATTAGTTTTAAATTATTATATAATAAATTTATCCTTTGTGTAAAAATACAAAGGTTAGTGTGTCTGTTTATTGTGTTTACAATTTAAAAAATAAATCTCAGGTGAAAATTTAAAATTTAATATGAGCTCTTAAAATTATAAATGTAAGTTTATCCTTTATATTTTGCAAAGTTTTTGTGGTTTTAAATTCAATTATAGAGAAACAGTTAAGCAAATAAGCATAAACAAAATTTAAAATTCTAATGTGAGCTGTAATTAATTATATAATAAATCATTTGTTAGAGAAGACAAAATATCTTTTGAGTATTATTTCAAGATATTTATTTAATTTTGCGAATACTTTTTTATTGAGATTACTTAATATAGATATTCATTTCTGCGTATTAATTTATATTAATTTAGTAATTTTTCGTTCACACTCACGTTTCTAATTTTTAAAAATTTCAGAAAGAATTTTAAATCTTTTCATGAGGGGGAATTGGCAGGAAAGATCTATAATGAAATAAAATAACAAATATTTTTACATATAAAAATAAAATTAATGAATGAAGAATCTAGTTTTAAAATGAATTGAACTCATTCTTCTATATTTAGCATGACTTATAAATAGAACTATATTATTTCGCAATTTTACAAGGCTTTCAAGTTAGTTACATTACAAACAAACTAGCAGAATTTTTTAGGTTTTTTATAAGGCATTTACTTATATGTTTTATCATACATAAGAAATTCAATTTGGCGAATTTTATACTATATGAAGCATTCATTGAAATTAAAATTTGTAGTTCCGTTTTTTTATTTTTTTGTTAGTTTTAAATGTTCTTTAAAATTGTTAATATCTAAATTGCCAGGTAGTTAATATATTAAGCTTTTTCTTAAAACTTAAATAATTTTCAACAATTCACGCTAATACAGCACTCTTAGTATAATCTCTTAAAGTCCTATCTGATAAAATGATATAATCGAATTGTAAGAAGCTTCCAGAGTTTTAGTAGTAAAAATGTAACTAAAATGAGGATGTTTCATATTTGAAGAGAAAAAAATCGAGCTAGAGAATATCTATCTATAAATAAATAAATAGAATAGAAAATAAATTTTAATAGTAAGTCGGAAGGGTTTGTCAATAATTGTTGATGAAAAAAATTAGATTGAAAATAAGTAGGAAAATAAAAAAGAAAGGAAAAGAAAAGGGCAAACAAAATCAAACTAATGTATTCAATTACATTGATTATTATTTAAGTGATGGGTTGTTCCTTATAATAAATATTAAAAATTGTCTATGCTGCATAAAAATGCCTTGTTAAGTAGGAAAAAACTGTTTATTAATTAATTAAAAAGTGGGAAATAAAAATATGATTGATTGATTGAGTCATTCATTTTTTGAAAGTAAATTACAATGCATACAAAGAGAGAAGCATGAATGAACGAACGAACTTACGAATCAAGAATAAATGAATCATTCACTCATTTATTTATTTATTTATTAATTGATTGATTGATTGTTTTTTGTTTTATTTGAAAAGAAAATAAATTTGAAAATCTTAAATATATATAAATAAAAGATTTAATATTATTATCATAAAACTCAAAAAAATAAAAAAAAAAGAAAAATTAAGAAATGGCTGATCAATTAACTGAAGAACAAATTGCTGAATTCAAGGAAGCTTTCTCCTTGTTCGATAAGGATGGTGATGGTACCATTACCACCAAGGAATTGGGTACTGTCATGAGATCTTTGGGTAAGATTCTTTTCTTTTAAACTCTCCCCTTTCGAAGAAATAACTAATTTTCTTGATCTTATTTTTTCTTCCTATTTTCTTTTTTTCTCTCCTTCAAACAAAAAATAGAACAGAGTTGTTCCTTAAGCAAAGCATCATCTAGTGCTTAGCAAACTCAATACAAAATTCATTCAATGAATATTGACTAGCAACTATTATTAAGATTTTTCGAAATAAATAGGCTTTCTTCTCCCTCCTCCTTCTTGCTTATAAATAAAAATTTCACTTTCTTATAAGCTAATAAATAAATAAAAAAACAAATAGTTATATAATATCTTCAGTCAATAAAATTTCTATACGTTTTCAAGAATATATTATACAAGGCTATTCTATTTATTTTTCCAATTAGCAACCAATCGCATAGCAAATCTTTTAAGAACATACATGAATTATACTAACATAAATAGCATTTAAGGATGCCTTCAAACATATATGCCATAAAATGGCTACATTTTCATCAAAGTAAAAGATATTTCAGGAGCATTAAACGATCATCATTTAAGAGTTGCTTATTTTTTCAATATTTTCAAACGAGTGAGGAAGAAAGCAAAAATATATTTATAAATAAATATTCATGCATGTTAAGGAGATCAGAAAAAATAATAGGAAGTTTAGAAAGATTGAAAGATATTCAACCAACTAACATGATAAATCTCATCAATCTTATAATTTTAAATAAATAGGTCAAAACCCCACTGAAGCTGAACTCTAAGATATGATTAACGAAGTCGATGCTGATGGTAACGGTACTATCGATTTCCCTGAATTCTTAAGTTTGATGGCCAGAAAGATGAAAGATACTGATACTGAAGAAGAACTTATTGAAGCCTTCAAGGTCTTCGATAGAGATGGTAATGGTCTCATTTCTGCCGCTGAATTAAGACACGTCATGACTAATCTCGGTGAAAAGCTTACTGACGAAGAAGTCGATGAAATGATTAGAGAAGTAATTTATTATTTATTTATTAAATAATCTATATTATCTAGCTTCCATTTTTTAACTTCATTAAAATTAACTAATCAACCAACATTTTTTCAGAGAACTTCAAAACTTTTAGTTAGTTAATAAGTTAGATTAGTTTTTCAAACAAATAAACATGAAATAAATTAACATATCAGCCACTACATCGCAAGCAATTTGTTAAACGAACAAATAGCTGCTCCATGGCAAAACAATAAATAAATAAATCAACACATAAAATGGAGTTTAAACAAACAAGCTTTTTAATCAATCAATAAATCAACTAACCAACTAAACTAATTTCATGTATTTAATAAATAGGCTGATATTGATGGTGATGGTCACATTAACTACGAAGAATTCGTTAGAATGATGATGGCTAAGTGAGCGTGCAAACAACTTTAAAAATAAAATATATATCATTCAATATTGAAAAACTTTACTTTTTTCATACAATTATATATAAAACTAATCAACATTAGTTGCATTTCATATCTATATATCAATTTGTATTAACGCTTACTTATTGATATTCATTCTCATTCACTCACTAACTACATAATTAGCTAGATGCTTACTTTCTTAATAATTTACTCATTTTTGTATTCTAATTTGCATACATTATTTTTACAAATAAGCAAGTAAAATAAATATTCATCTTCTTTTTCAATTTTATTTGCTTAAAAGAACTACTTCTTATCATAGCACTAACTTATGTTGATGATCAGATTCGGTTCATTTTCGTTTCTTATTAATTAATTAAATAATTCAAATTATTAAAGATGCTTGCTTGCATCATACTTTTTATTCAATTTTTAATGACTATCTATATTTGTTTTTAAATTTTTAACAACTAAATAAATTTTAAAATTGCGTAAAGCTTAAATTTTATTTAGATTAAAAACTTTATTTATTATCAATAACTTGATAAGAAAGGCAATTTTTCAATGTATAAATTTTTTTCTATTTCATGTAAATAATTGTTTAAATAGATAGTTGATGCTATAGAATAACTATTAACCTTATAATTATCTGTATTTATTGATCTTTTATTTATTAATATTCCTATTTTAAAAAAATTATCTTTTTTTTTATAATATATAATCTAAAAAAATACAAGTTAAATTTATTGATTTATACATTTCTATTTTAATTTCATGATGTTCTAATTCTAAAAAGATATTCTTCTGTATTATGTTTGTGATAAAAATACTGACATTTTCTTATTTTATCCATGTTTTTAAGTTTATAAATATGAATATTTGTAATTTTATTTTAGGATTACTATTGGATTTTAAAATTGAAGATAGATTTCTTTCAAAATTTAAAAATCAATAAAGAAAATTATTTTTTCTGACTATTTTATATTTCAAAATCTCAGAATTTCAAAAAAGAATGTTGTAATAAATTCAAAAAAAGACGATTTGATAACTCTATTGAAAGAATTGATTATATTTGATAATTTTAAAATAAATTATAAGCAATAAAGTATGGCCTATCAATCTAAATTTGTAAATTTTAGATAATAAGATGAATGAAATCAATTTGCCTCTTTTTTGAAATTTATATTTTAAATTAGTTTTTTAACATAAAAAAATATTTGCTTAATTTCATCAATGTAAGAAATAAATCATATTTAAGCAATTTTACTATTATTTGTAGTCTATCTATTACTTTTTTCTATTAGGTTAATATTTTTTCATAACAAAAAAATGTAATAGAGGAAAACATTTTGATAATAAAATGATATATTTATAAACTTAGTGCAGAAGTTAAGACAATCTTATGTGAAAAATTTTATTTAGATATTCTAATTTGGTAGCAATTAGCATATCAATCGAAATTAAAATTTAAAAAATATTCACATTTATGATAAATTCTATAGATTGATCAGATTCATAAATCAATAAATAAATAAATAAATATTTGATTATCTTTTTGATTCTAATTGATTAGTGATCAATTAAAGTAGAGACAAAACTTAAAAAGCAAACAAATAAAACAACATAGTAAGTATGAATTTATCAATCTAAAAAGTAATTCAAGATAAAGGTGATTTGATAAATGAAAAAAATACTGTTTGCTATTTAACGATAGCATTCTCTAAGTTTAATTAGGTTTCTTTATATTATTAAAAAGCTAGTAGCTTGTTTTTGCTTAATGCCTCAGATTAAAATGGAAACTTTATTCAAATTACTTAAACTGCTCAAAAAAGAATTATTTAAATGCTTAAATAACATATATTGAGTGGATTTTAGAAAAAAAAGGACTTAGAAAAATAATTATCAGGTTTGTTAAGCTTTGATAAATATAAAAGTGTTTTAAGCTTAAAAAAGTGCTTTTTATAGGGTGGTGGTAACTTTCTAAGTAACAGTAATGAAGAACTAAAACAGAAAAAAGATTAAAATATTATCGAATGGCTGGAAGAGAAAGAAGATGAAGATTAATAGAAGAGCTGCATTTATGTAAAAGATTGCATAAAAGAATTAAACGAAATGATTGCACACATGACTGAGCTTAGATCTAATACTAAGACATATTCTTATTAAAAGTTTAAGAATCTAAATTAAGCATTTTTTGAGAATCCGGAATGTCATCCACTTTTATTATAGTTTTTAGAACTCTCTGCTGATCGATTATTGTTTTACATGAATTAAGAGAAGTTTATAGTGACAGATAACTAAAAAAATGAATTTATTAAGTTGATTGATGATCAAATTCAGGTTTTATAAAGCTTCTAGCAGCATGAGCCTCTTCAAAATCATATCTTTTATTTCAAACTGATCAGATATATCTTTACTACTTCCAAATCTATTGAAACAACTTCGTAATTGATAGTAAAATCTGGTTAAACTCTTTATTAAGTACTAACTGTTGCTTATAAGTTAGATAAGGCTGCCCTAAAATAGCTCATTGATAAATGCAAGAATGCTTGCAGCTCATATAGAAATTGCAAGAAAATTGTAGGAATAATTCAATATAATGAAAATATTCTCTGCTAATTAGAAGAAAAACTATCTTTAAACTCTTTTTCAACTCAATCATCATTTTCAAGCTAAGACTACTCTAGAAAATCTACTAGTGCTTCTTCGTATAGTGACAGTATGCAAAACAGTTTTGATTAAGTGAAACAGTAGAATGCAGTTTAATATGAGCTAGAATTACAAATTAGGCATGAAAACATTGACACTAAGTCTAATTTTAGGATTTAATACTATGCTTTGATGCAAATTGATAAGCTGATTTAAAAAATGAAGGAAGATCCTGGATATCAAATTAATTAGAACAACACTTACTTTTATAAATTTATTAAAAATAATGATAACGGAATAATGAGTTATAGTGAAAGGCAATATTTTTTTAGATAGCTTGAAAATTTTGCATTTGAGAGAAATATTTTGTTGAGATATATTTCCCTTTCGATATTAATTAGATGCTATGAGCTATTTACAAAAAAATGCCCTAATTATCCTCTGCTTTAAGAGATCATTGATGCTATTTATTATAGATATTACTTTGAAGTACATCAAAAAATATACATTCTCATTTCAAAAAATAAAGATTTATTAATGTAAATAAAAAATAAAGATTCATTTGAGAAATAAAACCAATTAAAAAGCATAGCAAATTAGGCTTCAGTCATTATATTAGAATAAAACAATTAAAATAATAATAATTATTATGCAGATTAATTGGATTTCGATCAGTAATCGATGAGCTAACAAAGCTAATAGGAAGATTTGGATATGATGAGAAGTAGGATAGATTAAATAAAAAACACTTAAGACTCTTTTCTTCAAAGCAGAATTGCATGGCAAAATTATATTGACCAGCAATATAACCTGCTTTAAACTCATAAAACAAACTTTTTAGACTTATTTTCAACAGGAAATGCTGTTAAACCTATCTAATAAACCTTATTGGAACTTTATTTTAGAGTAAGAGAAGTATCAAATAAAAGAGCTATAATTGTGTAGGGAGCATCTGGATCTGGAAAAACATAATTATCATTACATATTCATTAGATTTTGATTGAACATAATAAAAAATAAATAGATTCAATGCTTAATTAAAGTAAATAATCGTAAAGTTGCATAGTCAGCTTTGGATAAAAAATGATAATATATACACCAATATTGTTGAAACTTTAAAATATGAATTTAACAAATAAACACGAATTATAGAACTTGTTTGATTCTTAGCTCTCAGAAGTAATGCAGAACCTTGAATATAAAGTGCTTATTATTGATGGCTTAAATGACTAGAACTACAATAATTTATCATAAATTTTAAAAAATCAAATCAAAGATAAGAAAAAATTTATATTCCTCATTACTTCGACAAGCAATTATCAACAAGTTTTTTTATATAATAACTGTGCAACAAAATTTCTAGAAAGTCTAGAAATAAAAATAGCTGATGTTGATGGAATCCAGTTAGAAAAGCTAACAACTTAAATACAAATGAAGCAATTTATAGATATTTACAATCAAAATCAAGAAAAATCATTTAATTACGAAACAAAATAAAAATTCAATAATTAAAAAAATTATCCTACAATTTAGAAAGATGAAATGAGTAAAAAGTTAAGAGAAGCTATCATTGGATGTTAAGATCCATTGCTTATGCAAACCCCTTTATCACTTTATCAAATTTTAACTATTTATAAATAATTTTAGGGTGCAGGAATACAAAAAATGCAAAGCTAAAGTGAAATATTTAAGAAATTCTTTATTGCTTAGTTCTATGGATCATTTAGCTACTTTTAAATAGAAAAATCACAAATTGTCAAAATTTTTGAAAAAGCTTATTTTTTCTTCTTTAAAAAAATAGTAGATTATATGCAATAACAAAATTAAAATTTTATCACTTTAGAAGCTGTGTAAAATAATATAATAAACTTACTATCTCAATACTTAAATAATATTTACAATACGAGCTACTAAAACAATCATATAAATGACTAAGAACATTTTTAAGATTTAAAGGAGTATTTCATTAATCAATTAACTAATTTCTACAATAAACAAATATTCGAAAAGCTAAATTCGTTAGTACTGCTAAATAATTAATAAATCACAGAAAGCTTAACTTTTAAGCAAGAGAGTTACTTCTATTATTTCTTGAGTTATAAATTAGAATGATGAACTTACTTACTATCTTAATATTTATATTACATTTACAATACGAGCTACTAAAACAATCATAAAAATGATTAAAAACATTTTTAAGATTTAAAAGAGTATTTCATTAACCTATTTACTAATTTCTTCAATAAACAAATATCCAAAAAGCTGAATTTGTTAGTGCTGCTAAATAATAAATAAAACACAGAAAGCTTAACTTTGAAGCAAGAGAGTTACTTCTATTATATCTTGAGTTATAAATTAAAATGACGAACTTACTTCCTACAAATAGAATAAATAAATTTGAGTTTTTTTAATTATTTAAACAGTTTTGCTTGTTTACTTTAATAAAGAAAATCTTTCCTTACAAAATTTTTTGTCTATTTAAATAAATGTTTAATAGTATTTTTATGTTTAGTGTGCTTGATTGTTTCTTTGTTTGTTTTTTGCTTATTTTTAAACCTACAGAATCTATTAAATTCTTTCTACCTAATTAAATTAAAGGATATTAAATAATTTTATACTTATCAAAATCTTTTATTCTTGTATGTTTAATTAGCTTTTTCATACTGCAGTTGGTATTTATCTATGATTGACTATTCTAAAATGTTCTTTTGTTGTTTGTTTAGAGCATCTTTTTCTATTATAAATCATAAATAAACATGATTGATTATCTATTTTTGCTGAAATGAAAGTATTGTGAGTAAAATGCTTGTGAAAAACTTTAATTTCAGTGCTATGTTATACTTTTTAAATTACTATGTCTATTTAGGATGGGAAGAAATTTAGATGAAGATTAAATTTGAAGTATCAAAGTAAAATAAAATCAACCATATTTCCATAAGAATCAAGTATTAAATAAGTAAAAATCAGTTTTAGATAAAAACCAAAAAATAAAACTTTAAGCTTTAATTTTATCTTCAAATTTAGTTGATTTAATGTTTAGAATCTGAAAAAAATAATAGAAAAATAAATAGTAGATTTCTTAAACTTTATTTTAAAATATTTGTTCATGTAAGCATGCTAAAAAAATCATATTGTAGACCAAAGAAATTAATTAATTTACATAGATTTTAAATTACTCTTTTTACATAATTCCAATCATTAAAGGTACTATTAAGCTAAAATTTATTTATTTATTTATTTTAAATATGGTAAGATTTATTTTCTCCAAGAATTTTAGAAAATATTTTCAGTTTAAAAAACATAAAAAGAAAGAGAAAATTTTATTACTTAAATTTAAGCTGATATATTTTATGAAAAGCTCATTAATTTTTATAAGTAATAAGAAAGTAAACAAAAACAATTAATTGCTTTAAATAGCAGCAGAAAGAAGTAATAAATAAATCAATAAACATGCAAAGTATTAATCATAAAATTTATCATTTAATTTATTAATCTAAATTACATGTAAAACATCATATTAAGTTCATTAGTTTTTCTAGATAATTGCGCATTTTAATGATTAGAAAAAAAAATATACGTTAATAGGATTAATAGCTCCTGCAAAGACCTTATGATGTAAATTGATTAATAATAGAAGATTTTTATGACTAAGTATTGAGTTTATATTTGCATCTATACTTAAATGTAAATTTTTACTATTTTAATTACTGCTATTGATTTCTTTTAAAACCCTTTCTTCTATTAAATGAATATAATTTTTTTTTTGCAAAAATTTTAATAAAAACAAAGATCAAAAGTTTGTTTTCAGTGATTAATAAGAATACTATTTACATTTATCAATTTAGTGTAAATTTATAACCCAATCAAAATAAGATTAAATAAATAAATAACAAGCATATATAATATAATAAATAAATGGGTTGCGTTTCTGCAAAATCAAATTGCAATTCTAACGAAAATTGTCCTTGCAAAAGAAGAAAAATGTATTTTAATGAAATTGTTTCAGTAAAAGAAATATTTAACTTGTCTAACTACACTCATTTCACTTTACCGCTCAAGTAATTTTTAAAATAATTAAAATTACATCATTTATCATTAAAAATAAAATAAATTTATTGAAAGCTTCTTTTATTTCTGTTCTAACATATTTATCATTATTCTTAAACAGATGCTATATTTAACCATAATGTATCAAAGCAATGTTGGGTGAAGTTAAGTGGCTAAAATAACTAAAAGAGTTCACTCTAGATGCAAGGTATTTAGTTATTTATTTATTGCTTTCAAAATAATTAGTTAAATAAAAAGATACAAAGAAATATTTACTAAAAAATAATAAATATTTTGTAAGCTTTATATGAAAACATGAAATATAATTTTTATAAAACTTTTTTATGTATAAATTAGTAATAAAGACATTGGCAATGAAGGCTTTGAAATGATTGCTAAATCTTTGTCATATTTTAGCCACATCTAAAAGCTGAATCTCCATTTATGGTAGAATATTATACACTCTAATTATTTGTTTATACAATAACTTTATCATGCTCTAGAATTGCTGAATAAAAATTGACATTCTTTTTTAAAAATAGTTTCAACTTTATCACAGATAAATACATGAGTAAATTTTCTAAAAACATGATCCACCTTAAGAATCTTACTCACTTAAACATTGACTTCTGGTAAACTTTTTATTGAATCAAAATATTTTTATTATTCAATTTAATTTACTCAAACCCTCCTTGTAATCAATATCCTTAATTGATTTTTATTTTTATTTTAAAGGTCAAACACAATTCAGGATTAAGGACTTATACATTTTAGTGAAGGCTTGTCATAGTTAACTAATTTAGAAGAACTTTAGTTAAATTTAAGGTATTTTTTAAAATATATTTTGTAATCCATTAAACTTTAAATTATTTTTAATCTTAGCAACACTTCTATAACTCATGTTGGGTCTAACAAATTAGGAGAAGCTCTCAAACACCTTACAAAATTATCTAGTCTCAAGCTATGCATTGCGTATTAATTAATTTATAAATTAAATGTTGAGATATGTTAAGCTTGATAAATTGAATGGCTATTTATTAATCTATTTTTAATTATGAATATAGCTAGAATCAACTTAAAGAAGAAGGTGTCTTGCAACTAAGCGAGGCTATTAAGACTCTTAAATCTCTCAAATTCCTCCAGATTGACTTATTGTAATTATTTATTTATTAGCTAAGAATTCTAGTGAATTCCTAATTTTTAATTTTTATTCACAGTGACTGCAATTTGAAGTCAATAGATTAACTCACCAGCTCATTTAAAGTTACACAAAATATTCAAAACATCAATCTTAACTTAGGGTAATTCATTTTAATCGTAACCAAATCAATAAATTTATAAATTCATTTGTAAAATTAGTCAAAACAAATTATCAAACAGCGATATCAGAAAATTGAATGAATAATTATGCAAAATAAACTCGCTTGAACAGATCTTTTTAAAACTAAAGTAGAGATTTTCTTTTAAAATAAATTGACTTTTAAATAAACTCATTATTTTTCATTTAAAAGAAACATAGAAATCGACTAAACAGACGACATTGTTATGCTGAGAGCTTTCCCCAATTTAAAATAAAAGGAAATATTAACCAACACTATTGATACTGATAGTGATGATGATGAATGTGAAACTAAATCTTCTTCTCCACAAAGTTCTGAAAATTGAATAACTATTTTTCTAAAAAATAAATAAATAAACAAACAAACAAATAAACAAATAAATTAAGAATCTCTTATCTTATCCTCAACATATAAACAACTATTTACTTATAATAACTGTTTACATTAATTTTCTGCTATTATCACCATTATAATAGATATACCATTAAAAAATACTTTGAGAAATAAATAATTATCTTAATAAAAACTTATACAAAAATATAAATTAATTAATTAATTATAAACATGAATTAAACTTAGCTAGCAATAGCATTTAATCAAATATGTACAAATTAATAAAAATTTAAAGTGAAATAACTATATAAAATACATATTTATACAATTTATATTCAAATAACTTAATTTATTATTTTATTTATAAAAAATATATCTTTCTTTGAAACAAGTTTCATATTTTAAACTCGATATTTAAAAAATAGAAATATAATTAAAATTTATCCAATAAACTAACTAACCTAAAAAATTTATTCTAAATGATAAATATTATATTTAATTTCTACTCTTTTACAAATTTTAAATAATACTTTTAATCTACGTTATGGTTTGGAGTTATTATCATGAATAATAAACTTTGATCATAAAATCTCACCATTAATTCAAATTCTAAATCTTTAAAAAATTGTTGTCATAAAATTTTGTTTTGTCAAATATTTAATTTAATAAAATGACTTTAAAAATGAATTGGTTTAAAATGAAAGCAAATAAGCTTACAGAATACTTATAAATATTAATAGACAACAAAATTAATAAGTAATTATTTATTTATTTATTATTTTTATATAATAGTAATTTATTTATTTGTTTATTAAAAAATATTTAACTTATTTTTCATACTTTTTATAATGAATTGATTTATTAATTTATAAATTAATTATTCAGTGTATTAAAATGATCAAAACTTTTAGTTGTCTATGTAGATATTAAGTAGCTATTCTAAAGGAAGTTTCTCATGATTGTCCAATTTAACAAATTCAATATACTTTTTAATATCACCACCTAAAATTTCTTTCATTTGCTTTGCAATGTCTAATATTTTGCTGTTCACTTTTCCATTGTTTTCTGTTTGTTTTTTAAAAATTGTTTTAATATTTAATTAATTCAATAATAATTCAAAAAATTACATGGATCACTTATTGAGATAGAAGGTCTTTGATTTTGTTAGTTATTTTGAGAAGCAGCATTGTTATCGCCTTAAACAATAGATTCTTCTTAGACTACTAATGTGTACCTCACTTTAGGACCAAAGTTGATTGTGGGCTTTTCAGGTATTTCTTGAACGAGGCTCCATATTTCTTGGTATTTATTTGGTTTCAAAGGAGCTTCCAAAGGAATTTAAATCTCGATAACACCTTAGGGTTTAAGTTATTCCAATTCAATTTTTTAGTCTTTGTGAGGTCCTTGCAAGCACTTAAAGTATGTGTATTTAGGCCATGATGTTATTCCACTATTTTCAATCTTGAAGCTCCATACATAAGGACTTCCAACTTCTACCTTTAGTTCTGCAGGAGGATCAGTCTTAAGCATAGCTCTTGGCTTTTTCTTTTCTAAGTCAGATTGATATAGGGAATCATTTATCTGTGAAGAATTTAACTTGGAATTTGAGTCTGATTATTTGATAAAATCTTCTTTTCTTTCTTCCAATTTATCGTCGATTTACATTAAATTATTATTCAATTAATTCAATTTATTCATATAATCTTGTGAAGAAATGCCTCTTTACTCTTAATCATTCTTAGGGACTAGGTTATAGTTACTCAAAAGAATTTTAATTTTTTATTCGACCACATCTTCAATCATCTTTTTAAGCTCGTCTAAAGTTAATTAAATTTTTTAAGATGAGTTTAATTCTAATACTTTTTAATTTTCTTGGTCTTTTTGCTATAATATTTAATCTTATATGTTATTTAATCCAGCATCAGAATTTCTCTTGCTACTTTATTATTTTATTTCTTAGTTTTGTTTTTCTTTTTGCTCTTGCTCTAACTCTAAATTATTTTATTATTTAACTGGATCTGCTTATTCTCTAGAAAGCTCATTTTATCTATTCTGGTTCTATTCAGCAATCTGATCTTCTTTATTTTAATCTTTGTTTATGACAACGCTCTCATTTAAATCTTCCTCTGCATCTTTTTTAGAGAATTAAATGATTCTAGACTAGCTCATTTCATCACTTAAATTCTTTAAAACATACTAATCAAGAGCTGGTTTAGTAGATTTAACTATTTTTATTTTCATAGAATTTATATTATTTTCCTTGAAAAAGCCAATTGCTGCTTCAAAATCTTCCTATGACTCTAATCCAATCCAATCTTTGTCGCTATCTTCATATTTAAAAGTGTATTATTCAGGTAATTTCTAAGAAAAGATGGTTCTTATCACAAAAAGAAGCTCATCAAAGCTATTTAATCCTTAAGGAAGTTTATGAATTTTCTTGCCTAGAAATGCTTTAAAATTCATTGTGTTCATTGATTGATTACTTATTTATTTATTACTATTTTGATAACTAAAATTTGCTTTTTTTATATGCTCTAGTTTTTAAAATTTTCAATTTATATTAATTATTAAAAAAATTTGCCAATAATCTTTTAAAGTTAATTAATACTAATGACTTTTGATAAAAATTGCATTTTTCTATCATAGAAACAAAGCTATTTTCCTTCAATTTAATTGAAAAGATTAATTTTTAAATCACTTATTTTTTCATTAGAATCAAATAAGAATTTCTTAATCAATTGATGTCTCCATGAAAATAATGCAAAAGAAATTAAAAATCTATTTCATTTGTCTTCTATTCAAAGAATATATATAATTAATTAATTAATTAAATAACTTCATTCTATTTTCATTGATACTGGCATGCATCCCTACTCTGATTCGAAAATTATATAGCGTCTATTGCAATCAAATTACAGTAATTTAATTAAAGCCCATTTTTAGTTTAGACATATTTGCTTTATAAGTTAATTTTTAATTTCACAAAATGCTATTTTAATAAATTAATAGTCTTAGTATTAATAGGATAGTTTTACACAACAAAAATGGTTTAATTAATTTGGTAATTAAATTTTTACTAACAATTAGAATTATTTTTTTATAAATGTAATGATTAAAAAAATATATAATATACCATATATTATCACTTATTATAATTAAAGAATTTTTAGAAAGTGTTTGATCAAATTTAAATTAAATGAATTTAGTATATAAAACAAAAAATCATTAAATATTTCTTCCCTCCCTTGGTCTTTCTTAAAATTATTTTCTGGCTTTAATAATAACTAAAAGTTGATAATTTCAATTTTAAATACAGAGTATGTTCTTATAAGTTAATATTAAATTTTAAAATGCAGTTTTTAATATAGGTTTATTTATAAAGTCATGCATTCCAGACTCTATGCATTGATTATAATCTTCCTATCCTACATAAGAGGTGCAAGCAATTATAAGAGGGATGTTATTATACTGCTAACTTTTATAAAATTGAATTATTTCTTAAACTGTTTCGTAGCCGTTTTTAACTGGCATTTCTATGTCCATCAAGATCATTTGAGGTGAATGGCAGCAATTTTAAAAGAATTGAGATTTAATGAACTAAATAGCTTAATTACCCTCTGAAAACAAAACAATTTCAAATTGAAATTATTAAATAATTTTTTACATCGCATATAAATTGAATTGGTTATCATCAACTATCATTATTTAAGGGCATCTACATTTTATTTTTTTGTTCTAATTAAATTCAAAAATTTAATCAAGTTATTATTAAACGGTTTATTTTTTTTCATTTTTATTCATTTCAGAATAATTCTCAGTGTCAGCAATTTTATTACAACTTAGTTGAGATTTTTAACTTAAACATTTTTCGAATTTTTCATTTGTAAGTGATGATGTTGTGAATTTTTAATTGGATAAAAACAATGTTTTGATTTTTTTTGAGCTTACATAAGATGTGAACCCTTCTTATTCATGTAGAGAATTATCATCTTTGATGTCTATTTGTAAATTAGAATTTTAAATCGACTTTCTTAAGGCTTAATAATTTTGATATTATATAGAAGCACGTTGTATTTTTTTACCTATACTTCCTTTATCAGATGATCCATTTTTCATTTCAGAGTCTGTGTTATTTGAAAAATTTGAGTTTGGAAATCCTAGATCATACTAGTACTAATTAAATACTTAAGCAGTGTTATTTATTTTCTTATTCTCATATGTTTAGTTTTATGAAAATATTTATTAGGTCATTTGATCAAATTTATTAGTATTCATATGGCTAACATCTTGTTTATTTTAACAAAATTATGGACTTTATAATGGACTCATATAAGTCTAATGTTTAACAGAAGCTGCATGAAGGGATTTATGTGAATTACTCTTAATCTCATTATTTTCTTCTTCCTAAAAGCTTTTATGGATTTTAATTTAAAATATTTTACCCAAATTAAGCTTTAATTATTAAGTATTTGATGTATCTTCTATCACTTAAGTAGAACTTAAATTAGAATGATCTTCCTTATATTTTCCCTTATTAATTATACTGTGCACTTCTAATTTAGAATCGTTTATAGTATTTACAATGTTATTATTTAGATGGTTATCAAAACTAATATTAAAATTACGGTCTTCTTACACAAATGCAAAAGTAGAATTATTTTATTTTTCTAAAGAGCTAATATCGTTTTCGTTAATTTAATTAGTAAGACATATTTATTATTAGTTATTTTAATTATTTGAAAAACTATTCTTCTATTCATATTATTAAGTAATTTACGAACATATTTAAATTTCAGCTGGTATTAAAGAATTTTTTGTATTTCTACTATAATAAGTCTTAATTTCATTGATTTTATCTACGTTACTATTAAAATCTTCAACTAAAATACTGAATTTAGAACCTACGCCATATTCTGATTCCACAGAAACACCTCCTTCGTATTATTCACAATTTACCAAACCTTTAGCTATAGAATTAGATATAACCAAACCTAAACCACAGCCTTGATTATTCAGTTATTCATGTTCCTTGCTATTGTATTAAATCTATTTTTTATAATTATAAATTTTTTATTTATTTATAAATTTATTTAATTTAAAAATTAATTATTTTACTTTATTACAAAAGCTGAATATTTAATTTAAGTTATCTTTAGAAATACCAATTCCACTATCTTTAACATATAGCTGGTAAATGCACTTACTGATTTACAGAAAGCCCAGTTCGATTTGTCCTGATTTAGTGAATTTCAAAGAGTTTGATAAAAAATTAAGTAAAATTTATCTAATTCTATTTGGGTCTGAGCATATAAATTAGTTAATTTTTTAATCATATATTATTATAATTTCTAAATTTTTCATTTTAGCTTATATGCTTACAAGCTTGCTACAATCTTTTAAAAGATTAATTACATTAAAGTCTAAAAAAGAATATTTAAATTTGCCGCAGTCCATTTAAACAAAATCCAATATATCATTAATTTAGTTAAGGAGTAGTTTGTTTGAGAAAAGAGCTGGATTGATATATTCTTCAATATAAAATTAATTTATTTCTTCCAAAGAGAGTTCATCTTTCAGTACTTCCAGCATTGATATAGAGCAGTTTAATGGAGTTCTTAGTTCATGAGAAAGTGTAGCAAATGTTTTCATTTTTTCTTTTTGGAGTTCTTAAACCTTTTATTAATAGAGATCTTTCCAAAGCTCTTAAACTATTATTAACACTAAAGGCTCTTAAGTCTTTTAATCTTCTAAAAATAGATCTATAGCAATAAGCTAAATAATCAAATCTTTGTTTTTATGTCTAATCTAATAATTTTTTAAAAGCTTTATTAAGCCAATTGTCTTTCTTAAAAAAAAAATTTTTACTTAAAATTTAGTTACATTTTCTGTTTGTTGAATATAATTTAAATCATTATTTAGATCTGTTTATGTCTAAGCAATAAATTTTCTAATATTTAAAAACAATTAGATTAACATAATAAATAAATAAGTTAGAAATATTTATTACTGTTGTTAGCCAATTGTATTATTTTCATTTTACTCTAAAAAGTCATTACTTAAGCTGTCCTCAAGTAAACACTGAACGATATTTGTAAAGTTGATTTACTTTTTTGTAATTTCACTCATAAAAATAGATTCTTTGATTTATATTTTAGTTAATATATAATAAAAACTGTAATAAATAATATGATTAATCTTACATGGCCTTATTTTGAAGTGAAATGACTAATTGGTTTTGAAATTAGCATTATAGTCGATTCCTAAAGGTTCGTTAGTTTTGTTGTTTTCAGTTGTAATATACTAATTTCCTTTTTATTCCAAAGCTTGCTGATTATCAGTTTAAGTATGTTGTTAATTTTATATTAATTTTAATATTTTTTCTATACCCTAAAGGTTAATATTTGATTTAAATTCCTATTCTATATTTTTTTCATTAATTTATTATGAAATTTTATTAGTCCCACTTTAATTTTTATCCTTTATTGTTATACTTATGATTTTATCATTTACTTCTCTTTAGCTTTTGTCTAATAATTTCATTAAAAATATTCATAAAACAGTAATAATTCAATTTATTTTATTTTCTTTACTTCTCTAACTGATGTTAATTTCATCATCATTCATTTTTATTTTATCTTCTGGCTAAGTTTGTGTTTAAATTTTAAAATAATTTTATTGTTTTTATGCTTTTGATTCATTTTATTTTTGATTCATTTACATTTATTAGCTTGCTTCATCTTTTTTAAAACACGCTTGTTTCTACTATTGATTCTTATTGTAATGAATAAATTCCTATTGTATTTAATTAGAATTTATAATTTTTTTTAATAAAAGAATAAGATTTTTAATTTGAATAAAATCAATTTAAAAATTAGCTCTTGACAGAATACGAAAAAAAAATATGAATTATATTTTTAATAACTATTGAAAATTTATTTACATTTGATGATAATTTAGAGAGGTTCTACTTGATTCTTGGCATGAAAGTTTCTTTGAATAATCTCTCTTTGGTTGACAAACTTTTTACTTTATGAATTTCTGAAGAAAAAATCTTGAAATATTCTTTCTCTGATTTTTATTAAAGAAAGGATTGGTTTTTGTAAAAAAAATCTGAATATGATTTTTCAAACAAATTTCTAACAGCTACTCCTACTGAACTTAAATTATTATTTAAATTATGAGCACTAAAAACATTTAGTTTGTTATTTTAATATTTTCTCTTAATTACTTTTTCTTGAAAATTCAATAGGCTTTAATCACTTTAGCTATTATATTTAATTGTTTTTTCCCTTTAGTGATTAATTTTAATTAAAGAGCCCTGTAAATCTTTTTTCTCTTGCTAATCTAACTTTTAATCAAAGTTATCATTGACATTCAATTGACCTAAATTTAACAAAATCTATTGCAAATCTCTATTATTTTTACATAGAAAAATTTCTTTAATAGCTGTATTTGAATATAATATTTATTTATCAGAGTTCATCAACGCTACTCCTTCTGGAATAATTTATTAAATACTTTGAAAAAAGGTATTGGATATGTCATTAAGGTTTTTATCACTTTAAATATCAAGTTATTTATCTTCTTTTATTTAATAAAATACCTTACTTTATAAAGTTTGCTAAAAAAATAGTAAGGCATTAATAAAAACGCTCAAATAGTCAAACTCACTTGCCACTTAAAGACGAATAATAGTAAATGCTTATAATCCCAAAATAGAAAAAAAAATAAGTTTAGGATTATTCATCACTTGTATTTCTGACACCATAAATGACTAAATAAACATAGATACCACAACAACCAACTATTTATTTTATTTAATCTGCATAATTACTTCAAAAGTAGAAGTATAGATCATAAAAACCATCAAAGCAATTAAAAACTCTTAAGAAAATTCTTTCGAGATTTAGCATTTATTTAAATTTTAATGTTTGATTTTATGCATAAATTCTTAATTTTACTAATTATTCCTCTTTTCATCTGAATTCTTATCAATACAAAACCATTTTAAGTACTTTAATAGGTTAAATACAAGAAAATCTAATATTAGTATTAATACTAACTTATATGAGTGTAACTAAAGAAAACAAGTAAATGTCAAAGCAATTATAAACAATTAAACAATAAATTGTTTAACAAATTGAAGTTATTTAGCATAATGGAATGGTTATTTAGAATCTTATTTATTTTTATCTTTCTGTATTAATTATTCTTCAACTTACATGCTTATATTTATCAAATAAATAATAACACTATCTCTTATTATCAATAATTTTTTGAAAGATTGTATTTACAATTAATTGTTTCAATATATTTTTGTTTATAAATTTATTATAAATAAATAACATATATAACATATAATAATCTGTAAATTAAAAATCACATACTCTCTAAAAAATAGTAAATTTATTTCATAGCACTATTGATAATTTAAGCAAAAATTTTATCAAATTTTATATCAAAAATTATTTCATTTTTTGAATTAGAAAAAAAAGTACATAATATTTTTAGATTTAATAACAAATGTATTTTTTTAATATATATTGTAAAGTCTATCTTAATTTCTTAAATAAAATATTAATAATATCAAACATTTTTTATTTATTAACATTAAATTGCTTTTAAAAATTTATTTTTATTAAACTTTTGCAAAATTAAGAAAATCAAGGTATATATATTTTGAGTAGACAAATAAATATCCATTTATGCTTATAACAACGGAAGAATAGATAACTTAAAAATAAATAACCTATATTGAATTTTCTATTTTATTTGCTTATTCTATTTGATTTTTCTTAAATTTCATTGAGTTTTTTGTAATTTTTAATTTGCAAATTAAATTTTTAATAAATAAGCAAATCTTTATTAATATAGAAAAAAAAAAAAAAGTGTTTTATTTATTCAATTAATTTTTGATTAGTCCATAAAAAGACACTATAGTTCTTTTGATTAAAAAGCTTAAAAGAACTATTATGAAAAACTATAATTAAAAATTTCTATTAAAAATATCACATCAAAATTAGACTAAATTATAATGGTTTTTATAGTCTTTATTTTACTACTACTGTTTTGGTTTCTGATTTACAGATTAATGAAAAATTATGAAGTCCCCTCTTAAATGGTTTTTTAAACTTTATCCATCATTTAATGGATATTTAGTTTATTATTAAGCCAAGCGATACTTAATTCTAAGTTAGAGAACCAAATAGTATTTAGAACATTTCGATTTATACAATCTGAAATCTAAGTGTATTATGTTATCTTAATTCTTAGTTATATATTATTTGAATTAGTTGCGCAGTAGATCTTAAAATAGCTTCACTCAATTTAGTTAATTAACCTATGCTTGATGTCTTTAACGTTAGTTATACCATTGATACATTAAAATTCTTGGGTTGAAGCTATCTGTATTGTGAGATACTCTAAATTAAGCAAAATACCATTTAACTTAAAAAATATTCTATTAGTTTATGGAATGGAATAAACTTTACCATACCATATTATAAATATGGTTTATTAATTAATCTATTCTTTTAGTAGCCTTGTTATGCTACCTTATTGCCTAATTTTATTTATCTTAAATAAATATTGCGCAAATGTAATTTACATGCTTATATTAATAATTATAATGGCAATCTATACTACAATAAAGATTAATCTACCATAAATTCAGCAAAGCATTCAATATATAAGATAAAGATAAATATTATTTATATTTTGATTTTAGTTAGTTTATTTTTGTATTATATTTCATATATTTTATATTAAATTTGTATTCTTTTCTATATTATATTTTAAGTTATCTATTATAAATTTCATACAAAAAATAAATATGTGCTTTTAAATATTTGAATAACCAAACAAATTTATAAAATACTGAGGATTAATAATAAACCGCATCTTAAAAATATTATAATAATAGTTGTATAAAATATAATAATAAATACACTCCTGGCGGGCGGAGATAATTTTCGCTTGTTTTTTTCAAATTGCTATTAAACCTGAGCCGAATATATTTTGGACCATATAAAAAAAAATATTCTTTTACATTCTTTCACCTCATTAAAATGTTAACTAATAAATATTTAAGTAAATAACTTTGAAAAAATATAAATATTAAAATTAATTCATTGAGTATTATCAAATAAATTTGAATTTGATAGAATTAATTAAGTAGAAGATGAAAGAGATAATTAGATTTTTATTTAAATTATATGAAGAAGTTAATAATAAATTATGATAAAAGACTTTTAATTCTTAATTCAGATTTTTATCTTGTAATATTTTACCTTTATAAATAATTAATTAATATTAGTATTTAATTGATTAAAATAGATAAATATTATATTAGAAGTGATTTTTTAATTTTTGTTATAAATTCTTAGTAACTATCTAAAGAAATTCTAAAAAAAATTTCAAATTTAATTAAAACAAGTGAATTTTTATCAAGTATGAAAAGATCTTTAGTTTTTAAAATAGAATCTAAGTAAAATCACATTAATTTTGTAATAAAAGAAAGTTAGATAAATTAAATATTTTACCTAGAATGTAAATTGATAAATTTATAAAATTTTTTCTAAAATTTTAATTAACTAAAAATGTTCTACACATGCAATAATATACGATTTAATAGCGTTTTATTTATTAATTATAATTATATTACAATTTTTTTCATTTATGTTTCGTTAATATCTTTTATTTCAATTTAATCTAATTTTTACAATTCCTATTATAAATTGCTACATATTTAATAAATACTTTTATTTTTCTATGCATGACAAAATGATACAAATATTCATTTATCAAATTAAATGAAAATACTTTAATTTTTCTTTTTGCTTGTACTTCTTAAATCCTAAATGCTTTAATTTTTTTGATGGATCAATAATAAATTAAATATTTTAAATATAAAATTTTCTATTTAGATATTTAAATAAATATCAGTAAAAAATTATTTTTTTACAGAATTTTACATGAAAAATAATATTGATAGTGTATAAATTAGTATTTGGTTTATAAAATATATCTAATTTTTTGCTATCAATAAATAAAGTAAATTTCCTATCAAACTATTTTATATCAGATTTGATTAAATATTCTAAATAAGTTAACGAGGGAACTAATTACTTCTAAAAAATATAATATTTCTGTTTTAAAAACTATTAAGGCCTGTATGTATTTCAATAAAAAAAATAATCTAAATAGCTACCCTCTTTGATTTTTTACGAGAAAATGATCAAAACTACAATTGAAAAAAACGAGACTATCAAAATTAACATTTAGATAGAAATTTAAAACTCTTTTAATTCTTTCTTTATTTAATGTGTTTTAATTTAAAATGAAGGCTTTTTTTAATATTCTAATATTTGTCTTTTCAATTTCATTTCAGAAATACTTTTATTTTTTAAATCGCTTTTATTAATTTTTGCTTTAAATAATAATAAGACAGACCAAAAACACAAAAAAATATAAATAAAAAAAGAAATTAAAAAACTAAAAGCTTAATTTTATAAAAAAACTCTACTTAAAAAACTAATAAAAATATCTTAGATGATTCACCTAATAGCTTTCATTGGTTTGCTTTTCTTCTGGATTGCAGGCTATAAAATAATGGTTAAATAAGGAATCCAATCTGAAATATCTTTTGCAGTACTTTCTATGACACATTGGTTGCTAGCCTTCGCCTATTTTTAAATAATAGTATCTTTCTAGCTAGACAAGGATGTGGAACAAAAATTATTTGGAAACGATTTGACTTTGATATAACTTTGGTTTCATATTCTAACTTGTAGCTATTTTACTTTTGATTTGGTGGCTAGGTTCTATAAAAAATAACTCTGTGAATGGCTTTTTATTCATCATTCATTTACCCTACTCTTTATTTTGATCGCTCTCTTATACCAAATTTCTGGCTCAGAAAACATTTATGTATTAAGATATGCTACTTTCTGCAATGTTCCTATGAACATGAAGACTATCTTAGCTAAAAAAGGAATGTACAAAACCAAAAGCTATCACATAATGAATATCTTTTATGCTGTAATTTACTCTTTTAATTTTTTAATTATGCTTCCTTTACTTATGATATAATTCTATGAGAGTAATACAAGTATTTTAACATTCTCTATGCTTTCCTTGTTATGCACACAAGCTATTTACACAATAATAAAAAATCATTTGCCATCCTCCATTTCAAGCATTAGATACTTCAAAAATAGAAATGAAGTCTTTTGAAGAAATTTTAAAATTGAATTTATAATAGATAAAAAATTTTTTATTAAGAACTATGTAAATTTATATATAAATTTTATATTAAATGTAATTAAATAAATAACTTTATATAAAAATAATACTCATAAATACATCAAATAATTTATTAATTTAAATTTTCATTTTTTGATATTCTCAAAATAATTTTATATTAAAATTTACAGATTTTTAAAATTAAATTGCTTTTAAATATATTTTTATTAAACTTTCGCAAAATTAAGAAAATCAAGGTATATATCATTTGAATTGACAAATAAATATCCATTTATGCTTATAACAACAGAAGAACTGATACCTGAAAAATAATTAACCTATCCCTAATTTTCTATTTTATTTGTTTATTCTATTTGATTTTTCTTAAATTTCATTGAGTTATATGTAATTTTTAATTTGGAAATTAAATTTTTATTTAATAAGCAAATCTTTATTAATATAGAAAAAAAAAAAAGTGTTTTATTTATTCAATTAATTTTTGATTAATTCATAAAAAGACACTACAGTTCTTTTGATTAAAAAGCTTAAAAGAACTACTATGAAAAACTATAATTAAAAATTTCTATTAAAAATATCACTTCAAAATTAGACTAAATTATAATGGTTTTTATAGCCTTTATTTTACTACTACTGTTTTGGTTTCTGATTTACAGATTAATGAAAAATTATGAAGTCCACTCTTAAATGGTGTTTTATACTTTATCCATCATTTAATGGGTATTTAGTTTATTATTATACCATGCGATACTTAATCCTAAGTTAGAAAATTAAATAGTATTTAGAACATTTGGATTTATACAATCTGAAGTCTAAGTGTATTATGTTATCTTAATTCTTAGTTATATATTATTTGAATTAGTTGCGTAGTAGATCTTAAAATAGCTTCACTCAATATAGTTAATTAACCTATGCTTGATCTCTTTAACGTTAGTCATACCATTGATACATTAAAATTCCTGGGTTGAAGCTATCTGTATTGTGAGATACTCTACATTAAGCAATATACCATTTAACTTAAAAAATATTCTATTAGTTTATGGAATGGAATAAACTTTACCATACCATATTATAAATATGGTTTATTAATTAATATATTCTTTTAGTAGCCTTGTTATGCTACCTTATTGCCTAATTTTATTTATCTTAAATAAATCTTGCGTACAAGTAATTTACATGCTTATATTAATAATTATAATGGCAATCTATACTACAATAAAGATTAATCTACCATAAATTCAGCAAAGCATTCAATATATAAGATAAAGATAAATATTATTTATATTTTGATTTTAGTTTGTTTATTTTTGTATTATATTTCATATATTTTGTATTAAATTTTTTATTCAATTCTATTTTAAGCTATCTATTATAAACTTCATATAAAAGATTGATATATATATGCTTTTAAAATTTTAATATCTAAGCAAATTTATAAAATACTGAGGATAAATAATAAATCGCATCTTAAAAATTTGCAAATAAAAATATTATAAGAATATTTGTATATTATTTAATCTAGTACTTGTTATTATAGGTGGTTTTTTATTGCAAAATAAAAGAGTGTCTTTAAATTATCAATGATATATTTTAGACCATATAAAAAAAAATATTCTTTCACATTCTTCCACCTCACTAAAATGTTACTTATAAATATTTAAATAAATAACTTTCAAAAAATATACATGTTAAAATGAAGTAAGTGAGTATTATCAAATAAATTTGAATTTGATAGTATTAATTAAGTAGAACTGAAAGCGATATTTAGATTTTAATTTAAATTATATGAAGAAATCAATAATAAATAAAAGACTTTTAATTCTATGTTCACATTTTTATCTATTAGTATTTTACTTTGAAAAAAAATTAAAATAGAGTGTATTATATATATTATTTATAGGCCAGAATAGGCATGTATTAAATTAGATTTTAAAAACAATTAATTAATATTAGTAATAAAATTGATTAAAATAGATGAATTTTTTTTATTTATCTCAGAAATTCTAATTAACTATCTAAAGAAAATCTTAAAAAAATTTTAATTTTAATTAAAACGAGTGAATTTTTATCAAGTATGAAAAGATCTTTAGTTTTTTAATAGAATTTTAATAAAATCAAATAAATTTTTTAATAATAGAAAGTTAGATAAATAAATATTTTACCTAGAATTTAAATTGATAAATTTAATTGATTCTTTATAAAATTTTAGTTGACTAAAAATATTCTACAAATGGAATAATAAATGATTTAAAACTGTTTTATTTATTAATCATAATTATAATAAAAATTTTTTCTTAACAAATATTTTCATTTTTAGTTAGTAATAAAATTGATTAAAATAGATGAATTTTTTTAATTTATCTTACAAATTCTAATTAACTATCTAAAGAAAATCTAAAAAATTTTTTAATTTTAATTAAAACGAGTGAATTTTTATCAAGTATAAAAAGATCTTTAGTTTTTTTTAGAATCTTAATAAAATCAAATAAATTTTATAATAAAAGAAAGTTAGATAAATAAAATATTTTATCTAGAATTTAAATTGATAAATTTAATTGATTCTTTTTAAAATTTTAATTAACTAAAAATATTCTACATATGCAAATAATAAACGATTAAAACTCTTTTATTTATTAATCATAATTATAATAAAAATTTTTTCTTAATAAATATTTTCATTTTTAGTTAATAAAATTTATCTATTTTTTGTTATCAATAAATAAAGTAAATTTTCTATCAAATTATTTTATATCAAATTTGATTAAATATTCTAAATAAGTTAAAGAGGGACCTTATTATTTCTAAATAATATAAAATTTCTATTTTAAAACTATTAATTCCATTCTTTTGTTATTTCGTTAGCAAGAGTGAATATATATGTACTAGAGTAATAAATATTTTTTTTTTAGCTAATTTTTTAAAACTAAGAAAAAAATTAAGGCTAGAGTTATTAGGTATAAATAAACGATTAATTCATTGATGATATCAAAATATTTAGGATTAATAAGAACTGATTTAGTATGTTATTTCATTTTATTGTTTTTTTGGTTATTTTGATTCAATTTTCATACTTTTTTAATAGAATAAAAAACACTATCTCTTATTTTTATTTGGTTAATGCTTTATGAATATTTATATTTTAAAAAATTAAATTTTTATCTATTATGTTTTTTACAGACAGCATATTACTCATTTGCTTGATTTGATTCATTTCATGATTGATTAAAAATAAAAACTTTTTATTGTATGAAAAAGTTTTATAAAATTAATTATAAGTTGTGTTAAAAGAATAAGAGATGGTTTCTTAAATGAACATCATTTTATTTGATTTATACACATTTTCTCAACTCTATCTCTCAAATAATTAATTATTAGTTTTTGAATTGTAACAAATGAAAGAGGTTATTAAGAAAAATAAATAAAATAAAAATTATTTATTTATTTTTAAAAATTTAGGATAGAGATTACAAATAAATTTAAATAATAGATTAAATCATAAAGCGTCTATGAAAACTGTATAAAAATATGTAAAAAAATAATAAATAAATTAAATGATAAAGATATATTTGGGATAGATAAATTAATAGAACTTATAGCTAATAAGTGTAAATTTTATGAATATATTTAACTCAGATATTCTAACAAAATTAATTAAACCAAACAAATAATTTACTTATGCAGCTTATCATATTTAAAAAATAATTTTTATCTTATGCTATTTTTAATTATGTAACTAAATTTATGAATGATAGTATGAGTAAGATACAATTTTAAATATTGTAAATATGTAATTTATTTTCTTAATTATAAGGTTTAATCTCTAAAAAATGATGAATTTAATAGCGTAATTAAATATGTAATAAACTATTCCTATCTAAATACTTAAATTTGTTGGATTGGTAATCAAAAATAAAAAGTGTTTAATAAAAAATATATATTTAATATATTTCGTAATATTAAAATTAGAAGGATAAAAAGAGCTTCATGTTAATTTATCATAATAAATAAAGAAATATTTATAGAAAAATTATATTGTTACTCTTTTTTTTATAAAGAATTGCATTAATAAAATTGTAAATAATTGTTAAGTTCTAATAATATTTTGAAAACTTAACAATTATAGTAAAATAAAAATCAATGTATCCATTTTTAACGAGGAGAAACATTTTTTGGGGGTTAATTAATGAAAGATTATTTTTATGCAAATAATTTTATTTTTGTTTAAAGTAGAAAATGTTGCTAATATTTAGTACAAAACATTAACATATTTATTAAATAAATAAATATTTAATAATTCTTTTATTAATACTTAAGATAAAAATTAATCTATACTATAAAATTAATAAATCCAATCATATACTTACAGCTATCTATATTTAAATAATTTATCCTAAATTTAATGAATTGCATAATATTTATTTATTAAAAAAATTTAATTTTACTAAAAATAATTTTCATGGAAGAGCAAAAAACAATTTAGTAGCAGTCAAATGCAGGATTTGAAGAAGAATAATAACCTTTGGATTTAGAACTATCTCAAGAAAATGAAATCAAAGAAAAAACTTCTTAGAAAAATTATTCTTAAGAAAGTCAAATTTACTCTAGAAGAAACTAGAATAAATACGAATAATTATTTTAAGAAGATTCTTAACTAATTAAGTCAAAGCCATTTGATATATTTATGAATAGCTCTTTTATTTCAAAGATCTTTACGATTGATATGCTAAAAGTCCTTTTAAGAGCCTCATAAGATTCGAAAATTTACAAGATGTTGAGCACCTTTAATCTTCCCTACCTTCAACCAAAATAGTCCATAGAGTATAATTACCAAATATTTAAGGCAAATCTTGATGCAAAAATTTAAGAAGCAGATAGAAAAAAAAGGAATTTAGTCTCTCAAGACATCTTAAATGTTTTTTTAAAGACATTTAGAAATGAAATTGCAGCCACTGTTTTTTTGAACTCAGTAGGATATCTTTGTCTATTTACAGCTTCGATTTTAATCAACACATTAATATCATATATTCAAGAAAATGGAGTTAATTTGAAAGCATATGGAATTGCTTTCATATTTAACGTTATTAGCATTTCATAAGTTTTGTTTGCACATAACGTTATAAGACTGAATGTACTTATCTAAACTCGTTTTAGAAATGTTTTCATGAAAGTTATTTATTCAAAAATTTCTTCTCTTTCTGCTTTCTCTGTCAAAGAAGCAAATGTAGGAAAGCTCATTAACTTGATTTCAAATGACTTAACAACTTTGGAGTAGAGATGTAATATAATGTTTGCAGTACTTTCTATTCCTCTTCCTTTAGTAGCTTCTACAATATACCTCTATAGAAAGTAATTATTTTTTCGATTAATTATCTTGTTTCTTATTATTCAATAAACAATATTATAAATTTTTTCTATTTCGTTTTTATTTAGATTTTATCAAAAAGTACAATTCTCAATTTAAAATTTACAATTAAATACATCAATTTATTTATTATCCTTAATATTTAAATGAAAATCTATTGAATTACTTTTTTTATAATTTTTCATTGTTATTTATTGAACCTTATATTAACAGATATGGCGTAATTGGTTTGATAGGAATAGTTGTCATGTTAGGTTTATGTCCAATTTAATTATTTTTCTCAAAATTACAAGCAAAATTTTTTTCAGAAAAAACAAAATATACTGATTAAAGAGTCAATCTCACAAAAGAAGTCATAGAAGGTATAAGGTTAATAAAAATGTATGCATGGGAAGAAGCTTTTGTTCATAGTATTCAAACAATACGCAAATTAGAACTAAAATTGATTCTCATTAATATTTTAATCACAATTTTTGACTTTGCAGTATCTACAGCTTTCTCTGTTTTTAGCACATTTTTATTATTATATTTTATGTACTATTATGGAGATTCTTCTGCTATTGATTCTGCTCTACTTTTTTCAACTCTGAATCTGCTTAATTTTATCAAAAATTATGTTGTTTAAGTGATTGGATATGGTACTTCTGGTATTATGTAATTAAAAGTCATCCTAAATAGAATGATTAGTGTCATTACTTTGTAGGAATCATCTATGACAAATATTGATGGTAAATTTATATTTATAATAATTTTTCTATTGTTTTCTTTTACAATAAAAAGAATAAAAAGGATAATTTTGCCAAAATTCTATTTTAAATTTATTACAAAATGGAAGCATTTAAATGATAAATTTTACTGCTTTTTGGAAATAAAACATACCTGTGTTGTAGGATATAAATGTACAAATAAATAATGGGGAGTTTGTTTGTATAGTTGGTAAGGTAGGATCAGGCAAGACTTCATTTTTAAATTGTATTCTCTAAGAGGTACCTTACTATAAAGGATAAATATAATGTAAAGGATAATTAGCTTATGTTGAATAAGAGCCTTACATATTTAGCAGTACTGTTAAAGAAAACATTCTTTTTGGAAGAGAATATGATGATGATCTCTACAAAAAAATTATCAGAGCATGCTGTCTGGAATAAGATCTGAAAATATTCTAAAAAGGCGATTAAACTGTAATTGGAGAACGAGGAATGGATATTAGTGGTGGACAGAAAGCTCGTATATCATTAGCAAGAGCTATTTACTCTTAAGCCGATATCTATTTATTTGATGATCCAATTTCAGCAGTAGATTCAAAGGTATTTTATAGAATTCAATATTTAATTATTTATTATCATTTTTTAAATAAATAGGTTGCTAAAGCAATATTTTTTGATGCAATAAGCACTCTATGCAGAAATTCAACAGTTATACTTGTTACTCATTAAGTTCACTATGCTAGATTTGCTGATAAAATTATAATTTTAGAAGGAGGAAAAGTGTGTTAGTAAGGTAAGTATGAAGAATTAGAGTAAACACTTAAAAATTTATCCAACGAACTAAATCACGAAGGACTCTGCCATCAAATGAATTTAAATTAAGAAAACACAATTCAAGTAAGGACAAATCCCTATTTAGTTCAATTTAGTAAAGAGAAAAGTGAAAATTATGATAAAGAAGAAGGAAATTAAAATATAAATATTGATGAAAATTAAACATAAAGTGAAGAGGAAAATATAGTTGTTGATCTGAAAACATATTATAATTTCTTTAAGGAATCAGGTATATTTTTTTTAAGTAATTTTTCATTTAAATTAAAATTGTTTAACTAAAAGGGGTATTAATATTCATTCCTATAGTCTTAGCTCTTTATGCTGTTAGCGATTTAACTTATGTTCTCTTCAACTAGAGAATAGGAGACTTATAATCTACTTATGAAAAATCAGGTATAATTAAATCAATCGGTTATCTGGTACTACTTTATGCTTTGGCATAGCTCATAAAACACTTATCATTAACTATAGCAATAAATAGAGCTTGCAAGAAACTATTACATACAATGATCTGTGCTTTGGTTAGATCAAAAGTGATATTTTTTGATACTACTTAATCTGGTAATATTCTTAATAGATTTTCTACTGATATAGGTAAATAAATTTCAAATTCAAAATAAAATTAAAACCAAGATTATAAAATTATTTTTAAAATCTTTATAATTAATATTTATAAAGGTTATTTAGATGAACACTTGACTAAAATACTAATTGATGTTATTGAGATATTTATTGGAATTATAGTAATGTTCATAACTATTATGACTATTTCTCCTAATTTTATAATTGTTGCCCTTTTCGAATTAACATTTTTAGTATTTTTCCTCAAATACTGTAAAGAAGGTCTCCTCAAAACTAAATAAATTGATCTTACCTTAAGATCACCCCTTCTTACTTTCTTCAATCTAAGTATTCAAGGTGTTTTACCTATAAAAGTATATCAATAGTAGAGTCATTTTGAAGATAAATTTAATCAGCTAGCAACTGATTCTCTCAGAGCTTCTTTGTATTACTGGATTTGCTAGAGAGGATTTGGAAGCTTCATAAATCTATTTGCAGTCTTTTGTAATTCGTTAGGAATTTTTATAGTGCTATCTACTACTAGCTCTGTTTCTGATATTGGATAGTGCATTCTTTACTTTACAACAAGTACAGAATTTTTACAATGGGGTATTAGGTAATCATTTTTTAATATTATTTAACAAAATTAATTAACTCATTTATTTAATTGAAGATAATTGGTAAACTTAGATGTATCAATGACTAACACTTAAAGATGTTTGAATATTTCTAAATTAGAACCTGAAGCTGAATTAAATACAAGTTATGATGATAGCTTAATTAAAACTAGTAAGCATTAAAAATTTCCTACAAGAGGGGAACTTGTTTTTCAAAATGTTAGAATGAAATATAGAAAAGAACTTGATTTTGTTCTTAAGGGTTTAACATTCAAAATATAGCCTGGGAAAAGGGTAGGATTTGTAGGTAGAACTGGAGCAGGTAAATCTTCTGTTATATAGGCACTATTTAGAATGACCGAATTGGAATATGAAAATTAATTAAGCAATTATTTAAATTGTGATATTTAAATAGATGGTCATAGCATAAAAAAGTTAGGTTTACATACCTTAAGATCAGGTATAAGTATTATACCTTAAAATCCTTTTATATTTTCTGGGACCATAAGAAGAAATCTTGATCCTCTCAATTAATACACAGATGATGAGATCTACAAAGTTCTTGAGGATGTTGATTTACTAAGTAAAAACTATTTTTTTTAAGTTTTTACACTTTTTTATAAACATTTTTTATAAATTATTAAAAAAAGAAAAAGTCAATTCTTTAGAAAAAAATATTCATGAAGATATGAGTAATGCAAACGATGTGTTTAGCACAGGACAGAAATAATTAATTTGCTTAGGTAGAGCAATACTGAAGTAGAGCTAGCTGATTGTCCTTGATGAAGCTACAGCAAATGTAGATATGTAGACTGATGAACTGATATAACAAAAAATAAGATAAAGATTTTCAAACTCTACTTTAATCACTATAGCTCACAGATTAAACACAATAGCTGATTATGACTAAGTTATAGTTATGGATTAAGGATAAGTAATTGAGTAAGGAACTCCTTATGAATTACTTTAAAATGAATAAGGACACTTCTATTTAATGGTATAGCATACTGGAACTAAGAATTTTGAGTTAATTAAAAATATAGCAAGTCAATAAATTTCTAAAATATAAAAATGAAATTTCATTTTTTATTATTATTTTATTAAATATATATAAAAATTCTGTAATTTAAAATGAATGATTTATATTGTGATTTAATTATAAATTCATATAAAAATAATGTTTTAATATTTAACAATATATTGAATAATAAATAGTTCAAATTAGCTTTAATTTTGTTGTCGGCCATACTAAGGTGAAAACACCGGATCCCATTCGAACTCCGAAGTTAAGCGCCTTAAGGCTGGGTTAGTACTAAGGTGGGGGACCGCTTGGGAAGTCCCAGTGTCGACAACCTTTTGTTTTTTTATTAACAGTGTTTTTAATAATCTAAATAAATATGATTTTTATAATTTAGATTTATTTTAGAAGATAATTTATTTATTTATAAAGTAAACTAAAAACTATTATATTAAAAGTTATTAACCATTATCAATTTTGTTGTACCATAATAAGGTCAAAACCACGGATTCTATTCTAATTCTGAAGTGATATGAAGAGTTAGGCAGTAATACTAAAGAAGATCAAATTATTAAAATTTGAGATATCAAAAATAATTAATAAAATATTTATTTTATTTTATTTTAATTTAATTGTTCTAATTTAAAAATTTGAAATCGAGTTAAATGCCTTTTTAATTTTGGATAGGGTATAATAATTAATATTCAATGAAAAGAAATTTAGACAAATGTTTAGCTTATTTGGTATAGTAAAAATTTTTAATTATTATCATTTATTTTGTATCCTGTATTCTTTAAAAAAGTGATATTCGGTCTGACCCTAATAACTATCATTAAAAATAAAGTCATTAATCTCTAAATCAAAATTATCTTTATTAGGTAATTAATGAATTTAGTCTTATCATAATTGATTTAATAAGTCTTTTAAGATAGTATTAATGATTTAATTAATGTTATTAGAAATTTAACAAAATTAATTTCTTTCAGAATATCTTCTTAATTTTAATACTGATCCATGTTATTTTATTTTCAAAAACACCACTGACTAAAGATTTAAAGAAATAAATCAAAAAAATGTAATTGTATTAGTTAGAATTTAAAGTATTATTTATATATATATGCTCCAATATAAAATCTTATAATTAAAACTTAAATGTACTTTTAGTTATGATCTATTTATAATAATAGCAGAATTTTTATATAATTTTATAATCTCAATTTTGATTACAAAATATGTTATAATAGTTTAGAATTACACTTTAGAAACCAGTTTTTAATAGAGGTTTATTTATAAAATCACTCATTCCTGATTCTATGCATTTTTTACAGTCTTCTTATCCAACATAAGAGGTGCACGCAATAATTATAGGGATATTATTGTATTGTACACTTTTATAAAATTAAATTATTTCTTACACAGTTTCGTAACCATTTTTAACTGGCATTTCTATGTCCATGAAAATAATTCGAGGCGAAGTGCAGCAATTTTTAAAGAATTCAGATTTGACAAACTATATAGCTTAATCACCTTCAGAAAAAGTGATTATTTCAAATTAAAACTGTTAAATAATTTTTTACATGGCATATAAATTAAATTGATTATCATCAACAACCATTATTTAAGGGCATGTACATTTTTTTTTTTTGCTCAAATTAAACTCTAAAATTGAATCCAATTTTTGTGAAGGTGTGAGAGATTTTCCATTTTTATTTATGTCAGTATTATTTTCAATATCTACAGTTTTAAAACAACTAATTTGAGATTTAAAACTATAAGTTTTATTGATATTTTCATTAAGTGAAGAAGTTGTTAATCTTTTATTGGAAAAATTAGATGCTTTTATTTTTATTTGACTTGCATAAGATGTAAATCCTTCTTATTCATACTATTCATTTTCATCTTTCCTCTCTATTTAAAATTATTTTACTTGGGCTGTAGCATTCTAAAGCAAACTTTATGATTGTTTATTTTTACTTAAGCTACCAATTTCTGATTATACATTTTTAATTTCAAAATCTGTATTATTTGAACAGTCTTAGTTTGTCTATCCGTCTTCATGCTATTGGTAATTAGTAGCTTAAACATGGTTATTTCCTTTCCTAATTTAGTTCTCAAAAATATAATTTTATGGAAGTTTTTATGAGCAATTTTATTCTATTTTATTTGAATTGACATGATCTGCATTTTATTAACATTACGAAAAACTTGAATTTTAAAATGGACTATTGCGAGATTAAAGTTTTAAAGAAATTCTATGTTTTGATTTATGAGACATATTTTTGGATTCTTAACATTCATCTTCTTAAAAATTTTTATGGATTTGAATTTAAAATATTTTATTTAAATCAAATCTTAGATCTTAGTTTGTTGGCTCTTCTATCACTTATGAAGAGCTTAAATTAGATACATTTTCCTAAAATTTACTCTTTTAAACTATTTGATTAGCTTCTAGTTTAGAATTATTTGTAAAATTCTCTCTATTACTGATTGTATGTTTATTATGATTAAACTAATGGTCTTCTTAAACAAATCCATAAATAGAATTATTTTATTTTTCTGTCTAACTGATATCATTTTCGTTAATTTCATTAGTTGAATTCATTGATTGACAAAGATTTTATTTATTGATTTAATTTTTTAATAAACTCTATTTATTTTCATAATTTAAATTATTTAAGGAACCTATCTAAGCTTCAATCCGTTTAAAAGAAGTTTTTATAGATTTGCGTTAATTAGTTGGGTGCTCACTCATCTATTTTTCATCAGTATTAAAATCTTCAACCAAAATACTAAACTTTGAGCCTTTTCCATACTCTGATTCTACAGTAATTCCTCCCTTAAAATTTACATCATTTACTAAGCCTTTAGCTAAGGAATTTGATATTGTCAAACCTAAACCACATCCTTGATTATTAAGTTGTTCCTCTTCTTTATTTTGATATTTAATCTTTTTTATTTTTTATTAAAAATATATTTTATTTTTTTGTTTATTTTGAAAATAATTTAATTAGCTTAAAAATTTAAAAATGATATTTTTACTTTGTTACAAAAGTTAAATATCTTTTTTTAATTTTCTTGTGTAATTCCAATGCCACTATCCTTAACATATAATTGATAGATATTCTTACTAAATAAAACAAGACCCAATTCAATATGTCCAGATTTAGTGAATTTCAGAGAGTTAGAAAGAAAATTTAGTAAAATTTATCTAATTCTATTAGGGTCAGAGCATATTATTTAATTAATTTTTTAGTCATAGGCAAGTATAATTTCTAATTTTTTCATTTTAGCTTGAATACTTACTAGCTTACTGCAATCTTTTAAAAGACTAACTACATTGAAGTCTAAAAAGGAGTATTTAAATTTACCACAATCCATTTAAACAAAGTCGAGTATGTCATTAATTTAGTTTAGAAGTAGTTTATTAGAGAATAGGGCAGGGACAATATATTCTTCAATACAATATTAATTATTTTATTCCTGATAAAGTTCGTCTTTCAGAACTTCGAGCATGGAAATAGAGCAATTCAAAGGAGTTCTAAGCTCATGTGAGAGGGTTGCAAATATTTTCATTTTCTCTTATTGAACCTCTTCAACCTTTTTTTAGTAGAGATCTTACCAAACCTCTTGAACGCTTATAAATATTAAAGGCTCTTAAGTTTTTTAATTTTCTAATAATAAATCAACTGCTATTAGCTAAACTACCAAATCTTTATTTTAATGATTTACCTATCAAAAAATTATATTTGCTTTCTAAATGAATGATCAAAATAAATATTACTTGAATTTTTGTTATATTCTTTATTTGCTGAATATAATTGACGTTTGCTTTATTTTCTGCTGAAAACTTTGTAATAGATTTTCTTTTGTTGAAAAATAATGTAAAGTATTTTTAAAAATAATAAAAATATTACTGCTTATTTATATTGTGGCTTTCTTCAATTTTATCCTCCGATTACTCCTATAAAATATCTTTATTTTAATTAGACTAAAATAATCTATCAATCATTTAGGAGAAGTCTATTCTTTCTTTTGTAATTTGATTAGTTACTGTATTTTCTATCATTATTTTAATATATATAATCAAAACAAACAGACATAATTTAATAAATCTTACTATGATTTTTTTTTAGTTTAAAAAATTAAGAATTTTTAAAATCTATTTAGCTATCATTTCGCAAGGGTTCATTAGTTTTATTATTTTCTGTTATGAAATTATGATTTATTTACTGGTCATACATCTCATGATTATCTACTTAAATGTGTACTTAGTTATATCTATGATTTAAGATTCTTTCTAATCCCTAAATATTAATATTTGAATTCAAATCTTAATTGATACTACTGCTTTTATTTTCCTCTAAGATTTAATTAACTTTACAGATGTTGTTATTTTCAACTCCCGCTATACTTAAATCTCTATTTTAAGTTTCTTAATATTCAAGTTTACCTAAAAATAATAAAAATTAGTAAATAAAATACTTGAAAATTAATTAAATTTACTTTCTTTCACCTCAAAAAAATCAATTTAATCCTAATTGTTAGGGTGTTTGTTATCAGCTAACTAAATTTTCATTTAAATTTGATTTTAGTTTTCTTAGAATTATTTTTTGTTTTCACTTTACCTTTAATTCATTTAAAAATCTAATTCATCCTTTTAAAAATATATTGATTTCACCTCTTGATTGATCTTTTAAGCAACAATTTCCTTCTATGATTTTAAGAATTTATATATTAATATTTTATAGCTTATATAATGAGGGATTTATATTAGCCATTTTTATTAAAATATAGCCAAAAATCAGTTTTTAAATTAATATTTGCTTTAAAATTTTACATATTAATAAATTAAATCCCACCAATTTTAATTAAATTACATACAAAAAAATTAATAAATTGTGTTATTTTCTCTTGAAATTGTTATTATTAAAAAGTAATTTTACATGTGATTATGATTGAAATCTATTTTAGTTCCCATTTGATATATTAAATTATGAGAATAATTTATTATTGTTAGGTAGATTTTTTACTTATTAAATTTCTATGGATTAACTCATGTTATTTTTTTTCTATGGTTGTTTTTAATTAATGGAGTTGTCCTTTTAAAATGAATAAGACAACGATTTTTAAAATTTGTTTTTATTTATTGACCAACTTAAAGAAGAATTCAAGTTTTATTCGCTTTAGTAATTTTATTTCTTTGATTTATTTTTTGTCTAAATAACTTTACTTTGAGTATTTTTAGTATTAATATTTACTAGGTTTTTATTATCTAAGCCATTTTTTGAAATTATCTCTTCCCTTAAGTAGTTACTTTTAAATATAGTGTTTGATTTCATTTTATTACTTTTTTAATCTTAGTTTAAATCTAAATTTTCATTAGCATTTACTTAACCTAAATTTAATAGAACTGTTTGCAAATCTCTATTATTTTTGCATTTAAGAATTCTTTTAAGAGAGGCATTAGAATATAATATTTATTTTTTTGAATCAATGACTGCTAATCCTTCTGGTATAAGTTGCTAAATATTTTTGTAAAGATTAATAGCTATATTTTTATAACATTTACTATTATCTTAAATAGGAGGTAATGTTTTTTAATTTTCTTTCTAAAATACTTTATTATTAAAAATCTGCTAAATAAAATATATGACATTTATAAAAGCACTTAAGAAGTCAAAATCATTTGTAGCTTAAAGACGAATAAATGTATATGCTTATATTCCCAAAATAGTAATTATTATTAGTCTAACATTATTTATAATACATATTTCTGAAGTGATAAAAGATTAGATATACATGGATAATACTACTGTCAATTACCTATTTTATTAAATCAGCATTATTATTTCTAAAGTAGAAATATAAATAGTAGAAGTAATCAAAATTATAGTAAATTCTTAGCAGAATCCATTTAATATTAAGAATTTTTAAAAGTATTTTGCTCTTAGAGTATCTTAATTTTAAGATTTTTAAATGTTATCTTAATTTTATGCTAAATTTTTATCTATAGAGTACCTTTTTAAATTCTTTAATAAGCAAAATGCTACTAGGTTTAGAATGAATAATGATCCTAATATATTTTTTTGAAATTATGACAAACAAATAAAGGCTAGAGTTATTAGGTATAAATAAATGGTTAATTAGTAGATAATGTCAAAATATTTAGGATTAATAAGTGCTAATTTAGAATATTATTTCATTTTATTATTTATTACTTATTTTGGTTTAACTTTCATACTTCTTTGAATAGAATAGTAACACACTATTTCTTATTTTTATATTGATTACTAATTAATATTGATTGAATAATTTATTTTAATTTTTACTATTATTTGATATTTTATTTTATCTATTATGTTTTTTGCAAGAAATTTATGGCCTATTTTTTTAGATTCTATTCACTTCATAATTAAATGAAATAAATATTTTTTATTAAATGAAAAAATTTTATATAAGTAATCGTTGTTTAAAAAGAATAATAGATCATTTCTTAAATAAATATTTTTTATTTTATTTAGATAAATTTTTTTCAACTCTATCTATTAAAATTTAATACATAGTTTTTGAGTTATGACTACAAAAAATGAGGTTACAATGAAAAATAAATGCAAATCTTCATGTGAACTTTTCAAAGAAACCAAATACATTTTAATTTTAAATTTATTCATTTCATTTAATAATTCAATATTTTTTTATTATTGTAAAATAATTATTACATATTTTATGATTTTTTAGCTAAATTATTCCTCCCACTATTCTATTAGTCTATAAATGTATAATCAAATATTAGATTTTAAAAAAAATAAAAATTAATTGATCTAATTGTTTAAAAATATTTTATATTTTCTCATTAACATTCATAAATAAATTCTCAGCTAAGTTGAAAGATAAAAAATGTTTATATTTATTAGAAGAAAAAACTTTTACAAACACATCATTAATAAAAAAATCAATTTTCTGTTAATAGTGTAAAAATATATACATTTATATAATAAATGAATTAAAGAAAATTGAAAATTAGCTCCTTCATACATACTAATATTTTAAATTTTAATTTTCAGTAAAATATTAAAATAATGTTTTAAAAAAAAAAATTACTTTTTATAAAATCATAATTAATTATTTTAATAAATTTAATTTTTATTATCTAATTTATTTATTTTAAAATTTAATTTGCTTTAATATATATTTTATTTATTTATTTAAGCCTTTAATTTAAATTTGTATAAAAATATTTTATTATTATAAAATTTCTTCTATATATTTCAAAGAAAGCTATTTTGAAAGTATTTTTATAGATTAAATAATAAAATTAATATTTAAAAACTGATAACGGATATTGTGATTTTAATTTAGTAAAAAATAATTATGTATAAAATAGTATTCTCGAGTCATTACGTCATATTTATACAAAAATATAAATAATTTAATAAAAAATATATCAAACAAAAAAAATTATTTATGAATTTTTTAAAATTTAAGATAGAAATTACAAATAAATTTAAATAATAGATTCAATAATAAAGTGTCTAAGAAAATTTTATCAAAATATGCAACTAAATAATAAATAAATTAAATGATAAATATATATTTATGGCATAGATAAATTGATAGAACTTATAGCTAATAAGTGTAAATTTTATGAATATATTTAACTAAGATACTCTAACAAAATTAAGTAAATCTAGCAATAATTCCCTAGGCAGCTAATAATATTAAAAAATAATTTAAACTTAAACAAATATGCTATTTTTAATTTTGTAAGTAAATTTATGAGTGATATTATAAGTAAGATCAATTTTAAATAAAGTTAATATGTAATTTCTTTTATTAATTATAAGATTTAATCAAAAAAAAGATGAATTTAATAGCATAAATAATTATATAATAAATTCTTCTTATCTAAATATTCAGATTTGTTGGGTTGATTTTAAAAAATAAAAGTGTCTAATGATAAAATACGTATTTAATACATTTCGTAAAATTAAATTTAGAAAGATTAAAAGACTTTATTGTTAATTTTATTATAATAAGTATAGAAAAGTTTATAGAAACTATTTATTGTTACTCTTTTTATTGATGATAAATAATTATATTTATAAAATCGTAAATAGCTTTAAAGTTCTGATCATTATTCCGAAAACCTAATAATGATAATAAAATAAAAATCTATTTATCTATTTTCAACAAGGAGAAATATATTTTTGGGGTTAATTAATGAAAGATAATTCTTTTATGCATATAATTATATTTTTGTTTAAAGAAGATAATTTAGCTAATATTAAATAGAAAATATTAACATTTTTAAATAAATATTTAAAAATTCTTTTATTAAGGCTTAACATTAAATTTAATCCATACTATAAAAGTTAATAAATCCAATCATATATTTACAGCGATACTTAAATAATTAATCCTAAAATTAAAGAATCGCATAATATTTATTTATTAAAAAATTTTTAATTTTACTAAAAATAATTATCATGGAAGAGTAAAAAACAATTTAATAGCAATCAAACACAGGATTTGAAGAATATGAGCCTTTGGATTTGGAGTTGTCTCAAGAAAATCAAATCAAAGAAAAGCTTTCTTAGAAAAATCGTTCTTAAGAAAATCAAATTTACACTATAAGCAACTTGAATAAAAATGAATAGTTATCTTAAGAAGATAATAAATTAACTAAGTCAAAGCCATTTGATATATTTATGAATAGCTCTTTTGTTTCAAAAATATTTATGATTGATATGCTAAAAGTCCTTTTAAGAGCCTCTTAAG